ATCGAGAAACCAACTGTCAAAAAAAACAAATGGTGGAAGAATCATGCAAACGAGTACCCTATACTTTCAGCCATGGCCAGAGACCATCTTGCCATCAGATGTTCGAGTACATTCCTCGAAACAGAGTTTAGTGATGGACCAGATATAGTGACCCCAAACAGGAGCTCAATGGCTTCAGAGACAGTGGACCAGATCATGACATTGCGTTCAATCAACTCACTTCAGCTGGATATCCAATAACCATCATTCAATCAATCTAACAACAACAACAACCATCATTCAATCAATCCAACAATCCAACAATATCAACCAAACAAATAATCCCACAACAACATAATTAATTAATCAATCAATCATTTAAAGATAATAAAGGTCAGGTTTATCTTTGATCTACAAACACCTGTTCAGTTCACTGAACTGATCTATTATACCTGTTGTATTGATGCACTCATTAGGATGTTTATCTTTATATTACCTAAGATCAACCTTAGGTGCGATCTATCGGAGCATTGATCGTATCTCAGTTCAAGTTTGGCTTTCAACTCGTCCAAAGTGATGACCTCCTTCCTGACCAAAGCTTTGATGATCCTCCTTCTAAGTCTTCTTGAAAACTTTGAAGGGCGTCCCGATTTGAGACGGTCCTTGAAGTCTCCTCGCTCGCTGTGTCGTTGAATAGTCCTGCTCACAGTTGATCGGGAAATATTGTACATCTTTGATATTAATTTCTTTGAATATCCTCTCCTTCTGGCTCTCACGATTTTAGCTCTCTCTTCTTCTGTTAATGACATGATTAATTGTAATGTACATAAATAATATTCTATCTCTTCCAACAAAGTGTTTGATGTTTGAACTCATTCATTCTTTACTATTGCATAAATAATGGACATGTTCATTACTTTAACAAAAATATCGTTTGAATGATAAAGATATATTAATTCCATTTTTGGAAAAATATTCATAAATGGAAATTTTTGAGCAAAAGTGGACTACTATATTTGGAAGTGAATAAGAATCTTGAACCATATTTGTAGGAGATATCAAACTCGTACCTGTTTGAACAGGGGGTGGCCATAACTTATGAAACATACTGTATCCACCTGCTTCTTTTACGATTGAAAACAATGTCTGTAGGATATTAACACTGTCCTCCACGAAGCCAATACATGATATGTCGTTCTTTCCAAGGCGAATGTCCGGGAATCTGGAGATGAGGTACCTCAATACGTGGAGATGTCCATACGTGCTCGCTAATAGTATTGAGTCGATGACTATGTTGACATTCTCATCAGAGTGCTCAAAGGCATCACCTTGAGTAATAAATTGAATCGACTCCAGTGCACCTTTTGATGCGAATAGCTTGAGCATCTTTGGTCCACAAGAACATTTCTTGAACTGAGAGAGCAAAAACTCGATTATTTCAAATGCACTGGCAACATCGAGCAATTGTTGACAATTCACGTCATCAATGATATGTCCATTTTCCAATACATAATGCATTAGGTACAGATCTCCCAGCTCGGACGCAATCAAGGCAATGTCGAACCACTGTGACGTGGATGGTATACTCGATCCTCTCTTATTGGATATTGTGATGAAGGTGACCAAATGATTCTGATTCTTTGTTGTTACTAAGTGTCTGATGGTTCTACTTGAATACACATCTTGTAAAATGATTGATAAGTTTGGGTACTTGGTGAGTATGCCAACTCCACCATTGTCAAAGAATCGGACGATGTCAGCTGGTGCAGAAAGATAGATTTGTGTGGCAATGGTGTTGATGTCTAGACGATTTGTTATTGTTGAGATACGTCCATAGATCTCCTCGAGCATGTCAAGTTTGCCAAGCTTGATTGCAGTGATTGTCCATAATTCAATTGAGGCAGACAAAACATACTGTCTAGTTTGAGTGTTCAGTGATCGCACCCTCATATTGAACAAATCTCTGAACAAAGATATGGTGCCATATTTGATCGACCAGGTCAATTGTAGGTCTTTGTATTTGATTAAATTTGGAGTACTATCGTTGAGTTCTATTTCTTTAGGTTGTTGATTGCACAAGAGCAGTTGGTGAACATGTCCAAACAGAATCCTTCTTAAATATGGGTCATAGATGATGGCCTTAAATTTACTACTATCGCTAGCCATTATTTGACTTGGTCAATCAATCGCTTCTCTATTCCTACTCTCTATAGCTTATCTACTATGCCTTCGCTTCTCTACTTCTTTCTCTATTCCTATCTCTCTCTATAGCTTATCTACTATGCCTATTCGCTATTGCACACCTCACCCCTTACCCTTCACCCTTCACACCCCACAAAATAAACATCAAACGAATTATATTATTTGATCCATTACTCTCTGTTCCTCTTTGTCCAAAAAGAATAATTTTGGAGCAGCTCTACTATTCTGAATTTCAATAGAATATTCAGAAGAGTATAAGTATTCCTTGATGTTTTTGACAGGTACCAAGGGTTGATACTTTGATTTGAACTTTGAAATATGACCCTTCTGAAAGCTGATCCATTTATCATAGCATAATGATAAAGACTTTCCAATCAATCCAACATGTCCATGTGAATGATTCCATAACATATCAACACAAACATCTTCCAAAATGTAATCCTTACAGTTGAACAATTTGATTAGTGTTTTATACTCTTGGTATGAAAATCTAAGGAATGAATAATCCAACATCATTGGTTTCAATTTCTTGAGTACCGAGGGCAGAGATATTATGTTATCATTTGTATCCTCTCCGTATAATGACAAAAATAATATATGAATTGATTTGGGAAGTGTATTCATCAATAACCAAAATGATCTATTCTTGATGTCATATAAATTCTTATTGAATATCCTATGACAATCATCCATTATAAAAAAAACTTCATATGATTTAGCGATAGTTAACCATTGATAAAAAGTATGATCACTTTGTCTTATCCATAAATCATCAAGGTCCAGCTTGTGAATCCATTTCCAAGATATCCTCCTAGTTGCTGCTTCAGGTTTTGAATGTTTCAATTGATATTCTACTAATTGTCCAAATGATGTCTTGCCAGTGAATGGTGGAGATCTGATATAGACCATCTTTGTATCCAATAAATTAATAATACAATCTACTTTCTCCTCTCTAGGTATGATCACTTTAGTTCTCACCAATCCATCATATTCTAATTTCTCAACTACATCTATTATTAAAAAATTAATAAAAATATATATTTTTTAAAAAGGTTCTAACTTACTGATTGGATGAGATTCTCCTAATCTAGGTTCAATATCTCTTTGATCAAAATACTCAATTACTATTGGAGGTGAATATTGGTTTGATGTTGAAGTAGTAGATGTATGATAACAATCATATGTTGATTCCGGTATTTTAGAAGTTGGACCTCTTCTTTGTTGAAGATCATCCCAAAGAATATATGCTACTTCATCCAGTTTACAACATAACATAAATTGTTCAATGTTCAAGCCTAATAGATCACTACCCTTTAAGAATTCATATTTGGTCATATGAGGGATACTTTGTATATGTTTCATCTTCCTTTTCTTCAAATTTGATATCCAATTCTTTACATCTGGTCTCGTCCAATCACTTGGATCTTTAAAAAATATTTGTTAGTGGATGGCGTCCTAAATTGATATTTTATTTCCATATTTACCTTTGTTAATCCATGTTTGTATTTGTATCATTCTTATATTATTTGTAGAGAACTTTGAATAATAATTGATTGATCATTTCTCTCACCTCACTTACTAATTCATTGATCTGTCCAATAAACCAATTCATTAGATTGATGTTACATAAAGGACCTGCCAGACAGATGATGCTGCTGCTGGTCCTTAGATCTACACACCCTCTATTTATTTACAAAGAAGGTTGGGTTAAAGATGGCAATAGGCACTTGGAACTCCTCCTTTAGGTTCTGGACAGCAGAGATTAAGAATTGATACCTCTCCTTCCTAGTGGATGGCGTTGCATTCTTTACATTCTGCTTCAAGTGTACATCGTATATCTTGCACAGTCTAGACATAATCTCCTTTTGTTTACAATAGGGTATGAATAATACATTACAAATTGGTTTGCTCCTATAATTATTGTGAATGAATGAATGGTTAGTAATCTAGTCAATCTTGAAGTACAGGAGGATGATATTATACATACCTTAGAATAAATAGTGGAAGTTGTGAAAGGTCTACTATATCATGGTATGTGAATATGAATACTGGGAAGTGGATAGAGTCGTCAAAGCTCTCCAAGAAGTTGACAATGCCAGATATCTTGGATGTGGACAGGTCAAAGAAGTCCAAGTACTTGTACTTCTTCTTGACAACACTTGGCTTGACTCCAAGTTTGATCAATGGCGAAAGGAATGGTTGATTATCGTTTGGCAATCGGCCTGATGGTGTCTATATATGATTGATCATAATGGTTAGTGAGTGAGATGGAATGCCAATGGAGTGGGTTATATAACATACATTGATGGTCGTGTAAAGGTTGTAAAAGATGCTCTTGAGCAATCTGTCCTTGCGTTGGTTGTCAATGTAGTGAGTCTTGTCAATGGATGAGTTGCAGCAACTGACAAAGGTTGGGATAATTCCATTCTCTTGGTTCTCTGGATCGCTAACGTCCACACATGATGTCTTCATCAGGTCGTAAAGGGTAAGGTATCGCACCATAAAGTCCTGTATGATCAACTCCCAAGGGAACACCTGGAGACTCTTTGAGCAGATAAAGATCATTGGCGAGGTTGAGATGTTTGTCGCTGGCAGGGTGGCTGCTGACATTGTTGCCTCTGACGTCTTGGAGTTGCCAAAGAACACAAATGACCTGGTCTTCTTGGCATTGGCAGCTGCTGTTGCTGCCGCCTGCGACTTGTGGGCCTCTGTGTCTGATTTCTCTGTGGGCAGTATCTCAAACAGCGAACCAAAGACTGAGCGTCTGAGATCGTTAACAATCTTCTTGCGATCAATGTCCTCTTGTGTGACCTCCTTGGATGAGGTGAGCGACAAGAGTGAGAGCAACGATGTCAGGGTGTCGGGCTTGAATGCAATGGCCTGATCATTGACGTCCTCTGACGATGTGGTCAGAGGGCTGTCCAATGCACGACTGCTGCAACTCTTCTTCTCCTCACCACTGTTGACAAAGAGTGAGAGTTGTAGCGCATTCCTCTCGGTGCACTCATTCATCTCCCTCTGTGAGAACACCTTGCTGAGTGGAACATTGAGTTGATCGAATGACATGTAGCCCTTGGCGTGTGCCGGTCCTCCTCTGGTCATGCGCTTTGCCAAAGAGATGAGTGACAGCTGGTCCTTGGTGTACACCTTCCTGCCCTGTGAGGCGCCCACACTGTAGCTTCGGTTGTGTGGCTCGGACTGTGCAGCTGCCGCGGCAGCCGCCACCTTGTCGTAGGTGGCGCCGCCCGATGGTAGTATGGGCTGAGTGTTGGTGTGCTGGTGGTGGACCTCTGAGCCTGCGCCGTCGACTGTCTCGATTGCTGTGGGTGGTCCAATGATTGAGTTCAAGAATCCAACGAGCTCGTTATGGAAGTTTGTCGTCTTCTCTATGAATCGTGGGGCAGACTTGAGGGCGTTGTGTGTGTTCCTGCTGAATGAGCCAAGGAAGCCCTTCTTCTTGGGGTCTGCAGCCTGCGCGCCGTCCACCGCCCAGTAGGGTCGGTTGCAGAGGGTGTACAACACCTTGTCCAGTGTGATCTGAGGGCTGACCATGAATGACACCTTCTCCTTGGGATTGGAAAGAAGCATGATGTCCAGATAGACCATGTTGGTGCAGGGCTGCATCGTATCCAACTCCTCCATGCCACCAATTCTGTTCAATCTCTTGCGTCCACTGTGCGGTAGATAGTGAATAAAGTAGTTGTCGACCTGTAGAGAGTACACCAGCTTCTGAAGCGAGGCGTTGATCTTGGCCTGCGCCGTTGTGAATGACAACTCCTCATACTTTGTGGAAAGGTCGCGTCTATTTGCTCCAAACACTGCGGTGGTGGTTGTGGACGATGCGTTGGAGGGTGTTCGTGTGCGGCCCATCAAAGCCTCGTGAGATGGTGATTGTGACTGAGTGATCTTGGGGCTAGCATTACCACTGCTACTGCTGTTGCCGGAAGCCTGTTGCTGACGGAACAATGATGCCAGACTGTTTGAACTCTGGAGCATGGGGATGTTGGGTGAGCCTGGCGATGAGGGGGTCGCAGCTGGGGCACTCTGGCTGATCACTAGATGATTCTTGTACGCCTGGTGGATGGCCAGGATGTGCTTGATCGTGACCTTGCATCGTGTGGACAGATCGTCCTGGTTGATCTTGCCGATTGAGTACTTCCTGATCTCATTCTTGATGTAGTGCAGTGCACCCCACAGCTTCTCGCCAACGTCGTCTCCTGTCTTGACTGGACGCTCCTCTGGCCTGGTGCGCTCACAGAACGGTTGCTTGGGGATACTGAGCGTATGGACGGAGAAGTCCATCGAGATGGCGGCAGTCATCTCTGTCTTGCGCTTGATGTTGCGACCCAGTGTCAATGACTTGCCCAGGTAGGGGATGTAGATCTTGCCAATCATAGGGTTGGCATCATATGAGATTGGTCGGTTGGGGTTGATGGGACGCTTGCGTGCTTGGGCAATGTCAATCTCGAGCGAGAGGTAGCTGTCCACGAGCATCAGGTTCTTATTGATAAAGTCCTGATCAAAGGCAAAGAGGAATCGTATCATTCGCTTGCATGATTCAAACACCTTCTTGAGGAAGTGTAGTGGCGCGCTCTTGCCGATAAAGTGTGGTCCATCGCAAAAGAGCGTGTAGAAGAGGTTGCGCGCCTCGGTCCAATATGAGATGGCCAGATCTCGGTCGCCCTGCAAGAAGCGCAGCTCGGCCATGTTCATATAGGTGCGTAGCAACTGGAGTATGTTGCATGTGTTGATGTTGACGTCCATGGCCACGGTTGATGGGTTCTCTATCATGTCCAGCGTGATGTAAAAGTCACCAGACGCAGGTTTGACGGCAGCTGTATCAGCTTCAGCCGCAGCCTTGGCCTTGCCACGCTTGTGCTTGTCGTCTTGTTGCTGCTGCTCACTGTCTCTTTGCATGAAGATCGATAGGTTGAAGATGGAGAGGCGTGCAACATCATCGAATGGATAGTGATGTAGGGCGACGGGTGCGAACAAACGATCCAGGTACAATTCTGCAATGTGGCTGACGGTCTTTTGGATCTTGACATCGTCACCCGTGCTCTTGAAGTAGTTGTAGGCGCGCTTGAAGCTTGCAATTCCCTCCTGGAGCAGGTCGCCCGTGGATGTGTAGTTGGTCAGCTGGGAGGAGTCGATAAAGTCACGCCACTCTTCTCCGGATGGCCGCAAGTTTGTGGGGAATGTGATCAACGTGGCGTTACACAGCTGGATGAGGCGTTGGAATATCTTGCCACGAGTGTAGAAGTACTGGCCACGAGCGTTGAGTGAACTTAGTGGACATATCTCGATGGCGCACTCAATGCACAGCAAGGCCTCTGCAAACTTGTTGGCCGCGAGGTAGTTGAGACAGTTCAGCACCCAATAGTTGAGGTTGCGGTCGCTCTTGTTGCCGCCACTGCCGCCGCCAGCAGCGCCCGATTGGCTGGCACTCTTGTTGGTGAACGCGGTGATTGGCGCGCCCTTGAGGATGCCGAGTTTGAGTGCAGCGTGTTGAGTTTGAGCTCCGCTCTCCTCGGCCGACGAATCGAGCTGATTGAGCACGTTGGTGCACTCATCAAACATCTCCATCTTGGTGTAGGCCTTGGCCAGCAGGAAGAACAGGGAGTTCTGTTTGCCATGTGGCAGTGTGTGGCGACGCATGGTCATAAGCAGCTCGAGACCCTTCTCAAAGTGATAGCTCTCCAGATACAGATTGATCAACTTCATGTGCAGTTGGAAGAAGATTGGGTTGTCATACTTGGGTGACTCGACCAGGTTCTTGCTGATTGATGCCGGGTCACCGGGGCCGATGGGATGCGCCGCGACTGTGGACTGCGACGAGGTCGACTTATGAAGGATGAGAAGCACCACCTTGAGGTACTCCTCACACTGCTTATAGTTGCCGAGTTCGCGATGCATTGAGCTGATCACCTCGCAGATGTAGACGATCTCGTTGGTCTTGGACTGTGGGTCGCTCTCAAGGTAACCATTCAGCACTTGTTTGAAGTAGTAGATCGCGGAGTTGATGTCATCGTTCTCGCGAGCCAAGGTGGCCACCTTGCTCAGTAGTGACAGGTACTCCTTGCGCTTCTTGCGTATGTTGAGATTGAGCAATGCATTGTCAAAGCTGACGATGGCGTATTGGTACTTGTAGTTGTCAAGCAACACGCTCGCGTAGCTGAAGGATGCATTGCCGGCTAGTTCGGAAAGGACAAGCGGCAGTCCGACCACAGGCTGTTTGCATCGATCCACAATGTACAGACACTCAAAGAACAGCTTCTCAGCCAGAGCAAGCTCGCTGTTGTCCACGGCGTGAAGGCCCAATGCATAGGCCGCCTTGGCCTTTAGGAAGTTGGTGGCGGGAAGCTCTGTGTACAGCTTGGTCAGAAGGGCCATGCGATGATTGGCATCGAGTAGCTGAACAAACTGGGCGTCGACATTGACGCTGGTGGCTGGTTTGTCAGAGAGTCGAGCGGTCGTCAGAGGTGAGATGCCATTGACGTGGAAGTGTACGTCTATGAGGGCCTTGACCATGGCGCTCTTGAGGCCAATCTCCAGATAGTCCTTGTACTTGGCGTCTGCTTGCTGTTGCTGCTGCTGTTTGAGTGCGCACTGTGTGTACACGCGCAGGAACACGTTCAGAGGGTTGACCTTCTCCTCCTCGCTTCCGGCAAACTCCTCGGGGCGCGTCCGCAGCTCGGGCTCCTCAAGGTCAGAGTCACTGTTGTCATTGTCGCTGTCCGAGTCACCTGATGAGCACTTGTGATGTAAATGATGTGAATAGGTCTCGGCGGCCATCAGCTCGACGTGTGCTGCGTTGGACGCCGACAGGTTCTTGAGGCCCTGACACATATGGCGGAACGACGAGTCCTCCTCGGCGCGCCACAGCTTGGCAGCAAGATAGAGCATCTGAAGTGCATAGTGGTATGTGGCATCCCTCTCATCTATCTCCATTGATGCCCTTCTTGATGATTGTCGCGGCGATGCAGGTGGCCGCAGCAGTGAGGTTTGGGTGGTTGTGGGCGTCAGTCGACCTGCGGTTGGACGCACGAGTGGCGATGAGTTGCCACCACAGTCGCGCAGCGCCAGGAAGAACTCATGAACGCTGTCCCAACACGGCTCGTCATAGTCAAAGATGTGCAGTGTGTAGCAGAACTCCAGGTTCATCTGTGTCCATTTCTTGAGGTTGTTCTTCACCTTGGTGGACTCGAGCGTGAACTCGTTGCGAAGCTCCTCAAGCGCTGCCTTCTTGGGGAGCACGCGCAGGGCCATGTCAGCGCCATCGAGGTGTTTGATGACGAGGCCAGAGAGCCACTGCGAAAGGGCCTCCTCATGCATGAATGGATGGCCGTCTGGTGTGTTCATCGAGTAAAGGTAGGAAGGCTTGGGGTACTTGACAATCTCAAACGTCTGATTGTTGACACCCTCAATCAGTTTGTAGTGCGATGGCATCCTGTCCTTGTTGGGCGCGACGTTTGGTGCCTGGCCAGCCAGTTGCAACACCGGCCGACTATCCTCCTCGACGTCAAGACCCAGCTCTGCATCCCAGTCCTCTTCGTCCGACTCAAAGTCCTGTGTCGACGTCGCCTTTGTCGTGTCCTGTACCTGTATGATTGGCTTCTGTTGTTGCTGTTTCAAGTGTACAATTGTATCGCGATAGAGTTGGACGCACTCGTTGTATAGTGCGCCATGTTGTTGACGTGCTGCAGTAGCGTCCAGGTGTATGGCGCCAAAAGATCGTTGTGCTGCTTGCACGGCCAGATCGTGCTCCTCCATCATCTTGAGTGACTTTGCCAACTGGAGACATCCATTGGCCAGTGAGTGTACAAGTGAAGCCTCTCCTGCCACTGTCTTCTTCAAGTCGACCTGCTTGCAGTCTTTGTTGTGTAGATGTTGCTGTGTGCATGGCGTAAAGAGAATGGCGCGAATGGCGCTCTCAAAGTGGCGTGCCGCATATATTGGTGTTTCGGTGGCCAGATAGCACATGCCCAGTTCAACGTTGATCTTCTGCTGCATGGCCGCCAAGTCGCAACGCGCAATACACAGTTCCAGTGCCTTTTTGAGATACTCTGTCGTGTTGAAGATGTTGGCCATGGCCTTGTAGGCCAGCCCCAGTTGGTAGTACAGGTTGAGTTCGTACAGTGTCTGTGTGTCGTCGAGTGGCGCCGCATCAAAGTCGTCTTTATGCTCTTGTAATATACGATTAGCTGTTGTGAACTGAGCCGATGCTGCCATTGTCTGTTGATTCGAAGAGTATATCAGACCCAAGTCAAAGTACATCTTTGACAAGTCTACCTTTGCCACGCCAACTCCACCAGTAGCGCGATCAATAACTACATTCTGTGCGTCCAATCTTTTCTTCATCTCTGTTTCTGTGTTGATTGTATTCATTGATGGATTGATTGATTGATTGATTGATTGGGAAGGAGTGAGTGTCAGTATGTGAATGTGGGAGGGTCCACCGTTGAGCTCCTGGCGCGGCAACTGTGTTACCAGACCAGTGGCGGCACAAAGTGAGGACAGACTTACCACTTAGTACTTTGAGTTCATTGAGTGGAGGTGTCTTTACATCGATGGTCTGGTGTGATTCATTAAGTTCTACATGTCCAGGGCCAACTAGAGGTGGGGAGGGCAATGAGGGGTCAGTGAGTGCCAGATGCAACATCCTCACTTCGGATCTTACAATTAATACATGATATCAGTTCGGATACAGTTGCCAATAGTTTGGCATCTAGTGTGGATGTCGTCCTGCTTCCAAATGGAATGGACTTGCTACCAGACATGCTGCCACTGCTGGTATTGTGATGATGGTGAATGGATGTGCTGCTGGTGATGTTCGGTTTGCCAGTCATGCTGATGCTAATATTGATGTTGTTGCCAGGTTTGCCGAGTCCACTTGCGGTGATACTTGGCATTGACGCTGGAATGCCCGTTGACGAGCTCTGCTCCGACTCTGAGCTGTCATTGAAGACAAAGTCGTCGTCCCACTCGGTCTTGACTGTGGGATCCGCGCGGATACCCAAGATCTTCATCTGTGGCTGTAGTGTCGCGGCAGACAGTGGCGACTTGATGCTCGTGGCAAAGTCTGCGTCCCAGTCATCATCGTCGTCCTGTTGTGTCTTGGGTTTGGGGATGCTGGTGCTGCTCACGCCACTTGTGGCGGTGCGACCAGAGGATGCCACGGGGTTGACGACGGCATCCCAGTCGTCATCGTCCTCGACATCGCCATCGTCGAATCCAAAGTCGCTCGAACCACTCTTTGGCGATGAGGATATAGTTGTTGCGGGACCACCAACACCACGAGAAGTGGTAGTCGTCGCCGATGACAATGCTGGTGACACTGGCAAGAACTTCTTTGACAGATTACCAATAGTCAACTTGCGCTGCAGTGACAAATGTATAGTTGGATGATCATTGCTATTATTATCGAATCCAAACTCATCGTCCCAATTATCATCATCGTCATTGGCCATCTATATATTATATTATATTATTACTATTACTACTACTACTATTGTTATTGTTGTTTTTGAATTGTACAAATGAATGAATGAGAGTGAATGAGTTGAGTCTCACACTTGATTCTTTTTGTTGGAGATTGAATGAATGAGTGAGTGATGTTCCTTATTTGAATGTAATAATAATATATATATTTTTTATTTATTTATACATACATATATATAACAAATAATAATAAATAATATCGTGTAGCGAACAAATATGATATGATATTTTTGAAGGTTTGATAAATGTGTACAAACTTGTGTGAAGCCAGTGTTTTTGATCAAAAACTTTTAAAAGCAAGCCCCGATCGGTCTTTTTGATAATCAAATTGGATTGTTGAAGGGGGTCTGGTCCAGATCAGAATGCAAACAATCTTTGATTCAGATACATTCACACACTCACAAACACACATATTCAAACACACGATCAAAGACGAAAGTGATCACGTTTGACAGAACACAAACACACACATAAATATACATGTTCACACATACACATACACACTCACATATGATAAATTGACAACTAGTTGACCATTGATAATGAATGAATAATGATTGAGATGGTGGATGTCCACATGGATGGATGGATGGATGTCGGCATCGTGATGAAGAGATGGAATTGTACAACACATCACACATTACTATAAACTACTAATCTTACCATTTCAGTTGAAAAGACCGACCAAGTTTAAAGAAGAAATCATTACAATGATGGAGTCGATTCCATCGCCATCGCCCGCTCCAGCACCAGTCGTAGCGCCAATATACTCGGACGCCAGCGGCCAAAGTACTCAATCAATGTTCACAAGTAATGACAGTATACCTAATATATTCTTTGGCAAAGGCCCGATAAAGTCAAGATTAAAGACATTTGGACATATGTGTAAGCGACAGCGCACTTTGGAAGAGTACCTACAAGTGACTCAGACAACTCCAGAAGTACCCCTGGCCAAAGAGCACGACCTCTCTACCACATCCACCTCGGAGCCGATGGTCACACATCAACCTCACCTTCGCAAATGTCTCAACTTATTCGATCTCCTTGCATTTGGTGTTGGCTCAATCATTGGCTCAGGTATCTTTGTGTTGACAGGTGTGGCAGCACGCGACTATGCTGGCCCCGCCGTCATCTTTTCATTCCTGGCATCTGGATTTGCATGTTGTCTATCAGGTCTGTCCTATGCCGAGTTTGCCACTCGTGTGCCAGTCTCTGGATCAACATACAGTTACTCATACATTGTTGTTGGCGAGATGGTTGCATGGATCATTGGTTGGGATCTCACACTAGAGTATATGATAGCCAGCGCGACAGTGGCACGAGGCTGGAGTGGCTATCTCAATCAGTTGATCAAATCATTTGGAGGCTCAGTGCCGCATCCACTCGACCCATACTACATCAGTGATAGTATATCAATTGATTTAATTGCCATGCTATCTGTATTGGTGTTGACTGCAGTCGTTGCCTTTGGAATGAAGGAATCAGCTCGATTCAACAAAGTATTCGTCGTGGTCAAGATCATCGTAGTACTCTTTGTCATCATCGCCGGTTCATTCAAGACCAACACAAACAACTGGACACCATTCACTCCATTTGGTATCCGTGGTATTTTCAATGCTGCAGCCATCACATGTATGTTTGTTTCCAGGAACGTCATGTGAAGTCCATCCTCTAACCATTACCCTTACCCTCACCCTCGCCCTCGCCCTCGCCCTCATGACTTAGTCTTTGCCTACCTTGGGTTTGACTCTATATGTAATGTGGCTGAGGAGGTAGAGAAGCCTCAGAGGGACATACCCATTGGTATCCTTGGATCACTTGGCATCTCCACAGCACTCTACTTTAGTGTCAGTGTCGTGATCACACTAATGGTCAAGTACAGCGATATGTATGTGTTATGTACCCTCTCAATCAATCAATCAATCACTAACTCTTTGATCACGTTATCATTGTAGGGATGTCAATGCACCTTTATCAGCAGCGTTTGCATCATATGGGTGGAAGTGGGCAGAGGTGATTGTGGCTGTTGGTGCATTTGCAGGTTTGACTACGGCACAACTTGGTGGATTGATCAGTCAGCCAAGATTATATTATTCACTGAGTAGGGATGGATTGCTACCAAAGATCTTCTCATATATACATCCCAGGTTCAAGACACCATTCTTTTCAACATGGCTAACAGGAATATGTGCATCAATCATTGCACTATTCTTTGATATCAAAGTATTGGCTGACATGGTATCCATTGGAACACTCCTATCCTTCACCCTAGTGTGCGCATGTGTATTGGCCAAGAGATATCCAGTCCTCAAGGATCGAAAGGACTCAAATGGTATGTTATGTGGTAGTGGTGGAACTATTCCATCCGTCAATCAATCACTCATATTCATACCATCCACCACCATTAGCCAGATGGATTGTCAAGTACTTGCCAGCAGTGTTGCAACGTCCTATTTACTTGTGTATTGTTATTGCAATCTTTGCAGCGATATGTTCGGCTGGATATATACATTATATGCATTGGTCAGTCAGTCTGGTGTTTGGAGTGCTTGGATTGATACCCAGTATAACCATCTTCTTCTTGGTACCCTGTGATATACCCGTTGGCTTCAAATGTCCTCTCGTGCCACTCGTACCCATACTTGGCATCTGGGTCAATGTCTACTTGATGATGTCACTCAGTTGGCAGACCTGGATCAGACTAGTGGTCTGGCTGTTCATTGGCCTGCTCATTTACATATTCTACGGTCAGAAGCATAGCAATGCTGGACGATACATCCAGATGAACACCTTTGGCAACACCAGCCCCGGCGACGACTTCTCAGACGACATGGACGACAAACTGGGTGACACACCTCAAGACAAGCTGGCTGATGGAGATCCGACCACTGCCAATGCCAACGCAATGTTGTTGCCCGAGGCAGGACTCGGTCTGGACCAACAGAATGAGTTACTAGTGTCTTCAGCGTCAGAGTCAGAGAACTCACCAACATCATCATACTCATCGGATATCATGGACGACGAAGAAGACCAACTCGACGACCACGGCAACATCCTACAAAGAAGGAATGTAATAGTAACCTACAGGGTCACTGGAGGTGGAGAGGGCAATGATGGCAGGACGACGCCACCGCCACCTCCGCACCCGTGAAGCCTGTGCACAAGGCAAGCAAGATATGTAATACAAGGGGGGAGGTTTATCTAAGTAGGGTTGCATTTAAATACGGATGTGGATGGGGATGTGGACGGGATTAACAGATGCCGCAGCACTGTCGGCTCTGCTTGGCGGCGTTTTCTTTTGGCAGCAGAGGTGTCTGGTCCTGGTTGATGGACTGATCGTGTGAGTCGAGCTGGCTCTGCAGGTAGCGGTTGAGGTTGGTCTGGTTTTGAAGCTTGCTGTTGACATCCTCGAGGTCGGCGCGCAACTGCTTGATCTCTTCCTGTTGATTGTTGAGTTCTTGCTCGCTGCCAATGCTCTCGTACTTGGCCAAGCGTGTCTTGAGTGCCTTTGACTCCTTGAGCAGTTTGTCGAGCTCGGTCAATGTCTTGTTGTGCTCTTGCTTCAGAGCCTCGTGTGTGTTGAGCTKGCTCGGCATAGCGCTCCTTAAGCAGATTGATCTCCTGAATGCCCTGGCCGCACTGATACTCGAGTACGCGACTCCTCTCATCAAGCTTCTGTCCATTGGCCTTGAGTGACTCATTCTCGCGCCTCAGTTCATCGACAACACTGTCGTTGGCAACCGATGCCAGAGCCTGGCGGGCCTCTTTGTCCGATCGTTCAAGCTTCTCCTTGTATCTTAGCAGGTCCTTCTCAAGCTGATCCTTCACACTGGTGAGGCTGTTGACCTGGCCCTGCAGTTGGACAATCGAGTCAAAGGCAGCGTTGTTCTCTGAAGCTGGGTTGAGCGATGGCAGGTCTGGAGAGGCGATCTCGTGGCTGCTGGTCACAGGCGAGAACGATCCAGACTCTCTCTTGAGCGCTGTGTTCTCGTCGAGCAACGATGTGTTCTTCTGGGCCAACTCCTCGATCCTCTGCTTCAGCAGCGACAGCTCGCCCTGTGTCTGCTCGGCCTTGATGTGAACTGGGTCAATTGGCTGAGGCAAGTTGATGCTGTTCTGTTGGGTGCTCTTGAGGGAGCTGTTCTCTTCCTCGAGACGTGTCGTCTGTTGTGTCAGCTCCTTGATCCTGCTCTGCAACTGATCTACAGTCTGGTTTGTCTGCTCCAACGATTCGACGCTCAGAGAGAACGTCTCGTTGATTTGCTTGAGCTGGAAGTTCTGTAGCTCGACCTGAACCAGCTGCTTGGACAACTCGTCGTACTTGGCCTTCCAATCGTTATTTGAGTGAGTGTCATTGTCATCCTTTCCTCTGCCTCCAAGCATGCGCGACCTTCCATTGCCATTTAGATCGATTGAGATGCCTTGAGTTGGTGTGTTCTGTGGCGTGTAGGCACTTTGGGAAGGTGTGTTCTGTGGCGTGAAGGCCTGGCCATTCGTGTGTGTCGAGTCCTCAAGACCGGGAGTGCCCAGTCTGTTGACGACCTGCTGCTCCAACTCGCTGAGCAGTGACAGCTTGTAGCTCGAGTCAGAGTTGTGATTCTTGGACTGTATCTCCTCGATCGTCGAGCGCAGCTTGTGGATGATCTGATTTGACGAGTCGAGCAGCTGCTTCTGATCCTTGTTCTGCTTTTTCAAAAGATGGCCCTCATCGCTTAGCAGCTTGACCTCCTCATTGGCCTTGCTGACCTCCTTCTCCAGACGCTCCTTGAGCATATCCATCTCGACCTTGAGATGCTCAAGCTCAGACAGTGGCACGGACTGCGAGGCGGTGGCGCGGGCGGCCAACTGTGTCTCGAGCGTTGCGACGCGATCCTGAGTCGTCGACAGGTTGTTGGACGAGACGTCGAGCTTGGCACTCAGCGACTCGCGGTCTGACCTGAGTCTTCTGTACAGGTGGCTCAACTCGTTCTTTGCATCGATGCTGTCCTGCAGCTGCTTCTTGAGCATCTCGATCGACTCCTCTAGCAGCTTGTTGTGCGACGCCAGCTTCTGGTTCTGGATCAGCGTCTTCTTGCCAATGACGACCGACTTTTTGAGCTGGGCATTGTCCTCGGAGAGCTTGTCGTGCGACTCCTTGACCTCGCGCAGCTGGCCCTCCACCATGTTGATCTTGGTGCCCAGATGCAGGTTGACCGACTTGAGATGCGCCTCCTTCTCCTTGAGCTTGTCGACGACCTCTGGGTCTTCCACGACGTTGGTGAACTCCTCGATCTCCTTGTGATTGAACAGGTCTGTGCGCTTCTTTATCATCTGCACGATTGAGACGGGTGCGTACCAGCTGGAGCGCGCCGATCGCAGGCTGCGACGTCTTGATGACGACGACGAGAAGGTCGAGAAGCTTGACAAGTCTGGTTGGTCGACGATCTCCTCGAATGAAGAGTTGTTCTCGTCGTTGTGGTGGTGGTGTTGGTCGTCGCCATGTCCACTGTGGAGGTTTGGCATGCTGTTGCTGAGGAGCAGCGACTCGACACTGTTGTTGCGGTGATGATGTTGCTGATGTTGGCCAGTCGCTGAAGGGAGAGTGTTGTCGTCAGACTCGTCGTCGTCGGCGGGTGAGTTGTTCATATGCTCAATGGTGCTCATGAACTGGCTGAATGATATAGAGTTGCGTTTGCCCGACTCGCTCAACAAGTCCACAATATAATCAATGTCCTCATCCTCTCCCTCCTCTATTCCACTCTTTGCCTTGATATCAATCAACATCTCTCTCAACTGTTCCTTATTAACAGCTCCATCTCCATCCTTATCGAATGAATTGAATATAGATCTAATATAGTTCTCATAATCCTCTGGTGATGGTTGCTATTGTTGTTTTATGTTAGTATTCATTCATTCAATCATTCATTCCATCAATCAAACAACATACCTGTGCAGCATCAGCAGTTGAAGAGTTTAACAAAGCTTCAATCTTCTCTTCATCGACTGGTGCACCAGAGTCATCTATGTTGTTGCTATCATTGATCAATAGTTCAGGATGTATCATGTCATAACCTTTGATAAACTCTTGCAATGCCACTTTTCCATCATTATCACTGTCCAAAGCCTTCATCAGAGCGTCTAATTCATCCTCTTCCAATCCCTATCATATCACATAGTATTGTTAGTATTCAATCAATGATTGGTACCAATCAATCATTATGATACATACAGTTGTAGTGATCTTTGATACTAGCATCCTCAATTGATTCTTGTCGATGAAGCCACTACCATTGGTATCGCACTCATTAAAGATACTCTCAAGATGTTGGAGTTGTTCTTTGTTCATCTTTTACTTGCTTGCTTGCTTGTTGTCTTGCTTGCTAGCTTGATTAGCTTGGTTGGTTGGTTGGTTGTGTATGTGTGTGGATGGAGAGCTAGGTTGTTGCAAACAAAGATGTGTTGTGCAAAGATGTTTGTGTGAGATTGGCTGTCTATCTGTCTGTGTATATCTGCGTGTGTGTGTGTGTGTGTGTGTGTGTGTGTGTGTGTGTGTGTGTGTGTGTGTGTGATTGATTGATTGATGACGTACAGGCTTCACTAACCTGATTGATGACTTTATTATTATGATCACAATAAAAGATATATAAAGATTAAAGTCTTTATAATTATATATATATGTCTGTCTGTGTCTACTACTAAATGTTGACTTGACTCTCTGAGGGTGCTATCCACAATCCATCAAAACAATGATATCCTCAAAAATCTGGGTTTCAGTTCCCCCTCCAAACTAAGATACTTCACTTGACAATTCCTGATTGATTTCGAACTTCAGATTGATTACAAATCAACTAACCAAACTTGTGAGAATAAGTTATTGCACATATGATGAGAAGTGATGATCATTAGGAATAATAATAATAAGTAATAAGTATTATAATTATATTTATATTCCAAAGTGATAATGGAGTCGATAAAAAAGTTCAATAATCAACTTTGTACTTTGATCAATCATGATGTGATACATGTTGTTGACAATGAGTCTCAATCACCAGACATTGAAGTTGAAACCAACAATGTTATTACATCAGTCGAACTCAATCACATTCGAAATCAATTGCATCACACTGTGGACATCATCAATGAGTTTCCATTGCTTGCCAAAGTATGTTATATAAGATTGATTGAATGAATGAATCATGCTAACTCATAAGTCCATCCATCATACATATATTAGTTGTTCATTAGAATACCTGCCATCAGAAATGTTATCAATGAGATGATTACGGCTATCACTTTTGTTACAACTTCCAACTCTTGTAGACATGATGATCAACTTATGATTGTTAACTTTAGACAACTATCTTCAATGACTGGAATTAGGATATCATTGTTTCAATTGACATCCGCTCTATTATCAATGGCATCATCAGTCGATAGAGTTGAATGGAGGAATGTACAATACGATTATCGGCTTCTATTTGAAACATCATTCCTAGATATCTTGATCGATCACTATGACCTAAATATCAATCAAGTCGTCGACGACGACAATACACAGATGATGAAGTCAATAATCGATCAATACTCGAGATATATCATTGTAGCAATCAATACAATGATTGATAATAGACAAGAATACTTTATGTTTGGTCTTAACAACGATTTGTTGAGATCATACAACAACATCTGTTCAGTATTTGGTGCACAACGAGTTGATCAGAGGCTAAGTGATTGGTTCCTCTCTTGCCAATCTCCCATCGATGCCACGCCCCAAGAGGCCCTGAGGACCACACACTGCAAACTGTCCTATCTATTGATGATTCAAGACAAGCATCACTCCCAGCTGCTTCTCAACAACAAACAACTTATATTCGAGTAAGTAGCTTGAGACATTCCATTGTCAAATGGAAACCCTCGCCTAACCCTCGCCCTAACCCTTGCCCTAACCCTCGCCCTTAGTTTCATATTAACAATATTTAACAAATGGTATCACATCCAACTGGCCGATGACTCAATGTACAGGCTCAATGACATTATGGAAGTGGTGCTGGACAAGGATAACATAGAGCAACAAAGACAATTGTCGTTATTCTTTGAGAATGACAAGACTCCACTCAAAAGTGCCGAGTTGCTAATTCTCCACTCTCCTCAATTAGAGTATACCTTCAACAAGTATTTCAAACAATCCGATGGTCGGATTATACGCGGTCAGCACAATCTCAATATTTGGAGCTCAGTTATCAAGAAGATGGGTCCATTATTCGTCAAGATCTACGACCAGCACGAGAACTTCATCAATTCAAGAATGCGACCTCTGGTCCCAATGGGATGGTCATTTTTGGGTCTCCTGGATGGGATCACCAGTTGCTTCAAGGCGGCAGAGCAGCCGCTCCCCACATCGTTGGTGGACAGACTCAACCTAATAACCCTACAAGAAGTTTCCAGATCAACAGTTCCTGGATGGGAGTGTTACACGGAACTTATTTCCAGAGGAATGATTGGTGTGTTTGAGAGCACGCGCATTGACAAGTTCCTTCAAATCGGCTTGTTGTATCTGATTTGGCAGCGTCAAGAGGATCACTACCCATTCAATGAGTACGTGATCAATAACTACCCATTGCAGATCAAGACATTGTTGGATGGCTTGCTCCCAAACCCAAGACGAGACATTCTCAACATCGACCTACTCATCAAGTGTTGTCAACGATCAATGATTGATCAAGGACAAACACTCATGGTTTTATTGGGCTCCATTAGACTTGATCAATCATCATGGGCAATGATCATCAATGCATGTCCAAATCAAACAGAGGCCTGGACTATTGTCATCGACACTGTATTTAGTCAGGACTTTCATGTTGTAAAGTGGACCGATGTCTTTGAACTTAACGACTATCTATTGTGTGCTGTTGAATGTGACCAAGGCATTGACATCAATATCCATGTGCACCGCTTCCTAAAGCATGCATATTGCCTTCAAGCCATTGGATTCAATCGATTCAAACATTGCCAACACATGTTACTTGGCCATTGTAATCAACAGCTAGTAGGTCTCTTCAAAGAGTTCAAGAAGACTCAACTGATCATCACAAAACGGCCACAACCTCACATGTCTTGGCACACACTTCCACCACTCATCATCAATAAGATTATTGATGAATGCATTCTTGGCTATGGGGAGACAATCAATCAATCATGGGTGGTGTCATTGGCCATGGTTTGCAAGACCATTCACAAGGCATGTGCATCGACAATCACACACACTCCACTTCCAATTAAACTACGTACATCATTAGATCACATTGGATCACGATTCTGTCTGTTCCAAGACACACCACTTCAACTTGATGCCACGGATCTGGTGCACATACCAATCAATCATCTACCGCGTTCTATTGAACGCCTGACCAATCTGATTGTTTTGTTCACCAATGACTCGATACTGCAACTTGATGAAACATACAAGCCACCATCATTCATCCAGGTCAATGGCGCCAAACACCTACAACATATAACATTCATCGAGCATCACTTTACAGAAACTGAGATATCGAGACTGGAAATTAATTCTTGTCAATACTTTAGCATTCAAAGTCACAAAGATGATGGTGATGGTGATAATGATAATCAACAACAATATTATTTAATCCAACGAATGTACCAATACTACATTCAAGATCAGCCAAGCTTGAAATCAATCGATTATCGTATGTTCTCAATCGTCGATCCACTCGGCAACATCATGGACACTGGACACCACCACCACCTCAATGTTAGGAGACATTACAACAACAACCATCAATTTATGAACAAAGGCAAGGTACTCTTACCAACTCATTTGGACTCAATTAGATTGAATAGCTTTCATTATCTAGATTGTTTGGAATATATTGGCTTCAACAACAACTACAGTTATGTTGACGAACTGGTCATCGCACTGCCCAAGCCTGATAGTAATATTTTTTATGCCTTTGAACAGCAAGAACAATTGAAATATCTACATCAGTTCTATGTAAATAGGAATAATTCCAGACCATTCAAGATCTCAATGGATGTTAGAGATTTGAGTGATATCCATACATTACTACCAAGTTGTTCAACACCAATAACATCATTGACAATTAGACTTACTAATATACAATCTATTATTAAGAGACAGGTCCAAGGATCACTTTACACCGACCTTTCCAGCTTGGCTACACAACTCAATGATTCAAAAATATTTAGTTCATTAACATCATTATCAATCAACATTATAGTTGTTAACAATGTCATTCCACTTAGCCATGTGGTTCTCTCAATGATGACACTACCATCACTTCAACATCCAATGATTATCCCATAAATAAACAAGTTGATGTTGTGTGGGTTACACAGTTGTTGCGCGACATTGGGCCTACTTTGATATTAATGAAGTTGAACATGTTAGGATCATTCATTTATTGTTGAGTCGGACTTAATATTTGTATAGATATATATATAGAGAGTAATATGGCAGCATCAAAGAAGACTATTATATTGTATGGTGACATGATGTCACAGCCATGTCGTGCAGTGTCATGGGTTCTCACCTTTGGTGGCATCGAGCACAAGATGCAGTTGACAAGGATTATGAATGCCGATCACAGGACACCAGAGTACAAGAAGATGTATGTGTCATCACCTGAATGAACGAACCATCAAACAAGACAAGACCTGACATGTTCACATACAGCAACCCATTCTGCAAGATACCAACATTGCAAGTTGATGATCAATATGTTTGGGAGTCACATGCACAGATGCGTCTGTTGTGTGATCTTTATAAACAGCAACAGTTGTATCCTGTTGAGCCAATGACTAGGGTCAAGGTTGACAGCTACTTGGATTGGCATCATCATAACATTAGATCGCCATTGTTTGAGTACTTCAAGGTCAAGTTCCTCAAGGTTGGCAATGCCGAGAAGCTGCCACAGCTTGAGGAGGACGTGTCCAAGGCACTGTACCTGTTCCAAAAGTACTGGCTTAGCGAGGATCGCAAGTTCATCACTGGTGACACGGCCACCATCGCCGACATCTCTTGCTTCTGCGAGATCACCCAGCTGTGGCTAGTCAAGTTTGACCTTTCCAAGTTTCCACTTATCAAGCGATGGATGATGGACATGGAGCAAGTCAAAGGATTCAAAGAATCACATGCCATCATCTACAGAGCATTGGCCAAATTATAAAGAGATAGTTAGGTTAGTTGTACACATTCAATCAAAAATCAATGGCGTTATAATGACTAATGGACAATGATTGATTGATTGATTGATTGATAGAATGATTGATGGTATGGCCGGCGGACAAGCCTGAATGAATCAATCAATCAATCGTGGTCGAATCAACAATGTCCAGTGTTGGCAATGGGCAGCATCACATTGGTAATAATCGATCGACTTTATCAACCATACCCAATCATGGTAATCCCATTCCATTTATCATGTTCCCATACCTCTACTACCACCTACCCTCCCATCCATCCATACCATCCTACCATCCATTATTGAGATAAGGAAGTGCACTCCACTCCTTCTTCCTCTTTCCTTCATTCTCCATTCTCCATTCTCCACTTACACGTATTGATGTAGACAACAAGATTACCACTATCCATCCAGCACTCGACATCCATATCACTGCAACAACCAACACAACATTTATGTTGTTTGTTCACTTGGTACTACAGACTGTAGTACTTCATACACACTAACAAACGAACCCTGGCAGGAAGTACCCCCTACAATGGTTGCCATTCACTACTACTATAACTCAATCGTTAACACACAAGCTTAATCATGTGATGTAGTTGATGTTGATGGGCATCCTGAGGGGTGATCATTCTCCACACACACACTCACACTCACACACTACCACCATTCAATCAATCAATCAATCAATCACATATATACCATATGGTATCAGTGATGGCGCATCCCATCACAAGTGTGTCCGGACACATGGAATAGTCAGTCACTAGCAGTCGGTCAGTCACCGAGCAGGGAGGGAGGGAGGTGATGGTGAACACATCAACCTCAACACACAACATATCTTAACACTACTTAGGTAGTGGTACTCTCTTAATTGTTATTTGTTTGGTGTTTCAGTTGTTGTAATAGTAGTAGGTTAGTCCCATTGATGGTGTGTGTCAGGTGAGGTGAGGTGCGTCAATCCAACATCCACACTCACACACACTACACTCAATATCCATTCATTCACTTCACTATACCTGGGTAGAGAGAAGCATAGCATAGTGATAGTAATTAATTAATTACATACATACATATCCTGGCCCATCAATCAATCAATCACTACACGTACGACGATCAATTAATCAGTTTAAACTACAAGCTGTCCAGTCCGACTTTCACTCGTCCACCAATCAATCAAGCAATCAAGCAATCAATCAATCAATCAAGCAATCAATCAATCTCTTGACCTGAGCCATCTGTTGATCTCAACGGGCAACAGAAGGGACATCTACTACCATTTACCTCACTACTCTTCAAATCAACCTTATATCTTTCACTCTCTCACCATCAATCAACTACTTCTACTACAACTACACTCAATCCAATACAACCAATCAATCAATCTCCAATCTCAATCTAATCTCATATCTCTTTCATTCTCATTCCATACCTTGACATTCAATCATTCAATCATTCACTCATCCAATCAATCAAACAAACAAACTATACGATTGATCAATGATCAGTAGCATAAATATCAACGATTGTTCAAACGTTGGCTTTAAAATGGAGCAGCCACAAGTTAAGGATGGCGCGACAACTACTGTGGATGGAAGACCAAAGAAGGCTCATAAGGATGGAAGACCATCCACACTCAGACGAACAATAAGCACAAAGATACAATCATTCGCCACACTAAGGAAGCAATCCTCTTCATCAACTTCACAGTCAGCCACCAACAAAGCTGGTCCACCACCAGTTGAGCAACAACCAGTCAACTCTCACTCGACACTCAAGCGCACTTATGGTCGCTCCAATACACTCCAGACATCAATGTCCTCCTACGACCTATTTAGTGACCCGTCCTCACCTTCAACAAATAACAACAATACATTGAATAGACGTAGTATCCGACTAACACAACAGATGCGCCTGGAAGAGGTCACCAAGCTGTATGCCCCACTGTCTGGATCCGAGTACCTGTCCAGCTCGTCCACCGATGAGATGATGTATATGCCACCACAGTCCATGAAGCAGATGCCCAGCAAGATGCTGTTGTCGTCTTCTCATACAATGTCATCTTCATATCTTGTGTCCTCCAGTGTCCAATGCCCATCGATTTTTGCCGCTGCAATGGATAAGGACAAGGAGAAGGAGAAGGATTCCCCCATCAGCTCGCCCTCCAGTAGTCCAGTGTTGACGCCGGCCAAGAGTGTCATGGCTTCAGTCCCACAACTCAATCGTTTCAGCTTGTCGGCCTCACCAGTTCAGGTTCGCAAGTCGCCTCCACCAATGACAATGATGGTTCGCGATGATTCATTGGCGTCCACTCCAGTGTCTTCATCACTCACTGGTGGCACTCATCCAGACGATCTTACATTCATCAAGTTTGGCGTCATCAACAACTGTCAGTTCATTTCCAATCGAATGGCTGAATACCTCCAGATCATCAAGTCGCTACCAGACATGTTCATGCTGAGTCATGATATATTATCGACAGAGTATGAATACCTGATCAAGGACACCCGGACAATTATCAATATTTTGGAGCCATTGATGCAGCGTGGCCATAGTGGTAGCTTCATTGGACAGCATCCAGCACATGGTGTGGTGCTGACTGAGGCCATCGTCCAATCAATCACATCGATCACACAATGTATTCAACGAGTGGATAGCGAGTTGAAGCGAAGCAATGTGTCGGAGAAGCGTGTCAACCTGCTCACAATGTTCATCACCGCTGTTAAATACTACTTGGAGTCTGGCGAGGTCTTGGACGTGCCCAAGTCTATCGACTTACAACTTGGCAACTCAACAGGTGAGCTTGAGACCATCTCAGCATCCAAAGACTACGACAATGACTACATTTACAAATCAGGCTACCTTGTCAAAAAGGGTACCAAAGGTCCACTGATCGTCTGGAAGAATCAATGGTTCGTCCTAACAGTTGACCGACTATCAATATATTCGAACGAGAGTGTAAATATCCATCAATCAATCATTATGGAATCATTCCAATAACTAACACGAACACTTAAACAGAAGACAAAGTGTAAACCAAAGAAGGAGATAATGTTAAGCAATATAGTATCGATCGAGCCAACTACAAAGTATGACAATAAGAACTGTTATATTCTAAAGTTGAAGAGTCCAAAGTCAAAGCTGGTGATCAAGGCAAAGACTGAAAAGGAAGGTGCTCATTGGATGTTGGCAATCGACGGACTTCCGCGCAAGAACTTTGAGACCAATCAATCATGCATCAACCTCTACATCAAGGACACACTACTCGAGACCATCAGTAGCAACATGTCCAACAACAGCGTATCCAACACAGACCAACCCATGTCGGGAGGAGTAATCAGATGTAGCAAGGGCGAGGAATGGATTTATCGTGGGGATGGCGAGTTGTACAACTCGGTCGACCTGGATCACGGTGGAGCCAAGGCCAAACAAGTGCGCTACAAGTGGAACGGACAGCAGTTTGTCCCATCAAAGGAGTGCATGAAGAGCTATGGCAATGGAAAGTGGAATGGTGTGCGTCTTGGCTGGTACTTCAACAACACGCTCACTCAGAAGTATCTGTGGCGCCAAGAGTCCAACGAGTACATCAACAACCAGAGCGACGCACTGTCCTACATGTGGACATCACCTCAAGCGCTGCAGTGCAAGCGAGGTGGTGCCTCACAGTGGTATGTGGAGGGCAATGTTCCACCAACCGTAGTCATGTTCCTCCAGTGTCTTCGTCAATGCCGATTGTCACATCTCCAATAAATATTAATATTATTTATTATCATTTACAAATTTGTCCGAGTCATCAATTGAATGTCTTCAAGCTCAATGAATTTGGATGTATTGGGCGGGGCTGGACTAGTAGCGAGACAAGTTCTCGTTCAACTATATGCATATGAATCACATTTCATTCATATGGAATATCAATATCAATTTCCATATAATCGGCATTCTCAGACTTGTCTGGCAGGTGGGACAATTTGATGTGGATGTCGGGTCAATGAACGAACGAGCGAGTTGAAAGTCATTGACTAGATGGACAAAGTTACATCAAGAGTGTAAAAATAGACTATAGAACGACCAAACAATAAATAGTAGTGATGAATAATGTAGACAGGTCAGTCGAAGAGTCAATGACATCAGTTGTTTGCTTGATTGAAGGGGGATGGTCACCCACACTCACACACACCCTCATTCAATCAATCAATCAGATGATAGACACCACTACAATAGTACGATGGGGTATGTTTGATCATCATTACCACACTTGTCCAACCAGGATATTGATATTGTCATATGATATTACATGCGAGTTGGATATGGGATTGGGCATTGTCGGACCTGACAAAGTGTAGAAGATGTTAATGAATAGTTCAAGATTTACTCTGATCAAACATGTATAAAAGGCAATCACTTTGGATTTGAAAAGACATCATTAGTATCAATACAATAACTACTATTACAACTACCTCTACTACTACTACCAACTAAAAAATGACTATTTTGAGTAAGTCCATTCCATTCAATCAATCAATCAATCAATACCCTTCTATTCCAAAAATTTACTAACTCTCAATCTCATCAGGTGCACTTTCAAAGATGAGCCTTTCGACTAGCTCAATCACCAATGCTGCCTTTGGATCATCGTCTGGATCTGCTGGTGGACAAGGTGCCAATGGTGTTTCCTGCGCTTCATGTGGTGGTGGTGGCATGGGTGGTGTTGTCCGTGTTCCATCTCCATGTGGAGGTGGTCTGGGAGGTGGTGCACTCCTCACCCTCAATGGAAACATTGGTCTCAACCTTGGAGGACTCCTCGGAGGTCTCGGACTCGGAGGTCTTCTTGGAGGAGGTGGTGGATGCCACTGCTAAACATGATATGATCAATAAGTTCATGATCATGATCTTTTACAAACCACAAAGTAACACCATCATCAACATTACTTATTCATTAATAAATATAATATTATGAATCAACAATAACATAAACATGTTTCCAGGAGTTTAATGATTTCCGAAAATGGGTGAAGTTGATAAATCAATCAATCATTCCCCATATGTGTTGTATTCATTTAACAAACATAAAGATAAAGATATAAGATATAGATATGAAAGCGATAGAGGATGGTGAATATGATGTTGCACTGGGAACTACATTCACTGAACCAACAAGGGAACAATATCATACTTTACTCTGTATGTCAATCAACTCGATCGATATCATCAATCAATCTAACTAACACAACAACCAACCTTAACAGTTAACATAAAGCCAAACAGTCTAGATACAACTAAACCAGGCTTTATACGATCTAATCAAGGTCATATCAGTGTACAATACCATAATCAAAATGTAATGAATGATTGATTGATTGATGATGTCGATGTGATGATGTCGTTGTATGAATGATTACTTACTCAACTCAACAATAACATCAGAACCCAAATGAGATGATAAAGTATGAAGGTCCACTTGGAAAGAAAGCACAGAACAATACAGTTGAATGTCTATTGATATTTGATAATGGAGTGTTTAGATTGGAGAGGCTATCAAGTTCATCTCATCTAAAGAAGCAGAGTATGTACTGTACATCACATCACATCACATCATCACATGAACCAATAACTAAACAATCAACAACTATCAGGCGTAGGCGGACCACCTCCATCAATCAATGACCCAATATACAATGAGGTCACTTCATTATCTACATCAATGCAATCATCATCTATACACTCGTCGTCTTCAAAGAAGAAGATGGAGGCAGAGGAAGTGTTCCCGTCTCAGTATCTTAAGAAACAGAAGAAGAACGAACCAGATACATTTACTCCTCCACCAATGTCAGCTCCAAGCGAACTACCAACGACATCATCTTCTCGAAGATCACGATCATCAGCCAACTCCACACGAGCACAGCCTCCTCCCATGTCCAACACACCATCATCTTCTGCTTCTCTACCTCATAGACATGGTTCGAGCAGTGGCTCATCACACTCTAGTCATTCCAAGCACTCTAGCAGCGCAAAGACATCGACACCTCACGACCTGTCAATCTCTGATGAGTTTGATGACTTTGCAAAGGAGCTGGAGGACATCAACAAGGACGAGATCGATGCCTCGATGGAGGACATTGATTGGGCCGAGTATCCAGTTGGTGGCGAGGCTGGAGGCCACGCCTCACTCACGACCTCTAGTGACATGAATGATATCCTGTCGCAGGACATGAAGATTCTGGACAGCCCTCTCGAAACCGATATTTCCACTACCATTGGTGGTCGCAACACCAACAGCAAGACAATAGCTCCACCCGTTCTTGTAACAACTGTCAACCCTCCAGGCTTTGCAGGATTCAAGGCCGGTGGGAATGGTGCCGCACCAAAAGTGCACCATCAGATGGCACAGAAGCAACCTCCACCTGGTGTTCACTATCACAGCGACCACAGCGACACAAGCGAGAGCGATAGCGAGTCTGTGTCCTCGAGCTACTCATCAAGCGACTCTGAGAGTAGTAGTGATGCATAATACAACTTTACTTTACAATTATACAAGGCCTTGTAGGCTGGCATTGGTCCATTCAATCAAGTAATCGCTTGGAGATGTCATCTAAGCTCTCTCCCATCAACTGCTTGTAATCGCCCACTGTTCCATCGTTGGTAATATCAGTTATGAATCGCAACAAGATGTTTACATCCATCTCCAACTTGATGTAGTCTCTACTCCTTCTATTATTACACAATACAAGCAATGTTGGAAGTAGTATTCGCATGTAACTAATGAACGAGAGGGTTGTTAAACAACGTCCATCATGGTTGTACATCTCCCGACTACTTACTCCTTCTCAAAGAAATAGATGAATGGTAGATTGCAGAGTATCTGTATGATTGATATCTTGTCGCCCCAATGTAGTATCTCTTGATTGCGCTCGTTGCGAAGGCTGTAGTATCCGAGCAACATGACGATCTTCTCAATGACATGTTGTTTGAAGGCAAAGAACTGTTTCTCGGTTTCCTGTCGCTGGGTGCAGTAGAGCAACAGATGGATGACAAAGTGGTAGAACTCCACTTGGTAGTCATCTGATCCCAACATACTCTGTACGAATGGTAGGTCCAAGTGTGACAGATTGACAAAGAGTTCCAGGGTCTGGAGTAGGATGTGTGATAGTGATGGAGGTATCTCGATGCGAACAGTCTGCTTCTTGCGATTGTGTAGCATGATGAATGTGAGCAGTGATAGGACTCCGACGACATTGGTCTTCTTGAGTGCCATCACAAGGTTGGCCGACTCTGGCAGCGCGAGGAATGGTGTGACCTGTCTAGTATCAAATCGCTTGAAGTAGGTTGTGACACTGACCAAAAGTTGGATCGTCTCCTCAGCCATTGACATTGGTCCTTGCATTCCCTCCAGCATACCAAGTTGTAAATGAGGTAACTTAAGCTCGAGTTTCTCAAAGATGCAGCTGTCCACGATGTAGCTATGAAGGGAGTTGAGTTAGAGATGTGAGCGTAAAGAAGAGATGACAGGTGCACTTACTTGATGAATGCGCTCTTGTACTCATTGATTGGTAATGGTAGACCTTCCAGGTTGGCGATGGTGAACATCTTGTTGATGAGTGCAATCAAAGGTGGAAGGAATGGGATGACCATGTCGTGTGTGGACAGGATACTGCGACCCAAAAGATCAATGAACTGAGCTCCAAGTCCAAGAGATAGTAGATAACAAACATTGGTATCCACTGAGCATAGCTTTGAGATCAATTCCATCGTAGTCTTTGTGATGCTAGTTGGTGTTGCTGTGTGTGTCTTGTGCTCGCTGCTGTTGGTGTTGCCCAGGAAGCATATCTTTGACAGTGCCTGTAGGCCATTGAGTTTGGCAAAGTTGAGATAGTCATCTTGCGAACAATACTTGTTGAGCAGAGTTGTGATGTCAATGAGATGGTACTGGAGCTTGGCATAGTCCTTTCGTTGAATATGTCCATTGAGCTCATTGATCGTCTTGGTGAACGTTTGCTTCAATGTGTAGTCATCGGACACTTGACCTCCGATGGCCTGGAGGGAGAAGAAGTCATTGATCACAAGCTTCTTCAGCGTGGCCAGTGTAGTCACGAGCTTGGGTCTGCTAGCCTCCTCCTCCGACTTGATCTTCTCAATCACCTCGTTGGAGAGTGGCGCAAGACGATTGGTGGAGAAGGAGTCGTAGGGCAATGTGACCACCCAGGAGTTGCCATCACGCTGGCCCACAGTGGTCACCAGCGAAGTCTTCTTCTCGAGATTGGCATTCTTCAGATTGTTCTGATGCTGTAAGTCCTGGAGATGTGCCTGGAGCGCAGCCTCTGACGTGATAGGCACGTTACAATATCTACAATAACTCCTTATCTTTCTCTTGTAATCGTCGCTGATTGGTGGAGCAATGGGCATCGATCCAAGCAGGATCTGTGCGCGGGACGCGTCAATCTCACGACGCCTCGTTGCGGCAGCCTCCTCTCTCTTTGTGATCAGGGACTCCTTCTGCTTCTTGACCATGGCAATCTTTTGACGACGACTCTCAGACTTCTCCAGTCTCTTCTGTTGCATGTATCGATCGTTCTCTGAAGTCTGATCACTGATCCACTTGATCTCCTCGGCTCGCTTCAACTCGTTGATGCCCTTGAGCTGGATTGAGCTGATGTGCTCATCGTGCAACTGATCGGCACGCTCTTGCTTCTCTACATGTGCTGCACGCTCCTGTGCCACACGTTCCTCCGTACGTTTGTTGAACTCTTTAACACGATCACTTTGATTGGATAAATACTTGCTCTGATGTTTCTTGCTCGTCAACATCGCCTCTCTATTCTCCTTTGCCTTTTGTTGTCTACTCTCAAACTCTCTTTCCTTGTTATGTCGTATTGTTGACTCAAGATTGTTGTTGCTGTTGTTGTTGTTGCCGCTTCTCTCATTGTTGGACTGCTGTGCTTGGGATGATGGTCCAGGAGGAGGGATGGACTGTCCTTGACTCCTTGTGCCTTGATGCTCCTGATGTTGTGATTGACCCGATCCACTCCTCATATTCTCCATGGCAATCTTTAGTCTGTCCGACCATTTCATTCCAGTGGCGGTACTAGTGGTCGAGGTACCAGCTGTGTCAGCTGATGGTACACTCGATACTACCGTTGATGCCGATGATGATGTTGGTTGTGTCACATCCTTGTCTATTTGTTGTTTCTTCTCTTGACTTGAAGGAGTTGATGATGGTGGCGCTGGAGTAGTCGTTATCTTGGTCCTCAGAGTCTGGAAATCTTTGAGCACATTGGAGAGCGTTTGAATGACACTGTCACATCTCTCGATTGAATGGTTGTTCTCCAATGTATTATATATCTGATCCATTGTGATACACAATGTTTGAATGTTACTGCTCCATTTGATATCCTCCTTTGATGGAGACACTGCTGATGTCTCTAAGGAAGAGGCAGGGATAGTTGCCAATGCAGGGATGTTGTTGTTCTTCTTTGACCCTTGAACAACTGTAGATGTTGTGGATGTTGACCCTGACCCTGACCCTGACCCAGAACCTGACACAACTGTTGATGATGTTGATGGCAACTTCCGGATGTTCTTTCTCTCCCTCTCCCTCTCCTTGCTCTTGTTTGAAGAGGTCGATCCTTTGACATCCAACGACAAGTACTCTAAAGTCGGTATCATCCACCTATAGATATTCTTTGATCCGATTGATGATCGAATCGGTATGATCACGCCACTATGATGTGGTGATTGTATTGGTGATGTACTTGAAGATGATGTGCGCAAACCAGTTGATGATGTTGATGTCTGTTCATCCTCATTACTAGTAGTGAGTTGAAGTTGAGCGGCCAGCGCATGGTCCTCGGTAGACATCAGGTCAGTTCACTTCAGTTCAAGTTATCTCTATCTATCTATCCTTTTGTTATTGTTCTGTGTTTGATTAATCACTTAAGTGTGCATGTTCGTGAACCCCTCCCTATGTTGTTCATGACAAGGGGGGTTCTTCATCTTTTCCAGGTTTCTTCCAGCTCCAGCACACTATGCCAAAGAAAGGCAATGTTGACCGAGACAATGATGGGTTGGGATTCATTCATTCAAGGTTAGATAGAGTTATAAATAATACTAGAGAAGAGATAATATATATATATAATTACAAAATGAAGACAATTTATGTCAAATCAAAGAAGTCTGACTTCCAAAATTATAGTTCCAAACCAAGGATGATGGCTTCACCACCTTTTGGAAATCAAACAGTTCAATCACAAGTAGAGGACTCTTCACCAATTGATCAACTTGGTAATATATTATATAATCCAGACTATACACATTATGTTGTACATTCACAAAAGAGTGATTATGATATGTACATTGGAAGAAGGAATCCATTGGTATGTATTTGATTCAATTTGAATGGTTGATGGACCAAGGTAACTAATTGTCCAATGGAGTGATGCCAATAGATTGACTCAAGATTCTCTGATAAATGGGGCAATCCATTCAAGGTTGGAGTGCATGGAAATAGGAATGAATGTATGAAGAAGTATCGTGATTGGATATTCAGTCCAGAACAGGATGCACTATTCAAGTTGGCAAAGAAGGAGCTGAAAGGAAAGATACTGGCATGTTGGTGTGCTCCTCTAAACTGTCATGTATGTATCCAATCATTCAAACTATGTAAGAGGACAAGTAACTTACTTATACGACACAATAGGGCTATGTGTTGGCAGAGATTGCCAACTCAAGTATTGGCAATTCCAAGGTTGATCAGCCACAACAACAACAACTTGTTGATAACTCAATCACAAGTACCACCTCGACACAAACTCAACAACCTCCGGTTGCCAAGGATGTGACGCCTGCCAATCCAAACTCATGGGCAGCACTGATAAAGAAGCAACCAGTACCTTCAAGCAAGCCATCGACTTTTGATAATGGAGGCAGTTCGTCTGTCGAACCTACAAAGGTTAGCAAGCCATCGAACGACTCACTTGATGACTTTCCAGCATTGGGTGGCGGATTGAAAAAGAAGAAGTAAACGAAGGAACGACCATCATGTAAATTATAATATGTCATCCAATCCATTGTATTAACTTCCGGCATTGTGATCATTGTTGTTGTTGTTGTTGTTGGAGTGCGGCCATTATGTCTGGCAACTTGAGACCAACAGCAAATGCAATGATTGTTATCAATAGACCGAGGACAACGGTCAACAGTGTACCACAGATCGAGCTGGAACTTGAACTGTTATCGCTTGGAGAAGTCTGGATTTGGTTCTGGTGATGCATCAATGAGGAAGAGGATGTTCTTTGTTGTTGAGGCTTTGGCAATGACGTTGATGGTGGAGTCGCAATCTTCTTAGTCTTTGATATCACTGTGGTTGACGCTGACGAGGACAACATTGCCGGGCTTGTTGAAGATGGTGATGGGGACTGTGATTGGGATTGGGATGGGGATGGAATGGACGCTATTGATGATGTTGTTGTTGTTGGCTTGGAAGTTGACTTTGATGCAACCTTCTTGGCCTCCTTCTTTCTCTGGCTCTTATCCTTGTTAGAGATAATAGTAACAGCTGTCAGTGGCTCTTTGGACCGCAGGATCTTGGTTGTTAATGGCTGGTAGGTGTTCACTGTCTTGTTGGACTTGATGATCAACTTTTGATTGTAATCTGTTGGTGTCACTTCCACTGACTCATCATCATAATGCTCATCATTACTATCATCATAATCGTTGTCATTATCATGTTGATGATTCCTCTGTTGTTGTTGTTGTTGCTGTTGTTGCTTGGTCTGTTGTCTGGGCAGTTGTGGCGGTTGTGACTGCTTGCTCTGTTGCTGCTGCTGCATCTGTAGGAGGCTGGCCACCTCACTCCAGGACTTGGGCGAAGTCGGTTGATCACCATGTTGTTGTTGTTGTTGTTGTTGTTGTTGTTGTTCTTGTTGCAATTGTTGTTGTTCCAAATTGGTAACATTCTTTCTCGTAGGCCTCCTTCTCTGATTCTTCATTGAGAGTGATGGATATTGATCGTCATCATCTTCATCAGACTCGATGTCCAAATGCTCGGCATGGGTTGGAGGTGGTGGTGTTTGTATTGGCTTAGCAGCAGCATGTATATCACTCTCGCTCAGTGATACAACACTCTCGCTCTTGATGGACTCCACCTGTTGTTGCTGTTGCTGCTGCTTTGTCTGTTTCTGTTCCTTTTGTTGTTGCTTTGGCTGTTGCTGCTTCGGTTGCTTAGGTTGTTTAGGTTCCTTTGGTTGTTGCTTAGTTTGAGCTTTACCCTTGGTAGGTCGTTGTTGTTGTTGTTGTTGCTGTGGCTGATGTTGAACATGATCGATGCCACTACTACCATTAAAGAAGTTGTTGTTGTGGCTGATGTTGTTGTTGTTGTTGTTATTGTTACTACCAAAGCCATGATACATGTTGTGCATATGATTGTTGCTAGTGTGAATGGGATCGTCTCCCCAACCTTTGGTCAACTCAGCGGCAGATGGTGAGTTCCAATTATCAAAGTCATCATCGTCCACGAGGAAGTTGGTAGTCTTTATCGCAGTCTTAAAAGTCTCCTCATTCTCTGTATCCTCTCCATCATCCCAGAATGTATTCATTCTCTCTAAGACTACTGCTACTACACTACTCTCTCTATATCTCTGTTATGAAATGTTACAATAATGAATGAATGACCTTCGAACATCACACCTCAGTCATGTGATCACACCAAACAAACACGAATTCATGAATTGATGTGATGATGAACAATTGTAAAGAAGGGGCAGACGGGGCGGCAAAAGGGTTACAAGAAGACGACTCGCGAGTGCTATTTATAGTTCGCCAAGGTCACTTATGCTGTTGCTTCTGTTGCTGTTGCTGTTGTTGTTGTTGTACAGGTGGTATCTTTTGAGATGTTCGCGGACTGCCATTGCTCGATCCAGTCTCGTCGTCACTGTCATTACCAAAGCCATCATTCGCTGTACTGAAACTATCCTCTGACGCCCAACACATTGACCTTCTCAGTGCTCTCTGCCATCTCTTAAACAACTTCTTCCTATTATCCCTGTTCATCGATGGTGAGAACATCTTGGAACTCCTGTTTTGTGTGTGTGTATCAAGGTCGCGAGTGAGTATTTGATCAATCAATCAATCAACTTGGTGGAACTTACAATCTAAGCTTGACCAACTCTTCCTTGGTCTTCCAAACTCCAACGTTCAATCCAGCAAGCATACAGACTCCAGCCGCTGTCATCTCGGGGTGTCCTGCGCGGTCGATCGGAGTCGCGCACATGTCCGAGATGAACTGGCAGACAAAGTCGTTCTGGCATACACCTCCATCGGCGACGACACTCTGAATCTGACAGTAGTTGTCCGAGCGTATGCTGTCGATCAGCTCCTTGCATCTGTATCCAAATGACTCTAGTAGTGCACGAACCACGTGCTCTCGCTTGGTTGATGGAGTCATTCCAATGATGAGTCCACGTGCGCGCGGGTCGTTCTGTGGCGGCGCCAGACCCGTGAACGCGGGCACAAACACGACGCCCTGAGTATGTGGCACGGACGTTGCCATGGCGGACGTCTCGGCTGGGTTCTCAAACATGCCGAATGATTGAGCCCAGTCGACGACGGTGCCGGCAGCCATGCCCTTGCCCTCCATCATGTAGGAGATCTCCTTGCCGATCTTCCAGCCAATCAGCGGGTACATTCCGTAGCGACTGGCCTTGGCGTGCGCGCCCGTGTTGATGTTGACAAAGCAGCCGGTTCCAATCGTCAGCTTGGTGTCGCCCTCATTGAAGCAGCACTCGCCAAACATGGCAGACTGCTGATCGCCACACAGCGACGTGATTGGGATGGACGCGCCAAAGAGGCCGGGCAGCGTGTCACCATAGTGGTAGCTAGTGTCGTGGATCTTGGGCATGATGTGGTAGGGGATTGAGAATAGGTAGAAGACGACCTTGTTGTAGCACATCTCGAACGGGTCGTACAGGCCAGTGGTGCTGAAGTTGCTGTAGTCGGTGGCGTGAACCTTGCCGCCAGTGAGGTTCCACAGCAGCCACGAGTCGATCGTTCCAAACATCATCTGCTCGTCCTTGACCGCCTGCTTGGCCTCGGCGTGGTTCTGGAGGATCCAGGCGAGACGCGAGCTCGAGTGTGCTGTCGACACGTCCAGGTGGCTGGCCTGCAAGAAGCGTGGCTTGCCCGTGAACATGTGCACCACCTTTGTGGCGCCGTGGATACCCTTGACGGCGAGCGAACTGTTCATATTCTTGCAGATCTCAGCGGAACGCGTGTCCTGCCAGGTGATGAGGTTGTGGATCGGCTTGCCAGTGTCCCGACGCCAGTTGAGGAATGAGCTGCGCTGATTCGTGATGCCCAGACAGCGGATGCGGGCGGGGTCCGCCGCCACAGGCGACGCGGCAATGGCATCCTTGACGACGACCTGACACTTCTCCCACATCAACATTGGGTCCTGCTCAATGTAGCCGGGTCTATTCTCATCGATAATCAAAGGAATGTTCTGTGATGACTTTGACACAATATTCAACTCCTGATCGAATATCATCGCTCTTATATTTGTAGTTCCAACATCTATTGCTAATATATATTGTGTTGTTGTTGTTGTTGCTGTATCATTATTTATTGTTGTTGTAGTTGTAGTTGGTGATGATGTGGTCGTTGTTGTTGTTGTTGTCGAGGTACTACTACTTCCTATATCCATACTATCACTCATATCTTGTTTTGGTTCCATTGACTCTAACTCTATATAGATAAGATATATATTTATATGATTATAAGTTATATTTGAATGAATGAATGTATGAATGAAGATTCTTTCAAAGTTTGAAGTTGAAACACACACAACTAACCTTCAATCTACATTGGATGCAACTACCTCTGAGGTTTATCATGAAAAAAACAGGGTGTTTCGGAGTTTGAGTTTGAGATGGCGATGATGGTGTGTGAATCGTCGTCATTAAAGGTGGTTAGGTCACTCTGTCAGTTATTTGCAGCATCTTCGTTAACATGAACACATGATTGTTACTTTTTGTCAATGAATTGCGCTACTCTCGGAGGCACAAGTCAATGAAACTTATCGGCCGAATCAAAACAATCAGATTTGATAATATATAATATATCTTTGTATTTATTTGGAAGTATGGTATATCTAAAGATGATTCAAAAGAGAGACAGAGGCAATAAATATATTATGATTATTATTTGTATACATATAAGTATTAATCCTATATTATTTTAATGGTATTGGGTATTACAAATATCAGCTCAATAAATAGTGATGAGATGATAAAACAAATAAAGTTATGTTGTTTCGTCTGGTTGTCCCAGAGATCCCATCAATGTGGATTTTTTTTTATGAAGTGCACACCTGATGAGTGACCCTTCTCTTCATCTCATCTTTAAAGCTCGAACAAACAACACAATCCAATTCCACGCACATCATATTCAACTTGTGTAATTGAATCAAACATTCATTCAATCATTCATTTGTTATTATATACATACATATAGAAAGACTAAATATGTTGAGAACATCAATCAAACTTGTCGTGAGGAAACCCCTCACTAGACAACAATCATCAATCACTCAGTTGATGAATGTTAAGCAGTCACAGCAGCAACAATGCAACTACTCGACTGGTTACCAACAGTTATCTTCATACAGAATGTTCAGCAACAACAACATTCAACAGCTACAGCAACAGAAGCAACAACAACAAGCACTGCAATCATTCTCTTCAATGTCTTACCGTTTCTACTCATCAGGAAACTGTATGTTTCACGCACGAGCGTGATAGAATCATCATCTCAAAACACTGATTGACTGACAATGCATCACCTTGTATAGACCCATCTCATCAGAAGCTTGATATGCCAGCTCTGTCACCAACAATGACTGAGGGAAATATTGCAAAGTGGAGAAAGAATGAGGGAGATCAGATCAAGGTTGGCGATATTCTTGCAGAGATTGAGACTGATAAGGCTACAATGGACTTTGAGGCCACTGAGAATGGATACCTTGCCAAGATCATCTCACCAGATGGAGCAAAGGGTGTCCCTGTCAACAATGTACAGTATCAATCGCCAAAATGTTCAATCATACAATCATCACGATCATTCACTCACTCAATCACTCATACATCATATACACCAGACTATAGCCATTATCTGTTCAAAGAAGGATGATGTTGCCAAGTTCAAGGACTACAAGTTGGGTGCTGCCGCTGCTGCTCCAGCCGCTGCCGCTGCCCCAGCCCCCGCCGCCGCCGCTGCTCCAGCTGCTGCCAAACCAGCTCCAGCTCCAGCCGCTGCCGCTCCAAGCAACTGTACGTACAATATTCATACACACATTGACATGAACAATCACAACAACAACATTACTAACCCTTGAGAACGCTCTTACTTAGATCCAAAGCACTTGGTTGTTGGAATGCCAGCTTTGTCCCCAAGTATGGAGACTGGTGGTCTCGCCAAGTGGAGAAAGAATGAGGGCGATCAGATTAAGGTTGGCGATGTCATTGCTGAGGTTGAGACTGATAAGGCTACAATGGACTTTGAGTGTCAGGACTCTGGCTACTTGGCCAAGATCTTGGTTCCAGCTGGAAAGTCTGGAATCGCCATCAACGAACCAGTATGCATTATAGTTAGCAAGAAGGATGACGTTGCTAAGTTCAAGGATTACACTGCTGCTGCTGCTGCTGCTCCAGCCGCCGCTGCCCCAGCCGCTGCCCCAGCTGCCGCCGCTGCTGCTCCATCAGCTGCAACTTCAGCTCCACAACAACAGTCAGCCGCCCCTCAGAAGTCTGAGGGTGGACGTGTATTCGCATCACCTGCAGCTAGATCCGCTGCCAAGGAGAAGGGAGTCGATGTCAGTGGCGTCCCAGGCACCGGACCAAACAGCCGTGTGCTCAAGGCCGACGTACTCGAGTATGAGGCACCAAAGGTTGTCGAGCAGGCCACCGCCGCGCCATCCAGAGGCGCTGCCGCTGTTGTCGAGTCAGATGGAGGATACACCGACATTCCACACTCCAACATTCGCAAGGTCACCGCCGCCCGTTTGTCCGAGTCCAAGCAGACCATCCCACATTACTACCTCACCATGGAGTGCCGTGTTGACAAGCTTCTCAAGTATGTATCATCATGTGACATTCATGATAGGTTGTATTCTACCCATACTTACAATCAATCAATCAAACAATCAATAGGATTCGCACTGAGTTGAACGCTCAAGCTGATGGAAAATACAAGCTCTCTGTCAACGACTTTATCATAAAGGCAGCCTCTGCAGCACTGAGAGACGTGCCAACTGTCAACAGCACTTGGATGTCCACTGTTGTCAGACAATTCCACAATGTCGATATCAATGTGGCCGTCAACACTGACATTGGTCTGTTCACTCCACTGGTTCGCGACAGTGACAAGAAGGGCCTGGCCACCATTGCCAACCAGGTCAGAGAGATGGCCGAGAAGGCCAAGAAGGGCAAGTTGCAGCCACACGAGTTCCAGTCAGGCACATTCACCATCTCCAACCTGGGCATGTTTGGAATCAAGAGCTTCTCAGCCGTGATCAACCCACCACAGGCTGCCATCCTGGCCGTTGGCACAACAGAGTCGCGATTGGTTCCAATTGAGAAGCCCAAGGAGGGCGAGCTGCCATACGAGACTGCCACCATCTTGTCCGTTACCCTTAGCTGTGATCACCGTGTCATCGATGGTGCCATTGGTGCTGAGTGGTTGCAACGCTTCAAGGACTACATCGAGAACCCATTGAAGCTTCTCCTTTAAACATTACATTAAAATTACATTACCTCCCTTTATTAATAACAAGCTTGATTTCCGGAAAAGGGCATTGGGTTTGGACCAACCTTTGAGCGAATATAATATCAAAGGACATGTTACTCCTTGATTAATTGAACTAATACAACAGAATCAATCATAGTTACAATGGATGTCAATTATTTATCAATATCAAAGATGACCCCTCTTCAATGGGATCAGATGGCAGCAAAAATGGGAGTAAAGGTTAAAGAGATAGACTCATATGACTTTTCCAAAACTTTGACAGAAGTACAACCTTATAAATGGATTAAACAATCTGTTTATAATCAATTGGATCAATGTTTGGAGTATCTTATAAACAACATGGCGGTAGAAGAAGGACTTAAATACTCAGATGTTCATTCTAGGAGAATATTCCTTTTCAAAGGTCCTCGACAATCAATACCTTTTACTCTCATTGGTCAAGTGGATATTATAGTATCAAGGTCTGATTTCACTTTATCTTTTATTGACAATGCATTTATGATTGGAATTGATATAATAAGAGACCTGGATATTATAAAAAGTAAAGGACACCAATGTTGTACCAAACTAATATCTGGATCACAAAAATCACAACATCCTATTGTACATATCATAACAGACCTTGGTTCAACTTGGATATTCAGATGGATGAAGGATAATAAGACCATTAATGAATGTAAAGTGGACAGTCCTACAAAAGCCTATTATCTAATTAAGATGGCCCTAAGCTCTATCCAACTACCAAACGAACAAAGTTTTATCAATCCAATTAAATTGACCAGGTAATCAACCATATACTATTCTTTATTCAATGTGAATGTCTTCAATGGTATTGCATTCTTGTCTGTATCAAACATTGATTCGCTGTTTGGAGATGGTGGACTTTGAAGTCCACCTGGTGGTGACTGTATGTTCAGCTGCATTCGGCGCTGACGGATTAGATACAGATGATGCTCGACAGCGTCGTTAACAGTCCAGAAGAAATGGTCGGCTCCATACGTCTCGACGACACCGCCCTTCTTGAGCAGGTCTCTGACATAACCCTTGATCGAAGCAAAGTAGATGACTAAACTGCGTTTGGTGAACTCTGCCACCAGTTCCTTGAGCATCTTTAGTCCAGTGGAGTCGATATCATTCATACTACTGCAGTCAATGATGATGGCGCCCTTGATTGGATGTCCATCAATGTCCACGGTGACCAAATCATCACTGATGTCTGCCATCTCGGTCTCGCTGTCAGACATTTGTGACTCATTCGTTCTTTTCTTTGTTGGCTCATAACGCCTCAGCTTCTTTCTAATGAACTGTGTGTTGGCAAAGTATATTGATCCATCGATTCTTACAACCTTGATGCCCTATTGGTTTGGTACGTCTGGTCTCAGCAAGTCCATTCATTCAATCAATCATCTGCTTGTCTAATCAATATATATACATACCATAAAGGTCTCAGCCTCTGGGACTCTCTTAATATTCTTATATAGTTCTGTACCTGGTATCCTGCCAAGCTCAGCGAATGGAGGATAGGCACTCCTGTAGATGATGAGTAGGAGTGAGCACACCATTCCAATGAGTATACCCTGTAGGATGCCCAACAGGATAGTTGATCCAAATGAGATGAGATATAGCATGAGATCCATGCGATGTACCTTCCATAGTCTGATGGCGATCTTGTACTCGACCAGATCGATCACTGCCACGATCACAATACTCGCCAAGATGGACTTGGGTAGGAACTTGATGATATGTGTCAGGAAGAATAGTGAGCTGACAATGACCAGCGCTGTGATGAATGATGCCACTTGTGTTCGAGCGCCACTCGACGCGTTGACTGCTGTCCTCGAGAGACTGGCGCCAACTGGGAATGAGAGGAAAAATGAACCGATAAAGTCTGATGCGCCCAGTGCAATCAGCTCTTGATTGGGATCAATGTCGTAGTTGTACTTCTCAGCAATGGTGGCACCGATCGACACGGACGAGATGAAGCCCACGAGAATGAGTACGAGTGCTCCTGGTGTGATGTTGATCACCATATGCAGCCAGTTGTTGTCGCGACCGTCGCGAGCTGGTATGGTTGGGAAGGTGGGGATGGGCAGGCCTGAAGGGATGGGGCCGACCACATCGATACCAGTTCGCTCCTCAAGTTTGAACACCCATGATATGAACGTGAGGATCATGACGATAATGAGTGGACCTGGCAGCTTGAGGTTGAAGCGTTGATTGAACTTCTTCATGCCCAACAGGAACACAATACCTGCCACGGCGATCAGAATGGACCACCAGTTGGCCTCTTTGATCTTGATGAGATAGCGCACGAGTAGCACGGGCAGACAGTCCGACGCCTCGACCTTGTAGCCAAAAATGTGTTTGAATTGGCTGCTGCCAATGATCAGCGCGCAGCCGCTGACGAATCCAGTCTTGACAGGGTCGCTCAAAAAGTTGGCGACGAATCCGAATCGGAACAGTCCCAGTATGATTTGATAGAGTCCACAAACGAATGCCAAGAGTATCGCGATGCTCGTGCGTAGTTCCATGTCCTGGCTGTCGCCAACCACGCCATTGACCGTCTCGAGGACCAACAGCGAGATAATGGCGAATGGTCCAAAGGACAGATGACGCGATGTGCCAAAGACACAGTAGGCAAAGATGGGTACGATAGATGAGTACAGGCCGTAGACCATGGGCAGGTCGGCGACGAGCGCGTAAGCCATTCCCTGTGGGATCAGCATGACGCCCACGGTCAGACCTGCGACAATATCACCGCGCAGGTCCTCCTTGATCGAGTACTTTGGCAGCCATGAGATGATGGGCAGCATGCCCAGCAGATAATGAATGAACTTCTTCTTGTGCTTCTTTTGGAACTTGAAGTGACGTATCTGTTTGATCGTGCGCATGAATGTGTCGTCCTCCTCGCTACTTCTGCCCTCCTGTCTGAATGATTGTGGCGAACGATCGGGTCCATTATCCGCGGCGATAGCATAGTTCAGTGGGACATCGTCGTCGCCATTATTGGCGATCATCGTGGGTGTGTTGTGTCCGCCGCTGTTCACATTGTTGAGTTGAGCTGCTGAAGTGACGACATCATCTACATCGACGGGCTTCAATGATGGTGACGTCGAGGCGATGTCGCTTGCCAAACTCAATTGAGATGGACCAGTGTGATGCTGCTGTTGTTGCTGTTGTTGCTGTTGCTGCTGTGTAGGAGTCGACACCAACTTTGGTGAGGTGGTCGATGTCGCATAGGGTGAGCCCTGTGAAGTGTATGGTGAGCTCTGTGATGTACGCAACAGTTGTTGTGATTGATTGAGTTGCTTCGATGGTGGAACATAGTAAAGTTCTTTGTTGTTTGGTTTGTTTGTGTCGAGCAATGATGCCTCGTCATCATCGTCATTGGCCAATGCCTTCTCCATATCGTTCAAAGACGATGATAGGTCACTAGCCTGATCATTGCTCAGTACTTGATACTTCCTCGACATCTCTCTATCGCTATCTCTATCACAAGTATTTGTGTAAACTTGCAAATGTAGTGTCTGTTGAAGAGAGCTGTTTGTTTTTTTTTAGTGTGTGGGTCTTTGGGAAATTTCGACATGCAAAGTTAGAAGTACAATCCCGATGGTGGGTCCGAAGAAGACGAACAAAAATCGGAGACTCAGGAAAAAGCCCTCTTGGAAGTTCGGAAATACAACTTTAAAAAGGACAAAAAGTTCCGACTTGCCAGAATCGAACTAGCGACCTTTTGATTACTTTGTTTACACTACAGTCAAACACTCTACCAATTGAGTTAAAGTCGGTTTTTTTTTAAAATGGAAATTATTTTGTTTGTTAATAAAAAAAATTTGGAACTGAACTTACCCTAGGCTCCAAAATTTTATATCCAGGTCCAGTGGAATAAATGACAATGACCTTACAAGAAAAAGGTGTTTATTATACACGCATGGAGAGGTTGGAAGTAGAACAATGAATGGCATAGTTCAGTCAGTGTTTGATGATGATGATGTTGTCGTTGCCCATGTGATGATCCTCCTATCGAATCCACTTGAAAAGATTACACTATCATCATTGGACCATGCTGTTCCTGTTGCCATCAGCTTGTGACCATATTTATATTGGTCCCTCAACTTGCCATTCCTGTTGCCATAGATGTCATACACTGATATCCTTCCATCGTCCTGTGGAATGGCTATGGTCGCCGGAGACGATGTACTCTGCGATACGGACAGACGGTTGATGCTCAATGGACAACGTATTGATGTCTTGTAGTTCTTGGTTTGTCGGATGTCCCACACCTTGACCGAGCGGTCATCGCCTCCACTGACAATGTGCTCGCCGTCGTAGGTGAACAGAGCAGAGTTTACTGCATCGTGATGTCCGTGGATCGACTCGATTGGACCGCTCGCTGAGGAACGCGCGTCCCACACTCTGATCACGCCGTCTGTGCTGGATGTGACGGCGAAGCTCAGACCTGGCACACTTGTGATGTTGGTGATACGATGCACCTTGTCCGAGCAGACGTTGGTCCATTGTGATGTGGTCTTGCCGTTCTCTGCGCTCCACCAACGAATGGAATTGTCCCAGCTGGCAGACACAACTGTGTTGCTCGATGTCCAGACGGCCGCAGTGACGGGGGCAGAGTGTCCCTTGAGTTCCAGGATTGGTGTTCGTAGGAACGTGCAACTTTGATCGCCTTGTTGTTGTTGGGATTGTTGTTGTTGAGGTTGTTGGGGCTGTTGTTGTTGATGTTGATGTTGGTTCTGCTGTTGGATGTGGTCAAGTTCATCTGATGCTCTAAGGTCAAGCTCGTGAACAAATGGTGAGTGTGCAACGTTCTGTTGCTGTTGTTGTTGCTGTTGATGTTGTTGCTGCTGTTGATGTTGTGGTGTGATTGGACTAAAGTATTGTTGATCCTCCGCTCGATCAAAGCTGTCCTCATCGTCACCATCATCAGAATCAAACTGATCGTGATCAGACATGTCGTTGGAGTCAAACAGATCATGACCATGTGGTGGCGGGTCGAGTGGTTGTGGAGGGATGTTGATCTCGTCACGTGACTTTGATCGTTCCAATAGAGGTGTCCACATCTTGACCTTGCCACGTTCGCTTCGTGCTCCAGGCGGTGAATGCTGATGCTGATGTTGTGTAGTAGATGACTTGGCATGTGTCACCATAACAGTAGGTTGTTGGTTCGCCACTTGTTGTTGCTGTTGTTGGAGCTGTTGTTGTGGAAGAGGTGATCTGTAGCCTGAATTGGCTGAACGATCTTGTGGAAGTTTGAAAATGTGGATGGTCTTGTCGCCAGAGGCAGTGCAGATCAGTCTCTCTGTCGGGTGGAATCGAATTGAGTTCACCGTGCCAGTGTGCGCTGTATATATGATTGGTGGCTTGAGTCCATCCACTGACCATATTCTTGCTGTCCTATCTGTTTATTATTGTGTGTATGGTCAGTCGATAAATACTTACTTGTAAGTCCCAACAAACAACATACCTGATGAACAAGTGGCAAAGGTAAAGATATCCCATGGACATGTTGTAATCTCCCAGATGCCATCCCTGTGACCGACGTAATCCTTTGCCCTGATCCACTTGTGTGATCCATCTCGCTTTGATGTGCTTGGCTTGCTCGTGCTACCATTGCCACCTCCACTCGAACTCTTTGACTTCTTCACTGGCTTGGGTGGTTTGCTCGTGCTCGATCCCTTGGTCTGTTGTTGTAAATCATTAACAATATAACTATTGAGGTCTAGATTATGATGAATGAACTAGGTTAGTTCATCATCCACCAAACATATGTCAATCACACGCTGGCGGACACATACTCTGTTTAAGACTGATCGATGATTGTATACTCTTGGTAGAAGGTGTCAATCCACATCTAGCTCTCACTGTTTGTTTGATTGTTTGATTGATCAATTAGTTCTCCTCAATCCTGAATGTTATCAATCATTCAATCAAATGACAATTGATCAATCAAACATACATTCTTGATTCTCCTCCCAAAGTGCATCATATTCACGCTCTATCATCAACAACAAGTCTTTGAATCGTTCCTTTGATGGAAGTTGCATCTGTTGAGTTGAGTTTGTTGTTATTCCTGTCGGTCCAACACCAATGTTGGCCAAAGAAGGTGTCAAGGACATCTTTGATATCTTGTCCCTGTCCTTCTCTTTCTAAATATATATTATATATATTAAATTATTATTAATTAAATCGATTATTATGTCATTAATGACATCAAGCAAACTACATACATCCATTATCATCTATCTCTATCTTTAACTAACTATCTATATATCTATATATCTATATATTCTCTCACTTTATGAGCTATCTAACTATCTAACTCATTGATCGATTGAATGATTGATTGTATGATTGAATGAATGAATAAATGAATGAATGAATGAGAGCGCGAATTAGAAGTCTCAACAAGCCAAGCTTCAAAGGTGTGTTGTTGTTTGAAACACGCAAGCTTGCTCTTTATCCCACTTCCCCTTCAAACACAACCATAGACCTTAGTCCAAGGTCTACGGATTATGATAATAATAAGTTAAAGATAGAATTAAGGGGGGGTTTGATAACTGTGTCTTGACTTTCTTTTTTTGGGCATTAACATTCACCCACTACTCCAGATCGACGATCAGTTTTTATTGAACTTCAATGTATAATAATAAATTATTATTATTCCTGGAAGTATAGACATTTATCGATAAGATCTAAAAGTTGTTTTCCATAAAGGAATGTTAACTTAACAATGTATTACATGTATCACAGTGGTTACCTGTGGACAAATAAAGAAAGAGTTGGAGGAAGAGACTGTTTACAGCCTCAAACATATTTGTACAGGGACTTTGTATCAATGTCCATTGTTGGCAACACATAAGGCATCGGAATCTGATCCAAAAGGTCGTTTGCATACTCTCTATCTATGTGCCAAACATTCAAACTCCTTCAAGTCGAGTGTACTTTTACCAATAGCTCCACGACATGTTCGGTTCAAAGAACGCAACAACATAGATACAAGTACCAGTTCCACGCTCAAGGTCGAACCTGTCTCATCTGAACAACCTGTCACTCAACAACCTGTCTATCTAACAACTATTCAACAAACACTCCAACAACAACAACAACAAATACAACAACAAACAACAACATCCCGACATTGTCCTTGTTCCGACCTCTCACATCAAACAATGGGGAAATGTCCAACATGTATCGATACCAGACTCCGTGCTTCAGATACTATTCGCTCACACAGATATTCTACCTCCAATAGACTCGCTCTGTCTCATTAACATGCAAGAGACTATATCTACTCCTCCTAAGCGAGATACCAACCAAGAATGTATTTATGAAATAGATGTCTATTATGATGGACCCACATTCTACAATGCCAATACACTGGCCTTTAAACTCCTCCTCTTATCAAGTTGGACCAGGCTTTGTAATCAAATACGTCTCGATCCCTCCTGGCGTCACCTCTTTAGAATCACTTCCTCCATCGGTGACACATGTCTATTTAAATGACCAATACCTTCTCAATACTCTCCCCCAATCTGTTGTCCAATTGACATTCCCGTTTGTTCATCTCCCAATTCAGATTGGTAGCATTCCAGAACATATCACCAAGTTGAGAACTGGCGATTCTTTCAATGAACCAATCAGAATTGGATTGCTACCATGGTCACTTCAATCATTGACACTGGGTCAGAATTTCAATCATCTCATCACACCTGGATCATTACCATCGCTCACCTATCTCGAGTTTGGTAATCAATACAATACACCATTGATGCCAGGTTCATTACCTGACAACCTTAGAACATTGAAGCTTGGCTATATGTTCAATCAACCTATTACCTCGGACAGCCTTCCATCGTCACTCACCTCACTAAACTTTGGTGATCACTTCAATCAAGTACTTCCAACATCATTGCCCATCTCACTTGTTGAGTTGTCATTCAATTATAATTACAACAACTTAGCATATGGTTATTATGGTATTCCAACACATGGATTCAATCAAATCATAACCCCAGGCACACTTCCAGGAGGACTCAGGTCTTTGAGTTTTGGACCAACCTTCAATCAATCTCTGTCACCTGGTGTTCTTCCCGACTCATTGACATCACTGGAAATGATACATCCATTCACTAAACGATCAAAAGACTACTTCCCAGAGTCACTCCGTCATCTGACTATTCTCTCGGTTGAACAACTTGTGCTCATTATTGATAATCTTCCAATGAAGATGGAGACAGTATTGTTTAAAAGCCCCTATCATGTAGGTGACAAGTCCTCAAAGCCATTCCCAAGGTCTTTTATAGGTATTGAATCAATCATTCTACCTGCATCACTTCAACCGTCCAATATGTATGGTTCACGAAGGTCTTCAAAGAAGAAAAAGATCATTAAACCTCCATTAGGTAGCCCTGAGAGCAGACAAATCAACTTCTTTAAGGAGGTCATGGCTTCAATGCCAAATGTCCGTACGATCCAACTCACATCCCACTCTCTAGGAATATGTAGGAGGTTGGATAACCACTTGGCCATCTCCATCTCCAATCAAACTATTTCTAACTTCCATCTCATGGGTTTCCAAACATCTTCACTTCAATGTCGCCCAATATTCATTTCATATTAATCATTCAATCACTCGATCATACAATTATAATAAAAAAGAATACAATCCATTTGATTGAACTATTACTCTTACTTCTTGGCCTTGAGTTTATTGTACTCTGTCTGTGCCTTCTCCCTGAGTTGCTCTACGTTCTTGTCGGCCTCGGCATACTCGAGCACCAAATGTCTTCCATAGAGATGAGGATACTTGAGTGAATCCATGGCATTCTTGGCCTCTTGCTCTGTGAGATACTCGACAAAACAGAAACCTCTGTGGCCTCCTTGTGGCTTCTTGGGCAGTCTGACCGATTGCAGCTCGCCATACGTTCCAAACAGCTGTCTGATGTCCTTTTGAGTGGCCTCGAACGCAAGATTCTTGACCAGGATCTTGGTCGACACGGTGGCAACTGGCGCACCATCGCCCTCTGTCTTTTGCTTCTTCTTGGCGTGCTCGGGCAGCTCCTTGTCCTTGCCACCGACCTCCAGTGTGTTCTTGTCCGACAGTTTGATCGTGATCTCGTGACCATCGATCGTCGCGCCATTCCACTTCTTGATGCATTCGAATGCGCCCTGCTTGGATGAGAACTCGGCAAAGGCGTAACCATGACTCAGCTTCTCACCAGTCTTTGGATGAAGCTTGGTGGCAATGTTGACGTTGACAAAGTCCTTGACGCCCTTGAGACGCTCCTTGAGTGTGTCGTTCTTGGTGTCAAAGTGCAAGTTCTTGATAAATACGTATGATGGCTTATAGTCGGCCTTCATGATCGTTGGCACCTCACCAGCCTTGGCCATCAGCTTCTCGCGCTCACGCTCCTCCTTGGCGCGCTGTCTCTCCTCCTCCTTCTCCTTCTGTAACTGCTCCTCCCTGCGCGCCTGCTTTTGCTCCATTGTCTCGGCTGGCCTGCTAAACACGCCGTTGGGCGCCCACTCGAGGTATAGAGGCACATGGTGGAACTTTGTGTAGGCCAAGTTCTGGAAGGCGACCTTGGCTTCTGAGACGTGGTAGAACTCAACCAGCGCCAATGTCCTGGCGGGTGTCAGTAGCATCCTTGCCAACTCGCCAAACTTGCTAAACAGTTGCTCCAACTCATTGGTCGTAGTCTTGTGAGGGATGTTCTTTACCAGAATGACTGTCTTGCTACGCTCGATGCCCTTGCCACCAATCTTATCAATGACAACGCCTTCCTCCTCCAAGAACTTCCTAGTCTCATTGATAATATATGTCTCCATCAATGTCATCCTAACTGCCATGTCTGTCGAATTTGGATCCAATATCTCTCCCTGCGTCAGCTTATATCTCTCTGCCAATGAACTTATAATCGCGTCAGACTAAAGTGTTTGATTGATTGATTGATTGTTTGATTGAGTGAGTGAGTGATTATGATCATGGTATCGCTCGCAACTACATAACATACTCTCATGAATAGGGCGTTCCAGTTGTAGGTCGATCCTGCTGCAGCCTTGAGCTCACGCTCTTGCTGCTTCTTGTAACTACTGGTGTTCTTTTCGTCTTCGGCGTTGGCCTTCTTGACAGTGTGTGGTGCGTTCTTGGCTGGAAGGATGTGTACAAGTCGACCCTGGATGATCTTGCCGTCCATCTCAGTCATGGCCTGAACGGCATTCTCTGGCACCATGTACAAGAGGAATGCAATACCCTTTGACTTCTTGGTGTCCTTATCGATTGGAATATATATTTCTGACAGCTTTCCATAAGGCTCAAATAGCTTTTTCAAGTCGTCCTCTGTCACTGTGAATGACAGGTTCCTCAGGAACAGTCTTCCAGACTCTCCAACATCCTCTTGATCATCTGGCCTGGAGTAATCCGATTCAAACTCGAACTTTGATTCCTTGAATGTTGTAACCTTCTTCTCTTCTACCTCCTCCTCCTCTTCATCCTCATCTTGCTCCTCCTCCTTCATCTCTTCGTCTTTGTCCTCCTCGTCCTCTTCCTCTACTTCCTCTTCTTGTTCGTAGTCCTCTTGTTCTTCATCATCTTCATTATCGTTATCGTCTCCATCATCCTTTTGCAACTTTGATTTGAACCAATCCAAGTCAGACACTGCGCTATCCTTTGCTATTGTGTTGCCTTGTTCACTATCTTGTTTGTCTTGCTTTTGTGCTGAGGGCATGTCCTCGTATAGATCATCGTCGTCATCACCCTTGGCTGCACCATCACCCTTGACATCGTCGTCAAACATGACCAGATCCTTATTCTTCTTATAATCGTGCTCTATTCTTCTCTTGCTCTTTGGTAGTGTGGCGGGCTGGTCACTCTTCAGTGTGTCATTATCCTCATTGCTCCATAGATTCTTTGTGCTTCTGGGCTGCATCAGTCCCTTGAACTTCTTGTATTCATCATCATTCTCGAGATCATCTTCGTCGCCCTTGCCCTTCCCCTTCTTCTGTTTGGCCAACTCTTGAAGTTGTTTGTTCTTATCAGCTTCGTGCAACTTGTTATAAGCAGATGAGCCTGCAGAGTACTTTGACCATGGTCTAGCAGCCTGTTCATTGCCAACAGCCATCTCCACCGTTATCTTTGACGTGTCCAAGAATGATCCATGTAGCATCAATGCCTGTTTAGCTGCGCTATCTGTAGAGAATCCAACGAATCCAAACATTCTAGATGATCCATCACTATTATATATCAATGATGTTAGTATGTGTATGTGATGTAATGTGATGTGAATGATTCGTTATCATGTACATACCCAGCCTTCATAATCTTACAATCAGTGACGACACCGAATCGTTCAAAGTGCTCTTTCAGCCTCCTCTCTGTGAGATGCTTTGGAAGTTGTTTCACACATACTCTAGTCATCTCTATTGATCTTTAACTTTAGTATTAATGAATATGTGTATGTGTATATGTATATTGTTATAAATGAATGAATGAATGAATACACACAATCATCAATCAATCAAACAATCGTTCGTTTTTCAACTTTTTAATTAAATTAATTCATTTTTATTTTTCACTAATCACAACTTCTCATTCCTCGTCAACCTGGAATCAATCCATGATTGTTTGTTTGATTGAATAGAGTGATGGAGATGTAGATATTTCGAAATTCACTTTATTACTTCTTATCTTTGTCGTCAATCAATCAATCAATCAATCACTCACATCACAATGTGAGGGCAGGACAGGGCAGGAGAGGATGGCTGGAACACTTGCCACACAGCCTGCTATTCCTTTGACTTGATGATCTGGCATGACCTGACCTATTTACCAAAGCTAAGGTTTCCAAGACCAGCAACAACTTGTTGAAGATGATCAATTTTCTTGCTTGCCAATTGACTGCGCTCAGACTCAAAGGTCTTTCTTCGACCGACAGTCGTCAAGCCCAATTCGTTGTAGTCGGCAGGATCGATAAGGTCCAAAGACTTTCCATTGATCTCCTGCTGTGCAAACGCTTTGTACACTGCCTCTGGCATGTTGATTGATACGAGCCAAAGTATCACCTCTTGAGTGCCCCACGTCAGATATGACGATGATGATGCTGATGGCGGCGATGACGACGATGTTATGGGTGACGATGTGTACATTGAAGCCATTGGAGTGGTTGGTGTCGTTGGCATTGCTGTTGTAATTGGGATATCCACGTTTGACAAGTATGCATTCATTTGAAGTTGATGCTGTTGTTGTTGTTGCTGCAGCATCAGCAACTGTTGTTGCTGTTGTTGTAGCAATTGCTGTCCATAAAATGATTGAGTAATAGTTGGCGAAAGGAATGCATTCATTGAAGATGGTGTCATAAGATATGATGTTGAGTTGTTGTTGTTATCCATCTGATTGGTCGTTGTAGTTGTTGGTGGGATCATTGTGGTAGCAGCTGTTACTGTGTTGTTATTGTTGACAACATTGCCGCTTGCCAATTGATCCAAGTTACTTAAATTAGGCAGAACTATATTGTAAAGAGAAATAGTTAATTTGATTGATTGACCAACCGATTGATTGGATGAACAAGCACTCACCTTCCACTGACTGAAGCTTGGGAGGGGATGTCACCTCAGTTGGCTCTGGTGCGCCCTTCACATCAGAGACTACAACGAGCTTCGATGTCCAAGGCTGAACTGGTGGTGTTGTAGTTGTTGAAGTGGTTGATGCACCTGCATTACTTTCATCTCCAACAACTTTGCCTTTGCCATTACTATTGCCATTGTTATTACTAGTTTTGTTTGTTGTCGCTGTTGTCGCTGTTGTAGTAGTGGTCGTTGTCGTAGATGTTGTTGAAGTCTTTTGAGGACTAGTTTGTTTCAGTTTTGTTTGTTGTTGTTGTTGTTGCTGCTCCTCTTTATCTGTAATACGAGCTGATGTAATGTATTAGTGTTCTCTAGTCTAGTCTGATGATTGAAAGTACTGTGACCAACATACGATGATCATAAGGACAGCTATCACGAGGGCAATTACCATACTTCATCCAATACTTGCATTGCTTGGGTCCAAAAGATGTGCCAAGGAATGAAGTTGGACGATATTCATCATCAGGGTCATCAGTTGGTTTATCAGTTCCATCTTTAAATTCGAATGGATTGATTAGATTATGCTGTCGACAATGACTGATGACTGTATACATACCATGTGAGAATGTACAACTATCACCATTGGTACACTTGCCCCTCCAGAAGAAATGGCATGGCTTCTTCTTGAAGCTTTGATTGGTCTTGCTGCCGTCGAACTTGACCATTGTGTTTTGCCTTGTTTTATTTTTTGTTGTTGTAGTCTGTCTTGTTCTCTGTCTGTTTGATTACTTAATATCTATATTATATTTGTTTCAAACTACTACTACTACTTATAATTATTGTAAAGTGTTTAGCTTGTGATTGTTAATGTTAATAATGATACATCATCATTAATTAGTTGTGTTTTCATCACCAACTTAGGGATTGTTGTAATCTCCCCATTTTGTTACTAATTTCAGAACTCCAGAAAAAACAGAACCTTCTTTACCACACCAGTCCAACTTTATCTCTTTGATTAAAAATAATAATAATTAATTGTATTAAGACATATATATATATATAAGAAAATTTGTACATGATAGTTCAATGATATTTTATAATAATATTAACTTAATAATAATGTCGGATTCATTGGTTTAATAAATAATATCTACTTTAATAGTTGAGATACCTATGTATGATCATTGACAATCGGAATCAAATGTACATTTAATTATTGTGATAAATCTTTGGTTGGTTACCTCCATACCAGGTTATTGTTGATCTCACGTACCATGACTCCCAGTTGTCATGTCATCGAGTGAACACTCGAATACTTGAATGATGCTGGATCATCTCATCCAAGACCAACGATATCTTGTTCATGATGTCCAGCAATCATCCACGTATTTTAAAATCCAAAACCTCTTTATTATTCTGTGTTCACAATAGAGTTGTGACAACAACCAACATCAGACGTCTGACGATGATACCCAAGATCGCCAACCAAACAGTAAATGTGACATGTCATCTGTGGAACTTTGAAATTGAATGGATCATACCAATTTTTGAACCAGGTGATCAATGTCCGATACCCAAACCTAACGGCCACAATAACAATCCTTACCAACAGTGTTGGGAGATTGTAAATATAATCTAACGGTCCTAAATGGTGTTTGTAATTTGAATTCAAATTGTTTACATGTTTAAAAAGCGCCTGAAATCCAGAAGAAAAATCCGCACAACCCACATCTTGTACAAACTTTTGAATTCAAATCCAAATTGGTCGTTACTGGGAAAGACCGCGACTGGTTAGTGGCAACGGATTGGATTGGTTGTGGTGGAGCAGGAGGAGTGGGATCAGTCAGTCACTTGTTATTATTCAATATCCAACAACACACGATCACTTTGTTATTTTCACCTCCAACTCTCACTCACAACAAATAACTTTAACAGTTAACCTTACTTCACTCCATCAAGTCTAGCTCTATCATTTGCTTTTCAGCATATAGTTCTAGTCTCAATCATTCAATCACATTTACTTCACTACATTAATAATAATCACAGTATATTATTTTTCTTTGTAAAGATTAAACAACAACCAACAACCATCAACAATGTCTACAGCTGCTAAACCAAAGACCACCAAGACCGCCAAGACCACAAAGACTGCGACCAAGAAGACCACCAAGACGGCCGCCAAGAAGAGCACCTTGCCCTCCTACCAGGACATGATCACTGCTGCCATCGAGCACTATGCCGATCGCACTGGTTCTTCGATCCCCGCCATCAAGAAGTTCATCGAGGCCAACTACCCAGTCGGCGAGAGCTTCGAGACTCACTTCAAGGTGCAATTAAAGCGTCTCGCTGAGAAGGGTACCTTTGTCAAGGTCAAGGCCAGCTACAAGCTCCCACCAAAGAGACCAAGCAAGAAGGCTGCCACCACCACCACTGCCGCTGCCCCCAAGACAAAGAAGGCCACCACCAAGAAGACTGCCACCAAGAAGACCACTGCCGCCGCTGCTGCCCCAGCTTCAGACGACGATCACGAGGCTGCTGAGGTTGCCAAGCCAACTCCCCCATCGCCAAAGAAGGCTGCTCCAAAGAAGCCCGCTGCTGCCACCAAGAAGGCTGCACCAAAGAAGCCAGCTGCCAAGCCTGCTCCAAGAACCACCAAGAGGACCAGCAGCAAGAATGCCGCCAAGTAAGAGCTGAGCTGTTCTACTCCATTGGTCAAAGGTTGTGTCAATCATAGGCTATGGTACTACTGTTTATCTTGAAGTCTAATTCAAAAGGTGTTATTCAACACCACTCAAATTGGCGGAGAACTATTATCATCATGGACATATCCATCCATCCATCCATTAATCACTTTACGTCATCATCATTATCATCCATCATTCATCCATTATCACTCCAGTTCATCATTTATTGTAAACCACCACTGACCACTTGCTTCATAGTGAATAACTTCACCACTACAAACATCCTTTAAACATGCATTGATAGACAACACTCAAAGGTTGTAGTGTTTGGAATGATCAAGAACAGTGGTAACTTATCAACCTTCAGGCTATGGTACTATAGTACCATAGCCTAGACTGTGATTGACACAACCTTTGACCAATGGAGTAGAACTTTATCATCATTATCACTATCCACATTCATCCATCATTCATCCATTATCATACCTGTTCATCATTTATTGAGTAGTCTTCTTTGTCTCTTTGTCCTGAGCCTTCCTTGTGAAAAACTCGATCCTCTGGTATTGTACATTAGGATGTGTCTCGAGGGCTCCAACAAAAATGACCCCAATGTTGATGGCGGCATTCTCATCTCTGTCCATCCATAATGTACCACACTTGGGGCATCTCAACTGTTTCCAGGTGAGTCTAGCTGCACCCGTCTCATTAGAAACATGTCGACTCATTCGAAAGGTAAATGGTTCGCCATCCTTGAGACCTTTGATAATGTTGTTGACTGCATCTGAACAATTAGAACAGACCTTGATTGAATTAAAAGTTGTTAATATCGAGTATCACTTGCGCTTTCTTGATGAAGTCTACCATTTGTCATCATCACCATCATCAATGGCATATCCATCCATCTATTCATCAATCCACCATGTCACTTTTGACTTCACTCGTTACAAATTGTTAACAATTTTATTTATGTTGTTCCATAATATGTTCCAAGAGTGTCCATCAAAAGGACAATAACAACATTCATCCATTTATTTATTCAATCATTCTATTAATATCATTTTGTCAGTTTCCAATCATTCAAAAAGTTGAGAACATACTCAACATTGACAACTTCAAAAGGTCGTTACATCATGGATCGTGCCATGTTACATACCCAACACAAGTTCCAAAGATTCTTGGTACCTTCACTGACACACCATCAAACCGACTCATCAATGAGTGCCCCTCTACATGATCGTTAAGATCATCTACTCACATTATTGTGTGTGTTGCTTGGACTCTTTGAAAACCATCAATCCAACAACAACCAACAAGCCTCTCAACCACCTCACCTCCCACCTGTCACACATACACTCACAAGCAGTCATCGCACACGCCATGCATGGTTTTTCGACACTAATCCACAAAAATAGGTTGGACTCTTTCGTCCTTGCATCGTGTCATAAATATCATACATTCATTCAATCATTGTACTTCTAATCGATTAGTTGTGCTACTATTCATTCATTCATATTCATTTATTCATTAATCTTATTTTCAATATATTTTTATTATACATATAATAATACCAACACACATACATATACATATAAATAATGTACTTATTCATTGATTTGTTATCAACAAGCTCAGAGATCAAGTTTGGATTTCTACTTGCTGCCCTCGTTATCCTATTTTGTTGGAAGTACTTTGTGGCATCATCGAATCAGATAAAGAGTCCAGAGAATGTAAAGAGAACTATTGTACCAAAGGGTAATCATTTCATTCATTCAATCATTCAATTGATCAAACAAACAGACGTCTAACATTGATCACTCCTACTACACTCACAGTTGCACTAAATCCGAATGAATACCAACAGTTCCCTCTTAAAGAGAAGATCATTGTAAATCATAATACTCGTATCTTTAGATTCGCTCTGCCAAGTTCAACAGACGTGTTGGGCTTGCCTACTGGTCAACATATCTCTGTGCGCGCTGTAATTGATGGAAAGGAAGCTTCACGTCCTTATACACCAATCTCCTCGGATGAGGATCACGGTCACTTTGATCTGCTGATCAAGGTCTACGAGAAGGGCGCCATGTCCAGTCATATGGACAGACTGGCCATTGGCGACACGGTCGACGTGCGTGGCCCAAAGGGCAAGTTCAACTACGTGCCCAACATGTTCAAGAACATTGGCATGTTGTGCGGTGGCACTGGCATCACCCCAATGTACCAAGTCATCCACGCCATCCTCAGAAACCCCGCCGACAAGACCAAGATCTCGTTGATCTTTGGAAACATTGCCGAGGAGGACATCCTCATGCGTGATGAGCTTCAGGCCCTGGTGGACAAGCATCCCGAGCAATTCAAACTCTTCTTTGTACTCAACAAGCCACCCGCTGGTTGGACCCAGGGTGAGGGATTCATCACCGTCGACATGATCAAGCAACAATTCGCAGAAGCCTCCTCTGAGAACAAGGCTGTTCTCTGTGGACCACCAGTGATGAACAAGGCCATGACGGGTCACTTGACATCATTGAACTACACCGAGGATTCAATCTTTACATTCTAAGGTTCAGGCAGGTCGATGATGGTAATTGAGTTGTTATTCATCACAAAAAGTATTAATAAAGTTAGTATCACTAGTTAATTGTAGTCGTGGAGGAAGCGACAACGGCAACAACAATAATAATATTATTACATATTGGTTGATGGGATGGTTTGTTGGTTGGATGAATAGATTGATTGATTGGAAGAGTTGGATTATGCGTAGTTGAGTACATGCTAACCGGAAACTGGTCAGCTGATTGAATGATTGATGTGTGTGAATGGTAGTGTGTGGGTTCATGTGTTTGATCAGAATGACACTTACTACGCTTATACATAAATCTGTTCAACAATTAAGGGGTGTTCATGTGTTATAAGTGATCAATCAATAACATCCATTTAAGTAAGCAATCAATTAATCAATCAATCAATCATTCAATAAGTTAGAAGGAATAAGCGTAGTTGGCGAGTGAGATTGGGCAGTTCGCTAATGTTCGCCTGGAAGATGAATGATTATAATTAATATACTTATAAGTAGATGTCACGTGTTGCATCTGAATCTCGTTCAAACTGATACTAATTCTCGTTCAAGTGAGAATTAACATTCTTCTAATATCCATTCTTAATGAGTTGAATAGATAAGTTACATCTTTTCAATGGATTGTACATGGTACCAATTCATATCCGTTCAAATCATATCCAATCATATCCAATCATATCCAAACCAATCAATAATATTCACTATAAATAAGAATGATTAATCATTCCTTACATTCATCAAATCAAACAATTAATAATTATATTTATTACTTAATACTCAAATCCAATCAATCAATTCAAAAATGACCATCATGAGTATGTTTGAATATCCCTGCATTCCATCTAATGGATAATAATAATTAACTTACAATTATTCAAACAGAGTCCATCTCCTCCCTCGGCAACGTTGCCTCTGCCTCTGCCATCAACAAGAACACCGTCTCAACATCAGGTGCACTGGGTGCCTCCCAGTCTGCTAACACCAATGCCGGTTTGACCCAAGTTGTTGGTGGTCTGGTTGTCGGTGTTGAGAACACTGTCAACGGTCTCCTGTTCGGCGTCCTTGGAGCTGTTGACGGTCTCCTCGGTGGTCTCGGCTTGTAAATCAATGTCCATCATACCTTTATAATTTATTATTATTATTATTATTATTTTTTTATTAGTTCCTAATAAACACCAACATAGCTAGCTTGCTAACAACAAATAATGGAGTGAAGGAGGGAGGGTAGTTTAATGAAGGGATGTCCGTGTGTGTATGTACATTGATTGGATATGATTGGGTTTGATCATGTGATCATTTGTGAATCGCGATATTGGTGATTGATTGACTGGCTGATTGTTTGTTGAGGGTAGCAAGTTGATGTGATTTTATCATTGAGATTGTTCAATAAATTAAAGGAATATAATATGAGAGTGACATGTCCTTCTCCATGACATGTAGTACCAGTGTGCTACCCTCGTGAATGCAGCACACTACATGATTGGCATCGATCTGATGCGAGACCAATGCCTTTGAGAACTTCTTGATGTCCACCTTGATGGTTGAGTAGTTGTCTGCTTGCAATGAAGGTTGTCCCTCGATTGTAGGATAGGTGATATCGTAGAATGTCTTGATTGATCCAGTGCCAGTCTCGACAGAGAAGCACAATGCTTGCTGTGTGTTGGTGTTGACCTCGATTGTTAGGTGATCGGATATATTGCGCATCTTCTCAATCATGTTTTGAACGTGCTTGAGTGGCGGCATGAAGAAGTTGAAGCTGGAGCCGGGCAGCTTGGGCTCGACAAAGTTGGCCAGGTTCTGCGCGGACAGCACCACGATGGGGATGTCCTGCGTCAGGAAGACAGCTCGTGACGACTGTGTGATTGTGAATGTGAGGAAGGGCGTGTTGCATCCGTCCTTCTTCCTCAGACGCACGTGAGTGTCACCAGAGATGTTGACGGCCGACTGCAACACCTGTTTCAAATGCTGTAGGTGTATCTGAATGGCAATGATGTTGTTGTTCAGACTGGAGATGACAGTGTCCTCAAAGAAGAGGTAAGTGGCACCGTCGACCCACACCTGCATCGAGTCATTCGCATCACTGGCCACAATGAATCTAGTGAGCTCAGGTGCAATGTGCATTATACATTCACCTTTTATCTTTATGATTGATTGTACTATCTCTGTTTCATTCGTTAGGATGATTGTTTGATTGATTAATTGAATGATTGATTATCTAGGACTTACTCAATAGTTTCTTCGAAGCATGTATCTTTGCGTTAAACTTCATCTCTGTATATGTGTATCTGTTATGTTTGTATCTGTTGTGAATATCTGATTTTTGTTATTTACATGATGTTTCAATGTCATGTCATTCAAATTTTTGAATTTCTTCGAAGATTGGATTTCTTGATCCCATGTTTGAATTGTTTACCGTTTGTTGACGTGTCTGTTCACAATCAAAATCATAAAGATCGTCAATTAGATACTAGACTTGCCATAAGTATTTTCCAAAACATACTGTTTCAAAGAAAAGAATAAATCTGTCATAGAGAGTTAACATATTTGTTAGATATATAGATTGAGTAGTCGTTTCAAATAGATATGATTAGTAATCGATTATTGAACCCAACAACAACAACAACAACTACTACATCATAAATAGATCTCACCTTTTGTGATGTCCCCGCTCTCTTATTCTTTGTGTGTCAGGATGTCTGCCCACCTGCGGAGGTTGTTTATCTTTGAAGACACTTTGCCAACTTCACACTTTTCATTCAGACAAAGGTTCTGATAATCAAAGTGAGGACCACACTCAAGCACACCTTTAGCACCACACAAGTTATTGTCGACAAAGTTTTGTTGTTGTTGTTAGCACTGGATTGGCTTGGATGGTCCATCCATCATTCATTCATTACACGTGTATATCACGACACATAGGCAATGCCTCTTCTAATGTTGTTGTTGTTATTGTTGTTGTTGTTGTACTGTAACTTATAATTGTAATTCATTATAATACCTTCATTCTTTCAATCATTCATTCATTCAATCTTTGTATTATTAGTCATTGTACAATAGTTTAGTTGCAGATGTTGGTATCATACATCCAGTTATGATAATGGAAATAGGTGGGTATCATCATCATCATTATCATGTTGTTTGTTGGATGGACCTAACACATACACACCTATTTCCAAAAGTAGATGCAGAGGATAGTCCGGCAAGAGTAAATATAAGGAAGGCAAGTGAATTATTGATGGATCTAGAACGAATGGTAAAGGAAGAGATGGCCATGTTGGAGGTGTTCCATCTCACACCCTCTGATGGGTCTGGACTGGCGAGTCCATTCAGACATCATAACAACAATGATGTATCATTTGAGCATGCCATATCAAAAGCAAAGAGAAGGGTAACTATACTGTTCACCAGGTCATGTTTTTGGATGAAGGAATGGATGATACTTACACCTATATATGTATCAACAGTTTGAGAAAAGAAGAGGACCAACTTTGATCAAACCGTTGAACAAGAAACAGAATAGAGTGGTAGTTGGTGATATGGAGTTTGATCCAGTGTCACTCACCTGGAAGGGCAATGATGATGAACTGAGTGGCTTTCCACGAGGCGTAGCACCAGCCCTCATCTCAAACATGGGCAGACACGAGGATTCAATGGTCATTGGCAACATGAGATGGGATCCAAAACTACAAGAATGGCGAGGTAATGAAGCGGACCTACTTCGCTTCAGAACACCTGGCCTTATCACTCCTCTCAATGGTGGTGTACTTGATACCAAGGGTATGTTTGTTTGTATTTTCCGCTGACACTGATCGAATACTAACAAAGGAATGTCCAACATAAAGTCCAAAATGGAATGGTCCTTGATCCAGTCACAATGAAATGGCGAGGCAATGAAGATGACTTGGACGTGTTTGAGGCAATGGACGATCAGAATAATGATAATAGTAAGTGGGTGAACCAACCAATCTGGACCTATTGACTTGCGTCTAACACTCCGTCCTTCAGCCTTTAAAGAAGAAGGAGAATTCAATATCACAGAGGCATTGTTACAATCATTCTATGAATGCCAGAACAAACATGCTATGGACTTGGGTGGATGGTTCCCAGAGTCGAGGGACTTGGACGATCGTGAACATCTTGGAGCAATCAGACAGATGTCAATAAGCAAGTTGATACAAAACACTACATCATCGTCATCATCCAATTCATCAATGATACCAACAATCGATGATAATGGACAAGTGGTACCTTGTTCAAACAACAATGTACTTCCAATGCTACTAAAGAAAAAGAAGAAGAAGGTGGTCGACGAGACTAATGAATGGGACGATGTGGACTTTGAAGGTCCTCAACCCAAACTACAACTCAAACTAAATCCACACATCGATGCTACAACACACGAATCATCCGCAACCAACGAGGAGAGCAACTGGGACAAGGAGATGGGCTTTGCATCCGACGACGAGACATCCAGCAGCAGTGGCACTGGTAGCCATAAGCACACGCCACGCAACAAGCTTGAGGAGTGGTCAGACTTTGGTAGTTTTGACTCGGCCAAACTGGAGAGGTTCAGGGAGAGCGAGGAGGCACTGGACGACGATGACCTGGATTGGTCATCACTTGGCTCACGCAAGCCATTGGCCAAGCGACACATTGGTCTAAAGACATTAAGTGGTGGATCACTATCAAAGACATATCGTAGCGCAGAGAAGACTGGCAGCCTTAACCTTAGACAAGGTAGCAGCACACTCAACAACATCCCACCTCTCACCAGTCCGAACCTCTCACCAGTTCAGTCCAGCGCCACCTCAACGCCAAACATGATGGAGGAGTGCTTTGATGATCTGGACATTGAAGGACCACTGGCACTCAAGCATAGGTTACACAATGATGACTTTCAAACATTGTCCGCCGACGAACCATGGTCCATACACGACCAAAAGCCTGAGGCTCTATTACCTGGTGTTTGCCGCGAGGTATTGGAAGAGGAGTGGCCTGAGGTCATTATCCCACCTGGCCTCTGTGTCATGAAGCCAAACGATGTGAACAGGAGACTGTTGCCACATTTCACAAGGCTGGCCATCGAGGACTACAGCAGCGACTTTATGTTACCAAACAATGGAGAGAGTACCAAGTTGATATTTAAGCCTTACCAACTGGTTGACGATCCATTCGGAGATGACGACGATGAAGGTTGGGATGACATCAACTTCCCAGACAACTTCCATGTGGGTGTGGGGGTGACAACTTCCACTTCCACGGCGCCACAATCATCAACTGTACATCATGTAACAACATCCAATAATAATAATTATTATTAATTTATTTAAGCAATGATCAGTAGTGATGATAGTATTAATACAAGTAGTGTGATGATGATGTTGGGGAGTAGCGTGGAACCTGATGAGTACTTTGAAATGTACATCTGGCCATTGATACAGTCTGATGTGTTGAATTGATTGTTTGAGAAGACTACAGTGTCCTCCACAACCTTTGGTATTGTGACAAGTATGCTCTCATTTAGATCAGATGTGATTCTTAGAGTGAATGGACCCTTGCTATGATCATTGATACTAATGAATGGGTTGTAATCAGCTCTCTTCAACTTTGTGAATGATGTACTGTTGGCCAACTGAATGTCCACAGACTTGATGCCAACCTTGCTATTGAATATGAGGAATGCCGACCATGAGTAGTTTGAGCCCTTCATCATCTTGACTCCAACACCACTGGTTGGCATGTTGCCACAGGTGACCTTGCGCCATCTTAAGTTCTCCAAGTAGCCCTGTGACTTGTTGCCCAACTGAACGAATGCGGCCTGCGAGAGGTCGAGGTGGTAGGGTCGGTCACACACGGGGTTGCCCTCGATTGGACATAGGTCTGTGACATAGACGACGATCGTGCGATTGGTGTAGGGTGAGTAGACTTCGAGGCAATCGCCACAGTTTGTTCCATTGTTGTACCAGACCTCCGAGAGTGCTGTGATGTATGGTGTGCCTGGTGCCGTTGTTCCATAGAGGTTGCCAAAGGAACATGCGCCATTTGCATAGTCGAGGTCATAGTAAGTGGCCGATGTATTGCGATACTCTTGATCCAGTGAACAACCAGACACTTGATTGATGTTGTGACCAAACAACAACAAGTTGATGGCCGCGACAATGACAACGTATCCCATATTCATTGTTTAATCTTGTTCTTTGTTGTTGTTTGTGTTGTGATAATAATAAATAGAGTTATGTTTAAATGGACAATGAGTTGATCAAATTTTGATATAAACATAGATATTTTGGAAAGTCTGTGGTGGGAAAAAAATATCTATAATTAAGATATTTGGGTTTGGGATCATTCCACGAGGATTTTCCTTATTATTACGAACTTCGGATAGTGTAACATGAGGAACTTCCAGAGTCGAATGATTCGTTTTCCAAAGTGTTTTGATGTCGCTTCGCGCACTCAATCACTTCATTCGTTCATTCATAGACAGTGGGTCTTCAATTACTAACTGTCATACTCTCAAGGTATGTCCTCTTGGTTACACCAATCATTATAAATATAAATAAATAAGTTTATATTAGATTCGTTCATTCATAGACAGTGGGTCTTCAATTACTAACTGTCATACTCTCAAGTGAACGTTCAATAATATTAAGAGTACATCTCTTTATATTAAAATAGTATATCATTCATTTTTAATAGCCAAAAAGTTCCGACTTGCCAGAATCGAACTAGCGACCTTTTGATTACTTTGTTTACACTACAGTCAAACACTCTACCAATTGAGTTAAAGTCGGTTTTTTTTCAAATTATCATTATTTTTGTTAATAACTGAAAAAAAATCCTGGAATTCCTGCAGCTCAATTGAGTCCAGTGGCAGGATCCAAACTGGGTGAATGGACCATTGGAAGCATGTCAGGTTGACTACTCTGCTCATCCAATCCCTGATTTCTACGAGATTGGATCATTGTCATTGGGCGTGTGGAGTGAAGAAGAAGTGAGTTGGCCTGTCCCTCTGCCCCTGTCCACGACGAAGGGTTCATTGTGAATGAAGGTGGCTGCTTTGATTGAGTGGCAGCACCAGGTCCATCATCCAAGGACACTACATCCCTCTCAACAACCTCATCAATGATTGGTATCTTATTAAGACCGTACCGTACTGCAACTACTGTGATGATGTATGCGAGGGTGTCAACAAGTGCCAATTGTACCCTACCGAACAGTGTGTCTATATCCCGACGGCATGTGGCACTGCAGAGGCAGGCCATGGAGTGTTCAACAAGGAGGGCAACATAACATCATTGACCATGTATCCTGATCCCGAATGCCAGATGACACCCATCCAAAATAATATGGGTAACTGCAACTCCTGTTTGTCCAACAATCTCAATGGCTACATCAATTGCCAAATCAACCAATAATGATGATTGAACTTGAAGTATTATATTATTATTATTATTCTTGTTCATCATTCAAAGATAGGATTAAATGAATAAATACAACATGTCCTCCTGTCTCTATGGGTATGTTATATGTTGTATTTGTATTTGTATTAATACAAGTACATAATGTGTTATTGATTTCCAAGACTGAGGGAGGAGGAAAGTGCTTGCTTTTGCAAGGAAGTCAACGTCAGCTCCAAAATTCAATGTTTTGACACCAACTCCTTCCAAAAGCATGTATTTTTGTTATCAAGATTCAACCAGGGATCGTTTATTCACACAACTTATTATTTGTTTAAGATAGATAGTTATAAATATATATATATATACAATACAATACAATACATCAATGGTATGTATAAATGAAACAAGCGAGTGATTGATTCAAACATACCATCATACATACATAAACTGACATCCTTCATTCATTCATTCTAGTCCAATATATTCGAATCATATGAGGATGAGATCAAGCTGTCCTTCAGAGACTTTGATCAGATCGTCAGTAAATTCTCAAATCTTTCACCAGGTACGTAGATCAACATAACGATCACTCAATCAATCACGATCGATCAATCAATCAATCAATCAATCAAACATATACCTAACATCGTCATCATACTTTAGAGTTGAAACAAGCTGAACTTGAGAAGCTTGAGCGATTGCTAGCATCGATAGAGAGCAACTTGGAGAGCCTCAATCTCGAGTCTAATAGGACAGGCAAATCAACCAATCAGTACTTTACACAGTTCTATCAGGCAAAGAAGACATATCAGCAGTACAAGGACAAGTACCAGAATGAGAAGAACTACTCAGATCTGCTCGGCTCGCCCAGCTATCGCGACTTTAACAACAGTGCCTCGATGACTCAGCGCGAGAAGGTCACCAAGGCCAACAAGACGCTCGAGAGCGGCATCCAGATGATCAAAATGGCCAACGACCAGGTGCACCAAGACACCCAGGTGGCCGAAGCCACACTGAACAACATGGCACAGCAGCGCGAGCGTCTGCTGGGCTTTGAGAAGAAGTTCGACTCGATTGATCATTATTTGTCATCGGCCAGGAAGACGATTGGAGAGATGTCGCGACGTGCCGTCGCCAACAAGGTCATCATGGCTATCATCATCCTCGTGCTCCTCGCATCGATCGGACTGATTGTCTGGTTGAAGTTTGTTCACAACTCTGGCGGCAATCCTCCCGCAACTACCACCACCACCACAACAACCACAACTGCCACTACAACAGCTACAACTGGCGATACTACAACAGGCACAACAGGCACAACAGGCACTACCGGTACGACCACCACCACTACTCCACCAACAACAACAACAACAACACAAGCTCCTACAACCACCTCTACTGCTGCTGCCACCGCCTCATTACTCCTTCGTCAAATGTTGGCGAACTAATCATTCAATCAATCAATCAATCTCGAGGATGATGGTGATCGTCATAATATTAATTAATTAATAAAGCAATGGTAATCCATGATGGTAACCATGCGTTATATATCTTGTAATAACAAACTACATATGCATTGGTGTCAAGGAGCTCTTTTGGTGGCATTCAATCAATAACAGTCGATCCGCCTGTCGTGCAATGTTGGATTTACAAAGTGTCCCTGTTTATTCCACAAATCGTTCAGTTCTTCTATCTATCTGCCTGCCTGTCTGTACATCCAAGTCCTGCTTCCTGTTTCCTTGTTATTATGATGATGATGCTGTTGTTGACCTCAAGAGATGAGAGAGTGAGTGATTATGATGAGGATTCCTGGATCGACGTTGCAATATGTGAATTTATGGGAGCTTGTGGAGTGCAAAGGTGACCTTGTCAGTCTCTTGAATAAAGATATTGCTATTGTTGTGATTATATGTTAGTGATATGCTAATGGCTGTGAAACATCGTGAATGTCAACGTCATGTAAACATACGATGAATCAGTCTCTATAGTAATGTTTGGTGTCTCGTTCTTTAATAGCTTTCCCTTCTCGATCAGAGCTCTATAGTATCCTGCGGTTGATGCGTTGGCAGATCCAGTGGCTGTTCGATTGTGATTGATTGATTCAATGTGTAAGTGAGCTGCGTAGTCGTCGTCGTTATCGTCGTCGCTGTATCATGATGATGATCATACCCTTCAAGCACAGACCTGACTCATCTACACAAACCATACCAATGACACCATTGGTCGAGGAGCTAATATGATTGAACAATGTCAGTTTCTGTTGATTGATTCCTGCTGATTCTGATGTTTGCTTTTTCAAACTTATCCATATCAATCATACCATTGAGTCAGAACATCATTCAATTGCTTATCCATTATATCTTGTTATTTGTTTATATTATATATATTTATGTATTAATAGAGTGTTGTCAGGTCAGCGTAAGTAAGAGATGGTGAGAGAGAGGAAAGACACCATGCGACATCTCATTGGAAAAATCAAAAAAAATGGAACTCTGAAGTTTGGGAACAACTTTGTCTTCTCTCACTTCGATTATCTTGGTAGTTGTATCAATTTAAGGAACTTCCAATATATATTTATATTAACAATGTATAAATGAATAATATATTGATTGATCTGGAACTATACCATATTGAGATACTAGTTTCAAGAACCTTTTAAATAGTTTAAGATATTTGTTTGTAACAGATATTTCAAGGAAATACAGATTCGAGAGTCCAAATAAATTCTCAAATTGGTTCAATGATCATCAACTCTCCCTCAATTTGGCAAACACCAACCATTCATTTCTTTCATTCTTTCATTCTTTCATTCTTTCATTCATTCATTAACTTAAATTACAATTTGTTATAATATTATATATACATATTTATTTGTTTAGATGATGGAATCACCTATGGTCATGGAGAACTTTGTAGAGATTGAAGGAAGATGGACAGATATTGAAAAGATCATAAAGAGATCAGGCCCTTTGGCTTCGCCAGACTTTGTGCCAGACACTACAGAGGCACCAACCATCAAGAATGGCCTGCAGAGTGACTTTAAGGTGTTGGTGATCGGTGCAGGTGGTCTCGGATGTGAGATCCTCAAGAACCTCGCACTCTCTGGCTTCAGAAACATCGACGTCATCGATATGGACACCATCGATGTCTCAAACCTCAACAGACAGTTCTTGTTCAGAAGAAAGGATGTTGGCAAGTCCAAGGCTGAAGTTGCCGCTGCCTTTATCAACAAGAGAGTTGCTGGTTGTAAAGTAACACCGTATGTATGATTGATTGAGTTGTTGAAGTCGAATGAATGAGTGAATGTGACTTGCTAACATTCATTCATGAATAGATACAAGTGCAGGATTCAAGAGAAGGATGATGACTACTATAGACAGTTCAAGGTCATTATTGCTGGTCTGGACTCGATTGAGGCAAGACGTTGGATCAATGGACTGTTGGTCAACTTGGTCGTCAAGGACAATGAGGGAAACATCGATCCATTGACCGTCATCCCATTGATTGATGGTGGTACGGAGGGTTTCAAGGGCCAGGCAAGAGTCATTCTTCCACGCATCACTTCGTGCTTTGAGTGCTCACTCGACTCCTTCCCTCCACAGACCAAGTACGCCATCTGTACCATCGCCAACACACCACGTGTACCAGAGCATTGCATCCAATGGGCATTGATATTTGGTCTCGAGGACAAGAGCATTCCCAAGCCATTCGATTCAAGTAAGTTGTCGATCGATAGTTCACATCGTCATCTTCGTTGCATGCCAAACTCACACCCTCCCCTCACTCCCTTCCGTACAGAGGCCTTTGACAATGACAACCCTCAACACATGACTTGGTTGTTTGAGACCGCCAAGAAGAGAGCTGAGGAGCACAAGATCACTGGTGTCACTTACAAGCTAACACAGGGTGTGGCAAAGAACATTATTCCAGCCATTGCCAGTACCAACGCTATCATCGCCGCGGCGACCTGCAATGAGGCGTTCAAGTTCTGCACAGAGAGCAGTGGATACCTCAACAACTACATGATGTACAATGGACAGAGCGGTGTGTACACTCACACCTTTGAGTATGAGATGAAGGAGGGCTGTGCTGTGTGCGGCACCAACATTGTCACATACGCTGTCGAGCCCAAGACCACCCTGTCCACACTGCTCGAGATGCTTGCCAACGACTCGCAGTTCCAGTTCAAGAAGCCAAACCTGCGCAGCAATGGAAGGAACCTCTACATGCAGGGTATCCTGCACGAGTCCACCGTTCCCAACCTCGAAAAGACTCTCGAGGAGCTAGGTGTTGGTGAAGGTGACGAGGTGACCATCACCGATCCATCACTACCAGGCAGCATTGCCGTTCGCATGAGAGTCAACTACAAGCAGACCGAGAACAAGTAATCATCCCTTTCATTCATTCAAAAGCTGATCCTGCATTTATTCAGCGAGTGATTGCAAAGTAATCAGTTGTATTTCCAACGCGTGCCATTGGACACACAATCAAACACATTAATCATTATTAAAGTATATATATCTTAGATAGATAATCAACTTCATCATCCAGGATTGATTGATTGATGGATTGACGTTCCAGTCCAGTCCATCTTCCATCTCTCATTCATCAATAACCACGAACACCAACACACGAGCGAGTTTCTTTTTTTGTTTCAAACACTCACTTCCAATCGTTTCTCTTCAAAAGGTTGAACACACACTTGAGTGTACATCAGTTTGTTTCAAACACTACTTATAAGTTATTACAGATACAGATACATACATCGATTAGTAGTTAGTTAGTTAGTTAGTACATAGTATTTAGGAAAAGAGATAAAGAATGAGCGACTGGGGTATGTGTTTGAATCATTCAACACTCAAGATAGAAAGACAATCAGACATTAATCATTGTATACAATAACAACAAATTGTAGACTCTGAAGACTTTCAAAACAAATGGGATAATGAGAATCAACCAACTGGAGATGGATTAGGTTCATGGGATGATGATGAGGAGGAACAGACTGAGAACACACAGGATACTTCGGCCGGACAGACAAACTCTGCACCAAAGCCAAAGTCAAAGGCGATGACTATGAAGAAGTTGGCCGAGCTGAGAGAGAAGGAGCAGATGGGCGTCATTCCCGAGAATGATATGGATCCATACCTGGAGAAGAAGAAGAAGCAAGAGTTGCAGGAGGCTGCCGACTTTGAGCACTCCAAGACCCTGTTTGGCGCACTGGCCGTCAACAGAGTAGAGGGTGAGCTCGACAAAATGGATCCAAAGACAGAGAAGGAGTTTGAGCAGTATGCTACTGCCGTAGCCACCTACATCACTAAATACGATGTATGTATCATCATCGTCATCATCGTCAACATCATCAATGTTCATTAACTTACTGACGACCAAACAGAAATCCTACTTCTACCCAGCTCTGCTGAAGAACATTCTGAAGCATGCTACAGTGAACAGCACTTCAGCCGAGGTAGGCGAGATTGGCAAGTCATTGACTGTCATTGTAAACGAGAAGCTTAAAGCAGAGAAGAATGCAGGTGGAAAGAAGAAGCCAACCAAAGGTATGATTGATTGATGATTGATTGATTGATCGATTGATGATGTGATTGAATGGACACTAACAACTTACTGTACTATCCAGCCCAAACAACAAAGAAGTCACTTCAAATGGACAGCGAACTGCAGGACTATGATCAGTTCAATGACGAAGACTTCATGTAAAATGATTGCAAAGCAGCGGCAGCACAATCGGCTACAGCGGCAACAACAATAACAGCAATTCATTATCATAAGAAAGGTCGTGATTAAAATGAGAATTGGATAGCAAACCAAGCAAGCAAATAATGTTTGTCTGTTGTTGTTATTATTATACACGTGACTGTCTGGTCTAGTCACGACGACTAGTACCAAGTCTTGTTGTCCTTCAAGAGCTTACTTCCTTCATCACTGGCATTGGCAGTGTCCTCCTGTGTCTTGTTGCGTTCCAGTGACCATACAACGATGATAATCAACGCATTGAATGATACCAGTCCAAGGGCGACGTAGGCCATCGTTATTCCAGTGCTCTGTGAAACATCACACTATTGATGATGATGTGTGAGCGAGAGTGTGAATGAGTGAGGGGATAGTTCCAGGGGTTGGGCCACATGTGATCACTTACAAACAAGTTCTTCCTGAACCATGGTCCAACTTGGTATAAGAAGATACTGACTGAGGCCACGATGAAGGGGATTGGGAGGAAGAATATGAATCGCATGGCGGGCATACGTCTGTAGAGTAGGGTACCAGATGGGAAGATTGACACTACAAGTAGTCCAATTGCAACAAGTAACATTATGAATGATCTTATTACCATTTGTCTAACCTCGTCAGAGTCGATGAACTTGTGACTACCACCACCATCACTACTTCCACCGCTTGGGAATAGTGTTGGTGTGGTAGTTGGGATGATTGATGGTAATGGTATATGCCATTGATCCCTAAGATCAAAGTCAAAAGGAATACCAGCAAAAGCACCCTTGAACTTATCAATATACACTGATCCTGTACCTGTTATCTTATCTATATAATATGTACATTGATTGACTGATGCATATTCATCTGATTGATTGAGTGTGAGCGAGTGTCGTGATTGATTGATTAATTGAATGAGTGAATGACATACATTTAAATGATAGTCCACATAACAATATTGCCAACAATGATATTGTACAATGAATTGCTTGAAAGAAGTATTTGTTGGTTGTCATTCTAATTATAAGTACACATGAATTAGGAAGTTGATAAAAGTGATTGATTGGTTGATCAATTTTCTCGATTTGATGGGATTCTTCAAGGTAGTTCGAGGTGCTCCAGAAAGACCACTAAAACCAAACTTGGTACAGTTCCCATCAAATATTTTATCTTTGAATCATTATTATTATTACTCCTCAAGACTCAAATGACCGAGTAAGTTTGAATGATTGAACAACAAACAATCAATCAATCAAATAATTTAATAATCGTCTCTATCTCTCATTCAGGTCTACCTTCCCAAGCTCTATGATAGAGTATTTCATTGAAGCCCACTCTTAGAGACACATTCGATCGAAAAACACAAACAATTATTTGAATGTGATCGATTGTGGTCACTGTTTTGATTGATTCCAACACAACACCACACACAAAGAGTGTCTAATTTTACCGTTATTGATGTTTTCAAACAGGTCTCTCCCACTTACTCGCCCAAGTCCTTTGTGGTGGCCTGTCCATCCATCCTTCCATCATGCTTTGACAGATTGCCTTGCTTAATTAATCATTCTCACATTGACTACCCATTTCAAATACAACAACAACCAATCATATTTATCACTTCGACTTTCGATACTAGTGAAGTAGACCAATCATTCATAGTTGTATTATTATTTAGAAAAACATATACAGAGTACCAACAAAGTATCTGATTACCCTTTTTGTCAATTACCCTATTTTGTACATACATCCAATCAATCAATCACACCAATCAATCACACCAATCAATCACACCAATATCCTGGTGCCGATTTAACAACTAATATATTATCCGATCAATCAAACATATATCAAATATATACCGTCACACTCTTAAATCACCGTTTGCCCGTCCCATTAACATCACTTACTACTTGCTTACCTTCACCCCAATCAATCACCATCACCGTCACCACAACAACAATCCCTTCAATCACATCCACCACACACGACAACATTAGTTCCCCAATCACACACACATATACCCTTAGTGGATCACAGAGAGACAGAGACAGTGATTGGAGGACTGTAGAGATAGACAGATCCAATACCACCTCCTGGAGACACAAGAGGTATCAATTCAATCTCCATTATCAACATCAACAACAAACTCGATAAATCCAAACTTGTTTTTGTTGTTATTGTTTCCAAGGGTAATTACAAAAGGGTAAGTTCAGACACCTAACAACAAAGTCATGGCCACCAGACCGAAACGTTCATCCACAATGCCATCGATGGCAACTCCACCAACAATCACACCGGCCACACCTGGAAAACATACAGCCACAACCACATCATCTTCCACCACGAGTCACGTGATCGGGGCTCCAAAAAGCTCTGCCACAACAAGTGCCAGCACCAGTGCCAGTTCTAACACCAGCACGGCCACCAACAAGACATCATTCCAATATTGGAATCAAAAGGTTGGTCCACAACCTGTCAATGGCACATCGACTACATCATCGACAACAACAACCAAGTCACTACCATCCTCTCCTTCACTCCAAGGTCAAACGGCCACACCACCATCGACCACTACTTCCAAACTTGCAGTCGCGCCCAAGTCTGCAAGTGCCACAACCTCATCGACATCATCCTCTTCCACAGGTCCTAACAAAGTACCTCCTCCTCGTCCCCATCCTATATCGACTCCAACCCCAACAACCAACACAACCTCATCATCAACAACATCAACTACAACTGATTCAAAAACATCAGACGATCAATCAAACATGGTATTCAAGACATCATTCACACTTCCATCGAGGCTGAAGACTGGTCAGGCATCTTCTTCATCATCAGGATCATCAACAACAACAACATCATCATCCTCCGACAAGAAGGGTATTAAGAGTATAATATCAATGGTGTGGACACCAGACGCGTCCACTCCATCAAGTTCCAAGACTGCAGCGGCCTCAGCCAAGAAGGCACCGGCTGTCCCTCCCAGGAGCTACATAGGCGAGACACCATCCCAATCAACACCAACTACATCAACATCAACAACTACACCTGCTGCCACGGCACCAGTGTCGAGCGCGACAACCAAAGTGGCTACGCCAGCAACTACCATAAGCCACGAGCCAGTAGCTACTGTGACTGCCACAGCACCATCATCCGTGGCAACAACATCATCAACCAAGACACCTTCAGTGGTGACCAAGGAGCAACAAGGTGATAAGGAACGTCTGGCACACTTGGAGGCAAATGTGATCAAGTTGACATCAATGGTCGATGAGTTGAACACTAGTTTGAAGAATGAGCGACAACTTAACATTGAACTCGATTCCTATTGCCATGACCTAGAGGCCAGACTACATGTGGCGGAGGGCAAGTTGAAGCGTAACTCTGCCAATGGATCATCCTTACAGACGAGTCAGCTGGCAACGGCTGATGGTGCCAGCAGCTTGGACAGTACCGCACAACAATATGAGGAACAGATCAGCGGGCTGCAATCACGCGTTGCTTCATTGGAGCAGCGCATCAAACGAATGGAGTCGAGCCAGGTCGATCAAGAGCACGGCAGCCTAAGGGAGCGCGACAACAGCTTCACCTGCTTCTCAGACAGCGAGATTACAGACAGCGAACTCAAGTCCAGTTTGAAGAAGAAGAAGAGGAAGGGCAGAAGCGGCTCGCCAGACTTCACGCTATCACTCAGCCTCTCGCCCAAGAAGGTGGGCTTCATCGATGATGTGATGGCCATTGACGAGTCTGCCGCCGCAGCTGCCGTCGCCGCCGCCCACAAGAAAAGTCCAAACAAACGGTGGATGAGCAAGAGGACCTACTCCAACGACAGCAGTGCGAGCAGCCTCTCGTTCAGCGCCACCGATCAGGCCGCCGGGGAGGACGATGAGTTCCTCTCGACAGAGGAGCGCGCCAACCTCACCAAGGGCTTCTTCACCAACCTCTATAGCAACGCAGATGCCGAGGAGTTGAAGCGAGAGAAGCTCATCCGCATGCGATCCAAGTCGCTAGTGTCCAGAGACGCGACTGCTAGCGAAGAGTTCACATTTGGCAAGACCTCGCCCCTCGTTATGTCAGCTTCCACCAGTGCTCTATCATCGCAGAGCCAACAACAGTCCATAGCCAGTGCACTTGAAGAGTTGGACAGTTATGGTATGTCATCATCCAGACCAGGGCGCTTCTTTGGCGGCACGACACACAACTAACACCGCCCAATCACTCAATCACACTGACACAGAGAAGAAGAAGTCATCATCGATTGGAAAGATGTTTGGAAAGAGCAAGGCAAAGACATTCAGTGGAGACAAGCACAAAGTGTCTTTGATATTGTCCGAGAGACTCAACCATCGATCATCAAGGGATGACCTCATCTTGAAGAATATTATCATGTCCGAGTCGATATTTGGACTGAGCATCAATGAGGACACGGTGGAGCGCGTGGCAGCATTCATCAGGAGTTGCACAGAGGTGTTGTTGACACATCGACAAGAGGATGGCCTGTTCACCAAACGTGTGGACGACGCAGAGTTGGCCGCGTTCAAGAGGTCGGTCGAGCACATTGTGCCAGGCAGCGACAACAGCGCTTTCAATATTAGCAATCCGCATATTGTGGCAGCTGCCCTACTGTATGTGTTTGAGCGATTGTCCGAACCAGTGTTGGGTCGCTACGCCACTCAACTACTTTCAATCGTGGCGATTGAGGACCATCCCCTTCGTCGAGCATTTGCCCGTGCCACACTATTCTCCATGGCGCCAACACACAGGATGTTGCTCAAGTTGGTACTCCAGTTCCTGCGCGACATGGCCACCTCTGGCGTACCCGCAGCGTCGGAACCAGCCTCCCCAAGCAGTGGGGAGACATCACCATTCACCCTGTTGTCTGTGACGCCAATCTCTGGTTCGCCAGTCATCGACTCGGCCAAGCCCGCGCCACAACAACCAATTATCGATCCAGCTCGAATGGAATTAATATGCACGGTCTTTGCCAAGGTGCTGTACAGGGCTGGCTTGGACACTGGTCGCACGGCACTGTCGCTACGCCAGTTGGCCGACGACTTTGAATCACACTTTGACAACAACGTCGACTTAACATTCATCATCAAGGACATCTCCTACGTCAAGCATGCATCGTTTGAGCGACTGTTTGAGCGTCTACTCGACCTAAACAACCGCGACACTGACTACAACTACACGGTCTTCTACACGTACGACTACTACTATGGATCAGCAACCGAGTTCCTCGAGCAACTGATCGTCTACTTCAAGAAGACCGTGCCACCAGCCACCGCCGACGAGGCTGCCGGCGTCGCACCCACCAAAGGCTGGCAACTGGAGCTGGCGCTCACCGTACTCTCTGTCGGGCTGTTCTGGATGAAGCTACATCACAAGCATCTGAGCACGGACCTGCTGTTCTTGGCCAAGCTCAAGGCATTCATCGATCTGCACAGTCCAAAGAGCGGCGGCGCACCCACCAGCAACTTCTTCACCTACTTCCGCTCGTTCTTCCAGGCGGTGCCTGTCAAGACGCTCAACTCCTACTCGAGCAACATGTATCGCACGGCCACACTGTCGCACAAGATCAAGGACGAGCACGGCATTGACGTCTATCAGTTGGGGGCAGAGGTGGTCGCGTCACAGATCACCCTCATCGATATGGAACTGTTCACGGCGATCCCTCTGTTCCAGTTCCTGCACAAGGCGTTCATGACTGCAGATCGCTCGCCAGAGTTCCAGCAGATGGTCGCACGCTTCAATGTCTGGGCTCGCTGGACATCCACCGAGATCTTGGCTCGCGAGCGCGCACAGGATCGCGTCAACACATTGGCCTACTTTATAGAGTTGGCCAAGTGTTGTGTGGACATTGGTAACTACAGCGCAGCGTCATCCATTGTTGGAGGACTGAATCATGCGTCGATCAGTCGACTGAGACATACATGGGACAAGCTGTCGGCCAAGACCGCGGCAGACTACAAGGCGTTGGAGACATTGTTTGACATGTCGATGAACTACAAGAACTATCGCGAGACGATCAAGTCGTCGCCGACATCGGTGGTCGTGCCATACCTGGCCATCATCACCAAGGATCTATTTGCGATTGAGGAGGCCAATGAAACATTCACGGCCACTGGATTGATCAATATGGAGAAGTTCCGATTGATCTATAAGATCATTAAGGAGTTGCAGGCCTGTCATCAAGTGTCCAATCTCAAGTTCCAATTGATTGAGCCACTCAAGAAGCATCTTCTCGGCATACCCAACACCATCCAACTACTAGACGACAAAGAGCTACAAGTACAAAGTCTAAAAGTAGAGCCAAGGCAGACTATCTCATAAACATTATCCATTATCCATTCATTATCCAATATCCATCTTGACAATGAATGAAAGGTTGAGTTGAGTTGTGTTGTCTCTTTTGCAAAAGTGTTTGAAAATCGTTGACTTGTTAATTAAATTAATAAAAGTGTGAAGACAAGTGTGGATGCGTGATATCTCATTGACGATGGGAATCGATTCAAGTGTGTGAGTCACTTCACATAACTGACCACAACTCACACCTTTGAACTCAAGTTCACGATACACACACCCACTTGTATATTTGTTCACTGTTGTTATATTTACAACCTTGTTATATATACATTTGAACATCATAATAATTATATATATATATATATTACCTAACTATATCTATTTGCTAAACCTACACACAGATTATGTCATCAATGGGAGAAGGAGAACATTCAACATCCTCCTCAACAGAGGACCACGTCTACACAGAGATCGTTCAGTTTATTGATCACAATGGAGAGATTATGTATGTGTTTATAACTGATTGATCAATCAATCAACCAATCAAACAAACAATCATGATTGACCAACACATACACTCATATACTGCATTGTAGAAAGGAAGAGACTGATAACAAGAAATCATTCTTGTCTTGTTTGTCAGAGAGAAATGACTTTTTGAAGAGTGGATTCGATTACTCTGTGATTGCGATCTTGGGTCCACAGTCTAGTGGAAAGAGTACATTGCTAAACTTGTTGTTCAAGACAAAGTTTGCTGTGATGGATAGCTCTCATGGTAGACGTCAGACCACACAGGGTGTCTGGATGGGCATTGCCAATATGGAGACGGCACCAGAGACCTACCTGATTCTGGATGTTGAGGGTACTGATGGTCGTGAGCGTGGTGAGGATGAGAAGGCATTCGAGCGTAAGACCTCTCTATTCTCCCTGGTCCTCTCATCCGTGCTCATCATCAACATGTGGGTACACGACATTGGACGTTACAACGCTGCCAACATCTCATTGCTAAAGACTGTCTTTGAGCTCAACCTACAGTTGTTCCAAAAGAAGAGGTAAGTCAATGTCATTCGTTCATTCATTCATTCAATCATTCATTCCACTTACATTTCCATCTCTTCAACAACAACAACAAAGCAATCACAAGACACTTTTGTTGTTTATTATCAGAGACCACGATGGTCAGACACCCTTGGAGCAGCTCAGAGACACCTTGTTGCAAGATGTCACCAATGTTTGGACAGAGTTGTCAAAGGTATAGATCAATCAATCATGTGGATACCCAGCAACAACATTCAACATGTATACTAACTCAATTGACAACAACATACATATATAGCCCAAGGACTTTGTTCATTCAAAGGCAACAGATTTCTTTGACTTTGAGTTCACATCGTTGCCACACAAGGTCTACTGCCCAGAGCAGTTCTTGGAGCAGGCCGCCCAGTTGAAGGGCCGTTTCTTGGACTCGTCGGCACCAGACTACATCCCCAAGAAGCAGTACAGACATGATATCCCATCGGATGGTCTCTACCAATACTCAAACAACGTTTGGGAGACGATCAAGACCAACAAGGATCTGGACCTGCCCTCCCAGAAGGAGATGCTGGCACTGTTCCGTTGTGACGAGTTTGTCGAGGCCTCCTACAACAGCTTCCTGGCCGAGCTCAAGCCGGTTCGCGAGAAGATCGAGCGCGGCAAGTTATTCGAGAAGTACGGTGAGACTGGCAAGCGTCTTTTGCAGCAGTGTCTCGAGCTGTACGACATCCCCGCGTCGAGGTACCACGAGGAGACAGCGGCCAAGAAGCGCTCGGGTCTCAACGACCGCGCCATGCTCGAGTTGAAGACCCTGTTCAACAAGCAGATGGAGAAGTTGTACGAGCAGTCCATCGACTTTTACAAGTCACTGGTGCAGGACACCGTCGCCAACAAGAAGTCCGACGCGCCAGGCGCTCAGCTGATTCCACACTTTTCTGTGTGGTCCAAGAGCATCAAGCAGCAGACATTGGAGTACTATGAGCGATTCGCCAAGGAGTCTGTTGTTCCCGGTTCGTCGTGGGACTACCAGCCCGACCTGGACCAACTCGAGGAGAAGATCACCAAGGAGCTCGAGGCACTGCGTGAGAGCCAGTTGAACAAGTTGGCCAAGTTCATGAGGGACGTTGTGTTCCAACAGATCAACCCACAGCTCATCAAGCTGACAGAGCAAGCCAAGGATGATATGTGGCGCAAGATTGCCGAGTTGTTGTCCGAGTCATTGTCAAAGAATGAGAGTGATTACAGAAAGAGACTTGAAGGTATGTAGTTTGACAACATTATCTCATGGACCGACACTTACTAACTCACTCATTCATTACAACATACATAGACTTTGATGTAAAGGAAGAGGACATTGAGGATACATTGGTAGCATTCAGGTCTAATGCCAAGGATCAGTTGAAGGCAAAGATGAAGGAGAGAGTTGAGTTCTTGAAGCTTAGGATGAGAAAGAGATTCGAGGAGACATTCAGCTTTGATGACAAGAAGCTGCCGAGAAAGTGGTCCAAGCATGACGACATTGCAAAGATCTTTGAGGAAGCTAGATTCAATGTATGTATTATCATTGATCATCATACAACTACTTGTCCACGGCCCAGCTCACTAACCACACTTCATCACCAACAACTATTGTAGGCTGAGAAGCTGATCGATCTATTCTCCTATATGAGACTGCAAGAGGAGGAGTTTGAATTCACATTCTTCACAAAGGAGGACGCTGATGAGTCGTCCTCTTCATCAGCCTCTTCATCGTCAAAGACATCGGTGCCATCAGTCATCATCCAACCATCTCAGATTATCATGACCTATGAGCAATGCGTCGACTTGGTGGACAACTTTAGACTGGACACAAAGACTGACTATATGAATGCTCTCAATGACCAGGCAAAGGCTTCGAGCAGCGGTGGAGTACCAGGCTACATCATACTATTACTCTGTATTTTAGGATTCAACGAATTCATTGCAGTCATTACCAATCCACTCTTGTTGGTCCTGACGATCCTGGTTGGATCAGGTGCCTTTGTCCTTCACAAGCTCAACATGACCGGACCATTCATCGATTTTGCCAGTTCGCTAGTGGTGCACGTCATGAACAAGATCAAGGACATCATCATGCAAGTTGAGCACCTCTCTCAGCATCATCCAGAATCACGTGATTCATCAAAGAAGAAGAAGGACTAAGACACACAGACACTTGGCGATTACTACCTAACTTGGGTGCCACTGGAATTAACCACGTTGCAGATTCAATAATATTATTAATCTATCTTACTTTAACTCTGCTCATTGTTTATTGATGTTTGCCATGTACCGATCTTTTGGTTGTGTATCAGATTTCACCAATGCTCATTAGTGATAGTTTAACCAGTTCAAATTTACCGATTGTCATAATTAATTAGTATGATGAGGTGCCGGATGTGCGGTGGAAAGAGTCCTTGGTGCCTTTCGTCCTTTAATATAAAGAGATGTACTCTTAATATTATTGAACGTTCACTTGAGAGTATGACAGTTAGTAACTGAAGACCCACTGTCTATGAATGAACGAATGATATAAACTTATTTATTTATATATATAATGCTTGATTGGTGTAACAAGAGGACATACCTTGAGAGTATGACAGTTAGTAACTGAAGACCCACTGTCTATGAATGAACGAATGAAGTGATTGAGTGCGCGAAGCGACATCAAAACACTTTGGAAAACGAATCATTCGACTCTGGAAGTTCCTCATGTTACAGTCCCTTTTTTTTGCAGGTCCAAAATAACAAAAGATTGGGCTCCACCGGGAATCGAACCCAGACCACTACCACCCAAAGGTAGTATTGTACCATTCAACTATGGAGCCTATGAAGTTGGCAAGATTAATTAATCAGTAAAAGTGTCGAGGTCCAGCTCCTGCCGCCAAACAAAAATAATCCCCCCTAATAATTCAACCTTCATCCCAACTTCATAGGCTCCATAGTTGAATGGTACAATACTACCAAAAATCAAAATCAAGGCTATCCATAGACAACTTAGACTGAGGCGATAAGTAAGTGATAATGGATATAGTAAACTAGTTTAATGCTTCTTCTTGGCAGAGATAATGGTGAGGTAGATGCTCCAGGCAAATCCAACCAAGTTACCAAAGAGCACACGAAGATGGGGTGGGACAAACTTGAACTGTTGTTGTGTTTGTGTTAGATTATTGAAAAACATGATCAATCAGCAGCTTCTATGTCTACTACTTACGTTGATGAACTGGGCAAGTGGCCACACCTTCCAACTGGCCATCAAGGTTGGGATCAGATCAAAGTAGAGCTTGATGAGGATGGCACCTGGCTTGCCGTCCAACAGTGACAACACAGTGTAGAACAGGATATTGATGAATGGTGCAAAGATAAGCTGATCAACAACGAGCTATTGATTGTTAATTGATAGATTATATGAGTGTTAGTCATATGATTGATTGATGATTGCACACACTCCATCATTCAATTCAATGATTGATCTATAGTTACCTTTCCAATTGCTTGATACTTCTCCTTGACGTTTCTAAAGAGACGCTCCAAGAATATGTGCCAGAAGTGTCCAACTGGTGAGGCCAACAAGCCCCAGATGGTGAACTTGATCACACGAGACCAATCGATCTTCTTGCCCTCAATGACACGCTGAGCGAGCACGTTTGAGGTGAAGGACAATGTGGCCGAGGTGAGAGCCTTGGTTGAGATTGGATTGGTTCTCAATCTCTTCATGTACCATGCGGTGAACTCATTGATAACAGATGATGGCTTGGAGTTTGACATGTTTGTATCTGGTCGTCGTCTACTCTTTCTATATCTATATATATCTATCTTTTTATATTATTATCTGTCCTAATATAATATAGTATTATATAGAGTGAGGTATGAATGAATGGATTATGGTGATCAATGATCAATCACTTGGGGAGTGGGAACAATCAACCAAACACCTTTGTTCGACTTGAAAAAAATGATCTGATCAAACTTGTGTGAGCTTGGACCCCTGACAGGGTCTTCTTGGCCCTCTCAAGATGTAAGGGCACACACTGAACACTCCTTTGGAATTACCAACAGACGTCTTCTCTATCTCTCTCTTTATTGGCACATACCATTAACAATGTTTACCAACTCATTGTTTGCTTGAGCAATTGATCGAAGTAGTACCATTCTTTTTTCTTTGAGTTGGTCAGTCTGTGCTTGGTCCTGTCCAACTATCGTATCGATCAATACATCCTTTGATGTCTCCTATATTTGTTGTAGTTTGTTAGTCATTTGAATAGCTGGATTGAATGATTGATCACTTACAGAACCTGATAACAAAATATCCTTGATCATGTCTACCTTGATATTATCTGTTTGTATCTTTTGTTCTTGTTCCAATGTGGCGGTGGATGGGAATAGATGTCCAATAATATGATGCTTGGCAATACGATAGAGTATTGATGCCTTCTTTGGTGTCACCTTTGATTGTGATATGGCATTCTTATACAACTGTAACAATGATTGATCAGTCTCGATCGGCTCGAGATATCCATCTGTGCCCAATGGCAGTGATTGTTGCAGTTTGCCACTGCCCAGTGGCGGACATAAGAACTGGGGCGCAGAGAACAGCTCGCTCCACACCAACTTCCTAAACTTGACCGGGTAGTGCTGGCGCAGGAATATCCAGACGTAGTTGGAGAAGATGTCCGAAGAGTATGACGCCGACATAAAATGTGCGATAAAGTCCGTGAAGAACTGGAAGAATCGCTCGCCAAAGTACATCGTAAAGTCAAACTCGACAATCACATTCTCCTCACCTGACTCCTCCAACTCTGACTTCTCCTCCTTCAACCTCCTAATCAAGATATTGAATATCTGTGTCAGTTGATCTATGATCGTCTGGGAGATCCAAGGTTCGCACTTGATCAAGAACACCATCATCATATGTTGATAAACGTTTTCCAATGGTATTGATTGTATATCTGTTGTGTCGGTCATGGTTAGTCAATGATTGAATGATTGATTGATGTGAACAGCGTAGCATACATTCAGAGTTGATGTTGAAGAGTGCTTGGAGGAATGAGAGTGTGTTCTCGACCAACGTGTGCACTTCAGCCTCGTCTTCATTGTCTTCTTCCTCGTCATCATCGCCAAAGTCATCATGTTTGTTCTTGCCACCAACTATATCCTGTGACTCATTGTAGAGGTACTGCAAAGGTGTGTTGTACCAATCATAGGCCAATGGTAACAACGAGTCATAGCTCTCCAATGATATAATCAATGATTGTGGAATGATACCCTTTGATTCCTTTGAACATTGGAACTGTCTCGAGAATGTCAATGCTATAAAGTATGTGATTGAAGGGTTAGCAATTGATTGCTCGAGGTCCACGCGCCCCACACAAGAGTAATGTACATACTTGATGAAGGCAAGAACTTCTCTTGATAGAAGGAGAGGAGAACAGTGGAGGTATTTCTGGACTTGGTGCAACCAATCAGCTCAAGGTAGTCGGGATGCAGTGTGACCGTTTGAAGAGTGTGGTAGAGGAGAAGGTCGTCGTGGGGGAGGAAGTTGTGTACCAGGGACATGCTGGCTGCATGGTGGAACTTGGGGAATGATGGATCAAAGTTGTCATCATTCTCAAGTCTGAGTTCATTCATCAAGCGCAGCAAGAAGTAGTACAAATATGTCTTGGATCTATTATTCGTCAACAATAGTACTCTATCTTCATCAAAGTGTGTCTGTTCATTGAACGTTATTGTTAGTTATTGATTGATTGATTGATAATATAACTTACACTCTTATAATCGATGGTAGAGACGAGGATTGAATGGAGTTGGATGAAGAAGTCACACTTGTCCATGTGGAATATAAGTTTGCCAATTGATCGATTCTGTTGCACGCCAATGAGTAGGTATCGTGCGATTGCCAGCCACCACTCACACGATTCTCCATCGTAGAACCTTGTGATTGTGTCACTGCTGGTTGGTGTTGACTGCGATGGTAGGACACCGAGCATCCTCTTCTTGATATCGGTGTACAATGAAGTACTAAATATAGAGTTGAATAGGTTGTTGGTAAAGTGTTCAAACATCTCCAGCACTGTTGGGTGAGACTTGGCCGCGGCGGTGGCGGTGGCGGGTGTTGCTGATGGCATTGTCAGCTTCACGGGCGTCTTGATGAGCGATGAGGCAATGGAGAAGTATGAGCCAACAAAGTGAATGATTGCAGAGTGTAAGCCAATGACGTTGTATGATTGATGTGTCGAGGAGTGCTCTTTGAAGCTGTGATATATGACGCTGACGGTGTGCGAGATGATGCCAGCTGGCTCAACAAAGGCTGACAACTTGTCGAATATCTTGGAGCTCTGTTCCGACGAGTCAAAGTCAATGACGAACAACAGAGTGTCCAACATGTTGTAGATTGCTCTAACAATCTGGATGTACTGATTGTTCTTGATGTCGTCCAGGCTGTTGTTGTTGTTGTTCGCCACACTGTTTGATGGAGTTGTTGAAGAGTCTGACAGTTGATATGAATGTTGATTGATATAGTCTGAGAATTGTTGGACAAAGTCCATGGCGGATGTGGAAACCACGTTGACAATGTAGTCCAAGTTGATGTGATACAGTGCCAGTACTCTAAAGAACTTGGTGCTCTCCAACAGCAAATGTTGTTGTCCAATGGGCAACACTGCGGTAGTCGATGTCGATGATGATGTTGTATGTTTCATGCTGTCCCATGCACATGACTTGACAAGATCAAACAGTGCGAATTGGGACGAGCACAGTCGGACGGCCAGCTCTCTGGACGCCTGACAGAGTTTCCTCAACAAACGAATGACCTTGGCCTTGAGCAGTGGATCCTGAGCCGGCTTGGAGAGTATGTTGTCGCGAATGCCATCGATGAGGAAGTGACTCTTGACCACCTCCTCGGCCAACTCACTCGAGTGTCTCGCCATTCTGATCAGTATGTCAATCAGTAGTGAAGCCTTGGCACTGTACTCTGTGTCCAACGCGTCGTTCACAAGCAGGTATCGCACACGACTCAACAGTCCAATGTCAACTAGACCCGCTAGAAGATCACGGAAGCATCGCTCATCGTCGTCCAGCTCCTCATCAGGCTCGCTCTCTCTCTTTGGGAATGTCGGGTTGAGATTGAATTGCACCTGATGCTTTGGTTTGATTGAGATGGCTTCGTAGGCGCGATGTGTCCTCGACTCTATCATCTCGTACATCTCCTCCTCAGGCACAGGTACAATCAATGCATGAAGGCACACAGTTGCCGCCGCCAAAACAGTCGGTATCTTATTGTCAATCAATGTCCTCAGCAGTCTTGGTAGCTTCTGTTTCAACATCTCAATGAACAACAATGACTCTGTTTGTTTGGTTTGGAGTAAGTATCATTCAATCAATCAATCAATAAATCAATCAATCAATAATGTCACTTACTCTTGAATGGGTAATAACTTCTGTGTATCTTGTGAAGGATGGCAGCAAGTGTGCGCAGGGACATTGATATCTGTGAGATGTTGGTACTCTTGGCCAATTGGACAAGCTCGATGATTGTGTAGCCAGCCTCTGCAGCCTCATCTCCATGATGATGCAAGCCCTTGTGTGTGGGCAGGTCCTCGCCACGCTTCAGCACATCACCCTTAAAGTCGAAGCGCCACTGTACAAAGTTGGTGGCCATCTCCTTAAAGGTGGCCTGAGAACGATCAGTGTCTGTGAGGTCCTTCATCCAATCTGGCATGTCCTCATCAGTCTGTTGAAGTTGTTGTTGTCCCAGCTGAGCATCATCATCATCACTGTCGTCCATTGGCTGTACAGTTGACTCTATTTCGCTATTGAGTTGTTCCATCACCATCTTGCCAATGGGATCATTGTTGTTGTTGTTGTCAGCTGCTTCGGAGGATTGTGGCGCTCTCTTTGTGAGCTTGGCAATGAGTGATGGATCAAGATGTTTGAGAAGATACTGCTGACTCTCAAGGATCTCTTGCTCTGACATCCTTGATAGTTTGTCACTGTTCTCTTTGTCAATCGCCTTTCTCTCATCTTCTGGTTTGTTGATGTTGGAGGCGCCTCCATGCATGTCGTCGACAACTTGAGGGGGCTGCTGCTGTTGCCTCTCCTTTGAGAATGACTTGATTGATCGATGTACGGCCACGGGGAATGAGCCCTGGTTCTTGCGTTTGGGTGGTTCGAATATGGCATCAGATACATCTCGTTCATAGATCTTTGATATTACTGATGTGATGTGTGTGTCTTGATCATCGAGCATCATCTCCACATCGTCATCAGCTGACTCGATTCGAGGTTGTGGCACTGAAGGGTTCATTGTGAATGAAGGTGGCTGCTTTGATTGAGTAGCAGCACCAGGTCCATCATCCAATGACACTACATCCCTCTCAACAACCTCATCAATGATTGGTATCTTATTACTAGCACTATTCTGTTGTTGTTGTGTTTTGAACTTTGAGAATGACCTGTTGTTGTTGTTGCCAGTGTTGCTGCTATTGCTACTCTTGTTGACAACAGGTGGAGGTGCACCTCTTACTACTGATGCCGATGACTTTTCACCACTTTGTAAGAACTCTTGTTGTTGTTTCAACAGTTGACGAGTGAGCAAGTCATCATCTTCATCATTCATCATATCATCATGTTTTCTACTCATCTCTTCTTTGTTTGATTGATTGATTGATTGATTGAAGTGATAAGTTATATATATTGTATAACTAATTAAACACGAAGATTCAAACTGAATGAACTTGAACTCTAAACGAACAAGAAGGCACTTCCTTTTACTTCTTCGCGAAAGTTGCACTTCAACGAACTTCAAAAAGTTTAGTTCTAAACTTGATTATTGGTTGAATCAAAGAATGTCAAGCAACCCATAACATTATTTAATGGGTGTGGCCCCGAACAACAATGTTGTTTAGGCTACTCTAGTCTAGGATTCAAATATAATAATAATAACAAGATATTAAGGCATACAACACTGTGATTCTAGTTAAATTCAAACAAACTTAATATCAAAAAAGTAATTAAATAAATTAATAATAATAATAAGGATGTCGACAATATGATTCTGTTGAAGCGTCATCCCTCGAATATATATAAGATGGACCGATGTAGTTTATTAATATTGCATTGCATTGGTAACTATGACATCCAACCAATCATAATCATCAACCAATTTATACATCTAATCTCACTTCACACCACACTTTATTAGTTATCCCGGATTGGATTGGAGTACAACGCTCCGCCACCTCCTTCACTAACTCACCACAACACCCCTCCACTTTACTCCATTCATTTATTCATTCACCTTATACCTACCAATCAATCAATCAATCAATCAATCAAGTTAATCATCTGCCTCTCTTGATTACAGACTCCCAGGCTTGACAAACCAAGTAGCTCACACTCAATCGTCAATCTTTGTCTTGGCTGTCGACTATATCACACCACGTAGCATCACATCACATCAACAACATCATATTAACGAGGGTTTATTATTACCCTTAATGGACTCTCCCTGATCCTCAAGGGATATAAATGTGAACTTGATTGGTTGTTTGTTTGGATTGTCATTGTTGTTGGTATTAAATACCAAAAGTTATATCCTATTATTATTATTATTATTATCTCAAACAAACAATGTATTCTATCAAACAATATTTGATAGTAGTAGTCTTTGGTCTTGCCCTCTTGATGGCGGGACATGTCAACTCTGAGACAACTACATCCAACTCGACACAATGTATCGCCGATGTTGAAAAGATGCAAATGTTCTCAGACTTCCTCAATGATGTTCAAAGTATGTATCCAATTAATGAATGCATTGATGAATGAATGAAAGAAGTATATATACTAACTTAATAATGATAATAAGTGTTCACTTATAGTGGACGTGGAGTTAATGACCTTGGTAATATTGATGGTTGTTTGATGTTACCATCGAATGTATCACACTTTTGTATGTTCCAATCAAACATTGACATACCAGGCTCATTCAGTATGACTTCGGCATTGATGTATACCATTGGTCTGTGTCTACCTCCAAGCTGCAAGACCACCGATGAGATTATTGCCGCCATTCAACAACTGCAACAATCTGCTGCTGTATTGGTGCCCGTTGGAAACATCACCAACAGTCATTGCTATGACAATGTCGAGGATGAGACCTACAAGTACTGGACCACCGGAGCAATCGTTATGCTATGTGTCTGTGTGTTCTTTGCCTTCATGGTCACCATTGGAACATTGATGGAGGCCTACTTTGACTATGATATGAAGAGAAAGAGACACATGGTCATGGACCAATTTGATGAGCTTCAGCAAGGTCTGTTGGATGACGAACCTAATCGTGCCTATGACGATGATCATCGACCTACCCCATCAATGGCATGTCGTGTATTCCTTGCTTTCTCTTTGATCACCAACTACAAATCATTCTTTGGTGGCGCATCGTCCAAGTCCTACTTCCACCCATTGGACGGTATTAGAACAATGTCAACGTGTTGGGTCATCCTAGGCCACTCGATAATCTTCACCATGTTCCCTGGTCTGGACAATCTCCAATATGTCTGGTCGATCGCTCGTGAGAAGTTATCATTCCAAGTGTTTGTGGCTGGTGAGTTTGCCGTTGACGTCTTCTTCTTGCTCAGTGGCTTCCTCGTAGCCCATGCCGTGCTCTCGCAGTTTGATCGAATGGACAATCATGGCGAGCGCATTGGACCAATGTTCTGGCTAAAGTATCTCCTTCATCGCTTCCTCCGTCTGTCACCATTGATGTACTTCCTCCTGTTCTTCTTCTGGAATCTAACTCCAATGATGGGAAGCGGTCCACTCTGGTACCAGATGATTCAAACACCAAACACCTGCGACAAGTACTGGTGGACCAACCTGCTCTACATCAACAATGTCTACCCCACCAACATGACCGAAGAGTGCTTTGGTTGGGGCTGGTATCTGGCCAACGACATGCAGTTCTTCATCCTGGCTCCATTCGTCTTCCTTGCCTTCCGCCAATCTCGCATGCTTGGATGGTCATCGATCATTCTTCTCCTGGCCGCCTGCTTCACGTCCAACATCTGGGTGTCCCTCAAGTATAGCATCCCTACATTCTTTGAGTTTGGCCAGTTCGTCCCAACCGATTGGTACCAAGACCTGTACCAAAAGCCATGGTACCGAATGGGACCCTATGTGGTGGGCATCGCCGCGGCATATCTCCACATCAACTCCACCGTCAAGCACCTGTACAAGAGATTCTGGATCAGATGGACCATCTATCTCTTGGCCTTTGGCATCACATTCTTCTTCACATACATACCCTACACCAACTATCATGGCAAGTCATGGAACATGACAGAGAACGCACTGTTCAATGGATTCGCTCATACCATGTTCCCAGTGGGCGTCACAATGTTCATGTTGGCCACCTTCTATGGACATGGAGGCATTGTGCGTGAGTTCCTTCAGCTACCCTTGTTCCGATACCTTTCAAAGTTGACCTACTCTGCATACTTGATACATCCAATCGTGATCTTCACCGCTCAGCTATCATTCTACAACTATGCTCACTATGCAGTCTATCCATTTACCTGGCTGTTCACTGCCAATCTCGTCATCTCATTCGCATGTGCATTCATCGTTCATCTTACCATCGAGAAGCCATTCGTGAACCTAGAGCGACTCTTATTCGCAGAGTCTCATCGATCAGACAAGCTTGTACAATAAACATCTGATTGGAATGATTCCAAAGTGTGTCCAATATACTTTGATAGATTGATTGTGATTGAGTGATTGAGAATGATGACAATTGAAAGGGCCAAGGACCCAATGATCATTCAATTTGGCATGTCCTTTTCAAACAGATACATTAATAGATAATGTGATGATCACCTCCAACTCGTTCACATTCAAGTCATTACATATCTCTGCACTTAGATCAATCATTGGATACATTGATGATAATGTTGACCAACTATGTTTCTTCTTGAGCGAGAAGTACTTGTACGATCTGGCCGCACAGCTATTCACACCAATCTACTTTGATCGTCGTGAGATCGGTCACTACTTCAACAGCTTCGACCTCTACTATGACGCGCTCTGCACCGAGGAATCAGTTCGCAACGATGTCTTGCTGCCTGGCGACAATGAAAACAGCAACACCCCACCGACAATGATGAGACATCTATTCACCTATTGCATTAAACGATGTAAACAGCACATGATGTCAATGATCAATGGTGATGAAGAGTTGCAGCGGTTGGTCGCGTCTGGGCTGTCAATTGAGCTCGACCCCTCCTCCACCACCGACTACCTCAAGATCAAGTGCAGGTCATACATCACACTTGAACCTGGCATGCTATCCGAGTCAATCGTGCATCTTATACTGCATGACAGCTATGTCCACCCTATCTTGCCGGGGACACTACCATCAAGATTGCAAAGCCTAACATTTGGAACATACTTTGATCAAACATTGGATGATCGTGCACTACCTCCAAGTCTTACCTCGTTGACATTCGGTGGACACTTCAAACAAGAGTTGAAGCCAGGTACATTGCCCAGCACACTTACAACCTTGAAGTTTGGCGTGATATATAACAAACAACTTATGGCTGATGTGTTACCGTCATCACTCACCAGCCTGACTCTGGGTGATGATTTTAATCAGATCTTGTTGCCAGGCACACTACCGTCGCGACTAAAGACATTGGTTATTGGGCATATGTTCAATCAAAAGATCAATCGCGATGTTCTTCCAAATGGACTGGAATATATCACGTTTGGCGATGCACTCAATCAGTCTATTGAGTTTCTCAACTTGCCTCCAAGTATCAGGCAACTCAAGTTTGGAGTTGATTACGATAAGCCATTTCCCCCCAACAGCCTGCCTCCGGCATTGACCGACCTCTCACTCCCAAGCAAACAATATATAACATTGAAGCTCAAAGGACTGCCTGCATCATTGACCATGCTGAGCCTAGGAGGAACATACCAAGTGTGCGAGAAGTCATTCCCCCCCACTACAAACAACATGAAGACAGTCATACTCAAGAAATATAAGTTCTCTGGCGACAAGTTTAGAAGAACACTCAAGTCACTTCCATTGATGACACGCCTCCACTTTGATTACTTGTTGCCGTTTCCCATACAAGGCGACACATTTCCAAACACATTGACACATCTATCATTTGGCGACTCGTTAAATCAGGACATCGCACATGCCATACCCAACACTTTGGTACATCTTCAAGTTGGATCATACTTTACACATTTATTATGTAAATTACAAGATTGGATACATATCACTTATGTAAGAATGTTATACTCTAATCAATTGGTCAGAGATAATCTTATACAAATAATCAAAGGATTGTATCTTAAATCACCTCCAAATATTCAACGAATAACATTGGCATTATATTGTCATGGCAATTCAGGATTCCGACAAAGGCTGGAAGTATACCGACTTGGAAATGACAATTATCTGGCTTTGACTCCGTCACTAAAGGGAGGATTCTTTAATCTTAATTAAATAATATAATATTATATTATTATATTATATATTATATTATTCATTCAAGTGATTGAGACTAGATACCTCCCTCACATACCCTTACCCTTACCCTTACCCTCGAATAACATACATTCATTCTCCCATCACATCGATCAATCACACTCCCACACACACACACTCAATCAATCAATCTTTCACTCATCTATTGAGTGCGGCTGTGATATATGACTCAAACTGTATTTCGCATGTTACAACGAGAGCACTGCGTATGTTGCAGTGATGAGTGTGAGAGAAAGATTGCCCGCAATCCACATGTTGTTGATCCATTAACCACATATTGATGTGTACACTCATTATCTATTTCATTACAGATACATAGACATATTACAGGTAAATATGATAGGATTTTCAACATCACTTGGTAGCAAGCTAGCTGTAATCAATCAATTAAGTGTCCCTCCGGATATTGTTGACTGGCAAGTTAGTTGGTTGTGTTGAATGTGGATAATGTGGACATTGTGGATTGATGAAGATGATGATGTTGTCGAATTGTCAATTCAACAAGGCTATATTTATAACTCCTATTCCTTCCGGACATTGATGTGGACGTGGACGGCAGTCCTTCAGCTCACTTGTTGAACATGTTGTTGTTGTTGTTGTCGATGTTCAATTGTATTATCCATACAGATAGATTTATCCCACAAAATACATTCCGGCAACAACAACATTGATACTAACTAACCATTCATTCCAATTGACTCCATTCACTTAACAAACTTATAGTCAATTACATATATTATATTATTTAATCTCCAATCTCTCTTTCATTCAAAGGAATAATATATATAATACATAATGATATCTTTAAGTAATACACCAACAACAACTACAACAAATATTGGAGGAGGTTGTGGAACACATTCATGCCCAGCCTCAACATCTAGACAATCGGTTAGACAATTAATTAACAAATATAATAGTCAAGTATCTCCACCACCTAAGACACCAACTGGTTCAATAAGGATAAGAGTATCAAATAATCCTAGACCAACATGGTCACCTATTACATCGCCATCACAACATGGCAATGAATCACCATTATCAAAATCCAGAGATACTGGAATTCCAAACAACAATACTCTTTCATCAAGTTGTACAGAAGTCCCTCCTCCAACTACAACGGCGCCAATCAAACAACAACCAAATCTTCCAACATCAACATCTTCATCGTCTGGACTATCAATACTTGATCTTATTGATAGAATGGATCAACTTAATCAATCGTGCGATGATATTATGATTTGGATCGAGAGGAATAGGGCAACATTGTCACGAGAGAAATGTACATACCTTATAGAAGAGTTGAATTGTATTACCAGGGTATTGCCTGATCTTAAACGTGACTTGCCTACTCTAGACACTACTACAACAACTACAACTAAACCTATTACAACATCGACATCATCCTCAACTATATTATCATCATCATTACCTACATCATCGTCAATTGTATCTGAGCCTTCTACTACAACTACTACTTCAACTACATTATCATCATCGACATCATCCAAACCAAAGAACAAGTGGGTAGATGGTGGAATAAGTGCAACAACAATGAATCCTTGCAAGAAGAGCATCAACAATATGGATATGTCAATGACAATGTCTCAGTATTCAAAGTACAGATCACATCATCAAAGAGGTCTAAATCCATTCCCAAGAGAGATATCATTATAAATTATTACTACATTATTATTACATTATTATCTTCGTCGTCAAATCATCATGAACCTTGGTAAAAGTTGAATGAACTCTGTTGGAACGTTCGAGGTTTTAAATTAAAAAATTGGGTTTGTCTTGTGTTGTGTTTTGGACAGCCAAAGTCAAGATCCATGGTTCAGTTGGGTGAGTGTGGGTGGGGGTTGGTGGTGGTTTGATAGTTTGAGTGCAGGAAAGAAAGGGACACGACTCATTCTCCATTGTCGATGAAGCCCCCTTCAAGTTCTATCTGAATGCATGCATTGTGACTTAACTAGGAAGTAGTAGTCAGTCAGTAGTATTAGTCAATAGTTATATTCATATTCATAATACATATACTATAACTATATATATAATATTTATTTAAAAAGTAGTAAAAGAAGGGTTTATCTGTAATATATATATATATAAATAAGAAAGATACGATCGATCGATCGATCATTCATTCATTCATAAAGAAGAATAACATGGACCCTCAACAACCTACACAACAACAACAACAACAGAATGGTGGTGGCGGTGGTGATACATTGTCAGCAGCAGTGGCAGAGTTGGATAAGCTAGAGTCATTGTTGGCCAGTGGTTATCTGTCACGTCCATTCTCTGTGGATGTGTCAAAACAACAGCAACAGACGAACAAGTCGACGACGAACGAACCAGCAGCAAAGCAGACACCTGCACCTACACAAGCAGCTCCTTCAAAGCAACAACAGCAGACTTCATTGCAGACTGCACAGCTTACACAATTGCTTCAATCACAAGTGCAGGCACATCAACATCAACAAGCAGCAGCAGCAGCAGCAGCAACAGCACAGGTACCACCTGCAGCAGCAGTAGCAGCAGCAGCACAAGCTCCACCTGCTGCTGTGACTCAGCCACAACCTCAAGCGCCACAGCCACAGGCTACAATTCAGATTGCAACTCAGGCTCAGGTGGCCCCAACACAATCGCAACAACCTCAGACGCCACAGCCACAGGCAGCCAAGCCACAGGCCACTCAGGTTCAGGTGGCCCCAACACAAGAGTCACAGCCACAGGCAGCCAAGCCACATCCCACCCAGACACCAGCACCCCAGACACAGGCTCCTAAGCCACAGGCCATCCAACCTCAGGCTTCACAAACACAAGCACCTCAGCCTCAGGTGCCACAACCACAGGCTGCACCGGCACAGGTGACTCAGTCGTCTGTGACACCTAAGCCTCAGGCTGCTCCTGCTACACAACCCCAGCCACAACAAACTAAACAGGCAGCTCAGCAACAGAAGAAACAGGCGCAACCAAAACAGAATGATGTCAAGGACACATCACAGGTTCCGAAGACACAGCCTCAACCTCAACCTCAGGCGCAAGCTACTCCACAGGTAGCACAGCCTCAGACACAACCTCAGTCACAGCCCCAAACAAAGCCTCAGACTAAGCCTCAGAATAAGACTCAGACCAAGCCTCAAGCACAAACAAAGCCACAATCTCAAACTCAGCCACAGACGACACAGCCTCAGCCACAGGCTCAGGCTCAGCCACAGACAACACAACCCCAACCTCAGGCTCAGCAACAGACGACACCACCTCAAACACCACCTCAGGACAATTTGGAAGAAGATGTACAACGATATGATGATGACGATAACAACAACAACAACAACAATAGCAAGGAGTTGGAACTTTTGCAAGAGTTGGAAGAGATGGAAGCAGAAGTAATGATGCTGAGGCGAAAGGAATATCTCTCAATGTCAGGCGACATGAAACGCAACGAATCACTGCTGTTCCTCGAGCGCAAGGGTTTGGTCAAGGAGATCAGTGCCAAGTTCCAGACACCCGACACAGCCTCCTTCACCAAGTTCAATCCCAACACACATCTCTCCATCAAGGAGAGAATCCTGCACTTGAAGCGAGAGAATGAGCGCAGGAGCAAAGAGGTCGAGGCCATCAGACGAGAGACTGTCATCCAGCTCGCAGACGAGGACGAGACATCGACGATGGACTCGCCAACAAGCAGTCTTAGGGAGAGAATATACAAGTCTGTGTCCGAGCCACTCGCGCCACAGGACCCAAAGAAGACATCGCCAGCCGATGGCCACAAGTCGACACAGGTGGCCACCTCAAAGTCCCGCGCTGCTGACCCCGTGTCACCATTGCTGTTGTCAACAACATCAACACCAGTCACCAAGCCCAGCGGCAAGGGTAGCAAGATCATCATTCGTAGACGAAGGAATGCTGCGGCAGCAGCGTCCCATGATCAGATGAGCATGATGGCGCTCACACATTATCTCAACATCCCGCCCAACCCTGCCAAGCCACCAATCACATCCAACACAGCCAGCCTAACACAGCCGACCAAGGACTTTATCAAGACGCTAGTGTCGCTGTCCGACACTGGCAATGATATCATCCTGGACACTTCGCTGCCCACGCCCAACAGCTCACCGGACGCAGGCACCGCTCCCGATATTCAGTACACGCAACTGCGTACCCGCGCCATGAAGGCAGCTTTCAACGTGCTCTTCACACTGCCCAATCAAACATCGGTGATCATGCCATGTCAGAACACTGACACTATCGAGGCCATCAAGGAAAGGCTTGTGCAGTACATGTTGAAGGCATTTTGTACTACTACTACTACCACCCCGGCCACATCAGATGCGGCCAATGGCGAATCATCAGAGACAGACGAGTCGGCCTCCAATCCCGCCACACCACCCTCCCCTCCCATCAAGATCATGCCCGAGAACTATGTAATTGTTGACTACTTCAACAAGCCTCTCGAGAAGTCAATGACCTTGTAAGTTGGGACTCCGTTACTGATTGATCGATTGATCAATGTCACTCACTCACTCAATCACTCAATCAATCAATTTAGGACCAAGAGCGAATATATAATGCACAGGAGATCACGTGGATTGCAGCCAAAGCTGAAGTTGGTTGAGAAGGTCAACTTCTACGACGCCGATCCTTCAACGGAACTCAGTGAACAGTCATACGAGATCATCAAACAGATTATACCCAATGTCAAGAGTTGGCATGGAGAAGAAGTGGACTACTTCAGACGCATCGCTGCACGTCTGCGTTACGAACTGTTGCCACACATCAAGGGAACTGTTCACTCATCGCTCACTGAACGTCTGTCCCCACTGCCACTTCCAACGCCTCCCAACAACAACAAGTTCCTCGTCTCCATCTTCCTTCCCATCCTCCAAGTCACCAGAACTGTTGAGATTGAGAGTAAGTTAATACCCTAAAGTGCTTGCGTGAGGGACTATCCCTGACACTAACTCTTCAATCAATCAACTAGTTAACGAGATAGCAGATGATGTAATCGCAAGGATATTCAATAGGAACTATGCCAAGCATTTGCCACCACAGGTTAGTGCAGGAGACTTCATTCTCAAGGTGATGGGACGATCAGAGTACATTCATGGCACACACAAGATAACTGTCTACGAGTACATCCGATCATGTCTGGTACAGAGCAAGAAGATACAACTCGTCTACGTTCAAAGACCAACCATTGAGATGGACATTGCACCATTCAAGCCAAGATTCAATGTAAGATCATGTTTGATTGATTGATTGATTGATGGCACTGACACTCACTGACAAACTGGTACTCACCCAATCACTTGTTTAGCTATCCAAAGAGTTGCCAATCAAACATGAGGTTGGAGCACTGTCTCATCGCGCACTGCCTTGGGATCATATGAATCACATCTCTGTTCGAGACATCAAGCGACCATTTAGGATCAAGGTGGGCGGCGCCTACAACATCCCAACGAGCTATCTGAGCAAGGAGGACGAGAGCATATCGGTGATCGTGTCAATCTCTTTGTATCATGGTGTCGAGTGCATATCGACCTCGTCCACCAAGCTTCAGAACATACTCCCGCCATCATTCTATGCCACGCCACCCGCATCGCTCAACGCCACGTGGAATGAGAACGTGACCTTCTCCAACTTGGACTATGCCAACCTGCCAATGGAAACACGTCTCTGCATTAGTCTTTACGCGAGCACTTCGTTCAAGACTCCCACATCGCCCACTGCCGCCTCATCCAACACCGAGCTCGACCAACAGCGCAAGGAGTCCTTCCCGATCGGATGGGTCAACGTCATGCTCTGTGACTACAAGTCGCAACTGCGCACGGGCCCAATGACCCTGCATCTGTGGCCGGATGATGTGGCCAATCCCCTGGCGCCCTGCTCCAGCAATCGCCAGAGCGGTGTCGCGCTGTTCATCGAGTTTGAGCAGTTTGCGCTGCCGGTGGTGTTCCCCTCGTGCAACAACCGCGTTACAAGCACCCGTCCCCACACCATCAACCCCAAGGACATGGTTGAGTTCTTTGAATCGATCATCAAGCTCGACCCGCTCAGCGACCTACCCAAGGAGAAGTACCAGCATCTGTGGGCGTTGCGACACTACGCCACCCAGTATCCTCAGCTACTACCGCGTCTCATGCTCAGTGTACCCTGGACACAGCCATCGGCTGTGGACGAGATCCACGCACTGATCGACAAGTGGGCCATCCTGAATCCCTACGATGCACTGGAACTCCTGGATGCCAAACACGTCGATCGCAAGGTGCGCGAGTACGCCGTGCGCTGTCTCGAGTCGCTCTCTGAGGAGGGCCTGCAAGATATCCTGTTGCAGTTGGTCCAGGTGCTCAAATGCGAACCCTACCACGACTCCCCATTGGCACGCTTCCTCCTTCGTCGCTCTATACTCAACCGCACGACAGGACATCACTTCTTCTGGTATCTCAAGTCCGACTTGCACGTCACCAACATTGCCGAGCGCTTTGGACTCTTGCTAGAGTCCTACCTCCTCGCTTGTGGCACGCACCGCAATGAGATACAGCGACAGATACAGGTCATCGACAGCCTGACCGAGGTGGCCAGGAAGATCAAGTCGCTGAAGGATCAAGATCGTCGCGAGACACTAATGCGCGACCTCGAGCGCATCGAGTGGCCCAAGCGCTTCCAGATCACACTGAATCCTAAGTTCGAGTCGAATGGTCTCATCATCCAAAAGTCCAAGTACATGGACTCCAAGAAGCTGCCGCTGCGGCTCTCATTCACAAACATCGACATGGATGCCGAGCCAATCGATGTGATATTCAAGGTGGGCGATGATCTGCGCCAGGACATGCTCACACTCCAGATGATCCGTCTGATGGACAAGCTCTGGCAGAAGGAGGGTCTGGATCTCAAGCTGTCGCCATACGGTTGCATTGCCACGGGTGATATGATTGGAATGATCGAGGTGGTGCTCAACTCTGAGACCACGGCCAAGATCCAAAAGAGTGCTGGTGGTGCCACTGCCGCCTTCAAGCTGGATCCACTCGCCAACTGGCTACTCAATCACAACAAGACCGAACAAGAGTATCAAAAGGCTGTGGACACATTCATTCTCTCCTGCGCTGGCTACTGTGTTGCCACCTATGTATTGGGCATTGGAGATCGTCACAATGACAATGTAAGTTTATATGATCCACTGATTGATTGATGGGCTGACGCGTGGACATGTACTAATCCAACTCATACACAAATTATTAGCTGATGTGCACAAAGCTTGGTAGACTATTCCACATTGACTTTGGACACTTCTTGGGCAACTACAAGAAGAAGTTTGGATTCAAACGAGAGAGAGCACCATTTGTATTCACGCCAGACTTTTGTTATGTGATGGGAGGCAAGGAGAGCCCCAAGTTTGCCCAGTTTGTAAACTACTGCTGCACGGCCTACAACATATTGCGTCGTCACGCCAAGTTGTTCATGAACCTCTTTGCAATGATGGTGTCCACTGGCATACCAGAGTTGCAATCGATGGAGGATCTCAACTACCTTCGCGAATCATTCTCACTGGAGCTCACAGACGACAAGGCCAGGGAGAAGTTCACATCACTCATACATGAGTCATTGACAACAAAGACCACACAGCTAAACAACGCAATACACATTCTGGCGCATTAACATGTTACGCCACTCCATTCATCCATCTTCTGTCAATCAAGTTGATCACAATAAATAACGAACAAAGTCGCAACTTTGGCATTTCAGTCATTCATTTACACTTTGAATTTACAAGATGTATGATTATCTTTGATGTCAACATCCAATCCTGTAAGTAGAGCTTGGCTAGACATCATCGGCATCAATAACTCAACTAACTGACTCAATCAATCAATCTACCGATGGATCTAAAGACAAGATACAACTGCCCACACACAGTGTGTAGCAACAACAATGGACAAGGATATCTTAATCTCAACTCACGTTATGTACACGCTTATAAATCAAAGCACTATTATCTGAGTTCTGGAGTCGAATGCGAAAGATGCGTGATAAACGAAACAAAGAAACCATCATCATCATCAACATCATCATCAACTATCGTCTCAATCCCCAAGAACAAGGACAAGAACAAGGACAAGCACAAGAACAAGAACAAGAAGAAGCGTCGATTACGTTTAATCACAAACCCCATTGTTGATCGAGAGCTTATATTGGCCAAAAAATCATACATGGCCACTGCCATAGCTATATGTTTGAGCAAACAGAATGGTGTTGAAGAGGCAGAGTCTGTAGTGGACAAGATTCAAAACATGATATCAAGTGGTGATGTATTGGATGATGGTGATGATGGTGATGACGCTACCATCCCCAATCCAATCACTCGACTGAAGGAAATCATCTTGGATGATATCAAAAAGTGTTTGGACTCACCGAGCGAGAAGAGTAGTCCAAGTGCACTGCTCACGACAATACTACTCGAGACATTTGATCGTGAGATCGACCAGTCGTTGACTTCATTGCCCAATCTGCAACTGGCAAGATCAATCGCAATGATCGTACACGACGAGCTGGAGAGCGTCGACCGCTATTTCTGGAGAATGCACAACTCTAAACAATGTACACATGAGGATTCAACAACTGGACGTTGCACAAGTCGTCCAAGCAAGAGAGACTTTCGGACTCATCTGCGATCCCTTCATCACAGGAAACATGTGGAGGAGACAGGCGCAACTCAATATGTCTTGGCAGACTGCCCTGGATGCATCGATTTTCTTTCAAAGCAACAACGAGTGGACAATGATCAATATGAAGAGGATGATGTAGTGGACTTGGTCTATGACAGCGAAGAATATGAAGACAATGATGATGATGAAGATGGTGATGACAAGATGAAAGACGATTCATCTTCCAAAGACGTTAAAAGAATGGTTGGTCTCTTCAGGAAGTTGGAATCCATCTTCCATGCATTTCCAAACACAGTGGAGGTCAACACAATCATCACGACCTTGATGAATGAGCGAGTGCAACATGAAGTAGAGGTACAAACTCCAGACTTCAATCTTCAGGATGTAATTAACAACAACAACAACAACACCACCGACAACAACAATGGCAATGACAATGACAACGACAAAGACAACAACAACAACAATGGCAACGACGGCAATGACAACCATGACAACCATGACAACCATGATAACCATGACAATAACAACAACAACAATATAGAGAGTAACCAACCACCTGATATAATCGATGTCGATCTGGATACATCCGACGACGCAAGCACAATACCTGAACAACATCCAATCTACAAGAAGCTAAGGCGGAGACACTGAGGAATCAATCAATCAATCGAGAATGAATGAATGAATGTATATATTATTATTATTATTACATTTCCTTTACTTAGTACATAACAAACATTAATGAGACGAGCAGTACGAATAGTAGCACTGGAATGGATGCAGGCGCGGTGATTGATCCAAGTGATGGATTGGCTGTAGTTGTAGTTGTCGACGATGTAGTGGATGTTGTCAATGATGGGTTGGCACTAGTAGTGGAAGTAGTTGATGTTGTCGACGATGGGTTGGAACTTGTTGTGGAAGTAGTTGAAGTGGTTGTGGTAGGATTGGAAGATGTTGTTGAGGTGGTTGTTGATGTTGTAGATGTTGATGATGTTGTTGATGGCTGTGTTGTGTTGAAGATATCAGTGCTGACCCATGCAGGACAGATCGATGGATTGGAGTTGGAGTAACTATAGTAGAAGCTGGTGGCCAACGCGCCAGTGGTTGGATAACGATACTTGGTGTTGCCAACTGTGAACTCATACAGGTAGAGTGCGCACTCGGGTATCTGCATTGAGTTATACATGTAGGTGCCAGCAGTGGCATTGCCCAAGCCCATGTAAAGGTCATAGGCCACGGGCTGTTGAGTGATGTTGATAGGGCGAATGTACAGCTTGGCAGAGCTTGGTGCGGATCCATACCAGTTGGCCAAATATGTGACATTGCGCGCCATTCCAACAGAGTCCACTGTGTGTGAGCCTCCAAAGATGGGTGAATCATTGCTTGGACAATTGCCAGCGGTCATGTCCATCGTCCAGATGGAGTTGTCAGAGTCAGTGTCCATGTCGTGGGCAAAGGCGCCTGCTGACATGTTTGGATTCATGATATTGGCGCGGAACTGAGTGCTACTGCTGACGTACTCCTGCTCGTCACTGATGCACGGCGACGATGTCAGGCCATCACATACCCAGTACTTTGACAAGGGCATTGCTTTTGGATCACTCATCGATGCGTAGGCTTCGACAACTTGCTCACCCTGACACTCCAGAGTGATCATTGCGTCAATACGATCGTCGAACGTGGTGCCATCACAGCTATTAAAGCCAAGACAATGCTTGGTTGCCATGTCCTGAGAGTGTGCCTTTGATGCTTCATACACCACCGAACTAAAGTAGACTGGCTTGACAGGTGGGAAGACTGCCTCAGTCATAGCTTGATCATTCACCAAGCTTGGATAATAGTTGTTTGTGAACTGTTGAGGTGCTGTTGATTGTTGTTGATTAGGGTGGATGTCACTCAATCAATCAATCAATGAATACATACCCATTCTGATGGCATTGATCCAAGCATGTGCCTCACGTTCTTGCCATCTTGGACGGATTCCATCATATGATTCACCATATTGTTGTGATTGATCAATCAGACAACAACCAAGAATGATCAATATAACTATTATTTTATACATTTCTAACTTTCGTATTTATGAAGAGTGAAGTGATTGAGTGAGTGACACTTGTCTATCTATCTATTTATGTCCATGTCCTGTAGGCATGACGGGTGTCTTTCAATCTAACCATGCTGTCAATCTCCAAAAAGTTGGCCTATCCCCTCATCAGGGCACAACAATGGCTCATGACCCACACACTTTGATCATTTTGATGAATCAAAGAAGGGTGTTCTGAATGAGTGATAATACGATCAAAGAAATATCAAGGGGTAGGATGCCCATCTTTAATTGATATACTGATGGGCACCGCATCGGACAACTTGTGACGCAACAACTATAACCTTGATGGCATTGGACACACCCGATTTGGAGCTCGTTGTTTATTATGATTATTAGTACTCTGTCATCATTCACAGAACACTAACAATAATATACGAATTTTGCCCATCAAGATGTCGCTTTGAAGGGTTGGGGTGGAGGGATTGATTACTTGATGGATTGACAAGTGAATGAACCATTGGGCCAAGTCATCCAAGGTTACAAATGTTCTGCACATCAACTGCGTCGTGTCAAGGCAAATGAACTTGACAATGAATGTACCAATGAATAGTAGCAGAATAATGAACATCCAAGTTAATATAATAATATCCTCATAGTATTATAGACAATATTGGATTGTTCGTATGTATCTTTGACAAACACACCTTGAGAGTTGCTGTCCTTGCTCAATTAATATTGATCTAAACAGACCCAATGTACAACTATCAGAAGAGGGAATAATCAAAAAGGAGATGAAGAGTATGGTCCACACCACACTATGAACTACGATGTCCATCATTTCTGACGTTCATTGAGAAGTTTAAACTTGCCAACGAGCTCACCGCATACCTCGATCAACCCTTGGTCAAGGTGGACAACCCACTTGACATAATTAGAGGCGATCCATGAGGCCACAGTTCCCAACATTGGCGAGAAGTGATATCTTCTACATTCCTCCAATATGGTGTCACCAGTACAAAGTGTGTGCTATTCTAAAGGACTAGATGAGTACCTTCTCCCCTGGGCTAACAATAAGTTAATATATTACATTGACCGACCAATTTAGAATATTGGTGGTCCTAAACGTTACATAAACTGAAAGTCGTTTTAATGTGATTGATTTTTGTCGACGGAAAAGTTCCCTCATTTCGTTCTTTTGAGAAGAATCAAGAAATACAAAGTTGGGTACCGGCATCCCACAATTCTTTTTTTTATTACTCTTACAACAATGATATTAAACAAATATTTAATCATTATTATATTATTTGTTGGGATTTCCCCTTTTTGGTATGTATCCATTGAAATAAACACTCAAATCAATAATAAACCTAACATTGGAATCATTCCATCATTCCCGCCAACACACAATCACAAACACACACTCACACATACATACACACATTCACGCTCACTCACCAAATCAATCTCAAAATGACAGCTGCAATGCTCAGTTCCCAATATTGAGCTCGAGTCGACATGATGGTCAACCAGTGATCACGATCTATGGCAACTATTTCATGAACATTCCGACACAGCTCATCTTTGGTTCATTGAACATCCCCGCACCACCTCCGCTATCATCATCAATGCTCATTGCTCCTCTGCCATTGTCAGCACGAAATGGACAGTTGTACCTGGTGTCCAATCAATCAGTCTCCAACGTCATCAATGTCAACCTGACACCATTTATCAATAATCTATCACCAGTGCTCGACACAATCGGAGGCAACTTCACGATCACCGGCAACTACCTCAACTTCTATCGCGCAGACAACTCCATGACCAATATCCAAGCACAATATTACTCAACCAACGCCAATAACTTCAAGTATCAATTCACTGCTGTGCCCGTTGACCCCCAGGACAACACTCAAATGGTCCTTGTCTATCCTCAAGGTATTGCCAAGTTGTCTGGCCAGCTCTCAATTGATCTAGTTGGTGCTCTTGGCCAGCTCACTCCCAACTACAACGCAACAGTGATGGTGTCGTACGGCCAAATGGATAACAATGACCCAACCTCAATGACAATGACCGTGGACAACTATGTCAAATCTATGTCCAACATTTTTTTCACAAATGTTTATTACCTTAATTATTATGACTATATCGCTCATAATTGGATCAGCAATAACACATTGGTATTCAATCTCAAACAAAGTACATATATTGGATCGCCCTTGACCATGTTCTTCTCGCCTGATTCATCCTACTCTTACAACACCTTTGTCATCTACCCCCTACCATCCATCTACGTGAACAATGGAGTGGGAGTGCCCCTGGGCGGAGGCAATCTGCCTGTGTCCCAAGACAAGACCTACTGCACCAATAAGCTACAAAGCTGTACCATTGCTGACAAGTTGGTCAATGGACCGTTTGATTGCAACTCCATTCCAATACCCGCGGGAATAGGCCTGCAGATACCAATCAACTGCACCGACACTTCTGGCAATCAGTTGCTGACCAAGTACATCTACTTCAACTATGGTCCATCCGTATCAAACAACATTGTCAACAAGAATGTGCTGGTGGTCGATGGAATCGGCTTTGACACTGGCTCCACCTCGGTCAAATTCTCAGACGGCTCGGTGGTCCAGGCATCCCCCCAGTCCACAACCACCCAAGCATTCTTTGTATTCCCTCGGTCTACGCCAATCACTGGAACATTCATATTGACAAGTAGTGGTCAGCAGTCTGGATCATACATCTACAAAGGCAAGCCCTACATCCAGAGTGTGACCCTTGAGAACAAAAATATTGTTGGAAATGAATCATTGATTGGTTACGTTCAACTCAGAATAATTGGAAGTTTCATCACTTTGGGTGCATCGAGTCAAGTGATGGTTGGATCACAAGTATGCACAGTGATCGGCAATAACAATTATATTATTGAATGTTGGATGAGCATCCCTGCTGCCAGCCCAGTCCAACTACCGGTTGTGATCACAATCGACTCATCTACACAACCAACGGATCCGTTCGATGTACTATTCGATCTGGCCACACCAACAATCGTATCAATCACTCCTACATACACACAAACATCAACTCAACTCAACATTGTTGGTACTTTCCTCAATCAGTCAATTCTGCTCGACTCTGGTGTACCATTGATTGCACAACAAAGTCAGTATTGTACGACAGTCAACGACACTTTGATCACATGCACCATCCAGCCCTCCAAGGGCGAGTTCTCCGTCGTGCACCTGGGTGTCAGCTCCAACTCATTGGTGTTCGACTATCAACCAGTGATCAGCAACACCTCATCACTCAATGGATCAACATTGGAGGTGAATGGAGTGAACTTCTCACCCTACCTCTACTTCTCGATGGGTTCACAATCGACAAACCCAGTGTCAGTGACGTCGACCAAGGCCATCTTCCAATTCCCAGAGTGGTTCTTCCCAGGTTCATACCAGATATGCTCATCTGGCTTTTATTCCGACAACTACCGATTGTCTTTGCATCCAGTGATCAACGACATAGAATATGATGGCCGCCTATCCATCTATGGGTATTACCTCAGCGTAGTAGATCTGGACGGTAAAACACTCAACCACTCAATCTCCGTCAACAATCAATCAGCATATCTCACTCAGGATGACAATCGCCCCACGAGGTCAGTCTTTTACCCGAATCAGAATTTGGTGGCCTCAGATAGTGTCCGATCAGTCATTTTGACTACCACTCTCATCATCAACAACATCGCTTCAAATTCATTCACATCATCACCGATCCCATTGCCATATTTGGACAGAGTGGTCTACACTCAAGATAGCGGCACCCATAAAACGTCGACTGGAACCTTTGTATTCACTGGCACAACTCTGGAACACTTGCCCTACCTCTATTATACCATTAACGGAGAGGGAAAGGGAGACTGGATCGCTAACTCAACATCAACCGGATTCCATTATTCCAACATGGTATCAGTAGGAGAGGCAATATATACATTTCAATTGTCATGGCCCCCAATGACCAGCAACAATATTTCCATCCACATTCTCAAGCCAACATTGGAGAGAATATATATCCGTGAACAAACGAAAGCAACCGTAATGGGAAGAAACATCGTCAGCAAGTTCATTCGGTTTGGATCATACCAACCAACAGATTGCGAGGGTGGTGGATTCAACTCTAACATGACCACATGTAATCTATCCCAATGTGAAGAGTGTCTGTCCACATGTAACACCTTCACCTACAACAATGGAATGACCTCATTCTCCAAGATATTCTACCCTAGTATGTATAACAACAATCAATCAATCAATCAATCTTTGATGGAACTATTCCATACTCAAACACTAACAAACAATCAATCAATCAATCAATCAAACAGGAAATCCAGTGTTGATGTTGGCCGTGTCCAATGGTACTCAGGTGAATGTGACAGCAACTCTGTCGTGCAATCAAACAATTGTACCCAATCTATTGGAGTTGCTATCAATCAAAGTTGGATACACTCAATGTGAGTCAATCACAAAGATTGGTGACAATATCTTCAGTTGCCAAGCAAAAGTCACCTCGGGATCAGTATCATTATCTCTTCTTGAAATGGAGTCCAACACCATTCCTTTGGTCTACATCGATCCAACTCCACCTTCCTCATCATCATCAGATGAACCCAAACCCCAGCCCAGCTCATCATCAAAGTTGCTGCCCAACCTCAGTATTCTGATAATTATAATCTACCTCTCACTTACATTTGTCGCTATCAATTAAAACATACAACTGCTACCAAATAAAGACAACCAAATTGAAACAATAACAACTTTATCATCAACAATGCTCATTGTTCCACTTCCATTGACAGCATACAATGGTCCAATGTACCTGGTGTCAAATCAATCGGTCTCCAACGTAATCAAAGTAAACCTGTAATGATTGGTGGGTTGTCCATACTTGTCAGTGAGATGTAGTTTGTAATTCTCTTCTCCATTGATATCGAGTTCAATTCTTTGAATGCAAGGATCTGATGCAATGGCATCGACCAAATGTCCGGCCAAATGTGACTCTGAGTCTTCGAAATACAAATGAAACAATAATCCGTTGAATAGTCCAACTAAAAGTCATATCTATACCCATAACTATCTCTATATTATATATTATCTCCTTCTTAGTTGGTTGTTCTGAAAATGAATGTTCCAACGAATCGAGATTCGAAGAAGTCTAATACTGTGAATGCACTGATTTCCAGGTTATTAATATCCCTCATGTTTAATGTAATACGCGCGTAAAGTCTCATCGATGACTCCAAGCCAACCAACCAGCCAGCCAACCAGCCATGTCTAGGCAATGTAGTTATAGGCCATAGGATTATTTGGATCCCTGCCCAAGTACTCCTTCTCAATCAAAGACTCGATACGCTTCTTAATGTCAATCGGCTGGTTGGTATGGATGATGATGTGTTAGTATGTATGATTGATTGATTGATTTGATTGAATGATTGACGCTCAATGTCATACCTTTGGTGAGAACCTAAGTTGTTGGAGAAGTTCACTGATCAATAGGTTGTGGCTCAGTGTCTTCCTTGACTTCATGATCCTGACGATTGCTGCATCGATGTTGGTACCACGATCGTGAGTGATACTATCGCTGACCTTCTTATGCTCCTCGGCCGTCTCCTTGTTCTGCATGGCGTTGACCTTGATCTTCATCAACTTTTGTGTAAACTCATTGTTGAAGTGGAATGTATCCTCCTCGTCGATCTCCTTTGACTTGGCCTTGCGCAACAATATCTTTGTCTTTGTACTGGTCAATGGTTTGATGTTCAACTTTATCGTGGCAATATCAATGCCTGTCGCCTGTTGAATATCTCGCAGTGACAATCCATCCCTATCATTGAATACATTGAGTATAAGGTATTGTAATAGTGATACAAACAACTCCTTCTTGCCCTAGTGTAGTGATTGATTGAGTTAGTCCATCATGTTCATTCACTCATTCATTCATCCAACATACTTGTCTGAAGTTGGCCTTGGCAACACAGTGACTCAATGGATAGTGCCACTCAAGTGTCTTGGACTTCTGTGTCTTGGTATAATATGTAACGAACAATGCTTGCATCTCAAGTAGCTAGTAATGGGTAGTGTTAGTAACCATTCCAGTCCAGTCTAGTCATGTCAAGTCTTGTCCTGCTGGGGACACAACATACCTCTTTGGGAAGGACGACATTGATGTTTGTGAATGATGGCCAGTTGCCTTTGGTCAACACAAGGACACGGAGGTCGACGTGGGTGGTGCCAGGTTTGATACCATTCGCTCGGAATGCATCGTTGATCTCACTGGATGTGTCGAGATCAACAAACATTCCGTCCAAGTTCTTGGTGAACTCATTGCCACACTCTGCTCGCAGCTTTGCCACCATAGACTTCTCGGCATCAATCGATATGTACTTCTCCAGTAGCAGACGCTTTGACAGATCCTTCTTGTAGAATGCCTCAAACACATCCTTGCCCTGTATATACCTAAACAGTATCAATGACTTGTTTAGCGAGTCCTCCAGCTCGCTCTCTGTCACTCCCTTGTTGCCACTCCTTAGCTTCGAGTCCACAAACTTGGCTGTTGTTGTTGCGAAAGAATAGTGTTGTGTTAGTCGCAGAGTGAATGCGCACGCAGCGTTGATCCATTTGGAAACACTCACCTAATAGCTCGGCGATGTTCTCGCCTCTGTTCATAAAGAACTCGAATGACTCTTTGAGGGCATAAACAATGAGATCATTCTTTGCGAATGATGCCTCGATGATGCCATCCAGTTTGACCTTGAGCGCCACCAGGTCTTGGATGAGTGTCGCATGCTTCTCCTTGTCAGCCACCATCGATTGGCCTGTTGTCTTGATGTATGAGATCCATGCCGTCCTTATCGAATTGAGCGCGCCCACACGCTGTAGCAGAGTGTAGAGTCGCTGTATGTCTTCAGTCTTGTTGCCATCGACCATCTGATTGAATCCCTTGCTAATCAATGTGTTGATGTGACGCTCCAACATGTGTGTCTCGAGTGCCTGAATGATGGACTTCTTTGTCGACATGTCCAAGTATCTCAGTGCTCTCTCGCTCTCCTCATTGATCCTATTCTGTACATGCTTCAAGTATTGAGGTACCTCAAACTCTTCAATCAATCTATTGCCCTCATTATAATAGAATGTATTTGTCTCTGCCACCAAGTCTGATTCAAATGCGCTATATATCTGTGTCGTGACAATGTTAGTTTGTGATAACATCGCGGTGTCCTCTCCATCACTGTTTGATCATACTTGTAGTGACTTTAACATCTTGATCAAACTTTGTAACAGGTCTTTGTTGACGTTGTCGCCACGTCTCTCATTGTCGATTGATTGTAACAGTCCTGACTTGAGTTTCTTGGACAATTCTGTTGATGCCAACAGATACTTGCTAAAGAACTGCAGGCCAAGATCCCAAATCGACTTGGTCGCATTGTTCTGAAGTACATAAGTCCTGTCCATACACAAGAAGATGCTCATTATAAGTATCTTTGATTGATTGTTTGTTTGAATGATTGATTGTTAGTATAATTCAATCAAGCATCATCATCGAGTCGACTTACAATGTTGTTGGTATGATCCTTCCAACATGCATTCAAACTACTCAGGTAGTGCTCCATGTCCAATGTCTGACCGATCATTCTCTGTAGGCTGACCTTTGTATTCTGTTCAATCAGACTTGATAGCTTTGAGTATAATGTTGATGAATAGCCACCTGATAGACAAAGGTTCTCAACCATCTAATGATGTTTGTTCGTGATTAGTACATTGATTGTTGATTGAATGAATGATTGACATAATATGACATGATATGAACATACTCTGTACAACTCCTCCAGTGTCTGATTGATGGCTTGTTTGCTGTAGATTGAGTTGACGGCATTGGAGAGATGTCCCCATGCTTCAGACTCGTAGGCATCTAATGACTTTGGTACATCCTTCAAGTTCTTGATAACCAACTTCTTTGGTGGTGCAGCCTGTCTTAGACCAACTGAGCTTGTACTTGAATGAAGTGATGGTGAGCTGCCACTGCCACTACCGGACAATGACTTTCTTGATACCAATGTAGGTGATGATTGTTGTGACATCTATCTATCTTTTTAACTCTATCTCTATATCACTTATAAATATTATTATTATTATACAACTTTTAATGAATGACCTAATCCAAATTGATTCATTCATTCGATTCGAATTCACAAAGAACCACCTTCCACTTCAAACTTGGATCTTCATGTTCAATTAGTGTTGGTTGTTGTTGGGCAGGGTGCGAGGGGAAAATGTAGGATGGGCTCAAGAGATGATGTTATCAACCAATCAATCAATGGATCAAAAACACCTGACTGACAATAATCAATCAATCAATACTTTATTATTATTTGTTTGAATGAATGAATAAACCTACAACAACAAGAGTTTTATGATAATATTGATTTGTGTCTCTTTGAAAATAACCTCTGTTTTTTTGACATTAGGCTAAACTACCACATGTCCCAAACACTCAATCTATCTTTGTTAACAAATACACACAAACAACAAACTCACACACACACTCATCCATCTTCATAAACATTGACACTCGCGTTATCTCTATCTCTATCCTCTTCACTCACGCTCTCATTCACACTTACTCACTCAACCACTCACTCACTCACTCAACTATTCACAAACAGATAATAGATTAGACGACTACTTTACATTGAAGTGAAGTAGTAGTAGTAGTATTAGTAGTATTAGTACTTTGTTGTTTGTTTTTGTAGTTGTAGAAGTTCTTTATATATAATATAGTTATTTATTTAGCAAGATCGATCAATCATCACCTGAACAAACAGGATGTCGATAAACAAACAACAAACGACTCAGAATGTGATCAATGCTCCAGATACAAACAATGCAGACTTGAACAAACTAAAGTCATCACTGTCAGCACGTGCAATGGCCAGACGAAGTGTTGCTTTGAATTCATCGCAGTTGCTATCACAACTGGCGGCAGAGGGTGCGTCAAAGGAGGAGCCAGTCCCAGGACTCAAAGGCAGTCCAAAGACATCATCATCATCTTCGTCATCATCGACAACAACATCGACAACAACAACAATAACAAAGGAGAAGACTGTTGATAAGGATACAGGCAGTGTTACAACCACTACGACATCGACAACAACACATCAACAACAACAACAACAAGTCAAACGTATACCTGATCGACCAAACATTAAGCCAGGCTTCAGAACATTGCCGACAAAGTCAACGACGAGTGGCAGCAGTAGTACATCACTACTACCTACCAAATCAACATCATCAGAGAACAGCACATCGAACTTGTCATCATCATTCTCCAACATAGCATTCCCACCATCAGGTATCCCAAAGAAGGCTGGCACTCTAAAGAGTGGCTCATTCTTTGTACCATCAAGCAGCACAAAAGACAGCAACAACACAAACAACAACAACAACACAAACAATAGCGCAATAACAACAAGTAGTACAGGAGTTGGAGGAGGAGGAGGTGATGAAGTACCTCAGATCAAACATACAGCGTCATCATTGCAAAAGATGAAGACATTCGATACAACGAGGAAGCGATCACAATCAATATCGAGTGGATGCTTTGTATCATCACCAAATCTAAAGCCTCAGCTTACATCGCCATCGATCGTCATTGACAAGAGCACCAACAATAGCAAGCAGCCAACGATAGCCATCACAACGACCACTGCAGACGAGCAACAGAGCAATGGCACTGCAGACACCGATCAGTCACAGGCTCCGGCCGCCGCCGTAGCTGGCGCAGCGGCAGACACACCCAAGCCAAAGCCCAAAGAGGATGTATTCACTCGACTCTCATCACTGGCCAAGCCCAATCGCAGTCGATCACAGTCAGTGTCTGCGAATCATGCGTCGGCACCATCACCCTCGTCCACATCATCGGATTCAAAGGATTCATCAAAGTTGAGCAAGCTGCTACCCAAGGCACTACGGTCATCCAAGGCTGACCTGTCGCCAACATCCTCATCCTCATCCTCATCCAAAGACACGACGTCGACCACCACCAAGTCAACAGCGAGCAGCAAGGAGTCGTCTGCGCATTCGACCAAGACAGCTCAACCCCCTGTCCCATCAAAGGTCTCTCCCGTCAAGTCACCGACGACCATCTCCACAAACACCGATCCCTCGACACACTCAATCTCCCTAACATCCTCACCAAACAAGCTGGCCAACTTCAAATGTACAATGACACCATCAGTGGCACTGAAACTCTACGCCAACGAATTGACAAAGGAGGAGAAGGTGGAGATAATGGACTTCCCCAACATTTACTTCACTGGCAACACCATCCACAAGACAAAGATCAACAGGAACTTGCCAAACAATGGCTTTGACCGTGAGCAGGGCGACTACGTGGTGGTGGAGCACGATCACATTGCCTATCGATACGAGATCCTCTCGATCCTTGGTCACGGCTCATTCTGTCAGGTGGTCAAGTGTCACGATCACAAGACTGGTCAACTAGTGGCAGTCAAGATCATCAGAAATCAGAAGCGTTTCCACAGTCAAGCACTGACAGAGATCAAGATATTGGAGTTCCTAAAGAACAATGTATGTTCCCTTCCATCCATTCATTCGTTCGTCTCATGCATGACCTAACGACGTCCTCCCTCCTTTAGGATCCAAACTCTACCGCCAATATTGTACACTTGAATGAGAGCTTTGAGTTTAGGAATCATCTGTGTATAACATTTGAGCTGCTAAGCATGAACCTGTACGACTTCCTCAAGGCCAACAACTTCCAAGGCTTCAACATCAACCTAATACGAAGGTAATAATATTCAAACGTCCTGGCCTCTCACTCCCTGGCACACTCGCTCACTCACTCAATCAATCAATCAAATAGGTTCGCAGCTCAATTGTTGACCTCACTTAGATTCCTATCCAAGAGACATATCATACATGCTGATCTAAAGGTATGTGATTGCCATGACACGCCTCTTTGGACCTTTGACTAACATCCAGTTCCCAACCTCATCATACATAGCCTGAGAATATATTACTTAAACAACCAACCAAGTCAGGCATTAAGTTGATCGACTTTGGTAGTAGCTGTTTCGAGAACGAACCAAGTATGTACCCCATTGACACCCTTGTCCATTCATTGAGGCAGTCTAACTTACAAACCAACCCTATATCTTAGTCTTTACGTACATCCAGAGTAGATTCTATCGAGCGCCAGAGGTTATACTGGGCATTAGATATGAGAAGGCCATCGATATATGGAGTCTTGGATGTATATTAGCAGAGCTGTATATGGGTGCCCCGCTGTTCCCTGGCAGCGACGAGCCAGAACAACTGGCATGTATTATAGAGATTTATGGTGTACCCCCTGCCTCCATCATTCAAGCCTCGACGAGGAGAGAGGTGTTCTTTGACGACGCCGGCGCGCCACTGCCCTACGACCATCCGATGGGAGGAGTGTACGGCGTGGCCACCAAGACATTGGCCGAGTCCATGAAGTCCCAAGACGAGGACTTTGTCGACTTTATCGATCGTTGTCTACAATGGGATCCGAATGCGCGTCTTACCCCTGAGGAGGGTCTAAGACATCGCTTCGTGGCAGAGTTGGCAAACACCGCAACAACAGCAGCAGCACCAACATCAACAACAGCATGAGGAGGACGATCCAATCCACACATAAACATCTCCTTAGTGAGCAGTCGTGTCCATCTCTATCTATCTACTATCTATCATACATTTATTCTTCGTCTTGTGTGTCGTTGATTCGCTTCGTTATAATACAATCTGGTACTTGTCTCTGAGTGCGTGTGTTGTATCGGTATGCTCGCGATCAATGACTGCGCGCTTGGCAGACAGTTGCTCTTCGATTTGACTGCGCTCAAAGTCTTGACTCTCTTGTTTGACGACGCGATCAGAGTCGCGTTGTGATTGATACACATCCTCCTTGAGCAGCTGTGTCTGCATCTTATTGTTGAGCTCACGTAGTGAACTGTTTATCTTGTCCAGTCTCTGATCGGCACATTGAATACCAGACTTTATATTATGCATTGTTGCATTTGCATTGATCGTCTGTACCTGCAGCGCATGAATATCTCTATCTCCACGCTTGCCCTCATACTCCTTTATAAACTTATTGATCTCTGTCTCTATGAACAAGTTCTGATCAAAGTAGAAGTCATAAACTCCTCCCATGTCTATATCATTCATTCATTATATGTCAGTCAGTTTGGTCTGTCTGTCTGTCTGTCTGTATGCTCCCTGCCATTACATACCCTTGATGACAGGCTCAAGCGGGATAGTAAACTTCTTGCTCATTGTGTATATATATATATTTGTAATTGTTATAAGTTGATGGATTTGAATGAATGAATGAATGAATGAAAAGTCATTTGCCTTTTGCTTGTGTTGAGTGTCCGACGCCACGTTGAGAGGCAAGATGGAAGTGACTTCAAGTCCATCATGATCAATCTCAAATCATACCATCATTCTAATGTTAGTAGTCCTTTAGTGATGTTTATTAAAAAGTGTCAATTGTTACTACATTGATCCAGTAAGTCCAACATAGACACGCTTCAAAACTTGAAATGATACCAAGTGTGAACATTTCAAATGGATGGGAATGATTCATGTAAATAATGTAAATATTACTTGTTTGGTATTGTATAGACCTACGCCCTTTTAAAGAGTAGACTGTCACTAAAGTGGTGACAGTATGGGAAGTGATAGGACAGATGATCACCCAACAGTGTTGTCACTCATCCGATCAGATATTTATCAAACATCAATTTTTCAACGATTTTGATGATGGATCATGTGAGCCTCTGTCTTTTTTCGAGATAGAAGGGTTGGTGTTCAACACTCCTACATCACTATGTCACTTTGTTGTTTGATTATTGGCTGCCATAGGGTGAAGTCCTTTCATTCATTCTTCATTCATTATAACAAGTTAACATCTATATTCACATAAATATATATATTTATCTCTTTTTTATTATTATTTGTATTATTATTATTATAATTAATATTGTCAAACTCCTGTATAATAGCAGGTAGTCATATATATATACAATCAATCAATCTTGTAACATCAACACCAACAACAAACTCACAGCGCAATCTCAAGTCTAGCGCGAACAAACTCAAACACCCCACATACACACTCAAACTCAAACTTAAAGGATGTCCGAGAAAAACCTGGACAACTTAAATACATATACACAACAGACGGTGCCTGGTGCATTGGCAGAGTTGGCGGACAATCATGCCAAGTTGCAACAGATATCATCGTATTGTAAACAGGCCTACAGTGGGCCTGAAGCCTCGCAGGTCTACGATCAGACGCAGACCTACGCAAAGAACGCGCTGCTAAACGTCGCCTATCACATCCAGACTATTGGCACTCACCTCACCACACTGCTTCAGCTGCAGGCCACCGAGATTGACAAGCTGGACATCCAGATCAAGAGTCTGAACCAGCGCGTCGAAATGATCCACGAGTCGACGGGCATCAATGTGTTTAGGGGCGAAGCCGCCATCAAACATTACAAGAGCACCCTGAAGGACAGACAGGTCGAGGGCGACGACTCGCGACTCCCGCCAAAGTTTGTGCGCAAGCAGGTCAGCTACTCGCTGGGCAGTCCCGGCCAGGACTCGCCGTCGATGGCCATGGCCGACAGCTCCAACAACACACCCAGCTACCACTCGCCCGTCTATAGCCACTCACCGGCACCCAGCCACAGTCCCAGCCCTTCGTACTCGCCACTCTCTCAGTCCACACCTCCACTTCCACCTGCGATGAACTCTTCATATCACACACCTCCTCCACCCGCTTACCATTCGCCAGCAGGCTACAACTCTGCTCCTTCCACACCACCTCAGTTGAGTCAACCTCCACCCCCACCTCCATCAAACATACCACCTCTACAGCAGCCTCAACCACAGCAGCAGCCACTCAAGTCGACGCCACCACCTCCAGTTCCCATAAACAAACGAGTGTCAGTTGGACCACCATCTGGCGCTCCGGCAGCAGTTGGAACAGGAGCTGCACCAGCTGGAGTACCATCAATTCCAATGCGTCCACCAAGTGTGAGTGGCGGTATGGGTACAATGTCCAAGCCACCAGCAGCTCCACCAATGGGTGCCAAACCCGCGCCCCCAATGATGGGAGGACCAAGTGGCGGAAGTTCTGGCATCATGGGTGCCAAGCCCGCACCACCTCCAATGGGTGCCAAACCACCAATGATGGGACCTGGCTCACTTAAGCCACCATCATCATCAATGTCACAATCACAACCATCAACACCAGCACCCGCACCAATGATGGGTCAAGGAGCAGGTGCTGCCAAGCCATCAGCACCACAATCTGCGGTTAACAGTAGGGTCGCACCCATGCCAAATGCTTCTGGTGCGGGTCCAGCCAAGCCACCACCTATGGCCATGGGAGGCCCAGGCGGAAAAGTACCGCCTCGTCCACTGAGTCAGTCCCTTGGCAAGCCAGCTCCACCACCCATCGGCGGCTCAAACTCATCGTTCCCGCCTCCACCGCCCCCATCCGTCTACGATCTTCCACCTCCACCACCTCCATCCGTCTACGACCTTCCGCCTCCACCTCCACCTGGTGCCTTTGATCTGCCGCCTCCACCACCCTTCTAACTTCATTCATTCATTCGTTCGTTCGTTTGAAAATGAAGTAGATCTTGCTAGCTTGGTCCTCACTCACATTGAATAAAATTCAAGGATATATATTGATATTGATTGATGGATGAGATGTACGAGAGTTGGAACATGACCCAACTTTATTGTAAACAATTCAGTCTTCGATCAAACAATTGAAGGACATTTCCAAAGTACCGGATGCCATCCAGAATCACTAAAAAATCAAAAAGGGTGCAAAGTTTGACAAAGAACTTGTCTCTCATTCACTCTCTCTCACTTCATCTTCATCCAAACAAACAAACCCCTCTCTCATTATACCTTACCTTAACAGTTATTGTTATATATATCCTTATACTCAAGATAGAGATAGATATACATATTACATCAATCATATCAATCATATCAATCACTCAATCAATCCGATCAATCAAATAATCAATCAAAGAAGAAGAAGAGAACAACAATATATAGCGACTCGTTGCAATGGACAGCAATACGAGCGGAGCAGTTGAGAACTTTTCAATATCAGCAAAGGTCAATACTAATTCCGCGATGCTGAGCACAGAGGATAGCAGTGCATCTGCTGATGTAGTATCAACGAACAATACAAACTCCTCCCCTTCCACAACTATTGCCATTGCCAGTGTAGATGAGCAGCAGAGACCACAACAGCAACAACAGTCACAGTTGTCGCAGCCACAGCCACAGCCACAGTCACAGTCATTGCAACAGCCTCTTACGCATCCACAGCCACAGCCACAGCAACAGCAACAGGTACATGACTACAGGAAGGAGTTTGATAGTCTGTTCAGATCTTATGCCCCGCTCAACAAGCCGCCATTGGAGATACTAAAGTATAATGCGTTCTCAGGTGCACTGATAAGATCACCATTGCGTGGTCTGGCATGGCGGGTATGTCTTGTCGTTAGGTGATGCGACAACACAACAGAATTGGTCCACTAACAAACCGTCATGCCTCCATTCATTCAATCATTCAATCAATCAATCCAGCTCTTCATGGGATGTCTTAATGTGGACAACATTGAAAACTGGCACAAAGATATAACAAAGAGTCGTGCTCTTTATACACAACTACTGGAGCAGCATTATGTTGATCCGCGCAAGACCTCTGTCTATGATCCACTCTCAATCGATGAGAATGTATGTTATGACATGCCGGTGTTGTTGATGATGATTCACCATATCAAAGCCATTGACACCTCTATCATTTATAGTCACCTTGGAACAAGTACTTCAAGAATATGGAGTTGCAAAAGACAATATCAATGGACATTGAGAGGACATATCAGGACCTAGAATTCTTCCAACACCAGTCTACCAAAGAGGTATGTGAATCATACTCTGCTAGACGCACGCCAAGCCATACTAACATCCATCCATTCACTCAATCAATCAATCTCGTCAATCAGATGATGCTACGTATACTGTTTATATATTCAATGACTAATATGACGATTTCATATCGACAGGGCATGCACGAGTTGCTGGCACCCATTCTATATCTCTTCCATGGAGAGGCGGACAAGTACAATAGACAGGCACCATCGTACAAGGACACACACATAGCAGACACACTCTACGACAAGACCTATCTTGAACATGACACATTCACCTTCTTCCTCGCACTGATGAAGATATCTGCCGGTTGGTTTGGTATCACATCGGTCACGCCACCTCTGGCGCCAGCAGCCCTCCCTGCAACTGCCACTGCCAAACAGCAACAGCAGCAGAATCCTTTATCAATGGGCATACAAAAGATGGACATTAGGAAGGAGAAGGAGCCAGAGGCAAAGCCCGTCGAGACAGTCATCAACGAGGCCGTCAACAAGTGTCAAGACATCAACAGGTTACTCAGACAGAAGGATCCCAAGTTGCACGAGCATTTGGTATCCCTTGACATTGAGCCACAGATATTCTTGTTGTAAGTTGATGGATGGATGAGTGCGATGTCGTCCAACATGTGACTAACAATCCACAATTGATTAGACGTTGGATAAGACTGTTGTTTGGAAGAGAGTTTGAGCTGGAGGACGTGCTGACCATGTGGGACTCACTGTTCGCCTATGGACAAGACCTTGTCCTACTCGACTATGTATCAATATCGATGTTGGTGTACATCAGAGACCAATGTATGTGTTACATATTGATTGATTGATTGATTGAGTCCAATCACTCACCCACTCACTTATCATACGATCAATCAATCAATCAACAGTACTGTCCAAGGATAATAGTGGCGTATTACAAAGACTGTTCAAGTATCCAGCGGTGGAGGATATACATATGTTGATTCAACAGGCATTCAGGATAAAGGATACAAAGGGACCATTGGTACATAGTAACACTTATAGGAAGAGCTCAAAGAAACGACCTCAGCAAACTCCTCCAAACAATCATACTCCACAGCCTGTTGTACTGCCAGGTTCAGAGACACCAAACAACAATGAGCCAATCAGTGTGGCGTCGCCGCCACTATTCACTCCATTCTCAGCATTGATTGGAAGTGGCATCAGACGTACCATGTCACCATTAACTGGTAACAAGTATGCAACGATCGGTGGCAGTACACCTTCTTCAAGACAACAACAACAACACACATCAACGCCACAGCCACCTGCTTTTGTGACTGCCAAGCCTAGCGCAGCAGCAGCAGTGACAAACACTTCATCTTCATTGTATGGCGACTCACTATTCTCATCTTCCCCAGCGCCATCAAGCAAGCAGCCACAAAAGACGACAACAACAACTACGACGACAACTACTTCCACATCGACTACATCAACAGCAACGAATGAACCACAACAAACCAACACACACAATCATCAGCCAGACATATTTGGTGTGGCCAAGAAGGGCGTGGAGTCTCTTGGCCTACTGCCAACCTCTGTCAATCCCAACGGTACACCTCGAACACCCTCCAAGTCATTCATCAACACCGAGATCAGAAAGCTGCGCAGGCTTCATCAATACATTGGCCATTCACTTGGAGAGATCATTCCAACACTTCAGACTGGATTCAGCGAGAAGTAAGTATTGTTGTCACATGAATGTATGACCAGGTCACATCTAACATGCAACTCCCTCCTCTACTACTTTAGCCCAGAGCTTATAAAGAACGATTCACTGTTGTTGGTGGTCGCCCAGATGAAGCAGCTGAAGGATATGCTGTTGGGAGATATACCTATTCCTGAGGATATGCCAAGTGATGACTTTGAGACTGGTGAGGATATAGAGGACCCTTTAGGCGGTGTCAGGGTAACCCGAGAGTGACCTTGATGATCCCTCCTCAAGATGACCAACACCATCACACTCACCTTCTACTCATACCGCCAACAAGTTCTCACTGACTATTTAGAAGACGACACACTCACACATACACCCGACCGATTGCCAGTCTGGCTAACCTGTAGAATACATGAATCGTTTATTTCTGCGACTTCCTATCCCCCCCCCCCTCTTTTGAATATTTATTTGTGCTGCCATTGGTTGGGCGACCAATATCAACTGTCTGGCTTGGTGCTGCTGCACATCCAACTGCTCAAGATCTCTACTGGATGTGGTGGTCATGGTTGTGGTCGTCGATGTGATCGGTGCCATCTCACTATGGCAGTGCTCGTCATGGGCAGCCACATTGGTCAAGGTAGACACTATCTCTGTTGGCCTGTTCACTCCAATGCCACTCGCCATCTGTTCTATTGGGACATGGAACAGACGACGATGTTGTATTGAGGGTGTGAACCGATCAATTACCGCTCTTGCGAGTCGAGATTGCCCTGGCTAGTCAACTGTTGCTCCTGGTGGTTGTCTCTGCTGTTGCTGCTGCCGTTGTCTCTGCTGTTGTGCTGCTGCTGCTGTTGTTGCTGCTGTTGCTGCTGTTGATGTGGTTGAAGTGCCAACATCACTCCAGCCGGTCCAACACCATCAGATGGTGGTGAACATAGTATTCCAACTATCCGTACTACAAGATGTAGTACAGTGAATATAAAAGGTTTAAATGGCACGGCAAGGAGTCAGGATTGCCGTCAGGTTCCCCTGACATTAATTGCCCACACTACTGGGGGTATCTAGTGACTTTTCACACACTGTAGCCCGGACATCGCTTGCCTACTCCTGTTCAATGGGGGTGGGACGTTTCAACGGGCAGTCGCAACAACAGTCTGATGCCCAATGGCAGTCGCAGAAAGAAGGACTAATCATCCTGCTTGGTTTAAGGAGTTGTTTATTTAAAATCATAACTTTATCATGGCAGTCAAGGATTATATAATTAAATCTGAACCTCTTCCATTCCATTCCAGGGACATTGTCCATTAACTTTTTCGAAACAGGAGTAGTAAGTTCCTTCATTATTCCAACATGGAGGACAGGACTTGGTACAAACAGGTACATTTTTTTGGTTTCCAGGTGCACAGGAGGTACGCCTGTCATATGCCGCCATTCTATCCCACATTCCTGTTTAGTAGATAGGGATTAATACAAAATTTTTTTTTATACTTCATCCTCTTCTCGATACATACCTCCCCAAGGACATTGTCCCATTGGAGTATAATCATAACAGTCAAACTTGTTCCCATTTTTTTGCCAACACGGAGGACAATAGGTTACACCTGTGCAGATTGTACCCATATTTCCTTGATTGCAACTGTTGGAGTCCAGAGCAAGACAATAAAGTATATTCACTATTATTAATAAGACTAATACTTTCATTCTTCGTTTGAATACAATATTGGATTGAAGATAATATCAAATAATTATCTGTATATATATTTTTCTGGATAGATAACTTTACAAGATTTTATTTATTTTGTTAAACCCCCCACAAGAACTTTGTAAATTAAAATTATCCAATCGGCAATAGAGGTTGTAGTGGAATATATATATATATTGTCATGACAATCAATTTCAAGTTGTACATAAGAATCATGATTGTATCTCCGACTCTGTATATCTGTTAGCATTGCAATGAGGAGTATTCAACCTTCAAAATATCAGATGAATTTCCAGGAGTGGACCTTGTTGATCCATCCTCACGGTCATGTGACATGTGTAAGTCGTCAAGACGACCATCACCTTCACTCACGTGCACCCACGCTTTGCTTATACCAGCCGACCAGTTCTCACTGCCTATTTAGGAGATGACACACACTCATTCACACACGACTTTGTCAGACGACACCCACACACTTACTCCCGACCGATTGTCAATTTTGAACTCTACCTGAGCCAGTCTGGCTATCCTGTAATGTATGAATACTATTTCTGTGACTATATCCATCTCCTAATACTTTATTGCACTTGAAAAGACATCTACATCCTCCACTCTACACTCTACTCAACAACTCTACTCTATCATTCAAATTCCTTAAGTGCTCACATTAACCTTGACCATCCTATTAATCGACCACGACACAACAGATAGATATTTATATATATATATAGTAGTAGCTAAACAGAACCCACCAACTTGACGATGGCGAATGCCACCAGTTCTAACAAGACGCATTGGTTGTTGTTGTTGTTGGTGGTATCCTCCACGATTGTTACAACAGCCAATGCATCATGGTTAGGTCGTCAATCAAAGATTAGATTGACTAATATGGCATCGACAAAGATGACGACGTCGACAACATCATCAGAAGAGGAAGAAGAGAACTGCGATCCAAATCTAGGATGTCAACGCGATGCCAGTATACTTATATTGATCTTCTTGGCCATACTTTTACTATCTGTACTGGTAGTTTATTGTATCATTCGAATCGACCTACATTATATTCCAGAGTCAGTGGCTGTCATTGTCTTTGGTGTGATTGTTGGAATCATTGCAAAGTACACTCATGATAGGTTTGTGGACCATGTATCAACGTTCAGTCCAGAACTATTCTTCCTCTTTATCCTACCCGCTATCATATTTGAAACTGGATTCTCACTCAACAAGGTATGTACTTCCTCTTCAATCAATTTCATTCAAACTGACACCACATCGCTCATTCAATCAATCAATCATTCAATCAATCAAACATCCAGACTGAATTCTTTGGCAACATATATCCAATCTTGGCTCTATCAATCATTGGAACACTTATTGCATTCTTTGGAGTATCATTTGGACTCTACTTATTCGGCAAAGCAGGTATATCTCTGCCACTGCCCATCTTTGACTCACTGATGTATGTTAGACATATTTGAGCGAGACCTCCAGCCTTTCTCCGCCTGACACTCCCTCCACTCATTCATTCAGATTTGGTTCAATAGCATGCGCCACTGATCCCGTGGCAACATTGGCAATATTCAAGGCACTTGGAGTTGATCAGAAACTATATATGATTGTACTTGGTGAGAGTATACTAAACGATGCAGTATCACTCATTATATTCAAGGCAGTCAATACATACACAGTCTCACAAGTATGGATACCAATACTACTATTCATTGGAATATCAATTGGCAGTGTTATAATGGGTCTACTAGTTGCAATGATACTATCACTCATACTCAAGTGGCTCAACCTCTTCAAATATCCTGCTATCGAAACACTCTTTGTCATTCTATTCGCCTACATATCATATTTATTAGCAAATACAGCTTACCTCTCTGGTATCCTATCAAGTAAGTTTATTTCATTTCCAACGAATTGGCTCAAATATCTAACTTCCACAATCATTCCTCCAGCATTCTTCTGTGGATTGACATTCCAAAAGTATGGATACAAGAGTCTTTCAGGTGATTCACAACATAATACTACACAAATACTTCGAATGGCATCATTCGTTTGCGAGACCATAACATTCATTTACATTGGAATAACACTTCCACTTCACAAGTTTTACTTTAGTTATACATTCTTCCTTTGGAGCATTGTAAGTATCTATGGTCAACATATACATTGTTGTTGATCATTTACTTATAAGACAATATTAGGTATTCATTATAATATTTAGAGCATTGGCAGTATTCCCATTGATTGCACTGTTGAACAAGGTCAAATTGTCAAATATTAATGGAAGGATACAATTTGTTGTATTCTTGTCTGGACTTAGAGGTGCTATATCATTCTCATTGAGTCTCTCTGGAGAGTATCACTCAGAGTATCAAGATTATATCAAGACACAAATGATATTATTGGTCTACTTTACTATATTTGTATTTGGTCTATGTACATATCCATCACTTAAGGGACTGAAGATCAAGTCGGCCGATTCAGATCAGACGATGGAGTTCATTGGACAGCCCCTACAGGTGGAACCCTTACCACGACGACGCAAGATCAGGACATTGTTCTCAAAGGTCGATGAGAAATACCTGACTCGCTTCCTCACTCGCAGACATACTCCAGGTCCAAAAGTGGATGAACAATCAATCAATGTGGAGTTGGAGACACAAGATGCCATGGAGTCAACAACAAATGATCAAGATGACAATACATATTATAATGATGATCAGGTCGAGGATGACAATGTGCCTGCATCAATTGTTGTAGAAGCCCGTCCTGGTCAAGAAGATGAGGACATCAATGGCAAGCGTGGTGGTGTTGGTGGCAAACTTAAAACACATCCAAGCAAAGAGGAGTTGGTCGATCAAGACGAGAGTCCAACAAACTCAAACAAAGACATTCAAATGGACGACGATGGTGATGAAGATTGTGGAAGTAGCAGTACAAGTAGTCATAAATAATATATAGTTGTATAATTGATTATTAATAAGTATGATAATATATTTCAATTGATCCATGATTGTACAAAGTTGATTTTATTCCCCTCATTACACTTATTCATACATCTGTTTGTAGTTGATTCTGGGAGACCTTGGATACATCCTCTTCCCTTTCCAGGGGGAACTATACTCCCAGTTTGCTTCCCCCTCCCCCTCTTTTAATATTTATTTATGTTCAACCCTGCGACGATTGGCTACAACTATATCTTTTGTTCATTCCCAACTGTCAAGGAATATTAAGATCGATGTCACTCCTCGCTAGAGGAGATGTGAGGACAATATTGAAATTGATATCGAATAGCTCGAGGATAGATATATATCAATGTAAAGATATTAAGTCACTTTGTTATTATTATTATTATTTCCACTTATTACATATCATATAAATAATTAATATAATTAAATATATTAATATCCTTCATATTTCTTTTGTATATATTATCCAATTTATATTTTATCAATTGCCAACAACTAACAATCACAAACATTTATGTTAATCCCTCGTCAACTTTCACCTCGATTCTTTGTGGAGAATCACCCAACAACTCATGCCCGAACATCACTTCATCTATGACATCATTTCAAACCACTCACCCAAACCCTTCAAACTCAATGCTGAACATAGTTCTATCTCCTGGAACTTATAAGGCAGAGTTGGGAAACTCCAAAATCGACACATCCTCACTAAATGTCACCATTGGGCCATTAGATAATACAATGGAAACATCAATTGACATTGGCAACTACGTATTCATTATTTTGGGAGGTTTAGATCCTACCAATCTAACAATCAACTTAACCATAATGAACGGTATGGTTCCCGCCATCTTATCAGATGTCATATCAATGACCTACTTGACACTCAACAACGTCACCTTCACCAATTTCAATACAACCTCTACTATAATAACTGGATTTGCTTATTATCCAGACATCTTATTCATTACAATGAATGGTGGATCAATAACCAATATTCAAAGTAACATCTGTAATTGTATCAATCAAGTCCACACTAGAGATCAACCAATTATTCATATCCAACAATAATGTTCAATATATTATTCAATCTTCAATTGGTTCACTATCAATCACAGATACAATATTCTTCAACAACTCTTACTTATAAGATATACTAGATATTCAAATCAAACCAACGATCATAATAAACTGCTCCTTTATCCAGAACATATGCACCAATGATATCAATGAGTACAGTCCACTGTTGGACACAACTGGTGACCTTGAAATTAATCACTCATTATTTGATGGCAACTTTATTAAGAACCCTCTTTTGTCCATGATCAACAACAATGCTAGAATCAACAACTCAACTTTCACCAACAATCATGCAACGATGGTTGTAGCAGATCGCTCAAGTATTGAGGCAGCCAATTGCTCCTTCTCAAACAATTCAATTGGTATCTCTGGTTTCCACATCACCCGGACTGACCTGACTCTATCCAACTGCGAGTTTGATCTAATGAATGGATCAATATTGATCAATTGTTTTGATAAAGGCTCGATTACAATGACCAACACTTCATTTGGAGAAAACTCTCTCATGAACTGCAGCTCAACATGTGCCACACCAGGTTATGACTTCTGTGGCAGAAGTCGCAAGTCAATGCTAACGACTGGACAAATTGCTGGCATTGTAGTAGGCTCCGTTGGAGGAGCTGGACTCTTGGTGGCTCTTACCATTGTCTTTACCAGAAGACAGAGGAGCCAGTATAGAGAAATATAAATTCAATACTCTGGCAAAGTTCACATTCAAATAAATGGGATTAAATTAAATTGGAATTTTGAATGATTACAATCAAACATGATTGTAATAAGTTTATTTAGTCATCACCTCTAACTAGAGATGGACTTGGTGGACCATTCAGAATGATCATCATCTACTACAACAATATTATTAGTTGATCTGGAAACCGGCAAAGGTGCAGAGGGAGGATGAGGCACAGTTCAACTTGACCTGTCCAGAGGCAGCCCAGTTGTCAATGCACACAGCAATGGTGTCACCAACGTTGAAGAAACCAGTGTATGAAGCCTTGAGGTTGTAGTTTGGTGGGAATGCATAGCTGAATCCACTTGGCAACCAGGTTGAACCACCTTGAGTGAGAGTACGGCCAAGGACGGAACCTCCAGCACAGTAGGCATTGCATCCAGATCCGGCGGCACAGTTGATGATACGAATGTCAACGTTTTGGTTGGGAGCAGTGGCAGAGGCAACATTGATCAGGACATTGGCATCAAAGTGGTAAATTCCAGCGACTGGGATGGTGTAACCACCATTGGCACCAAAGTTACCCAAGTTGAATCCATTGCCTCCAGTGGACCATCCACCAACAGTGCTCAATGATTGAGCGCCATTAACAAGGGACAAGGCTGGGGAGTTGATCAAGTTGGCAGAGAAACCATTAGTGGCGGCAAGGGTTTGAGCACAGAGCAAGGCGGCAATAGTAAGGAGGAGGAAGAATTTCATTCTTTGATATTGATATTTGAATTGATTATTGATTTGGATATATTGGAATATATTAATTGTTATTTGTTATTTGTTTGATTTGATGATTAGTCATTGATTGATGAGGATTAAATAGGTTTCCATCCTGGATGTTTGGACATTGGAATTGAATATTTAGTCTAATGTTCAGTATAAGTTCCAGGCATATGCCATCATTGTTGATAGTTGCATATGCAGAATTGATGTATAAGTTTGATTGAACTTGTGTCATCATTTCTTTTGCCAGAAAGGTCTTATTTTCTCAGTTTTTCACACAATCCAATCAAAATCACAAAAATCTGACGATTCGTCAAGGAATCAAAACACACACAAGTGTGTCCTTTCGTGATGGAGGCCTTGTCTTGATCGTGATCAAGTCTGGAATGTAAATGAAAATGAATAATGATGTTAACAATTTATTAATATGATGCCATTCCATTCAATTCCATTCATTGATTCAATCAATCAATATAATCAAACGATCAATCCGAAGATTCTTGGTAATAATAATACTAAAGTATTAATTACTTCATCTTTTGGTAACTCCTGCTGTCCTGGTGCTTGTTGGCCAACTGTTTGTTCTTGGCCTTGAATGTCCTGTGCACGATGACGTCTGGAATCCAAACGAATATTATGGAAGCAATGTAACATAGCACCATCAGGGCCTCACGCCAATGAATACCAAAGATCTCGCCACCTCCAAAGCGACAGCGCATGGCGTCAAAGTCCTCGTCCAACCACAGTCCCAAGTACGTGAGGAATGTAGTGTGATAGATGACACCATATCCAAAGAGATGATTGAAGAACTTGAAGCGACGTGATGCATCAGTGATGTGATCCACCATGTAGTGTGCTGGAGGGGCACTGGCTGTATCCAAGTGTGGGTGGAATCTATGATTGATAAACAAGTAATAGTATGCTATGCCCAACAACAACAGATGATGAACATAGAAGTTATGAGGCTCCCACCACCAAGTGAACCAGCTTGCATTGGGTGGAGATAATAATCCAATTACCCTGTCGTCATAATTATTTGTTAGATTGATTGATTGTGTAAGTATTTTGATCAAACATGTAAGTTGAAGTATATTACTTACGGCATCCAAACTGAGTAGTAATAATAATGGAAGAGGTTGGTATCGTGCTCGGCAAATATAACAACATATATAAGTAGGAATGATGCCAGATGACATGGTTGGACCTGAGGTGTTATGGCAAGGGGCAAGTGCATGACATTCCATCCATCTGATCAGTCATTCATTCTTCATAATTGGTATGTACCATTCATTCATTCAATCATCCATCCAATCTATGTACTATACTTACCAACCAGTATGGCACACCTTTAATGAATCGCAATACAATGTTGGTCAGAGTCACAATGATGAGAGCAGAGATGAGTAGCCACTCGACCAATGTAAGTTTATACTGCTTATTCTTCAGTCTCTCTGGCTTCTTGAATGGGTCTGGTCTAATATAATATGTCACTATTGATGCTACAATACCACCTGAGGTCATCAACACAAACTGATCCATCGAGTGATTGTGTGAGTGTGTGTGTTTGTGTCACTCATTCATTCGTTCGTTTGTTTCATTCGACAAACATACATCAAAGCCAGGATCCATGCGAAAGCATGTCTCAAATAGTTGTGCCATTTCTCTTTATATAAATATGTATCTGTTTAAACAAATATAACAAACTAAACTAAACAACAACAATATGATAGTGTAGTCATGGTATTCTGAGAGTATGATCAACAACACTTTACGAAGGGAGGTAGTGACGTTTGTTGAATAAACATATGATTGGACATTGTGCCGGCACCCACCTTCATATTTGAATCATGATACAATAGCACGCAACTGATGTTGTCACCCCAACGCCACACTTATCCAGAGATATTTGCACACTGAATGTCTGACTGTCAGTCAAACGAACGAGGGGGTTTTTAGATGTTTGTTCGGCTGATTGACCAATCTCTTCGAAGAATCTGGCCTTCATCACACAAATACATCTTTTGAGATCTAAGTAATAACAATGATAATCAAATATACATACTATTGTAATATTATAACTATGTCAATTATGTGTTCAAACTCGAGTGCACTTACGTAATAGAGATAAAGATAATAAGTCATACTTTACAAATTCGAATTGGGAAGTCAAGACTGAAGTGGATGGAGTAACGTTACATTGTGGGGGTAATGAATTTCCAAATGATTTAATTTTAATTATTTTGAGGACTTTAGAGTGTGGTGGTGGGTGAAACAATAAAGTTGCTCTATCTATTTAAATTTATTTATATTTATTTATTTCGATGCATTTGTATTATTTTGAATTATATCTCTAATTATTACACTTCTACCTAAGGTATGTCCTCTCTCACACACTCACCTCACTCACACACCATCTCATCTCCTCTACTCTTTCAATAACATTGTCTTCGAAGACAACACTTTATTACTCTTCTCAAACACACTTCACTCTTCATCACCTTGCAACAAACAATGGTGATGAGTGAGCGAGAGAGATAAACAGAGAAGAGAAGAGAGAGGAGATAATATTGATTGCTATAACAACAAACAATATATATATTGGGGTCAAATATTAACTTAACGTTCAAACATGTACAAACAACATGAACAAATAGAATGGAGGAACAACTTATAGACAAGTCATACTTTACTTCGTTGTATAAGCAGATTAGATTGCAAGAGTTTTTGGAGGTTGCTCATACTATATTATTGGATCGTTTGGAGAATGGTTATGGAAAGACGGTGAAGGGTGTACCATTGGGTTGTCTCCCGGTAGAGTTGTTCCGTGATCACTTCTCATCGTTTAGATCATGGCGTAGTTATACCAAGGATAGGGTGACGCATATCAATGGCGAGAAGGTCAATGTGCAGCATCTCTACTTTACATTCAATGTGCGTTCGGGCTTCCCAACGTTGTCCACTGGCAAGGAGTGGGTCAAGAAGAAGATCGATAGGAAGGACGGCAATGAGCCCGCGGTGCACGAGTACCAAAAGGTGACGTTCATCATCAGTTACCGTGATACCAGAGTCGAGTGTGATTTCAAGATGGCCATCATACTTCCTGCTAGTGTCCAACAGCAGCAACAACTATTGGCACAGCAGCAGGCCGCTGTACAACAAGCTGCATTAATGCAACAACAAGAGTTATATCAACAACAATTATTAGCACAACAACAACAAGTGCAACAACAACAGCAGCAACAACAATTAGTGCAACAACAAGGAGTACACACTCCACAACAACAATATAATAGCCCGATCCAGACTGCAGCAATACCTCAACATCTAACTCCACAACATACTCCACCCCAACACTCTCCCATGGTCAAGGCAGAGAACAACAGCACGCCACCAATAGCCGTACCAACTAATCTCAACATCAACGGCAACGACAATATCAACAATAACATTGATAGCATCAACAACAATAACATTGTTGACAACAACAACAACAACAATGACATCATCATAAACAACGATAGCATCAACAACATCAACAACAATATCAACAACAACGACATCATAATCAACAACAACAATGACATCAACGACAACCCTGAACAGAATATGGGTCATCCAACAGATGGTACTGCAATGTCATCTTCATCATCGCCAATGGAACAAACACCTACCGAGCCACAGCAGCAGGCGCCAATAGTGCCGGCACTGTCACAGGACACGACACCACCAATGCATCCAGAACCTGTTGTAAATTTAAAGTTCGAGTCGACAACAACATCCTAAGATAAGAGAGATGCTACCGATATGACATAGTGATACATTAATAATAATTGGACCAAAGAGGAGAGAGAGGGAAGGCGATCGCCGAACCAACACAGACAACAGCAGCGCAGACACATACAGAACAGACATACCTAGGCCAAGCCCGCCTCTCTCAAGACTGACCGCACCATAGTCATTCAACAGGTGCACGCAGTCCATCATGGAATAAACGAATGAACCTTTGCAAAGACATCTCTGTCTGTCGGCTGATGGAAGTTTGGAAACTGGAAGGGTTGAGTCCAGTCTGTGGCATTGTTTACTGATACATTTGTAAAGAGTCACGCTTGCTGAATGAGCTCTCGTTGTTCTTGATTGTCTTTTGTTGAGTCAAGATCATACTCTTCCACTTGGACTCGGTTGCAGCAGCGTCATCTGAAGTTGACGCCTTGAGAAGAAGTGTCTCACCAGTGGAGGACACAATCGCCATTTGCTCGCCTTGTACATCCTTGAACGTAATGCTGTTGAGTGAGAACACCTCCTTGACCTGCAGCTTCTTGCCCTTTTGCTTGGTACGCAACAGAATGTCCGTGCAGAGCACGTAGCGCAGTGAATGTGACTTTGATATGCTGTCGCGGTTGCCCGAGCCAGCCTTGAGTACGCGCTCCTCAAACACTTCCTCGGCAATGAGCTTCCTGGCGGGACAGATAAAGTCGCCGTCTTTGAAGCCCTCCAGGTTGGACTGGATGTCAAACATCCTGGTCAACAACTCAGACTCGCGCTTGTTCTCGTTGATGCTTGTGGCCAGCTTCTTCATCTTGTCCAAAGCATTGGTCAGCTGCTGATACTCGCTGGTGTTTGTGTCCGAGTACTTGATCAGCTCAGAGAGCAACAGGTTGTACCTGGGTATCCTCTGGATGGGCATGATCAGCAGCGACGACAGGTCCAGACCGCCACACGCGGGGTTCTGGGCAAAGGTCTGAAGTAGCGCGTCGACGCTCGGGTTCTTGCGCACACGTTGCAGTGTCTCGAGAGCGTTGGTGTAGTTGTTGGTGTACGAGGTGTAAGTCTTGAGGAAGTCGGTGATCGAGATGAACAGGTCGCCGAGGATTGGTGCAGCGACGCCTTCTTTGATGCGTTGTTGCAGCGATGTGAGCAGGTGGGAGTTGTAGTTGTAGATGGTGACGATCTCGGAGAAGATGGCGTTGACCTGCTCCAGTGTCATGGGCGGGTGTTTGTTCTCTGTGGCCGCCTTGAGAGGGATGTAATAGACCTCGACCAATACCTTTAGCTTGCTGACGTATGTTTCCTCCGTGGTCAAGATCTCCTTGGCCACATGATTCCTCTTGGTCTGTCGCTCCTTTGCCTCAGCCGATGGCTGTGCTCCACCAGTAAAGTTCTTCATTGCTGAGCCCAATATTCCGCGGAGTGTCGACATGCCAGCCTTGGTTGTGCCAGGTTTCTGTTGCTTGATCTTCTCTTGTTCATTCTTGGCTGCATTGTCTACTGGTTGTGGCAATGGCTGTGTCTGAGGGGATGATGAAGATGAGGATGTTGGTGGTGGAGGAGGAGTCTTTGGTGGAGGAGACGTCTTGGTTGCTGGCAATGGTGATGCTGGAGGTGTTGACTGTGATGGCGATGCAGGTGAGCTTGTGTGAGTTGTGATGTGACCTGGTGAGGACAGTGGCTTGGGTGGTCTTGCAGGGGGAGGTGACGCGTCCGCTGAGGTGACACTTGAACCAAGACTATCCAATGACTTTCTTGGTGGAACTACTGGAGGTGCACCGGTGCTTGATCTAGGTGGGATTGGTGGCGAAGGTGCTGGTCTAACAGGTCGAAGCACAGTTGATGAAGGTGATGACGATGGTGAAGAAGAAGAGGTAGTTGCGGACGACTTTGGTGTTGTTGGCTCAACATTTTTAGTTGATGATGTACTTGTTGTCGATGCAGCTGATGTTGTATCTTGTTGATTTCTCTTTGAATATGAGAAGAAAGTGATTAAACCTATCAACAGGAGAATTGACCAAATGATTGATCCTGTATAAACAGTGACAAACACTGCAAGACCAACAGCACCAATCATCAATACATTGTCACTACTAAGCTGTGTATGATCCATTTTATATATATCTATCTCTATCTATCCTTAACTCTCTAACTATCTTTAAATCAAACACAACAACCTTTAAAAAACCAAGTTGTTACACCAGCAACAAACAATGTTGACCCAATCATGCATTGTGACACACCCATCAGCCACCAAGTCTTGGGGAGTGTCCAATTCATTGAAAACTACAACTAACGGATAATGATCAGTTGGATGACGAACAGAATGAATGTTTGTACAAATTATATGTTGTATATTGAATATATATCTTAATTATATGTTATAACTATTATATGTTGATGGATAATGTAATCAATTGAATATGTGATTGTTTTGAAAACTTGTATTATGGGATAAATAAGTAACACAACAAATGGTGTGTTTGGATGATCACTTTAATTATTACTGAAGTCCAAAAGATAATAATAATAATGTACATATAATACAATCAATCAAACACAACACAATGTCTACAATAAATCAAACATTTGTACCTGCACCTACTACTGCTGCAACAGCTGCACCATCAACCAATCAACAACAATCAAACGCTCAACAACAACCAAATGCTCAACAACAACCAAATGCTCAGCAACCAAATGCTCAACAACAGCAACAGCAACAACAACAACAGCAACAACAACAACAAGTACAACAACAACAGAGACAACCGATACAGATAGCACCACCACAGAAGAAGTCACATGCACTACCAACTATACAACAGAAGCAATTACTCGAACAGTTTGATGAGATTGTCAATCAGATAGGCGCACTCAGAGTCAATGTCGATCATATATTCTCAACGATCATTGAAGATGCCAAGACAGCGGTCAACACATCGACACCAGTGCTAGTGCCAATCATCAGTAAAGAAGCGCGTACCGCTGCACTGACCCAATCACTGTTGGCAATCAAACAATCACTCAAGAAGATTGAACAACAGCAACAGATACTGTCGCCCTACTCTGTGCAGACCTCCAACTTCCAGCATCTCGAACAGATGTGGACACAGAACACTGGCATCTACGATCATTCAAACATCAAGTTGCAGACCCAGATCAAGCTGGAGTACTTCTGGCGTCACGAGACGTCAAAGAAGTCTTCAATCGCTCTTAAGTATGTTTGATGTGTCGCGTGCAGCACCAGCATGTATTCATACTCATACTCGTACCCTACCTCTAATCGATTAGTATACTCGAGGGTAAACTCAATGAACGATACCCTAGCTTGTTAAAGGAAGCAACAGACACAGGAAACATACGCAAGAGGAAGCAGATCATGTTGGATAGCAACAACAACAATAGCAATAACAACATCAGCAATGGTAGTGCCAAGCCTGCTGCCACAGTGACATCTCCAAGGACAGCATCAATGGATACTTATGCGTAACTATCTCGGCCTTCCATCATCCCTCACCTGGCCAACTTACTCACTCTATCAATCATCAACACAATCAACAGGAGCATCGATAGCATTATCAAGACGGTGGCCAACGAGACAGCACTTCAGATACTGGTACTTCCCGATAGGAACGACATCATTAAGGGTCTGGTAGGTGTTGAAGCAAGCCGGACAATGATGCTGCATCATCATCATCATCAACTAGATACTAACTTGTACATTCAGATCATATCCACTCATGTGTTCCAATGCTTGTTAACGTTTGCCGTGTCGGAAGAGTCACCGGAATGCTATACAGTCGATAGGATACTGTTCTTTGGAGCCAAGGAACCATTCGATTCCTTCTGGGAGACTTCCAAACATAGTATATTCAAGAAGCTATCTGAGAACTCCAATGAAGCTATCAGCTACTTCACTTCCAATCCAACCAATACTCCAATCCTTAAGAATATCCTGGTAAGTTCGCCAAGCTGCGTTGTATCATCCTTGGACATGAATGGATACTAACAATCAATCAAACATATTATTAGTATTGGATATGGTCATTCAGAGGTCTATTCTTTGAGGAATGCAAGGGCTGCCAGAGTATACTCCAATTGGACTCGTCGGCATTCATGTACCTGCCGCCATCTTATCGAACCTTTGACACATTCACTCCTTACCATCCAATATGTTACCAAACGCATCAACAACAAAGGTCTGCGAACTGACAATGTTCCAGTTCATCATCTATCCCTCATGCCGCGTATACTTATTGATTGATTGATTGATTGAACAACATGTTGAGGCGTTGCTACCCTTTAATTAATTAATAATCGGACCATCTCTTCTTTTGCTTCTTCAGACTGCCATCAACTGGACGAGTGAATGATGATGGAGCGATGTCTTCGTCGATATCATCAGCGTCATCTGCCTGCTTTCTCTTCTTGTTGTTTGTTGACTTGACAGCAGTAGCAGTCGTGTTTTGTTGCTTTAGTTTCCTCAGCATCTTCTCTTGGACATGTTGAGGCAGCTCCTTCTGCTCCTCCTTGGCCTCGGCCAACAACTTCTTATCGGCCTCACTTATGGTCTGCCTCTTCTTCTTTGACGTATCGATGCCTTGCTCTCTGAGCAGACGCTTCTTCTCACGCTGCTTGGCGCCACGACCCAAATGCTTGACGCCATTCTCCTTGTCCTGTGCCTTCTTCTCCTTCTTCAGCTTGAAGGCCTCCTTGTTTTTCTCGATGTTGTTCCTGTGAATCTTCTCCATGATCTCCTTCTGCTTCTTGACGGCACGGGCATCCTCGATGGAGAACTGGATGAATGTCCTGCTCTCCTTGCCATCGGTACCATTGAACACCTTTGTGCTGTTGTTCAATGAGTGCAAGAGGTCCAGTGCGGCCTGATGGTCGTCCACCTCAACGAATCCGTATCCCTTTGACTTTGGCTTTCCAGCAGCGTTCAATCTCTCCTTGTCAACAGCAACCTTGGCCTATAATTACCAAATGAATTGGGTTAGTTCCAGTCCAATCTTGGAATGATTCCAGCCCCAATGGGGCACAATACATACACAAATAATCTTTGCCTTGGTCTTCTTCTCCTTGAGGGTTCGGAAGCAAACAGCCTTGAGTTGGCTGTCGGTGACGTAGTTGGGAAGGTTCCTGAAACATAGACGAGTGGGCGAGACGTAGTAGTTGGGGTTGAGCTTGAGCTTAGTGTTGGCCTCACGCTCAGCAACGTTTCTGATCTGCCAGTCGCGGTCGTTGAAGGTCTGACCCAGCTCAGACTGTGGCAACACCTTGCCAATGTCCAGCAGCTTTTTGTTCTTCTTGTCGACCTTGGCCACCTTGTTGTCCTTGAACTCTCTGGCCTTCTGATGATCGACGGCACTGTTGATGATGAGGGCACGACCATTGACCATGATGCCACCTTGCAGCAGTGTGGACATGGTGAAGTCGTTCTTCTTCTCCTTCTTGGCACGCTGTCTCTCGCGCTCCTTGTCGTCGGTGAGATCCTTGGATGGGTCGAACAGGTTGACTATTTTGGCGGCTTCCAATGCCTTCTTGGCAGAGTCCAGTGACAGGTACTTGACAAAGGCTTTTCCAGTGGGCTTGTTGGTGACCTGATCAATGACCAATCTGGCGAACTTGAGCTTGCCAAACTCCTCAAACTTTGTCTCGAGGTCTGCCTGGGTCGTGTCGAATGAGACATTTCTGATGAACAATGTCTTGCCCTCGTCCATCTCCTTCTTATTCCTGTCAGCCATCTCCAGTCTCTCCTGTCTCTCCCTCTCAATCCTGTCTCTCTTTGTCTCGGCATCGAATTTATCGTCATCATACTCGCTAAAGTCTGACTCGTCATCGTCTCCCTCTCCTTCCTCGTCCATGTTCTCGACCTCATCATCGTCATCGTCCTCCATGCCCTCGTCTTCTTTGTCGTCGTCCATCTCCTCGTCATCGTCCTCATCTTCGTTGCCTTCGAATTTAACCTTCTCCTCATCACCTTCTTCCTCGCCATCATCATTAAAGTCCACGGTCTTTCCTTCTCCCTCTTCCTTGGCCTCATCTTCGTTGTCCTCGTCATCCTCTGCCTTCTTGACAGCGGCAGCGGCGGCCTTTGCCTTCTCCTCCTCTTGCTTCACCTTGATGTCCTTGTACTTGTCATTTGAGATGGACCAATCGATGGCGAATGGTCTCTGGCCAAACTTTGATCCATTCAGCTCCTTCATAGCGTTCTCAGCGCTCTTCCTTGTTGTGAACAATATGAAACCAAAGCCCTTTGCCACCTGTTGTGCCTTCTCACCAGCAGCCTGCTTCGTTGGCAACTTAACCAACAATATATCTCCATAAGGTTGGAACTTGTCCTTGATCATCTTGATATTTACCTGATTGATTTGAGTGAGTGTGAGTGAGTGGAATGGTTCCAAGCGGTGGGGAAGGAGTATGACTTACAGTGAATGGTAGGTTACGGAGTACTAGCTCATGGTTCATCTCTTCAGTCTCACGGGCAAAGATAAGTGGCTTGCCATGGAGTTTGACTGTGGCCAGTTTGGACATGACCTCAGTGGCACCCTTGTGATCCCAACACATCAGTCGTACGGTGGCATCAGAGAACTGAATCAGTTTGATTGAGTGTATAGTAGCAGGCTTGATACCAATGATCTCTGCTGCCTTTGTCTTATCCTCCTCATTGAAATTGTTGATTATAATCGTGACTCTACCTGACTGCTGTTGGGGTTGTTGTGGCTGCTGCTGTGGCTGTTGTGTCTGTTGTTGCTGTTGCTGCTGCTGTTGTGGCTGTTTCTCATCATTCGCACCCTTCTGTCCTCTCGAGTTCTGCTGGGGAGTGTCACGCTTGGGCTTGGCAGCCTCAACTTTAATCTTTCGATTGTTGAATTGTTGACGATTCTTCTCTTTGATGGCCTTGGCGGCATGCTCCTCGAGTGCGAACCAGAGGAAGGCAGTACCAGCACATCTTGTCTTATCATTTGGTTTGGTGACGATGAATGATCTCTTGATTGGACCAATCGATGAGAAGTACTCTTCCAACTGATCGGTAGTAGTATCGAATCCCAGATTACTAATATAAATCTGTTTCTTTAATGACTCTGCTGCTGACTCTCCTGTTGCTGACGTCGATGTCGACGTCGTAGTCGATGTAGACATTGTTGTTGATGTACCTTTCCTCTTGTCCATTATATATAAATGTTTGAGTATGTGTGTACAAGTTATCTGTTTGTTGAAATGAATGAGAAAAATGATTTGATTCGTTCGGTCGTTTTTTGTTCCACACACAAGCACTCAAAACGAATGTGATGGGTTGATAGTTTGAATGAATGAACGAAGTTCAGGTAATAATAATAAATATATTTATATTTGATTGGTTTGTTTGTTAAGTGGACCATTCAAAGTCTCTGTTAAGTGTTCGGTATAGCTTCTCATTATGTGGTCTAAAGTAGTCAACAAGGAATTCTCTAATATCCTCATCCATCGGTTCATGTGGCACTACATTCTTTGGTGCAAAGTCTCCATAATCATAAGGTGGCAACTCCAAGAATTGTTCAACTTCTCTCAATACTATGATTGGATGAGTGAGTTAGTGAGTGAGTGATTGGAATGATTCCAGTGATGAATTATTGGGATACATACCATTCTCTGGATAAGACTTTATGTCTTCATATCTTACAAATAGGAATTGATCCAACGGATAGTACTTGAGCCATTGATCGATTTGGTCATAGTAGAGTGATTTGGCCAACATGCCAAATGTTGGATGTCCAGACATGTGCATCACGTTGCCAGTGGGGAAGCATCGATCACATTGTTTGCAATCTTTGTAAAAGGTCCAGTTCTTGGACGAGTGGAATACAAAGAATGGATTGATCCAGTCGTCTGGGATGGCGGCGCCAGGATGGTCGCGCTCATACTGTGCCACTTGCTCAAGGAATCGCTGATTGCCTCGCACGCACGTCTCTATTACGTCGGCCTCCTCGTAGATCATATCCTTGAACGGCTTGGGCTTCATCATCTTGGGGTTGTTCTTCTCGATCCATTTTATCGAGAAGTAGTACTGGCTGAGCACTCGCTCCACTGGGTCGCGCATCAAAAGTATCAGCTTAACGTCCTTGAGCGTGCTGTACATTCTCTCGGGCGTGAATGGATGGTTGATGTAGAATGGCGTCGCTTCGCCAATCACCTTGGTCTGGGCGTTACCAATGACCGGCTCAAAGTGCTCGACGTACCACTTGATACCCTTGCTATAGTAACTGTTGAAGAACCATATCTCCTTCTTGGTGTGCTTGGCCATCAGTGGATGTTGTTGGAGGTAGTAGTCGAGGAAGGTGGTGCCAGCCTTCATCGAGCCAATTATAATATAGTTTGGTAGACACATGACCTTGTTCTCGACGGGGAAGCAAGCATTTGGATTGAGTCTACGAGACTTGGCCAGTCGTGCCTGTACACCTATCTCTGTCTCTATTGGCATATGTAGTCCCTCTGTCTTCCAAGCAATTCCACTAAAGTCTCTAACACTACAGCTGCCATTGACATTTACATTAGTTGTAGTTGTTGTAGTTGTAGTTGGTGATGTTGGGGTTGGTGTTGAAGGGTCAATGTTCTCCATCTGTTTGGCCAGTTGTTGAGATTGTTGAATGAGTTGATCCATTGACTTTTGTAACATTGTGAGTTGATCAATTGTATTCTTTGTTAATGACGATGCACCTCCGCCACCACCAACACCTCCGCCACTAGCACCACTTGCACTACCACCTGATGCTGTGTTTGTTGCTGATGTTGTTGACTCTACATTATATAATTGACGTTGTTGTTGATGTTGATTATCATTAGCTACTACATTGTTAATTGAAGCTATTGTTATAATAAACAATAGAGTGATCGTTGTTGTCAACAACAACATCAATGATGATTGACCAATCTTCATCATTATCTACTTATAATTATATAAATAACAAATAAATAGAGTTATTAGTGATCACTAGTTAGTTAGATAGATAGTTAGTAAGTTAATAATGAGGCAATAAGATCTTGAGACCAACAGTCGCACAATTGTGGGTCGGCACTCTAAAGTCCAAAGCATCCCCTATGAACCAGGCAAAGATTGTTTTGATAAAAACTCTAAAATATCCCAAAAGGCCTCAAGATTCGTTTTTTTTTTTATTAACCCGTTTGGGTTTATTGATTGATCACTCCGATCTTTTCCCACATGTAATCCTATTGATCAAACAAACTATCCATTAATAATAAAGTAATCAATTATATTTACTCGGCTTTGTTTGTTCTCTTCTTGATTCCAGTGGAAGAAGATGATGATGGTGTCTCTTTGATATCCTCATCCTCATTCACTTCCTCAGTCTCCACCACCTTCTTTGACTTCTTGCTTGTCTTGACCTTGTTGTCAACTGCTGGAGCAGTAGCAGGCTTGTTCTCCACCAACTGTGGTGCAACATCATCATCTTGGACCTCACCACCATAGTGAGTTCTCTTCAAGTCCACTGGGTAGATCCATCGTTGGTAGAGATAGACGATAAAGACGATGTCATCACGCAGACAACTGAGTCTATGCATCAGAGGCATCTTGATGATGAAGGCAAACAGGTCATCGATAAAGGTGTTGAGTGCGCGGTACATGAACACCTTGAACGGCAGTGCCGACACTGACTTGAGCTTGTAGTTGATGAACAGCTGTGGCGTCATCATGATGAACTCAAACGTGTAGACGGTGCGCACCAATGACGAGACCACCCAGCTGTACCAGGACTTGTGCTCGTGGTAGTAGAGCGAGTAGATTGACATGCCAACGACCAGGGGGAACAGCACCCACGACAGGTACTTCATGGCCAGATCGTCGTACTGCTTGGTCTTTGAGACGTAGCTGTCCTTGTTCTCAAACTTGAAGATGGGGATGATTCCGCGCCAGTGCATCGTGACATTCATTGCCTTGCCAATCTTCCAGATCTCGAGCAGCAGACCAAAGCCAGCACTGAACAAGATCATATAGCTGGTATCATTGTCCAACAAATAGAGGAAGACCACAGCCTGGCATCCAGTGTGCAGCATGATCGTTCGCACTGACAATCCCTCCATTGACTTGTTGTTCTTCCAGAATTGGATATCTATGTTCCATCATCGTCATCGTCGTCGTGTCAAGGGTCAGCACTCATTCAATCATTCATTCAATCATTCGTCGCGCGCTACTACATACCATTCTTGAAGGCCAAGAACTCAAAGATTGTGTGAAGGAGAGTGACTACAGCGGTGAGAGCAAGGAGGTATGGGTTGTTATCGGTCAACATTCTCTTGAAGTCGTCGCCAGTGTCAGCCTGATCTGGGGCACCGCCACCAAACATCGATTGCATATCCAATGACTTTTGCATCTGAGTGTACAGTTGCCACTTGAAGAAGCTGAGTGGGTATGTCGACATGGTCAGCGTGAGCTCGTCCACAGTCTCATTCACCATGCTCAAATGCTCCTTGTACAACCAGAACTCATTCAAGAACACTGATGGGCTGTATCTATCGCCTGAAACATTGAACTCTGTTGTTGGTGGTGCGCAGTGATTGATGTGTAAGAGTGAGACGGTCACTTGACTTGATAGATGTTACATACGTTGGAACATCTCGGGTGGGATTGATCCGGGACCATATGCAGTGTTGTCGACGATGAGGTTGATGATCATTGATGGCTTCCAGTATGAGACCAGCTCATTGGGATCATAGATTGGCTCCTCCACAACCTCCTTCTTATCAGCCAACAAGTTCTTTCCCTTGGTCTTTGGTCGTGGTGCATAGACGATCAGTGCTGCATGAGTTGAGATATGTATAAAGAGTGAGTGATTGATTGAAGGGATGATTATGATGATGACCAGTCCAATGTGAGACACATACGATGCACTGTTTGAAGTGAGTAGGTTGGTGATAGAATGTTGTGTACCAAGACATGAGCATAGAGTGATCCGTTGTTCTTGAGGTAGTCAGGTGTCTTGAAAGTGATGTTTTGTTCGCGATTGTTACTCTCGTCCCATCCATAGATGAACTGCTTCTCACTCCAAACCAACCAATCTCCAACTGTAGTGTTTGACTCTGACAGGTATACCTCCATTGTCTATCATGTATGTTTGATTGATTGAGTGAGTGATGTGATCGATGTGATTATTGATCATGTGATCTTACGAAAGGTGTATTCATTGACCAGGTGTTGTAGATAGTGACTTGAGCGGCGGGCATCTGGGTGCCATTGGTCAAGGTGACGTTGGCCTGCATATTGGCGTCTGGAGCACCTCCAAAGAACTTTTGACCAATAGTCATAGCTATATAATAGATTGCCATGAACCTTACTACGGCTTGTAGCCAAAATGGGATGAATGATCCTTCAGGCATCTTGTTATATGTGTATGTATATATATATATATAAATAAAATGTTGTATCAAAAGTATAAATGCAACCCTTTGCGTGGATGCATTCACTTTGTCCCATTCGTTCGTTCATTTGAAAGGAATCTGACCTCAAAAGTCGATTAGGTGATACTTGTGACTCATCGACTTTTGAATGTAACATGTAATTTTTATTATTATTTGGTGATAGAACTGTTCTTGTATTGATTAATCAAAGATGATCAAGTTTTAGAAATATTCTTTTATATCCTTATTTGATAAGCAGGGCCAAAGTAAAAGGGGTAAGTGTTATCTAATGGTTCACCGTAACCAAATATATGAGGGGGGTATTGGTATTGTTCTATTGGCAAAGTCTTGCTGTATTCGCAAGTCACCAATACAACCAAAGATATTAACAGTATAATCTTGACTATAATTATCATTATTAATTTTAGATAATATTTTTAGTGGATAATTATTATTATTCAAAACATTTATACGATTCCATTCTGTATCTGTTTATCTAATAATAGGAGGAAGAAGATAAAAATTGAATGAGAAATAATTGACAGAAGTATTTCTTGTTCATTTGGRAGGATAGTACTGTATAGTATTACTGAGAGACTTCCATGTTTTTGTTTTTGGGTCTGGCTTTCGTTTTTAAAAGAATTTCTTGATCAGGGGGAAGTGATGAACAAGGACCAAATAAAATTATCTTTGTTGATTGATCGATCAAAAAGATATTATTATAACACACAAACACATACATATTCAATATTTGTTTGAGATGGCCGAGCTACTAGACCAACTTCTTTYCCAGCTTGGATATCATCAATGCTTTGCCAATGATATCAAAAGTGAGTTATCCATCACAATTTATCAACTGGTCTCAGCTCATTCAATCAATCAATCACTCTCCACTCACTAACTCAATCACTCAATCACTTGCACCCAACTTTTTAGTTGTTTATTGAACAATCATCATTGACTTCAAGGATCTTTTATAAAGAGTTGGACTCAATTGAGTTTGCTGTTACTGGCCCACATAATGTTAAGCATGGTGTGATCAATGTTAGACAATTGTCGTCACTGCCTGGTATTACCATCACACCACTCGACCTGACAATATCAGCATTGCGCATCATCACCGCAAATAACAATTGGTCATTCCATAGCGAAAGGTTAAATTTTGTCTTTGATCAAACATTCCTCAACAGCCTTGTGACGACCCTCACCGACAGCCAGATTGACCAACTTGTCGCTCACTACTGTGAATATATCATCACTATATTGGTCGATTTACATGATGAATATCGATACAAAGTACACTTGATACCTTGTTACAAACATATAACAACAGCATTTGGAAATGGAAGAGTTGAGCGTATACTCAATCAATGGTTCTTTGAGGCATCCCCTCCAGCATGGTTCCACAAGAAGATTGTATTGGCCAAGTTTAACTACTTGCTACTCATCAATGACAAGTCACAATGTGCACTCTACCTAAATCATAGACGTGAAATATTCAAGTATGTTATCAATATGATTGAACATCATACTTACTAACTTGCTGTATCTAGTTTCATCCTTGAAGTTTTGAGATATGCTCCTATCTCTATTTATGGCGCGACTTATGCCACTTATTCTCAGTTGAGCATATTCATGGACATGGAAGATGATTTGGAGCAACAACAAGTGTCCGCTCAGATTGAAAAACAAAAGCATTCAATTATCTTTATTGTCTTCATGGAGAAGCTACGTGATTTAGAATCATACTTCCCATATTATTTCAATTGTCATGGTAATGATGTGACCAATGCCATAATCAAACATATGGGTGCATCATTCGTTCAAGTAAGTTAGTTCTACCCTATCTCATTCTTGATTCATTCGCTTCCTAACTTTCTTTTGGCTCAATCAATTAATCAATCAATCAAACTATCTAGGAATATCCTAAACTTGAGAAACATCTCCTAGATGGATTGGCACATAGTATTACTTATAGATATATTGATTATCTGGTCTTGTTTGATGGCCTCACGAGCTCCTTCAAGTTGGCAAATCAGCCATTGCCCTCATCATTGGTCAAAGGATTAGAGTCATTATCTTTGTACAACTTCAAAAACATTGCCCAAAAAGTCCACTTTGATGGGATCGCCAGAGGCATGCTTGGTGTATTCGAGGAGACCAAGGACACCAGATTCATTCAATTCTTCTTCTCATCTTTAATTCGACACAAGACAGAGTGTACAGATCTCATCTCAATGGCCATTGACATGTACTCAACGGAGCTCAAATCATTCCTGGCAAACCCAATGCAAGAGATACAAGCAATGGTTGGCAATTTTTCAAACATAGAGTTGCTAGTCAAATGTCATCAACTGTCAATGCTCAACGATGTGCAGATTGACACTATAACTCGATATCTCATTGATACCAACGATCCAATGACGTTTGATAGAATTGTGCATCCAATTAGCATGATCTGTGCAAACCCAAGCCAAACATGGATACAACATATTGACAACAAGTTGTTTCCTGAATCCAATAGTTACAACTACCCACGGGTTTCAACCAAATCATTGGTACTTCAATTGGTGCACTTTGGTCTCACTCTACCTTCGTTCCACTTGCTCAAATATTCTTATTGCTACCAAGCCAGATACAAGAAATTCAAGCATCTACTCTTTGGAGCCATTCCTCATGACCATATATTCGATGAACAACTCAAGTTGTTCAAAAAGTTCAAGCAGAACTCATTCAATCATTCAATCATTGTTGAGGATGACCAAGACAGCCAACAGAATGGAACAGAGACTATCCATCCCACTCTCCCATTGATCATTCTCAATCAGATCATAAAACATTGCCTAAAAGATGATAGTTATGGTCAGCAATGGTTCTGGGAGTTGTCGAGCGTTAGCAAACATTTCCACAAGATATGTGCATCTACACTCACCAATCAATCATTACCATGGATCAAGATACATTCATCACTGGATTACATTGGATCACCTTTCTGTCTCTTCCAAGACACGCCTCTCTGCATGCATGCATTCAAACTGATTCACATCCCCACCAAACATTTGGCTCGCTGCCTTGAGCGCTTGGAACACCTTACAGTGCCATTCATCAATGACAATGGGTATCATCCCGCATTTGTGGTGGTCAAGACACAACACCTCCATCATTTAGCCTTTGTACAATATAAGAATGATGAAGATGAATTCAAAGATATCGATGGCCTCAGATTGATCAAGAAACAAGACAATGATCGAAATGAATATGTAAAGTACTCCAATGAAGTTGGTAAATACATCGAAGATCCATTGAAGTACATGCAGCAATTCTACTTTGACAACAACCCAGGGCTCCAAACTGTTGAGCATACATCAAACTTTATCATATTGCCAGAGTTTGATTATGGTACAGCTGGTGTGAAGATATTAACAAGAACGGTTAGATTGGAGGGCGATAGAGATTCTTCTGATTTCGGTGACGATTATCATGAACCTCTCACAGGCCTTCCTATCTACTTGAGTATTGAAGGTCTCCACTTTAGTCAATATACAGAGTCATTGGTATACTACAACAATGTATCCAATCTTCATCTCAACTGGAAACATCCTCCTCCAAAAATAGGCAGAGTCATCCCCCAAGACCAGGGCTTTCCCCAACTTCAAGATCTTCAACAACTTCAACAATTCTACGCCGCCAACAAGTGCAAGACCTTTGAACTGACAATGGATGTCCAGAGTGTGAGTGATATCCTAGCCCTACTTCCTAGATGTCCAACAACGATCACTACTCTGACAATCAAAGTAGTTGGCAGGGAACAAACTATCTCCAATCACATCATGGGATCATTGGACTCTCAAATGGAAGCATTGGTCGCTAACCTGAACCAGCTATCACTCTTTGGCACACTCACGTCATTCTCCATTTTCATTGAGGATGAATTCCATGACCAGCGTGTCTTCCAACATCCTGCACTCAATGCCCTTCAACTGCCATCACTACCAAAGTAACTCTAATAGAGTAATCAAGTTGATTGACGATAATGTAATACATGTGAGCCTTTCTATAGGCCTTCTTTCGTTTATATATATATATTTGTTGTTTCCAGAGATAATTTATCCTGGATCGCTATGATTGATATTATATTTGTTGGTTCGTTTTGTTGTTGTTTGTCTAGATATCGAATTCAAGTAGCTTCTTCTTGTCGAGGCTCTTGCCTGGTGTTTGGTCACCGTCGTCTTCTTCGTCCATGATCGATGTGGAGTGTTGAGCGAATGTGAACACATGCTTGCCACCACCGCGGCCATTGATTGAATAATCGTCGTCGTCGTCCGAGTCATTCAGGCCTGGGAAGGTTGTGGAGGTCGAGTCGCTGCCAAGATCAAACTTGGGCAGCATCTTGTAACGTGTGACTCCGTTTCTGAATTTGTTTCTGAGCAGCCACGCGGCAGCTCCAATGAGAGCAACACCGACTAGGACTCCAATGATGATCTCCAGGGCAAGGATGGCGTTGGATCCTGCCTTCTTACAGTCGCGTCCTGAGTAGCCTGGCGCACAATCTTGGCATCTCTCGCCGGCGTAGTTGCCTGGACATGTACATGTGCCCTTCAACTTGTTGCAACTTCCCTTGCCACATCCGCCTGGACAACTGAGGTCAGCCGAGCATGTTGGGTAGTTAACGTATCCAAAGGCACAAGTCTCACAGTAGGTTCCGTTGTAGGCCTTGTTGCAGAGACAGCCTGCTGAGCCATCAGAGGCCAGCGAGCACACTCCTCTTGGGGTGCAGTTGGTGCCGTTGGTGCCTGGCATGCAGCCACATGTGTCGTGGGAGCAGGAGTTCAAGATGCAGCGGACATTGACACCTTGGGATCTCTGGATGTAGTTTGGTGCACAGATATCACACACGGCGCCAGTGTATCCTTGGTTGCATTGGCAATTGTTGTTCTTGAACTCACCGTTGCCAGAGCAAGTGGTGTCGACTGTCGAGTACTGGTGCTGAGGGGGCATAACAGCATTTGCTCCGTTATCATCGAACAAGAAACCGTCCAACAGTGAGAGGACGTAGTTGTTCTTTGAGGTGAAGTTGCCGTAGGAGTAGTGGAGAGCCCATTGTGTACCGTCATCTGACTGACAGGTGACTGCGCTTGGGAAGATCTTGGAACCCTTGATGGTGTCGAGGAGGTAGATGGAGCTCTGGAGGACTGACGATCCGTTGGTGCAGGTCAACGAGGCCTTGCCAACAGTGAACAGGGGCTCAGAGAACGTGAGCAACAGGTTGAGATCGGACGAGGGCGAGAGGTTGGTGGCGCTGGATGGGATGACCGAACCCACGTACACGGTCTTGGCGTCGAGGATCAGGAGTGAGTAGATGAAGGGGAAGCAGAGATCGCTGTAGACACTGGCACCGGCGAATGCCTCGATGAACTGGGGATGTGAGATGACAAGCACGTACGATCCGGCTCTGAGACGTGGGTTAACCAGGGACTGAGTGAGAGTGGTCTCACCGTTGGTGTACTGAGAGGACCAGTCACCAACGCCAGCTTGGCTCAACACGGTGGTACCATTGACAGTGTTTTTGACGTAGATGGACATGATGAAGTTGCTGGCACCTGCATAATAGCTGAACATGGCTTCGACACGCGAAGTGTTGGTGATCGTGAACGAGATATTGTACATGAAGCCATTGGGCTGTGCAAGGTATGGTGAGAGGTAGGAGCCTGGGAAGAATGAGCTCATATACTGTGAGGCACTGCCAAACTCATCGAGGGCGATGTTTGTCGCGGGCAGCACTGGGTTGTACACTGATGGACAGGCAAGGTCGCTCATTGCCATAACCAGAGGCTTGATGTTGATCTGCATTTCAAACGTTGGGCATATGTCCTTGATCTTGTCGCCAGTGAACTGGAGCTGAATCTGGTAGGGCACGGGCTCGTCGGTTGGAATGACTGGGCCGACCAGGAACACGGCCGATCGCTCATTGTTGCTGTGAATGGCAGAGTTGTAGATGATTGGCTGCATTACGCCGTCTGTGTCGTACATGTCGTAGTCGATAGACATGATGGTCTGTTCGTACGTGTACACATTGACCAGAGTCAACTCCTTGAGGGCGATGGAAACATTGGTGTTGGTGCTGGCCTTCTTGATGGTCGGGTCGTTCTTGCCTCTTGGCATGAGGAACGTGTCGGAGAACATGTTCAATGTGCCTGAGCCGTCGATTGGTCCGCCAAATGGAAGACTGCCACCAATTTCGCTGTTCAGATCCCATGGAACGAGGTCAAAGAGTGAGCAGTCGACGTGGTTGTTGTTGTTGGTGGCATCCTCCAGGATGATGGTCATGTGGTATGGAGTGCAATGAGGGCCAAATGTGGATGGGAATGGTGTTGAGTGGACGATATCCAACGTGTAGATGCCAGGCTGGACCAGGGCGTTGATCTCATTCAAATTGCGGTTGCTCTTGCCAACAAGGTACTGGAATGAGCCCTGTGGGTGGAGCTTGAGGTTGAGATCGGACAGAATGAATTGATAACCGAGCTGCGCGTAGAACAATGTGGGCACCTGGATGTCAAAGACCATGCTGGTGACTGTGCCATTCTTTTGGATGTCATTGTAGGAGATGGTGTTGATCTCGTTGTACATGTAGGCGTTGGCTGTGGAAATGGCTGGTGTAACGGTAGTGGTGGAACATGACTTGTCCAGTGTGATGGCCGTGACCTCCTTCTGCAACTGGTCCTGTGTCTCGATGACGAGCTCAAGGTCGACGGTGAGCGAGGTGGAGATGACTATTCCCTGTGGCTGATCCACGGTGAACGTGTATTGGCCAGCTTGAAGGATGGTGGGTGTAATTGCGCCGTACTGGATGAGCTTCTGAGAGCCAGACAAGGTGAGCTTTGGCAAGTTGGTGGCGTTCTGAATGTACACATCGGACTGCGAGTCAAAGAGAATGGCGCCCTGTGCTCTGAATACCGATGGTGCGGCCAGAGTGAAGGTCAACTGGTTGTGTGTCGCGTCGCCATCAAACATTGTGTACTCTCCCTGGAGGTGCACCTGTCCGTTGTACAAGAGGTACTCGTAGGAGTCGAGTGTCGTGGGCAAGATGTGGTAGAATCCATCGGCCTGGTTGATCTTGCCAACCTGCTCGATGAACAGCTCAAAGTTGAAGAATGAGCAACCGACGATGGACTTGAGCGAGGCGAACGTCTCGTAGATGTAGAGTGTGTAGGTGCCTGGCGCGACGTTGGTCACGTCAAGCATGTTGCGGTTGGGACGCACGCTGCCATAGTAGGTCTTGAGGCCGGCGGTGGCTGGCACAAGCTTGAGTCCGAGGTCGCCAGTGAGGAAGTCGTATCCAACTTGTGCGTGCAGGTTGCTGTTTGCCGTGATGACCAGCTTCATTCCGTGCTGGACGAGACCGGTCGTGGTCTGCTGATAGTAGAGCTGTTGGTTCGAGTCGATGCTGCTGTAGTAGAAGTAGGCGGGGATGGGGTTGTCTGGGTCCTGTGGCCAGTTCGTGTTGCCATTGCACACTGGGGTTAGAGGTGCTGCTGCGCCAATGGCGATCTCCATGTTGAAGTTGATGCACTTGGGTAATCCCTTGCCCCAACGCCAGAACTGCACCTCGTAAATGTAGGTGTTGTTGGCCTTGAGCGTGGTGATGAATGACTCCTCTGAGCCGATACCGTTGGAGCCGGAGGCGACCACCTGTTTGGTGGAGGCGTCGATCAGCTTGATGTCAATGTCGATCAAGTTGGGCGATGTGTATACACGCATGATCGAGGCGACTGGCACCTGGAAGGGGATGTCGGTCTTGGAGAAGATCGTGGCCGAGGGTGGCACGACATAGTTGGACGATTGATAATGCATGCGACCCTCGACGCCGAGGAAGCGAACAGAGTTGAGCGACAGTGGGAGATGCTCGCCGTCACACAGCTGGACCTGTGCCAGGGGCAGCAAGTTGAACTCAAACTCGAATGGGATGCACGCGAACGACTTGAAGACGTTCTCATTGACATGCTCGATCTTGACGATGTACGTGCCTGGGTCGAGGTTTGCGCTGATGTAGCTGAAGCTGTAGTCGTGAGTGCCAGTGATGAGCAACTTGGTGGGGCTCTTGCTGTGAGTCTGGTACAGGTTGACGCGTAGATCTCCGCGCAAGAAGTCGCTAGCCACTGACGTGTACAGGTTGATCACCTGGGTCAGCGTGAATGTGTAGACCGCCACGACAGGCTTCTTGCGGAACGTGTTGTAGATGATCTTGGGAACGGTGCCGTTCTCAAAGATGAATGGATAGTGCATGTTCTGGATGAGTGGCAGGTCGTCGTTGCCGTCCTGTGGGCAGTTGGGCGGGTTGAGTGGCTTAAGTCCATCGGGCTCAATCGCCAACTCAATGTTGACGATCGGGCAGAAGTTGACCGAGCTGGCAATGTAGTCTGATACGATCTGCATGCGGTATTTGCCTGGAACCAAGTGTTGAACGATCAATCCTGGGCCGACAATGTTGACATTGTTGCCGACGTCCAAACTGTTGAGGCTCAGCGTGATGTTGGCATCATCCTGTTCGGCGACCATTCGCAGGTAGCTGTTCTTGTTCAGCTGGAAGGTGAAGTTGTTGTGCACGCCATCGACCAAGTACTTGTCCTGAATGTGCAAGTAGTTGTTAAAGATGAACTCTGGATTGTTCAAGTCAGAGGGGAGGAGATCACCGTCGCAGTTGAAGTAGTCCTCGTCGGCGTAGGTGTAGGTCACTTGGACAAACATGTCGAACAAAGCGCAGTCCATGTTGTAGGTGTTGTCTGGTGCGTAGACGTAGAGGGTGTAGGTGCCGGGCTGCAAGGTGGCGTGCAGCATGTTCCTGTTCATCTCATTGTCTCCAAAGACACAGCCAGAGATGCCGGTCTGGTCACCGCCCTTGCACTTGGGGTTGCCCATTCCAGTCTCGAGAACGAGCGAGAGGTCGCCCTGGAGGAACTGGTAGCCAATGATGGCGTCAAGGACGGCCACAGTGGCGTCATCAGACTTCATAACAGTGAATGTTGTGTTCCAGAGGTAGGTGGCGGTCTTGGATGGTTGGTATGGGATTGCGTAGAGGGCGGTGGGGTTGGAAGACACGTATGGCGCCTTTACAATGGCGGGTAAAATGGAGGAGGGAGGCAGCGAGGTGGACTTGCACAGGTTGACCCAGTTGGTCATGTCTGTGGCCAGGTTATCGACTGTATCGATCGAGAGCTCCCCATGTTGAAGGTCTCGCAGTCCAGTGTGATGGACCTGTCCCAGAGGAAGTAGCGGAACTGCAGTATGTAGGTGCCTGGCTGCAACACGTCGAGCATTACCTCTTCGTGGCCAAAGGTGATCGAGTGGTCAACCATATCGCCCTGGGTACCATCTGGGTTGGTGGTGTACAGCCAGAGGTCAACATCTGCGCGGTGTGGCTCGGTGTAGATACGCAGCACACTTGGAACAGTGATCTCGATCAGCGTGATATGCTTGCCAGTCTGGTAGTCCAGGTAGAAGTTGTCTTGGATGTGCATCTTGTTGTTGAAGGCAAGGTACTCGGTAAAGTTGAGGGAGAGGGGAAGCAGGGGAGCAGTGCACAGTGTGCCACGGTCGTCATCGCTTGTCACACACTTGGGATAGCCTGTGTATCCAATGTCACAGTCGCCACACATGTTGGAAGTGTTGAGAGTGATGTATCCATTGTTGCATTGGCACTCGGGGAATCCATCGTCGCTGTTGCACACTCCATGTCCGTTACAGTCGGCGTTCATTGGCGCGCACTTGGTGTTGGCCACACAGGTGGTGGCGACGCCGTGGTAGCCGGCCATGCACTTGGTGCAGGACTGGCCGGTCCATGGCTGGTCACATGTGCACACGGGATTGCCGCTGGTAGCCGGCACGCAGTGGCCGTGACCACCACAGTCACAGACGAACATCTTGTAGACGTGCGACAAAGTGGTGTTCTCGTCCTGGAACAGGATGTTGTTCATCGTCCTGAACTTGGAGGCGTCAATGGTGAGGTTCCAAGCGGCGCTGGTGTTGAGGGTGCCGGCAAAGGTAACGACAAGCGACGTTTGGTCGGTTTTCTTCAGGTAGGCTTCGTTGGGGACGACCTGCATGCCAAGCTTGGTGGTGGACGTGAGCACGACGGCGCGGGATTTAAGTATAGAGTTAAGGAGAGTGGTGGTGGTGTCATTGTAGAGGACGGACTCAGAGAAGCGAATGGTGAGCGTGAGTGGCTGCAACGGGTTAATGTTGAAGCCGCCGGGTGGCGAGACACTGGTGATGCGAGGCGCCATGCCGGTGGCCAGCGACTGTCCGACCATCTGGAAGCCAAAGAAGTGGCAGGTCTTGGTGGAGATGTTGAAGCTGTTGATCTTCATGTTCTCGCTGATGTCCAACGCATAGACACCAGCAGTGAGATTGTACTCGATGCCATTGAGGAAGTTGTAAGCGGTGTCCTGTGCAGAGGGGATCGAGTTGGTGCCAGAGGCTAACATTGTGGTGGTACCGTCGTTGTTTCTCTGCGACAGTGTGAGGTCAAAGTCATTGTCGAGGAAGTCAAAGGTGACCTGAGCAAAGAAGATGGTCGGCGCTGGGATCTCCAGGGTCATGCGATATGTGAAGACGCCATTCTTAAGGTTCTGGTTGATGCGAGTCGATGTGAACATGTAGTTGGACGACGAGACCTCGAGGTCCTTGCCAAAGGGGAAGTTGACAGTCTCTGGTGGCACCTGCGACACTTCGTTGGGGAGTGGCGTTGGGCACAGAAGATCCTCCTCAAGGTTGTCGGCGGTCTCAATGGCCCACTCAAACTTGAAGTAGTTGCATGGCTGCTTTCTGTTGATGCTCATAAAGTTGACGTCAAGCGTGTATGGCTGGGTCTGTGGCTGCAGCTTCACAAGGGCGCTCTCAGAGCTGCCTCCACTGAAGGAAGAGAAGACCAGTGAACTGGGGTCCGAGCTGTTGCTGTAGACAAAGAAGTCAATGTCGTTGAGCGGCATGGCATCGGCAAAGAGACGCATGTAGACTGGCACGGTTGGCACCATAAAGTCGATGCGGTTGTGCTTGTAGGTCTGGCCTGGTGTGATGAAGAACTTCTTGCCAGTGAACAGGATCTCGCCGTCAGAGTTCTGTGGGCCGCCATAGGCGAAGCTGCCACCACGTGTGGAGAACAGGTCCGTTGGGAGCATGCTGGTCGAGTCACATGTGGGCACGTCGGGCGTGGTCGTGTTGAGGAAGTAGCCAAAGCTGTACTGCGCGCAGTTGATGCCCAGTACTGGGTTCTTCTGGTTGTAGCGGTCGTAGATAGTGAGCTGATAGCTTCCAGCCGGGATGATCTCGTTCAATGTGGCCAGGCCGCCCTCGTAGAGTGGGCGGATGGTCTTGACGACAGACTTGCCATTGACGATGGTCGTGTAGTTGAGCTTCATCATCATGGAGTCGACCAGGTCGTTGTATTTGAGGTATGCGTGGATCTGGCCAGTGGCGTTCGTGGTAAAGGAGAGCACAGAGGGCTGGATAGGCGCCTGCATCAGTCGCTGGTAGGTGGCGTTGAATGCCAGGTTGCCAATAATGTTAGCGGGTGGTGTGATGCTGTCGTTGGTGCACTTGGCAGTGATGGACGGGATGGCAAGCAAGTTGGACACCTTGGCGATCGAGATGAACGCTGGGAAAGCAGTGCAGTCCTCCACCTTGGGCAATGGAGATCCGTTCATGCCAAAGTAGATGAACTTGAGTGAATAGTTGCCAACATCCAACTGGTTATAGATGATCTCTTCACCAGTGGTGACACTGCGGGCGATGGGCAGGGTCTTGCCCTCGAACAACAATGAGAAGTCAATGTCGACGGTCATGTGGGCGGGCAGGAACACACGGAGCAGCGATGGCGCAGTCAAGGTGAACTTGATGAGGTCGTTGCCAGCCATCACGTCGACCAGGACGTTCTGTTGGAATGACAGTGAGCCGTCGGTCAGGCCCGACATGTAGCCAATCGAGTTGAATGTCTGGGGGAGCAACAAGCTGTCACAGATGATCGTGTCCTGGTTGACCTGAGTGTCGTCGATCAGCTGAATTCCATACTCCAGGGTGAAGTCCACACAGTTGTTCAGAATGACGCCTTGGAAGATGTTGGCAAATGGCTCATAGATCGAGAGGAAGTAGTCGCCTGGTGGCAGAGTCATTGGAAGGATGTCGGCGCGGTTGTAGCCCAGTGTCGAGTAGGAGATGGTGGTGCCATCAGAGCCCAGCAGGGCAATCACAAGATCATTCCAGACAAAGTCGTAGGTGAGGATGGCGCGGAACATGGCGTTCAGCTTCAGGTTCTTGGGCACGGAGAATGGTAGGTTGAGCGTGAGACTCTTGTTTGTCTGTGTGAAATGGTACTGGCCAACGTCGTGCGCGTAATCCATTGAGGCGTTACTGATGAAGTTTGTGGGTGGCAGTGATGACGCGCACTTGTCCTTGGGGTTCTCGGTGGAAGGCGTGATGGAGACTGCTGCGCTATAGGTATAGCAGGCCTGGGGCACGGTGACGAATGGCCAATGGAAGAAAGAGGTCACAAGTCTGTAGGCGACGTTAGCCTTGAGTGGGAACTCGAGCGACTCTTCACCAGCAAAGTTGGAGGTCCAGGCCACCTTCTTGGTGCCCTCGTACAGTGAGATGTCAACGTCAATGGCCGCATCCTCGATGAAGGCACGGAACAACGAGGGCACGGTCACATTGAGGGTAGTTGCAGTGGACGAGGAGATGTAGTTGATGGCGGGCACCATGTAATCGTCGGTCAAATGGATCGATGTGGATGTGCCGAGATAGGCTGGCGTGTTCAAGTTGGAGGGGAATGTTGGGTTGCCCCAGCATGGGTCCTCGACAGAGTTTGGCTTGATGGCCATCTTGAGCGAGTAGGTGGCGCATGGTGGCAGCACAGCGTTCTTGGAGGTAATGCCAGTCATGATGCTCAGTGTGTAGGTGCCGTTCTCGAGCTGGTAGAACATGTACTGGGTGTTGCGCGTGAAGGTGCCACGGTAGAGGATCGAGTCCTCGTGGTCAGCGTCGGCATTGTCAATCAACAGTGCGCGAATGTCTCCAAGTACAAAGTTGGACTCTAGTGTGAGCTGCAGGTATGAGGGCGAGGTGATGGTGAAGTTGACACTGGTGATCTCAACCTCGCTGAGCGAGGCAGACGGGTCGAATTGATAGATGTAAGTTGGTGATGACAGGGTGTTGAGCGTGTAGGTGCCGTTGGCCGTGAGTGACTGCTGCATGCCTTGGAATTGTGGCGCGACGTTGTTGGTCAACTGCTTGCAGTAGTTGAGCTGGTCGTAGTCGGACTGTGGTGTGATGGCAAAGTCCAAGTGGAAGGTGTCGCAGAACACATCGATGTTCTTTCCAAAGAACATCACGGTGAAGTTGTAGGTGCCTGGATAAAGGTAGGCTGTGATCTCCTCCTCTCCGCCCCACTTGAGTGACTGAACTACAAGGTTTGATCCATTGGTGAGCTTCATATCAATGTCGACTCTATGCTCTGGGATGTAAGCGCGAACGAAGCTTGGTGTTGTGATTGTGAACTGGAGTGAGGGAGGGAGGGAAATGTTAGCAGGTTGATATCACATCATATCTTGTCAGCAGACATACCATGACATTGTCAGACTTGGACACCAAGTCTAAGAAGAGCTCCTCAGAGAAGTAGAGGTAGCCTCCATCATCGATGAAGCCTGGACCATTGAAGGTGGTGGGCAGTGAGTAGGTGTCGCAGTTCAGGAAGGTCTCGGTGACGTGTGCCGACTCGATATCGACTTGAAGCGAGAAGATCGTGCAGCTGGGACCGATCGTGTAGTCCTTCTCCTGTGTCTGGTCATAGAGATACAAGTCGTACAAGCCAGGTGTTACAACGGCCTTGAGCGTGGCATGGTTCTTGGTCGTGTGTACGCCAATCGTGCAGTTGCCGGCGCCAATGCATGAGAAAGTGCCAGTTGGTGCGGGTACGTCGGACGACTGCAGGAGCAGTCCGAGCGAGCCGCCCGTGAGAAAGTCAAAGCCCATTGTGATCTCGATGCCCCACTTGTCAGTGGAGATGGATCCGGAGGGCAGCACCAGCGAGTACTTCTTGAAGAAGGTGACATTGTGTGAGCCAGTGGCCTTGGTGTCGACTATGTTCATTACGGTGCCTGTCTCGTTGACATCCGAGTCATAGCGATAAGTTGTCAGGTCCGTCATGTCCAGTGCCAGATTGGGGAAGGTCGAGCCTGCGGCTGGGCACTGGATGCTCTGCGATCTTGAGCTCAACAAGGCGATTGGCACCACAGAGTACTCCAGATTGATCGTTGGGCAGGCCAACTTACTGGCCTTGTTCGCGCCAAAGAACATCAACTTGATCTTATAAGTGCCAGAGTTGAGTGTAGCGCTGAGTGACTCGTCCATTCCAGTTGTTGCGTCAACAGTGTGCTGTGTGGCGGTATTGGCGTTAGCGACATGATGGGTTGGCTCACGGCATGAGTGAGACTTCAACTTACGGCGATAATGTTTATGGTTGAGGATGAGATGTCGTAGAGCCAGACGTCGACGTCGACGACCATTGGCGCAACATAGATCCTAAAGGCACTCTTTTGTTGCAGAGTGAATGTGATCTCTTTATAGACGTTCTTGTAGTCATAGTGGTAGGTGTTCTGAATGTGCATCTCCTGGTTGTAGCCGAGGTAGGTGATCGAGTCAAAGGTGGATGGCAGTGGCTGGAAGGGACACGACTCATCACTCGTGATGTACTGGCTGTGGGCGACGTTGATTAGCGCGCCGACCAGCACCAGCAGCATCAACAGCAGTGTCGGTGTCGCCCGAGATATATATCGACGTCCAGTCAACGTTGTCATCGTTGTCGTTGTCGTCTTTATCGTGTTTGTTCGCTCGTCCTGCTACAATGGCGAATCTATATCTATTTATAAATATCTGTCCTGTCTAATCCTCCTTTCCTTTCTTTGTTTGTTTGTTTGTTTGTTTTCTGTTTATGCTTGATAAGATTGATAGATAGACTATGTTTGATTGGTTTGATAATGTTAATTAGTGTAAGGTGTAGATAGGTAGGGCGGGATAAGACTTTGAACAAAGATGTAATGTAATGTAATGTATATTAGATGAATGAATGAATTAAGCGAGTGAGTGATATAAGTTGAGTCCTTGGTCTTTAGGTCTGCGAGCAATGTAGACACATTCACTTGCACACACACACAAACAAACATAAACAGATAGAGACCATTCCAGCGGCAGAAGGGTGGCGAGATCGTCAACGTTGTAGCGGCGCGGGTGTAGCCTCGAGCACCTCACACTCAACAACCTAATACGCGCCAACGATGCTAATTACCCTGGCAATGGGGGACAGACAACCCAACTTCAAAAAGAGCAAAATTGCTTCATTTGTTTGTGTAGATCTTTTGAGTGTGTGCCGTCTAACATAGTGTGTGGTGTTGTTGTTGAAGTGTTGTGTGTGTTGTTGACAAAGAGACACACGACTCGAGTTGTTGGTCCAACCGATGTGTGTGTGAATGAATGAATAAATGAATGTAAGAGACAAGTTGACATTCTGTTGTGTAGTCTGCTGCCTGCTGCTTTGTTGATGTCGATGACACTTTGATAGAGTGGTAGTTGGTAAGTAACTTACAATACTATTATGTATACAAATACAAGGAGGAGGAGATGTAGATGTAGTTTATGTTGAAGTAATACAAGGGTAAAACTAAACAATGGTGGACTTGAATGAGAATGGAAGGATGGATGATCAAAACGATCAAAAAAAGAAACAACTCGATTTGCTTTGATGGTCATGTTGAAAAGTTGACTTACTTTTTTTCGAGTTCACCTCAACCGCAACAACATGGATATTTTGGTTGATCAACCAAACAAAGCAAAACATGTGCATGGTATTGCAACAAGAGTATCTGTGTTTGTGGACCTGGTGGAATAGTGTTACAGTTATCCTTTTGCCACGTTGGCATCCACACCCCATATTGGGGAGTAAATGATCTTGATCATTACCATTGCATCCAACCCATTCTGTATTTAAAATACAGATAATTAATTATCCATTGCTTCTTTCACACCTGTTAATCAACATGTTATTTAGTTCACACTTCATTTTGGATGCAAGATAGATAAAACTGAAGTTTGTTTAATGTTTAGGTCAACAACAATGCAATTATTGAGATGAACAAGAGCAAACATTCGTTCATTCTTTGTATAACAACAACAAGTTTTTTTATTATTATTGAGACCTCCTCTTCTCTCACTTTGTTTGTGATTATTTAATATTATGTGTCGATACTTATTACGAATAATAATAAAGTGTTGATGTTAACCTTCAACTAAGCTGTGTCGCGACTCTGCATTTTCGAAGTCCGGGTCGCATGCAGATAGTGCCAGCCGAACTAACTCACACACTTCTGGTCTGTCTTGGTGATTTATTTTTTTAATTTTGTCTTTGGGAAGCCTGAGCACACCCTCTTTCATTCACGCAAGCAAGGAGTTGACGAAGTTGATCAAGACCTACATTTGTTTGATTCACTTATCCAAATCTTCATTCATTCATTCATTCATTTGTTTGTTAGTGTTACACCTTCACCGACAACAACAATAATGCTATCCTATACATCAAGAACAGTACAGGGTGTTTGTAAATTAGTATCAAAGCAGCAGCAGTTACTGCCAACCCCAGCTGGTAAGAGATAAAAAGAGAAGTGGACGACGATGATGATAATGACAGGTTATGGTGATCATCTACATCATTGGATATCAATAACATATCGAGACAATGATCATTATGATAAACAAGTATATATAATCTGACATATTCAATCATTCATTCCGATCATATGTTATATATATGTACAGCTGCAGGTATACTGTCGAATAGCTACACGACTGCTACACCACCACCACCTCCACAGCAACCAGCAGCACAACAGCAGGTTCAGAACTCCACCATCAGAACATATGGTGGTCTTAAGGACAAGGACCGTATCTTCACAAACCTCTATGGTGAGCACGATGTCTACCTAAAGGGCGCTATGCAAAGAGTAGGTGTCGACACAATCAATCAATCAATCATTCAATCACAGGATCGATCGAGCGAGCGAGTGAACATGCGACAGGAACATATCAGCTGACGAACAACATTGAATCGAACAATCATTATAGGGAGATTGGTACAGGACAAAGGATATTATAAACAAGGGAGTGGATTGGATATTAAAGGAGATGATGGCAAGTGGACTTAGAGGAAGAGGTGGAGCTGGTTTCCCATCGGGCCTCAAGTGGTCCTTCATGCCAAAGGTGTCGACTGGACGTCCACAATACCTGGTGATCAACGCAGATGAGGGCGAGCCCGGCACGTGCAAGGATCGTGAGATCATGCGTCACGACCCACACAAGCTGATCGAAGGCTGTCTGATCGCAGGTTTCGCAATGAGAGCCTGCGCTGCCTACATCTACATTCGTGGCGAGTTCCACTACGAAGCCAAAGTCCTTGAGAGAGCCATCGATGAGGCCTACAAGGCTGGCCTGTTGGGACCAAACGCATGTGGCACCGGCTATCAGTTCGACGTCTACGTGCATCGTGGCGCTGGCGCCTACATCTGTGGTGAGGAGACCGCTCTGATCGAATCACTGGAGGGCAAGCAAGGCAAGCCCAGATTAAAGCCACCCTTCCCCGCCATGTCCGGTCTGTACGGCTGTCCCACCACTGTGACCAACGTCGAGACGGTGGCCGTTGCACCAACCATCTTGCGTCGTGGCGCCGCATGGTTCGCCGGCTTTGGTCGCCCAAAGAACTCTGGCACCAAGCTCTATTGTATTTCAGGACACGTCAACAACCCATGCACTGTTGAGGAGGAGATGAGTATGCCACTGCGCGAGCTCATCGACAAGCACTGCGGTGGTGTCATTGGCGGCTGGGACAACCTGCTCGGCATCATCCCCGGTGGCTCGTCTGTGCCCGTCCTACCCAAGTCCATCTGTGACGACGTACTCATGGACTTTGACGACTTGCGCCGCGTCCGCTCCGGTCTCGGCACTGCCGCCGTCATCGTCATGAACAAGCAGACCGACATCATTGCCGCCATTGCGCGTCTCTCCAAGTTTTACAAGCACGAGTCGTGCGGTCAGTGCTCGCCATGTCGCGAGGGTACCGGCTGGCTGTGGGACATCACCGAGCGTCTGGTCACAGGTGATGCCAAGCTCGACGAGATAGACATGCTTGAGGAGATCTCCCGTCAGATCGAAGGTCACACCATCTGTGCCCTGGGTGACGCTGCGGCGTGGCCAGTGCAAGGACTGATCCGTCACTTCCGTCCAGAGATTGAGCAGCGCATCCAGCAGTACCAGGACACCAAGAAGCAGTCCCCATTCTAAGGGATAGATATGGATAGATAGAGATACAGACAACCAAAGATAGATAGATAGATAGATAGAGAGGATCATAATCATATCATACCCTCCAACTTACTTGCTTGATAATAACATAATATAATATAATAACTTCCTTTATTACTTACACGTGCGCGCTTCCAACACCTTGTAGTGCGACGATGACATATCTTGTTCGTCTGTTGAAGCAAGGATCGGAATGGACTGGATTACAACCATCGCCACTTTCTAAAGGCAAAGAAGGATGATATGGCCATCGTTACAATAGTTACGATGATAATGATGAATGGTATGTACTGGGAGTCGATGGCAATGTGTCCTGGGAACAGCATGTTCATTCCAAACACGCCAGCGATGAGATTAAGAGGCATGAATATCAAGCCAAGCGATGTAAACTTCTGCATACTAGTGTTCAAGCTGTGTGACTCCTCATTCATGATCAAAGATAACTATGATTGATCGAGTGTTAGTGATGGATCAACCAATGACAGAGATATGCTTGCTTGCCACGAACCTTTGAGAGGAAGACGTTCTTTAGGTTTTCCAATAAGTCTTCTGTCATCTTGACATGTTGTTTGAGTCGTACAGTCTTGTCCTTGACATTGTTAAGGTACATCTCTGTCTCTTTGGAGATGGTCTCACGAAGTAACGCTGAAAGGATGTCACTGGATAAGCATGGATATGGTTAGTTCTGATTACTAGCAATGACCAGTTGTGATCCGGATGGATGGATGAAGACCTACATCTTGATGAATAGACAAAGAAGTAGTTGGGTACACTTTCGACTGGCACGTCCAAGTCGTAGGTTGACCTCTTCAAACTCCACTGTCTCCTGGAAACTGAATGAATCTAGCACTTCGACATCGGTGACGAGTCGATCGCTGTGCAGTGTGAAGCCTTCATTGATTGAGTCGTAGAAGGCAAAGAGTAGCCACTCTGAGCTGGAAAGATGTGATGATGTGCCAAGGTATCTGAAAGATTTGATGACATTGTCGAAGCAGTCCAGAGGCTCGCGGTGGAAGACCACAATGAACTCTTTGAACAGGATGATGTAGAAGAATGCTTCGCGCAACTCGGCGCCCACGTCGTAGGACAGCTCCGAGCAGATGATGAACAGGTAGTCGGGGAACTCCTCACACTTCTCACTGCTGTCATTGTTGAGTATCTGCTCTACAGTCAGTGGATGAAGTCCAAGCTCCTCGCCAACACTCTCAATCTCCTCGTCAGTGAGACCCTGCAAGTCGATCCAGCAAGGCTCCTCAAGTATTTTGTGTAGCTGCTTTGGAATCTTATTGATGTGAGCTCGTCCATAATAAGAGAGTACGTCCTTGAGTGACATATTGTCCATTGATCCACTCTCTCCATCATCATCCTCGTCGTCTTCATCCAGGCGTTGAAGACCCTTCAAATCTTGGCGCTGTTGCTGTTGTGGTTGTTGTTGCTGTTGCTGGTCTCCATGTTCCTGTTTATCCTTATCGATCATCATCTTTTGGTTGAGCATGTTCAAGAACTCTATATATCCATGATGTGTCGAGAGAGTATATATGAGTGATCGTATCCTGCGACTTGTTGACTTCTCTTCCACAACACATACTCATCAACTCATCATATGTGTATGAGTAGAGGGCATCCCTCTCCTCTGAAATGATCAATATCTGTCGCTTATCTTTGGCCTTCATGTTGATCAATGAGTAGATTGATGAACTCAACAGTTGTTTCCTCCCATCTTCATCTCTCTTGTTATTATTGTTACTATTATTGTTGTTGTTGCTGTCAATGATCATACCACCGCCACCACCTCCACTATTACTGCTTGATGGAACATTAGCATTATATGTTTCGTTCAGGTCTATCATCAGATCCTTGCCACCACCATTATGTAGTTGATGTTGTTCCTGTTGATGTTGTAGTTGTTGTTGTTGTTGTTGAGTGTATTCGCCAGTTCCCTGCAACAGAGACGATGCAGAGGTGTCCAGTCTAGGACTATCTAACAATGGAAGCTTCTCCATTATCCACTACATGTATATACTATACTATACTATACTATTCTATATCTCTCTGTTGTTCACATCTCAGTGTTGTAGTTCAATGAAAGAATGAATGAAGTGTTGTGATTGTGTTTGATTGAATGAATGAAAGGTCGTGTGCCCAACCCCAGCCTAACACTACCAAATCAGGTTATATTGATCGACTGATTGACCGATTGATTGATGATGATACAACATTGTTATTATTATTATTACTTCTTGGTCGTCGGTGGAGACGAGTTGACGATGGGACTGAAGGTTGAGAGTTGGACAGTGTCCACACGTTGTAGGGCACCCTTTCTTCTTCCCTTTCTGAATACATCTCCGTCTCGAACGGCCACCAGTAGGTCATTTACAATGTCGTCGTCTTGATCCTCCTTCTTCTTGTTGCCCGCGACACCAGTGGCGGGTGTCAGCTGCTTCTTCTTCTGTATCTCTGCTCGCAGCTGCTTCTGGGCCTCGCGCTTGGCCTCCTTCTCCTCCTGCTCCTTGATCTGCTCGAGGAACTTGGTGGCGCCCTCAAACAGCTCGACGAATCGCGAGAACAGCTCAAAAACCTCGTCCGGCGTCGTCTTGCTGCTCTCCTCGCCTAAATATGTACACAGCTTCTTGAAGCTCTCCTCGGTGTTGGCCTGCAGCTTTTTCAGCTTGTCCACCTCGTTGGCGGCCAGCTCCAGGAATGATAGCATCGTCTGACAGAACGGCTCGTTCGTCTTTTGGAACTGCTCGACGATGGCCTTGCATGCGGAGAAGTCTCGCGACAGCGCCGCCAGATCAGCCACCACACCCGACCATATCACACGCTTGGCAGTGCTCAGCGATGAAAGCTCGTCGGCAAAAGTAAGCAGCTTCTTCTCACGCTGCTCACAGTAGCGCACCAGTGTGTGGGTAAGGTTGGTCTGCAGGTCGGACGACTTGGTGTCGGCCATCTTGATCAGTGTGTCGATCTTGTAGCCAGACTGCTCGCCACGCACTGTGCCGTAGTTGATAAAGTTGCCGAGCACCAACACGATCTCAAACAGTCGCTTGATGTTCTGGCTCTTTAGTATGTCGTTGCATGCCAGGTTGACGGCAGCAATGTCCGGGCGTAGCTCAGCTACGCGCATTGAGAACTCGCTGCGCAGCTGGAACAGCGCGATCTTCTCGGCCGCGAATGGGAAAGCACCAATGTCGATGCAGTACTGGTCGGCCAGGGCCAGCTTGGAGCGCTCCTGTGTGGCCAGGAAGTCCTTGAGTGCGTTTTGGTCATCCTTGCTGGGAAGAAGCTTGGCCATCTGGCGGACTTGGTCACGCGAGATCTTGGTTTCGTCTTGATTGAGCACGGCTGTGACCAGGTCGCGATTCGACACGCCCTTGAACTGTGAGAGGAAGATAGATATGTTCTGACCGAGCTTGGCATCGACCACTTGCATTGGGCCACGTGGCTTGACGACCTTCTCCTTGCGAACAATGACCTTGGCGGCAAACTCTGTCTCGATCTCGTGCCATGGCAGGTCAATGTCGTTCATCTCGCCCAGGATGTTGAACACCGACTCGTTGACCTTTTGTGCGGGCATCTTGCCCCATTGAAGGGCCTTCAATGGATGAGATGGCTTGGGCACCTTGGGGGGTGGACGCGTCTTTATGGCGGCCGGGTTCTTCTTGCCCGGGCCGGGAGGGGGTGGAGGTGGAGGTGGAGGAGGTCCGCCCATCATTGGAGGTGGTGGAGGGCCTCCACTAACGGTGGCTCCATCAGCTACCTCGGGAACAGGCGGCAGTGTTGTCGGGATCTCGGCCAGCTTGGGTGGTGGTGCTTCGAGCACCTTGATGGCGTCGTCGATCTGCTTCTTGAGCTCCGGACTGATCTCGCCGCCAGACTCCTTGATCTGCTTGACTAGGTCGAGCAGCTGCTTGATGTTGATGTCCTTCTCCTGGAGAAGCGCGGCCTTCTCAATGTTCTGTTTCTCCAGCTCTCCAAGCTTGCGTTGTAGGATGATCTCCTTGGTGTCGACCTTCTCCAGCAGTGACTTGAAGTCAATCGAGTTGGCGTCGCCAACATTGCCACTCTTGTGCATGGATACCTGGCGCACAAGCGTGTCGCACAGCACCCAGTACTTGACGCCGTCCGTGCTTGACTCGGACTGTATTACTAGCAGGTTCTGGAGGATGGAAAGGAACGACTTTTGCAGTCCCAGCTTGGACGACGCTGACTTGAGCGCCTTGAAGACGGCGTCGATGTTGTCTGTGTCGACGCCTAGACGACGCTTCAGCTCCTCCAACTTCTGTTCCATCTCCTGGTTGTCCTCCTCCATCATCTCCTCAAAGATCTCGATCTGTGTGAGTAGCAGGTCCTCGGGCGCCAGTTCCTTCTTGAGCGTAGACAGATGCTCCCAGAGGCCCAGTCGCAGGAACTCTGAACGGATGTTGACACGCACGCCCGTCTCCTCGGGCTCGTGAATGAGCACGTTGATGAAGCACAGCACCTTGGTCTTCATCTCGAGCGAAGAGTTCTCGCGGATGAACTTGACAAATACTGCGAATCTCTTCTTCTCCTTCTTCTTGGTGAGCGCTTTGAGCACCATACTGTAGCCGCCGGGCACCCACTTGTCAATGCACATGACGGTGAGCAGCTCGATGGCACTGGCACGCGCCTTTAGGTTGAACTGCTGTGGCGCGTTGATGACCATCGCCAGACACTTGGCCGTCAGCGGCTGGCTGGACACGGCCTGCAGGCCAACCGGCGAGTTCATCAGCACGGCAATCGCTCGCACACAGTCCTCTCTGTTCTCCTTCTTCTTGAGCAGCAGCTGCTGTAGTATCAGATTGATGCCGTCCATGTTGATAAAGTTGCTCACCCAGCTGATCTGCTTGGTGCGCAGCATGACTATCAGCGATGACAAACAGGCCCTGCTTGGACGCGTCATTCTTTAGCGTGTTGATAAAGTACTCTGGTGAGGAGTGGTCGCTGGTGCTCGGTGCGCCTGTGCTGGGCGCCTGTGTGTCTTGGTGCAGATGGCTGTGTTGGGTGATCAATATCCACTTGTTCTCCTTGGTCATCTTGAGGCCCGAGAGGGGCAGTCCACGCTCCTTGACCAGGGCGTTGAACATCGAGTCGATGAGCTTGTCGTCGGCTGGCATCGACGCCAGCGAGGGCGAGCCGCCAGGCTCAATCTCACCCGACACGGGCGTGCTGGGGGTCGTTGAAGACACGGACAGACTTGGTGAGGGGATCTGTGATGCGCCCGACATTGTGGGCACGGCCGACAATGTTGGTGATGTTGGTGGATTGGTTGGTGCCATTGGCGGGCTAGTATTTGTCGACTTTGGTCTCTTGACCTTATTCACACTGTTGTTGGAGCATGACATTGTGCTCATCAAGTCCAGGCATTTCTTATGACACACGATTCCACATTGTGAGCATTTGAATGAGTTGGCGAATGGTTTCCATCCAATCTACAATGAATAAGAGAGTAAGTATGAGTTGGGGCACAGCCTGTGACATTCGGGAGCCATCACAATACTTACACTCTCGCCACAGTATGTGCATGGTGATGATGATCTGTAGGGCTTGAAATCATGTGATGTCCTGCTGACTTTGATCTCGGGTACATTCTGTTCGGGTGTCACTTGGGTCTGTCCAAGAAGATGTCCACCTGGATTGCTCAGCGAATGTGCCAAACCATGTGACGAAGCATTTCCAACGGACTTCATCGCTTGAAATGGGTCTCTCTTTGATGACGAGTGCAACGAATGCACATTGTCAGCCGATGTACTATGAGGCAAGCCTCCTCCACCAGTGGCACTCATGCTTGTGCTTCTTCGGTGGCGTCCACTCGACTCTGACATATAGTATATTCAATAATTATAATTTGATTGATTGATTGATCTTGAATGATTGTTGCTATCTGTTTATAAATATATGTGTGTAGATTATATATAAATATAGATAGATAGATAGTAAAAAAGTTATATGTGTAGACTAATGCAATGTAAGAAGGTAAGTCAATGAATGTTGTGCTAGTGGGTATGAGTGTGAATGAGCGGGACGGTGTTAATTAAAGTGCGCTCTCTTTGTCACATGTAAAACTACATCGGTTTGCATGATTTTTGTTGATTTATTTGAATTATGAACAACAAACAGCTTCTTTGTTTTTTTGTATTGTTGTTATCTGAATGCAATGATTGAGGTGATTGTGGGGTACGTCACGACAAAGAGATAGTGGAGAAAGAGATAGATAGAGAGAGAGGACAGGACGGGTTCACTTACCTTTACGCACTTTGAAGAGAGATCCTCGTAATTGGGTAAATCGAAACAATGCAACACCACTTTAAAAAGTTCGGTCACATGCATTAGACAGACGCGACTGGCAGTATAAATGAATGATTGAATGATTGAATGAATGATTTAGTATAGAAATGTATCAAGTGCAAGTCAACGAGTGGTCAAAGTAGATAATACGATTGATCAATCAATCAATCAATCAATCCAATCCATATTTGGACACATGCACAGAGTTCACACTCATTTCACTTCCATAACGATTCATTCATACAAACTTCAACCAATCTATATATCAATGTGAATCAGATCTATTACTCCAGTTTCATTCAAAAACATACCCACCCATCCATTCATCCATACCAGTTCCAACCAGACAGAATGATCATTAAAAGGATGTATCATATAAATAATTTATATATCATTGATCATAGTGTGATGTGTGAGTGAGAGTGAAGTGTCGTTAATTGGTAACCAGTGTGAATGAACTACCACTACAACACATCACACACACACACATATGCACCACAACTACAATGCCGACATTGACGAATTAGAATCGACTTTGAACATGTCGGCATGTTCAATCAATTTCCTATTTACTAATTACCAGGGTTCGTGAAGGGTTGTCATATTTATTTATCTCAGAGACCATCTTTGGAGGGGCGCACGTGAGCTTTTTTTTTTTGAATGATCAAAATCTGTTCTTGATCGGCTGAGCGATGAAGTTGAGGGAAGTCTGCCTGGCACCGACTTTCATTGGTTGTAGTATTTACTTGACGCTGAGGCCTCAGCTAAAACCCAATCATTAATCGTTGTCCAATCTTTTATTCTATCAATAACTAACAAATATTTAATAATGAATTGGAAATCATTGATAATAGGTAGTCTATCTGCATCTTGGATCGGATTGCTCTTTGGATTGAATGTTGCATCAATGATCAATGAATGGGTTGTCGCCTCCAGCCAATACTACAACCATAGCCATATTATTACCTTTAAACTCTGGTCTGATTATGCTACTTTTGTAACTATTCCTCATAATTAGAATGATAGTGATAGAGATAGAGAAAGTGAATCTAATCCAATATTATTACTATACATTCAAAGGATGGATATTATAGAGGATTCTTCGTATATATGCAAGATACTATCAATCCCACTTCAATTGTCCTGACAATATCCACTTTCCTTTGGTCTGTGGCAATAATGTTGGTAGTATGTTGGACATTTTCATCCGAGAATGATCGTAGTATTCTTTCAAAGACCATCTGGGGCATTTGGATAATGGCCATGGTATCATCAATGCTAGCTTGCATTTTTATCCTGTCTTTCGACTCTAACGCTCAAAAAGAGGTGAACTATTGCAATAGTAGTAATAAGGTTGGCTCAACAGACACTTGTAACTTCATTTGGGACTGGGACTTCAAATTTGTCAGTTATAGCTCTGGATACCATATGTGTATGGCTTCAACTATCTTGGCATTCCTATCCTTTTGGGTTCCATTAGTTTTATATAAAGTACAAGCATCCCAAAAGTCCACTGAGTCTATTTCACTCTTACATTAAAATAAAGTAAATAATAATTTACAAATATTAATATTATAATTATGTATTCATTGTATACACGTATAAAATACTAGCTGTCTTTCAACACTCATTCAACTCATTTGAACCCTGGAGGAGTGATTGAGATCACCATCACACACATAATCTGATCACCCCACACTCACACTCACACACACACATCGTTCATATGTTGAATGATTGATTATGGGGTAGTAGATGTCGGACAACATGTTGATGGAGGGTATGGGTGGACATTAATACTGTCTCCTTTCCAGTCCTATCACCAACCAACCACCAATCACCAATCACCATCAATTCGACATCGAATGTAAGACTGCCCATTTACCAACATCACTTGATTGAGGGTGTATGAAAGAATGAAAGAGAGTACACTCTGCATTCTTACCATAAGAGGTAAATACATGCTATCAACATATACTATGTGGACATTCCTCTCCGTACGTTAGTCAGCCAATCGTACATCAAAGCACGCATAAAGTATTGGCATCGGGATTATCCAAAGTACAACGTAGATGGGCAACATAAATAAATTGAATGTCGTTGGGTGTATCATCACCGTCCACTTGAGATTGAGAGATTGAGAGATTGAGAGACAAGGCTGTCTGTCTTGTTGCAGTCGCCACAGTTGGAGATACTGCCGGTCAAATGTTGGTTGGTGTTTGTTATAGTGGAGTAGCCCTATTCCTCAACACTTTCAATCTCACAGTCTCTCCTCCATACTTCCATCCCTACTGTATACTACTACTATTATACATACTTTGGTTGGTTGGGACAAGACTGTCCTTGAATGATCAGAATAACGTACGTATTCCTGGTGGCCCGTCAATATACTTAAGTACGTTCAACTCTAACTTAAAGGTGTGGCGAGCTCTGGTTCATGACCTAGGAGTGAGTATACTTAATGTATTATAATATAGTCACTTGACTCTCTTTAAACTAACTAATTCCCAAGATTAGAATTCATAAACATAGAACTATATCAATCAAATAATGAAGTTAATTAATATATTAAAAGCCAGCTTTGGAGTAAAGTCCAAAGACAAGGAAGCAAAACAAGGACACCCAACTACTTCCACTTCTTCATCTACATCTTCATCTACTTCCTCAAGTATATCTTCTGCCCCAGGTCTATTATATGTCAATCAGAAACATAGTCAGAGCTGTCCGGACATCTCTACACATACACAAACACAACAGCCTACACTACTGAGGCGAGCCAATACTCTTGGAAGACTTAATGGCTACTCAACTACTTGCAAGAACAACAACAACAACTTTGATACAATCTGTCGGGACTACTTCCCCAAGGAGACAATATCCAAGACCCGTAGTTATAAGTTGAGAACAATGTCATCAATGTGTATGAAAGAGGATAGTAGTGCAGGTGGATCCTCCATGGAAGACGAAGAAGATGTCGGCTCATTTGGAATGGGCAGTGTCCTTGTGGGATGCTTCGACACATATGATCAAAAGATCAGAGAGTATCCAGTAACCTATTACAGTGGGATTTAACAATGATCAATATATATATATATAATAAATAGTATAGTATTTATATATTTATGTCAATGTTTACTTGTATGAATGATTCATCCACAACCAGGCAATCGTGTGATCATGCAAGTATTGGGGTTCTTCTTGGACACACACCTCAAATTCCAAAGACAAGTTGAATGAGTGATATCACTCATTCATTCATTCATTCACAACTAGTTAGAGATAGATAGATAGTATAGTATAGTGATAGTATTAGTAATATTGGTTAATGAATGAACAATCATTGATCATTATATTTGTATCTATAATACTTATATAAACAGATAGATATAGTTATAGTTAGGTTGTTGTTGTTATAACATCCAAATGGATAACTATACAGATAGATATATGGGAACACAGAAGATGCAACAGTTGCGACAACAGAAGCAACAGCAACAGCAACAACAACAGGCAGCACAAGCACAAGCACTAGGACAACAACTACAGCAACCACAACAACAGCATACACCTCCGCAACATCAACAACATACACCTCCACAGCATCAGCAGACACCTCCACAGCACCAACAAACACCTCCCAAGCAACAATATATGTCACAACAGCAGCAATATAGGACTAATACACCTCAACAGAATCATCAACCACAACAACAACAATCGCAACAACAGTATCACAACAATAGGAATGAATATATGAGTGATGATAATCATCCTCTAATACATCATTCTGCCAAACAGACAAGACCACCAAAGTTTAAGGTATCCTATCATGTGGGCAGCAGAAGTGATGACAAGCACTGCTTTGGCATCACATCGTTAGCATATGACTACGACGACAATGTCTTGTACTCGGGTGGACGTGACTCCACCATCAAGCAATGGTCAATCGATGAAGCGTCAGGTGGCTTGGACGTGAACAACACTCTCAGCTTTGAAGGACACAACGACTGGGTCAACGACATCTTTGTCAATCCCAAGCAATCAATACGTAAGTCCAACTTGCAATGCTGTTGACTTGTTCAACAATGACTCACTCTCACTCCCCTCACTACAGTGGTGTCAGCATCATCTGATGCCTCGATCAAGTTGTGGAACACATCATCAGGCAAGTGCATACGCACTGAGAGGAAGCATGATGACTATGTCAAGGCACTGGCATATGCACCGGGCGCCAACTACTTTGCATCGTCCGGTCTTGACTCCCATATCATGCTCTGGGATCTCAACGTGTTCTCACCTGTAACGACACTTCCCAATGGTGGTGGTGACAGCACGTCCAACAACTACACTGTACCCCAGAATCAATCAACAACAGGCTCAGACGACATTGACGGCAGCTCCGACTCTTTGTTGCCCCCGCCACCAAGCCGCTTCAATATATCACGTGCTGGAGGCGACAACATATCGATATACAGTCTGGCGATCAATAACGACGCGTCATTGGTGTTGGTCGGCTCGACTGAGCGCACAATCCGCGCATGGGACGTCATGGGTGGCAAGAAGATCTTCAAGCTCAAGGGACATACAGACAACGTGCGATCAATTGTCATATCGAGCGACAGTAAGAGATGTCTGTCGGCGTCCAGCGACGGCTCATTCCGTCTCTGGGACCTAGGAATGCAGAAGTGCATCCACACCTTTGACGACATCCACAACGACTCTGTCTGGTCGTTGGCGGTGACATCCAACTTCTCACACGTCTACTCGGGTGGCCGCGACGGACTAGTGTACAGCACCGACCTAAAGACGTTCCACTCGTCGTTGGTGTGCAAGGAGTCGGGCCCAGTGCTCAAGATACTGCACAACGAGAAGTCCAGGTCGCTCTGGGTGTCCACCACCGACTCGGTTATCAAGAACTGGTCCATCGAAGACATTGGCCAGCTTCCAAAGAGTGAGCCCAGATTCATCGACGACGACAAGGAGCAATCCTTTGTTGTCAAGGAGCCCCTGGCAGTCATACCTGGCCGACCAGGCATCATCAAGCATCACATCATGAACAACCGTCGACATGTGCTCACCATGGACACCAACGACACGGTGCAACTGTGGGATGTGACCAGGGGCGAGGAGGTGCAGACCTATGGCAAGGTCGACTTTGACAAGCAGGTCGAGGAGCTGCAGGAGATCGTCAGCATACCCAAGTGGGCATCGATAGATACCAAGACTGGCAGTCTCAGTGTCACCCTCGAGCAATCACAATGTTTCAACGCCTATGTTCATCTATCCAACCTTGGCATCAACCTGCAGGAGGGTGAAGAGGACACCCTCTACAACATTGGCGAGCGTATCCTCTTCTCTCTCTTCTCACACTGGCTGAGAGACAAGCAGAAGCATGCCATCACAGGTGTCAACAACAATGTAAATAGTAGTAATAGCAACAACAACGGCAACAACAATAGTAGTAGTAATAGTGTAAATAGCAACAACAACAGCAGTAGTAACAGCAGTAGTAACAACACCAATGTTACAGATGAAGAAGAGACAAAGGATGAAGACAACGATGACAATGGACAACAGAACAAGAGACCAGCGACCAAGACACCCTCGTCCAACTCATCCACATCGACTACGCCAAGCTCACTCACACCAAACAACAGCTCCAATTGCATCGATGTTCTGCCTTCCAAGCGACTGTTCACTCTTCCAAAGGAGACACCCATCATCATCTACGATGATAACAACATCAACAATAGCTTTAGGTCGCGAATCGATCAGCTGGCCGGCACCAAGTACGATATGTTACCGCGATGGGTGACAGATGTGCTGCACGGTGGCCCCCTCGGTCAGAAGCCGTATATAGTCCATCTGATGATGGCGCCGAGCGAGGAGAAGAACATATCACCATTTTCCAAGACGTCCAACAAGTTCAATGCCCCACAGCACATCCAGATGAAGAAGGTGGCTACCTATGTGGCACAGACACTCAAGCTGTTTGAGCAGGGCTCCATGGCCGAAGAGTACATCGAGATACTCTGCAATGGCAAGTTATTGCTACCAACCTACACATTGGCCACGGTCAAGACGTTCTTTTGGAAGTCGAGCGAGGACCTTCAGCTGCACTACCGGGTCAAGGCTATCTATGGCAACGAGCAAGACCTGCGAACGATGGCCAAGAACAATCAGATCAAGAGGTATCCAAGGCCAATGTCCAGCAGCACCGCTGGTGCAGGTGGAGGATGCGCCACCACCAATGGAAATGTCACCAGCAACAGCAACAGCAATAGTAATAGTAATAGCAACAGTAGTAGTAAGGTAAATTCTGTCAACTCATCACCAGTATCATTAGTTGGACAGCCACAACAACAGCAGTCACAGCAGCCTCTACAACAGTCACAGCAGCAGCAACAACAACAGCAGACGCAGCCTCAACCAATACAACAAAGGGCACTTAAAACACCAAGTCCACTCAATAGTGGAGCTGGAAGTATGGATGACAACCTCCCGCCAATTTCAATAGAGTCTGGAATACATAATCTTTGACGATGCGATCACAATGGTCCATTGGATGGACCTGTCATTGCTAGCTCTATTAAACTATTCAAACGAATGATACGTCACTCTTGTATCCAACCAGGTCTCAGTCGTCGACGACTGACTACTTCTTCAAGTATTTATTCAATGATGGAGACACTTTGATTGGTTTCTTTGCTCTCACCAACTCCTTAACTCTTGGTTTGATTGTCTTTCGTGTCGTTGTTGATGAAGTGGATGTTGTAGTTGAAGTTGTAGTTGATGAGATAGGCTTTGGCTTCTCTGGCTTCTTGCGTAGCTTGAATCCCTTCATTATGGATGCTAACTCTGGTATTCCTCCATAAGTCTTTGAGCTAACAATCAATATTGGAAACTCTGTATAATGATATTGTTGTCGTAGTTCCTGGGTTGATTGATTGATTGATTGGAGTAGTTCCAGTGTTAGTGACTCCTCTCGAATGTGAACATGCATGACAACATACATCTGTTACAAGTGTGAATCGTTTGGCCAGGTCCTCTTGGGGTACCAGGTCTCCCTTGGTTAGGATGACATGTGTCCTCACTTGACTCTTGTCCAGGATCTTTAGAAGATCCTTGTCGCTGTCTTTGAGTCCATGTCGAGAGTCCACCAACACAAACACACGCTTGAGTGTCTTCCTCGTCGTGAGGTAGTCGACTGTCAGCTGATTCCATGTATCGACGCGATCAGACTTGGCGAATGCGAATCCATAACCAGGAAGGTCGACAAGATACAGTGTTGAGCCCAGCTCATACCAGTTGATGCTCTGGGTATAGCCAGGCTTGTCGGATGTCTTTGCCAAACCACGTTGAGTGACTGCATTGATGATCGATGACTTGCCAACATTACTCCTTCCAATGAATGCCACCTCGGGCAGTGTCTCGGGGATGAACGACCCGCTCTTCTTGGCCGCTGCCACAAACTTGAACTTTGAATGAAAGTACGTTGGAATGAGTGGCTTGGCCTTGTCTCGCACCACATCCAACTTTGTCTTTCCTTGCTTTGGTGTCTTGATACGCAGTCTTCCCAGATTCCTCTCTTTGATTGTGTCAATCACCTTGTCCTCGTACTCTGTCTGTCTGAACTGTTTGTTCTCGCCATCCTTCTCCTTCTGTGGCTCGACCTTTGATGATGTTGATACTGCTTTGCTGTCGCTCGTCTTGTTTGAAGTCTGTCTCTTGTGCCACATTGATCTCACAGACTCCTTTATAACGTTTGTGTTCTTCTCACCGATCAGTAGCTGCAGTCTTGGTATCTTCTTATCGTAAACAAAGTCAGACTTTGGTATTTCGGATAAGTCTGTCGACTCCAATGTCTCCTTTCGTTGCTTCATCATTGTTTTATATCTTCTATGTTTCTCCTTCTTCAACTCTCGTTTGACCTTTGACACATAACTTCTTGATGGCATCAATACACCTGCTCCTGCTCCAACTCCTGTATATGTTGAGGATGTTATTGATGTTGATAGAGCTTTCAAAGGGGATAAACTATGAATGAATGGTTGTTGTTGGTATATTGTTGATAGACCACTCCGCAGATTAAGAGGAGTGGACCATGACCTCAACATGAAAGATGATGTTGACAATCTTAGCATTGACATCTCTCTCTCTCTTGTGGTTATTAATACTAATACATTAATTACCAATTGGAAATGGTTTGTTCGTAAACATGACGACTCGTCTTTGTTGATTCGTTTTATTTTATGGGATTGCCACTTCCCAAGAGTTTGAACAAGATGTATGACTCTGTCCTCTATCAGTCGCGAGCATATGTGTCTTGCTATTCCTGTGATAGAGGTGCCATCAATGAACTGATCTTGATGGACTATCATTGATCAATACGGGATGGGTGTGATTGTCCAACAACACCTTGTTGTTGAAGTGAATGATCGAAATGTAATGATGTTGTTCCATTCCTTTCTCAATTGTTCGTAGAGATGGTGGAGGTGCTATTTTCTTCCTTGATGTCATTGTTGTCGTTACTGTCTAGTGTATCCTTGGTTATCTCTGGTACATCAACCTGTTCACTTGTTGAACCTTGAGTTGTCGCAGAAGAGGTGGAAGAGGAGGTAGACGGCGACGATGAAAGAAGTCCATCAAAGGGGTCGGGAGTCTCGAGGTCAAGTCCAAGCTTATCGATTGATAGTTTCCATGAATGTAGCATCATACGTGGACAGTCCCCATCCTTGGGTCCGTAGGTTTCGTCGCCAACAATGACATGTCCAAGTGACATAAGATGAACACGCAATTGATGTCGACGCCCAGTGTGTGGAATCATATGTACCTTTGAAGCCGGCTTGTTGTTATAGTATCCATGCTCAAGCACTCTGATGATGGTCTGTGACTTCCTTCCAGGATTGGCCTCAGTTCCAATCATCATCTTGAATGAATTGGAATCATTATTGTCGTCTGCTATTGGTTGATCGATTGTGATCTCTGTCTGCTTGCTGCCCTCCTTGCCCTCGATGTAGAGAGGAGTCATGTGTCCCCACACCAATGCAAGGTATTGCTTCAATGTCTCGCGCGACTGAAACAGATTGCCTGCCTTGTTAGCAGCCTCACGAGTCACTGCAGTCAACACCAAACCAGACGTAGCATAATCAATCCTATTCACCAACCTATATTGTCCTGCATGTTCAGGGTACTTCACAGCAAGATGCTTGAGCAATGTAATCTCCCTATCATCGCCATCAACACATACATCTATAATATGTTCATTCATTCGTTCATCGATGTTAGTAAAGGTATGAATGATCTTTCTGTACATGTAAGAATGATTGCCTACCGAATGGTTTGTTTACTGCGATGTACTTTGGTGACTTGTAGACAATGTCAAAGATGGGATTGGACAATGGTGTCCTTCCAACATACTCCTTCACCTGTGTTGCCATTCTTGCAAGCATTACTACATGTGCGAGCAAGTGTAGAGAGATAGTAAAGAATGAATAACGAAACAGACACAAAGTTTGGACTTTATTTCAGTTTGAATCAATCGTCTTCTTGGTTTCTGATCATCATTTGATTATAAGTATCAAATATATATAATTATGTAGCTAGAGGTAAAGATGTTGAGACTTTATGATTGATGGCCAAACAAAGGAGGAGGAGTCACTCCTTAAGGTGTGTTCAGAGTTGTCAACTTATCATCCATTCCCCAACCCCTCGCCACACTTACCACTCCAACTACCACCCTGTCAACAACCTTCACCCACATCAACTATGTGTATCCTTCCTTCCACATCATACTCTACTACTACAACTACTTCACTCATTCATTCATTCATTCATTCGTTCAATCAATCTTACATACTTATAATATTAAGGAGATAATGAGCTATAGAGGTGGAAACAATCATTCTCCAATGGGAGCTGATATTGCAATTGATGATGACAATCCTCCTGTGAACTTGGATAAACATTTTCATAAGACTAAGGAGATGATGCCTCCACCACTTCCACCAAGACAACCAAAGATAGTCACCAAACCAATGCCACCAAATCTTTCAAAATCACAACGAGGTCATGGTCATCATCACCAACCTCACCATCATCATAATCATCATCAAATGGATGGAGCATCAGTTCTTGTTAATAATGTTCCAATTCCACCTCCTCGATCAAACAAGCCACATGCACCTCAAAAGACAAGTCTGAACCTAAAGAATGCCAAGGAACAAGTGGATACACATTCCAGGATTGTTCTAACTGCAATCGGTGCCAAATCACCAAACGCCAAGTTGGAATCCAACTATCCCGAGTTATTGTTGGACAACAAAACACATGTTCAAAGTCTACAATACACATCCATAATACTACAATTGGAAGATGTCACTGTTAAACAAATGATCAATGGTGAGAAGAGATCATTATTGAAACATATACCTGTAAATGTTTACAAAACAATCGTTGAGGATACCATCATTATCCAAATTGACTACATATACATCTATACCAATCTCCAAGAGAAGACATCAATCCGTATATATCCATTCCATTATCTCATCTCGGATAACTTTAACAATCACTTTATAATCAAACCTTCAAAGTATGTTCCATATTCCAACAACTGGAAGTCTATCCAGGAGCTAACAAATCCACGCGTACTACATTTTAGGAATACTCCACAAGACTTATTGGACAAGTTAGAGATAATACTGACATACTATACAAGTTATTATCGTGTTCCAATGTCAAATACCCAGAGTTATAATGATAATACTGCTCGTACAATGGATAAGGCATCAACAAAGATTGAAAGCGGAAGTATGGCAGTGTCAAGAGGGTTGGTATCTGGTGGAAAGTACTTTGCCAAAGGTGCAGCAAAAGTCGGAGAGATGTATAGGAATAATGCAAAGGCCTACGAAGGTCCTGAGATGACTGATGATCAGAGAAGGGAGCTTGAAAACCCAGACAGTGAGGCCAACAAGTCGTTGTCCAGCTCAGAGAAGATGGTCCAAGGTTCAAGTTGTGTCAACAGGAGCATCTTTGGTGCTCTCAGCTTGGCAGGATCGAAAGCTAGCGAAGCAGTCCGTAAAAGTGATTGGTACAAAGAGGTATGTACAGGCTGAACAATGGTAGACATAGGTTTGGAGAACTGACTAGATGTATATTCAGAGGAAGGAGGAAGAACAGAGACAAGAGAGATTGAATGGCAAGGATGAGAAAGGGGAGGCCGGGAAGAAACTAGGTGGGTCAGGTGTGAATGCCTTGACCAATGTACTGGGTGGACTGCAGGAGGGAGTGCTCATATCAGCCAGAGGAGTTCGAGATGCATCCGTTGAGACTACAAGACACACAAAAGGCGATTATGAAGCAGAGGTATCAAAGAAGAAGTGGGATGCAGCAGGCAACTGTACTCTGTCAATTGTCAATGTTCTGAGTGTTGTCAGCACTACATGGATAACAGCTGCACTCTATGCAGCAGCTGGAGTGGTGTCGTATGATCCTGACAAGGCACAGAACCTCATTGGAGCATGGTGGAAGGCAGGATGGGTGGCCGAGAAATCAGATCTACTCTCTGGCAGCAGGTGGTGTCCACGATGGATGGTCCTGAGGAATCCAACAATAGCCCTATACTCCTCGCCCCTTGATCCACCTGACAAGCCAATCTGTTATCACTACCTCACCAAGGTCAAGTGTGCCAAGCCTTTGCCAGAGCAACAAAGTCAACGTAGTCACTCATTTGAAGTAGTCTCACTCTGCTCCTCCATCTATCTCTCAACGCTTGTACCAGAAGTAGAATGGTGCAATCAGACCATTCCACAGCCACACCCAGAGACTGAGATGACCCAGTGGATGAACGCAATAGCCAACCTGTCAAAGTATGCTAAATGCGAGCAATGAGGACATCTGGTCAATAAACTCCTCCAATAATTCGGATGCTATTATTAAACAATTAGAACAAGTACTCATGATCCACTACTGTCCAAAGAAGTACAAACAGTTATCTGTCTATCATTCAGTCTCTAAGAGGAGGCACCTCCTCCTCCACTTTTAATATCACTGAATGGACGATATCCACTGATTCCCTGTGGTGGATACTTGAAGGTGGGTCCAAAGTTGAAACGAACCGCTCCTCCCATGTACATTGATGCGGCAGGATAGTACATTGCTCGGCCAATGTCCTTGAAGGCCACGCCTGGTGACACACCATTCTTGAAGAACCTGATCTCGCTGCCCTCGATTGGTGCCGGTGTGTCGTCCTCCAACTCCTTCTTGACCATCTCGTACACTGCCAACTGATCCACATTGTCAAATGTCTTTATCTCGCTATCCACTGGCAATGAGATGTAGAAGCCAATCACGTCATTGGGGCCAAATGGTTGACCATAGGGAAGACTCTTGGCCTTGTGAAATATGTCGCCCTGTTGACTGCGGTATGAATAGCTGTGCTGATCATATCCTACATTGGCTTGCTTGTCACCCTTGGCTGACGACCAACCGAGACGAGTGCTTCCAGTGTTGCCAATGATCTCGACTTCATAGTACCAAGCACCGGTCACGCATGGGAATGAGGCCTTGGCCATGCGGTAGCCCTTCTGATTCGAACAAGTCAGCATGTCTGATTGATCGATCACTATCTGAGGAGCAGAGTTCTGAAGTGCCACACAAAGTTTATCGTACTGTACAGTTGGTACATAGTTTGAATCCTTCAATGGTAACAGCAATAGCTTGTTCAAGTGTTTAAACTAGTATGTGTCGATGGGTTAGGCTTTGGTCGGGAATGTATGACCTGTCTAATACTCACTCTTTGCTCTTGTGGCACTGACTTCTTCTTCTTCTTCTTCTTCTTGTTGTTCATTGACGCCAAGACCTTGTTCTTGAACACAGGGTTGTCTTTCAGTCGCAACTGTTGTGTTCCCAATGCCCAATATCCAGGCTTGTTGATATTGACCGCACCAGACTTGAATATATGTCCATCAGTCAACGCGGGCAGTAATGGCTTCTGCCAATTTGGTTTCTCTGTGGCGAGCCGTTGTTAGGTCGCGAACCATGAGTGATTGATTGATTGATTGATCAACTTACTCTTCTTATCGCTACATAGTAATTGCCAGTTCTGATCAACCATTGGAATGATGTCCTCGTCAAGACTAAAGTAGAACTGATTGTCATTCTGTAGTTGTAGGTTATATAATACAATCTCCAATACATCGACCCTATAATGATTGATTGATTGATTGATTGTTAATATCTGGATACTCCGACACTTGGGCATCATCATAATCATACCAGTTCTTTGCAAATCGCTCAAATGTCTCGTGACCTTTGGTGCAGACGGAGCAGGAGAATCGATATACCCAGTCACCGGCCATCTGTTCAGAGCCAGTCAGAACGTGTACACATGTGGTGTGGAATAGTTGGTAACAATTATCACATCTGATCATATTGTTGTCTTGATCCTTTCCACATGCATAACAATATATATTCTCCTTATTCCTTAAGAAGTTGTTATCCCATGTCAATGTACTCAGCTGATGATGAGTGAGTGATTGAGTGAGTAAGTGAGTATGTTGAGATGATTGATCGAATGATGTCGACATACATCATAGGGGAACTGAAGCATCTTGGGAGTGTTGATCAATTGTTGGTCAGGAGGTGTCGTCACAGTGTCGGACATCATGGTGGGCGAGGAGAGGTTGTCAGAGGAGCGCTTGCTACTCTTGAGTGAGAACTTAGACTTGGTCTTCTTCTTTTTGTGTGTTGATGTTGTAGTTGGTGTTGTAGCGCCAGATGTCTTCTCATCAATTGCCATGTCATTCGTACTCTGATCCAATCGCATACCATCATCCTCAGTCGCCACTGCTTGTTGTTGATGTTGTTGATGTTGTTGCATCTCCTCATCATCCTCCTTGATTGAATTGTATTGTTGCTGTTGTTGCTGCTGTTGCTGTGCTAGACTTGTGTCCACGACATCACTACTCATAAGCATACGATTGATACTTAGTTGTCGTGAGTTGCCAACTTGATAAGGATGATCTGACTCTGACTCGTGGTCATCTCCACCTCCATGTCCACCTCCACCTCCACCACCTCCGAGATGTATGACACCCTCATCAACAGTCTGTATATTGGTATCAGAGTATAATAGACTTAGCTTCCTGCCACCACCATGCTGCAGCATTGATGTCTCCTCGACATGTCTAGCCTCTGGTGATGGTGAGTAGTATGACAATTGAGTGGATTGATTGAGTGCAATATGAGTCTGAGGTGGTGGAGAGTTGTTTGTACTATTGAATGACATTGTAGAGTATGGATTACTATCGATACCATCCATACTCTCATCCATTATATTAACATCTACATCATCTTCATCATCAATTCTAACATCTTCATTCTCATCTGTTTCATGCTCAACATTTGCATTGTTCTTGTTGTTATTGTTATTGTTGGCATTATTGTCGCTGCCGCTGCTGCTGTTGCTGTACATTGTTTGTGTTGCTGATGTTGACGCGCATGCACGTCTAGTCGCTGTATCTGTGTTGTAGACGATGAAGTTGTGGTTGTTGACTAAGTTGGGAAGTAAATGGGATCTGAAACATCCCCCTATTTTCTCCTTTTTTGTCCAGTTTGAATTGAATTTGACAAGTCGACTTCACCTCATCATCACTCAAATTAATCTAACTTAAGTTGTTAGTAACACCATTCATTCATTGTAAATCAAACACACCTTGTAATACATATACATACATTCATACATATAACAAATAATAACAATTAGTACGAAGAGGGAGGAAGAACATTAATCTGTAGTTAGTGCATGTTTTTTAAATCTACTACATTCTTCCAATCAATCAATCAATCAATCAATCAATCCAATGTACGTTGTCGTTGTTAATAATATCTGGGATATTACTCCCATTTTGTCAATGGTGACTAAACATTAACATCATAATCATCATCATTACCTAAAAGATTTCAATAGTAATATATAAATAATCTTCAATACAATGTCTACTACGACAACAACAACATCAACAAGCGGGGCAGTAGTTGATCCTGCACCAACAACATCAACTACATCATCATCTAAACAACATAGTAGTATACCAAAGGCAAAGGATCAAAAGTTTCATAAACAACCACCCAAGTCAACAACAACCAGAGGAGATAGAGATCATTCAACAGTTGAGCCAAAAGGACCAAAGCCACAAAAGGAGTCCACACAACCAAAAGAGCCAAAGGACAATCTGAGTACTCCCAAGGCTGCCAAGGCCCCTTCCACACCAAAGGAGCCAAGAACACCTGCAAAGCAAGAGCAACAACAACAACCACATGATGGAGTTGTAGCTGAGCGCAAAATGTGTACATACCATGAACATGAGGCCCTGTGGGGAACCAATCCAATGTTACCATCCAATGAGTTCTCAAAGCTAACTTCAAGTATATGTGATAAGTGCTATAAGAAGCGACAATCAGACAAGAATAAGCTGAAAAGGCAAGAGAAGCAAGAGAAGCAGAAGCAACAACAACCACAAGATGTCAATGACAAGCCACTACCAAAGACTCGCAAGGAGAGGGCTCCAAAGCTCCCAGCACCAATGCATGCATTCAATCCCCATCCTCATGTTGCGCATCCACATGCTCACCCACATCCAATGGCTCACCAACATCAACATGAACAACATCATCCACACGGTCAACACCAGCGTGATCAACATCCACGTGTACATCAACCTCCAATGCATCAATATCATCAAGAGAAGATTGTGATCATCAACGAGTTGCAACCCGAACAGTTTCCACAAGCACACCCACCTCATCATCGTGCCCCTGCTCATATCCATCATGCCCCTGCCCACGCTCCCCAAGGCCCGCATGCCCCTCATGCCCCTCGCCATCAGGCCCCTGCACATCCACCTCAATATCGGGCCGCCTCTGCTCCTGCCCATCATGCACCTGCTCATGCACCTGCTCATGTACCTGCTCATGCTCATCATGTCCCCGCTCACGCCCCTGCTCCCCACCATGAGGATGGCGACAAGGTAGACAAGAGGAGAGACAATAAGAAGGACAAAAATGACAAGAAGGAGAAGAAGGAGAAGGAACATAAGCCACAAAAGGAAGGACAAGAGAAGAGTGCCACCAAGAACAGATCTGGAAAGAAAGAGAAGGGCGACAAGAAGCAGGGTGGTGAGGCCAAACTGATCTCTGGCGTCAAGAAGGAGAGGTCGAAGCGTGTCATGTTCCAAGCATACGTCTCAGAGGAAGACGTTCGCAAGGGACTCCAAGAGAAACGCTACTTCTATGGCCAGCTGCGTGTGAATGCTAAGAAGTACTACGACGCCTACATCACTGTGGACGGTGTCGACGGCGATGCCTACTGTGAGGGTCTCAAGTACAGGAACAGAGCATTCAACTCGGACATTGTGGTGTTTGAGATGGTGCGCGAGTCAGAGTGGAAGTCCAAGGCCAACAACAAGGACGATGACGACGAAGTCGAGAAGGCCACGATCAAGGACACGACAGACATGGGTGGTCGCGATCAGGGAACAATCTTATTGTCATCATCACTCTCAAAGTTGCAGATCAAGGAGAAGGAAGCACTGGAGTCGATGTACTCAAAGAATGTCGACAGTGATTGCGAGGATGAGGGCAGCGATGTGTCAGAGGACACTCCCACACCAATCAAGATCGAGATTGAGGGTGATGATGATGATGACATGGATGAGGACTTTGTCATTGTCCCCACAACCACTACCACCTCTACTACCTCTGGCAGCAACAATAACAATGTGCCCAAGTTGAGTAAGAAGAGGACTGCTGGCCCTACACCAGTGAAGAACATGATCCAGGACATCAAGTACTTCCAATCACTCGTTCACAAGGCCAATGATAAGAACCTGTACGTGTCCTGCAGGATCGTTCACATCCTTGACTGCAGACACTCAAGGAATCATGTTGGAATCCTTACAGTATGTACTCCACATAATCAAGTCCTGGACTCCATCCAAGTGTCTAACAAATAATCCCAACATAGGACCAAGACAATGCTACCTTTGCCAACTTCACACCAATGGATAGCGCGTTGCCAAGATGTCTGGTCTTCAAGGAGACCATCCCTGAGTTCAGATCCAAGCCAGAGATGTACAAGAACATGCTGATCTCAGTGAGCTATGGCCAATGGAAGGAGACATCCTACCTCCCAATTGGTCACTTCCACTCTGTGTTTGGAGAGTGTGGAGAGATTGAGCCAGAGACACGTGCCTTGCTCAAGGAGTACAATGTCGACACGTCGGCATTCTCGCGTGAGGTCATGGACTGTCTGCCCCAGGTTCCCAAAGGCACCTCTTGGAACATCTCCCAAGAGGAGATCGCCAAGAGACGCGATCTTCGTGGCCAGATCATCGTGTCGATCGATCCCGACACTGCTAAGGATCTGGACGATGCCCTCTCCTGTGTGCCACTGCCAGACGGCAACTTTGAGGTCGGTGTGCACATTGCCGATGTGTCCCACTTTGTGAAGCCACACACTGCCCTGGACGCATGCGCTGCTGACCGCGCCACAACCGTGTACCTGGTCCAAAAGGCCATCCCAATGCTGCCATCACTGTTGTGTGAGGAGTTGTGCTCGCTCAACTATGGCGTGGAACGTTTCGCCTTCTCTGTCATCTGGACACTGACACCCGAGGGCAAGGTGATCAACGAATGGTTTGGCAAGTCTGTGATCAAGTCTGCGTGCAGACTGACCTATCGTGTGGCCCAAGCCATTATCGACGGCAAGTTCCAAACATCGTGGAAGGATGGGCTGGCACCAGAGCAGATCAAGTCTCTGCTCGGTCCTGACACTCCACAACATGTGCAGGCGGTCATCAGCTCAGTGATGGGACTGCGCGAGATTGCCAAGCACCTTCGCCAGGCCAGAATGGACAGCGGTGCGTTCAACATCCATCCAACCAAGCTTGCCTTTGAGCTGGACGAGAAGGGCAACCCAGTCTCAACCAGGATCTACCAGATATTCGAGTCCAACCATCTGGTGGAGGAGTTCATGTTGATGGCCAACATGCAGGTGGCCTCGCGCATTGCCAAGTACTTCCCAGAGAACGCACTGCTCAGACGCCATCCCGATCCCAACCCAAGAAAGCTGCAACAGTTCATCGACTTTTGTACGAGCCACGACTACCCAATCGACTCGTCCACAGTCGAGACATTTGGCGCGTCGATCCTGGCGCTCAAGGAGAAGGTCACGGACAAGAACATCTTCTCGGCCATCCAACTGCTCTCTATCCGCTCCATGCGTCTGGCCGAGTACTTCTGTACTGGCACTGAGGATGAGTGGCGCCATTATGCCCTCAACGTGGATCACTACACTCATTTCACCTCACCAATCAGACGTTATGCAGATATCATCGTCCATCGACTTTTGGAGTTGTCGATTGAGGTCGAGCGACTGGGCGAGCAAGGCGACCACTCTCGCGTCCTTGACCAACTGCCCGAGACTGAAGCCGTGGCCAAGATCTCGCTACAATGCAATGAGAAGAAGCTCAATGCTAGAAAGGCCCAGGAGCGCAGTGACAAGGTATTCCTGTGCATCCTGCTGCAGCAGAAACTCAACGTCACCGACGCCATCGTACTTAGCACAGGCCCGACGTTCATCTCGGTGATCGTACCAATGTTTGGCAGCGAGCAGCGCATCTATCTCGAGGATCACAAGGAGGACAAGTTGATAATCTCACACAGCTTCGAGAAGGAGACCGAGAGCAATGAGATCGTGTGGCCTGGCATTGAAGAAGGTGACGAGCCCATCAAGCAGCAGTATCGTCAGCTCACAACGGTCAAGGTGATGATCACTGTGGACAAGTCCAAGTTCCCAATCGACACCAAGTGCACATTGTTGCATCCACTCTATGTCGAGACACAACAATCCAATAACTAAACAAATACCAAAGGATGTGGATTCCAATAAGTCCGTCATATCCTCCCATTTATGTTTACAATGATTGATTGATTGTGATTGCCAACAACCCTGGGTTGTCATGCAGGTGATGTTACAACATGGGAAGTGAGGATGTTGGATTCTGATGTTTGACTACGTATACAGGAACACTTGAATGATGTACAATGTATTCACTGACCGAACCCAATATCAACCTTGTTGTATAACTAGTTAGTATGTTGGATAAGTATGGACATCCTCAATAGCAATATACATACTTCTTGAATACACTCAGTCCTCTTGAACCAACTATGACCATATCGAAAGGTCCATTGGTTTCTGTATGATTGATTATCTCTTGTCTAACATCTCCATATAACAAAATTTGTTCTACCTTTGTAAACTATTATTCAGGTTAGCATTGAGTGGACATCAAGCGATGGAAGGGATTACATACACCTTTATCTTTGAATCTTTGGACATCCCTCTCTAGGAATACTTTGGCCTCTTTCTCTTTCCTCTTTATTAACTTATCGTCATCTGATGTTGTTATAAAGTCCTCTTGAGGTGCATATATAAAGTCATCAATCTCCACAACTGTTATGATCTCAATTGAATCTTTAGATGGATTCAAGAATCCTAAACAATGCTCTACTGCATATGATGAATTCTCTGATCCATCAACTGCTATTAATGCTTTCATTATTATTATTATTATTATCTATTATCTATTATCTATTTAAATACTCTGTATATATTAAGTAGATAGAGATACAATTCAATTTAGAGAGAAAGACTGACGATAGAACACGATGAAATTGTTGTGGTGGTGTCTGGAAGGATTGTGTTGGATTGATACCCATTTATGGAAATTACCATATATGGAATAATTTCGAACTTCAGCATTATGGGATAATTCCATTGATAAAATTTGTATCTTCCTTATATATACAGTATTATAATATTCTTTCTTTCCACCTGAACATTAATCACAATTATTATTAAAATACTGAATATTAATAAACTGAACAAATCGAACGAAGTGATGTGAACTTGTTCAAAAGTAGTTCAAATTCAAAAGTTATTTATTCGTTGAGTTCGCAGATTGATAGATAGAAATAGAATAAGTTATATAATCAATAATGTCAGATACAGATAACACTATTGATGATGTCCAACAGGAGAATGGAGATCAGACTATTGAAGAAAATGAAGATACCAAGACAGATGACACCAAGGCAGAGTCTGTCGTAGATGATCCTGTATGACTACATGATTGAACGAATGATTGAATGATTGAATGAATGATAGACTAACAACATTAACAACAATAACAACAATAACAAAGGAACTGGAAGAGATGAAAAGAAGATATAAAGAGATGGAGGAGGAGACAAAGAAGTTGACAGAACTACAGAATAGTATTGAAGCTTCAGCAGGCGCATTTGGTGATCAGGAGGAGATTGACGCACGCTCTGTATATGTTGGCAACGTTGAGTACACTTCGACACAAGAGGAGATACTGGCGCACTTCCAATCATGTGGCACTGTCAACAGAATTACAATTCTAAACGATAAGACGACAGGTCATCCCAAAGGGTATGGTCGATACACGCACAAGGATGCATACACTTCAAGTTTACTAACTTGCAAGTAATGTCATGTAATATAGATGCTGCTATGTAGAGTTTGTCGATAAGGACTCTGTTGCGACTGCTATTCATTTGAACGATACGATGTTTAAGGATAGACAGATAAAGGTTACGCCTAAGAGAACAAACCTGCCGGCCTACATGCGATATCCACGTGGAGGAAGAGGTGGTGGTGGCAGAGGCAGAGGTGGACGTGGCGGTCCACCCATGGGAGGACGCGGCGGTGGTGGCGGTGGTGGCAGAGGCGCATTCAGAGGAAGCAAGAGACCCTACCATCCATACTCATGAGTTGGTTGTTCATTCATGAATAAACAAAGCGACTTGGAAATGAATGAATGGATTAGGTTGATCACTCCTAGTGAGCCAGATCAGGTCAGACGAACAAAGAGTAAATCGGACCATCATGACAACTGCTTGAAGTTACATCGGGATCAGATGATTTTATGATTGTTTGTTTGTTGTTGGAGCTGTGCCGGCAGATGACAAACAGGCAAACAGAGATGGCAACAGCAACAAAATGGTAGAGGAAAATGGTGCTCGACCTTGGTTGATTGGTAGCAACAATGATCATCTCATATTCATCATTCGGCGGCGGATAAATTTGAACAGCGCTGTCGTCATTCCAGAGTAAAGCGGCCTACAGATGCCCCTCTAATGTTGGTAGGATTGGGATGTCTCTGTCATCTGCCGGACCTCCGGAAGTGGTTGTTGGAAATGGAAATTGAATGACCTGGCCTGGAATGATAAATGATATATGTCTGTCTCGATCAATCAATCAGTATCACCATCCACTCATTCGAACCCCCCACCCACCTCTAATACATCATCAATCACCTGATCACACCACACTTATCTCTCGACCAAGATGTTGATGGTGGTTGTGATGACCACCTTTTGGAGGATAGATGACACTCTGCCTGTCTGTCTGTCTGTCTGTTGCACAACACAAATAGACATACACAACACAGACTACAGTAGGCATTTATGATTGGTTGATGAAATTTAGTTGCAATCACCAGTTGATTGATTGAATGAATGAATTACCTGTCCATCAATCACCATCGTATAGTGACAATTCATTCACTATACTCGCGAGAGACAGACGCACTCGCATTGTCAATCACGGCAGAGAGTAAATGAGTGAGCGTGTTGGGTTGCGTTTGATAGAATGACTGAGCTAAGTTGATACTTCTGAATGATTATCACCATCATCATTATAATCAGTGTATCTCCTTGAGATCCTATGTTATGTTAGCTAACTAACTAATATCGCGACGGTCAATATCAATACATTATAAATATTAATATTAATATCAGTCAGAGAGTTCCAGAGAGACATTATGATAAACTAAGTTTGTTAAAGTGGACATTCTGGAATTCATTTCATTCATCCATTCATTCAATTCATCGAGATAAAACAAAGAGAGACAGAGGTAAAGATCTTGTGAATGACCCACCCATCTTCACCTCACATCTTCATCACCATCATCATCATCAACGCAACGTCCCCTCATCTTCCATTTTCTCTCCATTCTACTCCTTTGACAAATGCTTACCATAAACCACATGATCACTTATAAGTGTGCAGCACATCTTCAGATCTAATAATACCAAAGTATCTATCTCCCATGATCTTCCTTCCTTCTTCCAACCTCAGCCATCATCACCAACAACAGCACATACATAGACACATTTACACTCATAGCCTCACTCAAGGATATGTCGCTATTGTTGGATGGATGGATGGATTATGATCTATGATCGACATAAGTGTGTGAGGAGGAGTGCAGGACATTCAATTAATAGCGGATTACTCAATCACATTCACTCACTCACTCACCCATCAACCCCACTGACAAACATATCGAATCGATCGTCTGACGGGTTTTTTTTTCTTTTTGGCCCACTGAGCCGAGCTTCTGGGCTTCGATCATCAAACTTTTCTATTTTGTTGTTTATTCCAACGATCACAAGAAGAACAAAAATCTCGTTCAGAGGATTTTGGGAGCATGATTTGTGTGAGGCTAGGGGGGTAGTCCCTGATCTATCCATCGGTCAATCAATCAGTCCCACTCGAGCACCAGTCTGGCCCCCTCCCCTTCTCGCACTGCAATGTTGTTGTTGTTGGCAGATGGATAGTCGCGACGACACACACAAACAATAATAACAACAACAACAAACAACTTCGATTCGACGACACACAAACAAAGCTACATTGGATTGGTTGTGGGTCAGAAGCAGGCAACCAGCACAAACAACAACACAACACCAACAAACAACAAAACCAAGATACATCCCTTTGACAATCATTCGTATTTTTGTTAGTTTGTTTGTTTGTCCTCCCAACTAAGTCCCCGCAACAACTTATACACATACGCATTCGTTAATCTATCCGTCCAATAATCTATCTACCAACTCTCTCGTGTTTAGCAACATCTACACGCGATTACATTCACACTCACTCACACTCACTCACGCTCAACAGGGACAAGGGACACATCCATCCATCGATCCAGGACAAACATTGATCACAATCAATCATCAAAACATCCAGGACTTACAAACAAACAATCAATCAATCAAAAGATATAAATATAATATAGAAGAAAGATGGAGATTCATTCAGTTGGGCCTTTCATCATTGGAAAGACCCTGGGTCAGGGCACAACGGGCAAGGTCAAATTAGGATTCCACAAGGACACTGGATTCAAAGTGGGCATCAAGATCATCAATAAGGACTTGTTGATGAATAAGCCATCCATGAGAAAGAAGATCGAGCGGGAAGTGGTCCTCATGAAACTCATCGAGCATCCCAATGCCCTAAAGATGTACGAGGTATACGAGACCTCAAACTACCTGTATGTTTACATTCAACATTGATCAAGTATTGGAACGACGCGCAGTATACTCACTCATACAATCAATCACTCAATCACACATCACATGATTCCACTCACTCAATCAATCAAATCCAATCCATATCCAACAATCATTGATCAATTCCAGATTCCTGATATTGGAATATGTGGAAGGAGGCGAGTTGTTTGATTACCTGGTGGAGAAGGGCGGACTGGAGAGTGGAGAGGCATTGTTTTTCTTCCAACAGATCATTTCTGGATTGGACTATTGTCACAGCAGGAATATATGTCACAGGGACCTGAAGCCAGAGAATCTTTTGTTGAGCGGCGACAAGAAGATTAAGATCTGCGACTTTGGCATGGGATCAATCATCAAGAAGGACAGTCTATTGCACACCAGCTGTGGGTCCCCTCATTACGCCAGTCCCGAAGTGGTCTCTGGCATTGACTACGACGGTCAAAAGACCGATGTCTGGAGTTGTGGTGTCATCCTATATGCATTGTTGACCGTGAGTTGTCCAGTCTTTTGTGCCGCGCGTGTCACCATGATGGCTATCGATCACTAACATTCATACATAACTTATAGGGTCGACTACCATTTGACGATGATAACATTAGAAGACTGCTGAGCAAGGTCAAGAGCGGAGACTTTGTCATGCCAGGATACATACACAAGGATGCACAAGACCTCCTCACTAGGATGTTGGTGGTCGATCCCAAGAAGAGAATAACGATCAAGGATATCAAGAGGCATCCATGGTTCCTCTCCAACTCATCGACCACCGAAAAAGTGATCCCAATCGATAAGATGGTAAGTCCACCTTAAGAGTGAGAGAGAGAGAGAGAGAGAGAGAGAGAGAGAGAGGCATTGATTGCTCATTGATCACTAACCATCATCTCTACACAACCAACAAAGATGGGCTCACCATTGACTGATCTGGCATCGATGGACGATGAAGTGTTCAGAAGCCTTATGGTGTTGGGCTTGGGATCACCAGATGATATTAGAAGAGCATTGATCAGCAATGAGTATGTTGGGCTTGCTTCACATGGCACTGGCATTGACACTAACAACATACCATCAACAGACGATCACAGATTATTGTTTATTATAGATTGCTAGAGGAGAGGAAGCGTTATGATACTGAGGGTTCAAAGTATGGCGTAAAGAATACGACGGCCACCACAAACAACAATGGCAATGGCAATGGCAACAACAACAGCAACAATACAGACAAGAGAAGAAACAGCGCATCAGAGTTATCACTAAAGAAGGTGTTTGGCAAGCAGAAGAGCAACTCAGATCTACATCAACAACAACATCATCCAATTTCACAGCCTCCACCTTCACCAAAGCGCGAGCCAAGTGGCTCAGACGGCCTGCTCAAACAGGCATTGCAACAACATCACCAACACTCACATGCCCATGCCCATGCTCAGGCCCAAGCTCAAGCTCAAGCCCAGGCTCAGGCCCAAGCCCAAGCCCAAGCTCAATCACATTCACCTCAGACACAGCCACAACCACTCACCATTGCTGTGAGCGACTCAAAGATGCCACCAATCCAGAACTTGAGCATCAACAACAACTACTATGGACCGGGCGGCGCACTGCCGCCACCCCCTCCCCTGTCACTCAGCCAGGGTCTGCCGCCCCCACCACCCAAGGAGTCGCCGCCAATCATGCAGCGCAGAGGCAGCATGACGGCCACCTCCAATCCAGCCACAAGCCCCACCATGTCACACCGTGGCAAGACTTCGAACCCGATCGAGATCACCAAGGTGCGCAAGCTCAAGATGCTCGAGTCCACGCCCAACTCGTCGCCCATCATTGGCTCCAGTCCCAAGAAGTCGTGGTTCTCCTACTTCTTCTCCAAGGGCAGCAGTAGCGGCAGCGGCAGTGGCAGCAGCAGCAAGAACACCAGTCCCAACACGTCATCCAACAATCTGACGACGGTTGTGATGGGCGCCGGCGCACCATCGTCGCCATCGACCTCTTCATCATCATCGACTTCAACTGCCGCCTCAACATCCAACACGGCGGCGGCCGTCGTTGTCCAAACACATTCACCTGCGACGCCAACCCTGGTTGTGGAAACCAAGGTAGACAGTTCGCTGATTGTGATCAACCTGGAGCAGACATTCAACAAGCTGGGCATCGAGTGGCGTCTCAAGAGCAATCAGGCTCAGATATCATACAGCTGTCGCTATCCAAGCAGTGGGCAGCAGGTCAGCAAGAACGAGTTGCAGACCAAGGTGTACGAGTGTGATGTCGAGGTTGAGAGCCATGACACTGTGCACCGTATTTACCTCATCAAGAAATCAGGCTCCAGTAACTTCTTCAGCTCATTGACCAACTCGATCGAACAGCTATTTATATAGGAGGGTGGGGACTTCTCTCATTCTCAATCTCTCTCAATCACTGTCCTCTCAATCACCATTGTCCATTGTCCTTCATATATATGTGTACTTGGCTGGATGGATGGATGGATGGATGCGATGGCAACGTTCGTTGACCTCTAATACCAATATTACTACTAATAATAAAGATCAGTCAGCGTCGGAGTCCAATCAACAAACTAACTTTATGATTATCTTACCAAGGTGATAGTGGGTTAATATGGATTATTGATCAATCTTGTATGGCTGACTGGATAGATCCAGTCAGGAACTAATTATTAATAGTCATTCTGATCTTTGCTCATCCAATTGTACAATAACAAACATTGTCAATTGTAGGAGCAAGATCAGAATTACTAAGTTTCATTCTTAGTAACGGATCATCATGTTCAGCGGAACGGTCACTCCTTCCCAACATCTCATTGATAGTTGCCAAATGATTTCTATTCACTCTGCTGCGTGTTTTGTATAGATATATTAATTCTTTTGTCTCGGTATAGACCACCTTCTTGTGCTTGTCAATCAATATTTGCCGTGAGCCAATCTGAATCATCTATCCAATCATGAAGTCTTATCAATCTTTGCCATCGGTTATTTAATACGAGATATCTTGCTTCATTCTTAGTAAAGTATTATCATATTCAGCGGAACAGTCACACCAACATTTCATTGTCTCGGTTATTGATTTCCTTTTTGTACGTGTCAATCTATCAATATTTGATATCATAAACATTGTACCATCAATAATTTTGGATCTGAGTCTCTAATAATATAAACATATTTAGGCTGGAAATTACCATCTTTTAATATATATTTGTTTGAATAATAATAACTTGTAATTATTTGATTACGTGGATGGTTTGAAATTAAATAATAACATTATTATTTTGTCCATCTGATCTCCTTACTGGGCATTGGACTCAGTTATTGACCATACTCCCAAAATAATAAAAATAAGAAGTAGAAGAATAATAGAAATAATTTTTTGAATAATAAATTTCTTTCGGAACTCCCAGATTGTAGACATATGCTGTTTTGAGTAATTGATTGATTGTTTGAGAAGGTGCAGTGAGTGAACGAGGTTGAGGAGGTTCATATTTATTTGCCCTGTCTTCTTCATCTTGAGTGCAATAATGGATACAATCAGTGCTGCAATTGAAACAAAGGCAGTCACAATGGGAGGCACACTGGTTGCCAACCTCTTGGCCCATATCTAAAACAAATGTTAATTAGTTAGGCCATGAGTCGCATATAAATGTACTTACATCCTAGCTAGCATCTTTGCTTCAAAAATAGTGTAATCTCCAGCCGGATATGGAGCATCTACACAATCCGGTGGCACATGCATGCCCTTCTCGATGGCTTGCCATGATATTCCTTGTCGGAATGTCTTTGCAGGAGCTGAATCAGCATTAATCAATAACCTATCCAATTATGTACTTACCAGGTGGCTCTGTGAGGTAGACGTGGTCCGTACCAACTGGTATCTGGTCGTTAGAGTTGGCCACGGCAGCATTCACAGCAGCTGGACCGTACTCGATGACACAACCTTGGAGATTGCGCAAGTTATCCAAGCGGACACTCTCAGGGCTCTCTAGAATTCGTGCTGGGAGATCTCTGCAACACCGATATGACCTTGATGATTAGTTATAGTATATTATCTTACCATCACATGAGCAAGTTAGCAAGTCATTCTGATCTTTGCTCCTTCGAGTTTACAATAACCAGCATTTGTCCCTTGAACTAGAAAAGATCAGAACGATATTCCCGCCAACGTTGGGACACTTTGATTCGATATTGTGTTTGGATCAATTAGATAGAGCTTGACTATATGGTTGAGATTAGGTGGAATAGAGGTGAGAGGATATAATACTCTCAAAACTCATTACAAATACTGCCATGACTTTGTTACCTCGGTACTTCTCAAGTAGAGAAAGGAGCTTACAATTCCACCACCTTTCAAAGGTTTGATCACTTCGGGCTAATGGCGAGATAGTTGTAGTGCGACTAGAAACAGACTGCTCACTACCCAATGTTGTTGTTGCCTGTCCAATTTTAATAGTTGAGATCCATCTGATTATGGTGCTAGCTTAAATTAAGGATGAATGCTCGGTGCCTGGGCAGTTTTCCATTGTTACAGTGGTCTGTATTGGAGTATTGTCTTTTAAAGGTGATTATATTGCTGTTGTTTTTGCTCTTGTTGTTGGTGTTGCTGTTGCTTATTCATATGCTGTAGATGCCGCTGATACTGCCAGTGCCAAGTCCCTCCTAGTTCCATAGTCTCTATTGTAAGTAAATATATTCTAAGGTATATATTTAATAGAATGAATATTATATTACTGAAAGGCTAGATGAATGGTGACCCCAACTTGTGATCTGGCATGATATTGTCAATGTAGAGTGTGCATGAGACGGTTCGATTGAATATCGCTTTGATCCATGGACCAATCAATCTATCATTCAATCTATCGCGAATCAAACATATTCCATGCTTGGAACGATACTAAGTTCTGCTTTCCTAAACATTCATCTTATCTGATTTTGTCTTTCTCTCCCAAACATGGTCTTGCTTCGTGAACACAGCTCTCCTAACGAGTGGTTCACCTGGAGGTGTCTTGTTGGCTTCATCTTGATAATGATGTTGATGTCGTTGTTGTTGTTGTTGTTGCTTGTGCTGTTACTACTGGTGTTGTTGCCGGATTGTGTCAAAGTATTAGGCTCGGTAGTAGTAGTAGTAGTAGTAGGAATAGTCTTACAAGACTGGTTTGGAACAGTACTGCTATCAAACTCCATAAATAAACTTTAGAATGGTTGATTAATGATACAGTTTTGTTGACTTTGAGACTGAAAGGGGGAACTTTGAGTTCACTTCCCTTAAATGGTAATGAAACTCAGTCAATCAATTAATAAACACCAAATCGAGAAAGATAGAGAAAGAGAGAGAGAGAGAGAGAGTAGATAAAGATGGCAATCAACACACATAGACGGGCAGCACTACTATGCATGTTGGTGTTGATAACAATGTTGACAGTATTGCCAACATCAACAATAGTGATGGTGGTCGATGCAAAGAAGAAGGGTGAAACGGCAGCAGCGGCAACACATAATACTGATGATGATACAATCGTCGACGATGAGGACGACTATGACACACTATCGCCCGTCAAGAAGGACGTATACAAGCGCAACCTCGTCAGAGAGAACATAAGATACAAGAACGTGCTGTCACAATGCAACAAGTACCAACACGACACTACCAAGCGCAATATGCCCAGCGATCTAAACACGTTGGTATACGTGACGCCGTGGAACTCCAAGGGCTACGAGATGGCCGAGTTGTTTAACAAGAAGTTCACGCATGTCTCGCCGGTCTGGCATCAGGTCAAGTGGACGGGCAAGTCCATCGCCATCGAGGGCGACCACAACGTCGACCAGAAGTGGATCGCCCGTGTGCGTGGCGGCCCGTACACGTCGACGCCTGCGGCCGGTGCCACCAAGATCGTGCCCAGGTACATCATGGAGGGTGGCTGGGACGTCAACAGTCTTAACCGCGTAATGACCGAAGGAATGCTCATTGGTGCACTCAAGGATCACAACAACAAGCATCAATACGATGGACTTGTCCTGGAGGGAGTTGCCTCACACATGAAGTTCCACCTCGAGCTCAGGAACCTATTCATCGAGCGTCTACATGATGTATTCCACAAAGAGAACAGAGAGCTAATTGTCGTTATACCTGTATGTTGTTGGGTCTTGCTCGACTCTGCACCCATTCTTTCATTCATTAACAACTCTCCCAACAACAGCCACTACAAAGCACACAGATTACCGCTGAGGACGTGGCGCAGTTGGCACCATATGTTGATGGCTTCTCATTGATGACGTATGACTATGAACCAAGATCAGGAGTGTTGGCACCAATGCAATGGATTGAGGAGAACTTGCGATCCATTCAGACGGTGGCCGCACCATACATGTCCAAGGTGATGGTCGGACTGCCATTCTATGGATACACAGGCACGTATGGAGGCAGCCACGCCGCCATGGTTGGACACGAGTACACCAAGGTGCTTCAAACGTATCGTCCCAAGATGCAATGGGTGTCTGCACATCAACAGCACACATTCAACTATGTCGACGAGCAAGACCATCAGCGATGGGTATCATATCCAACATTGCTATTCATCGACAAGAGGCTAGCACTTGCCAAGCACTATGGATGTTCAATATCCATTTGGGAGATTGGCCAGGTATGTCCACCATTCCCATGGCCATATTCAATCATTCAATCTTTTCTTTCTTTCTTTATAATTATCTAATATCAAGTATCTTGTTTAACTAACATAACTTTGCACCTATATCCACATCCATTCATCAAACCAGGGCCTACCTTACTTCTATGACATGCTTTGAGTGTGATTGGATTGATCAAACACACACATACATGACAACAACGAAGATGGATGAGTGTATCTTTGATCATAATAAATATAACAATTAATATCCGACGAAGAACTGACCTGATGTTCTCTCGGACCTACAACGGGGGTCGGGAGCATTCCTCCGAAGCTTCCAATGGCCCCAAAATGATCATTTTGGATGATTTGATGTGAAATATCTTAATAAGTTGAGTGTGTGAATGTGAGGTGATGGTTTTGGCGTGGATGTGAATGATGACATTGATCATTGATTTGGTCCCATGGTCATGTCAAAGGGGGTCGTTTATTTGGTGCAATGGGTAAGGATAGGGAAGGGTACAACTCCATCCCCATCCCAACTTGGTGGGTAATGATGATAATTATAAACACACAATAGTCGGTATGGTATGTATGGTTTGATCATAACCTACTTCACCAATCATTTATAAAAGGTGTGTCAAGAATGATCATTTTCAATCATTATTCATAACACCAACCTTTGTTGTAAACATATACATACTTCCCAAGAATGAAGATTATCATCCTCTGTCTCTTGGTTCTGGTCGCTTTGACCTCAGCCAGATCTATCTCCAACCGTATGTATCTGGAACTATCCCATCCTCCCCACTCCGCACACTCACTCACACTCACTCAATCATTCCAATCAATCATTAGAGGAGAAGAAGTTCCTTAACTTCCAAACCAAGTACCAGAAGCAATACGCTTCATTTGAGTACAATGAGCGTTTCGAGATCTTCAAGACCAACCTTGCAAGAATCAACGAGTTGAACGCTTTGGCCAAGTCACTCAAGTCCTCTGCCAAGTTTGGCGTCAACGCCTTTGCTGATCTCTCCGTCGAGGAGTTCAGAGAGTACAACCTCAACGCCGTCGTTAGACCAGGTCGCCGTGCTGACGTCCCAGTCGCCCCAGAGATGGACGTCACCAACATGCCAGCCTCATTCGACTGGAGACCCAAGGGAGCCGTCACCCCAGTCAAGAACCAAGGTCAATGTGGTTCATGCTGGTCCTTCTCCACCACCGGAAACATTGAGGGTATGTATCACCATCATCATCTTTAATCGATTCGAGTTGGTTCACTCACTCACTCAATCAATCATATAACAGGTCAATGGTTCCTTGCTGGTAACACTCTTGTCGGTCTTTCCGAGCAGAACCTTGTGGACTGTGACCATCACTGCGCCACCTACGAGGGATTCTACAGCTGCGATGCTGGCTGCAATGGAGGTATGCAAGAGAATGCCATGGACTACATCATTGCCAACGGAGGCATTGACACCGAGGCTTCATACCCATACACCGCCGAGAATGGCACCTGCCACTTCAATCCATCCAACATTGGTGCCAAGATCTCCAACTGGACCTACGCCCCATCCAACGAGACTCAACTCGCTGCCTACCTCGCTGTCCACGGACCAATCTCCATCTCTGCCGACGCTGAGATGTGGCAGTTCTACATCTCTGGAGTCTTTGACTTGCCATGCGGTAAGAACTTGGACCACGCAATCTTGCTCGTAGGCTATGGAAGCCAGCAACTTCACGACCATTCCAAGGATATCTGGTTGGTCAAGAATTCCTGGGGTGCTGACTGGGGAGAGCAAGGATACATCTATTTGGAGCGTGGAATCGGCCAATGTGGAATGAACGAGTGGCCAATCAATGCCATCATCTAAACAACTTTATGAGTTACCAATAAACCATTGTCTACACTCACCAATCAAATTTCCGGGTACCTGGCTGGTCAAAAATTCTTGGGGAGCAGACTGGAGAGGAAGGATATGTAGTCCAACCAATGGTATCGTCAACAACTTCGGATCATTACCATCCATACCAACTTTCCAAACTTTGATTGACCAAGTCCATTCTGATCGTTGATCAAAGTACATTCCAGATGGCACTGTCGATGGAATCATTGTAGCAAAGAATCTAGTGTAGGAACCAGCAGCAATTGGACATGGAAGAGGGATGTCTGCATTATACAGTGGCTCATTCTGGTTCAGTATAGTGATAAATCCATACTTGAGAGTTATATGAACTGTACCGTCTGTAATGAGTGAAGTTGCGTTCATTTGTTGGGGACAAAGTCATTTCGATTGAGTTTGAAGCCATTGGTTGAGACAAGTTGGTCATAAACAGCATTGTTGACAAAGGTCCTTGATGACAGCTAGTTGGTACAGTGCAGACACGAATGGTTGAATGTGTAGAAGTAGACTATCTTGTAGGCCAACGACTATGCCGAGTTGATCATCATCTCCATCATCAGCAACAACATCATCTCGGTATGGAACGGTGTCTTGTTGTAGAGTGGTATTGGTTGAAATTTTTGTGTAGCCAGACTACCGACAGTCTGCTGAGCATACATCGGGAACCTGTTGGACGGGGAGCCTTCGAATTGGATTGCGCACATGTCTGCGGAACCAGCAGGGTTTGACCGACAGTGTTCCAGATGGGCCAAATTTCGATATTGTTGACATAGAATCTCACTTGGGGATTCTGGTTACTATCAGAGAGTGATCCATATTTGAAGATTAGAGGGTAGTTTGTCTCGGACTCCACTGGCAAGGGAAACTTCGAATGATCATCAATGTAGAAAAATCGGCCTTGGGACAAGTAGGAATTGCTCTCGGGTTCCAAAAGCAAGCTGAACGTTTGATTGACAAAGTGTCTATCCCAGTTATCCGCATCTGTATTGACAGAGTTTGAACAGTTGATTAGAAATATCAAAAGGATAAGGGTAATATATTTAAATATACTATAACCTTCCCTCACTTGGTGTGAATCTGTAATACAGATACACAGATTATCAGTCATTCATATTCAAACATTTAGATCATTGAAAATATACATATATTATAACTGACAGGATGTCATTGCCAAAACTGCCAGTACTAGTACAAAAGAGAATAATAGCGCTATTGATTAATTTGCACTATCGCTACAAGTTTTGGGTAGTGAATCTGTTTTGTTTATCAAAGAGATGGATCGTGATCATCACTGAGATACTCAGCCAACTCCACATCAACATTGGCTACAGGGTGTCGCTGAATTGCTCAGTCAAGAAAATTTACTGGCTCCTAAAGACGGCTGACAAGCGAAACACGTCTGGCGTCTCCAACATCCTTCGACGCTACCGGCTGGACATCTCTGGCCTCACCGACCTCACGTCCGAGGCCAAGGAACTGCTCACCACCATTAGTCTAGGCAACGTCACAGTGGTCCTCAACTCTACCACATCGGCCGAGTGTCTACAGCAAACCATCGAATGTCTCAACACGAACTGGCAAAGGAGGGTCACATCGCTTGCCTTTAAGCTACACATGGCATTTGATAATCCAATACTGGGTCTTATTCTGCCGATGATCAAGCCGCCGTCGCTACATCATAAATAAGGAGGAGGTCGATGCAATCACAACCAACAAGAAGAAGAAGAAGCAGCCCAGCAACTATGCCAATAATCTATTGGCACACAAGTACACGCTTACGGCTCTGCAGATGGCGTGTGGCAAGGACAATGTCGACCTGACTCTTCAATCATGGGCGTCGATCCTCTCGACCCTGTCCAACACATTGACACTGTTAGATATCAACTGTCACCGTATGGCCGACTTTACATTCCTGAACAAACTGCGAGCTCTACACAAGCTACGCATAGACTTTGAGGACGACTATGACATTTACGCTGGTGATTTGACGCACAACACAGTGCATCGCTTCGCCCAGGCCTATGCAGCCAACACTGTGATCAAGACGATCAAACTTGTCGTAAGGATTGGCATTAAAAATGCAGACATGATCGCATCCAATCCCAATCTGGAACTACTCGATGTGTGCTGGGATCAGCGGTTCGAAGCCACCAACACGACGCTCAGGCATATCAAGCTGTCGATCTATCGCTACACAGACAAGAACGTCTTTGACCGGTTACAGATGTTCAAGGCACTGAAAGCAATTGAGTATCCAGCCAAGACAATCTTTGTTGATAACGATTCAGTGTCGTCGGACGATGAATTGTAATAGAACACCCATATCTGTCGGTGCCCTGGCCACATTACCTCTGTCTTTTGAAAGTTGATGCGGCACTAGTCATTGGTGATCACTGACTGAGCGGACTGGATGGTTGGATTTGAGACGGTCAACAACCGCGTTGAGGATGGATCATGGATGAAAGAACACAATTTCCACCGCAGCATCGATATAGGTGGCATCGACTATTGGTCTTGGTGCAAATAAATGACCAGCATCCGATCAACAACCATCATAAGATTGATCGAATAAATGTATATTGCTTATTATTATTACACAATATTTGATTGACAAATAAGTTTAGAACTCCAGGAAGAAGTAATTTGACCTATCTTGGTACTCAATGTTAACCAGTGCCTTAGTAGCAGTCTCTCGACAAGTCACTTCTAACACTCGAGTCCAATCAAATTCAAAAAGTGGCGCCCCTTTTAATTACTTCACACAGAGCAAGCAAGAAAGTAGTAGATAGAGATAAAGGTAATAAACAATGTATACCGGTGCGCCAATAGCAAGAGTATCACAATTCAACCAAGTCAGTAGGTTGGTATTATATGTATGTTATAAACAACTTGTTTCTGATCAATCAATCAATCAACTTACTGACCGACACATCACTCAACAGAGACATGTTGGATCACTGATGGTATGGGGACTGCCTGATTGTGGAAAGATGACAACTATTGTTAGAGCATTGGATGATCAAAGGGCTGTATATTGTCAAGTTGATTGTCGCATTCATGTCGGTCTATCATCATTATTTGGTGCAATATATCATTCATTGAAACTGCCACCATCGATCAATAGCGCCAGCAGTCCTGCGCCCAATACACCTCTTTCAGCTGCCGATATAAACAAGCATTATAATCTCGTTGGTATACATAACAATACCATACAGCAACAGAGGTCTGAACCTGTTATTTCAACAGCGACCTCCTGTCCAACGATCGTCGAACTGTTCAAGCTACTCTCTGAAAAGGTCAAGCGTATGACTACACGAGTGTTGGTCGAAGACGATGATCAAGAGAATGACACTGTCATACATATTGTGTTGGACAATGTTGACTCTATCCACAGGCTGGACCCATTCCTCTTTCAAACATTGCTACGCATACACGAGATGACCGACATCCCCGTGTGTATATTCATGGTCAGCGAGTTGCCTTTAGAGAAGATCATCCCAATACAACAAGTACCTGGTGCACGCTCTCCAATCACCATTCACTTTCCTCAATATACATCAGGTAATTTAAGTACTCGAGTCATCTTGCTCTCACTTTGTCTGACCCTCGATCACGCCGCCACTTACCAATGATCAGACGAGCTTAATGCGATTCTAGTTTCATACATCCCTCAAGGCAGTCTAAAGGACTCAATACCAATGTACAATCACCTGGTCACCATTGTCTTGGATACATTCTATCAACATGTCAGGAATGTACTACTTCTGATACATATCCTTCATACATTGTTCCCTCTCTATATACACCCTGTGTTCACTAGAGGAGTGTCGCAAACTGATTGGACAAGTCTCTATATGAACATCAATCCAGTACTTCAAACATTCCTCAACAATGTATATCAACGCGATAAGATCAGACTTGTCAGAAATAACGAGGATGACCAAAGACCAAACGACATGTCTGACGTTGGACTGCCCTATCACTCAAAGTGCATCCTGATTGCTGGCTTTATGGCTTCCACTTTCACTCAAAAGAATGACAAGTTATTGTACACAAAGAGCAATGTTAAGAGAGTTGGTGGAGTAGAGAAGGTATAGTATTGAAGGTGTTCCAGGTTCAAACAAGGCTGGACAATCACTAATACTTTGTTTGGCGCCACTATTAGAAAACTGGACCCAAGTTCTTTGAAGCAGACAGAATGATTGCTATCCTATTTTCCCTGTTTCCAGAGTTGAAGCCAAACCTCAAGGACTCTGTACAACTTAGTACGGCGATTCATTCATTGGTATCATTGAGATACTTTGACGCACAAACAGGTTTGGATGCAAAGTTCCGATGTAATGCCACATACGAGAGCATCAAGTTGCTCAGCGTATCCATCGGATTCAATCTTGACACCTACTTCAACAATGCAGAGTTTACAGCTTAAACTTAAACTTCATACTATTATTGTGCGCACATGACAACCATTGGATATCCTTCGATTTATTATGCTGTCTAATTAACATCCAACTCATGCTTCATCTTCTCAAATTGAACTGGAAGTTATGGTATTAAGGGTTAGTCCATCGATGTCAACACTATCATCATCATCATGATCATTCAATCAATCCAAACTTACTCTCTAGTTGCTCTTGTAGACCTCCCATCTCTTGTGAACACACTCTTGAATGAATGGATAGACAACGCCTTAGGATGGTCACTTGGGTGTTGAGCGCTTGTTTCAGCTTGTCGACAGATTCCTTCATTTCTCGGTTCTCTATGAGGTAGTCGGGTGAGAAGAACACCTTCTTGTACATGTTGACGCCTCCATTGACGGCTGCGTCGATCACTCCCTTGAGAACCATGGTGAAGGGACTCAGGTTGGCCTCCACGCCATTCTCGTGCTTGGTGCTCATCTCCATCAGCTCGTTGTTCTTTCCAATCACTGTATTGACTGCATTGTCTATTGGTGACAGGTTCACCTCGTATCGCTTGATGATCTCGGAGCGACGGTGGATCGTTGGGAACGTGTCCTTGATGATAAAGTAGTTGTTGATGATCCAGAGGTCGGCAAACTCGTTCATTGGCGGTGTGGAGGCGTCCTTGCTCTTTTTGATGGGCTTGGAATAGATGAATGTGTTGATGTTGTTGTGTTGGCGATACTTTTGAACGGCGGCTGGTATTGGCTTGCCGCTGGACAAAAAGTTGGTTTGTTTGGACTTGTCGGCCTCGATCGGCGCCGACTTGACGGCGTAGATCTGAAGATACTGGCAGGCGGAGTTGAGAATTTCTGCCGAGGGTGCTTCAGTGTTGGTCAGCATGATGGCTGACGGGAACTTGGACTGGATCCTCTGGACAAAGTCAGTCATACGCTCCAACTCGAAGCCCTTGTAAATGAACTCCTTGCCCTGGATGCTGGCGTCGAAGCCCTTGCCATAGTAGCCGACCCTGAAGTACTCGCAGAAGAATCTCTCCACTCCGATGATCTTTCGATAGAATGTCGATTGTTGTTGGAGGATATCGGCCAGCTTCTGATAGTCGCACAACTCCTCCTCATACTGTACAATGAGCTGCTTCATCAGTGTGATGGCGCGCTCCCATGCCTTGCCCTTGTCAAAGTACTCGATCGCCTGCTTGTACAGTCGTTCCCTCCTCTCTCGCTGTGTCTGTGCACGTTGGGTATTGGTCTCGTCCACCTCCTCGACGGGCGCATCCGTCCACTGAAGTAGGTCAGCGTGGAGCAACAGTGTGTTTCCAGCCTCGGTATAGTTGTTGTTGGACAGATGTTGATTGCATAGTAGATGGACGTACTTGATGTATGTATCGCGTCTGTCTGTCTGCTTCAAATATGCCATCAGTTGCATGGCGGCAATAGTACGATCGTCTTCATATTCTGGTCTATCTGGCAATGTTCTCAAAGCATACAGTAGCTCCAAGAACATAGTCATATCCTTGATAAACACCTTGCCGGGCTCCCTTATCAGGCTCTCAGAGTTCATCTTCTCCTCAAGACTAGAGTGATGATGGATGGTAGAGTTAGATCATTGTGATGGTTGGATTGATTGAGTGAATGTATACATACTTTGTTGAGAAGAACACTCTGACCTTCTCATCGAGAACTTCTGCCGCGTCAGTGTTTGTGATCTTGTCCAAAGTGTTGATTGTCTCCATCTCAACTTCTTTGAATGACCTGTGCTCGCGGTACTCACACCTCAGGAGTTGGAAGTACAGCGTGATACCAAGCTGCTTGAGGTTGGGCTGGTTGATCAATATGAGTTCGAGGAATGGTCCAATGACAGTTGGAAGCAGCTTGATCTGGTACTTCTCCAATGACTCCCACATCTTTTGTGTCGTGACAATGAGGTCGTTACGCATATCACCATAGCGTGACTTGATGTTGCGTTGTTTGACCTCGGAGAAGTTCTCGAGGGCCAGACCCTTGAGCTTAAAGTAGGTGTTGGAAATGGTGAAGAAGGCCGACCACAGATCAAAGTCGATTGGTGCCGAGTCGTGTGAGTTGGCACGTTTGAGCAGGTACTTGCTGATCTGATTGATGGTCTTCTTGACGGTGGTGTACTGGAACATGGTGAGTGTGAACCAGTTCTCGGGGTAGGTGGCCGACGCCGATGCCAACAGGGAGTTGAGCACCAGGAGCAGGTCATAGATGAACTTGAGACAGATGTCTGGGTTGGCAATGATGAAGCCATCAAAGTGTGTCGAGTCCATCAGATGCAGGATACTGTAGAGGTTGTGTACCATGTCCAGACGCGAGATGTCGTTCGTATTGTATGATTGGATCGAGCGGACGATGGCCGGCAGGAGGTCGACCAGCTCCCATATGCGCGAGGGGTCCTTCAGCTTGGACTGGATTGTATCGATCAGCACCGAGATGATCTCGGCCTGCTTCATCACGTCGTCGAGTGTGAGCGAAGATGAGGACATGTGCATCTTGAGATGCTTCTTGACTGTGCCGAGTAGGAGTGTGCGCGACGCTGGCTGGAGGAACAGGTCGCCCTCAGCCAGGCTGTGGATGACGTTCATCTTCTCCATGTTGAGCAGACGCAGCGACTCGTCAAAGCGCACGCTGTCAATGAAGCGCTTGGCAATCTCGCAACGCTCCTCCACCGTAAACAGCTGACCCAGGTCGATGAACATCGATGAGAATGTCTTGAGGGCGATGGTTTGAGCGCCAATGTACTCGCGCTCGGTACGCTCCATCAGCTTGGAGAGAGCGTTGAACACGCTGGTCAGGTCATCCTTGAACGATGTGTTCACTGCGCCACTGGGTCGAACGCTGTGATCGTAGTTGAGCTTGCTGGTCACCACGAACTTGAGCACATACTCCATGGACTTGAGCGATGACATTAGCGTCTTGAAGTTGGCATTGGACAAACTGCGCTTCAAACTGCCAATGAGCAGATTGTGCGCCACTGTTGAGGTGAAGTGTCGCTCGATGTAAATGTCGAGCACGGGTCGGAAGTTGGTGTAACGTGAGGTCTTCTCGTCTACCAGCAGGCCAATGATCCATGTGATCACATTGAACACCAAGTCAGGATCGGCCACACGCTTTGTCTCCAGGATGGCAAACAATGCATTGAATGTCTCCTGCATGAACTTGATAATCTCCAACTGATCGACGAATGTGAATCGATTCAGTACCTCTGCCAGGTCGCCTGTGTACTTGTCCCATTTCAGCAATGTGAGCAATGAAACTGGTTGATTTGATTGATTGATCGTTAGAGTTAGTCAGTGAGTGGGCGAGTGGGAATCATGATGCATGACTTACGATTCTGTGTGCACATCGTTGAGCACAGGAGTATCCTGACCTTGGTCTGTTCACCCTTGCGGACATTGTTCTTGTTGTTTGGATCGATCTGTGATGGAACCAACTCGTCAATGGTCTTGGTGGTCTTGCAACTGATCAGTGAATGTGACTTGTTGGCAATGACCGTGCCATCTGGATTGGTGAGCTTAAGAATAGATACCGCGAATGGTACTCTTTCCTTGGCTGTTTGATTGGATGTTTGATTGGTGAGTGGATTGCATCACATCATTGCTATCAATTGGGCTGACTTACTCTCTGATGTTGTACAATGCCTGATGGAGAAGACGAGGTATACTTGGCTGAGGATGGTAAGGGGTACGTTGACACGAACGGTCTCTGCCCAGTGTGGCTGATTGGAATGATAGAATACAATGGTCCTGTACTCTGAAAGTTGTTTGTCGCCATTGAACATGCAGTCCTTGACCAGGTCGCCATTTTCCAGTCGTGCCTGCACCACGATCTCCACATTCTTGGCGCTGGTCTTGCGATCCTGTGAATACTCGCCACTCTCAATCGTGAAGTACAGGTCGTTCCTGGTGTCGCCTGGATAGATGACCTCGGGGAAGCCCAGCTTGTTGGTGAGGGCCACCTCCTCAAGCACAGGGTTCTCCTTGATCACCTGACTGAGCTCGCCAGGCAGCAGGGTGAGGCCCACGCACACACCCTTGGCCTTGGGCACCTGTGGCATGTTGGCCGGGTTCTTGATGATCATCTCGTGAATGTTGGAAAAGTTGGACTCTTGATTGGTTGTGTAGATGGGTATCGTGTGCTCAGTCTCCTTGCCCGCGGCGATGTTATCTTCGATGCGCAACACGGCGCAGCCAAATGGGCGTCGGTAGAGGATGGGACCAGCCTTCTTGCTCGAGTCGGTGAGCATCTTGCCCTTGCGGATCAGCCGGCACACCAGGTAGATGTCCATCTGCAGCTCCTTCTTGCTGATGTTGATGAAAAGTGTGGACATCTTGCCGATGGACTCGACGTCGTGGGGCATGCCCTGCGCCGTCATGCCCACCTGGTACTCCTCCGTGATGAACCGGCCCTCCGTCTTGTTGTATATCGAGAAGAGCAGCTCGGACTGCTCGCCCACCAGACACATGAATATCTTTAGATCCAGGAAGATGTGGAACTGTTGCTGTTGCTGTTGTTGGAGTGAGGCCACGGCTGCGGCCGATGCGATAGACACGCCTGCGCCCGAGTCTGACGACTCGCGCTTCAATATCAACATCGACTTGCGGTGATGTTGTTGCAGTGGTGGCATCTGTGAGTGTCTAATATGTGACATCCTCTTGGCCACCATTGGCGGCACGGACGACAGCGAGTTTGAGCTGTCTGATCTATTCACGAACGTTTGTTGCATACTACGCTGTACGTAGTTTGATGACTTTGATGTGTCCAACTCTTGATGCTGTGGGCAAGTGATGTCAGTATGTCGTCAACGCCCACGTCCAACATCGACAAACATACCATGCGATAGAGTTGGATGATTCCTGTGTTGCCCTCGTGTGCGGGCTCGCCAGTGGGCGTGCGGACGATCATGTCCAGTCCCATTAGACGACGACCTTCTTCAATCTTGGAGATCACCTTGTCCTTGAGCATCTCTCGCACCTCGAGTGTGAGGGACGGCGAAAGGATCTTGGTGTGCCAATCGATCAACAAAGACAGGCGGTCCTTCATTATGCGGTACTCTGACCTCCTTCGCTCCTTGTAATAGTTCATCAGCAAGAGACCCCACTCTCTAATGACCTGTGCCAGTTCGTTGGTGACGACATCGAATGATTCCTGTTGTGAGCTCTTATTGATTATCACATAGTTTGCTGGTACTATTCCCCTTCGCTGACTGCCATCCAATGCGCTGATCACAACGCCCTTATACCAATTATTCGTCATCTCATCGACCTTTATCGAGTCTCCTACCTTCATCGCAACCTGATGTTCTCCATTTGGTGTGAATGTATGTATAGCTATAACATGGCGCAATGTCGGTCAGTCAGATGACTGCGACCAAGCTATGTTCATTCATTCATTCCAAACTTACCCGTTGCAACAATGTCGCGAACAGGCTTCCATGTTGATGAAGCGTTTGTGAATAGTCTTGACATTTGATTATATGTCTTATTGATTGGTTGACTGATTGACTGATTGTGTTTGGTTGATTGACTGGTTGATTGATTGTTTGTTGTCCAGTCAATCTGTCTTTGCACGACGACACTCTCACTGCACAATCAAATATGTAAGCTCGCAAGTATAAACTACGTCGTCAAATGTGATCTTTGCTTTTCAATCGATCGATCGACCAATCAATATATATATCTATCTGATTTATGTGAAAATAGTATTACAACAAGTATGTATATATATCTAAAGTATGTTAAGTAAGTGAAGTGAGTATGAATAAGTGAAGTGGTAACAGTGTTGTTCGAATGAATACTCGAGTGTGTGTTTGAGTGTTTGTGTGAGATTGAATGAATGATCAATGAACTCACACTTCACTAAGTTGATGCAAATCAATCAACCAATCACTGAGATGATAATAATAATAATTGTTTGGAGATGGTCTCCAAACATACACGTTTGGTCGTGATCACTGTTGCCTCGATGGTGTCATCACTAAAGAATATCTAAAAACTATCTTGATCATCAACAGTGTGTTTGCGGGGGTAAAGTAAAATTGATTCATTTTGGTAAAAGACTTTGATCAGAATGCCCGATAATCATCAATTTCCTTTTTCAGTGAAACCAATAATAATACACGAGTGAGACAGATAGTTATAAATATATTAATATACATGTAAATATATTATTAAAGGGATATATCGTACTCGTTTGATCTAAACATAAGTAAGTAATACAAGTGAGTTGGACATGGGGATCACAGATGTGGAACACCAATCTGAAGATGCTTGTTGTCTCGATACTCGATGGCAATGTCGATGGCACTCTTGAGCTGGTTCATTCGGAATGGCTTGGAGATGAAGTGGTTCATACCATTGTCAAAGCATCGCTTCTTGTCCGTGGACATGGTGTTGGCCGTGAGACCACAGATGAAGATGGGCAGACGGTCGGGCCACTTGCCACACGACTCCATCTGACGGATGGTGTACGAGCAGCGCAGGCCGTCCAGGATGGGCATCTGGAAGTCCATGAAGATCAAGTCGTACGCCTGCTTCTCCAACAGGACGAGCACTTCGTTGCCATTGGAAGCGACGTCGGCCTTAATGCCGATCTTCTCCAGGAACTTGACGGCCACGCGCTGGTTGATCATGTTGTCCTCAGCCACCAGCACACGGATGTTGCTCTCGCCACCGTTGCCGCCTTGGTTGTACATGCGATGCTGATCGGCGCCGTTGGGATGGAGCGCCGCCACATCGCCACCGGTCAGGGGCAAGATGAACCAGAAGGTTGAGCCACCGCCTTGTTCAGGTCGGTTGTTGTAGACACCAATCTCGCCACGCATTAGCTTAACGAGCTTGGCGCAGAGGTAGAGGCCCAGGCCACTGCCACCGTACTTTCGGCTGTCTGATGGGTCGGCTTGGACGAATGCTTCGAATATCTTTTGGTGTGACTCTGGTGGCACTCCAATACCAGTGTCCTGGACTCTGAAGCAGACACTATGTTCGCCCTGTCTGAACGATATCTTCTCGCTATCGTCTTCGATCAAGTCTATTATAATCTTTACATTGCCCTCTGGTGTGCTAGGGTGAGAGGGAAGGAGGGAGGGATGTTAGTGACCGTCACATGATCAGTCGCATGATAGACTACTTACAACTTCAAAGCATTGCCAGTCAGGTTCATTAACACTTGGAGTATCCTGCCAGTGTCGCCGCAGAGTACGCTTGGGACGCGGTCAGACACCTCGTAGAAGAGTGAGAGGTTGCGCTCTTTGGCTTGGCCGGAGAGCACTTGGCAGATCTCGTGGGCGAGCTCGCCTGGGACGAATGGGATGTTCTCGACGACCATCTGATTGGCCTCGAGCTTGGAAAGGTCGAGAATGTCGTTGACCAGTCGGAGCAGGATGTCGCCACACGACTTGACCGACTTGGCCATTTGCTTCTCTTCGGGTGGCAACGCCATTGAGTCTCGCAGTAGCGTTGCCATGCCGATCAGTCCATTGAGTGGTGTTCTAATCTCGTGGCTCATTGTAGCGAGGAACTCCTGGCGAGCTTGATACGCCTCGACGGCGGCATCCTTGGCCAGGGTCAGCTGCTGGTTCTTTAGTTTGGTCTCGCGGTGCGCTTCATCGATAAAGTATTGGTAGCACAGCGTGAAGGACATTGTGATCAGCACCAAGGTGACATCGATAATGAAGTTCATGTGAGAGCGGATGGTGATCGTAGGGATGCCATCGACATATTCGTAGCCGGCAAGGTTGGCAACAAAGAATAGCAGAAGAATGAAGAGGACTACCAATGACCACTGTACCGACGCGCGTCGACCGATGACCAATGCAGACACGATTGGCAGTGTGCTCATGAGAAGCCGCAGCGTGCTCTGATGTCCACCAGTGTAGTATGAGTTCATTGTAAGTGCAAAGCATAGTGTGAAGCACAGCATATGTCCAGGGTAATGAGTTGAGCCTGTCTTGCGCAGTACCCAAAGCGATGAGATTGACATTGGCAATGATAGTATTGCCATTATAGCTGGTTCAGTGAGTCCTATTGATTGATTGATTGAGTGTTAGCCCATGGGACCACGACACATGATCGATCGATGTACACATACCTGAGAGCCAGAAGAATATGATCCATGAAGGGATGAAGCTAAAGACAGTGAGACAGAAGCCAATGCATAGCTTTGCTTTGTACTTGTCTTGTGGTGGTATTTGTGAGTTCTGAAGGATGAAGTTGCAGAGGATGTTGAAGAGTGTGTAGAAGCGACTGCTTTCGTCGGCCATTGGTTGGTGATGGATGATTTGTTCCTCGACCCGCGTGTCCTTGTTGGGCAGTGTATATGTCTTTTTGAAGCATGGCGACGGCAGATGAATGGTGCCGCTCTTTGAGAATGAGGGCGCGGCCCCAGTCTGGTCAATCAGATAGTCGGACTGTAGTGCTTGGACATGATGTGGCGGCAGTATATTGTTACCAGTCAATGGAAGTTGTGCAGATGTAGTATAAGTAGTCGTCGTTGTAGTTGTTGTCGTCGTCGTCAACAAAGTGGTAGTATTATTATTATTATTATTGCTGTTGCTGGTGGAGTTGTTATTGTTCCTCTTTTGTGATATCATATTATTTAGGAAGGTGTTCTGCTTCCTGTATTCATATAGGTCATCTGTCTCGAAGCATACTGTTGTTGTTGTTGCTGATGTTGTTAGTGTCTGTTGATCAATGCATGATGTCTACGACCACATACCATTAGACTTTGATCGGAAGTAGTTCTGTATTGAATGGTACATGTTGAGACATGAGTCTTTGATTGAGGTGTAGCCAGTACTATTATTACTGGAGGGTTTGGAACTCCTGCCACCTGTCATTGGTGAGTGGACTGTTGCGCCACTACCATCATAGTTTGAAGCATTGACTACACTATTATTATTATGTATATTGTTGTTGTTGATACTGCTGCTGTTTGAGTTTGAAAAGACCGAGTCGGACACGCCAGAGTATGTGGAGGTCAGGTCGGACGATGTTGAGTTGAACAGATTGATGACATGCTTTGGCTTGGTCGGAAGGAATGTGGACAGTGGTGATGTTTGTGTCGTTGGCGAGGATCTAAAATTCCTCTTATAAGGCATTGCTGCTGTTCCTGTTCCCAATCCCCTTGCACCTGTTATATTTAATGCTCTATCTGTTGTAATGGGCAGTGGCAATACTGATATCATTGGATCAATGGAGTGCAATTGAATTGAATGGAATGGAATGTTGTGGAATGGTATTGAATGGAATTGGAAGTGTGAAGTTGATTGATTGTTTGATTGATTGATGATTCGGAATCTATATATCCATATTAATGTCTGTTATTATTACTATTCTATCTATGTTTCTTTATCTCTGTATCTCTCTCTATCTGTTTGGTTGTACATTCATTATGAACACAAGTAGGTTAGGAGTGGTTCAAGTCAGGAGGATGTCTATGTGCGTTGTTGCAACTGTTGGACATTGAATGGTAAGTGTGATGTGTTGTTGTGTTTGTGTTGTTGTGCTTGATGAATGAACAAAGGTGAGTGAGAGCGTGGTGTGTGAGCAAGAAGAGAGAGATGTAGATGTTTGTTTATGAATGGTGTTGTTGTTGCGAGATAAGATGTGGAGTGAGAGAAATGAATGATGGATGGATTGACTTGGAGTGTCCAATAGTCTGAGTTGTTGTTGGACAACACACACTAATACCTGTTGACAGGCTTGATTGGAAGAGCTATCATATTATATCATGTGATTGCTTAGTTTGGGTGTATCACCCAAAACACAAAACGTCGCTCAAGATGGTGTTGTTTCGAGTGTGTGAGAGTGAGGAAGGACCACTTGTCCAATGGTCAACAAAAAGTAAGTTGTTTGGTTGGTTATTGTTAGGTGTACTAACATATGATAGGATAGGTGACAATGAGAACGAGAGAGAATGAGATCCTACTTTAGAAATGGTATTCTTAATCTATAATATATCTGTCTTATTCAAACTGGAGTGTGTTTGTGTATGAGTTTGGATTGAATGATTGATCGCCTGTTTGTATGTTGAGTTGGTTGACGCTGGAAATTGATTGATCATAAATATATATATATATATATTATCGCATCATTATAAATCAATCAATCAATTAATTAATTAATCAATCAATCAATCAAATAATGAATGAATGAATGAATGAAGTTGGACTGGTATTGTGATCGATTTAATGGTCGGTCGGCAAGTCGGCATAGTGGTGATGATGATTAATGTAGGCTGTGGACAACATTGAAGTTATATGAGTATTGTCGCAGTCTACTTACTTCTCCACTCTCATTCATTCATTCATTCATTCACACGCGTCGACACTGAATAACAAGGGTGGCAGATGAAGGGATATGCTGTCGATGAATGAGAGAGGGAGAGAGTGGATGTGACTGACAGACAGATGTAAATAGATTAATGGAGACAGAACCTTTGGCGCGTTCATCTGTGTCTGGCTGCACTTTGGTTGGGGTTCCATCCGCCAAACCATGAATGGAAGTAGGCAACAGGCTTGCCTGCCAGGCAGCCAAGGTCACCTTCCATCCATCCATCCATCACCAACGACTTGATCGATGATTGATAGATGTCCGAACGTCAGTCAGTAAGTCAGTTGTGTCTGCCGGTGTGTGTGAGAGTGTGTGTGTGTTGGGTGAATGGCTGGACTGGCTGGTTGATGGTGGAAAGGTGATCAATCACCTGACATTACTGACTGACGTGATGATATATATAATTTAAATATATATATTATATTAATTACCTTGCTTTAAATAACCAACATAATAGGTGTTGATTTACAACAAGCTAAACAAATAAACAACATACAACAATATGATGTTGGAAGCATCCAGTAATCAATCAATCATCCATCCATCCGTCCGTCCTTTCAACTGGCGGCACTCCACTCCGTACTCTCTCACCATCACTCACTCACTCAATCATTCTCTCACACTCACCAATCATTAATGCAAGCATAGATTAAATCTGTTGTTCAACCTCTATTACTCTCTCTTTGTATGTTTATTGGTTGTCTCTTTGTGTATGTGTGTGTGTGTGTGTGTGTGTGATTGTTTGATTGTGTGTGGGAGTGTGGTTCAACACACTCTCTCATCAGCTGATCATGATGATCCTGCCACAAGCTGAGTGGTTGATTTACAACTTGGGATGGAAGTGTGTGTAATTAAATCAGTGTGGTTAGTGATGACTCGGATCATTAATACACACACACACACTCATATTACTTTGTTATTATTGTTGTGCCCGTCACCTTTAGGAGGGGAGAGAGTGGTAGGGCTTGTGGATCTGTTCTTATTGGTATGATCGACATCTGCAGATGGATGGATGTACCCCTACCCCACCAACCCCAACAATCAATTGATGGTTTACGGCCAAGAATCTGTTCATATGCCCGATACATATATATATTGTTATGTTTATGCGTAGATCATCTTGGAGGATACTTGCACAATGATCATCCAATAATCATCATTGGTGAGCTCTCAACTCACTCATTACCTTGTTATTGTAAGTTGGTCACGTGACCCCCATTAACCAGATCAAAACAATCTATGGTCATTGTACAATGAACAAGTTGAACATGGCCCTGACTACAAAGATTCAATCAATTCCCCCAAGTCCTTAAGGACGTAGACGAGTCTTTGAGACTATTGTGTGATTCTTTCTCCCTTTGTCGTCGGGTTCCTTACAACCATTTAATGAATGATTAGATTAGAAATAGGTATGTACAGTGTTTGAGTGAGAGTGAGAGAAAGGACTCTTCTTGATCATGACCATGTTAATGATCAGCTGATCATGATGGGTGTGTAGGTGTGGTCGTCATCCTTGTCGTTGGACCATAAATATTGGATTGAGTTGAGTTGAGTTGAGTTTGTGGTGGCTGAGGTTGAGTTTGAGTTGTGGGTGATTGATGGATTGGAAAAAAGGTTGATTGATTGATTGATGGATTGAGTTGATTGAATGATATTACATGAGGATTGCTTCGTTGACCTCTTGCTCGAGCTTGGCTAGAATGCCCTCGAGGTCTTGCATTGTCTCCAAATGTTGTGGATTGTTGCCAGTGTTGACGTCCTCCCACATGTCTTCCTTTTGTTTGATAAGCTGTCGGTAGAGACAGGCCAGCTCCTTCTCTAGCGAGATGGGGTTGACCAACTCGGCACGAGCCAGCGTGTTGTGCTGGTCGCCCACTGACGTCGCCGCCACTGGTGATGCCAGACTGTCGATGAATGTCTTCATGTTGTCCATGTTGTCGACGAGGAATCGGTTCATGTCCTTCATAAAGTCCTCCTTGCAGTCGCTGACCTCCACAAGATTGGCCAGATTCTGCAGCGTCTTGGCGATGAGGATCAGCGTACGCGTGGTCTTCATGCCTGGATGATCGGGCATCAGTTCAAACAGCTTGGGTGCCAGGATCGATGGGCAGAAGAAGCGCAGGAATATGAAGCCGCTGACGGCAGTGTAGCGCGTGACCTCGTCGCTTGGGTATCTCTGGCGTACCTTGGTCTGGATCGCACGGAACACCTGACGCAGGGGCTCAGGACAGCGCTCGGCCGAGCCCATAATGGCAGAGGCCATCTTCTTTACAAAGCTGAGCAGGTTGCGGCAGTTCTTCTTGATGTCCTCGCCCTTTTCCAGCTTGGTCGGGTCGATCTCGCACGACTTCTTTGACACATAGATCTTCTTGATCAGTGGGCCAATCGTCGACGCCAGGTACGGCAGGCCGATCAGCTTCATGTACAGATCAACGCTCTTTGTCGCCAACGAGTTGCCACGGAAGATGATGTCGGGGTTGTCCGTCGAGTCGATCTCCTGCTCGGTCAGACGTCGTAGCAGGTCGGCGCAACGGTCCGTCTTCTCAAACACACGTATCAGGATGTTGGCAATGGTCTCGCGCTGCTTGCTAATGTTGCCCAGGATGTTGATCACTGACATCTCGTCGTCTTGAATGAACTCGAGCAGCGGGCCGTACGACTTGAGCGGCAGCACCACCTCTTCCGAGTACTTGAGCTTGAGACGAACATCGCCCAGTCGGTTCTCCACCGTCTGGTTGGGATACAGGCATATCCAAACGTCCGATGGCTTCTCCGTATCGATGTGTGACGCTATGATGCTGCCCATGCCCAGGACGACGGGCTCCCATCCGGCTGGGGCCTGCGATGCGCCTGTGCTATCTGTCGATGATGTGAGCAGTGCTGATCCTTGGCTTTCAGACGAGCCGCTGCTCGTCATCATGCTGCCGCTGCTGCTGCCGCCACTCGTTGACGATGCCTGCAGAGTGGCGGGTGGAGGGAAGCTTGACTTGAAGCTTGGGAGGGGAGGTGACTTCGATGCGCTAGAGAAAGAGCGTGACTTGTTGTCTGGTGTCAGCTTGGCCAGTTCGTGGATGTTGGTCGATGATCGACTTCGGCTTTGTGGTGAGAGGGCGGCCGCAGAGTTGTTGGGCGCCTCAGTCTTGGGCTCATTGCGCCACACTATAAAGTTGATGCAATCTATCGCTTCGCTCAACACTTGCTCGACACCTGTAGTCGATGCCTTCTGCCATGACACTCCCTCTTCCTCCACAATGATGCCTCCCTTCTTTGATCGCACGCTCCAATTGATAAATGGTGCGCCCAAGTCTGCTCCATTAGTGCTTCCATTAATAGGTGTTGTCGAATGGCTTGATATATTCTTTCCAAATAGCACTTTGTGATCGATTGATTGATTGAGTGAGTGATTGAGTAAGTGATTGAGCGAGCGATGGAGTGATCCCATCACATAACATATACATACCCTTCCATTTGATGTGACCTGGTGTTGTTGGGTCTGTCAGGGAGATTGGTTTGAAGTCTACGCGTATCTGTAGTTGAGGTACCTTCTTTGTGCAGTTGGGTGCTTGCAAGGGGAACCAGAGCTCGCGCTCCTTCTGATCTTTCAAGATATTGATTGGTATTACAATCTTGCCAATGACCTCATCGTTCGAGTACTTCTTCTCATCAATGATCGACACTGTCATCTTGTCTGCGTTTGGATCCTGTGCCTCCCTGTTCATATCGTGCGCGAAGTTGTTAATAAGTGAGTCACAAGTCATCATCGTCGCGTCTACGTACATTGTGAACTCCTCACACCAGAATGGATTCAACTTCTTGGGAATGGTCCTGGTGCGATGTCTTTGTTTGTCGAGCTGAACGACGCAGTAAGGGTCGGTGGTGTCGGAGAACTGCATGAGGTTGGGCGACGAGATCTCGGTGAGGAGACTCTGCGCACGTTTGAATGACTTGTTGTTGTTGTTCTTGGTCTGCTCCTTCTTGCGCAGACGTGCTTCGAGCAGGCCGCGCGCCTCAAACACCTTGACGACAATGCTGCAGTCGCGTGTCTTGAACTGCTGATTGAACAACGAGTCACGTGATGGTGACGCCGTGATGAAGCTGGCGGCGGGCGGTGTTGACGACTCGCCCGCACCCATCGGTGAGGATGCCGGTGAGTTGATTGCTCGCGGTGATGATTCATGTGATGTATCATATGATGTTCTCGTCTGATCCACCATCAACGAGCCCGAAGCCATATCTGCCAATGCTCGAGCCTGTTGTTGATTACAATCAATATCGTCCATGTGCAATGCAATCACTTGATTCTCGAGTGTGATTCTGTAATATTATATAATTATATATGTATTATTATATATATATATATATGTTAGAGATATATAGTATGTATTTGTAAGATTAGTAAGTTGTGATTGATGGGTTTAGATGAGAAAGTGAGAGGCACAGTTGTTGGTCGTCGCGCGCGTGAATATGTGAGTGTTTGAATCCCTGTGTGCGTGGGGTGAGATCGACAAACACGAAATGGCACTCAAGGTCACCCCTGTGCCTTGATGAGGGCTTTGGGTACTTTGCTCGACAATGATCATTTGGAGACTTTCCTATTGGATAATATGGAATAAGCCAACCAACCAAACAATCAACCAAACAAACAAACAATGTCGTAAGTCATATAAAGATGGATGATCATTCGACAACAACATGATGAAAAATATCACACGATGATATTGACATCTGCGACCTGAGTTACATTTCCCCACCACGATGTAATGGATAGATATGTAGATATGTTGTGTTTGGAATTTAAGAGAGATACTTACGATGCGGTCATTATAAATATAATGTGATTGATTCGAAGATGATGAGATTCCTGCTTCCAAGACTTGAATTGAATTGTGGAATCTATCTATTGTTTGTCCAGTTGCAAACGTGGTGTCTGTTTGTCTGTCTGTCTGTCTAATGTCCAATCAATTACTGTTGTTGTTGTTGTTATTGGCGTGATGTGTAGTAGTTGTTGTTTTAAACAAAATAAATCAAGTTGTTGGATTGATTGATTGATTGATTGATTGGATGATTGGATGATTGATTGATGGTGACACTTAAGTGTTAATAAGGTTGATGATCAATCAATCACAATATCATATGCGCTGCGCGTCTTGTGTATTATGTGGGTGGTGGTTGGGGTTGGGTGCGAGTGTGATTGCTTGATTGATTGATTGTTGGGATTGGGATGAATGGAATGGTTGTAATATTGATATAACCGAACTTTATAAATCACTCTGCAAGAGATTGATATGTATGTATTATGTGTATGAATGATTGAATGAGTGAATCGAGTGAGTGAAGAGATGGATGTATGTATGGCACACAACCAATAATGATTGATTGATTGATTGAGCGATAGATAGGTAGATAGAGAGAGTGAGAGTAGAGCAAGGCAAGGAAGTGTAGGTGTTGTTATTGTTGTTGTATGTCTTGAATGTATTGTCAGTTATAATTGATTCGGATGGATGGATGCAAGGCCTTGTCAAGATATGTGTGAGTGGTAGTGTGATGGCGGGTGATCGTGTGGGGTGATTGATTGGCTTGTCACCTGTGTGTGTGTGTGTGTGTGGGTTGTGTTTAGCACTATCCGCCCACCTATGATCCACAGCTCGGGTATGATAGAGGTTGAATCGATCACAATATTGTGATTGTCACTATGCCTGCGAATGGATTTATTGTCTGATCAGTCCAGGATGTGGATCAGACAATAACCTTGAGGTTGAAGTATTCATCCCCGCCCCCCCAAACCATGTATAAATGATTGATTGATTGTTTGTTATGTTTGATTGATCGAAACGACAAAGTGTTGTGTTGTGTTCCACCTCTTAATGTCTTTGGAGAAAGGAGAAAGTGTAGAGGCGTATATTGAATGTGGTGATGTGGCGTAATGTTAATGTACTTCTACTAACCTGTCGATTGTTACTTCCTGCGATGTGTTAATCCAAACACTCTGGCTTGACTGAGCTGACTGACTTGTTTGATTCAAAAGACCTCTAAAAGTCTGCCCTGCCTGTATGAGATCAAAAGTGACCGTTGATTGATTGAATGAATGAATGCTCGCTAGCTTGGTGTCCAAAAAATAATTATTATTTGATTGATTGGTGTTCTGTTGTAATATAATGGTAATGTTGGGAGAGACTGGACAACAGTCTTGTTTGGATTGATTGAATTTTTTTCAATCAATAGTATCCAAGAGAGTGTTTATCCACTCCGAATAATCACGGCATAGGTCGTGGCTCAACGGACTCGCGAGTCCCCAATGTAAAACGCTAACGTGCCATTACTTTTGATGGTCTGTTTTTGTTTTTTTTTGTAGACAAAGTAACTTAAATATCTGTTTAAACAACTTAATATCTGTTTCGAAGGACCAATACTAGGGTACAACAACGTCCTGCGATCGTCAAATGAGGTCAGCTGTTCGGACACGTTCTTTGAACCGTTCGACCAATGTGAGTGAAGACTTAGATAGATCGTATCAAAGCAAACATTTAAAATAAATTTATGGGCATTGGTCTACAAGGACGGTTCGTACACAAATCTGAATCTCACTATGACCAATCCATCGCAAGCCATCCCAGATGGCTCAGTCCATCGTACAAGTTCGCGGACATGCGAAGTGTGATGGAAAGTCTTTTGAAAGTTCGCGAGTTGAAGTTGTGTTTGATCGTGATTGAGTTAAATCAATGTGTTTGAATAATCGATTGAGAGATAGATAGAGAGAGAATGAATGGCACAGGATGATAGTAGTGAATGGGAACAATCAGTTACAGAGGATGGAAAGAAGTACTATTATAATAGGATAACACGTCAATCATTATGGACATTGCCAACTTCTAGTGTTGATGTTGGAAAAGGTGCTGTCTCTGATGATTCTAATGATGATGATGTGTCATCATTGCCAACAGACTGGATAGAGCACATTGATCCCAGCACAGGTAAACGATACTACTACAACAAAGAGACCAACCAAACAACATGGGAGAGACCATCATCATCTTCTCGAGAAGACATAGACGACACAAACACAAACAACAAAGACAAAGACAAAGACAAGGACACAGAAGACACAAGATGGATGGATGACCCAAAGATCAAGTTCAAGACAATGTTAAAGGAACTCAATGTTACAAAGGAGATGACGTTCGAGATGTTACAACCATTCATTATTAAGGATATACGTTATCAGGTGTTGCCGACGTTGGAAGAGAGACGAATGGTCTTCCAGGAGTATGTTGACGAGTTGCAGAGTTTGGCAGATGGCCAGAGGTCTGCAGTGGACAAGGCAATACGCATGAGATTCATGGACATGTTGGACGAGTGCCATGAGTCAATCAACCGAGATATGCCATGGGAGCGCGTGCAGCTCTACTTTGGCGGCGACGATGTGTGGGAGAGCATCGAGGAGGAGAGCGAGCGACAACGACTCTTCCAACTGCACTTCAGGAGACATGACCAGGCCGCAAGGGACCGAGCCGAGCAGACCAAGAATCAAAGGTTGGACAAGATACTATGCATGTTCCAAGCGGACCCGAGCATTGACGCCTCATCGCAATGGAGACAAGTCAAGGATCACTATGAGCACGACCCAATCATACAACAAGCTGACATGTTTGATGTGTTGGACTTGTTTGGACGTCATATCACCTCTTTACAACTTCGCGAGGAAGCCAACGTGCGGAGACGACGCGACGAGCAAAAGCAACGGGAGAGAGCTGATCGCGATGCATTCAGGGCATTCCTCAATGAGTGTGGACAGGGTGGGCAACTGAATGCCGGCACCAAATGGCGACACTTTTCCAAGCAGTATGCATCACATCCTGCACTGGCTGCATTGAAATCAGAGATTGCCGAAGAGATATTCGAAGACTATCGAGAGGAACTTGAAGAGCGATATTCAAAGGATTTCAAATTGTTAAAGTCCATTGTCAAGCAAGTCAACTTCAATCTACAACAACCTATTGATGGCCAGCACACAACAACAACAACAACATTGGATAACATGATACAAATTATATCCAAACATGATGACTTTAACAAAGTGTTATCATCCAACATTCCTCCATTCTTTAGATATGTAAGTTTATCCATTATCTAGTATCCATTATTGTTATCAATTAACTAACAACACCACGATCATGATCGTATTAGTTGGAAGAGAAACAAACAAAGAAGATAAAGAAGGGCAATAGAAAGAGGAAGGTCGATACATTGGAAGATGCCAAGTCATCCAAATGACCGACCATTCATGTCTGGTCCAGTCCAGTCCATCCCAGCCCCTTCGACACACTCACTCAGCTGTCCAACTCAACTTCTTGCAGGGTGTCATTCCCTCCAATTCCAAAAAACGCCCTCACGACGTCATGCGAATTTAAATTATTTTTCAAAATTAAAACAAAGTGCACTGAAACAAACAACAACAAACGGTTGTGTGTTGCACTTCAAACAACAACAAACACATAAGTATTCCTTCAAAATTGCATTTCATTATAACTTGTGTGTCTGTTTGTTTGTTTGTTTGTGTGTTTGTGTCAGTTCAGTCATTCAGTCAGTTTCGACTTCAAACAAGTGAAGGGCACGATTCAATCAATATCAATCTATACCAATATCAATATCAATCAATCAATCAATCAACATATACGTACTTATAATATAATATATTCAACTTCAAAAAGGTTCATCTATTTATAGATCTTATAAAAAAAAAGAAGACGAGAGGACGTCATTGGAGAACAGTCAGATATATATATATATATTATATAACTTAGATCAATGGATCCATCATTGTTAAACAATCAAATAATGGATGATGGACAACTTCGACAGCAACAGTTATTACAACAGTTGCAACAACAACAAATACATCATCAACAACAACAACTACAACAACAACAACAACATCAAGCGTCGCCACAACAATATCCCCAAGTACATCAAGTACAACTACATCATCAAATGCAGCAACAGCAGCATGTGAATCAACAACAAGTATATCATATGCAACAGCAACAAGTTCAGTACATGCAACAACAGGTTCATCAACAACCACAACAACATGTGTATGTACAGCAGCCATTGTTGCATCAACAACCAATACAGCCACAACAGTGGCCCATGTATCAGAACCATCAGGTGGTCAATAGTCCCCCGACAATGGTCTCCACTCCACCTCCAATGCAGCAATATGTAACGCCTATGCAACCGGTTCATCAAGTTCAATTGAATGGCACCCAATCTCCCCCATCTCAGAGTCAACAGCATCATCAAGTCAATGTACTACCAATCCAATCACCTCAAGCGAATGTTGCACAACGTGTTGTACAGCCACAGCCACAAGTACAGCCACAGCCACAGCCACAGCAACAGACTCAAGTACAGCCACAGACACTGATACAGCCACAGCCACAGCCACAGCCACAACAACAACAACAACAACAAGCACAGTTACAACACAATGTTGTAGCATCAGCCAATACTACACCACCTGTCAAGGCTACGCCGGCATCAGCATCGACCATGGTATTGTCTGAGAACGAGGACGATGACCTTTTGGTTAATGATGAGGATGAAGATGAAGAGGAGAACAAACAACCGAGCAAACAACAACAGAAGGATGAGGTTGAGGAAGAGGAGGTAGAGGAAGAAGAGATGATCGACGACTTTGACTCATCAGAGGGCAAGAAGGAAAGCGATGACGACTATGTACCCGATGAAGACGAGGATGATGAAGACGAAGATGAATACAGAACACCATCTCCACCTCCCCGCTCAATCAGCACTCGCTCACGAAGACCCAACATCAACTACTCCAACGACTATCTCCTCGACGACGAGATGGACGATGAAGATGAGAACTTCATCGATGACGACTCTGACGAAGACTATGATCCCAATCCAAAGAAGAAGAGTAAGTTGATCAATTGATTGAATGAATGAGCTGGACTGACACGACCATCACACTCAATCACATGACAACAGAGAAGAAGACGACAAAAGCACCAGCCAGGAAGAAGGCTGCAGCACCGACACGTGGAAGAAGGGGCGGGACAAGAAGAAATCAATACTTGGAGGAGGATGAGTTGAGCGAGGAGGATGAGATGCCTGTGACTAGGGCACCTACTCGTGAGCGTAGACAAACTGTTAGACTATACGACGAGATCAACACCAATGAGGACGCCAACGGTGTCGTCGAGGAAGGGGAGGACGATGCAGCACAGCAGAGCGCGAGCGAAGAGGAGGTGTACAGCGAGCACAGCTACTCACAGTCCGAGGAGGAGGAGGAGGAGGAAGCATCAGACGAGCTCTATAGCGACGCCAGTGACCGAAAGCCCGTACGCAGGGCAAAGACGACAAAGAAGGCGGCGGCCCCTCTACCACAGTCGATCACATTTAGCAACCTGCGACAGAGGACCAACAAGGTCAGCGCGGCGGCATATCTGCAGAGCAGCGACGAGGAGGACTATGAGGACATGTACGAGCTCATCGAGCCACAGCCCGTGGGCGCTCCAGAGGTCATCGAGGACACTGTGGAGAAGATTGTCGATCATCGTCTCAAGGCGGACGTCAAGCCCGATGAGCACGAGACAACATTCAACGTGGAGCTCTACGAGTTCCTCGTCAAGTGGAAGGGCTGGGCACATATTCACAACACGTATGTTACAGACTGACAGACACGAATGTGATCTGGCACCGCGTCTAACATCCATCCAACCAATCAACCAAAGATGGGACATATACGAGAAGCTCATGGGATTCAAGGGTGGCAAGAAGCTGACCAACTATGTCAAGAACATTATTGAGGTCAACCAGTGGCGCAAGGAAGCCTCGAGGGAGGAGCTCGAGCAGGCGGACATTGCAAAGGAGACAACGATCCAGGAGTACCAGGAGTGGCTCAAGGTGGAGCGTATCATTGCCAGTCAGGAGGTGGAAGTCAGCGAGGACAATGCCACTGGCGTGCAGTATCTCGTCAAGTGGTGCAGTCTGCCCTACTCGGACGTGACGTGGGAGAACCCCGAGGACATCAAGGAGTACCAGAGCGAGATCGATTCATACCTGGCGCGCATGCAGTCAATGCAATCAAGTGCCAAGCACCTCGGAGGTGTCAGTGTCAAGAAGCGTCTGGAGCAGGGCTTTGTCAAGCTGGAACAGCAGCCCGACTGGCTGAACGCAGGCACTCTCAGAGACTACCAAATGGAGGGTCTGAACTGGTTGGTACACAGCTGGGTCAACAATGTCAACGTCATTCTAGCCGACGAGATGTAAGTCAAATGCCCCGACCAATCAATCAACCATTCACTCACTCATTCAATCAATCAATCACATCACAACCAAACAGGGGTCTCGGCAAGACAATCCAGACCATTTCATTCTTGTCGTATATGTATAATGTGCAGAACATGAGCGGACCATTCTTGGTCGTTGTGCCCCTGTCCACCATTGAGAACTGGCAGCGCGAGTTTGCCAAGTGGGCACCAGAGTTGAACGTCGTTGTGTACACTGGCAGCTCACCCAGTCGAGACGTCATCCGTCAGTATGAGTTCTACCACGCTGGCAAGTTTGGTCGCAGGAAGATCAGCTTCAATGCCCTGCTCACCACCTACGACTTTATCTTGAAGGACAGTAAGTAGTCGACTTGTCCCTCGCTTGGCACGCCACGAACTAACTTTCTTTATCCATCCAGAGCAAACACTTGGCGCCATCAAGTGGGAGTACTTGGCGGTGGATGAGGCGCATAGATTGAAGAACAATGAGTCGATGCTGCATGAGGTACTCAAGTACTTCCACACGTCCAATCGTCTGTTGGTCACGGGTACGCCACTGCAGAACACGCTCAAGGAGTTGTGGAACCTGCTCAACTTCCTCATGCCCAACAAGTTCCACTCACTCCAAGAGTTCCAGGAGCAATACTCGGAGCTCAAGGAGAAGGAGCAGATTGCCGAACTGCACAACGTGCTCAAGCCACATCTGCTGCGACGTATCAAAAAGGAGGTGGAGAAGTCGCTGCCCGCCAAGACCGAGAGGATTCTTCGCGTTGAGCTCTCGCCAATGCAGAAGAAGTACTACCGCTGGATCCTCTCCAAGAACTTTGCCGAGCTCAACAAGGGCGTCAAGGGCGAGAAGACCACCCTGCTCAACATTGTCACCGAGCTCAAGAAGACATGCAATCATCCCTATTTGTTTGAGAATGCCGAGGACATGAACGTGGAGAATCCGCTCGAGGCGATGGTCAAGGGCAGCGGCAAGCTGATACTGCTGGATAAGTTGTTGGTGCGTCTGAAGGAGACTGGCCATCGTGTGCTGATCTTCTCTCAGATGGTGCGCATGCTTGACATCCTGGCCGACTACCTCAAGGGCCGAGGATTCCTCTTCCAACGTCTGGACGGCTCGACGTCGCGTGAGAAGCGTTGTCAGGCCATGGATCGCTTCAACGCCGAGGGATCGCCAGACTTTTGTTTCCTGCTGTCGACACGTGCCGGTGGTCTGGGCATCAACCTGTCCACAGCCGATACGGTCATCATCTTTGACAGTGACTGGAACCCCCAGAACGACCTCCAGGCCGAGGCCAGAGCGCATCGTATTGGTCAGAAGAACGCTGTCAACATCTACCGTCTCGTCTCAAAGGGCACGATCGAGGAGGACATCCTGGAGCGCGCCAAGCAGAAGATGGTGCTCGATCATCTTGTCATCCAGTCCATGGAGAAGCCAGGCGGTAAGGCTGCCTCCTCCAACATTGGCTTCAACAAGGATGAGCTCGATGCCATCCTTAGATTCGGTGCCGAGGACATCTTCAAGGAGAACGACGAGGCCAACCCGATGGCCGAGATGGACATTGATGAGATCCTTTCCAGAGCCGAGCAAAGGGAGGCCAACTCTGATCCCACGACTGCAGGTGAGGAGCTGCTCAACTCATTCAAGGTTGCCAACTTCAATACAGGCGAGAACACCAAGGAAGAGCCAAACTGGGCTTCGATCATCCCAGAGCAAGATAGACCAGTCAACCAACCTGAGGAGACACAACTGTACCTCGGAACGAGAAGAGCAAGGACAGACACCAAGGCGCCCGAGCCCAAGAAGAAGTCGAGCAACGAGCCTGTCATCATCACCAAGAATCCAAAGAAGGAGATCACCGCCTTCAACAAAAAGGAGTTCAAGTCGTTGGTCAGATCATTGAAGAAGTTTGGCAGTTATCGCAGGTGTAGGGAGATACTGGAGGATGCTGGTCTTGGTACCAAGCCATTGCGAGTCACAGAGGATATATGTAGAGAGATCATCGAAGTGTGTAGAAAGTGTATAAAGGAGAACCCAGGAACTGACAAAGGTAAGTGATGTGAACTGTGATGAGGAGACGAGGTGGTCTTACTAACATGGACATATTCATCCATCCAACAGTTCACGTTGTATACAATGGTGCGGACATCAATGCAACAGAGTTTGTTCAAAGAGTTGACGAGATGGCTGTGTTGTCACAACTGGTATGTATATTCATCAACGACAAGAGGGAGAGGAGAGGTCCGGACGAGACGACTGACATGATATCATAGTGTGAGAAGCATGTCAAGAACTACGAACATTTTAGAATCACCTTCCCAACGAGGCCAGTGTCATGGGCGATCAAGTGGGGGCCAAAGGAGGACGCAATGCTGCTCATGGGCATCCACCTCTATGGCAATGGCAACTTTGAAGCCATCCAGAAGGACACATCGTTGGGATTCGAATCGGTGATCTCACTGAGCAATGAGGAGGCCACAGCACAGGTGGATGCATCAGCACCAGCCCCCTCTACCAAGATCAAGGTTCCAACACTACAGCGAAGAGTGGACTCGTTGCTAAAGGCTGCCAAGGACTCGGTGATTACCAAGCGAGCCACAAACAAGGAGCCTCTGACCAACAGCAACAATACACTCAAGAATCCACTTTCCAAGAAGAGAAGGAGACCGCTGCAGCAGAATGAAGCGGGCGAGGATGAGGAGGAACAGGTCGACACGAGGACACAGAAGCAATCGCGAACATCAACGACATCCACCAGTAGTCGATCAAGGACAACCAAGCAACAGGCCAACAACAACAACGATGACTACGTCTATCCCACCAGGAGGACCAGCTCAGGTAGAGTATCCACTCCACCTTCAAAGCTCATTGCATCACCGCAGAAGGGTGCCGCGTCCAGCAGTAGTGGCAGCGGTAGCAGACGCGGTGCGACCTCCACTTCCACCACTTCAACCAGCTCCACATCCTCCACGAGGAGCAGACTGCTGTCAGACGAAGAGGACACCAGAGGTCATCATGGCGGCAGCAGTAGCAACAGCAACACGAGGAAGAGACATGACGCTGAGTCAGACGAGGAGACAACCATCAAGTACGACAAAGCGTTGTTGGCAAAGGTATGCATAATAGTACATGTAAACAGGTTACACTCATCACTAACATGACAAACAAATAGTGCAAGCAATATCTTATGCCAATCAAGAAGCACTTGGAGAAGTTCAAGCAACTGGCCGATGACAATATGTCACGAGATGACAAGGTGCGCAAGACAAAGAAGTATCTGTTGTCATTGGGCAATGAGATCACCAGTGTGTTGGACAAGAACAAAGGAAGCACAACGCTGGACAACCACCTGTGGTACTACGCGTCACAGTACACGGCCAGAGGTGGCTCAGAGCTCAAGCTGCTGTACAACAAAATGAAGAAGCAAGAGAAGCCACCGATGAAGCTTACACTGAGTCTGCCAAGACCAAAGTCATGATCAAGTATACATGTGTTGTTGAATAAACTGAATCTCACTATCAGGTCTTGAGTTGTCGTCGACAATGTTGTTGTTGGTGTCCAGGGAAAGGGAAAGAGAAGAGAGAGAGAGAAGAGAGAATGGACTGATTTGGAAATGTTCAATACATGGTAGTTCATTGTTGGTGAATAATACAAGGGTCCTGCTGCAAGTTGTTGTCTCTTAATTGCCATCAATCAATCATTCAATCATCATTGTCCTCATCGTCGTCGTTGTCTACGCCTTCATCCTCATCAGAGTCGTTGTTGTCGTAGTCATCGTCGTCATCGACGTAATAGTCAGCATCGTCATCCACGTCCTCGTAGTCGTCGAAAAAGTCCATGGGCTTGTTCAGTAGCTTCATCTTCTCAACCTGTTTCGCGCGCTCTATTGGGTCCGAATCTGGATGCGGTATCTTAACGTGAGGGGGCACCTTGAGGTTGGCCTTTTGGACCAGCTGCTTGACGCGCTTCCTATATCCCTCCTTGTCGTTTCTCCACTCGACGCTGGCATCGACGTTTGCCGGCGACGAAGTGTTTGGTGCGCTCAACATTGAGATTACGCTCAGTAGGATTGTTGTTACGGTTTGCGTTGGCAACCATCGCTCCTCTGGCAACTCCCCACTAGTCTCATCCTCGCCAGGTGGATGCAGAATTGAGATGCACACCTTGCCATCAGGATATATATTTGGATGCCAGAACTCTGACAAGAACACCAAAGTTGGTGGGCTCATAGGATAGTCTTGAGGAAACTTCATTTGAACCTGGAATATACCTCCCTCACTATAAGTTTGATTGATAGATTTGGTAAGTTTGAGTGATCTTGGATTGATTCCAGTATGGAATCCAAACTTACTAATCTGTCTCTGGAGGTCCCTCTACATAAGCTTTCCATTCAAATAGATTCTCATCTACCAGTTCAAAGTATACACCTTCGATTGGTTCAGATTGTATCTCTGTTTCCATTGATTGATTGATTGAGTAAGTGAGTGAGTGATTGATGCCATTACTGTGAGTAACAACCTAGCGACCTACTCTTGAATTGATTCTGTAATAACTTTGATGTCATTGTTGTTTGTTTGAATGATTAGGTTGATGGAATATATAGTTATATTGATGATTGAATGAATGAATGATTGAGTGAATGAGTGAATGTATGTACAATTGTATATATTAACAACAACAAACTAGGTGTAATATATAAATATATTTAATGATAGAGTATGAATAAGTAATGTACAACCAACAATAACAAATGTGACACTAAAGAGATAATGAATTATTTAATATTTAAATATATAAATGAGGAAATATGAATGAAATGGTAATGTTGTTGATGTTGATGTTGTTGATGTGGTCAAGCAATCTCAACTTTCCAATTATAGAGTGTAACTAGGTAGGTTTAGGTTCAATGCAATATATATATATAAATTAAACAAATATAATGAGTTGTTGTTTGTTTGGTGTTTGATGTTGTTTGATCCAAGGAAGTAAGCAACACCGTGTAGTTGACAAGATGGGAATGAACGAGAAGGTAGGTCTATCAGCCGATCCCTCCACCTCATCTTCACTCGATCCGAATAGTTGAACTCTAACACTCTAACACCAAACGCACACACACATCACATTCAACTTGGATTGCTTGTGTTGGTGAGTGAGCCATCCATCCATCATCCACATTCTTGATGACATGTACCACTTCAGTCAAACTCAAACTATTTGTGACGCTACACTAACCTATCAGTAGTACTTCATTCATTCATGATCATTGTCAATAACAAGTTATAAATGATTAATGATTCAATTCAAAGGAATGCCCTGAAGGGGTTGGTTGGAATTCGAGAAGTCCCATCAACGTGACCATCCCATCTCTTTGGTCTAGATCGAGTCCATTTGTGAGGATCACCAAATTAAATTATTTTTGAATGTCTCGATCTTCATTCGATTGTTGAGCCAACCCTCCTGATCACTCTTCCCAAGGTCAATCCGCGCCGGTCATTCAGTCAATCAGTCAGTCATTCATTAATGAGTTTAAATTATAACATCACCAACAACAAGTTACTTTGTTAGTTAGCACAAGACAAGGAGTACATTTACATTAAACTTATCTTTATATTACGAATATATCATAATCATCATTCCACATCCCATAGTTTGGGGACATCTATCTATCTATCATTTCGTTCCAGGATACAATCAATCATCATACATTCATTCATTCAATCAATCAATCTTAATATTTATATAATCTAATCCTGTTTGTCATAACAAACAAACAAACAAACATATTTTCTACAAAGACAAAAGGACACAAGAGGTAAGCATGGTTCCAGGTCAGACCATTAACCAATCAATCAATCCGGCCACCATGCATCCACTCCATCAAGCATCACAACCCCAACAACACGACCCCATTCACACAACCCCCATCATTCAACTTCACACAAACCAACAAACACACACACATATACACAAAGACAATAACAACAACAAGTCAATCAATCAATCAGGCCTGCCATCCTCATACCTTGTTTATTTTAAACACTCTTTGTTTGTTGTTGGTTGTCGCATCGCACACACATACTCCACTTACTCACACACACACAACAGCAACAGCAATAACAACAACAAACAAACCTTGTGAAGTTGGAGTAGTAATAGTGTAGGTCTCTCCTCCTCCACTTTCCCTTGCTTGTTTACCCTATCATGCTTTGCATTGTTTGTTTTTGATTATCACTATAATTATGTACTTCATCGTCATTATTAAACATCAATAACAATATTAGTACTACTTTTAAAAGTCATCATCATCATCACCAACTTGATCATCACATCATAACGAACGAAGCTAATTTAATATTTATAATCAAACAACAATCTAGATTATTGTCAGATCATTCGATTGGACCCAACAGTAAACAGTCAGTAATTTATTGAACAACAACAAGTGGACGAGCGAGCGAGTGATTGATTGATCAAAGATGGCGGAACCATTAGAATGGAAGTTTAGCCAGGTATTTGGAAACAAGAGTCCCGCTGATGAAGTCTCAGATGGTAGGTCACGTGACCCAATCATCACAACACATCACATGATCAATCAATGTTCAGACATCTAACAACAAACGAAACGAAACAAACAAACAACGCGCAATATATTAGTAGATGTAGTGTCGGCAATTGAGTTTGATCATACAGGTGACTATATTGCAGCTGGAGATAGAGGTGGCAGAGTTGTACTCTTTGAGCGATCCTATGAGAAGCAGTCTAGTCAGAGCAGCAGCAAGAAGAAGGACAACAAGCTGCCCGAGTACAGGTTCTACTCTGAGTTCCAGAGTCACGAGCCCGAGTTTGACTACCTCAAGAGTTTGGAGATCGAAGAGAAGATCAACAAGATCAAATGGTGTCCCAAGCAGAACGACGCACAATTCCTCCTCACCACCAATGGTAAAGTTGATCAAGCACAGATCATGTCTGTCATGCGCAGCACGATACTTACATCATCATTGTTCCAATCACTCATCATTGTAGACAAGACGATAAAGCTTTGGAAGGTGTTTGAGAAGAAGATTAAGCATGTGGCAACGTCCACACCCACTGGCGTCGCCAATGGTATCAACAGCAGCTATAGTATAAATAAACCAGTCAGCAACAGCAGCAGCAACACCAACAGCAGCCTTATAAATAGTCATTTCAATAGTAATAACAACAATAATAGTATATTCAAGGTAGGGATTGGTCCACTCGCTCATCACTCACTCATTCAATCATTCAATCAATCAATCACTAACTCCCAATCACTCATTCAATCGATTAAACATTTCCAGATACCTCGTTTGACAACAAGAGAGACGATAATAACAGCACAACCAAAGAGAGTATATTCAAATGCTCATGCTTATCATATCAACTCTATCTCGTTGAACTCTGATGGCGAGACTTATATTTCTTCAGACGATCTGCGCATCCACTTGTGGAGCCTCAACAATAACCACGAGTGCTTCAATGTGGTCGACATCAAGCCGACCAACATGGAGGACCTGACAGAGGTCATCACCAGCGCCGAGTTCCATCCCACCTCGTGTAATATATTTATGTACAGTTCAAGCAAGGGAACCATCAAGCTGGGCGACCTGCGCTCGTCGGCGCTCTGCGACCAGCACAGCAAGATCTTTGAGGAGTCGGACGACCCGTCCACCAAGTCGTTCTTCTCCGAGATCATCTCGTCCATCTCGGACATCAAGTTCAGCCGCGACGGCCGCTACATCCTGTCGCGTGACTACCTCACACTCAAGATCTGGGACATCAACATGGAGAACAAACCGCTAAAGTCGATTCAGATACACGAATACCTGCGACCCAAGCTGTGCGACCTCTACGAGAACGACAGCATCTTTGACAAGTTTGAGTGCACCATCAACCACGACGGCACGCAGATGCTCACTGGCTCCTACAACAACTTCTTCCACATCTACGACCGCAACTCCAAGCAGGACGTCTGTCTGGAGGCTTCGAAACAGGCGATCAAGCCCAAGTCCAAGTCGCTGACTGGCAAGATGAAGTTGCGCAGCTCCAAGAAGGATTCCAAGAGGCCGGATGAGCTGATCAATCCCGACTCGATAGACTTTACAAAGAAAGCGCTCCATGTGGCATGGCATCCAAGAGACAACCTAATTGCGATCGGTGCCAACAACACCATGTACCTATTCTCGGCCACCAACTGATCGATCGTCATATCCACCTCTTTAACCAAATCAATCAATAATAATAATAATAATAATAATAATACGATAACCATTTATTTACAAACAGATAGCGACAGCAGCCATCAATAGAGGCAGCAGTCCGAATAACAAAATAACCAAGTCATACAAATACAAACATCAATGATCTTACTCGTAACAACACAGAATAAGTGAGGGAAGTAGCTTAACTTAAGTTGAGGCAAACAAACATTGTGTAATCATTCTTTCGGACATTGAAGATACCATCACTGAGGCGGCCGACAGATGCCACGAATCATTCATCAAACCTCTTCAAGCATCATGTTGGAAATTGTTCTATTACCAGATATGCAATCATTAAAGACAAACCAGAGATTATTGCATTCATTCAAAAACGATTGGAAATGGATATGGATTTGATTGGAGAGTGGAGTCCTTCGTTCGAGAACCTATTATCTTGCGCCAAATATAATGCCTGGCATTCTTTGGTGTACCACTTCAAATCATTGTTATTCACCAATCAGTACCACTACGATTGAATACCCTTCGGCTCCAAGTTGGTTATTTAAAGGCCAATCATCATGTGATCAAATACAATCACTATTCAGATTGATTTCAAACGATAGTTGTACCCGGAGCCAGCCAATTGAATGAGTTTGAGTTTGAAAGTTGGGTATCATTTATTGGAACATTATAGGACCAGTAAACTGGCTCGTCAGTTAAGGATCATCGCCGTGGAGATTAAGGTATATGTACAGAGGTCCATGAGGCCGGTCCATCATCAGTCGAGTAGGCGGTTGACAATGGGACTGCTACAGTGGAGTTGAGTGTATCCAGGAGCCATGTGGAGCGGAACTTGGCGAGGGCCAGGCGGACGTCCGGCTTTTTGCCAGCTAGTATAGAGTCCTTAAGATGGTCGGACAGTAGTCTGTGTTGCAGGTGGATCAGTTTCGAGAACTGGATAGTTGTACCCTGAGCCAGCCAATTGAATTGTTGGTTCTTTGAGCCGAACTGGTGATTGGCAATGATCTTCCACATGAGGTGGACAATGATACCAATGAGGTGGCGGTATGGGGTGTTGGAGCTGACCCTACCGAGGGAGATATTGATGGTGTTGTAGTTCCATGTAGGTTGGGATACTCCAGACTGGGACTCGATGAGCTAAAGGACAGGGGCCATGTGGTTCTGGTGGGTGGACACACAGCAGTGGACAAAGAAGTGGTCGTATGGTTTAGAAGTGACAGAGAGGCCACATAGTTGGCATGCCGCCTTCTCTCTGATGTGGTTAATAGGGAGAGTGTGGGAGAAGAATCGAAACAGAGTGTTCCTAGCTTTCGGTTCCCTCAGCGAGCTGACAGCGATGAAGATTGACTTGTAGTTAAGGCTCGTCAGTTTTTTTTTTTTTTTTTTTTTTTAGACTATTTAATGAGGAGGTTTATTATATTGCAAATAAATGGGCGTCATTAAAGAGGCGGGAATGGTTAGTCCTATTTTAGTTTCGTTTTCCTGTTTTTTTTTTGTTGTTTGGACGGAAGATGGGTTTGGTATCGATGTTGGGGGGCGAACGCGAGTCTTCTTGGGTGCCTTCTTGATTGGGTTGATGGGTGACACCGTGTTGGGCACTCCCGCATGGGGGGAGTGGCTGGCTCATCACGTCTTCTACGGAGAGAGAGGGGCTTGAAGGTAGCCTTCTGTTCTGGTGGGTCAACAACTTCCTTAGTCGTAGGTGTTGGTGGCTCGTTGGTAGTCGAAGCGACTAATGCGTCTGGATGTGTAGGTGCCTCAGCCGTCAGCTTGTCAAGCAGCATGCCGGATGACTCGTCTCGGTCTGAGTCCTCCTCCATTGCGGTGTGAGGAGTGGCTGGGGTGGGAGTGTCGACGGTGGACTCTGACTTCACCCGCGTGGAGGTGCCGTAGGGTAGTTAAGCGGCGTTTTCAAAAAAAGATTAATGGAGGTGACGGGTATCGATCCCATTTCTCAAGCATGCGAAGCCAGCATTCTACCATTTATACTACACCCCCTTGAGATAAGGGCAAAAAAGATCTCAATTTTTGCCCGGGTTAAGTGGCCCCTTTTGTTTCAAATCAAAACCCCATGTCGTGGATGTATCCAACTGGAATTCGATTTCATTCAAGTTGGGATATGCTTGTTGAGGCACTGGACAATTACTTTATTTTTTCCGTGATATTTATCAAATCCTATACCAAAGTTTGCTTAATAAAAAGTCTCTCTGTTTTGATCTATCATTCAAACTTAACATAAAAACATCATGACAGATATTAAGAGAGATACTGGTTGCATTAACCAAGTATTCCACAATAAATTGTTAGTAAATAATATATTTGGACATGTTAGCAATATGCATCAAAGATGGATAAGTCTACCAAATTCAACAATCATATCATCAGCAAAACTACGTAATATGTGTCTAAGTGACATGTTGAGATACAATGCGACTCAATTGTTCATTGATACATTTGACAGCATTGGCAAAGTTCCAGTCTGCCCACCAATCATCAATTCCAATCTATTATCTATTGCCGCAAGATACAACAATTCAAAGGCATTCTACCATGTGATTAAATATCCCAACTTTATCCATACCTTTTCAATATATGACGAAGAATACTTCATTCATGGCAACGTTCACATTCTCAAACGTTGCATCAATAACATGAGCAATTGCTTCTTCCCCGCTGGCACTGAACGCTTCCTACCATTGGTCATCGACACTGGAAACGAGGAGTTTTTGGAACTATTCCTCAAATATCTAAAGGTCAATGATATAGCCGAGACCAACAATGCCATCAAGAACTACTGCAAGTTCAAGAGACCTGGAATACCTATTAACATGCTCAGGGTATTGCGATTGGATTATAAATATCTGAATGGATTGACCAATATCTGGCAGGCTGCACTGGTGCACTCGACAAAGTCCAACATGTTAGATAGTGTTCAATACCTTCTTGACCACATGCCATTGAAAGAGATGCATCCGAGACAATACAATGAGCTGATGGCCAAGTGTATTGTTCGATGTGCAAAGGATGACAATGTAAACATCTTCAAAGCATTGATCAAGTCAGCAGGTGATAAGTACATTTTGAATAAGAACTACAATGATATCATTGACATTGCTGCAGATCGTGGACATGCCTCATTCATCAAGTACCTAGGCAGATACTATACAGATAAATACGGGTGCAGAGTAAGCAAGGCAAGTGTGAGGAAGTTGAACTACCTCTTGTTGAAGCCTAATTTCAATTGGGGACCATTGGACTCAGTGATTGAGTGGCTAAGAACTGAACTCCGAGTAACTCCAAAGGCAGCCATTCGAAAGAATGATATCGCGGAGCTCGAGACCATCACCTCCCCTCGTCCCTATTCTTTGGAGTTGGACCTCAAGATATATCTTCAGATGTCGCAGTCAATGGCATTGTTCATATCTCAGAGTAATGGTCCACACACCCAAACTTATATGATGCGATTCCACGGCAAGTCACTGGTCAACATGATCAAAGCCATTGGCAAGCCTGGCAGCAATATCACCGCCCACATTGCCTGCCAATTCATTGCCAACTGTAACCATAGTATTGTTATTGGTGATCTCCCCAGAGCAATGAGTCTGGCAGCCAGTCGCTCTGCCGATGTCATGAAGCAACTAACAGTTAAGTTTGCTGCCGAGTATGAAGTCAGGTATCTTATCAAGGCTTTGAAAAAGGGATGCCGCGAGACTCAAAAACTGATCATTGATCAATTTGAACAGCGACACTTTGAAACAAGCAATATCAAATATGCCGCTTTCAATCAGATTGCAATAGCTTCATTGGAGGACGTGACTTTCATTCTGGATCACCTGGATTGTGTGAGAGACGATCAGAATATCCTGGTTTGGGCGGTGTCCAATCCACATTTGGAAGTATTTGAACATGTAATCAATCTATTCCCTCCCCTGATGATCTATCACAGCATGTTGATCAATATCATTGATCGTGCACTATTATGTTACAAGCCCAAAATCATTGAGATGATCAGACTACGATTCGAAACACCTTATTTGGCATCCAACAAGACATTCACTTTGTATAGACCAACCATCACGACATTGGTATCCCTGGCTCACGACCAAACCGCTCCTTCACTAGAGTACCACTTCAAGTCATCGATATTCACCAATATACCAGTTATCGAACGATTGAGAATACTCAACTTCTTACTCCATTCTGGATTCATGCACATGGCACCCAAGGTCATCAAACTATGCACGGATCATATCAAGGCACTCTCTATCGATCATCAACAACAAATGTAAGTCAATCCATATTTCAATCAATCTATTCCAATCGATTAATCAATCTTATTCTCACTCTCTCAATCATGTCTCCTGAAACAGGTTCCAGGCCATTGGACTAAAGGACGAAGTTCTTGAGGTTCCACAGGCTTCAACAAAGTTGGAGAGAGCATTCCATTTGGTGTTCAAAGACAGGAAGACTGGAATGCATATCATGGATAGAGTTGGAACAGTTCACAAATTACTTGGAATCAACACTGAGTATCTTATCAAGGGTGCAAAGTTGATTGACAATCACAATTTGTTTGATTACATCAAATATGGTGCGACCGAATGGTTCCTTGAAGCATACTCCAAGTTCAAATTCTCAACCATCTCTGGTTACAACAACGTACTTCTGGCCGAAGCGTTCAATCGTTGCAACACACAAGTAGTCGACTTACTCATGAACAATCCATTAATGGGTCTAGACCACACCATGAATGGACTGCTCTCAATTGAATTTGTCCAGAATGTATCTTCATGCTCATGTCCGCATTGGGAGAGATTGTTTGATCAATACATCTCCATCACTAGACATACCAACACATTGGAGTGTGACTCCATCATATCAATGATCAAACATCCATCATTCTTGATCAATGTCATTAAATCTACCTACACACTTGGTATCCCTTTGCCAAGAATGATAGGTTACAGTACTCGGACAATGGACAACTTGAGCAATGCTTGGTTGACCAAACCATGGGCACTGGATATGCTCAAGTTGATGATCCATCAATCAATTCTATCATGGGATTGCCATAAAGAACTTCTATACAGAGCAATCGAACATGACATCACAACGATCATTCAATATTATATTGACAATTCTAATATTGTTATGATGTTGAAGGATATTCCGGACAACATAGTTTGGATCACCAAGCCATGGGCATTGCCACTTCTCCAGACATTGGTTCTGCGCAAGATCCTTGGCTTGGACCGACGATGGGAGAAAGGTTTGATTAGAGAGGCCATCAAACTCAATCTCATCATAATCATTCAATTATTTATCGACTCCAATTGTTTGATACATGATGCAGATAATGTATCAGAGTTGATCAAGTTTGGATGTCAATTTGGATCCTCGACTGAGATGTTGGACATGTTGCTCTCGTCGATTCCACCGCCTAAAGGTATTGATGATCGACCGGAATGGCTTATCGAGGCATTGATATTGGCGGCCAAGAATGGACATCTTGGGATGCTAAAGATGATTCAATCAAATATTTTGGATATCAACTATATTATGGTTCTCCAATCAATCAAGGCTGCCCTGGAACATGGACATTTGGATGCGCTCAATCACTTGTTCAATCTCATGGATGACATCACATCACCATCGCCTGCCATTGCTGGCTGTGATCAATATAGGATTGACATCACTAATATACATCCTAGTATATTGTCAGTAGACATGTTGAATAGATTGAAAGCACATCCTCACCTGAATTGCATGCTGGACAATGTGTTGGGCAAGGATATATTGGTAGCGAGTGTCGAGGTGATCAACATGATGATGAGTGAATCCCCGACCAACATTCCACTCACCATTGACTTGAAGTATGCCATCCAACAGGCAGCAATTGTAGGTGACATGATCTCGATCAATAGGATAGTTGAGAGATGTCCAGTACTGTTACCATCGATTGATGACCTGGAACATTTGGTTGATCACTCTGCCACCCCAGACGACATGATTATACCCTTGTTCTCCAATCGCCAATATCTTGAATATCCTTCCAAGCTACTAATGAAGGCTGTGGCGACCAGGTCACTGGCACTGGTCAAGTCCATCTTTGAGGAGCAGTGTCAAGTTTTCAGTGATCCAAGGAGTGAGGAATTCATCTACGAGATCAGTACCAAGTCCTTTAGAACAATGATAAGGACATCCATCAAACGAGATGATATAGAGATGATGGGATATGTTCTCAAGGTGGCCATGTCAAAGGGAGCGACCAAAAACAAGAAAGGCAATCAAAGGCATTCACTCGGTGATCTTGTCAAACTCAAGTATTGCAGCCTCACAATCCTACATCACCTGTTTGATAATGGATATGTCAGTGTGGGTAATACTAGGTGCAAGTTCCTGCCACGATTGGTGGGATGGGCATGCCAAACAGGCCAGGTGGACATCATTGACCTGGTGCATCAACGTTGTGCCTATTCTCAACTCCATAGATACCTTCCATCAGTTGAAGATATCAAGATTGCAGCAAACAACAACCATCACCATCTACTATCCTATTTGTTCGAAGATGGCTATCTATCAGTATACAATCGATTGAACCTCATCATCCTTGCAATGATAAGAGATCTTCGTCAAAGTTCCTTCCAAGCAGGTAACATCAAGATCATTGAAATGTGTAATAGATTACTATTCATCAAATAAAGATATTATCTGTACATGTTGTGAATGGATGAATGAATGAATAACTTGAAGGAATGATGGTGATATTTATGCCCAAGATAGGCATTATGACTTTAGTTGTAGATCATTGAGTGGGTTGACTTGTGTGTGAAAGTTGGTACCCCTTCCCCTTTGTGGGTTTGTTTAACTTGAAGCCACCTCTCAATGAAACATCAATCAACTGACTGACTTGTGTAACAAAACAACATACACAGTTAGTATAAGTATTAGTATAAGTATTAGTATTAGTATTAGTATAAGTAATAATACATACATAAACAAAGAAATAGGTTGGACAAATATTATATAGTTCTAAAATATAATAGAGTAACACAACAAACTAAACTGGCAGGCAGGATGAAGAGTGAACTATATTTATCTGTGAATGAGACAAGTGGATCAAGTAATGGTGTAGGTTCTGTTGGTTATACCAATGGAAAACCTTCTTCGTCTTCATCGTCGTCAGAAGTATCATATACACCATTGGTTAATGCAGGTCACCTGTCTTCATCAGCCGTGGCTAGTAACAAGAAAGACTTGCCAACGCCGCCAACGACAGGGGGTCCCTCATCACAGTTGATAACGACCAATAGAAAGACGTTGCACTCCAACCTGCGTATAATGGGACTGCTCGGCATTGCCAATCTTGCCTTCTCATTCTACCTGGCCTTTGGCAACATTGAGAGTGGCACGTGCGACATCTCGTCCACCGTCTCATGCACAGCGGTCATCAAGAGTTCATTCGGTCAGATCATGAATGTTCCCGTCTCTATATTTGGCATAACCTGGAACATCATCTTCCTGATGGGTGTGTGCAAGGTGATGATGGACGACCGAGTGCCACAATTCCTCACAGCCCTCTACATCTGGTGTTCTCTTGGCATAGGCTTTGTCTTATACTTTGTAAGAATGAACAGTCAGACTGTCATCCAACTCGCTCATATACTCATCAGAACATCATCATTCAATCAATCAATCAATAATAGGTTGCAGCAGAGTTCATAATCGGCGCATTGTGCCCATTCTGTACGATCGTTCACATCATCAACATCACATTGATGTACTTTGCCTTCAAACTTTACACAGATCTGCGTAGTCCTCCCAGCCTATTCAACCTGATATCCACACTCAAGAGCTACTTGCTGTTCGTCTTTGTAGTGCACATGATCGTGCTGATCGCCTACCAAGCAGGCGCAGAGGAGCAGCATGACGAGTGGACCATGAGCAAGTTCTCACAATGTCTCACGGAGCACAATATGGTGTTCTATGGCTCCAGTCGATGTGGCGCCTGTGTCAACCAGAAGCAGATGTTCATGACCAAGGATAAGGGCGAGGCGGACTCGCCGTGGAAATACGTCACCTTTGTCGAGTGTAAGGATAAGCATGATCTGTGTACGATGAATGATATCCAGCGTTATCCAACTTGGATCAAGCATGAGTCTGACGGAGGCAAAGAACTGGAACGACACGAAGGTGTCATGAACATGTTTGAGCTCTCCAAGATGTCTGGCTGCCAGTACAAAAAGGAGGAGATTCAGGAGTAGTGTCGAATGGACTATATATCAACCTCAATAACATTACAACAAGTACAACACTTGGTTACAAAGCCGAGTGCACTTACTATCATGTTTCAATCGAATGACATCAATGTAAAGTACACAACACAACATGCGCTAACAATGGTGAGGTTGTTCATTTAGGGTGTAGTTGCATCCTCTTCACTGCCGTGAAGTCCTGGAACTCCTGTCGGTGGAGGTCAAATTCGGAAAGCTCAGAGGGCGTTGGATCATGTACTTTGTTGGTATTGCCAACGATGTCCTCCTCTTGGATCACTTTAGGCAGGGGTTTGACAATAGGCTTGATATAGTTCGAGAGTGAGACTGGTCCAGTATTTGAGAGCATCTCTGGCACAGCACCCATGGCTGATCCTTTGAGTCCAATGAGCGCGTAGGAGCTTCCAGAGGTGATGGAGAGGCTCTCTGCGGCACCCAGAGAGGCAAGAGCCGTTGTCAGGCCGTTGGTATTGTTGAAGCCAGTCATCACTGATGAGCACACCACGACAATGTTTCCAACAGCCACGTTAATGATGTCCTCTATCATGTGTGTCGTAGCAGTGGCGTCGGTGGTATCGTAGTTGGCAAGCGAGAGGATTCTGCCATCAACCTCGTTGACCACACACATGATGAATCCTCTAGCGGTGGTATTCTGACTATAATCGTTGATGGTCATGTAGTAGGTGTCACTGATTCCATCTGGCGAGTTTGCTGGGTTGGCTGCACCGACAGAGATGGGGATCACCTTGGAAGGATCATCGACTGATTTGAAGGTATCCAAACAATAATAGAGCATAGCCTGGCACGACTGTCCAGCCTTGGAGGTGTACTCGTTGTAGGGCCTGTTCTGGCCACGGCGAGAGATCATGTGCCACTTGTCGTTCTGGTTTGTGGAAGAAGCGTATTGGCTAATATAGCGAGCGCCAAAGTTGGTGGACAGCAGGTTGATGCATTCTGCAGAGAGGTTGGCCTTGGCATTGCCTTTGGAGAAGAAAATGACAAAGGAGTTGGTGTCGACAGACTCTAGGAAGCTGGCCAAGCGGACAGAGCCCAATCCGCCGGCAGTGATTGTGTTGTAGTTGACGGGATTCTCCATGTCCTCTTCATCAAAGATGAGATCTGGGCTAAATGTCCAAACGTTGATGCCATCGGGTTGGTTGGTGAGGACAAAGTCCATCCATGAATCAAAGATGATATGGGGAACAGTGCCAGTGGTCTGGGAGATGCTGACAGTGCGCAGTGATTCGTCGTAATGGATAATCTTGGCCGAACAAAAGACCTTCTCGCCCTTGGAGGCATCTCCGAATGCCTCCACGGCGTATTGTGGAGGGTGCCCCTTGTTTCCAATCAAGACGTAGTTGGGACAGTTGCCCAAGGTGAAGACCTTGCTTGCACCAATCTGTTGGAATGTGCTGGTCATCAAGGCAGAAAGAGGGTTGGGAAGGTTGCCAATTACCATGACGGCCACCTGGGTGCCAATGGCGGCACTCTTGATGATGGAGCTGAACATGTTGTCGTCGTTTGCGGCAGCCGATGCAAACACCCAGGGAGGGTCTTCATTGTTTCTCTGAGTGACCCAGACGTTGATTCCATTGACCAGCGTGACACTGTTGCAGTAGTTGTAGTAGTCTTGTGGAGTTTCTGGAGTGCCCCAGGTGACCTCGGACGTGGTGAGTGTTGCAGATGTGAGACTGATCATTGTCATATCTATTTGTAATTGAATCGCAAGTACTTGACCGTTATTATCTCTTACCTTTATTACCAAACTAGCCCAATTATAGTATTACTCGAATGTGGGAAGTTCTGTACACTGATCAAAATGATTGATAGAAAATCACCTGACATCAATCACACATCGATTAGATCAACAAACAGATAAAGATAAAGATATTAGATATACATGATGGAGGGCCTTCCTATTTTACTACTGCGCAAGCTAGTTGAGATCATATATGAACCTGCTGACATCATCTGTCTTGCTTTGACTTGTCATAGACTGTTTGATTGTCGCATGGACTACATCATTCTCAACAACATTACAACTAGTACAACACTTGGTTATAAAGCTAAACACATTCTACCATGTTTCAATCAGATCGTCAAGCAATACAAATTAACGTATGCATACAATCCTACACCAGCTGATCCAAACGCGCCTGTTCTTTCATTGTACCTACCCTACGACTTTAACCAACCGCTTACAAACCTGCCCAACACTTTAACACACCTGGAGACTGGCTATAAATTCAATCAACCGATTGGCCCAGGCACGTTGCCTCAATCCCTTACCTCCCTTAAACTTGGTGTATCATTCAACAAACCAATTGGACCTGGAGTCTTGCCCGAGTCACTCAAACATCTGGCGCTGAGCATCAGCTTTAATCAACCTGTGCAGCCTGGCATATTCCCTGACAAGCTACAAGTGCTAGAGTTCAGGTCTGATTTCAATCAACAGATTGATAAGGGCATGCTACCCAAGTCGTTGCGCAAGTTGTCTTTCGATCATTGGTTCAACAAGCAATTGAAGATAGGTGTGTTGCCAGAGGGTCTGGAGGAGTTGGTTCTAGGCTGGAAATACATACATCGATTGGAGCATGGTGTCTTGCCACAGGGTCTACAAAAGTTGTCATTTGGTCACGATTACAATCAACCACTGGAGCCTGGTCAGTTACCAGACTCTATCACGTTCCTCAGCTTTGGGACAACATACAATCAACCACTGGCATCGCCATGTCTTCCGGCCTCACTCATCAAGCTCTCATTGCCCATTCAATATTCTCATCCGTTGGGCCCAGCCATCCCAACCGGTTTCAAACACTTGATCCTCCAAGGCACGATGTTTGAGGACCATACCAAAGGTCTATTCCCAACATTTAAGATCTTCCTTCATCCACTCATCAACAACTACCAGGCACGATTCGTTTGTTTCGTCATCAACTACCGCATACTCTCCTCTAAACATGTATTGTATGTGACTGACCAATATGAAGGTGCAATTGTTCCGATCGAACGTCTATTTACTTTACCGGACACTAGTGATGTTGTGTCAACTACGACTACTGAGAGCTGATCCACTTCAATAAATCATCCTTGCATGCATTGTAGAACTCGTTGTTATCCTTGATTGATTCAAAGTCCTGGAGCAGAGATCTCTCACACAAGGGAATTGGATTCTCGGTAAAGTACTGCTTCACCTGCTGGACGCGTTCATCAGACATGCGTGTGCTGAACATACCAGAGACCATGCGCTCGATAAGGGGATTCTCTTTGAAGGTCTCGTAGATGGACTTGGCATTCTTGACAAAGTAGGCCCATGCTGCCTCGCTGGTGCTGTCAGAGATGTAGTACCAAACCATGTATGAGTCCTGGGAGCGAACGTCTTTGCTTAGCGAAAAGTCCAATGCTCTCTCGGTCAATGCTGGGCTGTTGTTGCAGGCAAGCACACGTAGCATAGTCTCCTTCTGTGAGGAGATCTCGCTGGCGTTGTAGATGGCCATGATGTCAGTCTGCTCGGCCTCACCACCATTCTTCATCACGGTCTGTACGACGGCACGCATGATGTCTGGGTCCAGAGATGACTGATCCTTTTTGAATGCTACAAACAGCTCGCGGCACTTGGCCACAGTTGCTGGGTCTCCGTGTACACCAAGTGCGGCAAGCACGCTGTCCCTCAGGTTAGTGTCGCCCGAGCTCTCACCTTCCTTCTTTGCAAATCCAAGGCGCTCGCCAAGGGGCTTGAGCAACTTTACGATGACTCCAGACATCTTGTCATCGCCAACGAGCTTGTTGAGGTAGCCAAGACGAGCAATGATGAACTGCCAGATGGACTCCTCGATCTCATTGGTGTAGGCCATCAACAGGTCTGTGAACACTGTAATGGGGATGTCACGTGACTTGCCAAGGTAGAAGCAGTCACAGAGGACGCCCATACGGTCTACGGCGGGGAGCTTAAGAGATTGAATGAGTGGAATTAGACCCTTAATGATGGATGGATCGTAGTTGATACGGAAGTAGCCAGTCTGTCCATAGTTTGGCTTGATCCAACCCTGAGGATTGTAGTTGGGCACTGTGAATGTGCCGGTCTTCTTGTCGAGCACATACTCATGCGAGCCAGACTCAGTCTGGACCTTGATGTAGCAGTTCCAGAGTGGATCGGATGTTTGCTCGGGACCATTCCTGAACTTCTTCTGGGTGAGCTCAAAGACACCTGGTGTCGATGCTAGAGGAGGGGAAGGAGTTGTCAGTCATGTGCTGGCTGCGTGGCATTCGACAAAAGGGTCACATCTACTTACTTTGTTTGAATGAGATGACTGGGTATCCAGTAACCTTGGTGAAGGTATCCACCCACGCCCTGACATCCACGCCAGAGTGCTCAGAAAGTGATTGCCAGAGATCCTCGGTGACTGTGTTCTTGTAGCTGTGTTTCTTGATGTAGTGATTGAGTCCTGTGCGGAACTTATCGCCAAGACGTCCTTCAACCATCTGGATCACACATGAACCCTTGTTGTAACTGATCGTGTCAAAGATCTCACCAATCTGGGCACTGTTGCGCACTGGTACCTCGACGGGATGAGACGAGTCCAGGACATCGAGGGTGAGAGCTTCATTCCTATAATCATTAGTGAACTCGAGCCATTTGGACCACTCGGGGAACAAGTGATCAGTGACAACATAGTCCATAAAGCTGGCGAATCCCTCATTGAGCCAGAGCTGTGACCACCACTCCATTGTCACCAAGTTGCCAAACCATTGATGAGCCACTGGATGTAATTGAGTGAATGAATGAGTGAGTCGGGGTAGATGGACAGGCTTGTCAATGTTATAACATACACTCATGTCCAATGACACTTGCTATGCTCTGCTTAAGGTATGTAGTGGTCTTGTCAGACGTGAGCAACAATACCTCACGATAAGTGATCAATCCCCAGTTTCTGTTTGAGTGAAGGAGTCGCATCAATGATCGTTAGTCAGTTAGGCTTGGACGTCCAAGTGCAGAGTGTAGTAACATACTCCATAGCACCCATGGCAAAGTCTGGAATGGCAATCTGGTCACACTTGGACAGGGGATATGGTACGCCAAAGAAGTTGGTGAAGAAGGACAGCACATCGCAGGCAACCTTGAGCGCAAACTCTGTGCTCTCGGTGTTGCCCTTGACCTTGTAGACACGGACCTGCACACCCTCCTTGCTGTGGCCCTCGATGTACTCGAGCTCGCCAACGATGAAGGCGACAAGGTAGGTGCTCATCAATGGTGTGTCGGCAAAGTGCACCGTCTTGGTACCATTGCCGTTGTCTTTGGATGAGATCTCGGCCATGTTGGACAGTGCAGTCATGTGCGAGGGCACCGTGAGTGTGATGTCATAGACTGCCTTGAGTGCAGGCTCATCAAAGCACGGGAAACATCTGCGGGCGTAGGTCGCCTCAAACTGTGAGACGGCCATGTGATGATCAACGCCCTGGATTGTGTAGCGTGAGCGATAGAAGCCCATTAACTTGTCATTGACACAGCCTTCGAACTGCATGGTGAGTGTGACGGTGCCGACAGCAATCGCATCGGAGAATTTGAGAATGGCCACTTCCTCTGGCTCGTGATAGGAGATGTCTGTTGATTGTGCGCCAGTTGATAGTTGTGCACTCTTAATGCTCAATTCGAATGAATGCAATACTATCTCTGTAGTTGGTCTGACGACGCGCATCTCAATAGATACAGTGCCTTCAAATTTGAAAGCAATCATATCGGGAATGATATGCAATTGGTACTTGAGTGGCACTACATAGTCTGGTAGAATGAGTCTATCATTACGATCAATAAGATGTTTAAAGTCTGTCATTTCTAATTGATTGATTGATTGATTGAGTGATTGATATTAAGTATATATGTATATGTAGATAATAATAATAATAATGATGTTGGATGGTTGGTTGAATAAATGATGCTGTGAAGTTCAAAAGTTTAATTTGATTGATGAGCGCAAAGTTATATTCCAATGTAAACGGGACATTATGGTATGGCGTTCTTGTATGATATGATACCTTGATCATATCACTTATATAATATATATATTACCATTACCATTACCATTACACCTAGGCAATGATTAGGGTACATTGGATAGTCAAGCTTGTTGATAATAATAATTGTTGCCTTCAAAGACTTGGATATGCTACCAGGTAGTACCAGCCTGCGCAGTGGAGATGACATATCCTCTAACTACTTAGTTGAGATAGCTCAACTCTGGGCCAATTGGAACGATTCCTGATGGATTGATCGATCTTTGTGATTCGTAGTAACAGTGTTTGATGTGATGGAAGTTGACAGTGGGCTTGATAGCTTCGTTCTGATAGAGTGATCGGAGGTAGTTGGACAAAGCAGGATAGTCCTTAATCATTCTCTTGTTGACCTTAAAGTGACCATAATAGACAGCATCGAATCTGATCAATGTCGTGAACAATCTGATGTCGGCCTCGGTTAGTCTATCGCCTACCAACCAGCGTGCTTTGGAAAGTCTCGCCTCTAAATGATCAAGTGCAGTGAATACATTCTTAAATGCACTGTCGTCTATGGGATTGAGTGATTATATGATTGATGAATGGATAATTGTATGGTGTTAGACTTTGTGTTTGATTATTGAATGATCGCCAAATAAGTCAATGAACTTTTCGCTCATACATGATTGCTGATCACCAGCGAATCCACATTTGTATACACCATTGTTGATGTTATCATAGACATAGGAGTTGGTCTCATCGATTGAGGACAATAGATCTCTTGGCGTTAGGTCTAGTGATGGATTGGTGGCCCATTGATTGAACTCTGCGTTCAACATTCTGATGATCTCACCAGAGTCGTTGTTGACTATGGTCGATGTTTTCTTGTCCCAGAGCACTGGCACAGTGTATCGACCTTCATACAGCGGATCAGACAGTTTATACAACTGACTAAGATGAGTGAATTTGTTGATTGGATCAATCTCGCAGCCGTCCCTCTCTGAGAAATGCCATCCATCAGCTCCCAGGAAGTAATCAACTACAGTCATTCCAATAACCTGCCTAAGACCCTTAAGTCTACGAACTATTATGGTTCTCTAAAGGTATGATGTAGGTGAGTAAGTAGGTCAGAGACAAAGACAGAATGGGAATGATTTAGTGATCATACATGTGCCCAAGGACATGCTAGTGAGACATATAGATGGTATCGATTTGGTTCGGGAGGGTACTGAGTACCTGTCTTGATGAAGTTCCTAAACGAACTTGCTTTGCGAACAAACTCTCCCTTTAATTGGAAGTCCATTATCTTGATAGGTGTTTGATTGGACATTATTATAATATATTATTTGTTTGTATAATATTTAAATATGTTAATGAACTAGAATTGAATATGAAAATTAATAAGTTGTTGTAGATCAATTTTAATTATTGAGGTATTAATAAGAGTGGGCTTAGGAAATAGGGTATAGGGGATAGGGGATGTAATTCGGAGGTGCTATACCTTCATTCCACACCTATCCATCAATCTGATTTAAGTTCTCTGGATTTCACCCTCCCAATCAATTTCACAATCACACTCACTATCGTTCAACCACCTATTTAATAATGTGAATGATAGAATGAATAAAAGAATGAAAGATTGATTGAATGATTGATTGGGGGATTGGATGATCCTTCCTTAACAAAGTGATGTTGACTAGTCAAACTTGTTTGGATCAAGGACCACAATTCATTCCAATTGGATGTGGAAAAAAAATATTATTATTATTACGTTCTATGTCGATTTATTCAAGAAGGTGCAGACTAGACTTTCTTGTTGTAGTCATCGTCATCCATCAATGTTCATTCATTCATGGCGCCGTCATTGTCGTCTTTTTCATCGTCTTTGTCTTCTTTGTCGTCGTCGTCGTCGTCAGCTCTGTTCGTTACACTACTACATCTCCTTCTACTACTACTATTTCTACTAGTACTATTATTTGAAGCTACCAAACTTGCTCTCCATCTCTTGAACCTTCTGGACTGGTGTTGCCTGTCCACGGAGAGTGTTCCAGTCTCTCTGGGAGATTGGTGCCGATGTGGGTGGCTTTGGTGGGACGTGGGGCATCAGGTGCTTCTGGAGCATCTCGTATGAGAGCAGAGTGACACCAAACTGAGGTGACGATCTGAACACACGAGCGACGCAACCCTTGAAGAAGGCGCGGAATCCTTCCTCACGCCAGATCTTCTGGGCGCAGTCACGGATACCATCGTAGGTCTGCTCGCCAGTCTTGGCCTTGACCTGCAGACGAGTCTTGATCACATCAGCGGGAGTCACCAGGGAGGCGGCGGGGATACCGGCCACCATACCAGAGATGAACAGATCCTTTGGTGCGATGTTGCCGTCCTTGTCAGCCAACAGAGTCTTCATCTTGGCGTAGGCGGGGAAGTAGATGGCAGAGAATGGAATGTCACGCAGCAGACAGGCACCGGCTCCCTTGTACAAACCAGAGATACCGAGCTCGCGCACGATCGACAGGGCGCTCTGGCCCTTGCCAGCGCCTTGCACCTGCAGACGGATCTTGACAATCTCGAGTGGGTTGGTGAACATGACCTGCGAGGCTCCAGCACCACCTCCAGCGAGCACCTCAAGGGGCAAGTAGATCTCGCCCTTGCTCTTGTCGGCAAACAGACCACGGAGCAGATCGTTGACAGTGAGCTTGATAGCCTTCTCTGGGGCAACACCAACGAGCTGTGGGCCCAGACCTCTGTAGAGACCGGCAAAGCCCTCGTTCTTGAGCACCTTCTTGAAACAGTCCCAACTGTTGTTGTAAACTCTCAGTGCTGGGTCAACAGCACGCTGGTTCTGCATTCTGGTCTTGACCAGATCGATTGGGTAGACGGCGGTGGCACCAATGGCACCAGCCACAGAGCCCAGAGCAAAGTTCTCAATCGACTCACGCAGCTGGGCGGTGAAGCCCTTGCCGGTGATGCGGCCGCTGGCAACCTCGACGGGGGCGGCGGCGGCGACTGGAACGGAGGGTGTGGTCGACACACCGGTCATCTTCTCAAACTCCTGGATGTTGAGCTTGCCGTCCTTGTTGGTGTCGAGCAAATGGAAGATGAGATCGACCTCCATTGGTGTGATCTCGATCGATGTCGATGTTCTAGCCTCCTGCAGGAACTCCTCCTTGGTGATGTCTGTCTTGTCGCGCTTGACTGATGCGGCCTTGAGCACACGGCCGTATGATGGGAAATGGAGCAACATGTCATTGCAGGCGACAAACTGTGGGTAGCTGACCTCGTCGGCGTGTCCCGACGACACGTTGAGCTCAGCGAGCGACTCAAGCTTTGAACGGATGTTCTCGGGGATTCTTCTCAACTTCACAGAGTTGAGGATCTGGGCGAACTTATCCTTTGGAATGTAACCTGTCTTGTTGGTATCGTAGAATCTGAACTCTTGCCTAATGAGATGTGATGAGATGATGTGTCAGAGGATGATGGATAGGGAGAGTGGGGAGTTGACAACATACTTGACTCTCTCTTGTTGGAAGTCCTTCAGCAGTTGAGTGAACTGGCTGTAGTTAAGCTCTGACTTGCCGTTTCCAAAGTAAAGGTTGACCAGCTCACAGTTAAAGTCGAATGGGATGGCTGGGTCCAAACTTGCAGACACGACATTCTGGAAGTCATCTGTTTAGATTGATTGATTGATTGTTAGATTGATTGAGTGCAGCTTATGGAGGATAAGACTTGACATACTCTTTGAGATGAAACCATTGCCATCACGATCGAACAGCTTGAATGCCAGGAAGTACTCAGCCTCTGGCTTGGACATGAGCTCGTCAAACATGCAGTACTCCTCAAGACTGATGTGACCAGTGTGATCGATATCGGCCATCTGGAAGAGGACCTTGAACTTATCAGCATCGAGGGTGGCCTTGAGCAACTGATCGCCTCTTCCCTCAGACTCTGGTGTGGTCAGAGCATTCAAGAAGTCATCCGCAGTCATATATTTCTCGCCATTGATGGTCTATTATATTGAATGAATGAATGAGTGAGTATGTAAGATGTCCAAAGTCACGTGACTACCTGTCAGCCGCCAGTCAGGTGACATACAGTTGTGGCGAACTTCTCAAAGTTAGACTTTTGCTTATCGCGAATCAATGCCTTGGTTCTATCCTCGTCGGCCAACATAGTAGTGCCAAACAGGGCCAATGAGGCGGCGGTAATACCGAAGCCAAAGGCTGCCTTGGAGACTATAAATGATGTGATGTATAAGTTGGCAGTTCACCTACTCCTCCACAATGACAATTCAAACTTACATCTGCTCTTTTGTTGGTTGCCGCCATTGCGAGAGGCAGTGGAGAATCCCCTGGACAATGCCTTGGACGACTTGTTTGCGACTCTGCTCAACATTGTTGTTGTTTATATAATAATAATCTTATCTGGAGTAATTGAATGAAGAGTAAGTCAATATTAATGATTATGATGATTGATTATGAATATGATTATGATTATGATGAAGATAAGATTGTTTGAAGATGCACTTCACTCGAATGAGAGGGTGGTGGAGAGGTGGTGGATGATGGATGAGGTGTTGTTGGTGTTCACTTGCGAGCACAATCAAACTTGGTTGGATGGGCCTCTTCACAAGTCCTGATTTAATTTCAAAACCCACACCATCACTTCACTCACTACACTCTACTTCATCGTACGTAATCAAGATGATGTCAATATCTCTGTATCCATACATCTATCTATCTGTTATGTTGCGTTGATGGTATTTATGTTTGTGTTGTGGAGAAAGAGACGGGGAAGTGAAGTTACTTGTTGACTTTGACAAGTGATGGATGACCACTAATGACTAAACAATCAATGTATTGTGTTACTACTTACTTTACTAGTTGTAATAGTATAAGTGTGAAAGAGAGAGGGAGGGAATGAATGAATGATTACAATGAAGGGATGATGTTGGTATTGAAGCAACACCATCACACACAGATTGAGGGCGTTGGTCGGTCAAGAGATAGAGAGGACTTGAAGCCGACTCGTTTGCCCAGTGGGCAAAGGTGTACCCATACCCATCACCAGGTGTATCCACCTAACCTGATGGATCACATCAAGCAAGCAACAAACAACAAGCTTTTATTTTATTTTATTGAAAACGATCATCAAATTATCGATATGAAGTGCTAAAAAAGGCAAGAGGGTACTTGACGAATGACGACAAGTCCGAGCCATTGTCATAGATAGATTGTTTGGTGTACATCTAAGTTGGGCAATAACATTAATCATCATATAATCGATATTTCATCACTATACTTCTGACTGATATTCTGATCAGTTGGAGATTGGTCACTGATTCACCCATTCAATTTCCGAATCAATATTGTTTACACTGGTCCTATCTTCTCATTTATAATATAATCAACTTCATTCATTGTCTTTTAGTTAACATGTTCATCTCTATCTCTTTTTAAAGATAACAATTGTTATTCTTTGTTTGATTATGTGAGAGAAAGCAGGAGAGAGCTCGGCAATCTACCTCGAACCCACTTACCACCCACCCACCAACAATGGGGAGGCGGGAGTGTTTTATTGGGGCCTGATTTGGAACAAGGCTCGTCTTTCCGATCATCAAAATTGATAGAATGTTCGGTTTTGGCAAACAATTAAAAAAACAATCCTTTTCGTAGTCCAGCCGAGAAGTGATCACTTTGTTTCCTTTCAAAACACAATGCTCACAACACATTAAACAAATACAAATACATACCTGCCTTTATCTATTATCTATTATTACATCGTGTACATACTCTTTCAAGCAATCAACTTGTTCATATCAATCTTGAATCGCCCAGCCGATCCAATCAATCATAGTGTGTTGTGCCCAAGCCAGCCCCTACCCCCACCAAACGATCACAATTGTGTCATTCATTCACACACAAACCCCTTCGTGTGACCAAGTCAGCCAACCCACCCTACTTTCACCACACACTCACCAACCCTCCTCTCCAACAAACAAACAAACCGGGTTGCCAACAACATTAATTGCTGTAATAGTATTGTTGTTATTGTTGTTGTACGTCATTCATACCCTCACAACAACAACCAACAACAATTGTATTCTTATAAGATACACGTTCAAACACTCTATCAACAACATCAATAACATAAACATAACATATATTTATAACTCTAAGAGAGAGAGAGTGTGTGTAGCTGTTAAGGAAGCACGATCATCCTCGACATCCACATAGACATCCGAGACACCCAGTCAATCAATCAATCAATCACAATCAATCAAACAAACAATCAATCGTTCAAACTATATAACCATTTCAAAGGTGCTATATAGAAGTTATAATCAACTAAATATATACATATATTTATAAAACATAAAGAGAGAGATATGTCGTTCAAACTCACTTGGGGACCATTCGACGATGAGTTCTACAACAAGATAAAGTCAGCACTTAATAAGACACTCAACTCTGGTCCACCGATTCCAAATATTGTCGATCAACTACTAGTTCATCAATTCCACTTGGGCGATGTTGTAAGTTATCAACCGATCACAGTGTCGATCAATCAATCAATCAATCAATCAATCAAAGTGCGCAGTGCTGACAACAAGTATATACATTAGCCTCCATCAATAGTATTGTTAAAAGTAGCGGATGCATCAAAGGAGAAGTTTAGATTCATATTCCACGTTAAATATAATGGCAATGGACTGTTAGAGCTGAGGACAAGGGTACAGGCCAATCCTGTATACCTTGGCACATCGATAACACCGAGCAGAAGCGAGCGCGCACAGCTAAAGAAGCTGAACATTGGTTCGGCGTCCAATCCACACATCATGCCTCTATCGATAATCATCACCGACATTATATTCGACGGCGAACTCTCCGTGACGTTCATCAACAACAAGTCGATCGAGGCGTGCTTTGCCACCGACCCGTTGAAGCAGGTCATCATCAAGACCAGCTTTGACGACTTCCCTGCCGCCGCCAACTTTATCAAGAAGCTGGTCGACCTGCAGCTGCGCAACTTTATCATGAAAGACTTCCCGGCCATCGTCGGATCCATCACTGTACCATCTCCACCCTCACCCCAAGCACAATCGACCAACAACAACTCTGCATCCTCACCAATCATTTCATCACCATCCTTCTTCAATGGCCACGGCAGTCGGGATGGCAGCAGCTTTCTAAACAGTCCAGACGAGAACCAACATCACATACAGCAGTCACAGCAGCAGCAACAAGACATCAAGAAGAACAAGAACAAGTTAAAGTCATCAAACATGGCATCGAGCGTGGAGAATAAAGATTGGGAGTCATCTAGCGTATGATCATCACTATCCCATAATCATATCAATCAATCAATCAATCATACAGTGTGCAGTTCGACTATACCTATATCTATATCTATATGTGTTTATATCTGTAATGTCTCGATTGATACATTGTTATAGTATTGAGTGAGACCAGTGACGGCAAAGAGTGCAAAGAGTAGTAGGCCATGGTATGATTGAAGTTTGTTGGCAAAGTATCCAATGGCACCAGCGCAGAGTGAGCACATGATGATGAGAATGATGCTCAGGGTGTATGTGGGCGACTCCCATTCAAAGGTGTAGACGGTGCCGTAGAAGCAGAACACGCCCATCAGGAATGACGTCTTGGAGATAGTGCCACCAATGAGGTTGGAGAATGCAATGTTGATCGATTGCGAATTGCCCTTCCTCGACAGCGATATCGACTCGAGGATCTCGGGCATCTCACTGGCAATGGGCGCCAGGAAGAATGCCAGCAGAATGGGATTGACGTCCAGCGATGACGCCAGTTCCACAACCGAGTCGATGAAAGGCTTGCTAAAGAAACAGATGAGTGCGCCGCCAAGCACCAGCATTGCCACGCCCTTGGCCAGCGAGTCATTGGCATGCTCGTCCTCCTCATCCTCATCGTGCGCCGCCTCCAGGTCGTCCTCCTTCTCAACCTCGGGCAGCTTATAGAACAATGAGTTCAAGATGAACATTAGATAGAATCCAACGCCAGCGAATCCAAGAATCATGCTGAAGCCAAACATTGCCAGTGTCAGAGGAATGAATAGAGATAGCATCAATATAAGGCACTGTCTTCTAACAGGTGGCTGTAGCTGTACCAATCCTCCCCTTCTATTCTTTGTTCCAATCCAAATACAACATCCAAGTGCAATAGTACACACAACTAAGAGCCATTATGTTTGAATGAGTGAGTAAGCATGAGGTGCATCATGAGATGATGGGATGCACGCTTACCTATTGAGCTGCCACTGACAGCACCAACGGCGAATCTAACATTGCCACTGGACAGAGCTGTTACAAAGAATATAGCTTCGGGTGCTGTGTTCAACCATGCTATCAGCAAACCTCCAATGATAGATGCATCGTACTTCTTGCCAAGTATTTCACCACCTTCACCTACGCACCATGATGCAAAGGCGAGGAATACAAATGTTACCAAAGCAGTTGCTCCAGCCTCTAACATTATTATTACTATTATTTATGTGTATATATATTATTACAAGTACAACCAATCACAAATCAACTATTATCTGTATACTGATTGATTATGATTGATTGAATGGTGAATGATTATTATTATTATGATAATGTTACAATGTAATATGTAGGTAGGGGTAATGATAATAATAGAGATAAACAAATAGATGTCAATCAAACATAAGTGTGTCAAGTTGTGATAGTGATTGTTCAAAGGTGTGTTGTCGTTTCAAAATCAATGTCGTTGACGTGTCAGCTCACTCAAACACCCACCTGAGCCACGATGGCAAAGATCAAAGTAAGTATCTTCTTCTTCTTCTTCTTATTGGTCAAACAGATATTAGTAACTATTATTGATTATTTGTTCATAAACAAAGGATGAATCAATGACACAATCAAACACACACACACACACACACACACACACACAAACACAATCATCACAATCGGCCGACCGAATGAGTTGAATGACCTCAAATGTAAAACATTATAACAAAGATATAGTGATACATAAGTATAGAGATAGATTGAATGGCACACTTTGCACAGTACTTCAAAGGCCCAATGGCGGTCTTCTCATCTTATGCAGTGGCTATCAATGCTAGTGCCGTAGGTCTATTCTACTATGACAAGCAACAGGCCATTCAACACAAGTGGCGTGTTCGTGAGAGTACCCTACACATCACTGCCCTACTAGGTGGATGGGTCGGTGGAATGTTTGCCATGGAGGCATTCAAACATAAGAGAGCAAAGCAATCATTCAAGAATGTAAAGTATTGATTGAGTTGACTTGATTCGTTCATATGTTCGTTCACTCACATTGTCGCTCTGTAACACAGACATACTATGTAGCAGTTGGTGGCAATATAGTATTACTTACAGGCTTTGCATACTTGTTCAGAAAGAGTCCACACTTGTTGCCACCTTTCTTGAAGAAGTACTCAAGTAGCCAGATGATTCGTAGTCAGCCACAAACACTCGCTCAAAGAATGGAGCAACAACAACAACATCTACAAAGACATGATCAGTTTATCGAACAAAAGAACATTGAACTACATCAACAAAGGAAACAACAAAGGAGACATCATCAACAACAACAACAACAACAAACTAATGTTGTTGACAACACAGCATCATCATCATTCCAAGTCCAGGACCGACCGGACAATGGCAAACAGCGCAACAATAGAAGGAGGAATAATAATAAGAACAATTAATCGATTGAATGATTGATTGAATAGTAAACGTGTAGGAATCGACCAATCGTTTATAAACATGTCATCATATATACATCGCAGTTGGTTTGCTACTGCGTGTACATTACATTAAAGTACGAACTTCTTCCTGTCGACATCCATGCCAGCCTTGTGCAGATGGATGTACTCGCCAGACGATGTGTCGAATGTGCCATGCTGCAGTGAGATGAGCTTGAGAGTGAAACGTGGACCCAGCTCGTGCAGGGCAGCCTTTTCACGCGATTCAAACATGTAGCGATGTTGGCGGAAGAAGATATAGTCACGCTGATTGTGCAGCGTGCAGACACGTCTGCCCTTGAAGTTGGGGTCTTGTGGGAAGAGTGCGGCAAACATACGGCCAACCGTATGTCCGAGTCTAGTTGTAAAGTTGTTGACTATAAGCTCTGCCTTGTGGCTAGTCATCTCGCCTCCGCCAGGTATCTTGTCTGGCATTGTAATACTGCTAACCTTGAACAATGCTGTAGGTCCATTTGGCAAATGGCAAATCATCAATGAGTCTGAATGATTGAATGAATGAGGTCGCGAATCAATCGATCAATGAGTGAGTCAATCTTGTTAGTCAGTGCTCTCTTGCGCCCACGCGCGCCACAGCAACATCCACGTCCACGACTACATCGACTACATACTAATCTTTCCTCTATCTTCGTTGACTACCATGATGTCTGTGTATTCTCTGTTGGTGGCGAACTTGACAATGTCTTTGAGCTCAAAGTGTCGCCTCGAGCAGTACTCTGCCTGTGGCAATATCTTCTCAAACATCTTGGCAAAGACTATGGCGCAGCCGGCTGGATTGGTGTTGGTGGTCAGCACAACCTTGGGCTCGCGGCCCTGGAAGTACTCGGCAAACTCGTCGATCTCTATCTCGTCCTGATACTCCTGGTCGTTCTCGTCGACCACCGTCTCATCCTGTCGTCGCATCGACTCGATTGTACGAGGCTTCTGTACGGCTGGTGCTGCATCGCCCAACTTCTGTCTCTCCATCTGTCGCTCCTTCCTTGCGCCCTCCTTTGCCTTCTTCCTCTGTGCACGCAACTTCTGCGACAGCAGTGTTCTCCTTGCTTTACACTTTATATCATGTGGCGTATGTGGCACCTTAATATCATCCTTGTCGACTTCTCTTTTTCCTGTACTTGACATGTTGTTGTGTTTATCTGTTTGTGTATGTATTTGTATATTTGAGTGAAATGAAATGAATTGAGGGGTTTGTCGACTCGTTCGTTTTTTGATCACTCACCACACACAATCAAGTTGAGTTGTTGGAAATTAGTTTGATTGGTTGATGATTTACACTCGAGAGAGAGAGATATATAGAGATATTTAATATTATAATAATATTATTTATACCAACTTCTTGATGGAGTTGTACTTGGTCTCCAATTCTAGAGATATTAGAGGTGATGGTGTGTTGAAGTAAATGGATAACTTGGAGATGGAGTCTTGGATGTGCTTGGATTGATCGGATGACGATTGGTGATGCTTGAAGATCAGGTCGAAATATTGATTGGACAGTTGAGGGAACTCTTTGGCCGCATGTGCACGATGTCCCTCCAGCGAGGTAATGTATGCCTTGACACTGTTGTTGCAGGCATTGACAAACTCCTCGACAGACAACGAGTGCTGCTTGAACGCGTCGACCATGTGCTGCAGGTTGCTCTTCTCTGCAGAGAAGCGTTGCATCTGCGAGGCGTTGTAGTCCATCTTGGCCGAGACGACCTCGATCTGGTTGCGATAGGACCACACGTCAAACTCCCGCTTGATGCGTGCCGCCTCAGAGTCGATTGCTGTGGCTTCAAGTTGGGCTAATTGTTTCTCGTACTTGGCCTTCTCGGTCTCTGCCTTGTCCATGTCCTTCTTCCATCGCAGCACTTTCTCCTCAGCCTCGCTCAACAACTTCTGTTGGCTACTCTGCCACCACTTAAAGTACTCCAATATCTGATTCGCGTACAATTGTACTATTGGTGATGATGTTGTCCAATGCTTTAAGCTCTGATCAATGTACAAAATATCCTGTTGTTGTTTGATTGATTGGTAAGTGATTGTGATCGTCGATTGATCGATGCGGTATGGCTTGTACATACGGAGGAAAGAGTTTCAAAGCTGGCATTGATTGAAAGTATATGCTCGTTAAAGTTGGCTGGAGTACTGATGTTCTTGATTGTCGCTATTAGTTCGTTTGTGTTGTTGGTAATATTGGAAGTAATACATCTGACAAACTAATTGATTGAATGATTGATTGGATGGTGTTAGGGACATCGAGCGGCCAAGGATGTGCGATAGGTTGATTGGGAGGGTACATACCTTGAGTTCCAGAAGTAGCTTAATAAATAAATCATTTACATTGATCTCGACGATTGATGGCAGCACCTTGAGAATACTCTTGATGGGAACGATTGGCGAGAGCAAAAGTGAAAGCACCTGCTCGTAATGCTTGAGGACATCGCTGGCCATGAGGTTGAGCTGGGAGGCCCCACCACCATTGCCAGTCTGCAGCGACACCAGTTGCGGGCTGGACACTGAGCCAAAAATCAGAGGGCTTGTGTTGCCGTTCATCTTGAGCAGTGGAGACACGGCGGACAGTCGGTTCATCTTGGGCGAGTGCACTGGCGATGAGTAGGACAGCAGCGTCGGAGACATGGCATCGTTGTGTGGACTGTATATACCGGTACTGGGGGTTGCGGGCGGACGGGGCGTGCCACCTCCGCCGCGGAGATCGATAGTGCCATCGACCAGCATGTCGACAATCGTAGAGAGCACCTTGGGCTCAAAGAATGCCAGGCGGGCATTCTCGCGCTTGGATATTGTGCGCGTCCAGAGATCAATGGCGTAGGGCACCTTGCGTGAGTTTCTGCCGAGGCAGTCGACGGCTTGATCGATGATGATGGCGCCCTCCATCTCGGGGTAGTCGACAATGATGTCGTTGTACATGTTGATCATCAGCTCGATGACGTCGTCATTTCCAATCTCGCCCTTGGTCAGGAGGTTTGGCGCAAAGACCAGCGCCAAGTTCTTGGCTGACATGGCCGTGGTCGTCAGACTCTTGAGTTGCGTGTCGACAACCTCGTCCAGGAACGAGAGCAGATAGATGAGCAGCACTCTGTTCTCGCGAGGCAGCTGTGCTATCCACTCCTTGACCAGTGCGCGACGCTCGTCGATGTCGTCAGTGTTGGACAATGTCTTTTCGTACTTGGCGCACAGAGAGTTTGTGAAGATGGGCTCGGGTAGGCCCTTGAAGTATCGCTTGATGTTGTCGGCTGCGTCAAACACCTCGTAGTTGGACATTGAGAAGTACTTGCTACTGTCGAGCAGGCCCTCCAGCTCGTCGACCCTGTACTTGGAGCCAGACAGACGGAAGACGCCCTCCTTCTTTGCATTGTCGCCGCGGATATAATGAATGAGTCTTCGCAAAAAGTAGGGAGCGGGTGCGTCGACGTTCTCGGGACGTCGCATCGTCTCGCCAATCTCTACCTTGAAGTTGCCCGGCTCGAGGATGGCGGAACTGCTGCGCGCCCAAGCGTGGACAAAGTGTACATTGCGGCCTTCTAGCATCGCCGCGATCTTTTTAAACTGTGTGACTGGCTTCTTGTCCTCGACCGTGCCCAGCTGTCCGTCCTCGGCAGCACCCATGACATAGACCTCGCCCTTATCGGTGAGCGCCAGGACGTGTGTAATTCCAGCCGACACCTGCTTGACACGGTTTGGCAGAGTGATCATGATCTTGTCGACCTCGCCAGCGCGACAGATATGCTCATTGTTGCCCCAGAGGCAGATGTTTCCGGCGCCAGTGCGCGCGGCAATGTAGTTACGCGATGATGAGACTTCGACAATGTCGCGGCCAATGAATGGTTTCATGGGAATCGATATGATCTCATCGGTGGTGTTGCTGGCGATCTGCTTGGCACGGTTGTTGCCCCAGACAAAGACTTCATTGCCTTCGACGATGGCCACTGTGAACTCGTCACCACAAGACACGGCGATGGCCCTTGCGCCGCTGAGTGTGACCTTCCTGGGCGCGTTGGTGATTGAGTCGCCAAGCACACCGAGCTGACCCTTGCGGTTGGAGCCCCAAGTGTAGATCGCGCGACGCTCCGGTGTGCCCGTCTCAGCAATGACGGCCACGTGATTGAGTCCTAGCGCGACGCAGCTGACGCCCTTGAGCAGATCAACTTTAGTTGGCGTGACAAGCGCCTTTCCATTGGCATGTGTATCGTCCAGTGTGCCCCATGTGTACAGCAGTCCGTTCTCGAGAACGACGGCAGTGTAGCAGCCTCCGGCGGCGATCATCTTGACGCGCTGGCCGTTGAAGACGCTGGGTGAGATTGGCACGGGCACGGGAGAGTGCGTGAATGGTGAGCTTGAAACGGCGCCGTTCTTCTCCTGTGACAGACTGCGCAGCTTTGTCGATGCGCCATCCGCGCAACGGTTGGCCAGACTGATGGCCTCGCTCGTGACACCTAGTTGTGAACTCCTGTTATCGCCCCATGTATACACTTCGCCCTCTGCATTCAGAGCGATCGTATGCGAGAAGCCAGATTGTAGTCCAACTATATTTGGTATCAAACTGTTGAATGATGGTCTATTCGTGTACTTCTCGCCCCAACAATATAATACACCTGTCTCCAACTCCTGTCCCTGTTGCTGTCCCTGTTGTCCTTGTCCTTGTCCCTGTCCTTGTTGTATCTGTATCTGTGTATTCTGTTGTTGCTGTTGAGGTTGCAACTGACCTGTATTCCCTGTCACTATTTCATTTCATTCAAAGAGTATGTAAGTCACATGATCCATCTCATTCATTCATTCGATCATTCATTCAATACTCACTCCTTGGAGGTGAGGCTGGAAGCATATCTATTGTTCAGATATATTTATATATTATATTATTCGTCTTTCGTGAATGTGTGTATCTGTATCAACAATGAATGATTGTATCTATCTTGATATATTTATGTAATCTGTGTGTATGTAGGTTGATGTAATGTTGTATGTTGGTGATGATGTAAACACACGAAGGAGAGCTGACGTGACGTGATATGATTGTGATAATAATCGTTGGGAGTGGAGGTGAAAGTGTGGGAGGGTTGTTTGGTGAATGGGTGGTTTTTGTTTTCAAGTCAATCACCTCCTGCAAACAAACAGCTTGTTATTAATTGTTTGTATTTTTGGTGGGTTTGGTTGATTGATTGATTGAGTGTGTGTGTTGTGACTGATTGATGCGACCTACAGGTGTGTGGGTGGGCTATCCTAGTCCGGCACGTGATTGCCTGACTTGTGAAGGGAATGAATGGTCTTCCTTCCAAAAAGTGCAGTGCTTGTTATAATAACAGACACTCAACAACAAACAATAAATCTACAAAAACAAAATGGAATAGGGCGCCAGGAGAAAAGGGGATAGATAGAATGGATCTACTCTCTGGGATTGCTTGAGGCAATAAGTAATCTCTGTTCTGGGGGTGATGTTGATCACCTTTAATGGGTAATGTCTGATGGTCTAATGTGTGTATCTATTTGTTGATGTGTTTCTATTCTAGTCACCTAGGACTGATCGGTCGGTGAATGACTAATTATTTGTAATGTTATAACTAAGTAAACAACTAAACTAACTAGATAGATAACTTAAGTTAAAGAACTAACTTAGATTATAAAGCAAAGATGTGAAGGGTGATGCGATCAAAAAGAGTGCAAGTGGACATTCAATGCCTGCCACTTGTTGACTTGGTGTTGCCTTGAGTAACATTGGATGGACGTATTATCACCACCACAATCAATGCCATTGATTATAATCAAGATCATGATCATAACCATCATCCATCCCATCCCATCCTACTCCTTACTTCCTTTATCGTGTGGTCAATCAATCAATCTGTGGGTAATGTGAGTGTGTGATCATCCAACAACAATTGTGGATGGTTGATGAATGGGTGAATAATGATGATGGATTGAACTTGTGGATACGAGTATCCGTAATAATACCAATCCATCTCCATCCATTCATCCACTAAATACGCCATACACTTGGTCAATTGAGTACATACACATGTCTGATCATTAATAATAAGATAGTAAAGATGGGGATTTATTAATAAAGTTGGATGGATGGCAGGATGGATGGATAGAGAGACTTGGATCGAGAAGTAATAATTATGATGGTTATTGGATACATCCACAATACATTGTTGTTATGTTATAATAGAGTGAACGAGTAGACCCACCACCAACAACAACTTTCATTCACTCATTAACCTATTCACTCAACCAACTAATCACTCTCTGGTACTACGTCATTGTTCATCAATCTACACATTTGCATACTGTCTTTCAGTTCACATCTACGCGTTTAAATGTTATAAACAACATGTTTATTATTATAATAATGTAGTGATAATTGATATGTACATGGTATTCGGGTGCCATGCATTGCAAGTACTATGCTCTGATGGTGAGGATGGGATTGAATGGACAATGTCCTTCAGATCGGTTGGTTCTATGTATGTATGTATGTTGGGAGGTGGAAGGATCACTCCTTCTCTCTGAATATTCTGGATATGGATAATGTGATGGTGTGATAAAGATGGAGATTGTTGACGCTCCTCTAGACTGATGGGTAGTCTCTCAGGCTAGAGTTGATTGATACGGTGTTCGGACCTTGTATCCAGTTGGTTGGTAGTTGAAGTAGTGGTAGTAGTTAAAGCGGAATGTTGTAGGCTGATTGTGAAATGGTCGTATTTTTGTACGTGGAGTCCAGACACTTTAGAACTCTGAGAAGTATCCTTGTGATCTGTTGTTTCTAATTAGACCATCCAGGATGTGATCGGTGGCCATGTGAAGGTCGAAAGCCTTTTGACACTTGAAGAACAACTTGCGACGATCCTTGAGAACGATCTCCCACTCTGTCCACGACTCCTTCAAGTTGAATTGCAGGATTGAAGACCAGGGAATCTCTTGGATCAGCTCCTCCTCATTCTCCGAGATGAGCTTGATACCCTCCTCACAGATGGCCAGGATTCTTGGCTGGGACCACTTTCCCTTGGAGAACTCATCGGCGCCCATCATTTGTTGGACACGGAAACGCGTCTCTGCCAACTCTTGCAGAGGTGACTTATCCATCTCCTTCTTTGGAGACTTCTTAAACAAGGCGGATAATGGTCTGGCGATCTTCATTTTAGAATTTATAATTTGGAAGTTGGAAGTTGGATAATAGATGTTTGGAAATAAATAGAGAATATATTATTTGATTAGATAATACTTGTGGTAGAGATGATTGTCAATGAATGTTGGTGGATTGATTGGTTGATAATATGCAGATATGGATAATATTATCTGTTAATAAATAATTAGGTGTTTTGTTAACAAATGAATGATGTTGATTGATTGATGATGTATACAATATAATATAATATAATATGTGTAAAGGAGGAAGAACGCCATCTTCCAGTCTCTCCAGCTTCACCTCCTCATTCCTCACTCCACCCTATTCATCCACACGCACCTCACCTTTCAGAGCACCAACATCTTGGATGTTGTAGACAAATTAAGAAATATTAGTGTGTGTGTTTGTTTGAATGTGTGTGTGATTGATGGATGATAAGTGTGATCTGTCCTGCGAATAAAGTGCACTCTATCACTTCAATCACACACACTCAAACACATAACAGATAACACCCCAACTTTAGTTTAACTTCAAAGCACCTACCCAGCTGTTTGATTGATTGGCTCAAAGGGGGTAAGGCACCCAATCAATCAATCAATCACACACATATTATAGACATTGGGCTTTATTGTCACGGGGTTGTATAAGTAAGTAAGAAAGTGAGTATGTAAGTCAAGCGTTGCAAGTTGTCAAGGGTCACAACACCTTATGCGCCTGCACAGGCATCCTTCGACTTTCTGCGATGCGAATACCTTGATGCTGCAAAGTGTAGTACCTGTTTGCTCCACCCACACGCCCCGCTATGCCCAAGCCAACAAGTGTAAGCGTGGTAAGCGTTTGATGCGTGCAACAACAACAACACCAAAAACACTTAAAGCTTGGCAGGCCTCTCCAAGTTGATCACGTTGTCCTTGAGATCCTTGAGTATGCGCATTGCACTGTTGTGGCCAGAGCTGCCAATGACAGAGCCGGCAGGATGACAGCCAGCGCTGCAAGAGTACAATCCTCTGATTGGTGTGTTGTAGGGCAGACGCTCATCGAATGGAATGCCATTGTCAACGTGATGGATGTGTCCACGCGTGATGCCAAAGTGCTTCTCCAGCTTGGGAGGTGGCAGAGCAAACACGTCAACAACTAGCTCGCTTGTACCTGGTGCATAGATGTCGACCAGAGACAGCAGATGCTTGACGTAGCGCTCCTCCTCGGCCTCCCATGTTGAACCCTTGATTGTGTAGGGCACCCACTGGACAAACAGAGCGGCATTGTGGTGGCCGTCCTTGTCCTGGATGGATGGGTCAATCGGTGTGTGAGTGTACCACTCGATCGTGGGGAACTCTGGCAGGATACCGGCGGCTGCTTGCGCGTAAGCCTTCTCAATCTGCTCCATAACGTTGGGTCCTGGTGGGAGGATGTGTGTGGTTGTGCCGTACTGACCCTTGTTCTCGGGCAGACAGGTGAACTTGGGCAGTGACTTTAGACACAGGTTGACCTTCATGGTCATACCATCGCGACGGTATCTGTCAATGCGATCAATGTAGTTCTGGGGCAGGTGATGCTTGCCGATGAGATCGGTCATGCGGAATGGATCGGCGTTGATGACGACGATTGGTGCAAACACCTTGGTGCCATCCTTGAGCTCTGCACCAAACACGCGTCCCTCTCTGATGACGAGCTTGTGCACTCCACGTCCAGTGTCGATCTTGGTGCCGGCCTTGCGTGATACGTCGGCGATGGCATTGGACACAGCGCCCATGCCACCTTTGATGATCATCCATGTGCCATCGGATGATGGCAAACGACACATGTTGTGAACAAGGAAGTTCATTCCTGTACCTTGGGACACTGAGCTCAGTCCTGAGCAGCCATCGGTCGTCACATACATGCCACGCAGCAGGTCTGACTGGAAGCCAAACTTGCTCACGTAGTCCTTGGCAGTGCCACGGCACAGATTGATAAAGGCCTGTCTGAGAGCTGGGCGCACGAAGCGCTCGGCGGTCTCCTCGACAGACAGTGGCTCTTGCAACCAAGTTGGCGCAATGTCCTCGCGTAGCATGTCCAACTCTGCGTTCATCTTCTCGTTGGCATCCCAGTCGGCTTGTGAGAAGAACTGGAGGAACTGCTTCTTCATCTCCACCTTGTCTGAGCCAAAGAGGAGGTAGCGGCCATCGGTCGTTGGCATGAAGTAGTGAGGGTCGCGACGCATTGGTGTGATGTCAAGATCGAGCTTCTTGACCAACTCGGGAGGCATCAATCCGAGCAAGTAAGCGCCAGTTGACGCGCCCATTCCTGGTACCTTGCGGAATGGATGTTCAGTCTTTGTACATCCACCAATGATGTCCTTGTCCTCGACCTGCAAAACACGGAGGCCAGCTCTAGACAGGAATGTTGAGTTTACCAGACCATTGTGACCTAATCAAGTATGATCATTCTTGTTAGACTTGGAGTGTTTGATTGTCAATGGTGGATGGATGGATGGATAACATACCAGCGCCAACAACGAGAACATCAAAGTGTTGTTCCAGTGGCTGATCCCTCATATACTCTTTGGTGATGATGGTTGACATGTTGTTAAAGTGTATGTATCTCTATGTTGTGAGTGTGTGAGTGTGTATGACAATGTGATTGAGTAGAAGGGTCTTTCTGATCGTGTGTATGTGTGTGTGTATGTGTCGTTCAATCTTAAGTTTGAAGCAGTGTAGTGCAATTGACCTATGAATGCAAATATCTCAACATCCTCAAGATTGAATTAATTTATTAAAATGATGAATGTGAGGACGAACGAACACAATGTCAAATATCTTTTTGATATTTGTAGATAATATCTTGATCAATCATTAACTCGTTTGATGTGTAGACGAGACTAAACAGAGTTATTTCTAACTTTGTCGAGGTTGTTGAAGGCGTCTTCATTGATCAGGTAGGCAGTAAACTTTGTAAGATGGTTAATCAACACTTGGTCATTAGGATAATTCTTGGTGGCCAACTCATTGATATAGTCTACAGTGATTGATTCACCATTGTCTATTCTGCCTAACATATTATCAATATGAATTGGTCTGTTGGCACGAATGAAATAGTCATAATGTAGAGACATTCCTTGGAGCTTGCACATTGTATCCATCATCTCATCCTCCCAATCAAGATCATTTTGTATCACTTTGAACATAACTTTAAAGTATTCTACCTGTATGTCATTTTTATCGTCTTTATGTTCATGTTCATGTACATCTTCATCTTTATAGTCATAGTCATTGTCATAGTCATTGTCATACTCATACTCATAGTCATCGTCATCATCCTCATTGAATTTGGTTACTCCATAGATTGAATTTAGTAGTTTGGACAATGTACTCTCACGTACTTGTACTGGGTTTGGACTTGCTTCAACTATCTTTCGGGCAATTGTTATATTGAACATCCTTGATACCTCTCCAAGTAAACTTCTTTCCATCCTTGACATGTCCTCTTCCTCCAAAGCTTTGGCTCGCAACTCAAGTGCATCCAATCTTTTGGCTATATCCTTGTTGGAGTTTTCAATCTCCTGGCACGAGTTAGATAACTCTTGTAAACTCCTATCTATTTCATTACACCTATTTTCAAGTTCTTCTAAAATACATATTTAATATTGTCCATGGAAAAATGACAATTTATTATTATCTGTTGTAATATATATATATATATTATCTAGTGGAGACAAGTATTTGGATGATCATAGTTCATTCAAGTACCCACTGTCTTCACAACTTTAACCATCTTTGGAAAGAAGTAAGTGAGTGAAGATCTTGAATGAATAGTTTTAATTTATTTTAATTTAATTTTTGTTTTGTAACAGTAACATCAAACTGTGGTTTCTACTAATGGCATACTTTTTAAAAATTTAAATTTGAATGTGTTCGCACCGTTGTTAATCATTGTGTTAGTTCACTTCATTCACTCTATTCTCTCTAATGAAGTTGTATTGTGCTTGAGTGGTAAGTGTATTCATTCAAATCATTCAATCAAACAAGTTGACTGGCTGATGATGTTAATGTGACTAGTAACCAAACATAATACTAATATTAATATATATCTCATTTAATTACATTCACTCATTCACTTGGTCGACCTTCTCACTTAACAAACTATCAAATAATTACTGATTTCTTCAAACTTACGATATTTTTGTTTGTTTTTGACATCAACAACACACAACTTCATCAAACAACTTCAACACAAACCTCATAAAGACAAAGACAGAACCCTCATCCATCTCATCTCATCAACACAAACAACACAAATTAATTAATATCAACAGTTCATTGCGCAATTTAATCATTCATTAGTTAAGCGCGCCAATCATATACACACACAGAGACACACGAGACTGAGACCTCGTGTGATACCTATCTACAACAAACATAATGTCTTTCGCATCACTTAGAAGGAGCACTGGCAGTCTGGAGAAGGTATGTTAATGTTATGTTTCATTCATTCATTCATTCATTCAATCAATCATTATGACTAATTTGACCAATTATTACAGACAAGGTACATCAAGGGCACATTCTTGGTCTTGAGACCTGACACAGACAATGAGTTGTTCTGGCTCGCCACAGCACTAGAAGGTAGTTACAATCAAAATGACTGGAAATCAATTAATTGATTGATGGATTGATGGCTGGAATGGATCCAGGAACATTGACACTAACGTTAACATCACATTGGATATATATATATATAGATGTATCATATAAGAATAGTGAGGTCTATGTTAGATGGCTAAACAAGGTTGATGGATCTGACTATGAATTCGAACTGGCATCCACTGTGCAATCATGCAAGATTCCAGTGGATTCGGTTTTGGTCACGACAAAGTTGTCGTCTAGCGCACGAGACAAGGACAAGGAAGGCGAATCGACACTGTACAAAATATCAAAGACTGAATACAATAGGATCAAGTTGTTGGCCGAAGAGGACAGAGAGGAGGAGGAGAACGAGGACGAGGAGGAGGAGGAGGAAGAAGAGGAGGAGGCCGAGGAGGAGATGAAGGTAGAGGCTCCTGTCCAGCCTGTGACCACCTCCAAGAAGAAGGCGGCAGAGACCAAGGCCAAGTCTCCAGCCAAGAAGTCTCCGGCCAAGAAGGCCACCACAGTGGCCAAGACCAAGAAGGAGACCACCGAGGCGCCCGCCAAGGAATCAAAGAAGGACGCCAAGACCAATGGCAAGCCAGCCAAGAAGGAGACCAAGAAGAAGAAGAAAGAGGAGTCGTCATCAGAGTCATCAGAGTCCGAGTCCGAGTCAGACTCGGACGACAAGAAGAAGAAGAAGACCCCCGTCAAGAAGACCGCCACACCAAAGAAGGAGACAGCCAAGAAGGAGACGGCCAAGAAGGACAAGAAGAAGGACAAGAAGAAGAAGAAGGATGAGTCATCATCAGATTCGTCGGACTCTTCTTCGTCCGACTCGTCAGAGGACGAGAAGTCCAAGAAGAAGAAGAAGGCCAAGAAGGACACAGATGAGAAGGAGAAGAAGGAGACAGCAGCAGCAAAGAAGAAGAAGGCAGCAGCAGAGAAGAAGGAGACCAAAAAGAGGAAGAAGTCCGAGGCCAGCTCGGACTCTGAGGCTGAGAAGCCCAAGAAGAAGTCCAAGGCCAAGGCCGGCGACGCTGCGACCAAGACTGAGAAGCCCAAGAAGATGACAAAGGCTGAGCAGAGGCAGCTGCTCAAGAAGGGCAACCCCAACCCCGAAATCCAGATCGTGGACGCTGATCCCACCTTTGAGTCGCAGAGCGTCACCATCCCGCTGTGCTGCTACCTCTGCACGGCCAAGGAGGCCATCCGCGCCGTCCTCACCAACAACATGATGCTGCTCAGCACATTGGTCGCGCGCAACGACTACAAGTCACTGTTTGTCAACCGTTCGGCCGACATCCCCCTGACCGCACTGGACTATGCTGTGCTCAACAACAATGTCAATGCGATCAAGATCATCTTGGAGGACGCCAAGAACGACAAGAAGAAGCGTCCCAACATGCCATCCCTTCAACAAGGACTCCACTGGCTCATTCACCAAGCACACCTATGGTCACTACAACATCGCTGCTCTCAACGTCAGTCGTGGCGGCAAGGAAGGCAAGGAGGCTTTCCTCCAGGACAGAGAAAGCTACGAAGCAGAGGTAATTGTTAACATCATCATATCAATCTTGGAAACGACGACGACACTAACTCAGTCAATCAATCATATGAATTTAGACTGAGTTTGATAATGTTTGGGATTTGATACAGACTGCGATGGAGTCAAGCACCTTGCAGGTCGCCACGTTGAACGAGTTGATCAAACTCCTGCCCAACTCTGAGATCCACATGCACCAGAGGATATTTGTGGCAGTCAGAGCCGGCAACATTGTGTTGGCCGAGAACTTGATACGCTCACTCGAGAAGAGGGGTGGCTTCGGATTCAACGCCCTCCACTACGAGACGCTTCAGACCAATGGCGCCGAGCTGACGCCATTCAAGTCGGTGTCAGTCACCAAGAAACCAGTCGGCAACAGCAACATGTCGCCAATCCATTGCGCCGCCATCAATCCCAAGGACAAGTACCTCAAGGCGCTGTTGGATTCGGTGTCCGAGCCAGGCCGTCCCGATCAGCAGCAGTACAGGCCCATTCACTATGCTGCTACGGCCACCACCGATGCCACCACCAAGGCTTCTCATCGCCAAGGGTGTTGAGATCAACGAGCTCACCACCTCTGGTTTCACTCCTCTGATGATCGCCTGCAAGCACGGTCGTGTCCAGACCATCAAGGCGCTGCTCAAGTCTGCCAAGACCAAGGACCTCAACATTGCCATGTTCAAGAACAAGAAGGGTGTCACAGCACTGCATTTTGCCGCCGAGAACAACCAGATGGGCGCCATGCGTCTGTTGTTGGAGGAGGAGAAGGCCGACGTCAACGTGCCCGAGAAGTCCACCAAGTACACGCCACTCATGAAGGCATGCATACAGGGCCACATCGACATGGTCAAGCTGTTGGTCGAGGAGGGCAAGGCCGACATTGAGAAGAAGGACAAGTTCAAGCACACAGCCATCATGCTCGCCGCCAAGAACGGCCACCTGCGCATCGTCTCGTACCTGCTGCACATGAACGCCAACATCAAGGTGGTGGACTCGTCCAAGAACACACTGCTGCACTATGCTGCAGCCTACGGCTGGTTCGAGATATGCAAGTATCTCGTCGAGGTCTTTGCCTTCCCCATCAACGACTTGAACGACTGGAAGGTGTCTCCTCTCTCCGTCGCCGTGCTCAAGGGCCACTTTAGGATTACCGAGTTCCTCATGAGCAACAAGGCCAACCCCAACGTGTGTGACGAGGAGGGCCGCAGCATCCTGCTGCAGTCGCTCAACGTCGACATCAACGACTCGCTCGTCTCCAACATCAACTACCTGGTTGAGTCGTGTGGCTCCTCGGTCAACCATCAGGACCAGAACGGCCAGGCCGCGCTGCATTATCTCGCCGGCGGCGTCTCGTACAACCACGAGAACCCCGAGAAGCTGGAGCGCTCCATCGAGGACAGCTCGCGTGCAATCCAGTTGATTGGTGACATCCTGCTCAAGAAGGGCGCCGATATCAACATGCTCGACAAGAAGAAGCAGACCCCACTCATGGCAGCCTTTGCCAGCCAGAACATTGGAGCGATCATGTTCTTCCTGGCTCGCGGCGCCTCGATCGACGGCATCTACGAGGAGACCGGCAGCAACCTGCTACACTTGCTGCCATCGATCTACAAGAGCCACTGGAACAAGTTCGCCGCCATCAGCAAGCTCATCCTCGGATCACCCATCATTAGATCGATCGTCAATCATATCAACAAGCAGGGCATGACCCCACTGCTCTCCATCCTGGACAGCTACAAGAAGCCAGACGTGCGCAACTGGAACAGGAAGGAGGTGACCGTCACCGACCTCGACCTGGAAAACATCTACGTGGACTTCCTCAACCAGTTCCTGACCATCGCACAGCCAGACACATCAATCGTCAACGACCGTGATCCAAACGCCATGGAGATCGACAGCAACACCAACGCCAAGAAGGCTGGCGAAGAAGGTGAGGAGGACGAGGAGGAAGAGGAGGATGAGGACAATGGCTCGGACGACGATGGCTCAGAGGACAACTACGACTCTGACAACGATAGCTACGACGACTCTGAGGACGATTACCCAACTTCACACAACAACAACGACTCCAAGAAGCCACAAGAGTTCTCAAAGAAGTCCGCGTTGCACTTTGCCGTACTCACTGGCGTGTCCCGCTTCATCGAGACGCTGCTCGCCTCAAAGCTCATCAAGTCTCTCGACATGCTCGACTCGAAGCAGCAGACCCCACTGCTCACCGCCATCCAGGACAGCAAGTTCGACTGCGCCATCATCCTCGTCGACAAGGGAGCCAACCTCTCTACGACCGACCGCAACAGCCAGACACCTCTACATCTCGCATGTCAGGCCATGCACTTCCCATTGATCAAGCGTCTCGTGGCCATGGGCGCCAAGGTGAACCTTCAGGACAAGGACAAGGCCACCGCTCTTATCCTTGCTTCCAAGAAAAAGCATTCGATCGGCGACGATGCCCTCGAGGGAGAGGAGAACCCCATCTCGTTGCTGCTCAAGAACAAGGCCGACCCAACCATCTGCGACAACCTGAAGCGTAGTGCACTCCACTATTGCATCAACTTCTCGACCAGTGATGCCAACACCTCGTTCGAGCTAGAGGACCTGCTCATCAAGCACGGTGCCCAGCTCAACGCCGTCGACTACCTCGGCCGCACACCGCTACACTACTGCTTCATCAAGATGGGCCAAAACAAGATCACTGACGGCTCCACCTTTGATCCAATCCAGACTGTGTCATCGCTCTGCTCGCACCCAGGTATCCAAGTGGACGTTGCTGACAAGTTTGGCAGGACCCCCTTGTTCTATGCCGCTCAGCACGGCTCCACCGTGTCGGCCCTGCATCTCCTGCAGCGCAAGGCAGAGATCAACCGTCTTGACGAGGATCAGAACAGTCCGCTCTCGCTGGCTCTCAACTACAACCACCCTGACTGCGCCATCAACTTCATCCAGAAGAATGCCAATGTCAAGGGCACGCTGACCAAGTACAATCTCGAGTTCAAGAAGGTGCCCGTCGGCCTCACACCCGAGGAGTTGGCCGCATACGAGCTCAATCTCCAGAGCAACAAGCACAACCGTCAAGGCCAAGGCAAGAGGTTTGCTGTCCCCGTCAAGAGAGGTGTTTTTGGCGCCATCGCCAACGCACATGCCAACACCAACGCCAACGACAAGCCCAAGGAGCAAAAGGAGCTCACATTCACGACAGAGGTGATCAAGAAGAACGTTGAGACCATGGGACTCTTCTACCACGTTGTCAAGAACAACTACCAGGGTGTGGCCTACATCATGCTCGACGCAGGTCTCGACACATTCAACGCCCTGCACGACGCTCTCAAGGCCGACAAGTACCAGCTGGCACTCACGCTCATCTCCAAGGTGCGCGAGCTCAAGGAGGTGCAGTCGACCACTCATCACCAGAACATCTTCCACTTTATTGGATTGTACCCTAGCTCGGTGACCAACTGGGCACACCGTGTGCAGCAGAAGCTCGTGCAACTGGGCCTGCCCATCAACGTCAAGGACTCTGAGGGCAGAACACCCCTGCACTATGCCGCCAAGAAGCTGAACGCCAATTACACCCAGTTCCTGCTGGATAACAAGCTGGACATCAACCTGCAGGACAAGAACGGCTTCTCGCCCCTGTCGCTCAGTCTGCTCGATCTGGACAGCACATCGATCACACTGCCAGCCGAGGTCAAGCTGCTGCTCAACAATGGCAGCAACCTCGAGCAGCTGTTCCCTTACGCTGACAACAAGGTCACACCACTGGTCTTTGCCATCCTCACCAAGAACATAGTGCTGTTCAAACAGCTGGTGTCGAACACCATCACATTGGACAACAACCAGGAGAGGCCCATGAAGATGGCCAACGTCAACACCCCCGATGCTCTTGGCCAGACCCCTCTGATGCACGCCGTTCGCATGAACAACGTCGAGTTTGTCGAGATCCTCTTGACGCTCAAGGCCAACATCGCCGCTCTGGACATGGACAAGAAGACCGTGATCCACCACGTCGTCAACCCAACCAGCTACGGCTCGTACGAGAATGTCAAGCTGCTCAACCTGCTCGCTGCCAAGGGTGCCCCAATCGACACAGTGGACATTGGCAACCACACTCCCAACTACTACGCCTCGCAACAGGACTCGGGCAAGATGTCCACTGCTCTGTTGGCACTGGGCGCCAAGCCAATCCCACCCGCCACCATCCCCATTCGCGAGACCTCAGTCATCACCTCATGGGAGACCATCAATTACGAGGCCGACGTCGAGAAGTATCTGGCCAAGGTGGCCGCCAAGAACAAGGAGGAGGTCAGCAAGCTGCTGCCGCCCAAGGTCGACAAGCGATCGGGACTGGCCGCTACATGCGAGGTCTACACCGACGACAATGGCCTCATCTACGACGTCCTGCTCACAAAGGTCGACGCCAAGGTGGGCTCATACGGCATGAACAACTTCTACATCCTGCAGCTGCTGCACAACAAGAACATCGACACGTTCGTGCTGTTCAACTGCTTTGGTCGTATTGGCCAGTCGGGCCAGTTCCAGAAGACTGCCTACTCCAAGGACGAGGCCATTCTCGAGTTTGGCAAGATCTTCAAGTCCAAGACTGGACAGACCTTTGCCAAGTTTGACGACGCGACACCATTCGTGCGCGTGCCAGAGAAGTACAACTTGCAAAAGATCGACCGCCACGAGCACAAGAGGCGCGAGGTGTTGAAGCCATTCAAGATGAACAAATACCCACCCTCGAAGCTGCCGCTCGCACTCCAGGACGTAATGAGCCAGTTCTGCGACGTCCAGGCCATCGAGCAACAGCTAAAGCAGTTGCGCATCAATGTCGACATCATGCCACTGGGCCGTCTGTCCAAGGACACCATCCACCAGGCTGTTGTAATCCTTGGCCGTCTCAAGGACCAAGTAGAGACCCTCGGCAAGGCCATGAAGGACGACATCAAGTCGGCCAGTGCCATCGGTGAGGAGATACTGGCGCTGAACAACCAGTTCTACGAGCTGATCCCCCACGCCGAGTTTGCCATGGACAAGATGCAGATGCTTACCGACGACCGCCAGATTGGCGCCAAGATGACTCTCTTGCAGAACCTCGACGAGCTGGAGGTTGTCTCCAAGATCCTGTTGGCCGCACACTCCAACAAGAAGATCCATCCCTACGACTACTGTCTCAAGGCCATCGGTGTGTCGCTCGAGGCGCTTGCCCCCACATCGCCAGAGTTCAGCGCGCTCAAGAGCTACGCAGTCAACACTGGCTGCCGTGCAGACACGGTTGCCAACATCTTCCGCCTGCAGCGCCAGGGCGAGGCCGAGCACTTCACTCAACGCTCCAAGAGTCTCGACAACCACTTCCTCCTGTGGCACGGCACCAAGACCACCAACTACCTCAGCATTCTCTCGCAGGGCCTCAAGATTGCACCACCCGAGGCACCGGCCACCGGCTACATGTTTGGCAAGGGCATCTACTTTGCCGATCTCTTCACCAAGAGCCACGGCTACTGCCGTGGCGTCGGCAACTCGGACCAGTTCCTTCTGCTGAGCGAGGTTGCTCTGGGTAAGATGAAGGAGTACTACGAGTCGTGCTACATGGATGCCGCGCAGCCCGGCACCAACAGCACCAAGGGCATTGGCAGACGTGGACCAGAGTTTGACAACAGCATCGTTCTGACCAATGGTGTCACCATCCCACTGGGCACTCCCGTAGACACCAAAGAGCCCACCACCGACGACTGGCATGGCTTCAATCTCAACATGAACGAGTACATCGTCTACGACGTCGGTCAAGTCAGGATGAGATACTTGGTTCAAGTGTCCGACAAGCCAAAGACCTACAACAAGTAGATACTAAATCCAACCCAATCTCCAATCCAATTCAATCCAACTTCAATCAACTCAATCACATGATATCAGTCTATCCTTTATCCTTTGCAACTAAACTACCTAATCAATCAACTTCAATCAACTTCAATAAACACTTATCTATATAACTTAACAAATAATGCAATGAATGAATGAGTCAAGTTCGGGATACTCAATTCAACAGAACCCTGCAATGGGTTTAGGCTAATTAGGAGAACTGACAAAAAAGGTGTTGTTTGGGGGTTGGTTGTGTGTTTTTGATTCAACTTCACCTAAACAAAGGTGATAGTAGCACCACTACTTCATACACACACACCACTCCCAACAACCCTGTGTTAGTCCAATGCTAGATTGGTTGAGGTGTTGTTCGTTACGTTCAACAACAACACCAACACCATTTAATTTAACTTCAACACACATCTCACTTATACATCATTCAAACAAACAAATATTCACTCTCTCTCTTTATCTCTTCAGAGCTCTATCTACTTAACTCTATCATCATCAGGCTTTTTTCATAAATCAAAGATTCAAACATTCAACCAAACAATAGTTTTGTTTATTGGGTGCGCCAAACAGACAGCCACACAGACAGACAGGCTAAACAGAAAAGAAAAGTAGAAGAAGACAGGAAGAGAGGAAGAAGAAGAAGGAAATACGAGTCCAGGAATAATAATATTTTATTATTAATTAACAAAAGGAAGGACTTTGATTGGTAGTGGTAGTAATAATAGTCAAGGTAGTTCACCAACAAACAACAACAACAACATATATAAAATGAAAAGTCCAAAGGAAATGGGTCAAGGCGTTGTAACGCCTACATCACCAAACGGTGGTCCAGGTTCACCATCATCATTGGCCAAAGCAATATCGGCGACGCCAAAGTCTGAAATACCTGGCAAACCAGCAGGAATGAAGCGAAGTGCATCGAGCAGATTCCACGAGAAGACTGTCACCGATCTCCAACAGACTCCAAACTTCAATGGTAATTGATTAGTTGTTGGCGAAACGAATGATTGATAGGTCGTCCACAACACTAATACCCTCATTCAATCAATCAATCAATCAATCAATGAAATACAGAGGTACCATTCAACGAAAGACCAAACTTATTGTTGATGAAACTGAAACAGTGCTGTAGTCTGTTTGATTTCTCGGATAACTCTGATTTGATGTCCAAGAATATTAAGCGTGAGGCTTTGTTACAGTGCGTGGACTATGTGACAGCGGCCAGAGAAGGCTATACAGAGGCAGTCTACGAGGCATTGTTTGATATGGTGGCCATCAATCTGTTCAGACCATTGCCGCCACGTATCAACCCCTACGGAGTGATGTACGACCCGGAGGAGGACGAGCCCATTCTCGAGCCAGCATGGCTCCACATCCAGATTATATACGAGCTGTTGCTTCGATTCATCGATTCGCCAAACTTCAACACGCACATTGCCAAAGCCTATGTGGACCAGAAGTTTGTGCTCCAGTTGCTCGAGTTGTTCGACAGTGAGGACCCTCGTGAGCGTGACTATCTAAAGACAACATTGCACAGGATCTATGGCAAGTTCATCGCGCTGAGAGGCTTCATCAGGACTGCCATCAAAGACCTCTTTTGTACATTTGTATATGAATCATTCCAGCACAATGGAGTATCCGAGATATTGGAAGTACTTGGAAGGTTGGTATCCTCTCTCTCCCTCGCTAATGTTAGGCGTGAACATGAATACTCACACAATGTCCATCACTCCTTCCACTCGTTAGCATCATCAATGGCTTTGCAGTGCCTCTGAAGGATGAACATAAGCAATTCTTGGTCAAGGTGTTGCTGCCACTGCATAGACCCAAGTCATACTCTGTATATTGCTCACATCTAGGTTATTGTATCACACAATTCATTGAGAAGGACCCTCAGCTATCTGATGTCATCATTAAGACTATCCTGAGGCTTTGGCCCGTGGGCAACAGTCAGAAGGAGGTGTTGTTCCTGTACGAGATCGAGGATCTGCTCAACTCGATGAACGAAGAGCAGTTCCTGCGCATATACATCCCACTGTTCAAGCAGATCACCAAATGTTTCAAGTCGGAGCACTTCCAAGTGGCCGAGAGAGCCTTACTCCTCTGGAGCAACGATCACATCGTCTCACTCGTCGCCACAAAGAATGTCTTGCCAACCTCACTCAGGATGTTCTACAAGGCACTTTACGACAACTCCAACAACCATTGGAATAAGTAAGTCTTGGAATCAACCATGTCCAAGTCCAATCAATCACTAACATGTTGCGTCGCCAAACACAGGACCATAAGAACACTATCATTCAGTTCATTGAAGTTGTTTAGTGATATAGACTCTGACACATTCAACTCGATATCAGAGCAATGTAAAGAAAACATAGTGTATGTATCAATGCTTTGTTTGTCAACTGATCGCCAGTCATTAACCATCCATTCCACTTGGACACACATACAGCAAAACAAACAGGGGCGCAGAGGTACAGAGGCAAGTCGTGTCAAAGCCAATCAACAACCTACCAGACAACGTATGTATCATATCATGTACACAGAGAATAGGAGGTCATTTACTTACTTACTTGGACATACTGTACAGAGCGGCGACAAGGACAAGCCTATATCAATGATAAGAAGGAAGTCATTGCTTCCAGTGGATCCTTCGACAATTGCAGCACTGTCCAATCACAGAAGTCTGGAGGACATTTCAATCACAAACAATGACTCTGAGGAGAACGAATCAATGTCGTCTTATGATTCGGACCGTGTTCCAGTGGCAATCAGTCAGTAGACTGATCAGATTGATTGGATGGCTCGTGAGGAATATTGGAGTCAATCAACCCTCCGCACTTGTGCAATCACTCAATCTTTCCTAATGTACACTTCAAAGAATAAACCATCATTAATAATGATGTTTGGATAATATAATATAATTTTATTATTATAAAGTCGTGAATAAGATTGATTGAATGATTGATGGCAACATACTTTGTTGAGTATTGTTACATAACACGTGTAAATATATATATCGTTGTAATCGTAGTACGAAATAGGTATGACTGGCTCCAACTATGAGATACATGTTGGCATGGGGAAGAATGCCTGATCTCGGATGATGGACTTTCTACGTGTAGTCGTGATGTTGGCAGTGGCCGTTGGTACATTCACTGGTTGTGTAACATTACTACTATTGTTGGTACTACTGTTATTACACATTTGTTGAACTACTTGAGATGATTGAGATGATGATGATGTTGATATATGATTGTTGTTTCCAGTATTGTTTACAATTATATAATTGTTGTTGGTCATAACTTTAGTTGTGTTGTTGGAGTTGGTCTTGATTGGCATGTTGGATGGGAATGTTGTAGTTGATGGTACTGGTGACATTGATGCAGTTGGTGATGAACTGGCCGAGAATGATATATGAGATGGTACTGGTACTGGAGATGCCTGGATAGCAATTGGTGCCTGGATGGCATTCTTGTGTCTGAGTTGTCTGATGTGAGCAACAAAGTTATCCAACAGTGAGAAGTACTCCAAGTACTCGTACCATGGACATGAGACGTCAAACTCCAACAAAGTCAGGAAATCAATTTCCAGCTTATTGAGCTCGTCCCTAGTCACACCTCCTATATGACTATAATATTCATTGTTATAGAATATATCTATATAAATGATTGAGTGAGCGTAAGAGTTAGTTTGGGAACTATTCCAAAGTTCTTAGGCTTATGGGCTGGACCTTACCATCAATATATTTGGAAGCCACTAGTATGGCAGTGATTAAAAGTCTATGAATATTAAAGCTCGTTACGATGAAGTTTGATTGAGTGATGAGACGATTGATGTATACTATAATCATGATGAAGCATTCCTTTGAGCACGGAGAGAACTTTACCAAACGTACCAAATAGTCTGGTATGGTTATCCTTGGTATCTCACCAGTTGGTGACACAAACAAACTAGCATGTGTAGGATTAGCATATCCATTTCTCTTTACGATCTATTAATATTGAATATGTATTAGTATTATGTTGTTGACCTAAGTGTTTGATAATATGATACATACTTCATCACCTATTATTGGAAGTTGACTTAGGACATGTGATAAACTCCAGAATAGTGGAGTTTGGTCCTCTTTCCATTCGATATGCTTAACTGTATGCATTCCATCCTTGATGATATCCAATATCGATGGTAGCTTGAATGGGAACTGTAAGTTCTTCTTATTATATGGATTGTTGGAGAACATCTTATCGATTCTAAATTTGATTGATTGATATGATTGATTGGATTAATTAATTGTTTTGGATATTATAATAAATAATTATTATTTTTTAATAAATAAATAATCTATAAATATAAATATATAAATAAATATATTCTATTGTTATATTATTATTTCTTTCCAGATGGACAAAATTTTATGGATATTGATATGTGTGATCAGGACAATGATGAATCAAAGTATGCTTCCGAACTCAACAATATATTGCCAACTTGTACCGCCGCCTGGGTCATCAGGCCGTGTGATGGGATTGTTCACGGAAACACAGTGTATAATGGTTTAACTAGTGGACAATTGATTGATTGATCGTCCGTGTGTCAATCCATACATCAATTCATCCAAACACACATTCTATCATATGATCCACGGAGTGTGCAGTGTTGTGGTGCGGAGTGGTGATGTGAGGACGATCAGAGTCAACACGAGTCAACATCATGTTTCTAGATGTCAAGCATGGTCAACTCTACACAATGGATGATGATCATCAGCTGATCAGTGTGAGTGTGTGCGTGTGTGAGGAGTTATCGTTGGATGGACCGTCGTCAATTATCCGTGTGTGTCTTGAGTTTATTTCCTCATAAGGCAACAATGTGGATAGTAGTTCTGCCTCTAATGCTATATGTGGAGTGTTGGGGGTGATGAATATGACAGCATTATCATGGTTGTATGTCCCTTGAATGATTGATCAGATCACTCCACATTGTGTGTGAGTGTGAGTGTGTTTGTCCCACACATTCGATCACATGATCAGCTGATCATTCACACACAGACTTCAGATACACACGCACATACACATTATCACAAACGATAGTTCGTCTGGTTCAGTTGACATTGCATTATATGTATATAGAGATTGGATTGGCAACATAGATTTGTAAAGTGTAACAATGAACTTGTTGGTGGAGGTGGTGGACATCGGCTCGGCGCCCGGTGTGAATATGAACATCGTTGCCGTTGCCGTTGCATTGCGGTGCACAATGTGTAGTAGGTGTAGGACATGACACATGTTTGGCGAATGGACACCATGCTTCAGAGAACGACGAGCTTATTGGTAGGTACTACTTAAAGATAATAACAAACAACTCTCTCTCTACACATACTATTCCAATATACTTACGATGATTGTGAGTCAACAATATTGTTGTTGTCGTTGGCAGAGGTGTTGGCATCCGTCCACATTACGGTGTCCATTGCTGCGGCAGCTACATTGTCCATTGCGTACACTGGCTGAACAGCATGTTGTACAGGTAACTCTTGGTCTCGTTGATGTTGTAGCACTTGTGGTAGTTGTTGGTGTTGATAATGACAGGGAGATTGATCCATTGATTGGAGGAGGGGGATGGATGGCTGGATGCTGCTGGATGTGGCTTGATTTGGAAGGAGGTCTAAACTTTGGAATCAATAATGAAGAGTAACTGACTGGATGGGTCGTCTCTACTTATTAACATTATAAAGGTGGGAGTAGTGCTTTGAGTTGGTACAAGTGGCATTGGAGTTGTAGTATGAATGACAGGGTTGTGGAATGAATGATTGAGTGATTGAGTGATTGAGTGAGTGAGTGATGGAGTGATGGAGTGATGGATGGATGGATGAAGAGATAGTAAAGTATGAGTTGATTATGATTATGATATATTTGTTGTTGGACTTGGGGAGGAGAGTGGAATTGATTGTAATCTTGGAAGGTGAGTGAGTATGTTTAGTTGAACCCTATACGACCAGGCGTTATTAAAAGAAATGATTGAGGTACGCACTCTGGTTGGTGCGCATGCGACTCCGACGATCGAGGTCTCGAAGCTTCTTTCCATCTATCCATCCAGGAGCTCCTCAATCCACAGTACACGACACGACACGACACGACACGTGTGAAGCTTACCTTGATCGAGCTTAGAAGCAAGAAAGTTGCGTAACCTCTCCAGGGAACAAGAGGTTGACCACGAGGCCTCGCCTCACCCTATTGTGGTCCTTGGGCAACACACACATAGTCATCAACATCACCATCATCAACTTCCTTGAATTGGATTAGATTAGGTAAGGTCGATATTTAGAAACAACTTGTCCAATCCAGGGCCAAGGCCAGCTTAGTAAGTCTAACTAGGTAGGCACACCTCGAGGATATATCCTAAACAGCTCGACAACAACGCACACACTCACGCATACTCCATACATTGATTGAAGAGGAAGGTTGAACGTTGGAGGACTGATTGATGAATGATTGATCGATCCAATTGCTGATCGATTGACACACCATCATATCGGGTTCATCTGTGCCACTAATGTTGGTGATGGTCTTTGGTTAATGTGCTGGCTAGGGTGTCGGTGACAGGTGCAATGGCCCAACCATCAATGGAGATGTCAAGCTGGAGGAGGTCTGTTTCAGAGCTCCTGGCCTTGTGACCTTTATCTACCCTCCATTATCATTCACAAACTTATGTTTATGTTGAAACAAAAAGTTCCCTCTATGGGCATTGCTTGTTTGATCAATCAATCAAATAAATATCCAAAGTGGGAATGGGCACCAACAACTACAAATAAATGGGTTCACTAAATTTATCATCACTCCAGCCCCTTGTAACACCATCACTTCTTTTAAAACTTTGGATGTTTGTGGATATGATGGATGATGATGACGTTGTTGCCTGTTGCCAATCAAACATCACGACTGCTACTTCCCAAAAGAACAGGAAGTAGGATACATCAGTAAGTAGATATCTATATTACCCAGGGGCACGCACGACCTTAATCAATAACACAACCACACACCATCTAAGTTGAACTTTAACTACATGACATCCAATATCGGGCATCGATGGCTACACTTAATGGGGTAAAGTACATGTTGTAGAAGGAGTTTATTGTGTTGTGTTGTGAGGGTAGGAAGAACAGGGAAGATGGAAGAGAGCTCAGTTGAACATTCTTCTGGCTGACATTGTTTTCTTCCTTGCCACAACTTCGTTGGGGTTGGTCGAGTACAATGGAGTGGTCTGACCCATGATCATTACAGAAGTGGCACGATCATCACCAAAGTAGAAGTAGGCAATCTCGTAGTTCTCACCCATTGTCATGTACCAACAAGTGTCCAGCGAGGCATCGGCCACCTGTATCCTCTTGAGAGTTGGTGTCTCTGAAGAGAACTCCGTCACGTTGAAGGTTCTGCCATCACAGAAGTCTGCAGTGAGTTGTTCTCCATTCTCCATCACACGGAAACATTCACCATTGATATCGTCCAGGTAGAGACCAACAAAGGCAGAGTTAGGGAGTGAGGCCTTGTGTGGAGAGGTGTTGACTGGCACACCTGGGATCTGGATTGGTGATCCAGCCTCCCTCAATACAGCGTCAAAGGCAGGGATGAGGATGTCCATGGCATCCATCATCCAGACGTCCTCAGTGTTGATGAAGAGCATTGCAGAGATGAACACACCGAGACGATACTCTCTCACCAGACCAAGTTGTGAACGGTATCCATCAAGTGCACCGGCCTTCTCTCTAATCCAAAGGTTGTTCTGGGTACTGAAGAAGGTCTCCCATGGTGTTCCGTATGATGACTGGCCATCATTGACGAGGTAGACACCAGCTTGGATGGCTTGGTGCACAGTTGAGGAGTCAAGGATCACATTCTCCTCTGACAACCAGAAGGCAGCATATCTTGCCATGTCACGACCAGAAGAGTACAGTCCTCCCATTGGAGTACCCCAGCCAAGTGGGTAGATGTCGGCGGCAGAGTAGGTACCATTGTCCAAGTTTAGACCAACAGCCATACGGTCCTTGATGTCATCGTAGTAGTAGGATGAGTTCAGCATTCCAAGTGGATTGAGGATCTTCTCCTGTACATAGTCCTCGTACAACTTGTTGGCAGCCTTCTCACAAGTACGACCAAGTACAGACATTCCAAGGTTGGAGTAATGGACATGGTAGTATTGTGGTAGGATGAGGAAGGTCTCGCCCAATCTCTCCAAGATAGTGGCTTCACTACACTTGGTTGGATCCTGGAGTTCATCAAAGTTACATGGCACCTCTCTTGGCAAACCAGTCTGATGGGATGCCAATTGACGGAAGGTAATCTCTCGGGCAGTTCCATATGGATCACGAACGGTGAACTCTGGGTAATACTTTGAGACAGGGTCATCAAGAGATATAATACCTCTATCCCTCAATTCATACATCATCAAATCAGTGAAGGTCTTTGTAATACTAGCAATTCTTACACTAATCATTGTACAAAAAGACAGTTAATACCAGTAAGTATGATGTGAAGAATGATTAATAACTTACGTGTTATCAATGGTTAGAGGTGGAGACTTTGGATCCAGAGGATTAACTTGTCCATAAGCCTTGGACCAAACTAATTCATCACGATATGTGATTGTAGCCATGTAGTTAAGTACACCTGTTGCCTTCATGTTGGCCTCAAGCATTTGGTCAACATCATTGAATGCCTTTTGAATTGTTGGATGATTCAGATCAATTGGAATAGGTGTTGGGAATGAAGAACAACCTATATAATTTATAATTATAACAATAATATTAATATTAGAGACAGTTTTGCCTCTTTGATTATATTAACTTACCTTGAGTTATTAATGCGTGCCATGTCAGTACCAACAAGGTAGTGATAAACAATAAAGAATGTTTCATTGTTTGAATGGAGATATTTAATTATTTATATATATATATATGTATACAAGATTGAGATAGGATGAATCAAACAAAGATATTACCTCTAATAAAAGTGATATGTTGTGAATGAATGATATGTTGTTGATGTTAAAACAACAACTATATTGTTTGATTGAGATTGACAAGTGGCACTCAACAACAACACCGACATTCATTCATTCTTTCATTCAATTCAAACACCCTCCCTCATACACATAGATCTTCACACACACCTACTCGGTTACCCTATCCAAGTCAACACATCTTAAGCTTGACATGATGTGTGGGTTTCCAACTGCCATCCATCCCTTCATTCATTTGGAGGACTAAACGAAGGGGTACACCCTTCCAATATTTCAAACACCTATCCAATCCTAAAACTGAAGTTTTGACGGCCAAGACAGTTCAACTGGACCTCCCTCTGCAGATTGGTTGGTTTGTCTATCTTAGGGAAATTCTGTCCAATCAAAAATAACTTTTAAGAAGTTTACCAAGTCTATAAACGGTTAATATAGACCAGTTGATCCCTATTGATATAATAATGAGATATTATCAGTTTGTTAATCAATTGATTGTTTCACAACCATAATCAATCATTCAATCAATCAATTAATTGATTTTACAAGTCTATGTAATTCTTCCAAGTAAACATCTACAGAACCTCACTTTTAAAGATCTAAACCATAAACTACAGATGAAGAGTAATAAAGATAATAGATGAATTTAGAAGACTGGACCAGTAGTAGTTACTACTATATATAGTACTTTCTTTCCCAGCTCTAGTAAATATTACTACTCATACTATAAATTATATCTCTATAACCATCACCTCTCTTATGTTAACATCACAATCTAATATAGTCTTCAAAATCATCAATGTCAACTTTAAAGATGATATCAGAATAATGTAAGTTATCAGTATCACTCTTCTGGTTTGACAATTTGTATTAATCTTATGAATCATAGATCATACATACCAACATTGAAATATGTTGACATTTGCAAACAACTTGTAGAGACATTCTCGGTTGGGCTTTCGAGTATCGAAGTACTCAAATAACTTCATGACTCGGAATTGATCACAATAACCAATCTATTCTGCCAGTTCTGACTGGAGCAGATCCACAAATTGCATCAGAGGCAATAAACTTCTCCAAGATGAATCACCAGACTTTTCTCCTGGAAGCAATTCCCACAACTCTCTCTGAACAATTGATGGAACAATACTCAGACAATTGGAGGGTCCTCAGAGACTCAAAGTATAATCAATCATCATTAAATTCTATCTTGGATAGCTTGGGAGGTATACCAAGATTCCTGGAGTTGTTTTATGATCAGATCGCCAAACTGGATCTCATACTGTCTTTATTTCGACATAATGCCCTACAAGATTGTATGAGGGAGACAACAAAGGTAGTCAAAAGGGTCTATTCAGTCGATAGGTGGGAGGAAGTAGTTGGTGGACCAATTGGACTAAGTCAAATGATCCACTATTCTCTCTCTGGCAAAGTTGTGACGAACCAAACCATGTTGAATGGTCGTACTATCGGTAAGATTACCTCATCAGGTATACTATTTCTGAAGCCAGTGAAGAATGAAACTCTACCCATGCCACCAACAATTTCCATTAATGACAACAAGGATGATGTATATGAGCCCATCTTGGATTGCTCAAAGGATTCTCCCAAGTCTTCTACCATCTACTTGCCCCTCATCTTAATTAGAGCTATTACCCTTGACATTTGAGACCATGGGTCAAAGCTTGATCAACGGGACCAGATCAGTTCACCACCATTTAATAATAAACTTGAATCAACCATCATTCATTTAATAGATAATCATTCAATGGCATCCAATAAGAACTTCTACGACATACCATTACTCTTCGAAAGGTATTCTCAGATATATCAACAGTATCCAGAGGCTGCAGTGGGCAATGAGTTGTTCTACTCACTGTTGCCAGATGTTAAAGATGCTACAGTGCTGGATTTAGGTTGTGGCGATGGTAACTTTGGAAGAAGATTGATGTCATTAGGTATTGCATTGGTCGAAGGCTACGATCTATCTCATCTGATGATCAATCGTGCTCGTGAGTTGGCAAATGGTGATCAAAGACAAGTCTACCAAGTCGAAGATATAGAGACAATGTCACTCAAGAAGGAGAGATACAACCTCATTCACTCTCTCTACGCATTTCACTACGTTGTAGATCTTGACAAGTTCATGAAGAGGATGTACGATGCATTGGTACCCAATGGCGTGCTGATGTTTCAAGTTGAGCATCCTGTTCGTACTAGCAACCCAAATGAACAAGACCTTGTAGAGGTCAATGGACGAAAGGTATTCCCATTGAGCAACTACATGGAAGAGGGTGAACGAGTTACAACATGGCTCGGTGTACCCAATGTATCAAAGCGTCATCACTTGATATCAAGCTACGTAAATAGTTGCATCAAGAATGGTTTGCAGATCGAAGTGCTCAATGAGTGGGCGCCAGCCTCTCCTCCCGAGTTAAGTGTACGTCCATTGTCACTCATGATCAAAGCTAGAAAGGTAGTGACCAACAACAACAAGTAAAAGTAATAACAACAACTCATCATCAACGAATCAATCACTAATTCAATGTATGTATTGGTGGATTGGTGGATTGATCGATCATTCAATCATTATTTATTGAGATTGGTACTCTTGTCAGTGATTGTGAGCATGGCGGCATCTTCGTTGGCCTCTGCATCGAGGTCAATGTCGTAGGACTTGAAGAGACATGAACGGATCTTGCTGTCCAACTGAACAAGTACGGCTTCGTTGTAGCATTGTATGGATACCTTCTTCTTGCTTGAGCTAAACGTGCCGAATCTGAGGTAGCGCTTGAGATGGATGTTGAGGTAGGTCTTGCCTGACTTGGGATGTCCGATACGCGAGATCTCTGTCAATGGGAACGACCAGCGGTATGTGCCCTTCTTGTTCAGACAGATCACCGACATGGACGTCAGCAGCACCGTGCATTCGGGCAGCGACAGATGGTACTTGTACTCGAGCTTCTTGACGCCCTGTTGTTGGATGATGCTCTCGCTGTTCTGGCGAAGCAGGAAGTTGCCTTCGCACTCCTCGACGACAAACTCGCGGATGGGCTCACGTGGATTGAGGTAGCGCGGCACACGTATCCTGAACTTCTCTGGATTGATGTTGGTGTTGTTCCTGATGCCTTCTGATGTCCTTGCGGCAAAGTCCAGCATGCCAGTGAATGGCTTGATTGCAAGACCTGCAATGCCCTTGCCAACGCCCTTCATGAATCCAATGGCGCCGTCCTCCATGGCACCCATTACAGGTTGCGTGATGATACCTGTGAAGCCCTCAAACACACCAATGGCCAAACCTTTGGTGCCAAGTATGATACCTTGACCAATGTGCTTTGCCTTGATACGCTCCTCAGCGTCACGTCTCCTGAGGTACGTCTCGTCCATGGACCAGACTGCAAAGCCGTTGGAAATGGTACCAAACAGCTTGGCATAGCTGTTGGCCACGGCGTAGAGTATCCTCTTCATCAGTAGGATTGATCCCTTGATGGGCTCCTCAATGGCCTCTGTCATTCCAGTGCTGATTGTGTTGAACAACACAACGGGACTGCCAAAGATGCTGGACGATCCAAGAATGATGTGAACCTGTCTCCTCATCTGCTTCGAGTAGTGTGCGTATAGCTGTTCCTGTAGTCTAGCATGAGTCGTGAACACATTCTTGATGCCAAGCTGATTGATTGTGAGTGGTGCATTCTCAAGCTGTCCAAGTGACTTGCCAAGTGAAGGGACCAATAGTCTGAGTGCTGGGAGACGACTGTTGTGATTGAGTATGTTAGTATCATGATTAGATGTGTCATTGAGTTGATTGATTGATTAGCTTACTTGTAGTGGCTAAGGATACCATCTCTGGATATACTGAATGTCAGGTAGATCTTGATCTCTGCAAATATCAACCATTTGATATAGAACATGCTTGGTTGCTCGACGTTGGCCTTGGAGTTGGATCTGAAGAACTTGTCCAATGGTAGCTTGGAATAGAAGGAGTAGAGATTGATCAATGTAATGTCATCAATCTGTACGTACAACTCGTTCATGTACAGGGCAATCAAGTCATAGTAGTCAAAGTTCTCTGTTAAAGTGATTGTTAGAGTGAGTGAGTGAGTGAGTGATCGAGCTAGATCAGGGCACCAACTTAACTTACTCTTGTTGAGCTTAATCGCAGAGAACTCGAGGAATGGAAGACATTTGCCATCAAGCTTCTTCTCACACCAGAGCATGACTGGATAGTCAGTGTCTGGTTTTTGGTTGTCAACTTGGATGTCATCGACTGTGATCCAGGTAGTGTGAGTGATGTTTGATGCGCTGTACCAGAATGAACAATCCTTCAAGAGGATATAGATCAACTCCTCTGGAACATCATTGATGAATGAGAATCCAAGTCTTTCGAATGAGAACTCGATTGCGAATTCGATCATCTAAGTATGATTGTGTAAGTGAGCAGTTGAGGTTGAGTGAGTGTCCATGGACATTGTTGGTTGATCATTTCGATACATACATCAAGGACCTTCTCTTCCTCATGATGATGTGAAAAAGTGAGCTCACGAGTGATACCATTCACAGCCTGTGACACGGGGAATATGAACTGGTTCTGTATGATGGATAGGAGAGTTAGGACCCGATCTTGCGAGTGAGGGTGAAGGGAAGAGGAGGGTATGTACGTACATTGTACTTGATAGGCTTGAAGGCTTTGATCTTGTTCAGATTGATCTCGATGGGCGTTGATGAACTCTCAATCCAAACAACCAGCTTCTGGTCGAGACAGGGATGATCCCATGTGTAGTGTGCGCTCTCGCCAGGCTTGAGGATGTACTTCTTGGCCTGTGGACAGAGCTGCACGAATGAGATGGTGAGCTGTGTATCATTTTTGATGTGGAAGGGTAGCAGTTGATGATCAATCGCATAGAACACCACCATGGTGGACTCGTTGGAATCGATGACCTCGACCTTGATGGCTCGCTCAATGGTGCGATCCTTGGAGTTGAATAGCTTGAGGTAGTTGGTGCCGACCGTGTCGATGCGAACGCCACCTGACCATGTCCACTCGTCCTCCTCGAGCTTGATAGAGATCTGTTGTTCGTCAAAGCCGTTGAACCAGTGGAATGGCGTCTGATCGTCGGGACGCAGCACGTGGCGCTCCTTGGCCATGCGATTTACATCCTTTGAGTACTGGGTGTAGAAGATGGTCTCGGGGATCTTGTTGACCAGGCAAAAGCGCGGATAGATGTCGACACGACGCGTTCGGAAGTAGACGCTGTTGCCCGTGGACACAAACACCTTGAATTGCAGCTGCATCGTGTCGTGGCCATGCAGCTGTAGCTCGATGATGTCCTCCTTGCCTAGCAAGATGTCAAACTCCCTCGAGTTGATGTCGGGGAACGATGGATGCGACAGGGTGAACTTGTCATGCGAGAGCATCAGGGCATTCTCATTGGACTCGAGAATGAGGATAGGGACGGTCTTGGGACCAGACACGGTGGGACGCATGACGAATGGGATCATCGTGTGATTGGTGATGGTGTTAGCTGCGTAGATAGTGGCAATGTGGCAGCCGCCCTCGAAACGATGGTCGATCTTGAGCACCAGTGGGTATCCCGTCTCGAGCATCGTGTACGTGACCTCCTGCGTGAAGTTGCTGTCATCCGACTTGTCAAACACATGTGGCGTCGTGTCGAGCATGTAGTGCAGGTGGAAGTACTGCTCCTTGCCAAGGCCGCGCAACGATATGGTTACTCCGACATCATTCTCAGCGTGCGTGTAGAATGGGATCTGCTTGCCCGCCTGGATCATAGCGGGGGGATGCTGTTCGATTGATCGCTTGTAGTCGGACTTATTACGCTTGCGTTCGCTGTGGCTGTGGACACGCACATTGATGTCGCAGTACAAAGCATTCTCAATGATGACGGGTGGACACACAACGAGGGTGGTGGAGATCAGACCAGTCTTCTCGCAGCGAATGCCGGCCTGTATCAGCGTGGCCATGTGGAAACGATGGAAGATGCCCTGTAGCGAGGTGTATGAGTGGTGGCTGCTCGTGCCCACTGCTTTGTTCTCCTTGAATGGCGCGAACAGGTGGGCGGATGGCCAGGATGCCGAGTCAACAAGGTCGAGCGCGTGTGCCAGGTCAAAGTCAAAGTCCGTGCCAGCTGGGCGCATCGACAGTTTGCTGGTGTGATTGAAGAACTCGACGGGTACGTAGAAGTTCTCGTGTACAGCGATCGGGCCAAAGATGTGATGTTCCTCATTGTCTTCCGTGGCCAGCAGTAGCTCGACGGGGATGGTGCATGAGTTCTTGACAATGACGGGTGAGCGCAGTGTGGCGATCTTGTTCTCGTTGGACTCGTTCCAGCCTACCTCGCACACGATGATGTTGGTCTTGTTGCCGTGCGGGATGAAGTAGAAGTTGTCGCCCATCATGTTGATCGACACGCCGTGTATCCACTGATCCTGCTCCGAGTCGGTGAACTTGAGCGCAATGTGAGCGTTGAGGGAGCCCAGTGTGCGGAAGTCGCGCGTCTTGAACAGTACCGAGTTGAGCTCAAGTGGGCTCTTCTCCATGTTCTTGAGCACATGGATCTGGCGATTGGCCAATGACACTGATTTCCTGTTTGTCTTGCCTGAGTTGTTGCCGCTGCTGCTGCTACTGCCCGCATTGTCCTCGGGGATTGAGGGCAGGGAGACGGTTGAGCTGGACGCACTGAGGTTATGGCGACTGCCAGTGCGCATCAGATCTTGCTTGCTGGGCTGTTGTTGGAGTTGAAGCTCCTCCACGTAGTACATGATGTCCTTGCCTGTGAGGTTGACAATCCAAATGACGTGTTGCGACATTGTATTGAACAACTGTTGCGCGTTGGACGAGCTGGACATTAGACGTCGATGTTGCTTGGTGTTGATGTTGGATGCAATCACTGAGGACTTCATCGAGTCGCGGTTCCTGTGCGCTATGATCATCGATGAGAGCGATGGCTTCTCGATGACGGCGGGCGCCACTTCCTGACGCTTCCATCGTACGGTCTCGATGGTCTTGGTCGGCGAGACCAGATCCATTAGCGAGCCAACGGAGCCAATGGATGACATTGAATTGGTTCGCGAATGTGTTGGAGAGGTTGGGATGGATAGTGGCTTGGTCGATCGTGGAGACATGAGCTGTGGCTTGTCATGACTGGATGTGGAGCTGGACGATCCTTCGTCTGGATCACCTTGTTGCAGGTTGTTGTTGTTCTGTGGCGCATCAATGTGTAGCGACTTTCGCGAGGCAGACTTGCGCTCCTTCAACTCCTTCTCATTGGTCACCTGAATGTTCTCGTAGAATCGTGCGAACGATGAAATGAATGGATGTGAGATGTTGATGTTGACCAAGTCTGAGGTGCGCACGTTGATCTTGAGACGCGGGTCCTCGGACTGGAGTATGTGGATCTGCAGCGGGAATTGTTCCACGAGTGAATCGAATGCCATGTGCTTGTAATTGAACACCTCCACCTTGAGCAGACACTTGATTTGCAGGAAGCTGTAGTCGGCCCAGCCCCAGAAGTCGCTGGACAGGTCGCCCATGGTCAGCTGCAGGAATGGGATGTCCTGGAGTGTGACTGCGTGCAGCTCGTCGAGCAGAGTGAGATTGACACGGCCAACAAAGTCAAGCTTGGCGCGAGTCTTGTGCATCAACTTGAATGAGTCCTCGGGCCGGACTGGCGCGCGAAGTGACCTGCCCTTGACTGGGCCCTTGGGGGCGTCACGCTTCCTGTTTGATCTCTTGGACTTGTCTGAGCTCGTGCTTGAAATAGAGGGTGGCTCTTGCGCTGGTTCCTCCAACGGGAGAGGGTCAATGAACAAGTCGTCGGCAGCGAGGGGCGCGGGTACGGGCGATCCAACCTGTGAGTTGGGTGTGGACGAGCCGCCTGCCTGCTGGTATTGTTGCTGCAGGTTGCCACTACTGTTGTTCGCGGCCACATTGCTGTCCTTGACTGTAAGGTTGTTGACGATTCGATTGATAAGCAGGATCTCCTTGTACGAGAGGAAGATGTTGAGTGGCTGGAAGGTGATCTTGATCGTGCGCTGATCATTCTCGGAGAAGTGCAACAGAATGAAGTCGAATGAGAACTTGTTGGTGATGGGCGTGGACGATGTGCCCTCATTGTCTGTGAATGGGGTATTACGGAACACACGACACCTGGGCGCCTTCATCTCCATCGTCTGGTTCATCTCGGGCGATCGGGAGTAATGGAACTCAATTGGCATCTTGATGACGATAGCACGAGTGCTCTGCTGTGTCTCATTCTCCACAAGCAGCATCTTGGGCTTGGTTACCTTGAGGTACAGACGGAAGAAGTTGCCGGGCACGGTAGGAGGCGATGCTGACGACGATGCTGGACTGTTACTGTGATTTTGGTCCAACAAGAAACGATGATACTTGGTCGGCTTCTGGATAGAGGAGAAGAAGGCAAGAATGGGCAAGATGGAGTCGGGCGACACGAATAGCATGGGGTGGTCGCAATGGATGGTGACAAAGTTCCTGCTCTTGCGCGAGTCGATCAGGGACTCGACGTAGAGGTGTGGGGCGTCGTAGTTGGCGTGGTACTTTCGAGTCAAGATCTCCTTGAACACAGAGTCAGAGGAGTGACGCTCATCAACCAGCTGCACTTGCTTCACAGTCATCTCCATGCGAACTATGCCATTGCGGAACATGTAATAGTTCAGATTGACCTGGCCAATCTCTAGCGAGGCGATGGGGTCGAGCATCGCGTCCAAATGGCTGATGGCCATCGACAGGTGTCCAATATCGCAGAACATGGTCATTTGTCTCGAGTCATCCTTGGCAAGATCGATGAAGCCAACTGGCGAGGAGAACTGATTCTCGGAAGTGTGCATCTGATCGTCATACTCGGGCGCTACGTACACCAGCTTGTGGCCAACCATGCGGGGCACGGGCGGTGCAATGGGCGGGCGCCTGTTTTGGTCGGTGGAAAATCTCATCCAATCGCTGGTGAACACAAAGTTGAGGAAGCGGTAGTCCTCCTCGCAGAGAATGAGCTCGAGAGCTGGGATGCGCACCAACATTCGCTGGTCCTCAATCACTCGGTTGTCAATTGTATACAGTCGCTCAATGTCAACAGTGCAGGTGGCGTGATTGGAAATGGTCACACGATTGCCTTCTCGTATTGTGAACAGGTCCAAACTGGCGATGTCTAGGTGAAGAACCTCCACGTTGTGAAGCTGCTGTTGCTGTGCGTCCTGACCGGCCAGCACAAAGCGGTAGAAGTTTGTGAGTGTGGTTGTGCCAAAGCTCATGGTGACGGCGTCGTGGCTGGTGTCAGTCGCAGGGATTAGCAGAGTCCAAGGCTCCATGTTGACGATCTGCTTCATGCGTGAAGGGCGTCCGCGCACTGGGGCGTGGGGCGGGGCGACGATGGGGGTGGAGAGGGGCTCCATGACAAAGTCCTTGACGCGCATGATGCTTCCAATCATCGAGACTACGTCGATGGAGGACAGGTCGACTGAGTACTCGGCGTCCCAGTCAGAGCCCTCAGGCTGGCACAGTGGAGCATATGATATGTACTTGAAGGAGAAGAACTGCTTGCTCTTTGTAACCTTGGACAGAACCTCATTGTACAGACTGTTGAAGCCGCTGCCACATAGAATAGCGAGGTCCTTGGCGGTGCCACTCACTACCATCTTCTGTTGTGACATGTCGGCGCCAATGATCATACGCTTCAACATGAGCTCAGATGAGGGGTGGTGCTGGCTGTGCATTGTCATCTTGAGCATCTGGATGCTGCACTGAACATTCATCTCAATATGCGCGGGTAGTGTGTTGCGTCTATGCTCAGCATCAGACTCGGACAACACGATGGGCGCGCCATAAGGTCCATGCACATACTCATAGTATCGCTTGAGTGTGGCGTTGATCACATTGTACATGAACAAGTATTCTTGACACGTGAAGTTGAAATGGATGTTGCCAAAGTCCAACACTGTGCACAGTGCGACGGGGATGGTACCTGCTGATTGTTGTTGAACTGGGTCTTGAATCACCGTTGTCGCCTTGGTAGCCTTGTTGGTGATGTCTAGATTGAGGTCGGCGAGGATCTTTGAGCTGATGAGTAGTTGTCCTGCGTCTTGGATGTGAGTGACCAGTGAGAACTTGTTGATCCTCATCGATGTCTGATCGGTGATGTAGTGCTGCTTGTCCAAGTATGCATTGGAGATGATCAACTCCTCGATGTCGGCATGCATGCAGTCCTCCTGCTCAATGTTCAGGGGCAGGATAATCTTGGCCGCTTGCAGAGTGACATCGAACTTGAGCTTGGACGATGAAGCTGGTACTACGGCCAGAGCTGCCTCATCTTCAATCTTGAAGCATGACTGGATGTCTGTGAACAGGCTGAACAATGGAGTGATGGTAAGGCCATGCAGATTGAGCTCGAGATGTTGCGTCCACAATGTGTCTGCGCTGTAAAGGTCTGGCTTGAAGGTGAAGTGGATGGGCGATGATGTCTCGACAATCTTTTTGAACTTGGACTGTACCATCTCGCGTCGATTGTCTGTGAGTCTGAATGACTTCAACTGGCCAGTGATGGAGGTGGTTGATCCATCTGGTCGCGGAACCCGGAACACACGTTGGGTTGCTTCTATGTTCTTGATCGCCATCGTGGCCAGACCGTGCTTGCCATCGGTCAGTACAACAGTGAATGAGTCTTGATGAAGGGTGACAATTGATGACATGGCGTCAAAGTGTCCCTTCTTCGTCTCGACCTTGCGCGGTGGGGGCGCAACAACATCGGTAGTGGCAACAGACCTCTGATAGCTGGTGTAGATGCGGTTGAGGAATGCACAGTTCTCCTTGGACAGCCTGAGATTGAGTGCTGGCAGTGTGATGTCCGTGGTGGATGTTGGCGGGATGGTGGAGGTGTCTGATGAGGACAATACGAGTTCCTCCATCGAACGCAGGAAGTCGTCGTAGTCTCTGATTGTGTCGGATCGCACAAGCATATGGAGGCCGTCCAATAACTTCAGGGAGGTGTCGCCACGACTCAAAACACAGGAGAGTGATGAGATGTTGTACGTCCATTGCTCGAGATCTACTGGGATGTCGGCGAATGATTGTCTGACAGAGTTGTTGCTCAGCTCTAGCAAGGGGATGGTGATCTTGACTTGATCACGGTCCTGGTCCATATGTGACGGGTCGAACAACGTGATGGTCTTGTTCTTGATCTTGGTGGACATTCGCATGCGAGGTGCTGGGCGAACCTCGAGGGTTGGTCGCTGAGCCAATGGGTTGTTATTGTAGGTGTCCACAATGACGCGCTTGACTCGCATCAAATGATCAAATGGCATTGATGATATACTGGCTCCATTGATGATGCACTCGAGCTCGCTGTCCCAACCATCATCCGAACGTTTGTTGTGTGTCTTGTAGGTGAATGAAAGGATGTTGGGAATGTCCATGATTGGCACGCGTGCGGGAGATGCTGTAGCGTTCAGAGTGTCATCCAAGCGCAGGCTTGATATTGTCGATACAACATTCAATCCCTTCTCAAACAGGATTGCCGTGTCTACCTTTAGGTCATTGAGTGTGAGAGTTGTGTGCACTTGGTCTGAGCCCAGCGGACACAGATCAAAGATGACAGATTGTTGCTGCAAGTCGATGAACATGTCTGTTGAGGCGATCTTGTGGTTTGGACGCAAGAACACTGATTGGGTGGCGTGATCCAGTTGGTACTGACACTCAATCGAGTGATTCAGACAGCGATAGAATGCGTCAAACTGGCGCTCATCAACCTTGAGTCGCAATGTGTTGGTGTGGAGTGCGTATGAGTTCGAAGCATTCGATGTGATCTCTCCATAGTTGATCAGGGGTTTGGACTCCATGATGATGTTGATGTCATAGTTTGTTGCACATACGATCTCTGAGTCGTTTGATTGATGCAACAGCAATGTAGTGTCCTGCAGGGTGACCTTCATCGTCTCTGAGTACTCTGATTGGCGCATGAGTGCCTCAATGTCGCTCAACTTCTCAAAGTCATTGGTGAGCGATAGAGAGCGTGGTCGTGCCGTCACATACGGCTTGCGATCAGTCACAGCGTTGTAGTCTTGCAGCATCTGAATGACGGGATGATCAAAGTTCACGATCATCTTCATTCGACCAATGCTGCTACTGTCAGGTTCTCCTTCGATGCGGCCATGGGCGTGATCAACAGTGTCGACAGGCTTGTACTTGTCCAGCTTGTAGCCACCGATACCAGATGTGAAGGACACGACTACGTAGTCCCAGACACGCAGTAGGAATGCGGGGTAGGCCATTGTGTGCAGGTTGTGCATGTTGAAGTTCATCAGTGTGGAGTGCTTTTGGGTATCGCGCGGGAACATTGGCGACTTGGTATTGAACGAGAGATATGTGAAGTCGATCATCGAGGTGTCTTGATAGCTGTAGAACATGCGCTCATTGAACGAGGTGTCGTGATTGAACTGATGACGACGATCATACACCTCCAACTGCTTGACTGCGCCTGCCACATGCATCTGTTTGAGTCGCGCGACCGTGGGCAGATCGACGTGAATGTCAACGTTGTGGAGGTTGACATCGGCGAATGGGTCGCGTGAGGCGCCCTGTCCATGTAGCTGCAGAAGTAGTTGGTCAATGTGAAGATTGACCCGCATTCCATTGATGTCCAGGATTTTTTGTGACGTTGATTGTGCAGCCAAGGACAGGAGATGGTCGAGCAGGTAAGGGTTGGCGCGTCGCAGTTTGAGCTTTGGCATGTCGTCCATCGAGCGGAAGTGTTGTGCGGCAATGTCACAAACGAATCCAAAGTCGTGCTCGTTGACGTCCAGACACAGTGGCGATATGCGTACATCTACAACCGTTGGTTGTTGATCACTGTTGAGCACTTCAACAGTGTTGATGTATGTTTGATCGAGTGACTGCAGGTCTATGTCGATGGAGAATGGCTGAGTGGTGAGCATTAGGTCAACGGCGTGGTCAGCACGACGCGCCATCACCTTGGCTCCCTCAATGTGAACGAGCATCGACTCGACGGGGACAGGTGTTTCGCCAAAGTGCCACTCCAGGTATCGATTGGTGAGTCGCATCTTGTCCATTGGGACGGCCAATGAGTTCGGCGAGTGAGGTGACACGGGCAGCACGAACATTGGATTGTGGAGCGTAACATCTAGGTTCATGCGGGACAGCACAAACGAAGAGACGTCGGCAAGGGTGGGCAAGGCTTCCCATATCCTCAGGTATCATAGCCACGAATGGCAGCAGGAAGAAGTCCTTCAACGCCAAGATGAATCCAGCGGAGGCGGTGATCGATGATGGTGCGATGTCCAGGGTAACTACAAGGACTGGGGCAGGGTCCTGCTGTTGTTGCTCCTTCATGCTAAAGGTCACATGGGGAGCGTCCTTGGGAGCGATTTCGCTGCTGGGCAGGGGCGAGAACACGCTGGAGAACAAAGGGAGATTGCGTTTATCTGGTCGCAAGTCGCTAAGACTGAAAGATTGAATGCTGCCAGCAAAGTTTGTGGTGTTGTTCTTGCTGTTGAAGCTCTTGAAGTTGAGATGTGACAGCGAGATCTGTGAGAGGTCAGAGTCGGCCGCCTGCAGTGATAGGGCAAAGCGACGCAGGTCCACATTAACGATTGAGGTGATGGCATCACCATCGACAACCTGTGGCTTCCTCTTGACGATGGCCGCTGCAGCCACCTTTTGTTTGTTCTGGCGATGTTCTTTGGTCCTCATTGATACCTTGTCGATCACATCTCTGGTGATGTTATTGATGAGTGCGTGCTCCAAGTCCTCAAACTCCAGACTGATCTCATTGATCTCCACATTGATCATGCGCTGTGTGGGCACCAGGTCCTTGGCCACTGGTCGTTGTGTCTTTGCCCAACACAACAATGTGTCTACGGTTGCATCGACCGATACGTTATTGAGCACCTGATGGTAACGACCTGCTTTGCAAGTCTTGAGATTCATATCGCGAAGTTTGGCTGAAATGCTCTCCCACTCGACCTCCTCGTCGCCCTGTGTCGCGCGTCTAAGCGTTGTGTCTACATGTATCGATCCCAGTTCGGCTATGATCTTGTCGTCGTCGTCTGTTGACAGTGTGTCCTTGGAAGAAAGAACCAGCTGGGGTGACTCGAGGAACACCTTGAAGTTCGTCTTCTTGGCCTTCATATCCATCAACTGATTCTGATGTTGCTGTTGTTGCTGCTGATGATTATTGGCATTGTGGGCTGCATCGTCGCTGCTGTCATCTGTTGTTGCCGGGCTGGCCTCGGAGGCCGAGGCCAAGGCTGATCCAGAGGCCTCTGCCTGGTTCTGATATCGATACAATGAGGCGTACTTGACATCCTTGAATGGTTGCTGAAGAAGGTACTTTGTGCGCAGAATGAAGTCCACCAGAACGGTGGCTCGAATGCTGCGAAGGTCCAGCTCGATCTCAGTGTCAAACACGCGCTTTGTCATTGCGCGTCCTGTGTAGGCGCGATACTTGAACGTAGCCATTGCGACGTCTTGATTGGCCGGCGTCAGGATCTTGAATGATTGACCTTCCACCATGCCGGGGGGCAGGTCTACAAACGACTCGATGGTGATGCTGTCAAGACGACCCTCAATCTCAATGTGCGAGATCGATGTCGTACACTCACTGACCACCAATCGGTTGATGGACAGCAGTCCAATCTCCTTGCCATCGTCGTTGAGTGAGATCGACAGCGAGTGCACGTTGGCTTTGGCACGCAACACACTTGAACGATCGCGAGAGTTGGCCGGTACGCTTGGGGTGACTGCCAGTGCTTGTTGTTGTTGCTTTGCGAGGCTGACTGAGTTTGATCTTGGCTTGGATGGGGACGGTGATAAGGCAGCTGGCTCGCTCGATGTCGAAGTTGCAGGTGACGCTGGTGCCAACAGTGTGACTGCGCCTGCCTTGTCCGCAAGTGCTATCTCATCTTGTACGCGATACATGTCCTCAAGGCAAAAGTCCATGAAACTGATGACCTGTCCAATAGACTTGGAGTTGTAGTTGACGTTGAGCTCGCCAAAGTTGAAGTCGATAAAGACGTCGATGCCCTCGTATTTGGGCGAGTCCTTCTCGACGATGTGATGCGTGATCGATATCAGATTCTTTGATGCGTTGGCCTTGTTCCTGGGCTGAGATGTGACCAGACTAGAGAATCGCGTGTTCTGTTCCAGGCAGTCCTCAATCTCCATCTGTGACAACAGCAGTGTGCCCATGTAATCATATGTCTGCTTCTTGACCGAGAGCTGCAGCTCGTGGATGCGCAGCTGTGTGAGACGGCTCTGTTTCTGCTTGCTACTGGCGCCAGAGATCGCTGCGTACCTGCTGCTCGTATGAACATTGACAAACACCTTTTGCAACGTGAACTCGCCCTCGAACAGCTTGCGACGCGACAGCACCTGGCGGTAGGCCTCGGAGAGCTTGACCTCCATGTGGCTGAGGTCCAGCACCGACTCCTCCTGCTGCTTGGATGTGGTGTACAGTGTGTCCATGATCTGATTGTACGCGTTGGACGTGTGCGACGACTCAGTCGATAGGGTGCGAGCCATGCGATATAGTTGAACGAACGATGAGTCAGAGATGTTGACGCGCACCTCGGGCAGCGTGCCGCTGACCTTGAACAGGGCAAGAGAGAGCTCATTGGATTCGATACTGGTCTGGATATGCAGGTTAATTGCCATCTCCTCAACGAGCGGGAAGCCATTGTTGTTGCTGTCATCGTCCACGCTGCCTGCCTTGACGTTCCACCATTGCTGGTCGTTGCGCGCTAGCTGCACCTTGATCGATGAAAGGTTGACGCGGTAGTGATCGTACAGGTCCGACTCGTCCAGGTCATGGTCCAGGTCCTCTTGCACCATCGTGGATGTGAGCAGGCGGCGGTCCAGTGCGGCGGTCGATCTCTTATTGCGTGCGGCCTTGGTATCGGCCACATCACTTTGCATCAGACAGTTGCCGAGGTCAACAATGATCAGCGTGGTGTCAGGTCGGTTGGCGTGCTCGGGTATGATGACTGTGGGCGCTTTGGCGTCGACCGAGAGATCGATGGTCTTGTGATGATTGATCACTTCTCGCAGCTGGAAGATGGTCATCTCCTTGAGCATGATCAGCTCCTCGACGGCCACAGATGACAGGGGGAACAGGTTGACGCTCTCCTCTGGCGTGGCAAACTCAATCAATCGCTCGATCTGTGGCTTGTTGATCACGACCTCCATCGTGTTGAGCAGCAACGAAAGTCGATAGTCATAGTTGCTCGCAATCGGATTGGTTTCAAACACGATGTTGAACAAATGTTGCTGTTGCTTCTTGTTGGCGCCCTTGTGTTGGTGGCGCTCTTGGTTGGGTGGCGACATTTTGGCCACGGTCATGTCGTTGATGCCAAGTTTGTAGCGTGGCTTGGATGTGATGATGTAGGGGAAGAGGCTGTCGGGGCTAAAGTGATCGACCACGTTGAACGACTCGAGGTCCAGATCAAATCTAACACCTTGTTCGCGCTGTGACATCTTGAATGTTATATTGTTCAGGTAGGAGATCATCAAGGGATCCTCTCCCTTCCTGCTTCCCACCACAGTGAATACAATGGCCTGTACCTTGACTTGGACAATGTGTTGTACGTACTAAGATGATTGTGTGGAATGAGACGGGTTAGGGATGGTCCAGGTCCTTGTCCATGTGGGTCCACTCGCACTTACATCGGCAGGCATCTCTACAGTAGCACTGAGTGCCACTTCGTCGTACTCCATCGACTTGTAAATCTCGTCTTGTTGCTCCTTTGTCAGTTGGATGTTTAGGCGTGGCGTGCTGCCCGTGTTCCAAAAGCCAAACAGACTCCTCGTTCGATTGACCGAGCTGTAGAACTCGCCCTTCTTTGAGTCTGCAATAGCTTGCTCCTTCGCCAGCTCTCTTCTGGCCAATGATCTGAAACTGATTCATTTAGGCCGGCACAAGCAAGTGTTAGTTGATGAAATCAATGACGATCAATCATGATATACTCACTATACAATGTCCTCAAAGCCAAGCTCATCTTCCATTTCTTGCAGTCGCTTGGTCTCTTTGTCGCTGATGGCATCGACCCATTCGACACCTTGAAGCTTCTTGAATAGTTGGACGTATTCCTTGCGATCCTGTCGTCGACGCTGAATGTAGCTCCACGATCGCTGCTGGATCTTCTTGCGTATCGATTCCCTGTACACCTCGGCACAGTAGCGCCACCAGGCGCGAGGGTCCTGCTTGGGACGCAGCTTTGGTCGGTACTTGAGATACTTGAGCTCGTGTGCGTAGTTGCCTATCGTTGTCAGCAGCTTCAGGATGGTCTGGTACTGGTTCTCCTCGATGAAGAACGACACCTCCTCAAACTGGCACTTGATGCGCAGCTTGGGCACATCCATATCCATGCTCAAGTTCTTATTGATCTCTACCTTTAGTGTTACAGTGATTGGCTTCAAGATGTACCTGTGATCTCCAAGTGCCGTGCTTGATCCAGTCTGTGATGTTTATGTTAGTTAGTAGCTGCTTGGTCGAGCACGCGCGGACAACATCCATCATACCATGTTCTTGAGAGCTTGTTGGAAGTCTGTGTTGGAGAGGTCGCGAATGGAATGATCGTCGCTATTGAGATAGATGGAGAAGTCGGTCAACTCGACGTATTTGAATAGGGTGTCATTGTCGACGGCTCGCGACTCTGAGCTGTTGCCTACGTAGGCACGCTTGTAATGACGGTCGGTGGAGTAGGCCGACAGCGAGCCAAACGATAGGCCCAGTGAGTAGACCTTGCCATTGCGCACCTCTTCGTAGCGCAGGTGAAACGTGTTGATCTTGATCTCGATGTTGTTCAATATCTTGGACATGACGCCCGACATGAATGAGTCCTGGCGGCCCGCTCGTGCATCTGCCGCGCCGTCCTTCCACGTCCTAATCAACTCATACTTCTCCAACTTCTTTTGCTTCTCCAACTGCGTCTTTCTCCTCTCCTCCTCCTCATTATACTCGAATCCCGTCTGTGGTATCGCGTACAAGCATATCGAATCAATCTCCAATATTACCGGTGCAGACTTGAGGTTCTACATTGATTGAATGAGTGAGTGATTGAGTGAGTGAGTGAGTTGATGACGATGATGAAGGTGCAGTACATACAGTCCATGGTATCTTCAACTCGAGTGAACCTATAATGCCCTTTTGAACATGTAATGGTAGTTTGAATGATTGTAATGCCTCTCCTTTGATCTCCAAGTTCTTCAAGACTACATTGCCAGAGAATATATTGATTCTCAACTGTTCAGATGACAAGTTCTTAATATACTCTCCAATATATCTAACTATAATATCGGCTACAATTGACTCAAACATCTCTCTCTTCTAAGTATCTCTATAAGTGTATCTCTAAATCTTGTATCTCTATCTTGTGTGAAGTAGTATCTCTATCTCTTTGAATATCTATCTAGTCTTGTATGTATCTCAATGATTGAATGATTGAGTGAATGTGTATCTTTGTGTACCCTTTACTCAAACATACTTAAGAATAAAGATGAAGGTGTGCGATGGGAATTCGGATGCAGATCAGAGTCGACCTCCCACACACTTCACTTTCCATCGAAACTTCCATCAAAAAGAAATCGACGTGTTGGTCTAAAATTTTGGTGATTGTGATTGATTGAGTGCACTGAAAAAGTGATCAAATATCTGGTTGATTATATAAATATATATTTTAATGTGGATACAGATATCCATCATTCGAATTCAATATTGGCAATACTGATACGCGGTCCAGGGATAGACAGTACTCAAGGTCTTTGTCGCAGCCAAGTTTGGAAAGTCGTTTGAAGTGTTCGGCTACTTGGAGATATTGATATATTGGATTGGTTGAAGACATGGCTACTCCCATTGCCGCAAGATATATTGACTCGGCGGCTTGTGCAGAGTCACATTGGATGTTGAATCCAATGTTGGAACTACGAAGGGCATTGATCACGGCACCCGCGAACATCGTGTCCTCGAGACACATGGCGTCGCGCCAACCTGCACATGCCAACACCACGTTGTTGCGTTTGGCAATGAGGTGTGATACTACCGCGGAAAGGTTAACAAAGGCGCCCGTCAGGATCTCGCCTGGTCCATGGGCAATGGCCATCGTCAGCAACTTGGTGCCATTGGTTGTGGTCAGCACTAGAGTCTTGTCGCGAACAAGTTCCGCGGGATACTCGAGTGGCGAGTTGCCGTGTAGCAGTCCTGGCGCCACACGACCCTCTCGCTCACCGGCTGCGATGGCGCGGTCTTCGCCAAGTTGTTTGACCAGCTCTATACACTCGGACACCTCGGCCACTGCCTTTACACGCGTGGCACCTGATGATAGTGCAGTGGCAATAGTCGAAGTTGCTCGAAGTACATCAATGATCACTATTGTTGTATGACTATCTATATGTGTGTTCTTTAACAACAATGGTGACAATGAACAATATACAGATGGTTGTTGTGTCGTCTTTGTCATGTTGTTCGTGTTAGTGTTCGTGTTTGTGATCGAGGGAGTCGTTGACGTTGCCGGCAGCTGTTGTTCAGCCACCACCATACCATTGGTGTGTTACTAATGTTAATGTTGTTGCTCTCTGTTGTTGACATTTACTTCTTCGTTTGTCGTGTATCGTGTATATCATAATATCATGTGATCATGTGATTGATTGATGAGTGGGTGAGTGTGTGGTGAAGTGATTGATTGGAGTGCACTCAAAATAGATCAGACACCTTTATCAATCAATCTTAGTGATCACACTTTAGTGTATTTATATGTATGTATGTGTGTATGTATGTTGTCCAATATTGAATGGATCAATAAATCAATCACTCTCACTCATTTGACAAGGCGAACGATACTATTCGTACTTAGTTGACACACCCCACCACTAAAGGTTGGTCAGGTGATGAATGGATGGATGGATGGATGATGGGTGATGAGTATACATTGATACATATATACATCTATTTTAACAATCAACACAACAACTAATTACATCTAAACACCATCACTCTTTATGTGTAATATATATATGTTTGTTTGATCAACAACAAACAGTTGCATCATATTAATATCGCATTTGACCTTATTGATTATTTGATTGATTGATTGATTTTATTATATATTTGGAATATAGGATATTAAGTAGTTGTAGTAGTACTTTCCATTCAATAATATTATTATTTTAATTATTATTATTATTATATATATTATTTATTATTTATTATTTCCAGATTATTTAACACCAGAAGATGACTGTTTCAAACAAGATTGGTGATCCAGAAGAGTTATATACAAAGCAAGAAAGAATAGGTAAAGGTTCATTCGGTGAGGTATTTAAAGGGTAGGTCATCCATCCATCACTTCCAAATTAGGAAGTTGACAACTCAACTGCAAACTCACACACATCCACTCAATCAATCATATGATCAAAGTATAAATAAGAAGACCAACGAAACTATTGCGATCAAGATTATAGACCTAGAGGATGCAGAGGATGAGATAGAGGATATCCAACAGGAGATCAATGTGTTGTCTCAATGTGAGAGTCCATTCGTCACAAAGTATCAAGCTTCCTATCTCAAGGGCACAAAACTGTGGATCATTATGGAGTATCTGGCGGGTGGTTCTGTGCTCGACTTGATGAAACCAGGCCCACTGGACGAATCATACATCGCTATAGTGTTACGCGAGTTGCTCAAGGGCTTGGAGTACCTGCACTCAGAGGGCAAGATACATAGAGACATCAAGGCCGCCAACGTGTTGCTGTCGGCAAATGGCGACGTCAAGCTGGCGGACTTTGGTGTGAGTGGCCAGCTGACAGATCAGATGACCAAGCGAAACACATTCGTTGGCACCCCATTCTGGATGGCACCCGAGGTCATCAAGCAGACTGGCTATGATTCCAAAGCTGATATATGGAGCATGGGCATCACCGCGCTGGAGATGGCCAAGGGTGAGCCTCCCCGTGCCGACCTACATCCAATGCGCGCACTATTCCTCATCCCAAAGGATCCTGCCCCAACGTTAGAGGGCAACTTCTCAAAGGCATTCAAGGAGTTTTGCAGCCTGTGCCTGAACAAGGACCCCAACCTGCGTCCCACCGCAAAGGACTTGCTCAAGAACAGATTCATCAAGACCGCCAAGAAGACAAGTTGTCTGACAGAGTTGATTGAGCGTCGACAAAAGTGGATCCACTTGAATGGCGCCTCAGCCGATGATGAGGAGGAGACCGACGAGAGACAGAGGACTATCATTAATGACGACGGCGGCTGGGACTTCCCAACAATCAAGGGACCAAAGACTACCACCCCTGTCATGCCCGCCGCCAAGCCCGCGGCCTCAGCGACAAATGTTAATGGCAAGGTTGACGAGTCGAGGTCGCGTTCCAATCCCACCACTCCAAGCGCGCCATCACCTTCAGTCACATCAAATGGACGTCCTGCACCCACCAACAACACACCAGTTGCCGCTGCACCTGTGGTGGCATCCACCACTACACCCGCGCCAGTATTGGCCACAAGCTCACCGACGCCCGCTGGAAATGGAGCATCATCGGATAGACAGGTGACCGCCAATGGGGCACAACACCAGCCCAGAGCCAGCGCACTCACCTCTGTCATCTATCCCGTGCTCTCCAAGCTGCTAAAGAGTACACAGGATGAGAATGTCGTCAACGCATTGGCGCAGCTTAAGATGGCATTTGACAACGCCGAGAAAACCAAGCCTGGCATCACTCACATGATGATCGCTCAAGTGATTGAGACACTCAAGAGATGACCTTCCTGACATCATTCTTTCCTAATTTTGCTCTTGCTCTCTCTCGCTGGCTCGCTAACTTGTTTCAACTTGGGAGTCTATGTCCGTGACACGGACGTCACTCCCATGTCCACATGGCATGGCCATATTGCCACTCTTGCCCCTGCTTGCTTGCTTGCGTCTTGTAATTACATCCACATCAACTAATAAAACCTGCTGACCATGTCCATTCATTCAAACATTGCGATCGCTATTGTTAAGCAACACATGGTAGATAGATGTCTAGCCGACGGACAAAGGTTGGCTATCCTGTCCACATGCATGCACCTCTATACTTGAGGTGTTGCTGTGGATGGGGAGGTTTAATGAGAGTGTCGGGAGGGGACGTGTTGTGGCCACAGACAGCATGTCGCCGCCTGCCCTCAAACACACGCTCCTCCCGCCTATAACGAGAGTTCTTACATGATTGTACAACAATGAGTCTTCTTCTTGGTAGGGAGCACAGCGTGCTTGGTATCCTCTGGTCGCTGCTGATGGTTGAGACGGTAGTTGGACGTGTTGTTGGGATCGCCCTGCTGATGGGGTCGCAGCTGCTTGGCGTCGTCGTGAGGCTTGATGTGATGTGGACTGTGGATCACGCCCTGGTCCTTCTTTGAGCTCTTCTGATTCCATGAGCCCGACTTCTCGTTGTCGGACGACGCGGCAATCACCGACGCCGTCTCTGAATCCTTCGCGGGAGGTGGTGACATCTCATTGTCGATTGGTGAGTCTCTATTCTGTCTGTCATTTCTCGATCGACTGGCCTCGGCCTCCATCGTCGATGGTGATAGCAACACCTTGTGCATTTGTGGACCTTGGTTGGACACATTGACATTGGTCTGGGCGGCGGCTGCTGCCTCCCAGTCAAACATAGTAGCGTCGTTGCCTCCATGCTCCAGGTAGCATTCAGTCAGCAGGTTCTGTAAATATACATAGTTGGGTCGCTCTTCGTAGGTGAGCGTCTTGAGATGGTGCATGAACTGCTCAAACTGTCGCGGCAGATGCTTGACCAGCTCGGTCGTGTTGTACTTAATCTTCATCTCGCCAATCTGATCCTTATCCTTCAGCTTGCGCCACGGCAGCTGGCCCTCGGCAAACTCCACCAGCACGTAGAATATCGACCACAGGTCGTCGCGTCTGCCCAGATCCTTGGACTGATGTGAGTTGATCGAGGCGTAACGCGCCGTTCCACGGAAGCCCGTAAACTCACGTGCCTGTCTAACCTCGCCCGTTGCCAACACAAATCGTCTTGCCAGTCCAAAGTCGAACAAATATGTTATATGTCTCTTGTTGCTATTCAATCCAATTGCAAAATTAGACTGGATCATGTGGTTGATTGATTGGGGTATGGGTGAGTGAGTGGAATGAATCCATATTTGATCAATCAAACAAACATACAGGCTTAACATCACGATGTAGATAACCAAGATTATGGACTGCTTCGAGTGATTGGATCATTTGGATACCAAGCTTGAGTGTGGTGGTCATGGAGAACTTGCCATCGGACTGTCGTCTTCGGAGCTCCGAGAGGTTGTCGCCCAACAACTCCATCACCATATAGTTATAATCGTTGTGTCGCCCACATGTGATGAATCTGCATACATATGGACAGGCTTGGAGCTTCTTGAGCACGGCCACCTCGAGCTTGAGCACCTGCTTCTTGGTGTCGATCTTCTCCACTTTGATCGCCACCATCTCATTATTTATAATATTCTTTCCAGAGTATATCTCGCCGAATGCGCCCTGTCCAATCTTCCGCATTACAGTCCATCGTCCCTTTATCAGGCTGTTGGTAGTGAAGCCAACTGTCGTAGCTGCCTGTTGCTGTGGTTGTTGCTACATTGATTGATTGTTTGGAATATGATTGGGAATATGATTGGATTAGATTGATGGATCTGGATGGTCATCATGGGCAGATCCCATCACATGATCAAACCTTACCATTTATATTATGTTGTATATATATATATATATATGTATATAGAGATGATCAATCAAACCTTTGGTTTGGTCAAGAGTAACACTGGACTGATCGACTTGTGTCAAGTTCCTAATCAATCACTTCGCTCACTCTCACTATCAGGTGAAGCTCTTCGTGACTTAAGTGATTGATTGATTGATTGATTGATTGTGATGGATGAATACAAAAGGCGAATGAAAGAATGATTGATTGATTGACTGGACTGAATGAATGAACGCTGATGTATAAAGTAATGATTGCCTGTTGTGTATGTGTATGAGTATTGGTGTATGTGTATTTGAATGAATGAATGAATGTGTTTGAAATAGAGTGTATACCTTGTGCTACTTCCCTCCCTCACATCACATCACTGACACACACAGAACAGAGAGAGATAGACACACACACACAACTTTGGTTGAGATTGAATGGCAATATGGGGGGTTATGCTTACATCCATCAATCCAATCCCTGACTGAATGAATGACAAACAGAACCACAACCATCGCCCAATCTCGTCACAAAGGGTGCGATCACCATCATCATTCACAATTGTTGCTGTTTTTGTTTTGTTTGTTGATGCAAAGATTGTGATCCACTCAGATGGTCACCTTCATCATAAATTCGAACTTCTAAGCTCAACACTTGAGATTGGTTCACTGATACAAGTTATATATCATAGTTATAATAAACAATAATTAGTATAGTTAATATATATATAATAACTACCATCAAATGTGATAATTGATATATAACAATGAACAGTTTATACATATATTTGTTAATTACTATCTATCTTCATTTCATGAGCTTTGATTGACTAAAAACACTTCTAAATTTCAATGAAGGGGGAGCTCTTGGTCAATTTGGATTGGGTTCTGCAAGACCCGCGGGTTTGATCAATTCCAACTCGTTTCAATCAATCATTTCTTGTGTGAACTAATGTCCAGACATCATTATTTAAAGGACAATGATCGTCCTATTCATTCCATAAACAAACAATCAAACAAACAATCAATCTCAATCAATAGTCTATATATATTACCATTTATTCAATTAAATATGTCAACTGGAATTAAACTTGCAAACAACTGTATGGAGGTATTCGATCAGATGAAGATGAAGCATCAGTATGGTATTGTTTTCTATAAATTGAATGATAACAATACACAGATAGTTGTTGATAAGACCTTTGGTACTGGTACACCATTCAACACATTCCTCTCGGAACTTCCTTCCACCGAATGTCGCTACGCATTAGTGGATTTCACCTACACCGACAACACTCTCGAGAAGAAGAAGTTAGTCTTTGTATCTTGGTATGTCATCAAATCACGAAGCAATCCAATTAATCAATTCTGATATTAATTATAATAATCATTCTTTTTTTAGGTGTCCAAGCCAATCTAGTATCAAGTCCAAGATGATATATACAGCATCAAAGGATGCACTCAAGAAGGCTTGTGTTGGTATCCAAGCTGAGATCCAAGGATGTGACATCTCAGAGGTACAAGAGGAATGTTTCATCGAGAAGATAAATAGATTATAATAACTTGTTTTCTTTGACAATTCCATTCTTTATGGTCCACCTTATAAAATAAATATGTTAATACATATACATGTATATTTATTACTTTGAATGAATGAAGATAGAGACACGTCAGTGTTGTTGTGTAAATAGTGTAGATCTACACTATTTATTTGTTGCAAAATCTCAAGATTCAGTCGCCTCGGATTTTTGGTCTCCAAGAAACACAGTTCGCGCTTCTTTTTCGCATTATCCCCTCACTACTATCAACTCTTTGTTCGGTGTTCATGAACCAACTATCATAATAACTTCATAATAATAATAACAGATAATCATATATATTAGATACAATAGAATACAATAAACATGTCATCTATGGAAGAGAGAAAGAGAAAGATGGATGAGTTGGCAGCAAAGAAAAGAAGTGCTGCACCAGCTGTCGCATCAAAATCTGCAACTTCGTCATCGTCGTCTGGAAAATCAAAGCCAACGACGATGACCAAACCAAAGCCAGCGGCTAGTGGAAGAGTGGCATCTGAATCATTGTCATCAAAGAAGGCTAGACAGGAGGAGGCCGACGAGGACCAGAGTGGCAACGACAGCTACGACGAGGGCGACGGATTCATCGTCAAGGACAGCGAGGAGGAGGTGGTCAGCGACGACAGTGACGAGGACTACGAGCCATCAGAAGAGAGCAGTGAAGATGAGAGGAGGAAGAAGAAGAAGTCAAAGAGCAGTCATTCATCATCGGCATCGTCAAAGAGCAGCAGCAGCAAGGGCAAGGAAGTGGCTGCCAAACAATCAAAGAAATCAAGGAGAGGAGGCGATGACAGCGACGAATCAGAGGACGAAGACGAGGCTGGCAAGCTCGAATACCCATTCAAGGATATGCCCACAACAAGGACACGTCCCAAGCCAAACATGCTACAGTACAAGGCACCACCAGTGGATCTTGACAATGAAGACGACGAAAGCTACGAGGAAGAGGAGTCCGATGAGGACTACCAGAGTGATGATGAGTAGAGTAGAATAGAGACAAGAATGGAACTGAATGGCCTACCTACCTAACTCCCAACAACAACCAACGCAATACACAAACATCATCCCCTCTTTGAGATGTATATTATAATATTATATATATATATATATTTATATATTGATTGATTCTGGATGTTACATGTATATCCATTATTAATTGAATGAATCAAATGTGACTAACTAGTATCACTTGTTGCCAGGCTCATTTGGAACCGGATATAAACCTCTGACTTGTTCATTACAGCTTAGACATCTAAATATTGATTGATTGATTGAATGAGTGAGTTAGTGAGTGATTGATTGATGTCATCGCCATCAACTTGACTTACCTGGTGGCCAGACCATCTGCCATTGCTTGACGAATCATTGCCTCTTGACAGTTCTCACAACAGGTGTGTCCACATGGTGCAATCATCTTGGTGATCAGACCTCGGTTGCACAGCCCACACATATGTACTCGGTTATTGTTGTTGTTGATGGCGTTGCTGATGACACCACCCCATGTGCTGCTGTTGGACAGCAATGGCATACTCCTGTTGTTGATGCTGTTGTTGATGTTGTTGTTGGGCAGCGAGATGTTATTGGCGCTATTGTTGAGTTGTCCTTTGTTGACAACTGGACCAACAACATTGTTGTTGCTGAGGACCGGAGAGGTGTTGTTGCTACCACTTCCAGTGCTACTGCCACTACTACTGCCGCCACTACTATTGAGCTCACTTTGGACACCGCCGCCACCCTGGCTGCTATATAGTGTGGCACGATCATTGACGCCAACTCCACTTCCGCTGGCACCAAAGGGCGGTTGGGGCTTGCCATAGTTGACGCGGATGATTGTGTCACCAAGCTTCTTGCCGTTGAGTGATTGCAGCGCCATGGTGGCATCGGCGATGTTCATAAAGTTGACAAAGGCACAGGCCTTTTTGCGGAGGACCCGCACCGACTCGATCTCACCGTACTTCTCACACTCCTTGCGGATCTCCTTCTCCGAGAGATTGTCGCTTACGTTGCCAATGTAGATTGCACGCGACAGTTGGTTGAGGGTCTCAGGGGTCGTAATCAGAGTGCTACTGCCAGTGGACGCGTCGTCCTTTTGATGGCGAAAGTTGACCACGATGAACTGGCTGCCAATTACCTGGTTGTGAAGGTTCCTGCGAGCGAGCACCGCGTGTGCGATCTCCTTGAAGTTGACAAAGGCGCAGAAGCGGTCATGTAGGATGCGTACCGATTCGAGCTCGCCAAAGACGCCAAACTCTGTCTTGAGGTCCTCCTCATGGACGTCTACACCAATGTTGCCAACCCAGAGGATGCGACTTGGTTGTTCATCCGAGACTGAATCCGTTGCGTTGGCGGCAGCAGTGTTGATGGTGTTGTTGGTAGTAGAGTTGTTGTTGGTGTCCTGCTGCTGTTGCTGTTGTTGTTGGGTGTTGCCTCCATTGTTCATCGTCTGGAACTCAAACCATGACAGCTTGACCTTGTTCTCAGGTAGATTGATTGTGGCAGTGGAGTCTTGAGGCGACCTGATCTCCTTCTTTTTCTTGAGACGATCCTCTTGGGAAGCCGAGAGTCCCTTGGCGACACCTCCAGCGTTGTTGTTGTTACTGTTGTTGTTGTAGTCGCCACCAACACTCCTCTTCAAGTCTTTGGTTGAGGTGTTGAGTGAGGGGAAGTGTGTCTCGTCCAGGAAGTAGTTGGCATTGTTTGTGGACTGCTGCTGTTGCTGCTCTTGATGATGCTGGTGCATGACTGGCGGCTGGGGAATCAATGCGCATTGGGAGGCAGGTGTCACCATTGGTGGCTGTGGAGGTGATTGGCGTGCCATCATTGGCTGTGATTGCTGCACGGGTGTTGGGAGCGCCGAGTTGGACGTGGTAAGCAGCGGGGACATGGCTGCCAATGGAATAGAGTTATTCAATAGTTCACTAGACAGTGACTTCTTGTGTGAAATAGGTGGTTGTTGTTGTTGCTGTTGTTGTTGAAGTTGTTGTTGGAGTTGTTGATGAAATTGTTGTTGTTGTTGTTGTTGGAGGAGTGACTGGAGTTTGGATTGGGACGTGGAAAGGGAGTACTGTTGTTGTTGTTGTGGTTGCTGCTGCATTGGTGGCGGCATCTGATTGAAATATTGTGGCGAGAACGATGGTAGATTGAGATCAAGCGAGCTCTTGAGGCCAGCCTGCAGACTGTACATGTCCAGGTAGTCGATGCCGCCGTTGGCCACCGAGGCCGGAGTGGAGGGCGCCGAGGATTGGAGCAGCTGATTGCCAGAGAACAGCTGGCTGAGGTGTGATGGCGACATGGGGTGGGCCATGCCAAGCAGTGGAGATTGCAATATATTGCTGTTGCCATTCTGGCCTGCGGCCGAAGTGTTGCCATTTATATTATTTACATTGCCCTTGATTCCAATGACATTGTTGTTGTTATTGTTGTTGTTGATTCCATTTCCAAAGTGGTCAGTTTGGTTGTTGTTCATCAAGCCGCCAAAGCCTGATCCATTGGTGTTGCTGTTGTTGATGTTGATGTTATTGCCAGACATATTGAGACTGCGATGGCCACTGTTTTGGGAAATGTAGGGAAGCCTCCCTCCGTTGGTGAAGGAGTTTGAATCGTCATGTTGTTGTTGTGGTTGGTAGGAGTACCTGTCCACATGATCACTCTTGACCTGTTGTTGTTGTTGTACTCCATTAATATTATTATTATTATGATGAAGTCTAATATCAGATGACTCATCATATGATTGATTATACAATTGTTGTTGTTGTTTCTGTTGTAAATGTAATATATATAATTGTTGTTGCTGTTGTTGCTGCTGCTGTTGCTGTTGCTGTTGTTGTTGTTGTTGTTGTTGTTGTCCACCAAAATATTGTTGTTGCTGTTGTTGTTGGAGCATCCTTGACTTTTGTTGTTGTAATGTATCATTCATGTAGAGGCCGCCACTTCCATTTCCGCTATGCATCAAAGGGGATGTGATCGGAGGTGGTACACCACCAACATATCTTGATGATCCATTATTACTAATATTATTATTATTATTAATGTTGCCTATATCACTCCACATACCACCACCGCCAACAACACTGTTACTGTTGTTGATGTTGTTGGTGTTGGCATGATGATGATGTTGTTGTGCATCATGTAAAGGATATGACATATCTGTTGTGTATATGTATATATGTATATAAATAAATAACTTATTACTATGTATATGTATATGTATGTATGTATATGTATATATATTAAAAAGGTAATATGAATGTGTTGAATGGGATCAGTAATGATTGAGAAGGTACACCCTCATGAAGCAATGATTGCTCAAATTAAATGGAGTTGTGTAAAGGGGTGCGACTGAGTGTGTGTGTGTAGGAGTAAGGGATAAAAATAAACATTGAATGTAAATTTTGTGTTTTTGCATTCATGTGCCTTTTGACCTCTTTCTCAATCAAGTTGGGGGGAGGTGAGTGAGGGGGTGATGGAAACGGCGCGCCAAAGGGAGGTGCTGTGCGCCCCATCTTGATTTAGTCATGTAGCTGTTATGATGATTGATGGAGTATGTCGGAGAAGCTCATTGGCGTATACATACACAACCACAATCAAACTCAATACTCTACCTCTCTCTTATATCAATCTGAAAGGGAACGCAACATTGAGAATATGTTTGAATTAATGATTGATTGATTGTGTGTTGTGTTGAATCAATCGATCTAGATCTTTGTTCCAAGATATATATGTATATTTGATATGTACAATGAATGAATGATTATTTTGGTTGAGTCCTGGATTGTTGTTGTGACTCAAACTCATCATCTTCGTCATAATCATCTTCGTTATCGTCTTCAAAGTCATCGTCATCCTCGGAATAGCCAAGACCTTCGCCATCATCTTCATCGTCATCATCGTCCTGGTCCAGCAGTTCGTAAGCTTCATCCTCTCCACCAGTGTCCATTCTCGCAGCCTGTTGTAGTTGGAACATGAGGTTTTGGCCCATGGGTCTAAAGTCCTCGTCAAAGGCCTCATCATTGTCGGCATTGTCATCGTAGTAGTTGGAGTCGCCCATCATGCCATATTCGTCCATGTCATTATTGTTGTTCCCATTGTTGTTGTTGTTGTTGTTGTTGTTGCCATTGTTTGCATTGTCACCATAGAACACTGGCTTCAACTTCTTGGCCTTGGTGGACAATGTCATATTGTGTTTCAATTTGAGTTGCTGTTGGATGCATACCCAGTCATCCTTATTGAACCAACCAAATTGTTTCACGCATATCGGACTCAGAGGATGATTGTTGATGTACTGCTTCATCTTCTCGTCGCCCAAGTCGCAAAGCTGGAAGTAATAAGAGCCCTTCAATGGCTTCTCTGTATATGTATAGTCATAGCGTGGCGGTATATATCCCCTATTTGATTGATTAATTGATTGAATGAGCGGGGAGTTAGTGAGTTGCCAGGTTTCAATCAATCAATCGTCCATGGTCCAAACATACTCGGTTTGGCTCTGTGCCTCTGGGCCTTGATGAGTGAATGTGTTCATCTTGGCTTTGAATCCTCGTCTTGGAGTCTCAAAGTTCTTGCGATGTCTCCATGGTGTCGGTGCTGGTGCTGACACGTCTATCTTGTCTGATCGGCACTCAAACACTTGATACCTATTCGTTTGATTGATTGGATGAGTGAATGAGTGAATGAGTGTTCCCGGATCACGTGACTTGTTGATCTAGTTACATTCTTGATGCTGGTGATTGCCTTGGATCATATCCAAGTCGACAGTATGTGAGCCTGAATGGGCCGTTTGAGAATAAGTATGAGATGGTGCCTAGCAGCCTGATAAAGAACTTGAGATGACCGCCTCGCTTCTGATAGTGGTCCTTGAGGACGATCGATAGCCATGAAGGTCGCTCCTTCAGCAGCTCCACAAGTATGGCATGCGACTCACGACACACCTTGTCGTTCATGAGACCCTGTGGGACTGGACGACCAACGATTGGCACCTCGCCATCTTCAAACCTGATGCTGAACGGATTGTGGATGGTGTAGGTCGACTTGCGGGTGCTGAATGTGCGAGTGTCTGGATCGAATGTTGCCAGCGGGTTGGTGCGGAAGTGGTAGGGCTGCGGCTTGTCGACACGCGAGAAGATCGAGGGGATCACGTTGAGCTCCTCGTCGCGCATGTCCTTGGGCGTCTCGCCAGCGAACGAGCCGGCCAGGTCGTCGGTCTGTTTCTCGCGCACCGTGTACTGGAAGTCGGCCATGCCGTTGAACTCAATGGTCGAGGGCACGACCGCGATGATGTCCGACTCGAACGAGGCCGGCGCACCGGTGTCCTGCGCCGGCGTGGGTCGGACGCGCAGCAGCATGTGGCACGTGGGCACGCGGTCGCCAAAGGCCGCGCGGGTGTTGAGGTAGTCTGGGCGGTACTTGAGATGGAGGTACTGCTGCTCGGTCGACTTGAACACCTTGGCGATGCTGTTCAGGCCGCCCACCATCTCGACGGCGCGGTCAGGGTTGACGACGTTGCCCGGGAAGTTGATGCCGTAGTACACGTTGGTGGGTATGTTCTTCTTTGGCGCCTTGCTGTACTCGGGTAGCTTGGTGGCGTACTTCTTGCGGATGTATGCGCTTGGGTTCATTGACTTCTTCACACTGAGGTCAAAGTAGTTCTTTACCTCATCGCTAATATTCTCTCTCTCGTCGTCAGGTGAGTCATCGTCAAGTTGCTGTTGTTGCTGCTGTTGCTGCCTCTGTTGCTGTGTTGCCAACTTTGCATGTTGTTTGCCAATCTGTGATTCTATACGTCTCCTAAGTTCATCCAACTCTTGTTGTGTTGGTACTGCAGTCTTTGTTGTTGTCGTCTCAGTCGTAGTCTCAGTCGTCTCAGTCGTGGGAGCTGATTCTGTACTATCGATGTTCATGTTGTCATTATCATTGTCTATTGATGGACTATTGTCATTGTCATTGCCTCCCTTACTACTACCAGTACTACCTCTACCTCTACCTCTACCTCTACCTTGCATTGTTGTTGTTGGCTGAGAGACTAAATTACTACTGAACTTCTATTCATGAGCAACTTTGACTTTTGGCGCTTGCAAACAAGTCACCTGACATCTGAAGATGGTGTGATCATTTGGCGAAGTTCAAACATGTACAAAACAAACAGATAAATAACATTTAATATACATTGCTTCGACGATGACATGAAGGCCAAAGGCCAGAGCAATTCAGGCGATGACACAGCAACAACATCAGCAACATCAGCTGACACGACATTCTTAACACATATCTCTTCTCATTCATTCTTTCACTCATATTACTATCACTAGCTAGCTTATATTCTTTGTTGTGAATGAACGAATGAATGAATGAATGAGTGAATGAGTGTGTGAGTGAGTGGTGTTGGTGTGACATCGATCAACATCATGTGTTCAAGACAACAATGTTGCCTGATGTGGACATCGGATGGAGTATCCGCATTCAACTATTATAAGTGTGTGTGTGTGTGTGTGTGTTGTGGTTGGTAAGGAACACACATCAGCATCGGATGCGGACATGTCCCAAACACTCACGACTGTGAGAGTGGCAGTCAGACATGGATGGATGGATGGATGGATGGATAGTGAAGTCAGAGTTATGAAGTTGGCAATGACACATGACACCATTTACACACTACTGCATCTACACTCACTACACTTTCATACAGATACTAATTATTATTATTATTATTATCTCATATCATTAATTAATTATATATCTCAATCATAATATCTTGAGATTATTACATTATTTAATATATTATTAATTATCCAGGAAACATTTCCAATCAATTCCAGGACCAATCAATCAATCAATCAATCATTCAATCAATCAATCAAACAGAATATAGCATAGCTTAATATATACAGACAGACAGACAGACAGCCAGGCGATAATGGTATCCAAACTTCTGCCAAATATATTGCAGAAGCTACTTGGCAGGTACATCGAGAACTTGGACACTTTGTCCATTCCGTTCTGGAAGGGCGAGATTGTGCTGGAGAACTTGAAATTAAAGAGCGATGTGTTTGATACCGATCTGCCATTCCAACTGGTGAGTGGCGTGATCAAGCGTGTCGTGATCAATGTGCCACTGCTCAGTTTCCTCAAGGACCGCATCACGGTCAGCGTCGACGGCGTCTTCCTGCTCTTTGATCGCAAGGACATTGTGCAGGCGGCAGCCAGCGCGTCGTCCGCGGGCGATTCGCACGAGGACCTGCTCACACAGATCTCCAAGTCGATGGACGTCAACGCCGGCGAGAGCGGTGACAGCATGGCATTCAAGATGATGAAGTCACTGGCCAAGTGTCTGCTGCTGCGCGTCAAGAACGTGCACATCTGCTACCAGGACTGCAAGACGTCGCCCAAGGAGCGCTTCTCCGTGGGCATCACCATCGAGGAGTTCAACTACGAGTCGACCGATGAGCGATGGATCCCCCTGCCGACGGGCAGCTCGGTCAACGTGCCCGAGGCGCACAAGCTGTGCTCCATGTACAACTTTGCCATGTACTGGAACTCGGCGTTCCGCGAGACCAAGCTGGTGACCAAGGACGACATGGACGTGGTGCTGATGCACTCGATCAGTCGTCAGAACATCAAGATCGACAACAACTACATCATCGAGCCCATCTCGGGCTTCATCAAGATGTGCATCAAGGACGAAGCCAACGAGACCGTGTCGAACGAGGGCGTCAACCAGCAGATGGTGACCAAGGTCGAGGTCTACCTCGGTCTCAAGATGCTGGACGTGCGTCTCATGGACGTGCAGTACCGTGACATGCTCAATCTACTATTCTTCATTCACGACTGGAAGAATGTGTCGCGTTACAAGGAGTTCAGGCCCAAGGTGCCTGTGCATGGCAATGCATCAAAGTGGTGGCAGTTTGCCTACAAGGCCATCCTACATGACATTAGGAAGCAGAAGGATCAAGTGTCATGGCAAAAGATCGAAGAGAAGAAGTACCTGAGGAACTGCTACATCAAGATCTTCACTCAGAAGTTACAACACAAGCGTGTCACCAAGGTGGAGGAGAACATACTTGTTGAGATTGAGAAGAAGCTATCCTACGAGGATGTAATATTGTAAGTTATGATAGCATGGCTGATCAATGTGCATGCCCGTCCTGACCACCCTCCAATCAATCAATCAATCAATCTAGATTCCGCAACATCACTGAACGAAGTGTACATATGATGAAGATGAAGGAGGAGCGAGAGAGTCCAGAGGCGAATAGTGCACAGAGTTGGTGGAGTGGTGGCTGGATGGGCCTGTTGGGTATTGGTGGCGGCACCAATCAGATCGACTACGACAAGTTCATTCTGTCGAATGATGAACTGTTGTTCCTGGACAAGACACTGGGCCTCAACCTGCCTACGATGGTCACTGGTCGAGCAATGAACATCGTGGCCATAGACGCCAGTCTCAATCTCAAACATATATGTCTCAACATCATCGATTGGCAGAGTGAGGAGCTCCAATCTACGCTGGCCTCACTCGACGTCATTGAGGTCAATCTCGGCTTCACATCCGATGGCCTTGGCAACACATCGATTACAACGTCCATCGATGGCCTGAACATCCTGGACAAGGTTAGCACCAACACCAAGTTCGAGAACATCGTCGTCGAGAAGAAGAACTTTGACTTCTCCGAGCACTCGTCGGCCTCGTCCATGCTGAACCACAGCACGGCCACCGGCTTCCACAGCAACAGCAGCAATGGCGTGACACCAATGTTATGGTTCTCATTCTCGGAGAACCCGCCCACGTCGATTACTGATTGGAAGATGGAGATGAAGCTGCAGCCATTCTACTTTGTATACAGCAAGTCGTTCTTTGACACGATGTTCCAGTTCTTCACGCATGCCAACCAGGAGGCGTTGAACGCACTCAAGTACTCCTTCCTCAAGAAGCTCAAACTGCTGCAGGATCAGATCATGAAGGAGTTGCGACAACTTGTGCGCAACCAAAAGGCTGCCGACTTTGTCTTTGATATCTACATCCCCAGCGTGATCCTGCCCGAGTCCATCGACAATGAGAACAGTCAACTGTTGGTCGTGAGCATGGGCCATCTGGTGCTAAAGAGCCAGCCGATCGACCAGGAGTGGGACTGCCACGCACTCATTGAAATGACTGACGAGGATTTGGACACTGAGAAGCATACCAAGTTGAACAAGATCCTGAACGACCGAATCAAATGGTGGCGCGATCACTGTATGATGCCCTACGTCGAGGAGCCAGTCGATGTCGGTATCTTCTTCAAGCGCGAGCAGTGGCATCAGAAGTTCCTGGACGCTCTCACGCGTCACGGCGGCGAGTCCGACGTGGACCGCCCGTTCATCAAGGGCGACGACCTCAACCCGGACCACCCCACGGTGATCTTCCAGGAGGACGAGTGGAACTACGAGCAGCTTAACATCAACATGGCGCAGTTCTACGAGGGTATCACAGTGTTGCTGAGTAACACGTACCTCAAGATATGCAAGTTCTCCGAGCTGGCCAACTATCACTACATCGTTAACCCGTTCAACTTCCAAATGTTCCTGCAGCTGTGCTCCGACCCGTTCAACCTGTCGATCCCGCAGCTCGTGTGCAACTCGCTGCTGACCGACCTCAAGATGGAGATCGCCGACACGGACATCTACGAGATCAGCAAGATCGTCGCCAAGTCGGGTCTGCTCGACTACTTTGTCGACATGGATACCAAGTCGTCCAAGGAGCTGGCCGAGCTTTACGACAACGTGCAGCTGGAGAAGCCCAGTAAGAAGACACTAGACATGCAGCTGCACGTGCTCTCCGACACCAAGTCCATCCTGCACATTCGCAAGATGACTAAGGAGATGCTGTCCAACTGCGTGTTGCTCAAGTTCATGTTCACGGCGTCCAAGATCGAGATGACACTCAACTACGAGACGACCGAGAAGCTTACCACCAACATCACCAACGTGCGTTGCAAGTCGCTGGCCAAGTACCTGCACATGGAGGTGTTGCTCAACATGGACCACATCAGCGTCACAGACACTCATTCACTCATCCCAATGTTGTCGATCTTCCCCCTGCCCAGTGGACTGGGTGGCATTGCAATGGACTCGATACAATCACCCATGTTGCCGTCGCCCCGCATGTCCATTGGCATGTTTGACGATGACAACATACATCCAGTGTCAATCCATTTGGTGAGCATCAGCAAGGAGTCACTGGACTATGACTATGTTGACTTTGTCGCATCGCTCAGCACACAGTGCGTGCGCGTCAACCTGCCCAAGGAGTGCATAATGTCGCTGATCAAGATGGGCGGTCGCACAGTGGCCGATGCCAATCGCTTCCACGAGAAGAAGAAGTCCATCCTCACGGTGGAGGGAGAGCGATATCAATCTGTAATGGATGAGGCGATGCACCCAAAGCCCACCAAACACAAGAAGCTCTCGGAGAAGTTGGACGCGGCAGAGTTCGATCCCAACGATCCCAAGTCCAAGATCACCGTCAAGATCCCCAGCTTCATGCTCATCCTCTGCTCTCGTAATAACGACGTTGCCTCCTTCCAATTCGACGACATTCAAATATCCGGAGTCTTCCAACTACCCTTATATGACTTCACTGTATGTATAACAACAATCCATGATTGATCCACTCAACCACACTGGAACTAATCCATCCATCAATCAATCAATCAATATCTAGCTCAAGCTTAGAGACATGAGATATCTTGCACTGGCAGAGAATGATCGTATGCATCAGAGGATATTGGAGAGCATGCAGGGACCGACATCGCAGAAGCCATTGGTCAACATTCATATTGTTAGTCATGATATATCAAAGGCCAAGGAATGGGGCTACAACGTATTGCTCGGTGTGGCAATTGGCAAGCTACGACTCGTGTTGGTCATGCAGACCATTAACACGATACGTAACTTCCTGTTTGACATCCAACTCTACATGAAGGAGCATTTGCCAACACTATACGTCGTAGAGACTGAGCCCGAGGCTGGCCCAGCAACAGAAGCCGAGGCAGCAGCCAAGGCCGAGGCCGACACCGACGACAGGCTGATCAAGCCTGACCAAGAAGTGGTCTTTAAACGTCGAGCCAGTATGTATCCGCGCGATTAGATTGACAACATTACCTCATCACTAACTCACTCAAACAATCAATCCTAAGTTGTTCGACTGGACTTCTACCTTGAGGGAGTTGTCTTGGAGATACCAAAGAATCCAAGGTCAAGAGATAGTTTGATCTTGGATGTCAAGCCGATATCGTTGTGGATCGACCAATCAGACCCGACAGCAGATATCGTCCATGCTCGTATTGTGGGCGTTGACATTGGATCAGTTCGTGATGGTGGCAAGATCGAACCAATTGTATTGGTACCAATGAAGATTGATTGTACACTGATCAAGAAGTTGGAGACATCGTTGGAAGCACAGACACTGTTGCTCAAGGTAGACTTGGACTTTGTTCGTCTCAAGCTCACTCAGTTCCAGTACAACCTAGTCTACAATGTCGTTTTCCAGAACCTCAATCAATCACAAGTACCTGCGCCCATCTCCACCACATACTCCATCGAGCGCCAGAGTAAAGTGATCGCCATCAATCTCAACATCAACAAGTCCACAAGTCTGGATCTAGTCGAGGTTGACAAAGATGCAAAGTAAGTACACTTTGGAACTATTCCATCACCCATTCAATCACTCACACATACGCTCATTCAATCACATTAGGGAGAGTTACTTGATGTCGTTGGGAATGGATCAACTCAAGATGGACATTGATTACTTCAATAATGGTGATATTGAGTTGTTGATTAGTAGTCACTCGCTGGCCATCAATGACAAGAACTCACTTGGTGGCAATAAGGCGTATGAACTACTGAGAGCCATGCCCGAGGATCACTTTGTCCAACAGTTCCCTATTATGACATACAAGACCAACAATAATATCAGTGAGATAGAGATCAAGCTGGACAAGATGATCATGTTCCTCGAGTTGCAATGGCTGGACAAACTCAGTGTGTTCATGGTGCCACTCCAAGACCCCGACGTTGTATCCACCCCACCCAAGGTACAGGCGTATCGCGATTGGAAGATGGTCATGTCACTGATCATCTCGATCAAGGAGGCCGACATCATGATTGGCTGCACCAAGGAGGCCAAGGGAGTAGTCCTGATGCTGTCGTCCGAGGTCAACATTGACATCAAGACAGGCGACGACGGACTCATGAAGATCTTGTTGGGATTCAAGTGCAACAAGGGTCTGCTGAGCAATCAGGACCAGCAACAGGACAACACATTGATGAAGCCCAAGTTTGTCACGCATCAGAGTCACACGACACTTGGCCGATGGAACCATCTCAAGAAGACATCCAAGCTGTTCATCGAGGCATTCCACACGTCGCTCTACATGTGTCTGGTGCCCGAGGGCAATCAATTCTATTTCTGCGAGTTGGACAAGATGCATGTGGTCTTCTCAGGTCGCGCCTATCGCTACCTTCTCGACCTCTACGAAAGCATCCAGGCCATACTCCTCACTCGCCAACAGGCGGCCCTGGAGGCTGGAGATGGTAGTGGCAGCAATACAAGCGGTCAACCAATCAACAAGAGTGTCTCCCCACTCGAGGTGCCTAGCTACCGCGCCACGATCTCCAAGTTCAACAATGTCCAGTCGACACCAATACCCGGTGTCATGATCAACAACATGGGATTGCCAATGTCTCCGCATATGCGGCCAATAATGTCGCCCAGCCTTCTCCCCTCGCCACGCCACACGCGTTCAGTGTTCTACAACGCGTCGCCTTCGTCCTCCCCCGACCAGGTCAACAAGCTGTACCATCTCAAGTCGATGTCGGCCGAGATGATACGTACGCACCAACTGCGTCTGTCACAGAAGGCCATTGACACGGCGGGCCAGTCGGTGCTGGAGAAGAAGCAACTGTTCACAATGTTCTCGCTCAGTCTCAAGAACATCGAGGTGATGGTCGTCGACGACCTCAGCACCAATCAGATGAACTCCCCACTGTTCAACTTCCGACTCTCATACGGTTTCCTCAAGCTGTTGATCAAGACCAGCATGGAGATCGAGCTCAACTCGGTCATCAGTCTGAACTACTTCAACAATCGTATCGCCTATTGGGAGCCATTCATCGAACCCTGGCATCTAAACACTCGCGTGGTCTTTGGCAAGGAGCTGGACGTGGACATGGAGTCCAAGGACTTGCTCAATCTCAACTTCACCATCCCGCTCATGGACAATGTCAGTCTGTTCCTGTTGACGTACAGCCAGGAGTTTGGTTACCCCTGGAACATGATAGCCAAGCCGCCCATGCAGGAGGAGGCCGACCAGAAGGTGTCGCCCAATGCCGTACAGCGCAAGTCCCTCACGGGCAAGATCCGCAAGATCAAGTCGATGAAGCGATCAACATACGCGCCATTCCACGTGCGCAACCAGACAGGATCAAAGATTCGCTACAGGCTGGAGACACACGATGGCAAGCAAGTAGAGGGCATAGTCAATGAGGGCCGGAACAACGCCAAGCACAACATGGTCGTCGTCGAAGGCTATGGCGTGTTCTACGACTTGATGCCTGGCGAGTCCATGCCGATCAAGTTCTCCCAGGACGTCCAAGTGTCACTGGAGACGTTCAATCAACTTGTGCTCAGCGTAGAGTTGCTTGGCATCGAGAAGACAATTGGCGTGCCACTGGACAAGAACAAGACGTTTGAGTACCCCATCGTACTCGACAGCACCACCTCATCCACGCTGCTCGTGGGCATTGGTATCAAGAACGGCACCAAGTACATCACTCTGCGTCTACCCGTCGTCTTCCAGAACTTGACCTGCTTCTCCCTGGACATCGCCACGGTCAACACGGGTGTGGGCCGCACACAGCCACCCCATCTATCAGCCATCCTATCACAGCACCAGACCAAGTCACCCGTCGCACTCAGTCGCATCAAGAACGCTCTGATCAAGCTGCGACCCTCTGGCGAGGACTTCAAGTGGAGTGAGGAGACCATCGACCTCACGGACCTGGCCGCCACTGGTCGCGCCACTTGCTACTCAATCAATGGCAAGCGCGTGGTCATCGTCCGCTGCTTCATCAAGGAGAAGAGATACGGTTGCACCATACTCAAACTTTGCCCAATGGCCAAGATCAAGAACTTGTTGCCACATCCCATTTCTTACATCCTCAGCTCAAAGGTCGATGACAACATACCTCGCATTGAAGGTCAGCTCGAGGTCGAGACCAAACAGGAGATCTACGACCTTCCCCTCATGGACAAGTTCAAGGTGCAGCTGCGTATTGGCGATCCGGACAAGGCGGTGTGGAGCGAGGAGAAGTCGCTGGTCGAGCTGCTCAACTCACAGACGATCGACAACATCTATGTGCCTCTGGGCGAGCGTTCGATTTACATCAACATCGAGTTCGAGTCGAGCAAGGGCGTGCGCAAGATCATCTTCTACAACCAGTATTGGCTGTTCAACAAGACTGGCCTCAACCTGTTCTGCAAGAAGACCTACAAGACCAAGGACTATTACGAGGGCTCGATCTCACTCAATCACAGCGGCGACGCCCTGGACAAGCACTCATGCGGTCCTATCGCTCACACCCCGCACGAATGGTACGCCGACCACCTGAACAAGGTGGACCCGATCCTCTACTCATTCAAGAAGACCAAGGACATTGCTAACCTGATCCAACTTCGTGTTGGTGGCGACTCCGTATGGTCCAAGAAGCTGTCCATCGCGGCAATTGGCGATCGTGGCTGCGTCACCATCCTGTCCAAGAAGCCCAAGACCATGGGCTGCATCTCCAACGACAACATTGTCGAGTACAATATCGGCATGTCCGTTGACCTGTGTCCCAACCTCAAGACCAAGATCGTGGTGTTGGCACCGCGTTACATCATCTACAACAAGTTCCCCTACCCACTCATCTTCCACCAGGAGGACACTGACCAGTACATCACCGTGCCTCAGGAGCAGAAGGTACCGTGGTACTACTTCATGGCCGGACCCAAGCAGTCGCAACTGGTTACCGTGCGACTGGATTGTCCTGGCGCGCGTTGGTCCAGCCCATTCGACATCAAGCATGTCGGCGACAACTCTTTCCGCATGTATACCCAGACCGATGAGCACGCGTCCGAGTTCAACTTTGCCCAGTTCATGAAGGTGCAGACGTGTCTGGAGGGTGCCACATTGTTTGTGATCGCAGCCGAGTTGCCCATCCCCCCGTACAAGTTCAACAATCAGACGCAGTTCCCCATCGTTGTCAATCAGAAGAAGTGTGGCACGCCATTGCGCATCGAGCCAAACGAGACGATACCCTTTGTCTGGGATGAGCCACAACAGGAGCACATATTGGAGGTCAACATACATGAGGGACACGCAGATCAGAAGACATCGATCAAGGTCGACAAGATCAAGGTGTTCAAGCCTATCGAGTTCCATCATGATGGCAAGGTCATTATGATTCGTGCGATCGTCGAGCCCGAGGAGTCGACCCGTGTGCTCACTCTGACCGACTCGACTTATCACGCAGTGCGCAGTGAGGATCTCGAGGAAGAAACATCGAGACAGTTCTTCCGTATGCGATTCGCAGGCATTGGCATATCTTTGATCAATGCCAACCCCACCGAACTGCTCTACGTCAGCATCAACGACATACTTATGGAGTACTATTACAGCAACTTTATTCAGTCGATTGAGATGAAGATCAGTGCCATGCAAGTTGACAATCAACTCTCCAAGGTGACGCCATTCTCCCATCCAGTACTTCTTTTCTCGGAGAAGACTGAAGGTGAGATTGAGCACTTCCTTCTCATCAAGATAGTCAAGTCCAACAAGAGTAAGTACCAATACATCGTATCAACCATTGATACATCATGGACTAACCACCCACTCAATCAATCAATCAATCATAGTGGTCAACATTGATTACTTCCATCAAGTCAAGGTTGAGCTACAAGAGCTCAATATTAGAGTGGAGGAGAGGTTCCTTTACGTGTTGATCGACTTCTTTAACAGTTTGGACTTCTCATTCTGGACTGGAAACAAAAAGACAAAGAAGGCATTGCATAATATTGATATGCTCAAGCCAATCTACCATGATCACATTGGTGATGGCTTCATCGATGGCATGCTCAACCGTGCCCTGCCCACCATCTACGGCAAGAAGCTCTACTTTGAGGACTTGTCCATCTCACCCATCAGCATGTTCCTCACATTCGACCTCTCCAAGACGGGTGGTGCAGCATTCCGTGAGATGGAACCACCCGTGGTCAAGGCATTCCGAAGGATTGGATTCGTGTTGGTCAGCTTCCAGCAGGCACACATCTTCCTCAATCAGTTCAACTTCACCCATGCCTTTGGCACCAACGAACAGCTTCTCAACCCGCTGTTTGGCCATTACATGTCAGAGGGTCTGTCCGAGGTCTACAAGATCCTGGGCACATTCAACTTCATTGGTAACCCCGTGGGACTTGTCAAGAACTTTGGCATTGGGTTCAAGGAGTTCTTTGTCACCACAGGCCGTGGCATCGTCAATGCCGACAACTCATTCGGTGGCGCCATCAAGACTGGCTCCAAGAGTCTGATGAAGCACACCGTCTATGGACTGTTTGACTCTGGCGCCAAGTTCACATCGTCCTGCGCCAAAGCCCTCTCATCCCTATCCATGGATGAGCAGTACATCTTGAAGCGTACGTTCATCACTGGTGAGATACCGCGCAATGCTATCCAAGGTATCTCACTTGGCAGTCGTCTGTTCCTCATGTCGATACAGCATGCTCTCAAGGGTGTGGTCTCACTGCCCTACATTGGAGGCAAGGAGTCTGGTACAGTTGGCACGATCAAGGGTATTGGAAAGGGCACGGCTGGAGTGGCACTCAAGCCTCTGGCCGGATGCTTTGACTTTGCAGGCAAGGTCACCGAGGGTGTCAAGAACTCGACCCATCTCAACATTGAGCGCACAAGGGTTCGTTACCCGCGACCATTGTTCTCAGACACACCTCTGCGCATCTATGATGATGGTGAAGCATTTGGTCACTTCTTGTTCCTCACCAACATCATCTCGGCAGGCAAGCTGCGTCATATTGGACCAACCCCAGGCTCAACCGGCCATGGTCAGACACTCGCCGAGATGATCTCCTCGAGCGAGAAGTATGTGTCCCATCTTATTTACAGGAACACAATGCAGACGGTACTGTTCACCAACAAGAGACTGGTGTTGCTGAAGGACCCCGATGGATTCAGAACAAAGTTCGACGTCAAGTACTCGGCCATCTTGCAGGTGTTTGAGGAGGACTTCTGTGTGCGCATCAAGGTGAGCCAGGCGCACAAGTTCCGTCTGGTCAATCCACGTCGACGCAAGTCGTACCGCATCAAGTGTACGGGTGAGGAGAAGCACTACATCTACAACAAGATCATTGAGATACTCAAGATCTACAAGCCCTACGAGAGTGATCAAGACATTGAGGGCAATGGAACACACATGCCCTATGTCGAGGATGTCCACAAGCGTGGTCTGGGCTCCACCTCTGCCGCCGGACTCCAACTGCCCCAGAACAACAACAACGCATTGGTCAAGAAGCCCACCGATGTGTTCATCGAGTATGATCCAGTCAAGCCTGGTGAGCACATGATATTGCCAATCATTGTCAATGGCAATGGTGATCAGAGTGCCAACGAGACTATCAAGTATCTTCTCAAGAACTCACAGCGCACCAACATCGCTCAGCCCATCTATGTCACGCGTGGACACCCCAGAGACAACATACCATCTAGGATGTTTGATGTCTTGGACAACCCGATCATATCCACAGACAGCGCATTCGCTGCACAGCAGGCCCCACCACAGTACCCTTACCCGTATCCATATGCCAACCCATATGGATCAGCCTATCAGTACCCACCACCTCCTGCACAATATGCATATCCATACCCAGCATATCCTTACCCATACCAATACCCTCCAGGTATTGTCGCAGGTGGTGCTCCCCAGCTTCCACCTCCTCCACCTCCCACTCCAACCATTATCTCGCACACTCCTTTGCCCATCCCTCCAACGCCGACCATTGATAGCAATGTGACCAAGCCCCCAGCCAATATCCCACCTCCCCCAGGTCCAGCTCCAAGGATAGCGGACCTAACTAAAGATGATGAGAAGGAGGTGACAAAGCCTACAGCCCTTCCATCCAAGTCCCCATTGAGACGCACCAGTTCCAAGGACTCGATGGACGGCTCAAGATTGAGATACACACAGACCGAGTACAAGTCACCTCTGTCCAAGACGGCCATCATCCCAACCAAGCCTGTATTTGGCTCCAAGTACAAGAAGCCATTGAACGCACTGTACAACACCTCGACTTATGAGTCACTCAAGGCAGAGGAGCAGCCAGCACAACCGTCCTCACAGTACCGTCCCAATCCACACCGATCACTCAAGCATCTGAACGACTATCCAACTTATGCGCAGAGCCTGGCCACAGCCGAACCCACCAAGGGCGACGGCGTGTCCGAGGAGCGTCTGCAAGGCTATCAGAAGCAGATGGAGAAGCATATGGACAACATGATGCATATTCAACAGATGCAGATTCAACAGATGCATCAACTACAGAAGAATCAGATCGAGTTGCAGAACATCATCTTCCATCAGATGATTCCCAATCGTGATGGTACCAGTGGTGGCAGTCAGGCGCCAGGTGTCAAGGTTGAGGAGTTAAAGATTGATCACGATCAACTAGTGTCCTCAGCAGTACATAACATCAAGGAGAGTATAGGAGGATCTGCATCAAGATAGATAGAGTGATATATGTATTCATCATCAATTGAACTTGGCTTGAGAGAAGTCCATGTTAGGGTTCTAAACATCATAAACAAAGAATAAGAATAAAGAATGATTAGTTAAACGTATACTACTACAACTCTACTTGATGAGACATGTACTTACCTGCTCTTTGAACTGCTCAAAGATAGCTTGTCTTTGTTGCTCCTCAGATGTTGGCAGACCAGCGGCCTTCTGTCGTTGATCATACATCATCTTCTCTACCATGCCCCTTGTCTCTCCATCAAGATCGGAGATGCTAGAGTTCTCAGGTACAATCTTTGTAACGTCAATAGTTGGATGTCCCTTTATGACTGAGTCCCACCATTCCTGTCCTTTCAGCTTGAACAACTCTAATATGATTGACTTGCCATCCTCTGTAGGTTGTTGTTGACAAAGAATGTCAGTGTTGTGTTGTACTCTCTCGCTAGAACTTGCTCTCTGATACGTTACCAATCTGCCATAGACAATCAGACTTCTTTACTGATTTACTAAAGTCACCATCTATATATACAACGTTCAGTGTCTTGTTCTTGACGAATAGGTGATCCTTCTCTATACGTATCTCCAAGTCTTTACCCTTGACAGGTGATGTACAATTGATAGTGACTGTCACATCAGCCAATGTCTGTGTCCAAGTATATGGTAACGAAGGATCTGAATTGATTGTTGTGCTGCTTGTCATTGTTCCTGTATATCTATATCTGTATCTGTATCGGTTGAGATTTCAACAAGTAAGTTCAAAGTGGCGAAGCGAAAGAATCAAAGACGAGGAAGAAGATTGGCTACACACACATGGAACTACCATGAGAGAGGGTTGTTATTATGAACAATATATATATATCTCAATAGTTGTGAGAGAAGATCACTCTGGCATGGATGATCGATGCCAACTCCTTGCTGAACTCTTGTAAGATAATGGTTGAATGTAAGAAGTCCAATTGTTGTTTGGATAATCCCTCCATCGTCGATGGTAAGGCAGGCGGCTCCTTAACTTGATTATCATCTTGTTCATGTGTATACAAGTTGGCCAAGTGTGATCTATATGTCTCAATGGACTGATCGAATAATTGAATATCCTTTGATCTCTCATTTATCTGATTGGATAACTATGTTTGATGGGATGGTTGGTAAGTTGTGACGGATGGACAACAGTAGTAGTACTTACATCTTGAAGAACAGAGTGTAGTGATGGTATTGGAGAGTTACTTGAATGATTGGAAGTTGGTGTTGTAGAGAGCATTTGTTGTTGGCCGGATGTGGACACATGTACCAGGTGTGGATAGAGTTGTGGACATGGATAGTAGCATAGTTTGGATATTATACCAGTGAGGACAGAGGTGATCTCAACTGGTAGGCTCAGAACATTGCGTAGCAACTTGAATATCTCTTCGAGGAATGGTCCCATGTTGTAATTGCTTAGTCCTTGTCTGTTATGACTTATGTGTAGACTCTCGAATGAAGAGGTTGGGGGTATGCCACGACCACTACTACGTTTGCCGCTGCTGTTTAGCCTTCCACTGCCACCATTGTTGTGAAGTAGCTGGTAGGCTTCCTTTGTGATGAACAGGTAGTTGTCTGGCCATGGAGCACATGCTGTACTGTAGAATGATACTTGATAACGTGCGTCCACCAAGTATGATGCATATCCTTGTGATTGATTCATCTGATCGTTCTCACCTGGTGATGACGTTGATGTTGATGCTGTTGATGCAGTCTGCGATGATGATTGAGTGTCTGCCAATGTAGAGCTGCTGCTGTTGTTGCCAAATCCAACAAACAATGATAGATAATGTTTGATTGATTGATGTGCAGCTTGTAGTGTGGCCAGGTTATGGTAGGAGAATGGTGTAGGGTCGATAGGTAGGTTTACAATGATCATATTATACAACACAACAAAGTTGTTCAATGACAAAAGTGTCGAGAATAGTCGGAGACAGGACAGAGAGACCTAGAGTTTTGATGGCTGTGAGTGAGTGCTTGACCAAGACATGGACAAGGACAGGGATACGTACTATTGGGTTTGGATGTGATATTCGATTGATTAGAGCTGTCCTGATTTGTAACTCATCGGTATCGTCATCTTTCTTGACTTGATGATGTTGTGCCTCTGGACGAATTGAGCTGCCAACTATGAATGATATTGTCCTGTGATAGACTGGACCATGTAGAAGTGGCAATATCTCTCTAAGATACAACATTGCCGTGGCAGCATGTAATTCATCATTGTCCAACAATGCTTGTTTGAGTGTAATGGCAATGAATTGCTCATCCCATAACCTTGATATATTCTCTCCAATGTCCTGTTGTGTTGGAATGATTCCATGTTAATTGTTTGAGTGATTAAGCTGAATGAATGAACATACATGATGTTTGATCGATGACAGTGAGCAACAGAATGATACACGAGCCTTGTAACACTCGAGGATACAGAGGGTGTCTTGGTCGATTGGTGGAAGGTCTGCGCCACATTGATCAGCTGATGACACTAGTTTGGATGGAAGGTAGCTGTATACCTTGGCCAGCTGTTTGATCTGTGTCACAACGAATTGAACACGATTTAGCAGTGCATTTGGATCAAACTCGACGATCTCTGGCTGGTCCTCCATCGATAGTTCAAGTGCCGATCGCTTCAGAGGTGATTGTGGCGGCGACCTGCTCGCTGAGCTGTCTCGACGTGATCGTTGCTCGCCTGCCTGTGATAGTGAGTTGTTGGTCGATGGCAACAGCTCCAAACATTGTAGTAGGGCCTTTCGTGCTCGCTCGCCGACCGAGCCCACAGTCCACAGATGTCTGGAGAGGCCGCGGTAGACGATGAACCTCTCGCCATGCATTCCACGCTCATCCTGGAAGAATCCCACCAGGCTTGGATTGAGCTTCAACTTCTTTGTGAGTGTCTCCAGCAAGTTGACAAACTCACTCTCATCATTGGCTTGATCGCACACATGTGGATTGAGACTAGGTACCAGATGTTGAATCTCATGTGCCGAGCTATGTAGACTATGTTGTTGTTGCTGTTGTTGTTCATCATCATACTCGCATTGCTCGTGATCGTGATCGTGATCGTGACTATGATCATCATGATGAGTATCTTTGTCATCATCTTCGTCGTCACTGAGGTCTTGATCCTGTGCTTGATTAACAATCGAACTAATCAATCTACATATAGGTCTGTGAATGCTCATATGAGGTAACAATGGCATAGATACATCACTTAACAGTATTGTAGTTGTTTGTAATACAAGTTTGCGTACTCCTGATGGTGTCTATGTTTGATTGATTGAATGAGTGAGCCGTGTGATTGATCGTGTGATTGATTGATTGATTGATGTCGACCTTACATCACGTTCACCAAGTAGACATAGTGTCTCGAGTATTCTATTCTTTAGGAAGAAGTCAAAGCATGGACCAGGTCGTCCAGTTGTTGGTGGCTGTGCCTTGCTCTCCTCTACAATCAATGAAACCATCGATATAATATGACCTGGTAATTGAAATTCATGAAAGCTCTCAAGGTCATCTTGATTGAGTATAAGTATTCATTCAATCATTTCATTCAATCAATCATGTATGTTAACATACCATTATTGTCATTGTAGAATGTCTTTATAGCACGCCAATGATTCTTTAGTTCATCTAGTTGAGTATTTGATGGTGCCAATGCCTCACCAATTGTAGAGAGTAGTCTCTGCATTGTCTACCTCTCTATCTATGTTATATATTATTACAAGCTGTAGTTATCAAGTCATATATGAGAACGATCCAATGAGTCCGATATTAGGATCTGAACCCAGCCTGGGAAATGAGACCTTGCTGAAAAAATCTAGCTTCTTCTCAAGCTTTGAGATGGAAGCAAATTTCTCCAAGACAATGAATGACGAGTCGAGACGAGTGAACATAGATAGAAGTAATAGATGGATATCAACAACAACAATAATACTACTGATGATGATGGATTGAATGATGAGGTTGTTTCAACAAAGTGCCAAACTCATAACAGGAGGTCAGAGATGATTTGCTTCGATTGTAGACTGTTGTTTGGTGGCCAAAGGTCATAAAGGTCATAACATCGATCAGATTGATAATATCAAACAGAGAATGATAGAGAAGGATATGGAGGGATTATGGTGTATGCCTAGGTTGGAGCATCTGTGGAAGACACTTCAACTGTGTGCTCAATCATATCAATCATTGCAACAGACACATTCAGAAGTCACTTCAACCTTTGAACAACTGATCAAGTTGATCATCGCTCAAGAGCACAAGACCAAGACACCGATCAATGCTCAAATGTCACATATACAATCGTTATTGAAAAAGGCGGATCTGGCTTCTCGCTCAATCTCAAGACATTGGACACCGACGTGCTCCTCGATGCCGACTTAAAGTATAATTATAATTATACCAGTTGCTTCGATGGCCATGACAACCTCTATTTGCTCGGCTATGATCGTAAGGGAAGTGAAGTCTCATTCTTTCGATACACACTGTCCACTAAAGAGAAAACCAAGCTCCAGGGTCATCCAAAAGATCTTTGTAACCAATATCGATTGGTGTATCATCCACTTGGCATCATGTCTGTTGGTGGCAACAAAAGGAATTATTCATACTCGACCGATGATGACAAATGGACCTTGATCACAGATGACAATGACCAGGTAACAGACCGCTCATTTTATGATGCATGCTTGATTCTTGATTGATTGTCACATCACTACATAAGTCAGTACAAGTGGTGTCAATAAACAACTTCCATTTACGATGGTGATAAGTACATCTACATCGTTGGTGGATTTGATCGGCAAGCATCACCACCAACCTCGACTGATCAAGTTGTCCGCTTCGACATCAGCACGGAACAGTTTGAACAAATTGGATTCCTACCATACTCGTTGGACACGGTCTGCATCTGTGTCCACGACAACTCAATCATTATTGCCGGTCACAAGAAAGGTGTGCTCTCATTCAATCTCAAGACACTGACTACTGATCTTCTCTTTGATCAATCATCAATCAACAAGGGATGTGGAAGAAGTACGGAGTATGCCAGTTGCTTCGTTGGTCAAGACAACCTTTACTTGATGTTCTTTGAAGATATGTTAGATGATGATGATACATTCGTTCGATTCACACTGTCCACCAACAAAGAAGTTGACTCCATGTCCCAATAGATATGGAGAGTACTACCGCATCATATTTGATCAATCATTTGGCATCATGTTACTTGGTGGCAAAGATAATAACTATCGATACTCCATACAACTTGATCAATGGACACTTATCACTGATGAAAATGACCCTGTCAAAGACCGTATATTGTATGGTGCATGTCTAATTCGTGATTAATAAATTTGGCAATAAGAAGACTGAAGTGATCACCATTTCTCGCGCCAAAATTGAGAAGTGACTTCAAATAACACTTTGAATTCAAACAACATTACAAAGTAGTTTCTTAACAGATAGATAGGTAGAAGTAATAGATGGATACAGAGACTAATCTTGTTGAGTCTTCTTTGTCGACTAGGTGCCAAACGCACAATAGGAGGTCAGAGATTATATGCTTCGATTGCAGAGTGATGTTGTGTCCTGTTTGTTCGGCAAAAGATCATAAAGGACATAACACCGATCAGATCGATAATATTAGAGAGAGAATCAACGAGAAGGATATGGATGGATTATGGTGCACTCCGAGGTTGGATCATCTGTGGAAGACACTTCAACTGTGCACCACATCATTTCAATCATTGCAACAGACACATTCAGAGGTCACTTCAACCTTTGAACAACTCTTCAAGATGCTCATCGCTCAGGAGCACAAGATCAAGACACCAATCAACGTTCAAATGTCACACGTTCAATCAACAATCAACAACATCATCAATGAGATCAAAGACATCAATCATATCATCAACAACAAACAACCAACAGACAACAACAATAATGAGGTTGATGATTCAACACAATTGATTGAATCGATCACACAATGCACAACGATCGATGAGTTCATCAACAAGATCAACAACAACAACACTCAATCAGAAGATGTCAATATCAATGATGGTGAACTGATGTCAATGATCGTTCGTCATGTCCTACATGTTGAACAGGTGCCCTATGATGGTGTGGCTTCACTTCGATTACAAGCATGTCGGTTAAAGATTGATCTTGATCTGAAGGATGTCAAGGAGAAGCTCAATGATTGGTTCACAATCCTCGAACCTGGACGAGCAGGATCTTGGGCGGGAAACATCCTGTCACTTGGTTTCGGATCAAACGCATTGTTCTCACTAGAGACATCGGTGTGGAGAACCATCGACTTCTCCGCTAGATCTTACAGTTGTGTGACAAACTCTGTAGTATATGCCCATGGAAATATTTACGTGTTTGGAGGCTATGAAGAGCCACAGTACTCTCGATACTCAATATTTGAGGAACAAGAACACACTGCCCCAATGACTGGCCTGCAGGCCAGTATAAATTTGTCAGCATGCTACAATGGAGACAAGTACATCTACCTGTTCGGTGGAGATGATGAAACGGGCTACAAAGGAAATCAAGTGGATCGATTCAACATCTTCACTCATCAGTTTGAGAGTGTTGGAACTCTTCCTTTCCAGCTGTCCAATGCCTGCACACACTTCCACAAACAATCCAACTCGATCATTGTTGTTTGTAAAGATGGAACTGTCCACTCATTCAATCTCAACACATTGGCCACCGCATTGCTCATGGACCCCCCAGATGAAGAGGAGTATAATATTACCAGTTGCTTCGATGGCCATGACAACCTCTACATGCTAGCCTATGACTGTGACGGTAATGGTGATTTCTATCGATACAAACTCTCCACCAAAGAGATAACCATTCTCAGCAGCTATGATAGAAGGCGTCTTCATCAAGAATTCCGAATCATATATCATCAACCGTTTGGCATCATGCTTGTTGGTGGCTACGGCTACACCCTTATATACTCTGTTGATGATGATGAATGGTCTTTGCTCGATACTGACAACGACGAGGCAGGAAGCCGTGGAAGCCAAGGAGCATGCTTGGTCCTTGAATGATATGATAGTCAGTTATTCGCATGCATCAATAAACCTCGAGATGCCAAAGTTCAAGATAAATCTTCGCTTCGCTTTTTGATCATTATTTAGTTAACTTACTCGTCATAATAATGGAGATAGATAATATTAATAATACTACAACAACGATAACAACAAGATGTCAAGAACACAACAGGAGATCAGAGTTCATATGCTTCGATTGCAACACGCTGGTATGCCCTTTGTGTTTGGGAAGAGGACAGGCTCATTATGATCACACGATAGATCATATCGATAACATCAAGAAGCGAATCGTCGAGAAGCATCATAGTGATATGTGGTGTAAACCAAGGTTGAGTCATCTCTGGAAGATACTTCAGCAGTGTGCAGCTTCATACAAATCATTGCAACAGACACATTCAGAGATAACGGGTCACTTTGAACAACTGATCAAAGTGATCATGGCTCTAGAGCACAAGATCAAGACACCAATCAATGTCCAAATCTTACACATTCAATCAACAATCAACAACATCATCAATGAGATCAAGGATATCCTTGCAGCAACCAACAGACAACCACGACAGTAGTGAGGTTGATGATGTAACACAAGTTGTTGAATCGATCACACAATGCAAATCAATGGTTGAATTCTTCAACGCCATCATCCAATCTGATATTGTACAACAACAACACAAGGTCGATGATGATGAACTGATGTCAATGATCATTCGTCACAGCCAACACATTAATCAAGTGCCTTATAAGAGGTCTGATGAGACGATGTTTGAACCAAGTAGCATCGAGACTGATGTCAACAAGTTAAACGGTGTCAGGAAGCAGATCGAGTCTTGTTTCAAACTCATTCAACCGGGACGCGCTGGAATATATGACGGCCAAATCATGTCTCTGACTGCCGATCGATGTTCACTGTTCTCACTTGAGACGTCCAGGTGGACACATCTCGAAAAGGCATTCAAGCGATCATTTAAAAACATAAACACATCGATGGCTTACGCCCGAGGCCATGTCTATGTGTTTGGCGGACCGGAATGGACGAATATGGCACAACGTCATACTCTCGATACTCGCTGGAGGATGGTCAATGCCACAGTGCACCAATGCCAGATGTGGATGAGCCAGTGACCGGCATAGCTGCATGCTACGATGGTCGCAAGTACATCTACCTCATTGGCGGATATTGCAAAGATAACAAGTGACCGATGGTCTGTACCGATGCAATGTCCTCACCCAAGAGTGTGTCGAATTTGGAGCACTTCCATACCGTATGGCCTTTATCAGAGCCAACTTCATGGCCGACTCCAACTCACTGCTTATCGTTTGTGAAGAGAAAATCACCACATTCAATGTCGAGACCATGGACTCTGATTATAACTACATACCATCAGAGACTGATCCGGATGCGATCCATTACATTCACTCGAGTTGCTTCGATGGCCAAGATAGCATATACCTGATGACATCTATTGGCGATATCGATGACGATGAAGATATATTCATGCGATACTCATTGTCCACCAGGAAAATAACCAAGCTGGCCAAGAGTCCAATCAGCAGTGATTACTCTCGCCTGATCCATGATCAATCGTTTGGAATCATCTATGTTGGTGGCAAAGGCAGGAACTATCGATACTCAATTCCAGATGATAAATGGACTCTGATCACTGATGATAACGACTCCATCACAAACCGTGCACAGTATGGAGCATGCTTGATTCGTGATTGATTGTATTGAGTCAACAGACCCATAAATAAACAATCATACCAAACGATTCTTCATTCATTCATCAATATATTGAAGCTGATGTCATATGTCCTCCACCATGATGGCGTCAGAGTTGGTCCTCATGGTGTGATGCTTATGTTGGCATTGCCAGTGTTATTGACTGAGTTGCCAGCTGTTCGGGTTGTTGGTTGTTGTTGAGTATGGGGATGGTTGGGAGGTCCATCATGTCTCTCCGTTCCGTTTGTGGCCATCAAGTCTGTTCTTCTTGTGAACGGGAGAGGATGTTGGTGATTTAGCATTGTCTATTGCTGTTGTTGTTGTTGTTGTGGTTGTTGTTATGTTGTTCTGGTTGTTGTTATGTTGTTCTTGCTCTTTGGGGTGTTTGTGTTGGATGGCGCTCTGGCTTGAGTGTCTAGGCCTGGTGGCGCTATGGGGAGCTCATTCATGGCTGCTATGGCATTCGGCTTGGCCCTCCATGCTGGCTCGAGTGGTGCTGACAGTTGTTGTTGCTGTCGTTCCTTGTGTAGTACATTCGCGAACTGAAGAAGATCTGACGTGGGCACTTTAGTCCAGTCGGCCGCACTAATGATGTCGAGGGCCCAGGAGCGTTCCTCAAGTTCCCGTTTGGCTGCCGTGATGGACGTGTCGTTTGAGTTCTTTTGTTGTGTTACACCAATTACTGTTTCTTTTTGTTGAGACCTGTTGTTGGGATGAGTGTCCTCTTGAGTTGTGTCACCCTTCGATGGCGCATCTAACTTGGACCAACTCCACGGCACTCGATCAACGTCAACAATCCCGTCTGGTCCGGTGGTGGTAGTGGTGGTGGCTGTGCGGTCATCGTCCTCGTCCTCTTCCTCATCCTCTGCATCTTTGGTTGTCTTTCGCTTGTTCTTCTTTCCCAGATCAAAGTCGGGGTGTGGCCACAACACGTTGTCGTCCCTGGCAGCCTTGGTACTATTCGACACACCACCTTTCTTCGTATAAGTCAATAAGCACATTCCTGTCTTCGACACTGGTTGGACATCTGAGTTCTACATCAGTGTGGGTGTTTATCTTGGGTACCAATCTCTTGATTGGGCCAACGAGCATCTTCATCGGACGTTGGAGCCCGGTGACTGTAACCTCTTCCACTCGGAACTCTTTATAGTTGTTGTCAATGTAAGATCCCAACTTATCGCTCATCACTGGCTTCTCCAGATTGCCATCATTGGAATGATCGAGTTTATCTACAATGTATTTGATGATATTGAACCTGGCGAAAGTCATATAAGAAATTGATTCTAGAAATTGACAACATTGCGATAACCCACGTCTTCTGTGATGACATGTTAATGGTAAGGTTGTATAACAAGATAGCGTCGATGATGTTGTTATCATGGTTAGTATTTTGTTGGAGAACAAAAACAGTCCCATAAATACACAATCAAACCTAATCTAAAGTTGTGTTGAGGGTGATCTAATTCGTTCATCCATTCTACCAATTGAATCGCTCTGATGGAGACAGATAATAACAATAATAACAACAACAATAGTGTAGTTGCTGCTGCATCGATGACAACGACAATAACAATGACAACAATAACATGTCAAGAACACAACAGGAGATCAGAGTTTATATGTTTCTATTGCAACGAGTTGGTGTGTCCATTATGTTTGGGTAGAGGATATGCTCATTATGAACATGATGTAGATCATATTGATAACATCAAGAAGAGAATGATCGAGAAGGATATGGAGGAGTTATGGTGTACTCCGAGGTTGGACCATCTGTGGAAGACTCTTCAAAAGTGTGCAGGTTCATATCAATCATTGCAACAGACACATTCAGAGATAACGGGTCACTTTGAACAACTGATCAAGGTGATCATCGCTGAGGAGCACAAGATCAAAACACCAATCAATGCTCAAATGTCACACATTCAATCAACAATCAACAACATCATCAATGAGATCAAAGACATCAATCATATCATCAATATCCAATATCCGACGACAACAGATAACAACAACAGTGATAATGATATAACACCATTAATTGAATCGATCACACAGTGCAAGACTATTGATGAGTTCACCAACATCATCACTCAATCTGATATTGATACACAACAACAACAACAACAAAACAAGGTCGATGATGATGATGAACTGTTGTCAATGATCATTCGTCACCGTCAACACATTGATCAGGTGCCCTATAAAGGGACGGATGAGATGATGTTGCAACCCAGCCGTATAGAGACTAATGTCATCGTGTTGAACGGTGTCAGGAAGCAGATCGAGTCTTGTTTCAAACTCATTCAACATGGAAGCGCTGGCATATATGATGGCCACATCATGTCTCTGACTGGCGATCAATGCTCAGTATTCTCGCTTGATACGTTCAAATGGACATCATTAGACAGGGCATTCAAACGATCATTCATGATCTCAGCTTTATCAATTGCCTATGCCCGTGGACATATCTATGTGTTTGGCGGACCGGACAAAAAGTCATACTCTCGATACTCTCTGTTCGATGGTCAATGCCACACTGCACCATTGCCAAGTGAGGATGAGCCATTTAACATCACAACTGCATGCTACGATGGTCAAAAGTACATCTACGTCACCGGTGATTATGTAACAAGAGAGAACGATGGGGTATACCGTCTCAACGTCTTGACTCAAGAGTGTGACATCTATGGAACACTTCCATGCCATTTGGGGTTTGGCAGAGCCAACTTCAAGGCCGACTCCAACTCACTGGTTATCGTTGGTGAAGAGAAAATCATTATGTTCAATGTCGAGACAAAGGAGTCTAATTATTTCTACGTACCATCAGAGACTGATCCAACTGATGCCCATTACATCTACGAGAGTTGCTTCGATGGTCAAGACGACCTATACCTTTTGGCTGCTGATGGCGAAATCGAAGACGATGATGCTGATCGATTCATTCGATTCACATTGTCCACCAAGAAAATAACCAAGTTGGCCATGTGGCCAAAGCACAAAAAATTCCATCGCTTGATCTATGATCAATCGTTTGGAATCATCTATATGGGCGGAAGACAAAGCAAGAACTTTCAATACTCTATACCAGATGATCACTGGTCTCTGATCACTGATGGAAATCTCCCTTTAAAGGGTATTATACAGAATGGAGCATGCTTGATTCGAGATCACTGATAGTAGTAGGCAATCAAACAAAACCATAAATAAACAACCAAACCTAACCTCTTGTGTGTGTGTGTTGGGATGAATTCTCTGATTCATTCATTCTTTCAATTAATGACCTGGACAGAGATAGATAATAATACTAGTTATATTGACAGTGCCAACAACAGTGTAGTTTCTGATTCGATGGCAACAACAACAACAACATTAACAACAACATGTCAAGAGCACAACAGGAGGTCAGAGTTCATATGTTTCGATTGCAACATGTTGGTGTGTCCAGTGTGTTTGGGAAGAGGATATGCTCATAATGGACATGAAGTCGATCATATTGATAACATCAAGAAGAGAATGATCGAGAAGGACAAGAAGGATATGTGGTGTAAACCGAGGTTGGATCATCTGTGGAAGACACTTCAACTGTGTGCCGGATCATATCAATCATTGCAACAGACTCATGCATCAATCAGCAGTCACTTTGAACAACTGATCAAAGTGATCATCGCTGAGGAGCACAAGATCAAGACACCAATCAATGTTCAAATGTCACACATTCAATCAACAATCAACAACATCATCAATGAGATCAAAGACATCAATCATATCATCAACATACGACTACCAACAAATAACAACGACAACGACAACAGTACTAGTGAAGTTGATGATACAACACAATTGATTGAATCGATCACATCATGCAAATCAATCGATGAGTTCACAGACAAGATCACTCAATCTGATATGGACACACAGCAACAACAACACAATGTCAATGATGATGAACTGATGTCAATTATCATTCGTCACAACCAACACACTCATCAAGTGCCTTATGATGAGAAGATGTTGCACCCAAGTCGTATAGAGATTGATGTCAACTTGTTGACCGGTGTCAGGAAGCAGATCGAGTCGTGTTTCAAACTCATTCAACCTGGACGTGCCGGCAAATATGATGGCCATATCATGTCTCTGGCTGGCGATCGATGCTCAATGTTCTCTCTTGATACGTTCAAGTGGACATCATTAGACAGGGCGTTCAAACGATCATTCGTGAGCTCACATATATCAATGGTATACGCCCGAGGCCATGTCTATGTGTTTGGCGGATCGGACGAATATGACATAACATCATACTCTCGATACTCTCTGTTCGATGGTCAATGCCACACTGCACCATTGCCAAGAGAGGATGAGCCATTTTCCGCCACAACTGCATGCTACGATGGTCAAAAGTACATCTACATCATCTGTGAATATCGAACAAAAGATAACGATGGGGTATACCGACTTAACGTCTTGACTCTGGAATGTGACATCTATGGAAAACTTCCATACTCTATGATGATGGCCAGAGCCAACTTCAAGGCCGACTCCAACTCACTGGTTATCGTTGGTGAAGAGAAGATCCTCTTGTTCAATATCGAGACAAAGGAGTCCAATTATTTCTACATACCATCAGAGACTGAACCGGGTGTAGTCCTTTATATCTACGAGAGTTGCTTCGATGGCCACGATAACTTATACATGAAGGCTGCTCTTGGCGAAATCGAAGACGATGATGCCGATCGATTCGTTCGAATCACATTGTCCACCAAGAAAATAACCAAGTTGGCCATGTGGCCAGAGCACAAAGAATACCATCGCTTGATCTATGATCAATGGTTTGGAATCATCTTTATTGGTGGAAGAGGCAAGAACTTTCGATACTCAATACCAGATGATCAATGGACTCTGATCACCTATGACAATGTCCCTTTTAAAGGTATTGCACAGAAAGGAGCATGCTTGATTCGTGATCGAATCGATGAAGTCAATTTAACAGAACCATAAATAAACTACCAAACCCAACCTTGGTGTGTGTGTTTGGGATGTCCATCAGAGTCATTCTTTGAGTGACCTTGGCCGATCGAGATAAGATAAATAATAATACTAGCTCCAGTGTCAACAATAACAGTGTAGTTGCTGCTTCGATGGCAACAACAACAACAACAACGACAACAACATGTCAGGAGCACAACAGGAGGTCAGAGTTGATATGTTTCGATTGCAGCATGTTGTTGTGTCCTTCTTGTTTGGGTAGAGATCATAAAGGACATAACATTGAACAAATAGATCGTATTAAACAGAGTATTAAAGAGAGGAATAAGGGATTATGGTGTACTCCGAGGTTGGACCATCTGTGGAAGACACTTCGTCAATGCACTACTTCGTATCAATCATTGCAACAGACACAATCAGAGATAACAGCACACTTTGAACAACTGATCAAGGTGCTCATCGCTCAGGAGTACAAGATCAAGACACCAATCAATGTTCAGATGTCACACGTTCAATCAACAATCAACAACATCATCAATGAGATCAAAGATATCAATCTTATCATCAAACGCCAACAACCAACAGATAACAACAACGAAAACAATAGTGATGGCGGTGTCAAAGATGATACAACACAACTAATTGAATCGATCACACAATGTACAACAATCGATGAGTTCATCAACAAGATCAACATCAACAACATTCAATCAGATGATGTTAACATCAATGATGATGAACTGATGTCAATGATCGTTCGCCACAGCCAACACATTCATCAAGTACCATATGATGAGAGTGATGCTACTACATTACAGCTTAGAGCATGTGAGTATAATATCAATGCTGACAAGTTGAAAGACATCAAGAAACAGATTGAATCATGCTTCAAACTCATTAAGCCTGGTCACTATACTCCTGGAGAGTACGAAGGACACATCATTTCTTTTGATAACAATCCATTATCATTGTTCTCACTGGAGACTCAGAAGTGGACAACAATCAAACTCGATGGTGAATTCAATACTCAACTCAGTACGGCGCTCGGTTCGGTAGTCTATGCCCGTGGCAATGTCTATGTGTTTGGCGGTGCCTACGAAGAGGACGATGAAGGAGTTGAAACATGGACAAAGACATACTGTCGATTCTCCCTGGCCGAGAAACGAATCCACCATAATCCAATGACTGCGATGGAGGGTGCGTTTTTGTTTGCAACCTGCTACGACGGCGGAAAGTACATCTACATCGTTGGTGGATGTGATGTGAAAGAAAAGAATCTGGACACCGTATACCGCTTCGACATTGACACAGGACAGTTTGAGGCGTTTGGAAAGATTCCTTTTGCGACATCTAATGCCTCCGCTCACTTCCACAAGGACAGCAACTCAATCATCATCGTTAGTGAGGACAAACAGGTCTCATCGTTCAGTGTGATCACACAGGCCACCAATGTTCTCTTTGAATATAGTAACTTTGCGGGCAACTGCAACTGTCAAATTAAAAGCAGTTGCTTCGATGGCCAAGACAACCTCTACCTTCTGTTCATTTATGACTGCACATTCATTCGATACACAATGTCCACCAAAGAGATCGTCAGTCTCAAAAAATGTCCATATACAATAGGTGTCCTGTTTTCCCTAATCTATGATGATTCATTTGGCATCATGCTCATTGCTGGACGAGCCCAGAACTATCAATACTCCACACAACATGATCGATGGACATTGCTTAACGATGATGATCCTAATGATTATCGTTCAGAACTGGGGGCGTGCTTGATACGTGATTGATTGATTGGTCAAATAGTGTGGTGATAATAAACCTTTCCAGCATTGTGTTTCAATCATAATCATAAGGGAGAGTTATAATACATACATATATTTATAGACTTACTAATGGATAATAACAATAATGTAGTTGATTCAATGGAAACATCAACAATATCGACTACATGTCAAGATCACAACAGGAGGTCAGAGTTCATATGTTTCGATTGCAGCATGTTGGTGTGTCCTGTCTGCATTGGTCGACATCATAAAGGGCATAGTGTGGACCAAATAGATAGTATTAAACTGAGTATTGAAGAGAGGAATAAGGATAGGCAAGCGTTATGGTGTACTCCAAGGCTGGATCATCTGTGGAAGACACTTCAACTGTGTACCAAATCATATCAGTCATTGCAACAGACACATTCAGAGATAACATCACACTTTGAACAACTGATCAAGTTGATCATCGCTCAAGAGCACAGAGTCAAGACACCAATCAATGTTCAAATGTCACACATTCAATCAACAATCAACAACATCATCAATGAGATCAATCAAATCAACCATATCATCGACCTCCAACATCCAACAGACAACAATAATATTAGTGAGGCTGATAATATCAATCAAGATGATTCAACACAATTGATTGAATCGATCACACAATGCACAACAATCGATGAGTTCATCAACAAGATCAACAACAACAACAACAATCAATCAGATGATGTCAATATCAATGATGATGAACTGATGTCAATGATCGTTCGTCACAATCAACATACTCATCAAGTACCCTTTGATGAGAATGATGCTATTACATTGCGACTCAAAGCATGTGATTACAAGATCAATGACAAAAAGTTGAAAGACATCAAGAGACAGATTGAATCATGCTTCAAACTCATTAGACCTGTTCAACAACATCCTGCAGGCGAGTATGATCGACATATCTTGTCAGTAGATTATGATGGATTCTCAATGCTCTCACTGGAGACGTCCAAGTGGAAATCAATCAGACTCGATAGTAGTCCATTCATTTCATCGTACCGATATCTAACATACTCAGTTGTCTATTACAGTGGCAACGTCTATGTGTTTGGAAGTGGACCCAATATATACACTCGATACTCGCTTTCTGAGAGACGGATGTTCACCTAGCCAATGACAGAGGTCAAAGCTGTTTCAGAGATGTCAGCCTGCTTCGATGGTAACATTTACATCTACATCATCGGTGGACTAGATGAGAATAGAGATGAACTGAACACTGTGTACCGATTCGACACTTACTCGGAACATTTTGAGGAACTTGCAGCGATTCAACTGGGATACGTGTCCAATGTCTCAACATTCTTCCACAATGGCAGCAACTCAATCATCATTATTAATGATATGGGCGATGCCCTATCATACGATGTGGTCACACAGGACACTTGTAGTCTCTTTTCTTTTAATGAGTACATTGGAGAGGTCAACACCTCTCATATCAGTTGCTACGATGGCCACGATAACATCTACATTATGGCCAATGAAGACGGCAGATTTGTTAAATTCTCAATGATACTCAAGCAGTTCACCAAACTCACTGGCAGTCCCTTTGAAGCAAAAGAAGATATATATCGTCTGATCTATGACCAATCATTTGGCATCACGCTCATCGCTGGAAAGGGACAAAACTATAGATACTCCACTCAACGCAATGATTGGACTTTGCTCAATGACAATGATCCTGTCGGTCTCCGTAAACTTTTGGGAGCATGTTTAATACGTGATTGATTGATTGATTTATTAATAAAGGGCAGTGTCAATGACCACTATGAACAGTCCACCAAAGAGATCACCCAACTCGATTATTTATACAACAAGGAATTAAGCTTCCAAGGATCTATGATCAATCATTTGGTATCATGATCATTGCTGGACTAGAATATAGCTGCCAATATTCCATACAACTTGGTCAATGGGAAGAGCTCCCTGATGATCTCGTCGACCTACTGATCTGGGCGCATGATTAATTCGTGATTGATCGATCGATAAAGACAGTGAACTACATCCTCTTTCAAATAAGTATAATATAGATAGCTGTCGAATTCTACAATTAGGTTGTGTAATGTCTTTAGCATTCATGTTGGAATAGTCAAAGGGCAATGGCCTTAAGTTGTTGGGGCTGAGGTTGGAGGCCCATGTGAAGTGTCTGATCATTTTTCTCGTGAACAGTGATCAAATCATTCGTCAAAAAATGCTTAGGCCAGGGTCCGAATTTTGCAGGTGTCAAATAAAAAAATAGACACTCTGTACAGATAATCAATATTTTAATTATCTATTATTTGAATCAATCAAATATGAATATAAGAATAATATTTTTATTTTTATCATTATACTATTATGTTTCCATTGTCAACTCAGAGACTGTTTACTTCAATGTCACCAAGGATTGTTCAATTTATCATCAATGTGACTTCTCGGATGCAGCCAACTGGGTTGGCGGTGTTGCCCCGACAAGGGATTTTGATGTAGTGATCGATTACTCTACCTCCGGCCAACTGACCAAGCAATACTTATTTATTAATGTCAGTATCAATGTTGGCAACTTCCTCCTCAAAGGTCCCAATGTACAATTGTCCATTATCAACAACAAGGTATGGTTCAACACCAACAACATGACAGTACACGATGGTGAGATAGATGGCAGGAACAATCAAAATGGAATCAAGGTTAATGGAGAGAAGATCATTTTCTCTGGTCACTCGATCTACAACTCTGACACCTTCATATTTCAAACGGCCGCTGCCAATATCTATGTTGGACCTCAAGTTCAAATGATTCTAACTGGAAGCAGTGTCTTCTTGGTCCTACCCAGTGATCAACCCCAGAATGATGTTGTTGAGTTCCATTCAGCACCGACCATCCTCAACGACTCCTACATCTTCTCTTTCCACTCTACTCACTACTTTGCTGGTATCAATGGATTGGGTCAAATGTCATCTATCGTAGGAAGAACAACTATCCTATATGGAAACTGTACAATTGGTAGAGTATTGTTTGGGAACCTTACACTTGTTGACTCATCATCATTAACAGTGACCAACTTTATTGAATCTACAAGTCATGGTTTCTTGAGAATCAATAATGGAAGTCTAATTTTGACCAGAGGATCAAAAGAGAAACCAAGAACCATTTTGGATATAACAACCATTATTAACCCGGCTGGATCACTCATTGTCAAGGATTATCATGGACCTCTTATGACCTTCAACAATATTCAATCGAAAGGTCATGTGTCCCTCATCAATGTTACCTCTATGAACTTTGGATCATCATCATTCTCCTCTTTGCTATTGGGTGGTCCCTCAAACATTACCTTCAACCAAGTCTCAATTGGATCAGTCTTCTACCATGATCCCAATGGAGATAATGATTTAGTCTATCTCTACTTTGATTCCTCAAATACTCTGATGGCAACTAAATTGTTCAATGTGATGGTCAATGTTCGACCTGCTGCCACCCTAGTCCTCACCAATACTTTACAGTTCAAAGGCCTAGGTGGATTTAATGTGATGGGACATCTGATTACTAAATCAAATCTCGATCTGGCCCCTGGAATGTCAATCAATATCCTCAATGACAATGCCATTTTCTCAACTATTGGCTCGGGTGTGTTTGGTGATATCAACCTAACAAAGGGTACCTTTGCCCCTGTGAAATCCCAAGTAATAGGCACAATCAATCAACTGGGTGGCACTGTATCAATTACCAATATGAATGGACCAAACCTCTATGTGCATGGCACTTTCAACTCCTCATCTGGTTCACTGGTCGAGTTTATCGATCCTCTTACACCAGTGGAGTATTCATATCCTTACCTAGTCCTAGATGGTGCATCATCCATTCAATCAAAGTTGATCGTCAGGTTTGTAAATGCCATTCCAGTTGCTGTAGCACCCTATTGCCTTGTAGGAACCATCAACAATGAAATCATTGGTGGCCAGTTCTCCAATGTTGATTTTTCGTGGACCCAAGGTAACGTCAGTGGAGTCTCTGTGTCCACCACCCCCATAGCTATATCTATATCGTTCAAATAAACACATACAACTTATGTGTAATATCCCTTTTGAAGGTGATCATCCAACTATAATTGGGTCGTTTTGGTCCTATCAATGATTGAATGATTGATTGGGTATGATGTTTGGACACTGGTTGGTATTGGAATAGTTCCACTGATCACTCACTTGTCATGGAAGGGCAATAAATAAAGTAATAATAAATGTACAACTGTTTGATTGGATATATGATCTAAATGTGTATTCGAGTATTATGATTATGTGATTGGTGTAATGTAATGTATTCCTTTTTTTACAACTTGAGCAATGAAGACACTTCCTCGCAGGTTGGAACGTTGGTGAGGTCGCCGCGGACAACAAGGGTTGGCTTGGACGAGAGGATTCTCTGGGCCACTCTCTTGACGTCGTCAGAGGTCAGCTTGGACACCTCGGCGACGTACTCCTCGGGGGTGAGCACCTTGCCGCCATAGAGAGCCTGCTTGCCGACAAACTCGAGGGCGCAGGTGCGCTGCTCGGCGGAAGCAAGGAACTGTGACTTGGCCAACTGCTTGGCGCGCTCCAGCTCCTGGCCGGTGGCGCGGGCAGCTCCAACGAGCTCTCCAGCAATCTGACGGATGACGGTGGCGACGTCTCCGCTCTGTGCAACGCTGTACACTCCAAAGAGGCCAGAGTCGGCGTAGTTGAGCGAGAAAGCCTCGGCCTTCTCGACGTTGCCGTTGCTCTTCTCGAGCAAGCTGTATAATCTGCTGGCTCTGCCGGCGCCTGGGGCGGTGGCTGGGAGCACAGAGGCCGAGCCGAGCAGGGCCTGCAAGACGGCGGCGGCGGCGACGTCCTTGACGGACGAGGCGGCGCTGACACCCTCGAATGCCAGGATGACGTGGCTGTCGCCAGTTTGGTAGGTCAACGATTCACCTCCAATGTATTTGGCTTGTTCGCGTGGGATGCTGACGTTGCTGCTGTTGTTGCTGTTGCTGTTGTTGCGTCCAAACTTGATCTGTGAAGCCTCCTCGACCAATTCCTTGTGCTGCAGGCCAACTCCGACCAAGACCATGTTGTGTGGGGCGTAGACCTGGTTGGCGTACGACTGAACCTGCTCGGTAGTGAGGTTCTCGAGGTTGCTGGCTGGGGCGACCAATGGACGGCCGAGAGTTCTGCCGCGGAAGGCGCTGCGATGGAGGTCCTCAAAGAGGGTGGTCTGCTCGCAGTGGGCCAGCGACTCGGACTCGCCGACGGTCCACTCGGTGTTGTCGCGCACCTCGTGGAATGGCAGAGTGGGGTCGGACAGCTCGGCCAGAGTCTGGAGCATCTGCAAAGAGAATGGTGGGAGCACCTGGGTCGAGACCAAGAGGTTGTCGCGGCTGGCCTGGGCAAAGGCGGTGGAGCCCATCAGCTCAATCTCGCGCTGCACCTCCAAATAGATCTTGCTGGAGTTGCTCTGGAACACCAGGTTCTTGAGCAGCTGGTTGACACCGGCTGTCTGCTGAGTCTCGAATCTGCTGCCAGTGTTGACCATGAGGCCGAGTGAAACAGCATGTCCGGAGTAGCCACCCGAGAGTGACACAACCTTCAATCCATTTGCAAGAGTAGAGAGCTCTGCGACTCTCTTTGTCTCTTGGAATGCACTAGATGAGTACTATATCATTGTAATAATAATATATATATTGAGTGAGTCATTCGTGTTCATTCATTTATCTGTTGTCTCTATCTTGACATTCATTCAATCAATCAATCAATCGATCAATCATTCAATCTGTTTGTTGATGTCGATGTAGTTGCTGTCGCTGTGTTGTTGATGCTAATACAATGTTTGGTTGATTGATCGATTGATGTTGATGTTGACGATGTTGATGATAACCTACATGTCTAATCAGACTCGATGATTTAATTGATAGTCTTGTGAACATGGTTTGATCGATCTGTCAAGTATATAGGGTCCCAAGCAAGTTCTGAACAACACAACAAAAGGGTAGTTGTAGTGAGAATATCTGTGTAGTTGTATCAAATGAATGAATGAATATGCAAGAGTGTTTGTTTGTTTGTGTTTGTTTGTTGTTTGGAAGTGCACAGAAGGTACTCTTTGTCGGTGAGAGAGAATAAGTGAGCGAGACCCAGGGTTGAGTGAGTTGCGCGCAATGTGTGTGAGTTGATCATCAAAAACTATTGTCACACCAAAAAAAAAATTAAAAGGAGTGAGCGAATCTATCGCACTCTCACACTTTGCCCAACAACGAAGTTCTGACTTTGTTAATTTTGTGGAAAGTCCCCTAACTTCAATTTATCAAAGATAATATCTTTCAGTTGTGTTTGGATACAGTCAATCAATTACATTACCATCTTGTTGTTATAATCAATCAAACACAACTATAACAACATATACTTAATTAATATTCGAATAAATATGTCTAATAATACTTATAAAATAGAGAATGCAAAGACAGGAAGATCATCATGCAAGGGTAGATCTTGTAAGAGCACAATAGAGAAGGGTGCAATGAGGATTGGAAAGATATATCCTTCGGCAAGGTTCGAAGATGATGGTGTGGCAACAGACTATTTCCATCCACAATGTCTGTTTGACTCACAACTACGTGCGAGAAAGTCAACAAAGAAGGTCGAGTCATTAGAGGACTTGGATGGATTTGATGATCTGAGTAGTCAGGATCAGAAAGAGATAAAGAAGATGTTGAATGGTGAGTATATACCAGCAGCATCAGGGTCATAATTTGTTGAACCATGATGGTACTGACACGCACAAAAATACACATAAACAGAACATCTTGACTCGATCGCCAACAAAGGATCAAAGAAGAAGAAGAAGACAAACACCGCGGATGATGTCAATATAATCAAGAGCAAGAAGAAGAGTGACAATCAGATGAGATTTGATTCTTTCCTTGATAGTGATGATGAGAATGCCATGGTCAAGAAGACAACATCACCAGCCAAGTCTGGTAATGGACATGCCAAGTCACAACAACAACAACATCAACAGCAAGACGCCAAGCATGCCTTATCAACGAGATGGAGCAAGTCATTCTCAACAGACTTCCTTCAGAAAGTATGTAAAGTCTATCACTCATTCATTCAATCAATCACCTACTTACACACTCAATCAATTACTCAGTTTGGATTGGACACATTCTTGGGCACAAAGAGGAACCACAATCATCTACCTGCGAACGATCAGGTCTTCACTGCGTTCAACTCGATACCATCACCAAAGGACGTGAGAGTGGTGGTATTGGGCCAGCAACCAATGGCAAAAAAGGAACATGCCAGTGGATTTGCTTACTGTGATCGTGCCGCAGTGTCGTGGAACTTGGACAAGTGTAAGGTCAGCACAAGGAACCTCATCAAGTCTGCGATGATATCCAAGGAGTACATATCAAAGATCGACGATTTGGAGACAATCCAAGAGGTGCTCAAGGAGGTCGACCTCCCCGGTGACTCGCCTCGCGATTGGTTCAAGGCCACCGCCTCCCAGGGTGTCCTGTGGCTCAACACCTCGCTCACCGTCACAGAGGACCGTGAGGATGACAGGAAGCCACATGAGACCATCTGGACGCCCTTCATCGAGGAGGCTCTCAGAGTGATCTTCAACGCCAAGATCAATGAGTCCGAGGGAGACATCAGCGGTATCGTCTTTGTGATGTTTGGCAAGCACTTTGCTGGTGTCAAGCCCATCATTGAGAAGGTGCACGCAGAGGTGATGGGTGTGGTGCCCATCGAGTATGTTGAAGGCGGAAGCCCAGTGTTGGAAGCCTTCCACAATGTAAATTATTTCGCGACGATCAATCAGATGCTAGAGAAGGTTGGATCCGCAAAGGTCGATTGGTTCCCATCGTCACCAGCAAAGGATGACTATGAAGACGAGGATGATGAGGAGGAAGAGGACGAGCAGCATCACCATGGATCAACGTCAACGTCAACGACCACTTCAACGTCCAAGACCTCCAACAATGGTAACAGCACATTCACAAGCAAGTACAAGTTGGACTTCCTTGAGGACGATGAGGACACACCAAATGCTGAGCCAGTCGACATGGACGCTGTGCAGCAAGCCGACATTGACATGACGGGACCCCTGGCAAAGTTGGTGCAAGAGGACGGAACGGTCATCGAGCTGAAGGATGGCGAGGACGTCACACTTGGAAGACAGTCACTGCAGATCAGAGACCTGCTGGTAAGCAGGAAGCAAGCCTCCATCGTAGCCAACAAGAAGAACGGCAAGGTTGTAGTGGAGCTGACGCCATTGGGCACCAACCAGATGCATATCTCCAAGCAGGATGAGGAGAATGTACCACTGGCTCCATTCATCGTGCACACCTTGCAGCATGGAGATGTGTTCCTGTTGTGTTCGTTGAAGTATCCCTTCAGGGTTGAGATCCCATCGGCAGCAGTGCAGTCGCCCAAGACCGTCGCAGCCGCTACATCCAAGCCAAAGCCCAAGGTCCAGGCTCCAAAGAAGGAGCCAGAAGAGTCCAAGTTTGACTTCTTGGACGTGAGGGGAGGTAGCGACGGTGAAGCTGAAGCCAAACCCACAAAGAAGAAGGCTGCCACACCAGCTAAGAAGGAGAAGGAAGAGGACGACAATGAGAAGGTTACAAACAAGAAGAGGAAGGCAACACAGCAGGACAGACCCAAACGCAAGAGAACCACCAAGAAGAAGGATGATGACTTTGTTGTTGACACTGGATACTCTGACGATGATATCATCGAAGAAGACAACTCTGACGAGGATTGGAAGCCATCAGGAGGTGAAGAGGACGACGATGATGACTACGACCTTCCACAGACACGCTCATCAGCCAAGCCAGATTGCATGTATTGGGACAAATGCTACAGGACCAACTCTGATCACTTGCGCGACTATAGACATCCAACAAGCAAGAAGTAAACTTTGATTGATCGTTCAATCATTCTAGATCAGCTTAACCTGATTGATCGTCTTTATTCCCAACTTTGATTGATCAATCACTTACACCTTCCAGCCAGAGTGGATGGCGCAGACGCCAAATGTTAGGTTCTTGTAGGTGACCTGCTTGAAGCCGGCACGTCTGATCTTATCGGCAAACTCGTCTTGTTTGGGGAACTTGCGGATACTCTCCACAAGGTACTGATAGCTGTCACGATCGCCTGCTATCAGCTGACCCATCACGGGGATGACGTTGAAGCTGTACTTCTCGTACATAAAGTGCAGCAGAGGGTTGGGCACATGGCTGAACTCTAGACACATGAAGCGACCGCCCTTCTTGAGCACGCGGTACGCCTCTGTCAAGACGTTGTCGATGTTTGTACAGTTACGAATGCCAAATGAGATTGTGTAGCAGTTGAACGTCTCGTCCTTGAATGGGAGATGCTCAGAGTTGCCTTGAACAAAGTCGATCGATGGGTCTGTATGTATGTGTTTGTACTGTCAGTTGCCTGTTGTCGGGTCTTTCAATGTTGAACATACCTGAGAGATCTGAGTAGCCGAGTTTAACACTTCTCTTCTTTCCTTCGTCCAACATTGATTGATTGATATCATAGACGATCGCTGAGGATGATGGTGATGCGCCAGTTGGTGCACTTCCCGAGCTTGGTCTTGGCAAGTAGTATGGTGAGGACTTGATCTTGTCGAGGAATCTGAATGATATATCACCTAATGAATGAATGAGCGCATCGTAATGTTAGTATCATGAGTACAGTCCTACTCAATGATTACCCAAGCAGACACTTACCCGTTCCTCCAGCAACATCTAGTAGATGTGAACCGGGTGTTGGGTTCAGAGTGTTCATGAACTCGTCCTTCCAGAGTCTGTGCACGCCCAAACTCATTGCGTCGTTCATTATATCGTAGCTTGAGGCGACAGAGTCGAACACCTCCTTGACCATGCTCTCCTTTTGTTCAGTGTTCACTGTACGGAAGCCAAAGTGTGTTGTAGACTCGCTGTTGCTGCTTGGTCCTGTTGATGATGTTGATGTCGCATCATTTGTATTATTATTTGTTGTTGTGCCGTAGTATAGTCTAGATGAGAGTGATGACACACCTCTAGTCAATAGACTAGCTGATTGTCTTAATGATGCCAACATCTTATTATAAGTATATTTATGTATTTGATTGATTGGTTGAGTGCACAATCGTCTGATTATTTCGGGGTTTGAACCTGGGAGTGATCTTGATGACAACCAAATCATTCGTCAAAGTGCCTGCCTGATCACAATCAATCAATCAATCAATCAAAGTTAAAGAACAAAGGACAAACAATCAACAACTTTATTATCAATCATCATAAGGATCTAAACCAGCAAGCTGCCTTGCTCTGTCATTGAGAGTTGGTAAGGTCTTCTCATCATACTTGAAGTTATCTATCAAGTCTTGGTTACCATAGGTCCTGGGCGTCTTGGAGAACAGTTTGATATTCTCGGCAGCCCAATGACTGGTCATTCGTTTCTGATTGAATGCCTTTTGCTTCTTGGCCAGGTCGGTCTTTGTGATCAACGACGCTGGCTGATAAGAAGTGTAGACAACCATACGACAGTTGCCCCCTGTTGGAGTCGCTGCCCAATGGATGGTGCGCGAGTCCCACAACACAACGTCGCCGACATTGCAGCAGACCTTGATCTCCTTGCAGTCTTTGAAGTACTTTAGCTCACGAGGGTCCTCTGGGAACTTGTACCAGTCGCCCTGCGATTCGACACCCTCACCCTTGTAGAAGTTGGCATGCTGGATATGCGACTTGTCATAGACGATCAAGCCGCCATCGTTCTGCTGGCAGTCCATCAGGTTGAGGAAGCCCTGCACACATCGGAAGCCGAGTTTGGTGTTGCCCTGGTCTAAGTGGTACCATGGCTTGCCAAGACTCTTACCAGGACGCGACAGGTTACCTCCGTCAAAGCTGACCAGCAGCTCGTCCGTGTTGTATATCTGAGAGAAGACGTCAATAATGGCCTGCTCCGAACGAATGTCCCACACGAACTGGTTCTGGCCAAACGCATACTGTTGGAGGATACCGTGGAGGTTGGCCGGCCACTTGTCGCTGGACCACGAGGCACGGTCATTGCGATCGATTCCCGTTCCAAAGTCCTCGAACCACTTCCAGAATGCGGCCCTATACGTCTCGCATCTCTCTGGTGGCACGACATTGCGTACAACTGCCCAGCCATTATTATAAAGGTCCTTCCTCCATTGTGGCCAGTCCTCTTTAAACGTGTTACACGATTCTTCCAAAGTAGAAGTGGTCATCTTTTTTCTTCCATTACCCATCGTTGGAGTTGGAGTTGATTTATTTGTTGTTGTTGTCGTCGTAGTAGTTGTAGTAGTAGGAGTAATATTTGATTTTATCTTCTTTTTTGTTTGTTCATCAACTGATGACGATGAAGTCTTTGTTACAAAGGATTCAATGTTACCAGCAACAGATGATGTTGTAGTTTGCTTTCTCTTCAATGTTGACATGTTATTGTTGTTATAGTTGTTATAGTATAAGTATAGTTTGGAATATATTTTAATAATGAAGATGCAAAGGACTCAGGTATTATCTCTTTTGGTCGTGTGCTTGTCAATGGCAAAGTCATTATTCCTGGAAATTTGATTTGGGAGATCTGTGTTTGAATCGCGAACGAAATTGGAAACGTAACTTGTGATCACTTTCAAGTTCACCCAAGATCTGGATTCTTTGACTGTTCAAGCGATGATACATTTTGATTTAGTTTGCTGGTAAATAGTTTGGCTATGTTGAGGTGGCTTGGATTTGTAAATGCAGAACCTGGAATGGATGGGTCGATAACTTGTAAATCCACAAATTGTCATATTGTCATTGAACATTAAGAATATCTTGTTGCTAATTCTAAACAATCTGGCTACGATTGTATTGCTAGGCACTCTATTATTGCTCGGCACTCTAGATATGTTGATTTCTACCAATGAAGTCGGTGGAGGGTTCACTCGCAATACATTTCCATAGGCAGTCAATGAGCGTACTGTCTCTGGCAATGTATAAATGTCAGCATCACAACCAGCATGTAATGAGAGTGAAGTGACTGACGATGGTAGATCACTAAGTTGAAGTAGTTCATCAGATTTCTCAATGGAGAGCGAGGTGATTGTGTCCGATCCACCCAATTCCTTGATCACCGCGTCGTTGGCCAGTGGTATGTGCAACTGCTGAAGACCCCTTGGAAGAATGAATGGCTCGTTGAGCGTACCAAGCCAAAGATTGGTCAGTGTTCGAGGTAGTGATTGTAGATTGAGTGGCTTTGTTCTCATGTCGGAGAATGAATAGATCTGAAGTTTGGTGAGTGATGGGAAGGTTGATGATGTAATGTCGGCGATAACCCTGCTGTCAACTCTTGTTAGGTCCAATGAATGAATGTTGGAGCTGGGCAGATCGATAAGAAGAGGTAGCCTCGATCCGAGAGACAATGATTGAAGTGTAGTACATGTGATCGTTTGATCAAAGTCCCTGCCAAGTGCTAGTCTGGTCACACTAGTATGTAGAAGGTCAAGCGGTTGATTGTACTGAAATCCAATAGTCATGGTCTCTAGGCTGGCCGGCAGAGACTCGGGAGTGATTGGCTGGTCCCATGCTGGTGCCTCATCTAGTGTCAAGTGTTTGAGTCCAGCTGGTAGCATGCCGTCCAGGTTCCCAAGGAATGTGCCTCTGATATCCAGTGATCGTAAAGTCGGTGGCAAGACAAAGTCTTTGGGGAATGAAGTTTGATTGACACTAAATACGACGACCAATTCTGTGAATGGTAGTGTAGATGGCATCTGCACCTTGTAGGCCCATACTGTATAAACAAGTCTAATATATTCTTCTTCTGCCTTTGATCGTCTTTCATTAATCTGAGCCACTACATCACTCAGCTCATCCCATACCCTTTGCTCAGGCAATGAGTAAGCAGTTACGTTCATCACAATAAGCTCGAGGTTTGGGATACGCAAGATGTCCTCCTTCCAATCTTTTGCCAATACGCCCTCAGCTAGAGTCCAGTTAGTTAGTCAATAATACAAACAACTTAATCAATCAATCAATCAATCCGATCAATACTACAACACTACATACTTAGATAGAAGAAGTGATCAAAGGATGTTGGTCCACCAGTATATTGTGGTACGGATATCATTGCCGATCTCTTCTTGTTGTTGATGATACTGTTATATATGATCTGTTTGTATGACTTGAGTTGTATATCCATATTCCACTCTACTATTCTTTGAGAGTAATGCTTTGGATCTAAACTTAGATACTTCAATCTATGATCATATAACTGTTTACAGACCAATGTAAACCTAATGCGATCACCATTCTCATCTAACAAAGATATTATTAGTTGTAATAATCTATGTGGAAGTCTATCCATTACCTCTAATCTAATTAGTATTACATTTGATTGAATAAATGAATGAAAGAGAATGAGTGAAGTTGTGCGAGGGTAAGGGCGAGGGCGAGAGTCAGGGCGAGGGCAAGGGCGAGGGTGAGGGTTTTAACCTTATTTATTGTTCGCTTAGTCCTTGTCCATGTTGACATCGTTTGACTTCTTCTTCTTGGTGACAAAGTGTATCTTACTTCCATTCCTAATGATATAGTATCTTCGAAGGAATATGGCCACGGCAATGATTATTAGAGATAGTGCTACGATTGGAACTACAACGGCAACTGGCACAACCCATCTGCGATTGTTATCCGATGATCTACATGATCTTTCCTGCACTGGATCGACCAGCACACTGAAGTCTGGATCAAGGATGCAGTTGTGACATTGTGGCAATGTGATGCCAAGGTATAGCTCGCTATCGGTTTGATTGATGATGGTGGTTGCAGAGAAGGCCGGTCGTCCATCCGACAGTGATCGGTTGATGAAGCGTCCATAGAGTGCCACACCATTCCTCTCAATCACCAAATAGCTGAGTGTCGATGTGCCCTGTCCCTCGACCTGTGACTGACTGCACATGTCGCCCGAGTCTCTTGTGTTGGTGGTCTTGATCACAACGTTGAGTGTATTGGTCGATGACTTGAAGGGGAATCCAAGGATGGTGAGACTGGCCTTGATCGTGTCGGCAGAGTATTGATTGGCCAGCCCAGCAAACTCGACTGTGGCTGCCTTCTTGAACAGCTGGATCGTTGCGGTGACATTGGCAGTGTTGACCTGGGTCATGTAAGCCAGTGAAAGTGCTGTATCTCCATCTGTGCTGTTCAAAGTCCATCCACCTAGCAGATACTCGTTGACCACCTGGCCCATCATGTCTATCTCCTGGATGGATGGTATGATGAATCCAAACTGGACACCCTTGTAGGTGAACGTGGTGGAGGGGGTCGTCTCACCTGGCACGACTACGCCGCCGCCACCTTCAGTGCCATTGTCTGGTTTGGTGTAGCTGCATCTTGGACCACTACTTCCGCTCGGGCACTGACACTGGCCCGTGCTTAGACAGGTGCCGGCGCCACATCCACCATCACAAGGTGAGGTCGTGTCGTCCGTGTAGACGACGAGTTGATCAGAGACAAAGGTGTATGGGCCGACAGTGACTGTGAGGTTGGCTCGACCAGGAGTGCTTGCACCTGCAACACATGTCAAGTTGTTCGCGCCTATGATTGTGATGGAGGTGCATGGGTTATGAGCGACATTAATGTCAATGTCCTTGGAAGTGATGTTGTTGCCAAAGTTGCCCACGAGTGTGACCACGCCACCAGCTTTGGGTAATGTGTTTGCCGAAGATACCACAGGGTAACTACGTTTATACACTCTGTACAATGTCTGATTGATACCAAGATTGGCTTTGAACATAAGAATGGTCTTGGTACCCTCTGTCATCTGAGCGGGCAATGCACAAAAGTATCGATCATTGATCAAATCTGAAGTAATCACACGTGTAGCCACCTGCTGTCACCGTCGTACCACTGGCAGAAGTAGTACCCAAAGTACCCTGTAGTTCAAGGGCAACAGAAGTTGAGTTTTGTGAGAATATCGCATCATTGATGTATGGTACTATGTGTGATGGAATGATCCCAGAGGGGTAAGTGATGGGTCTGATTGCTAACATGATGATGTACTATGGATATATACTTACCATCATACAGAACATTGATTGTTGTGGAGACATCATCGGAGAAGTGGAGAGTGATGGTGGTGTTTGGTGATGAGAGTGGGGATGTGACCTGGAATGGAGGGATTGTGTACAGGAATTGTTGATTTGGAATTACCAAGCTCAAGCCTTTAGATGTCGTCTGTCCCCATCCAAGGTTCTGGCCAGTCAAAGTCACAGTAGCACCATTCTTTCCAGTTTTGAAATCAGTCTTATCCAACTTAATGGCTATATATTTGAAATGAATGAATGAGTGAGCGAGTGATTGATTGAGAGATGAATAGTAGACTTACGACATGGAGTTGTGAGTGGTGTTAGCGATAGACTGTTGAACCATGACTTGGTGAGACTGTAGTAGCATCGGAAGCAATCATCAAACTTGGATAATGTTGTGTTGACCATTCTAATGTTGGTGATGGTGCATGCACCTTTGGACATTTCACCATTCATTAGAATATTGTTTGAAGCATCCAATGTAACCAAGCCTGCCCAGCTCTCATTACTTGGTATAGTCTTTGATATGATATTCCTGCTGATATTCAAATGTGTTACACCCATCATTGAAGTTGGGAATTGATCTAGATTGGACTGAGTGTGGATACTATCATGTGATCGATTGATTAGTGAGTGAGTGATTGATTGAGTGAGTTTTGGGTATACATACTATGTCCTTAGTGCGGGAGGGAAAGTGACCAAGAGTAGATTGGTTGAGTAAGTTGAAGTAACCCTGTCCACAACTCTGTTTGAATGATTGATTGATCGAGTGAGTGGGATAGTTCCAGAGGTACAACGACGGGTCAAGAGGATACTTACATAGATGTAAGGTTGGTATAGAACCTTCCAAAGAAGGCGTGAAGTGATTGTCCCATAACCAAGTTTGTCAGTGTACTAAATGTACGTTTGGGGAGAGTTATTAGTCTTGAGTTACCCAATATGTAGTAGGGGAACATACACTGATTCAATTGTTGATGCACCTCCATTAAGTTGAAGAAGACATGCTGGTCCAGTTAGATTGGCCTCGACATTACTGGTGTATGAGTGTATATTTGAGGTTAGTGATTGAGAGATGTGAAGGAGAGATGACCGAATGAGTACATACAGGCTAATAAGATTTGGTAGATTCTCAAGTGTAAGATTGAATCCAGCGTTGAGTCCTAAAGTCCTGTGTGTCCAATAGATGTAATATTAGTACGGTATGTTGTTTGATTGAATATGGACTGGCAGCTTACAAATATTTTAGACTTCTAATGTTGAGATTGGCAAAGTTGAATCCAGACTCTGGTGTTGGAATGTCCGCTTCCACTATGTGTTGACGATGATTGAATGTTTGAATGATTGTTAGGCCTAATCTTGTCAATGAGCGGGTGAGGGAGACAAAGCTTACAGGGTGGTCATTAAAGATGTTCCGCTGTTTGGAATTGACATGCCATTGTATCTGAATAGGTTGCCTCTTATCTTGCTGTTTTGAGTGAGTCAGTGAATGAGCGAGTGAGTTTGAATGAAAGGGGCGAATGATCAATCAATCAATCAAACATACAATGTTGTAATGTTTACACAACCAAATGCAAAGACTGGAAAGTTTCCACTTAGTAATGATCCTGTAAGATCTCTAAAGTGAGTGAAGAGGAAAGGTAAGTAAGTGAGTCAGTGAGAATTTGGGCTCAACAATAAACACTGTTCACTTACAAAGTGACTAGTGAGTCCAGGTCATAGTTGGCCTCAATGTTCACTATACCAGGGTATGGATAGGTGTTGGTGCTAGAGATGGAATGTGAGTGATAGTGTCTAGTCTAGTGATGTCCAGTTATTCTGGATATTAACAACATACATGATGGTCTTGATTGGCAGTCCTTCCATCAGGTTCATTGGATGTATGTTCTGGACAGGTGTCCTTTTGACAACAACAAGTGATTGGAGATAGGGAAGATCAAGTTTGGTCTGAGCAGTAGCTGTTGAGTCCACACCAACAACAGTTGAGTTGTCAATGTATCTAGTGTGGGTTTGGGTGTGAGTGGGGGAATGGGACAGGAATCATTCCATGATCAATCAGTGTTCATACATTGATATGATATTGTTCATCTCATCACAAGTGAGTACTTTTGAGAACTTTGTGCAATTTGGATCAGTACCAAAGTCGATCTGGTAGATCATACCAAGTGTTCTCAGTGATGTCCCTGTTTGTGTGAGAGTGTGTTTGTGAGTAAGTAAGTATATGACTCTACCTTGGGTGTATCACTAATATGTACATTGATCAGCTGATACCAGGTGAATACTACTAGTAAACGCAATCAGTATAAGAACTAAAGAGAGAGAGGGAATCATCCATCTGTGAATAGGTTTAAACTCCATTGTGTTTGTTTGTTTGTTTGTTTGTCTATGTATAATGTTTAAGAGTGAATGATAAATGAGTAGAATCAAGTAGACCTAAACCAGAAACAAACTTCAAGTGTTTAAAGGTCGGACCAAGTGATGGCAACGGTTTGCGGGCTTGATCTTGACCTAAATTTGATAATATCTTCGAAAAAATGTTCAAAAACCCATTTTAGGAAACAAGATGGATCACCTGCCAATCAATGAACAGCTTCACTTTATTATTTTGTCATATGGATACCAATGACCTATTTTATTATTCATTTGGCGAATGCTAAAACAATATTTGATTGGTAAAATGATTGGTTAATTGGATGATTGATAAATCTAATGGTTTATTGAATGAATCATTAATATGGATTGTACATCAAACAACTAAGATACGAAGATGATGAATCTATCTTATATATCAATTCGACAAAGTGAAGATGAAGAATTACCAAAAATAAATGATCAGGTATATTTATTAAAAATATTTAAAAAACAAAGTTATTTATTTATTTACTAATTATAATAATAATATTAGTATACAAAAGGAATGTTGAATACAAAATGGAATATGGCGCCTATGTTTATAGTGCTAGCAGAGGTACTGGCTTCAATAATCCTAATGTTTATTAATTATAGACTATAATGTTTATTAATTATAGACTATAATGTTTATTAATTATATACAGAGCCAAATGCAAAGTATAGTAGGAATCCAGATATATAGAGATAGATCATTACATAGATGTCCCAATGTTGTGTGTCCATTAAGTAATATTGGTGCGGGTATTATGACTGCTGTTATGGCGTTCGTGGCAATGTTGGCTTACCGAAGAGATTTCAAACCTTTGTTTTATACATTCATTGGTACTTCATGGATGGCACCTTTATATCAAGGTTGGAGATTCTATACAGTAGTGACTCATAGTCAGAATGGTGCTGACCCTGTGGTCTTTGGTTTTCCTCTTGGTTTACTATGTAAGTTGGTCTATTCCTTGTTCAGCCCACAGCCAACTTACATCGTTATTGCTGTTACATCGATTATCGTTAGAATGATGCTTGTGGCCAGTAGTATCAATGTACATCGACATGGATGTGAATTGCAATCGGGTATGTTTCCATGGATTGATTGAGTGATTGATTAACTAACTTGAGACAATTGACATTATAGTGTTTGCCAAGGAGAGAAGGAATGGACAGGCATTGTTTGATGTTTAAAATAAAGCAAGGGCTGTATGTTGAGCACCTTGCTTTATTCAGATGTTGTCTTGATTACTGACTCTGTGGGGGCGGCAATATCAGTTGAGGCGGCGGCTTGCTCTTGTAACTTATTCTGCTTCTTGATCTCATTGAGCTTTGTATGATTTCCAAAGATTGCCTCGCGAACATTGAACCTCATGAACAGTTTAAAGTTATTAACAATCGCCATTGTTACCGCAGACTATTTGATGGATGGATGTACGGTTAGTAGTGGCCTTGATCTGATTGATGGAGTGTGCCAACCTACCTTTATGATCTCAACGATGATGACCTTTTCTGGATTGGACAAGTCCACTTTGTGAGGCTCCTTGACCAACTTTGCAATCTTGTCAGTGGCTTGCGTCTTGTCGATGCTTTGGTTGTTCCTTGATCTGAGCTCAATTGCAAAAGTTGATGGATGATCCTTGTTAAAAGCATTTTCCACCAGCTTCTCCATGATTGGTATCACATCACTATCCAACGAGGCCACTGTTGACCTCTGAATGGGCATAATCCTATTGGTGAATCGGCTAATGACGATGATGACACTCGAGTGTCAGTATATGTTGACATGATCCATGCGAATGAGTACATACATGTTGAATACTCTCTCTGGGATGACAACATCATTCTTGGCAGTGGCCAGCATTGCCTCGACACTTGGTGGCAACTGTTTGAATTGGTCACCATTGGGATGGAATCGTCGATAGAGGTCCACAATGATTGTTGACAAGAATGTGACAACATCTATGTTATCTTGAAGGATTGAGACGACAAACATTCCTTGGCAGGCTGCATTGATAAGTTCGAATCGTTTCGGTTTGGTTAGAATCTGAGCTGTATCGGTAGTCGTCGTTGTAGTAGTTGTTGTGGTTGTTGTGGATGTTGTCGCAGTTGTTGTGGTTGCATCAGTATCCTGAGCAACAACAGTTTCATCTGCATCGTCTTGGTCCTCATCGGCCTCCACTTCAAGTCCACGCGAGTGCAAGAACTTCTTTATATCAACCTTGTTCTCATTGTCAACAGTGTCTTGCTTGGTCGGTGATGGCTCGGGGAAGTAGACATCGGCGTACTAAATAATTGTTAATCACCCGAATCATTCAATCAATCAATCAATCCATTACTTACAGCATTCAACAGAGCCAACACCTCACCTATTGACTGAGCATCTCTTGCCTTCTCACAAGTGACCAGCACTCCTCTGATTTGCTCTGATGTTCCAAAGAGTCTGCTATGTTTCTAATTATGATGTTGTGTTCATGTTGGTCATTCATTCATTCAATTGACACTCCAATGTGATATATAGTTACCTTCCACTTTGTGAATCTACCCTTGTACAATGTCTGTACACCTGGCGTTGTCTTTTGTTTCTTTTGTTTCTGTTTACCCTTTGTCTCTGTATCTACCAACTCACGTTTAGATCCTACTGATGGTGATTGAGTTGTATTGTTCTGTTCTTCTTGTTGTTGTGGTTGTTGTTGTTGATCTTGTGTAGTATCATCACCATCACCATCAGTCTTCACCGTCTGACCTTGTTGTGCCTCTCTCTCTGCTTTCTCTACACAATCATAAATATTTAGTTAGGTCTTTGATTGTGTTTCATTCAATGTTCAACAACAACATACTTATCTGTGACAACTTGTATGCCCACGAGCTCTTCTTTGTTCTTGTCATGGCTTGGTAGATCTTCTTATCTTTAGGAGCTAAGTATGTATCTCTTTCGTTCGTCGCTTGTTCAAACGATGAGTTCCAAGAATTCAATCTCTGAGAAGTTCACAACTATGAGCATCGTTTCATTTCATTGCAACTCGACTATCTTACATTGTTATATATATTTATAATACAAAGAAGATGAAGACAAGAAGACAAGCAGCAATTGAAGCTGGTACATTAACAGTTGATCAACTGAATAATAATAATAGAGATGATGTTGATGATGATGATGATGATATTGAAGATGAGGATATAGACGATGATTATGTTGAAGACGATGATGATGATAAAGACTTTGAACCAGATGATGTAAAGACAAAGACAAAGTCAAAGGCAAAGACAAAGGCAAAGTCAAACAAGACAAATACCAAGACAACGACAACTTCAACAACATCACCAAAGACTAATAAAGTAGCAAAGACCAAGACACCAACTAAACAATCAACAACTATACAATCACCAACGTCAAAGGCAGTAAAGGCTGCTGTCAACATCAACAACAACAACAATGGCAGTAGTCCCAGTGGCAAACTGAGGAGGAGCAGTTCAAAGGCTGGCAAGTCAACGGGTGCAGGCAGCAGCGAGAGTGTACAATACGAAGCACTAAGCGAAGATCAACAAGCAGAGATAAAGGAGGCATTCAATCTATTCAAGAATGATAATGGTACAGTTAACTTTATGGTCACGTGACGATTATACAGTGCAGCATTCTCACATCCAGTCACATGTCCATTGCATCCCAACAACAGGTCAACTAGATATCAATCAGATCAAATATGCCTTTAGAGCATTGGGCGTTGAAGCAGAGAAGCATGACCTCGATGCACTACGCAACAGTTCAAATGGAGGCAACAAAGATCAACTAGTCGTTCGACAATGTATACCATTCGCAAGCTTTAAAGATGTTGCTGCTAAGCTCCTTGTAAGATGCTCTGTTGACAGACACTCAATCATTCATTCGATCAATCAATCAACTAACTGAAGTTGTTCACTATTGTATAGCCAAGGAGAGACTCTCATTCATCGATTGAACAGGCATTCAAACTGTTTGACAAGGATGCTTCGGGCAAGATTAGCTTTGAGGACTTGAAGTTGGTGGCCGTCAATCTGGGCGAGGAATGCTCAGAGGAGGACCTGCGAGAGATGATAGAGTTTGCTGATGTAGATGGTGATGGCGAGGTGAACAAGGCAGACTTTATCAATCTGATGACGTCAACAAGGAAGGTATTTTAGTCAATGTTGCAATAAATGCGAGGGCGAGAGCCTCCTCTCACTCTTACGCGCATCCGAGCTAGGACATCTTTATTCTGGACTTGTGGAAGTTGACTAGCAGACTGGCAATGATCAAGAAGACCATCACGATGAACAGTTGACAGGTCTCAAAGATGTACTTGGGCGCAAACACTCTCCACACCATCAGGTGGCGACGCAGTATGTAGACCGAGACGCAGATGTTGATCGTGTTGAAGAGGAAGAAGAATAGGTAGAGCAGGAATCCAATCATCATGTCGCTCATTGTCAGCCAGAGGTGTTTGACCTGCTGGTCGATCTTTTGCTGTTGCTGTTGTGAAACATTGAGCGCGAAGGACGATGGTGGAGACAGTGAAGACATGGACGTTGACGTACCAACGCTGTTGTACTGTTGCTTGCGTGGCGCCAACACAATGAACCTCGAGTAGATGACCATTATGGGCAGGAACAAGGCAAAGAAGATAGGGGAGGCGAACGTGTTGAGTGTGACCAGTAGACCATCGCGCCACAACATATGATCGTCAAAGCCAATGAAGGCACTCTCGAACTGGATCTTGTTGAAGGAGTAGTCGTGGCCCGTGCTAAAGAAGTGGTTCAGCGTGAGGAAGCCACACAGCGCATATGTTATCAACCAATAGATGTACTCCTTGCGATTGTGATTATGATTGCCTGTTAGCCAGCTGTGTTGCACAATGTCGCCCATCAATCGAGTGAGCAGACATGTGTGAATGAGCATCCAGGTGAGGTTGGAGACGGCAACCGGGCCCAACAACAGGATGAACAGCGTGAAGAAGTACACCAGCACCTCGATCAGCTTGAAGAACACGTGCTTGATTGAGTCGTGCGCAGTTGGCTTGTGTGTCGTCGACATTGAGCTGAAGAATGACGAGCCCAGGCCAAACAGGGCAATGCCATATACCAACCAAGGGAAGACGCCTCGTGTGGTGTGGTCGAGTGTCGTCTGGTAGGAGATTGATTGGACCAACCAGTGACCGGCGATGCACACCATGCTGATGGCAGAGAGGCGCAGTGAGCGGTGGATCGATGATGGTGCAGGAAGTAGTGCAAGCTCCAGTCGTCGCACTACCTCGCCAATGAATATGTACAACGTTGGGAGGCACCATGCCCACTGCGTGATGCTGTTGAGCAGCAGCGTGGAGATGGCCTGCATGGTGAGTGTGTCGTCCGACGACGTCACCTTGAGTAGGTCGCCAAACTTCTCGGCCCTGAAGCGAGGCGACGTGAAGAGGAAGGAGACAAGGATGGCCAGACTGTATAACGTGTCTGAGACAGTCCATTTGGGCTTGATCCAGTACGACGCCACAATGGCCAGCAGTATCAGAGTGACTGCAAAGAAGTTGACCACGTGCTGCTGTGCTTCGATGAAACTGTTGGACAACAATGATAAACCATGTGCAAGGACCGACACGCAGGGTATAACAAACAGGATGGTCTTTAGGTTGAAGTAGCTGTGGCTCTGCTTTGGCTTGATGCTCGCCTGAGCCTGAGGCGGTAGAGTAGATGCAGCCATGAGTGAACCAGACGTTGGAATCATGGCCAATACCAGCTTGAGTATTAGTGTGGCCATTGAGAAAGTGGTCGCGCAGGTCGCCACTGTAATGAACAGTGAATCATCGGCCGTGAAGACAAAGCTATGCAGGGGCGCGGACACTGACATGCCAACCATTGCTGAGAGGACGATCGCATTGAGCGGCAGTGTTACTTGCTCGCTGTTGGTTCGTTTGGCTCGCTCGGTTGCCAGCAGCAACACAACAAGTGTCAGCAGTGACAGGCACATAATAGAAAGTCCTGCAATCATTGAGAATGTGTCGAATGTCGCCCAGATCTTGCGGCACAGGTCAACAATCTCCTCCTGAAGCTCGCGATAGCCTTGGTAGACCTTGTAGGCGTGTGCCTCGTCAAACAGAGCGGGGTCGCTTGATATCTGTGCATACTGTCGCTCGGTCTCGTCGATCAGGCGGTGGAAATGCTTGAGCAGGTGCTTGGGGAACTCTTTGGAGACGGACGAGTAGCTGTCCACATAGCGCATGATCTGCCAAGCATTGATACGCTGCGCGTCAATGAATCGTTGCCAGCCCTCAAAGTGGTTGGGATGCTGTCCTGGCACCGTGGCCAAGAACAACTCGGGTATGATCGAGCCCAAGTTACCGTAGGGGATGGGCACACCCAGTAGCAATGATATAGTGGACACCAAGTCTATCTGGCTGATGCTCTTTGTTTGTTTATCCTTGGATGTGAATTGTTCGGGTATATTGTTATTGATCGGTATACCTGGCGAGTACATAAACAATGCTGCATCAGTCTCGTCCTCTGATGCGCCTCCATGATTGCCCTCTGATGTCATTCCATGATCTCCAAACAAAACAAACAATGTATCCTTGTCAATGTTGTTTATGACCTGTTGGTGGCGAGGTTGTTAGTAATGTGGTCGCGACATGGCCGCATTCCAAACAACATACAGAAGATAGGAACTCATCCATTTGAGCAAGCTTCTTGATCATCTCTGGATGATTTGGACCGTGTAGGTGACCAACGTGGTCGACGCCGAGCATGTGACCGATGGCCACATGCCATGCTGGTGTGCCATCCTCGTCAGACTGGATGCGCGTGATGGTGGGCAGCAGGTAGTCGATGACACCATTGTCCACCGTGTGAAGGTCCTTCACGTTGAAGGAGGGTAAGTCGTATTGTGAGTAGAAGTGATGGGGGAAGAGCGTGACCCATGTGTCGTCGCCGATAAAGACCACCTTCTTGCGGAGATGGCCCTTGGAGCGATTGAAGCCCGTGCTCAGATGCTCCTCGCGGTGCTCATCGTCATTGAACGACAGCTGGTGGATCAAGTTGTCCTCAACAATGGCATCGCCTCCAAAGTTGGAGCCGACATCAATGAAGGTCGGCAACGATCCGGTCGTGATGCCCTTGATGCGCTGCATCGTGACGGTGGGTGAGTCAGCGATGAAGCGGAAGATGAGGGAGTTGGACGGCTGCTGTTCGAGCAGTCGCGTGACGCTGGTGAGCTTGTTGTGGAAGAAGGGCGACAGGTCGGCTGTGTCCGGCGGCTGCGGCGCCAAAAAGTCGAAGCGCAGCGCGTCAATGATGACGATCACCGCGCGTTTGTATGTGAATGGCATCCAACAGCCTGTGTCGGGCGAGTGTGATGCGTTGGTGAACCTGTTGGCAGTGAGCAGCGGAGACTCTGCACATGTGCTCTTCATTGGCAGCTCGAATCGAATGAGCAGGAAGCCACTAAAGAACAGGTAAGCTCCAATCGATATGACCAATGCCAAGTATATCAAATATGATGTAAGTGTACTCTTTGTCGATGATGTCTTCAAACTACCTCTCTTATTATTGTTGTTGTGTTGATTGGTTGAATGTTGTTTGTGTTTCAGTTTATGCGCAGTTGTTGTTGATGATGGTGATGAGGTAGTTGATGTTGTTGATGATCCATGTTCGTTTGTTAATATACTATTGTTGTTGTCGATCATTCTTTGATGATCTTCATGTTGTTGTGCATCGTGCACTTTATGATGTTGTTGATGTTGTTGTAGAGTCTGTGATTGTGATTGTTGTTGATGCAGTTGATTGGTCTGCAGTTGTTGATACTGAGGATGATGATTGTTATTATTGATCATGTTATTGTTATTATCATCACTTGTGAATATTCTCTTTGATACAATCGTATTTAAGAGTGACAGTGTATATGTCCAATTGGTCATCACTGACAATCGATCGATCAACTCTTATCTTCTGTTCTGTCTGTCTATCTGTCTGTTTTATATATAAATATATATGATTGATTAGTTATAAATATTTAATTATATACATGAAGAATAAATGAATGATAGTTATATTACAACATATATATATTATGAATGTATAACTGTATTGATGAAGTTATTAATCACTTTGGTGTTGGGGCTGTGGGATGAATGAATGGATCGATGACGCGATGACCTCACATTGTTGTAAAAATTGATTCATTCATTCTTTGGAAAACCAAGTCCAGAATGTTAAGTTCAAATCGATCGATCAAACAAACAAGCAAACAAACAAATAATAATTTAGAGATAATAATAATAATAATAATATAATGCCATTCGGACAAGTAGTTATTGGACCACCAGGATCTGGAAAGACTGTATATTGTAATGCAATGTCACAATTCTTACAATCACTAGGAAGGAAGGTGGCTGTAGTCAATCTGGACCCAGCAAATGAGAATATACCTTATACAGCATCGATTGATATAAGGTCTTTGATAGACTTTGACACATTGATGAAGGATGAGGAGTTGGGACCCAATGGCGCACTGATCTACGCCATTGAATACTTGGAACAGAACATCGATTGGCTGATACATGACAATCTCAGCAAGTTCAAAGATCACTACATCATCTTTGATTGTCCAGGGCAAGTAGAGCTCTACACTCACTACAAGAGCATGTCAAACATACTCGAACAACTAGTTAAACAATCATTCAGAGTATGTTTGACATCACAACATGGTTGATTGAATGATGATTGAATGAATGATTGAGTGGACCCGATAACTTACGCGAAAGATATGTGTAGCTCACAGTGATACAGGTATTCGATTCATTCTATTGCAAGGCTGCTGCGACGTTCATATCAGTGCTGTTGGTATCATTAAGCTCGATGCTACGTATAGAGATGCCTCATATCAATGTGCTTTCAAAGATTGACTTGATCGAAACGAATGGACCGTTGGACTTTAGTTTGGAGTACTACAGCGAGGTGATGGACCTGAGTTATCTCAACAAGTTCTTGGACAGCGATGTGCGACACCCGCGCTACGCCGCGCTGAACAAGGCGATTGCCGGGCTGGTCGAGGACTTTAGTCTGGTGTCATTCCATCCCCTCAACGTCATGGAGAAGGAGAACATGGCTGAGCTCATCAAGAAGATCGACAAGAGCAATGGATTCGTGTACAACTCGCTCAACTCTGACAACTCGACCATCATGCAATTGACCGAGCGTTATCAAGATCAATGGCAATTTGACCTGCATCAAGAGAAGCAGGAGAAGTATTACAAGAGCGGTGATATCAATGAACGTAATGATCCATGACTTTAGTGTATATATTCAAAGTCTACTCCTTTGACAAGTGAGACAGCTCGTGCGCTCCCTGCTCCCAATGTTGTCCGTCAAACTTGGTGATTGCGAACTTGGTGGTGTAGTAATCATCGAATGTTCTGACATTGACATCGACGCCATCAGGATTGCTACGGGGAATCTAGATTGACCGAGACCTTGTTAGTCGTTGGACTTGGTCCAATCATTACATCCAGCCAGGAACTTACATAATGTGTACAAATGCCACACTTGGAGCAGAAGTGATGCTTGGCCACATGTGTATTGAATGTATAGGTTGCCAATGAATCATGTCCAGATGTCATGTTGAACTTGCTCTTGGGTACGATAAGATGTACTTCATTGATTGAATGATTGAATGAGTTGGAATCATCATCATCGTTGTACCTTCTTCTCCAACAGCCTCAATCAGTCATACTTATTCCTTTCTTTGTGCATATTGAGCAGTTACAATCAACCACTTCCAATGAACGATCGTCAGTAGCAATCTGATCAACAGTAACCTCGTAGCGTATTGCGCCACAATGACATCCTCCTTTATAAATCATAGTATCTTTATCTCTTTCCAACTTGAGAAATTGTTCAAAATGAAGTCCATGGGTTAGTCTTGCTTGAACTCAAACGTTGTTCATGTATTACTATTCACCCAGAGTTGTCTTTCCATCATGTTGATGTAGTCTTCTATCCTTCAGTCCTTGATCCATCCACACTTAGTTTTGAAGTTCATGTTCTCCTCAATTAGATATCATTAGACCAATTGGTCTAAATTTAGCTTCAAAGTGAGGTGATGTTCGAGACAGATTCCTCCTAAGGTCGGACCTTTTTCAATAAGGATGTCATTGTCTCAAAAGTCCACCTCAATGCAAACAAATACATACCTATAAACAAAACCATTATACTAATACTAATCAACAATATCTCTCTTCAACAACACAATATACCTCTTAACGCGACTAGTGTGCTGTGAGATTGGTCACCGAGCTGATAGTAAGAAGGAGGTTGACGCACTGTAGAGTGCCAGTCTCCAACATAACCAACATTTAATCTCAGTTGTTTATACTACCATCTCGTTGACTTATCTCAGCACCCTTACGCGTGAGTCCTAAACTAGTCCTCTTGTTTAACCTTTGATTGCTGGATGAGAAATTTCATTGAATGAGCCATGTCCTTCATCATGATCAAAAGAGATATTTATAAATAAACGACAACAACTGTTGTTGGACAAGGACACAAGGACACAAGGAACAAGTGTTTCATTCGTGTATCATAAGTTAATCATATATTTATAATGAAATGGATAGGGATAAGGATAGAAGAGTACATGAAGTATTCCATAATAGAGTGCTCTGTAGACTTATATTAAGTCATGTGAGCGAGATACTTAGTCGTTGGATGATGAACCAACAAACATCAACTTCATTGACATCACAACCAACAACATTAATCAACAATGGTGCATGGAGGTCGCCAGTTGACAAATATATGACACCTCGAGGTAGCATTAAGTCAACGATAAAGGGTGGCAAGCTAATGGCCAATGGCAATCTACACGAGATGTTGCGATACAAGGCCACTCAGATGTTCCTTCAAACATTTGATAGTGTTGCCAAAGACTACCCACCCAACCAAACTCTGTTGTCCTATGCAGCCAAGTACAATAACACAACTGTGTTCAAGCATCTGATCAATCATCCAAACATGTCCATGAACATTGACGAGATGCCCTCATTCATTTGCCAGCATGGCAATGTCGACATGCTTCAGGCCTACCTCAAGGCGACCGATCATCATCCTTGGCCATGGCCAATCAAGGGAGTGCGGCTAATTCCCCAAGCAATCGACGCTGGCAATGTAGAGTTTGTTCGGTTGCTGCTCAAACAGTTGAACCTTGATCACTGCTTCAATGATCCAAACGCAATGCTATCAAGTGTCCAGTTGAATAATCGCGGAGTCAGTGTTGAAATGCTCAAGTTGTTGCACGAGGATTACCGTTGTCTATTCAGACTCACTCGTTTGTGGCATGCGGCACTACTCCATTCGACAAGGTGCAACATGGTCGACAGTGTTCAGTACATCATTGACAACATGCCAACGCCTGCTGAGGGCTACGGCGACTCTGGTTCACTCCTCCCAAGGTGTTTGAGACACTGTGCCAAGGTGGGCAACATCACTATGTTCCGTGTGTTTGTCTCGGCACATGCAGGCGCCAGGTACATCTGGTTGAATGATCTGCGGCTCATGATCAGCAAGGCGCTGAACAATGGCCAAGCAGAGTTCATCAAATACTTGTACGATCATCATGTTGGCAATGACAGTGTCACAACACAAAGCGAGACTGCCATACTCAGCTGTCTGGAATTGGACAATGGCGATATTAAGCTGCGCTTCACACCTTTGTCAGCCATCCGCAGTGGCGACATTGCCAATGTCGAGGCACTCTCTGGCAAGCAGGTCATCTCATTACCAAAGAAGGTATGTCTGCGCATGTCAAGGGAGATGGCCGAGTTCATCTCGAGTCCGCGAGCGACACAACTTACATTCAGGGATAGCTCTATCCTCAATATGATTGAAGCAGTGGGCAAGCCTGGTAGCAACATCACGGCGGCTATTATATGCGATTTCATTGCCAATTGCACTCACTGGCAGCCCTCATTGTTGGATACTGCGATGAGGAACGCAGCAGGACTCTCGGCTAATATGATGAAGATTCTTCGCTCTAAACTTGACGTCACTCCACAGCAGAACTATAGGTATGAGGTGGTTTCTGCTTTGGACAATGGATGTCGCGAGACCATGGAGTTGCTCTTTGAACATCTGACCACACGTCAACAACTCGATCATTATCAGATCAAGACTTCAGCATTCTCCTTCATCAGCAAAAGATCATTGGACGATGTTAAATATTTGTTGAAGCATATGGAATCACTCCGGAAAGATCCTCATATATTCATTCGTGGCTTGAACAATCCCAATCCGGGGTTGTTTGAATACTTGATCGACTCGATCACTTGCAAGTACTTGGACGACAGATGTTTGAATGATATAATTGATTGTTCATTGGCAGTGGACAAACCTTATATTATCGATACATTACAACAACTAGAGAACAAGGTCTCACTTAATCCACCAAAAGATACACTTTGTGAGATGGTCAGTCTAAATTCATATCATTCAATGGAGTACTACTTCAACTCTGGTACATTCATCAACAAGTCCATAACAAATAGATTGAGTATCATTGAACCAATCATTCATAAAGCTTATGAATGTGGAATGACCAGAATTATCAAACAATGCATTGAACAGATTTATAATACCAATATGTAATTGTAATAATAATAATTATAATATTAATAATAATTGTTTATGACCAAAATAATGTTTACAGCTTCAAATAAACAATTAGCTTACTGTTAAATAATATGTGGGACTAAAAGGACAATTCTCGAAAGGTCATGCATTCATCTCCAGAAGAGGTGGTCTGTCTAATGTTTTGAAAGGGCATGAATGGCGACAAGAATGTGTGGTTGTTTGTGTGAATGAAGTTGTAATAATGACAATCATCTGAGCTCATCTGCAACCTTAAAAGAGTAAACATTACTTCCCACACTCACATCTCACCTTAATTTTAAAGGAATCACCCTCCAAGACGACAGACACCCCCACTTTGAGTCATTTTCACTTGACTTCACTTCAAATCACATCTCTCAATCACACAAATAAATAAACAGCCAGCTGGTTGTCAGCATCAACAAATGCACAAGTAGGTCCATCATGTTATAACAATCAATCAATCATAGAGACATATATATAAACAAACAAACAATTATCTGTACATAACAACAACTTATCTATCTCTGCTATATTATTATTATTATTATTATTATTATTAGAAACAAAGAAAGAAATGGTCACACTGTCATTAATAGCCGCTGCTGTATTGGTTTCATTACTGTCACCTCTGACAATAGGCGAGACATTCACTGGTCTCTTCTTTGCTATGCTGTTGATGTTCTCCATGCCACTGTCAATCAAAGAAGAATGACAATCAAGGCATCGTTGTCGTCATCTACACTCTCTACAACAACACTATTATAGACAATATCGATATCGATATCGACCTCAACAACATCAACACAAACATCTTAGATGTAGTCTTCAGCAATATCAACATAATCACTATCATCCTTATCATCATTAGTATGAAGACAACGATGCCACAGTACTCTCCCTCGAGATCTCTCCCTCTCTCACTATCTCTCTCGTGTTAAAAGGAATGTTACACAACACCTTAATGTGGACAGTTGGCTAACTCCTCCAGAGGACCCTCAGTGGTCGTACATCAAAGTCAATCGTGTTATAGACAAGACAATCAATCAACTGACATCGACAAGACAACATTGGTCCAAGATCAATGTGCCAATCAGTTGATAATAAAGTATTCAAGTTCCAAGCTTTATTCATTCACTCATATTAATTATCGTGCAAAGATGTCGATCGAGAATGTAGCTCTCTTTGCAGCTTGCCCTTGATCACACGATGCCTGATGTAGAGTGCCACGAGCGTGACAATGGCAATTCCTCCAATCACTGAGGCCACGATCACGACGATCAGTTTCCATCCAGTGATGCCACCAGCATCACAGGATCGGCCAGAGGTGGGCTCGATCAAACTACTAAAGTTTGGATCGATCATCACACTTGTGTGGAAGGCGCCCGTCTGGATGGCCGTCATGAACGAGTACTGGTTGGACGAGATGTTGTAGAGCACATCGTCGTTGGACAGCGCGACGACACTGGACCTGGCGATTCTGGAGTCAACAATCATGAACTGGGCAAACTTGGCCAACAGGATGGAGCCACCCGACTTGATCTGGTACCATGTTAGAGAGCCCTGGAGGTTCTGGCCGGAGGAGGTCGAGGTCGCGGTCTGGCTGCCACAGTCCTGCTGAGTCTGGTTGGGTGCGACAGAAGAGTAGATGATCTGCAAAGTGTTCAAGTTGGACGAGAATGTCCAGTTGGCGATGGTGATCAAGTACTTCATAGAGTTGGATGGCATGGAGATGGTCTCTCCGGCAAAGTTAATCTCTTTAGCTTCGTCGTAAATTGTCATGTTGACCGTGACCACGACAGTCTCGCCAGCGAAAGTTCCTTGGAAGATGTAGTTGGACGATGTGTTTGAGCGCTTGTACCACTCAATGTAGTTCATGTCTAACGTCTTAACGTTCTGAAAGCTGCTCTGCTCGCGCAGGTATGTGATGGCCACTGTGAAGTTAAAGCCATCTCCAACGATAATCGTGCCACCTGTTCCATCGGGGATTGGAGTGTTGCTGTTGTTGTTCTTGCGCTTAGAGCAGTCCAGGTCGTCCCACAAAGGAGGACATATGCACAGACCGGTGTTGTTGTTGCATGTGCCACCATTGAGACAATCCATCAGACATGGCTGGGTTGTGTTGAGTGGGATGTCGTAGGCAAAGGCGAAGGAGCCTCCCTGCACACCATCAACTGTTACATTGACGTATGCCAAGCCATTGGCATTCGTTGTAATGTCTCCCTTGAAGTTGCGACATACAAGCATGGTGTTGTTGAAGAACTGGGAGTCGCATTGAACTCCACCAATGATCACGTTGAGACCTGTCGTTGCAAAGTTTGTTCCAGAAACGGTGACATCACCGCCAGTTGGAAGGACTGTCGAGGCGGAGAACACAGTCGGCTCCTGGTATGTGAGTGAGTAGTTGGAAGAGTACATTCCATCTACAAAGGCGCGGGCTGTCAGACGTCCAGTGCCCATGGCAATGTCACAGGTGATCAAGTAGGTCTGCGAGCCATTCCACATTGGAGTGTAGAGGTAGCTGCATTTTGAAGCCATCTCCACCTGTTGAGCAGAGGTCACATAGAAGGAGGGCGAGGTCGAGGCATTGTTGGACAGTGTCTTACCAAAGAAGCTGCCCTCAATTGTGATTGTACCTCCAGTCACCGGTGGTTGGTTCACAAATGTTATGTTTGGTCGGTTGATCACTGTGATGTTGTTGGTAACCTGCTTGGATACATTGATTGTGTAGTTTCCATTACGTAGATGGCTTGGCTTGGATGTGAAGACCAGCTGAGTATGAGTTACAGAGTCTGGATGAGCAATCACCTCGCCGTCCGTGGTCTCTATTGTAACGCGTTCTGGCCACACACCAAAGTTGGTACCAGTGACAGTCACGACGACAGAGTCCAAGGTAGTCCACTGACTGATAGTTGGTGCAGCGTACCTGTATTCAAACAATGCACTCTTCTCACCAATGAAGATGGCACCACTATGATATCCTGTGCCAGCTGGAACGTTAACTGTGATGCTGGTGAATGTCGGTGTAGCAGCCATAGACAAGTTGCTTTGTGATCCAAGGAGAACAGTGACCTGGTCAGCATTGTTAAAGAAGTTGGTGCCAATGAATGTTGTAACAGCTCCAGATGTAGGAGCATTCTCTGGCGTCCAAGATGAAATCATTGGTTCAATGTAGGAAATGGAGATGGATTGAGCAGCTACTTGGTTCTTTGTAACATCACGGATGACCAAACTTCCATCTTTGACTCCTGGTGGGATGGTGATTGTAGCCGAGCCAGTCCAAAAGTCGGCAGTCATTTGCAATGTGGCACCATTCAAAGTTGCTGTTATAGTGTCTGGATTACTAGGTCTTCCAAAGTTAAACAATCTAATATTGATCCTACCTCCAGATGTCGGGAACACATATGATGTTTGGGATGATACCTCAAACACTAAGTGATGGTGAAAGGTCAGTCAGTATGGAATCATTCCAAATTCACGATCAACATCAAACATACCTGTTGCTGGAGTTGCACCAAATACGATAAGAATACTAGCTGATGGAGTTGATCCAGGTCCATCTGATACAAGGGTACCATTGCTATAGGCGAAGAAACGTGATGCAGTAGTGACACTGGATAGTTGTGCATTGTTTGGATATACAGTGGTAGTTGTACCCTTGGCAGAACCACCCTCCAAGTTAATATATGAACCATTGTATCCCACAGAGTACCATGCTCTCCAACTCAATCCACTTATTGAATTGTACATGTTGTTGATTCCAGTGAACAATGTCTGATCAGCAACCAAGCCCAACATTCCCCTTGTTCCATTCATAATAGAGTCTGCGGCCAATCTTGCAGCTGTGTCATAAGTAATATCATTGCACTTAATGACTGAATAATACTTGTTGGTTATATCTACTTTGTGAATGTATTGGGCTACATGTCAGTAATCAATCAATCAAAGTGATGTTGCTAGAGGACTTACAAAAGGCTGCTCGGTAGGATGTTGTGGAGACGTTTTGGAATTGGACAACGATGGGATACCATCTGTTGATGTTGTCATATGGTGTACATTGTAGTAGGCCAGTGACATCGTTGTAGGACTCATAGTTGCACACTGGATTGGCTCCTATGTTTGGAATCAAGAACTTGTAGTCACCCTTGTTGAACAAGTCAATGTACAGGTTCCTAACATAGATGTATATCCTACCACCAGTCTCTAGCATTTTGTTCTCCACCGATATGATCCAAGGTGCTATCAACAACAACTTTTCATTAGTGATCGATCAAACTATACTCTCCATCACCTATCCAAAATACTTACGTTGTGCTGACGAGACGATATTGTAGGTGGATGCACCAGCCTTTACCGCGACCTTGAACAATCCTTGTTTCATGTTGCCAGAGGCTACCTTACATATTACACTGTTGGGTGTTTGGATGAGGACTGATGCACATGTGATGGTCTTGCTGCTATCATAGTAGTTGACGAAAGTGGCAGTAAAGCTGGAGGTGTCATTTAGGTTGGTGAATAGTATCTGGTTGTTGGCATCGAATTGTGAGACGACCGGGTCGCTCAAGCCTCCCCATTCACAAATGTAGTAGGCGGTGGATGTTGGTGAAGTTGGTACAAAGCGGCCATTACTAACAACCAATCCATTTCGATTGGCGTCAAACACAGCATCACCAAACTGGCAATAGGTATAACATTTGTCCAACAAGGTGTTATAATACAATAGTCCAGACTCTGGACCTGATGAATACTGCCAGTTTCCATCACCATCGGAACTGCCCGATATCCATATTGGAGCAGTTGGCAATGTCTTTAAAAAGGCCAACTCCTCATAATATGTGAATGTGGCCAAGTATCTAATGATTGATTATGGTTGGGAAGGGGTCAGAGGGTGGGCGTGGTGGAATCATTCCAGGACAAACATACCCTGTCATTCCTTGGTAAGGAGAATTTGAACATTGCTGGGTGGCAGCACTCAGTGTTAGGTTGTTCTGGAATAGTTGGTAATAGTGATTGTTGATTTTGTTGAGTTGTGGCTGCCCCTCGACAAGGCAAATGGCCATAAGCATGACCGCCACAAACAGACATAGCCTCTGAGTGAGCTCCATGATTTGAATATGTTCGGTGTTGATACAAATAATAAATACAAAGTACAAATACAAGTTTATAAATAATAATAATAAAGTATGAATGAATAGGAATGATGAGAAGAATGAATGAATGTTTACTTTGGTCAAGGATGCGCGGATCCCAAGGATGGGAAGGGTGAGCATTGTTCATTCAGATCAGAAAGAGCAATGCAGTATTACAACAAGGGGGCAAACATACATACTTCAAATGGGCCAGGCAGACAGCCGGAGTCATTGATGTACTCTCAGCCTGGCATGTGTAGAGGGCGGGCGGTCATTTGTAGTGCCCATTTCCGAGACGTACGTCTCCTAGGAGATATGTCCTGCATGGGGGCATCGACAATCAACAAACAAAAGGGGCGGCTACCCCGCCACAATGATCATGCCACCATGACCGTGGGTATTTTGGGCGACAGACTTCACTTTCCGTCATTAATTGGAACATTGGAACAGCGGGCTTGCCCTAAGTTAGATCTTGTTTGCAGTGTTCCCAATACATGCCCACCTCGGAGTGTGTGCTTGAAGTGGTAGTTGATGGTGTTCTGTAGAGCACCATGGTAACCTCAGACAGTAAGTAAGTTGATGTTTACAACTGTTTGTTTGGGCTTGGTTTGAAGACTCTCGAGAGTCAGTAAGTGTGGTGGGTCAGATGATGCCCATTCATCGTAGTGATTGATCAAACTAAACACACCACAATGCGGAAGTTGGTGGGGTCGCGAGTGTGAATGGTTTGATCATTCAAAATATCTGATTTGGATGGAGACCTATGCTTTTCATTTAATTGTAATGCATAGATTAGGCCATTATCCATTATCCATCTTTGTTTGGAATAATAATAATCGATGGATGGTCCATTTCTGTATTGACAAACTCGCACTCTTGGGTTGCTATTCCAAGATATGATGACAATGATGATGATGATGAATAATGATCATGTTATGTCAAGTTAACTTAATCCTACAAGTAATAATCATCGTCATCCATCTTCAATGTGTTCACCTTCTGATTTTTGTACATGTCCACGATCTATTTAGGTGAGGCCAGAGAGTGTCAGTATACTCTTTGGGATAGTCCCAATGTTGGGATGTTTGGAACTTTACCTGTTGGGAGGACGTGGCATCCTCGGGATTCTTGTCCTCTCTGATCCTGATGAATCGTGGGAAACGAAGCGCAATGCCTTTGACAGGGTCCAGTTGACCTGCGGCGGCAGTGTGGATGGGAGAGATGGAGAGGTCAGCTGCCAGCACCTCCCACACCTGCTTAGGATTGAACCAGACGTCTGGTTTAAGTTGCTCAGCCACACGATACATGTTCTTTGGATTGCTTATCACCTCGAACTTGAGTGCCTCTGTGAATTGTTGCAATTGTTCATCACTAAACCCTGTTCCAATCTATGTTGATTGTGTGATTGAATGAGTGAGTGGCACAGTGGACACGAGCCAAATGATCAATCATAATACATACCTTGCAAAGTGTTTGGAAGTCTTCATTGTCATCGTCGTAGCAGGCAAGGAGGTAGGCACCGTACATGCCTGTACGCTTGCCCTTGCCATACCATGCACCAATGGGCACGACGTCTACACTGTCGGTCATGCCTTGAAGATAGTCCTTCTTGATCTTGAGCCAGTTGTACGAGCGCTTCGATGGCTCGTAGATGGACYTTTTCACGGAAGGTCTTTGACCATCAGACCCTCGCAGTTTGCCTTGACGGCCTCCTCCACGTAAGCCTGTATCTCGTCGACGTCCGCCACGTTAGCAAACTGTGCGTACTGGAAGATGTTGGGTGTCACCTTGAAGCTCTCATTCATCACCTCACGGCGGCGACACAACTGCTCATCGATCAGACTTTGTCCATTCACATAGAGCAGGTCAAAGGCGAACACACACACTGGTACCTTGACCTGGTCCAGTGTTACTCCCTATCAATCATTTGGCGCGAGATGTTAGTTCGTTGTTGTCTAGCAAGCGAGCGAGTGTGACATGACGTACCTTGCGTGGTCTGGATGACAGGACTTGGAATGGGAGGATCTTGCCGTTGGATGGGTCCATGGCCACAGCCTCGCAATCAAGGATAAAGGAGTTGATGCCATCGCCAATGAATTTGGGCACGTTGGCAATGATGTCGGGATACTTGGGAGTGTAGTCTTCAAGGTTACGAGTGTATATCTTGATGGTTCCATCCTCAAACCTGTGTATCTGCACACGCTCACCATCGTATTTGTACTCGCAGGTGAACTCCAGACCCTGGAAACGGTCGAGCACCTGTGTGATGCCGTTGGTTGGCTGCGCCAGCATTGGCTTGACGGGCACGCCCACCTTGATCTTGCACGTCTCGAGGATGGTGTCGACGCCATTCTCCTTGCAGAGCAGTGGCACGAGGATGTCGTAGTTTGGCGTCTGGCTGTATGCCCTTGTGATCCTGGCCACGTTCTTATCGACCAAGCTTTGGAACTCGTCCGCAGTCATTGTCTTGCGGACATCCATCACTCCTGATGTGCCTGGTGGTGTGATCGTGAAGGCTCTGGACAGAGCAGTGAGGACCGAACCCTCAGCCAAACCAATGCGCAGCTTGCCCTGCAACGAACGAATGATGTACAATGCCTCGCTCTCCTTGCATGCCACCAGCATCTTCTTGATCAGATCCTTCTTCTTGTTCTGGGACTGTTGGGTTTGGAATGAGTGATCGATTGATTGATTGAGTGAGTGAGTGATTGGTCGTGCACGATGACGAGTAACATGGCCCAATAACTTACGCTGTTGCCGGTGAGGCTGGCAATGTCCTCCAGGGTCTTGAAGACACTCTTGATGGTGAGAGGAGGAGAGGCAAAGAGGGTGGACTGGGTGGTTCGGCTGGACTGTGACACGATGCCAAGGTCGCCAGCGTCCTTGATCTCTTGTTTGATCGAGTCGACGGTGCGGCCAGTCGTCTCGGACACGGCCTTGATCAGGATGGACTCGCCAATGCCCAACTCCTTGCCACCGTAGGATGGTCCAATCTTGTTGATGGAGAGGTAGATCACAGTGACCAGGTCCTGTGGCGACAGTAGCATCACCGAGCGGAACAGGTTTGCCAAGTGCTCAATGATGAGCAGACGACGACTGGTGGATTCGATGCGCTCAAATGTCTTGGCGAGCGCCATGTAAGGCGTGCTCTGGCCCTTCTTCCAAGGGGCGTCCTTAATCGGGTCATACTTTGACAGTGACAACAGCTCCTGCTCAAGCATCTTTGCCGAGCCCTTCAGCTTGGACACCACCTGCTTCCTAATAAACTTGGTTACAACCTTCTTGACGATCTTTCCATCTTCCTCCTCCTCTTCTTCCTCTTCAATCTCCTCCTCTATCTCCTCTTCCTCTATCTCCTCCTCTGCATCCTCAACGTCGTCCTCCTCTTTATCATCGACCTTGTCATCGCGGTCATCCTTCTTCAAGATGGCCTTGGATGGTGATGATGATGATGAAGCCAGTGCTGTCTCCATTTTCTTTGGTGATGGCGATGGTGATGGTGTTGATGTTGATGATGTTGATGTTTGTGTTGGTGTTGGTGTGGAAGTTGGCGATGATGTTGATTTCGATGGCGAGCCTTGTGAAGCCTTGTTGGCGCTGTGTGGCGTTAACTCTGTCAAAAGATTGGCGAATGGATTATGTTTGTTTGTATCAGCTGCTGCTGTTGCTGCTGTTGTTGTTGCCTTCTTCTTTGCCGCTGCCTTGCTTGTGGCGCTCTTTGGCTTTGTCTCTCTCTTCTTCTTTGTGGCAGTAGCAGTTGATTTTTTGGGAGCAGCTGCAGCACCACTCTCTTTCCTCTGCTTCTTGACACTCTGTTTTTCCTGGTATTCCTCTTCTTCCTCTGACTCTGATACTGCCTCATCAGCAGCATCATCTTTGTCGTCAATTTCCTCATCATCATCGTCGAATATATCATCCTTGGCTGGTGCTGCAGCAGGGGTGATCTTCCTGAGTCTGCTCATCCTTGTCTTTGGTTGATCATCGATGACCATCTCTTCCTCTTCATCATCGAATATATCATCCTTTTCTTTTTCAACATTTTGCTTTCTCTTTATACCAATATTACTGCTACTATTGCCATCATTGTTGTTGGTCTTTGTTGGAGATGTCTTAAGTGGAGAGGTCTGTTTGTTTGTGTTGTCGGTGGTGGTATCAGTGGAAGTGACACCATCAGTGCCCTTCACTTTAAGGAATGCCAGCATAGAGCTCTGCATCATATATCTATCTCTTATCTGATTTATATATATCTCTTTAAATTGAACAAGTATGTTGTTATTCATTCAAACAAAACGATGACCTTCATTCATCTCCCACAAAAAAAGAGCGCCACTTTCAAATTCAAGGTGTCCAGGACTGGACTTCGAAGAATGAATGACCAATTCCAAATCAGATGATGAATAGTATAATTACTATAACTGGTGTGTCTATCAATCATTGATCAACCTATCAACAAACAATCAAATAATCGTTCAGTCTAACCAACCTATCAATTGTCCATGATAGTCGAATAATCGTCAATGAAATAAATGACTTTGAACTTTGAAAATGAAGCATGTTTGTTCACTTTGATGTCAAAATCTGACAAATCGATACAGATACAGATACAAATACAGATACCTATATAATATAACTTTATACATACATACATAATGTCATCTAATATACCACAAGAGAGAAACTTAGATGCATGTATACATATACGTGACTTGGACCCTATGGTCACAGAGTCATTACTTTGGGAACTGATGATACAGGCAGCACCTGTAGTCAAGGTGTTCATGCCAAAGGACAAGCTTACACAACAGCACTCAGGCAGAGCCTATATCGAGTTCCAAAGCGAAGCAGATGCAGACTATGTCATGAGGATAATGAACTATGTTAGATTATTTGGTCGACCACTGAGGCTTAAGAAGGTATGTTGTTTGTTATTGTTGATGATGTTGATGATGTTGATGATGGTGATGATGCTCGCGAGAGACTAACATGTTAATGTAATGTACAAACACAACACACAATATAGGGTAACAAGGATAAGATAGATGTTGGAGCTAACCTATTCATTGGAGGTCTTGACAATGAAGTGGATGAGAAGTTACTCAATGATACCTTTGTTCAATTCGGAATGATTATACAGCCTCCCAAGGTATGTTATCTCTTCATACTCATGCTCGCACTCATACTAATACTCTTACTCATACTCACTCATTCAATCATTCATGTAGGTCATGCGAGACCCAACATCAGGACAATCGAAAGGCTTTGGTTTCGTATCGTTTGATAACTTTAATTCTTCAGATGCTGCGATTGAGACGATGAATGGTCAGTTCTTGTGTAATAAGCCGATAACAGTGACATATGCGAGAAAGAAGGACTCGACAGAGAGACATGGAAGTCAGGCAGAACGTATGATTGCAGCAGGCAAACAACGAGGCATACCAGTGTTTGGAGGCGGTCCCTATCCGCCCTCAGGCGGAATGCCCATGCCACCAATGCCACCCATGCCGCCTGGAGGCGGTGGTGGCTACCAACATCATCCTCTTCCTCCTCACCACCCTGGCATGATGCAGCCACCACCTCCCCCTGGAATGATGCAGCCACCTCCTCCTCCACCTCCACTCAATGGTCAACAGTATTACTAAACGAAGTCGTCCTGACCTGCCCTGCTCTGCTCTGCCCTGCATTGTCCACCGCTCCACAATCAATCAGTTCTCGTTAGGTATCAAGCAAGCGATGCTTTACCTTTGCGCGATCAATGATATGATATATACATGTGGAGCGAGTGAGTGAGCGATGTTGGCATGAGGCTGTTGCAGTATGGAATGCATTAACTGTATCAACCTTATAGTCTTTAGTATTGTGTATCTTATAGTGTTGTATGTACATATCGTCGACGACCTGTCATTGTTTATATAATATATATATATATATGTGTAAGATGAGACTTAGTGCGTGACATATGCCCTTGCGCAAGCCGCAGCCACAGCTGCATAGATGGCCACAACAATAACATAATCAACTACGTTCTCCTTGTCCTCTCTGTTCTTGATGTGCTTCAATCTTGTATGAGTGCCATCTGAATGATGATGATGCCGTGCATGTATTGTTAGTCAATCAATCAACATCATCTACACGATGTACATACCACAGAATGGTCTCTCCTTTGAGTAGCCGCAGCGACAGACAAAGACTACCTTGTCTTTCTCCATGGCGACTCTGATGGGTACGACATTTGATCCATTGTTCTGATTGAATACGACATGAGAGTTGTCGCAATAGGGATAGTTCTTTGATTGTCCACATCGACATATGAACTTATCGCCATCTGATGCATCAACAGGCAGTGGACCATCGAGTGATATATTATCACTGTGAATGACCCATTGTGGGGTAGGCGGTTCACTATTCGTCTCTATCTCTTCCGATCCCAACCAGTTTGAGAAGTAGTTCCTAATAGAGTTCATTCTTCTTCTTTATATCTCTTCTCTACTGTATATATATGTATCTGTTTGTATGTATCTGTTGAACTTGAAGGGTCAGCAATGACAACTTGATGATGTCGTCTTGGTTTGTTTTGAGCAATCCCACAAATGAAGCGTGAGATATATTGGTAATTTGGTAATAATTGACCAAGTCATTGGTAAACCTGAGAATGGGATGGTTTGGACAACAACATGTCCAACATGGCAAGTTTATTATTTGAGTGATGGATGGCTTGGCCAACCTTTAGAGTGATTGTGATTATTATTTCTTTACAACTAAAATGAATGGATGTTGTTGGAATGTTAGAGAATGGTCTCACTCCTCGATCGATCAATCAATTCATACTTACCATCGAACCTTATCTTTGTCTTGCCAATCTTAAAGACGTCTCCTATTTGGAGAGGATGACGGTCCACTGGCCTGTGGTTGATCTTTGTTCCATGACCAGAGCCCATGTCGAGCAGGATGCAGGCTGTCTCGCTCACTTCGACCTTGCAATGCGTCCTCGACACCAATTTATCGTCCACTTGTATATTACATGACTCTGATCGTCCGACTGTGTTTGAGCCTATCACCAGCTTCACCATCTTGGGCTTCGAGCCTGGTGCCGCGTTGGCCGGTGTGAAGGTGAGAATAGCAACGCTCTTCTTGCCAAGTGCTAGAGGGGCGGCATTGCTATTGATCGATGGTTCGATGACGGCGGCGACGCTCGGGGCGATGGCACGAGGCCTGCCCAGCTTGGAGCACTGGAGCGACTCAACCCAGTCCTCCATGGCCACCTGATGCTTGGCCTTCAGAATAAAGACACTCAGAGGTGTCACCAGCTTGAACGAATGTAGCAAGTCATTCGAGATCGATGTGTCGCAAGTCTGTATCTCAGTGTATTTCAATGTGATCACTCCTTGTGGCGGCTAAGTATGTTGTTGTCGTGCGTTAGTGATTGAGTCAATCGAGTTGATTGAACGAACGAATGAATGAATGAACGATACGTACCAACTTGGATGACTTGTAATAGTATATACACTGATTGAGGAGAGCAAAGTAATACTGCTTCCAGGTGATTTCTCCATTGTTCTCGTCCTCCTCCATCATGAGGAGCGTGCCAGTCTTCTCCTTCTTGGACTTGCCAATGATGTGTGTGGATTTGTTGTCGATCTCGGCCAGCAGCAGCAACAGACGGTCGAGCTCCAGCTCGGTCTTCTTCTCAAACAGCGGGTACACCTCTTGGAAGGCCTGGTAGCGCTCGTTGTAGTCGTCGAGCGTCAGCGTGTTCTTGGTGAGCTTCTGCATGACAAAGTTCCAGCGCTCAAAGTCCTCATTGTTTGTGGCGCAGAACGCGTCGATGCGCTTGTACGAGAACACCTGGAACATGTACTTGCTGACGTCTGGTGTTCGCATATCAATGATATGCTTCTCAGACATCACCAATGGAGGTGATACGAATGATATCGAGATGATTCCCTTTGGTTTCTTGGACTTTATGTATGATTGATTTGATTGATTGATTGAGTGAGTGAGTGAGTGAGATCGATCAGGTGATCAATCAATCAATCAACTAATGATACATACATTCTTGTTGTTGTAATAATACAGGTTGTTACCGTTGAGAGCAAAGTAATACTTCTTCCAACCTGAGCTGAATCGCTTCTTCTTGAGCAGCTCACCCTCGATCGAGCAGATTGGACCGTCCAACTCGACAAAGGACCACGGTCTCTCGATGATCGACAAGAGGTTGGATATCTTTCGATCGACATCGCTATGCTTCTCTGAGATATTCTTGATGTCCTCATGAGGTGTCCTATGTCTATTGTTCTGTTTCTCATCCCACATCTTTAATATAGTCTCTTGGGTACCACCGCCAATCATCGATGGCATCATATCCTTTGCGCCATTATTATGTTGTGATGTATTCAACAGATTGACCTCTTCGTCTGATTCATCATCAGATATATCCACGAGCTTTCCATACATCATTCTGTTGCTGTCTGTTTATCTATTCTATTCTATTCTATTTGTTTCCCTTATTCGACTGATTGATTAATTGATTGATCGTATGATATTGACTGATTGATCAGTTTGATAGTATGATATTGACTGATTGATTGATGGAAGTATATATATATGTATACAAATGTTACGAATAACTATAAAGTTGAAGTAAGAGATTGGATGGATAGATGGATGGAGTGAATGAATGAATGAATGGTCGTGTTAGTGCGCGTGTGAATGTCCACTCACTCTTGTGTGTTGTGTTGTACCTTGTAATTTTATTTTTGGGTTAGCCACACACCAACATCCTTCATCGAACCCTTTTTGAAAAGTTGAACCCTTGTCAAGAACTGTGTGAGCTTAGGCAAATCGGATGGTGATCGTGATTGGGTGAGGTCACTTGCAGGCAGCCCCAGCCCAACAATCAGCACAGGTCACCACCACACACACAAGCTATTGTCAGGGAACACGTCAATTCATGTCTTGGCGGGGGTCTTGATGTCTTTGTTGGTCCATGCGATGATGTGGCAATAATTGATTGATTGAATGATAGAGTTGGCAACATCACAGTGATAGTAGTATCTATGAAAGAGGAAGTATTTATTACGAATAAATAAATATAGGGCAAGGCCTTCCAGGTGGGAGTTTGAAAGGCAACCCTGGGCTGAGTTGAGGGATGGATGGATGGATTGTTGGGAATTGATGGGTTGTTCTCTCTCTTGTTGGCGCCAACCAACTATCTATCGGTAAATGGAAACACCATGTGAGGTTAGCTTCTGCACGATGAAGCTCGATATGTCTTTGCAGCCGCTGACATTGACAAAGCGGATCGAAGAGCACGAGTCGATCACGCTCTCCAATGCGGCGTCAGTGATCTTGGGACAGCGCGAGATGTCCAGGTTCTCCAGCGACGGGCAGCTCTTGGCAAAGTTGATCAATGCGCTATCCTCCAAGTGCAAACACCATGAAAGGTTGGCAGACTTGAGTCGTAGTGGCGTGCCATCAATGATTGTATCGCTTGTGAGTGAGTTGTAGCCGCGCAGCTTGAGAGTGTGCAGCTTGGGCCACATCTTGATCGCGTGGCGGATGCCTTGTGGAGTGATAAGGTTGCTACAATAGGACAGGTCCACACTTGACAGCATTGGACATCCAACAGCAATACGTAACAGTGCAGAGTCAGAGATGAAGCGGCAGTATCCAAGCTTGATGGACTCGAGTTGTGCACAGCCAAAGCCGTCCGAGATGGAGCCGAGTGCAGACACTCCAGTGTCTGTGATGACGCACTCCTCGAGACAGATGACACGCAGCATTGGCAGGCCGTGGGCAATGCGAATCAAACTGGCGTCAGTGATCTTCTCACACATGCTGATGTCCAGATGGATGAGCGACGGACACATCGTGGCCACCTCGATAATGGCATTGTCCGTGATCAGAGTGCAGGCAAACAGAACCAGACGGTTGAGCTGAGGCTTGGTGCGTGCCAGCTCCATGACCGACGCATCGGTGACGTTCTTGCACTTGGTCAGGTCGATGTTCTTCAGGTTGGGACAGCGCTGTGCGATCGCTACGATCGACTCGTCGGTGATGTCCTCGCAGTATGCCAAACTGATGGTCTCGAGGTGCGTGGCCTGGATAGTGATGGCCAGCACCGAGCTGTCATTGGTATTGATGCATCGGTTCAGGTCAAGATGCACAAGTCTCTGCAGACATTGCTGGTTGGCTGTGGAAGTGGCGGCGGCGATCAGTGTGTCCATCGAGTCGACATTGTCGTCGGCCGGCAGGATCAGCTCGTCGTCGATTTGGAATGCGGCCGTCGTGATATTCTTGGACGAGCACAGGTTGAGCGTGCTGATATCCAGACAGTTGCGCACGATGGCCTGAACGCCCTCGTCAGTGATTTGCTCGCACATGATTGTCTCGAGGACGGCGAGCGACTTGCAGCGTGCTCCGATGCATTTGAGCGCCACGTCTGTGATGCCCTTGCCGCTGATCTTGATGCTGGTCAGCTGACGACTGTTGTTACATATATTTACAATGGCGTGGTCGGTGATGTAGCTGCACTCGAGCAGGTCGATCGACTGCAGTGTGGTCAGGTTGAACGCCTGGAACGCTGCATCCGTAACTTGGACACAGCGGCGAAGCTCCAGAGTCTGCAGGCGGCGACTGTATTGGTGCAGTTCGTGAATTGCTGCGTCAGTCACCTTGATGCAGCCGGATAGGTTGATGGATCGCAGCGCGTGGCAGCCACGTGCTAGGGCAAGCACGCCGGCGTTGCACACCTGGAAGCAACCCTTGAGATTGATCACTTCGAGGTTCTTGCAGCCGTTACCAATGGCCGTAAGTGATTCTGACGAGATGTTGGTGCAGTTGGCCAGCGAGAGCTTCTGGAGCTGAGTGCAGACACTTCCAATTGTTCGTGTGCTGTTGGCCGTGAGCAGATGCGCGCCCTCCAAATCGAGTGCCAGGATCGTTGGCACTAGCAAGCGAGACAACATTGTGTCGTCCAGTGGAGTTGTGATTGGACCGCTGCTACCCTTGACGCGCTCCTGATTGATTAGCATTGTAATCACCTTTTGTAGCAGTTCGTCGGGCAGGGTGATGCCGCGAAGGGTGTGTATCTGTTGACACACCTTGGCGATGCATAGCTGGAGCAAGGGTGCGGGCGTCTGTGGCGCCAGCTTGGTCTTGGGCGAGTAGAGATACGATGTCGAGCCATGCTGCTGCATCTCTGGTGAGGTGTGTCCATTGCCACTATCTGTTCTGTTCTTCTTCTTTGCGCTGGCATCGATGTCATCAGTAATCACCTCCATCATTTGATCATCGTCTTGCTGCTGTTGATGTTGTTGATGTGCATCAGCCACCATGATGATTGGCAATTGTGTCGTACTGTTGCTGTTGGCATGTGTGATGACCAATGGAGGGGCTGACAACTTGTGCTTGCTGGCATGGGCCACGCGTGGATCCTTGCTTTCGAAGGGATCGACGATGTTGATGTAGTTGTCGATGATGTTGAGCACAAACTCGGGCTTGGCCTTGGCCTGCTTCTGGCGACGCAGGCGGAATGGTGAGTTGAGCAGGTACTGCATTGTGTGCTCGAGATGCTTCTCGATCGAGTCGATGTAGGACAGAGCCGTGCCGAGCATCTCGAGCAGGCGTTGCTGGATGCGCGCCGCCGACATGAGTGGCGTGCTGTGGAAGCACTTCTGGATCAGGTCGTGGTAGCTAAACAGCAGCTTGGGGTCGTTGACCTTGAGCATCAGCTCGGAGCACAGAGCGTCAAGGCAGATGGTGTAGATCAACTGGGTCATGTTCTGGCCGACAAAGTAGTTCTGGATGTGCTGGATCTTGGTGTGGATGTTGCGGTCGGACGATGCCTGGCAGTACTTGACCAGTTTGACGTGCATAGCCTTCTCCTCGGCCGTCATGGCCACCTTGTTGAGAAGCAGCTTGCTGACGTCGCCCAGGATGCTCTGGGAGAACACTATGATCTCGTCCTGCAGAGGCGGCAGGCGGTCAATCAGATTCTCGCGCCAGAAGTTGGGCGTCCACATGATGAGCTGCTTGCATAGCAGCACTACTGGGTTGCTTGAGGTGGTGCTGTAAAAGTCGATCGGACTGCCGTTGCCATTTGTGTTGACCAGACGCGAAGAGGTCAGCGCGTAGAGGTTCGAGCAGATCTCGGTAACGGTGCCCACATAGTCAGGCGATGAGATGCGGAATCGTTCCCACTCATTCATCGAGATGGACTCGCACTCGGCCACGCGGTTCAAAAAGACCGACTCTGAGGCCTCTGAGCTGATGTAGGCCAACAGCTTGCGCTTCCACTGGGCGACACGAGTGCGCAGCGAGGAGGTGATTCCCTCGACGCTGGAGGGGCCGGGGCTGGGGCCCACCTGCTTGTACTGAAGATACTGGCTACGCCAGTTGTTGCCGCGGATTCCACCGGTGCCTGGGCCGGGTGGATGCTGCTGTTGCTGCTGCTGATGCTGTGGACGAGTAACGTGCAGCTGCTCTGTGAACGAACTAGAGAGGTTCTCCTCCATCATCACGGTGGCGGGAGACTGGGGCGGCTGCTCTGGCGGCGAGTCGACCATCTGATTTGAGTTGTTATGTACATTGGAGGCACTATTCTCCAGGTGGATGATCGGTATTGCCTGTGGCTGAGTGCTCTTGAGATGAACTATCGATGTGGTCCTGGCAAAGCTGTCCTTGAACTCGTCAAGTGCGCGCAGTTGACGAGACCAACTGTCATAAGATGCTTGATTGATGATCTTGATGAACAAAGGAATGTTGGAGATGGCCTTGAGGTGATGCATCGAGTTGAATAATATGTCATACTCTGATGGCAATGCTTTGTTCAAGTCTGCTGAAGAGAACAATAGCGGCTGTATATTAGAGGTGAGGTGAGCGAGTCAGTGAGTGAGCTAGGACCATGGACAGAAGGTTGGGGTATACATACCATCAGTTGAATCAGTTTGAATGTGTTGAGTATATGTTCGAGGTTGTGAGGGGAGCGAGCATTGCGATATAGCTTCTTGAGTTGCGAGATGATCATGCCCTTGGAGTTGTAGATACCCTTGGGATAGTCGTACTTGTTCTGTTGTCGCTCGCCCAGCTCTGCAAACTGCACCACTCCATCCATGCCCAGCTTCTGCATGAAGTTGGAACCAATGATGATGTCGGCCAAGTCGGCAGAGAGGCCGCGGAAGTCGAAAGACAACGCGATCTGATCGGCTTCATTGATAGCTTGCGTGATGCGCGACTTGGAGATGTTTCCACGACGCGTGTCGTCCGAGAGAATTGTGATCTCGCGTCTGCCACGCAGGATACTGCATGGCAGCTTCAGGAAGAAGCTGGATGTGACAAAGGAGTAGTCGGCAAGCACCTCTCTCAGCTTCTCGCGGATGAAGATCCTGTCGATGTTGTGATCGTTACCAATGCCCTTGAACTGAATTGTCTTGCCGAGCAACGGACGGATGTTGGCGGCGATCGGAAGGTCCCACGATGTCTTGACGTCGGCCAATTGCTTGTGTGTGGTGGTGCCTGGCTGCAGCGCAACGCACTTTGTGTACATCAGCTGCAGGTACTCGAGACGACGTGCATGGATGGGCGTCGAACGATCGCTGTCAAACTGGTGCAGTTCCCAGAGGATGCCGCGCAGCTCGGTCTCGGAGATGAAGTCGACAAGCATCTCGCAGGTAGCGGCGTAGCTGATTCGGAACATCTGTGCAGCGCCGACACGGCCCTGAGGCAGCAGGAAGGGGTGGTTGTTGTTGATGGATGGTTGTGTAGCTGGCTGCATGTTCAGCAGGTACTGTGTGGTCTTGTTGATTGTGTCCAGCTCGAGCTCGCGCTCCTTGACCCAGTCGACGGACAGGTTGAACTTCTCGTCGAGCGTGTATGTCTGGTCGATCTGGCTGGGCTGGTGATGGTTCTTCAGCTTGCTCAGAAGGTATGGGCTGGTGTTCTCGAGCGTCTCCATGGGCGCCGAATCGGACAGCGAGGGTGGCGCGGGTGCCGCGCGTCTGTGGCTGCCGATGATGGGTTGCGGATTGGTGCCAGAGGTGACAAAGGTGAATTGGAGCAGTGTGTTCAGCAAGAAGCTCTTTCCAATGCCGTTTGGTCCGAGGACCAGTATCGAATGCTTGTCTTTCACCCACATCCATCCATTGTGAATGTAGGTCGGCCGGCTCTTGCTGCCACCTCCCATGCTGTTGCTGCCGCCAATGCCAAGGCTGACATGGGCGTCGTCCAAGAACTTGGCCGTGCTAAGGCCACCGCTATAATGTGAGACGGGCAGCAGGCTGTCGAGCGCGCCATTGGCCGCCTCGAGCAGCTGCATTGTGCTGACGATGCTGTTTGTGTTGCTGTTGTTCCTGCTGCCGCCGCGAGAGTTTCCATTGCCGGGTAGTAATGAATGTGACGAGTGTGGCGAGAGCGTAAAGTCGGAGCCGCCACCGCGAGGTGTCAGCGGGAAGAATGGCTCAGAGTTGACGAGGTTATCGATCCTCATGCTGTTGTCGCTCTTTGCCGAGCCCAAACTGCTATGTGTGCTGATGCCTCCATCTACATCGTCAATGATCCAATTGGATGCGCTCTTTTGCATGACGCCCAGCAGCGAGTTGGGTGTCAGATGGCGACCCTGTGGTTGTGGACCATTTGCTCCCGGGATCGTTCCAATCGATGGCAACTGAAGGAATGTGGACGAAGATGAGTTGCCGCCTGATCTCGCAGGGCCGTGGCCGAGACCGTTCTTGAGGCCGGCCGATCCACCAATGCTGCTGCCAGTGTTGCTGCGTGGACGTCGCGCGCCGTATCTGGTGGACATGTGTGAGGAGGGCATCTGGTCGGCCGATGCCGGGTCGCCATTCTCGTCGGTCAATATCGTTACGACGCCACCCATGCTACCACTGCTACTATAATTTGAGAATCCCATTGTCGTGGAGATGTCGCCTCCCCACTGTGGCAATGAAGGAGAAGACAACGACACCACCGAGTGAAATGCCTGTTTCTCTCCACTCAACACCAAGTCATCCAACTCTTTATATATCTGTTTCTCCAAGTCATGCTCGCCTGCACTAGATGCTGTTATATTAAGTTAGTTAGTAACTAAGTTTGATTGATTGAATGATGTTGATGTTAATGGCCTACGTATGTCTTGAAGGAATTTCCTCTTTCCAGAAGAATGTGATTTAGGTATCTCTGTAATGTTGTTATTGTTGTTGTTATTGTTGTTGTTCATTGTTGTTGTCTCTTCTCTCTATCTATCTATCTCAATCTCACTCGCGATGTTCTATGTCGCGCCTTATGAGTTGGGTCGTCGAATCGATCGAACAATCTTTGTTATCTCTTGATGAGAGGTATAAAAAATATTACTAACTAATCTGTATTTTATAATAAAAATAAATATAAGAAAGAATAGATGATGTATGTGTAGAGATGGAGTTCGGGTCAGGTCAAGGACACAACAGGTATTCAATTGTAATGATTAAGGTCTGTCTGTTTGTTGACACTTACTCTTTCTCTCTCTCACTCTTAGTCACGCTAAACAACCAACCAAACAAACACACTCAATTAAATGAAATTCATGAAATTTATCAGGAGAATTCGCGCTCTATTGTGCCCATCCCAAGGACACATTGTTTAATCTGTGTGGTAGCGAATGGAAAAGGAGTGTTCGTTTGATCATTCCTTTTGATGGTACCCCCGCACCACCATCAATCAAGTGCACCATAGTTGTTTTCCAAACAAAACATGCGAACATAATAATTATTATTCTTATTCCTCGTCTTTGCATCATCACCTACAACCATTTTAACTTAAGAGCTCTCAAAGAGTGAGAGAGAGACGAAAGTATTCGTTGTAGAAGATGATGATGCCAACATCAACCATCACACAGTCAAACACAATGAACTCCTATGACTCGTCGTCCGTCACCAACATCTGTACCAACAAGACATCTGTCATCCGATTGATCAATTGATTGTTCGATGACCATGTGATTGAATGGTTGTTTGATTGATTGGAATGGACAAAAGGGTGTATGTAATGTTATTGCTGAGTGGTGAGCAGGTTGGGATGGAGCACCTTCTGAAGGTTGATGTAGGGGCTGACAATGCTCTTGAGATTGGCATAGGCCGAGTCCAAGTTATCATTGATCACAACATGGTTAAAGAAACCAGGTCTATCCTGATATGACATCTCCATTCTAGCATTAGTCAATCTCTTCTGGATTGATTCCTCTGATTCTGTGCCACTATAATTGATTGAATGATTGATTGTTAGTGTATCAATGAATGATTGATCGAATGAATGAATGGATGTGATGTACATACCGGCCTCTGAGTCTCTTCTCAAGCTCTTCGTAGGAGGGTGGTGCGACGAATAGGAAGAGACAGGGGATGGCAGCCTTCTTGACGGATTCACAACCTTGGACATCAATGTCGAGTATGCATATCTTGCCAGTGTCCTGAACGTCTTGTAGTGCCTTCTTTGATGTACCATAGTAGTTACCATGAACATTTGCATTCTCTATGAACTTTCCATCGGCAATCTCTGCCTCAATCTCTGGAATCGTTGTGAAGTAATAGTGAACACCATGCTCCTCACCCTGTCTTGGCTTCCTAGTCGTGTGCGAAACACAGAATCCAAACGATCCCTTGAACTCATCCTTCAATCTATTGATCACTATGTATAAGTGATTAATTGATTGATTGAGTTAGTAGGTGAATGATTGAAAGAGCGAAGTAGTTGAGTTGGACCCGGGGGTCAAATGAGACGACTTACAAGTTCCCTTGCCTGCTCCTGATGGTCCAGTTATAACGATTGGTAACAATATAGTTGGTTCTTGTGTAGTAGTAGACATTGTTGTTATTGTTGTATCTGTATCTATATATAAATAACGAAACTAAAGAATATATTCAATGAATGAATCAACTCAAAGTTGAGGCCAAGTGTCGTCTCCTCAACCCACACTGGGGTATCCCATAAATTAAGACCTGGTAACTTCACCCACTCACTCATTCAATCCAACAACATCTTCATGATGAAGGTCAAAGGAGTTAGTTCAGTTCAACTCTAATACTGTTACATACTCTATATATATATTGTTATACATAAGACATCAAACTTGTCAGCGAGTCACTACTAGGATAGGATTGGATTGAGTCCTATATTCAATCAATCAATCAAACAAATCAATCATTCAAACAATATAGACATACAAGGATGTCATCACCAACAACAAACCCTCCTTCAACGTCAACGACAACTACTTCTACATCATCATCACCAACAACATCTACTGTGATGGTTCATCCATCACCATCATCTCTATTCGATCCTTCAGCAACATCAGAACGTATCACATTGACTTGTATGTTTGATCAATGACGCTGAACAACGACATTGATTGTATTGTATTGACTTACACACGTTAACAGACCAAGATGACTTTGGAGTATGGAAGTATGTTGAGCCTGAGCTCAAGAACCATCTGCCACTCAAGAAGATTAGTTGGAAGACAAAGACAGGTCATACAAAGATTGTAGAGTTGATGCCAGTGGACATTATACATTATGATGACGAGCGACTCAAACAGACATTTGAGTTCCAGAACTTGTACAGGAAGCCATACCTCTACCTCTATCTAGTACACTGCGACGAGACAGACATCTACAAGAGCACAGTCAAGAACAAGATCAAGCAGTGGGTCACCAATATGAATGATCGCCAACAAGAGTGGCTGATCATCTACGTGTCGCTGGGCCAGAAGTCCAAGTCATTCCTTCCGCGCACAGTCTACGACAAGATCAAGAACGACTTCAACGTGCGTCGCGACCGATGCTGCCACCTGCGATTCTTTGATGACAGCAACAAGAATGAGGACCTCTGGGAGGACATGCTGTTCAAGGTCAAGGAGGGCATCGTGTCCAGCGCCGAGCAGTACCTCACCACGTACGAGGAGGAGATACGTCGAAGCGACGCTCGTCGCACCACTGCAGGCTGGAGCTACCTCAGCTTCTTCTTCCTAAAGGAGAGTCTGGCACTGATCTACGAACGTGCGCTGCTATACGAGGAGGCTCTGCTGCAGTACATTGAGCTGGAGGTGTTGTTTGCCGACAACAAGTCTCAGTTTGAGAAGGTGGCACTCACGCCACCAATGTCAGGACATCGCGCCACAGCTATCAACGAGTCCACAGACGCAGTGGCTGCTCCCCCAGCCATGAAGCAGGCAGAGCTCAACGACGGAGTCAACCTCTTTGACTCGTCCACAAGGCGCTACTACCGAGAGCTCATATATCAGAACAGGATCACTCTGTATGACTTTAAGCATTACCTATTCGTCAGGCAATCAAAGGTATGTCGTGTCAATCGCATGACCACTGGAACTATTCCAATCATACTCATACTCATTCACAACATTAGTTACTGTTCCTCCTACATCGACCGATCGAAGTGACGAGGAAGGCAGTGTCATTCATTACATCAGTTGGATACATTATCCAGAAGCATCCAAGCAGCTTCAAGCCTTACTTTTATGAGACTTGGGTGTTCTCTGTATCAATGGAAACGATCAAGGCTTGTCAGGAAGCCTTTGAACGTCTGCAGGAGCAGACAGATCAGGCACAGCAGATCACAGCAAGCAGCACAAGGGCAAAGAGCACAACGCCCTCATTCAGTCGTTTCCTCAATGGCTTTGGTAACCTGGTGACGAGCATTGCGCCAACGACAACGACCCCGGCACCCGCAACACTCGCACCACCACAGGCGACAACTGGTGGCGCTGGCGGCACTGGTGGCAGACTGCCATCATCGCAGTCACTCACCAACGTCCAATCGATCCAGATACAGAGCGCAATGGGTAGGACACCATCACTTAGCTCTCTTCCCGACCTTGAGAAGCAACCCGACAAGCAAGACCGCGAGGAGTTGGACTTTATGCTTGCGGACATTCTATTCTGTGCGATACAGCGACTGGAGGAGCTGGCCATCAAGCTGGACATGCTTCCAAATGATGAGAATCTGGACTTTTACAAGAAGGCAGATGACATGTTCAACAAGACTCACAAGACAAGTCCAGCATCATTGTCACCTGTTCAGTCCAATGGTGTTGGCGCTGGTGCTGGTGCTGGTGCTGGCGCAGCTTCAGGCCATCACTCTCCATCTCATGTTGATGGCGCCCACCAGTTGTCACCAACCATATTGTTCACTTACCCTGCACTCCAGGCTGCATTCCAATCGATCAAAGACTTTTCCAAACTCTATCTCGTATGTAGACATACAACTGCCAGTGTTGTGACATCTCCACTAACACCATGTGAATCATCATCATCCTAGGATCTACTCAATCAATCTGAGAAGCTCTATGTACAAACAAACAGAAGCAGGTCACATCAAAGACTATCATATTCACTCGGCAACTTCCACTTGTAAGTATCGAATCGATAATCCAGTGATCCATAGTGTCTAACCAATCAATCAAACAATGTAGTAAACGAGGCAACTTCTCAGAGGCCAGCACAATATTCAAGCGCATTTCAAACATCTACAATCGCGAGAAGTGGAAGATGATTGAGTATGCCATCAAGACAAAGTTGGCATATTGTCACAAGCAATTGAATGAGCTGTCAGAGTATGTAACATACACGGGATGTCACTTGGCAGCGAATACTGACCAAAGTATCAATCAATCAACCAACACTTAGCTACATCACTACATGCATTGGTCTTCTGACACCTGGTCTGCTAAAGAGCGACGAAGAGAGAGAGTATTACTTGAAGGAGATATTCGAAACGACCAAGAACAATCAACTCAATAGTATGTCTGACTAGCGTGAGGAGTACGAGACAAGGTACTAACTCTTCATCAATCAATCAAAGTTGCTACATCAATGCATCCACTGTTCAAGGCAAAGCTGACTATTGTGAACAGTGAATATAGATTCTTGGAGCATGTACGAATTAATCTAAGGATCAAGAGCAATCTGTTCTGTCCTATTGTTGCCAGCCATGGCGCCATCAACTTTATACGCAGCAACAACTCCAATGAGAAGCTGATCTTCAATCAAGTGGACTTTACCATCAATCCAGGCACCAACAACTATGAGTTGACCACAATAGTAAGTTGATCAACTGACGACCATAGGACACCATTTGCTCACCTCCTCGATAATCACAGGGCACAACCAAAGCATCATTCATCAAGGACTCGTGCTGGTTGAAGATTGGAGGTGTATCATTTGGTCAATCACTCAAGGATGGCGTGAATGGCGAAATTAAGATCATTGAGACTGAGTCTTCGATCACATTGGAATCATTTGTACCAAATAGCGCATTACTACTGTGCTGTGTGCAGTACATTGGCGTGCGACTACACACTCATGCTGACGCGATTGAGAGGGGCGTGCTCTCATTCCAGAGCCCAACAAGCGCAACCATCATCCAACCGCCAATGTTCAACATACTGCAACGAAAGAGCAATGGCACAGTGAACACGTTGCAACTGCCATTCGTCAACGAGAAGATACATTTGCAGCAGATTGGACGCGAGGAGCAGCTCGAGTTCTACATCCCTGTCATGGCTGTCAACAACGACACTTGCAGCCATCAGATCACCATCGAACTCCAGCATCAGAAGCAGACAAAAGAGGCTTTCTCCTCGTCGCTCGTGTCGACTGCCCTATTCATCAGTCCATTCTCAGTCGATCAGACGGTGATCCCTGTGGGCAATCGTCTATTCCTCAAACTCATGCTTCAGTGCAGCTCATCAACACCTCTGGTGCTGAGCGACTACCGACTGGAGGAGTGCGATCCACAATACATCGAGGATGCCTCGCAGCGCCACCATTCATTCTATCTCGTCAAGGATCACAACGAGTCGCTCCGTGACATGACGCTGTATCCAGCACACACCATCTCCATGATCTTTGAGGTGAACAGGTATTACCTTAGTGGTAAGTGTCATGCTCAGCCTTCACTACTTGATTCGTCAATGCTTCAGCGACTAACAAGTTTATCCTCATCAGACACCAAAGGATCAATGAAGCTATGTATAAAGTACATCAACAAGCTGCAGGATGTTGACCCACTGGTAAGGAGTTGCAAGCAACTCTGGAAGGACCAGGTCGACTACTACTATCCTATAATCATCGATTGTCCAGAGGTAAGTTATAGCCATGCCTTAGTACAAGCACACTCATCTAACAATATCATCAACGCCCAGCCTCTATACCGAATCGATACCAATCTCCCTCAGAAGGTATACATTGGCGCATTGGTACCTTACGAGTTCACTATATCCAACATACCCAAGGGTACTATTGCTGCCACGGCGCCAGCAGCATCCTCACCAGACAATGGTGAGGCAGCATGCTGCAAGGACACCTTCTTAACGTACCAGATCGAGTTTGACTCTTCATTCTGGACGATATCCGGCCATAACAAGTCACAATTCAAACTCAATGTATGTATCATCCGCACGCATGTCCTTGCAGTCTCCATTAGCCATGACCTAACACATGCACACCATACTCCAATAGCCTGATGATCAGAAGCCACTGACATTTAAGATCAACCTCATACCAATTGGTTGTGGCGCATTGCCAACACCAAAGGTGACATTGATCGGTGTCAATCCTTCAAGCATCCTGTATTCCAAAGCATCAGTGGATCAAATCTATGTCTATCCATCGTCACACTTCAACTCTGCATGTGATCAGATAGGAACCTCCAATGAATAAACCGATCCGCTCACCACTAATCAACACTGTTGTATCGTCTTCGTGAGATGATTGAGTGCAGGTCGACAGACCTGCTTATTTAATCCATCCATTTTGCTACTTGGCTGTATTGTACACTCCTTGATTGCATCGCACAGTGCAAGGAGTTGATCGTTAAGTTGCGCCAACCACATTGACTTTGCCAAAGGTTCTCGAGAATACGACTGTCTTTGGTCCCATGTGTTGTTGCCAGCAGCATTGATGTTGAGTATGTATGAATGTACACCAAAGCCATCTCGCGCCATGCGGTAGTCGTGATGAGTATCTCTTAGAACCTCTTCTTCTCCTTCTTTGTATATACATTCTTGACATCGTTCTTTGAAAGGTAATGCATGCCATCTGCGAACCTGCCATTCTTCATTGTCAGTCCACGATCCTTCTTCTCCTCATCATTCTTCTTCATCATCGAAGGCTTCTTTGGTATAGTATCTCCATTGGCTGCAGCCTATAATGTAATAATAACATAGATGTAAGTGAATGAATCGAGGTATCATCGCATCAATCAATCATACATTTAATACATCGCGTTCATAGATCTTCTTCTCTTTCTTGCGCCTGCTTAATGAGTCCTTTAGAGGCTGTGGATGTCTGGCCACCTTCCTTCCCTGTGCGACGAGTTTCTGACGAGCGAATGTCTTCTTCTCCTTGACGTCGAATTGTGTAGCACCAAGGTTTCTAACCTCATCGAATGCCTTTATAAAGTACTCTCTTTGTTCCTTTCCAACATGTCCACCAGGTCTGAACTTTTGTTTCTTATCCTTATCATCTCTATCTCTTTTATGACTCATCCTTTCCTTTCTTCCTCTCTTCTTCCTCTTTGTAGTAAGTTATAACTTTGATTGAAATGATGAATGAACCAGATTGAGTGTCTTTCGTCTTTTTGCAACTTTCGTTTTTCGACCCCAACCCTTACCCTTGCCCTTACCCTTACCCTTGCCCTAACCCAAGCATATCTTGTGTAACATTACATTGATAAATGTTTATAAATAGATTGTATGATCCATGGATGGTAGTATGTCCTACATGTTGTTGTTGTTGATGTCAAACTTGAGTGATGTTGATACTCCATAATGATCACTCAATTGGCTGAAAGGGAAGCCTTCAATGAAGAATGGCTCGACTCGTGTGCTGCCTGGTACGCGACATTGTTGATTGGTCTCTTGTTGTTGCTTGTAGGCTGACATGGTGAAGTTTTTGGTGGAGGCTGGTACACGGTGCAGTTGAAGAATGTAGTCCAGTCGCTTCATGCAGCATAGATCATTCTGTCCAGTGAGTGCTGTCTCTCTAGCGTGCAGCGTTCCATTGATGTCCAATGTATCGCCGACTGTTGGTGGATGAATGCCCTTGGTGTCCTCTGTCAACCAGTCGGACAGCTCAAACAGCTTGACACGTGATGAGTTGTCCGACGTGGGCCTGGTACAGAGCAGATCGACCATCTCGCGATACTCTGCACTGGATGTCGCGTTTGGGTCTGATGTTCTGGAGTTGACGTTCAGGTCGCCAGCCAGAATGATGGGATGCTTGTCGTCCTTGGTCTTATCGTGAATAAACTCGCGCAGCTGGTTCATTTGTACAACGCGCACTGAATCATTCCTGAGGTTCTCATCTGGGATACCACCAGGTGCGCGTTGGTATGATGCCTGCATGTGTGTAGAGAAGAGATGCAAGTATTGCTTCTGCTTCTCAATCTCAATCTTGGTGTATAGTGCTCCCTTTGATGCAAGCATGTCGCTGTCGACACCCTGCGCATAGAGTTGGTAGTCCTGCTCGACGATGGGGTACTTGGAGATAACGACCAGGCCGCCATCCACCAGATAGGTCGACCGCAGGTAGGGCGGGTGAGGCGAGGCAGCCGTATGAACGAATCCTTGCGTCTTTGCACGCTCAAGGAATCGACGTTGTCTGTAGGAGAATGAGGAGAACAGTTCTTGGAAGCAGCAAATGTCGAATTGTCCAATGATTGATGTGTCCAAGCGCGTGAACTTTGAGTGGCCAGCGGCCATGTCTGGTGAGAGTGGCGTGGCGCTAGGTGCCGGGATCTTGGGTGGACGAGGCGAGCGCCATGGTGAGAGGTAGGGTATGGATGGGAAGCGATCCTTGTCCACCGAGTACACAGTGTAAGGTACACCGGAAGCTGATGCAAAAGCCTTGTTCAATCTCTCAGCGTTCAACTCTGTTGAGATCAAACATTCCAATCGTTCATCCTTAAAGTCATTATAATTTGTTCTTATACCAGGTGGTCTAACAAATACATTATAAGTAAGTAGACGTAGTTTCAAATTGATCTGTGGTAGTGTTTCCTCCATCTATCTCTCTATCTCTTTCTCGATTTGTATGTGTTTGTATGTTTGTATAATGTATGTGTATGTATTTGTTATGTGTATGTGTATGAAGGAATATGTATAAGTGACTCCTCTATCTCTATCTTGACTGGACCAGCTGACACTCTAGTCTAGACTCTTGCGATGTCTTGGTTTCCAACCCCATTGCGTGATCCTTTCAAACAAACACTCTACACACACCAACATTCACACACTTTCAGTTTCAAACACAACTGACACTTTGTTTGCTCAACTACAAAGATACAAAGGTGTGGTTGATTCGTAGAAGAGACAACAACATGTCGACAGAAGCCAACCCCATGTCTACGAATGACACTGTTACCATTTAGACATTCACTAAACTCACATTGTAAATGTATTAAGATATTAAAGGAGATATATATAATATGACTTTAGAGATTGATATTGATCATCTAGTCACACCAAAACTAAAGAAAGCTGACAATGAATGGAGTTGATCAGTAAATCATGATTTCATACACTCGTCTCTCGTGACAAGTTAGGTAATAGTTTGTTTGACAGTTGTTTATTATGCCCGCTACCTCGATGACACTCTTTTACCTGCAAATATCATGAAGTTGTTCATGTCTCTGTACGCCCATCATCCAAAATGGCATGCCGTTTCGACAAACAAGGGTCTATCCTTGGCCTTCCGTAGGCCTAGAAAAGAAGTCGATCAAATAGTCAGTTTGCCCGAATCAGACAAGTGTCTCTTGTTGGCCCATGACGAGCCCATGTCTCTGGCACTGGCTACTAAAATTCGTTCCCTCCATCAATGAGGGAACTAATGTAGTAAGTAAATGTATGATGAAGCTACTTAAACCAGGATCCTCGTCAAGGGTCAACTTAAATCACCATCCCATCTCCTTATTATCTCTAGATAATCATGTCTACTACAACCTCCACATTGCTTATTGCTACACTCTGTGTCTTGTTTACCTTTGGCACCATTGCCAACGCTTGGAAGCCAGAGGATGTCCAAATCAACTGCTATTTGAACTCTCAATGGAGAGATTTTAACAACAAGAACTGGTCCTCCTACGACTGTGTCATCAACAATGAAGCTCCAATGCCAATCAACGACCTCTGGCTCGTCTACTCTGGATCGTCCCGTCCATCAACAATGTGGGGTGGTCTCAACGTTCGCAACGCCACGGCCAACATCTTCCAGTTGGATCAATGGTCAAGACCAATCCGTGTCAGCAGCCGTGTGAACTTTGGCTACACTGTCAACTCGTTCGAGTCTGCCAACTGGTCCGTCCTCAACATTTCGAGACTGTTGTCCAGTGAGGAGCAGATGTGGATTGCCATCGATGAGATCAGATTGGTTGCCCAGGACGCCAAGGCAATTGCCATGGAAGCCAGAACCATTGCCACTGAAGCCAAGAATATTGCCGCCGATGCCAAGAACATTTCCAACGAAGCAAAGGCTATTGCTGCTGACGCCAAGTCAATTGCCGCCGAGGCCAATATCATTGCCGCTGAGGCCAAGGCATATTCCATGCGTGCCAACAACCTCTCTACTGAGACCCAGCCCATTGCCAATGAGGCAAAGAACATTGCCCTCCTAGCCAACTCGGCTTCAATTGAAGCCGCTTTGAAGTTGGCCGAGGCTCAAAGAGCTGCTTTGATGAACCAGTACCTCATCCAGAACTTGACGGCCACTCAGTCTGGTGATATGCAACAAGTTATGCTGCAGCTCCAAACTATGACAACTAAGGCTAAAGAAGAATATGAGGCAATGATGAAGAGGGTCCAAGAGCAAATGGCCGATTCAAAGAATGAAATCATTGGAAACATGAGAGGTGAGGCTGAGGATGTCGCTCGTAAGATTCTCGAACAAATGGCCACAACAACCTCAACTACTACCTCGCCTGCCACGACCATCTCCACTACATCAACTTCCTCTACTACTGGATCAACCTCCACCACGTCCACAGAAGTACCAACCACCACGGCATAAATAATAAACTAGAAATCTTTCATTCATTCATTCATTCATTCTAACTCTTGGTAAAGATAATACATCTTCATAGTTGTCGCCTGTCCTGTATTCTTGTTGCAATGGTTATCATTCATTGATTAGATCGACAGCAACAATCAACAACATTATCAACAACAATAGAGATTGTATCAATTCAATCAATCAATTGTATAAGTCAACAAGTACATGTTGTTCGCACAAGACGATGATGATTACTATTTATTTAATGAGGACCATACCAGTTGTTATCAGCGATTGTTGAAAGACAACTGAGATATTTTGGGAGAACAGGGCTTGCAGATCACCAATGACCAATCAAAAACGCACCTCATTTGTCAATGGAATGAAACGTCGGCGTTGCAACGAATCATGACACCACAGTGGGACAGAACCATCACGACACTCATTAGCCTGCAAAGATCATTTAAGTTACTCGCAACGTTCTGCGCCCAAACTTCCAAAATGGCATGGATAACAAGACTCCTCCACAGGGACATTTCAGTCAATCAATTAGTCAGTTTGCCTGATTACCCAAGTGTCTCTTGTTGGTCCATGACGATCCCATGTCTCAGTCTAGACTAGTGGCACTCGCTACTTAAGTAACTTCCCTCATTGATGGAACACATATGTAAGTGTTGCCTTCATAAGCCAGCTCAAAAGACGGATGTCCATCTTACTTCTCCACGCAACCCTATATCCTAATTATTATCTCTAGAAAATCATGTCCTCAACTACCACCTCCACATTGCTTATTTCCACACTCTGTGTCTTGTTTGCTTTTGGCACCTTTGCCAATGCTTGGAAGCCAGAAGATGTCCAGATCAACTGCTATTTGAACTCTCAATGGAGAGACTTTAACAACAAGAACTGGTCCTCCTACGACTGTCATCAACAACGAAGCTCCAATGCCAATCAACGACCTCTGGCTCGTCTACTCTGGATCGTCCCGTCCATCAACAATGTGGGGTGGCCTCAACGTTCGCAACGCCACTGCCAACATCTTCCAGTTGGATCAATGGTCCAAACCAATCCGTGTCAGTAGCCGAGTGAACTTTGGTTACACTGTCAACTCGTTCGAGTCTGCCAACTGGTCTGTCCTCAACATTTCCAGACTGTTGTCCAGTGAGGAACAGATGTGGATCGCAATCGATGAGATCAGATTGGTTGCCCAGGATGCCAAGGCCATTGCCATTGAAGCCAGAACCATTGCCACTGAAGCAAAGTCAATTGCCGCCGATGCCAAGACCATTTCCAACGAAGCCAAGTACATTGCTGCTGAAGCCAAGTCTATTGCCGCCGAAGCCAAGACCATTGCCGCCGAGGCCAAGGCGTTTGCCATGCGTGCCAACAACCTTTCTACTGAGACTCAGCCCATCGCCAATGAGGCAAGGGACCTCGCCCTCCAAGCCAACATGACTTCAATTGAAGCCAACTTGCAGATGCTAGAGGCACAAAGAGCTGCTATGTTGAACTCGATTCGCCTAGACTACTTGAACTTCACGATGACCAATGATCAGCGGGAGGTGTTCCTCAAGCTCCAAGATCTGACCAACAAGAGAGATGAGGCTTTTAACAAGATGAAGAAGTTTTCTGAGGACATCACCAACTCTAAGAATGAGATCATGAAGATGATGAGAGGTGAGGCTGAGGATGCCGCTCGTAAAGTTATCAATGAACAAATGGCAACAACCTCAACAACTACTACTACCTCCCCTGCCATCTCCACGACATCATTCTCCACCACTTCCACGACATCCACCACGTCGACAGAAGTACCAGCCACAACTCCCGCCTAAATAATAAAACACCACTCACACGACCATTCATTCATTCATTCAACTTCTCAGTCAACAGATAATAATGAAGACCAAAGATAATAATACATCATCATCTTCATCGTTGTCACATGATGACACCATTGTATCAGTTGGACAAAGATGTGATACACATAAAAGGAGGACAGAGTTCATTTGCTTCGATTGCGCTGTGAAGGTGTGTCCTGTTTGTTTGGTTCAAGAACACAATGGTCACACCATTGACCAGATCGACAACATCAAACTGGCAAACAACAAGTTTCCTGGACAAGGACAACAACATGAGCAACAAGAGCAAGAGCAACAAGAAGAGGATCAAGAGGAACAAGAAGAGCAAGAAGAGGAAGACCAAGAATTTGAGGATGAAGAAGAGGCGGAAGAAGAGGGTCAAGAGGAGGAAGAGACGTGGTTCACATCGAGGCTTGAGGATCTGTGGACTACACTTCGACAGTGTGCTGAATCATATCAATCGATGCAAGACACTCATTCAAAGATCACTGCACGCTTTGAACAACTGATCAAGGTGATCATCGCTGAGGAGCACAGAGCCAGGACGCCACTCAAAGTTCAAATGTCACACATTGAATCAACAATCAACAACATCATCAATGAGATCAATCACATCAATCTAATAATCAACAACAAACAAAGTGATATTAATGCCAAAGTTAACAACAATGAGGAAAAGGCGTTTGATGACGTCTCAGAGGTTGTTGGATCAATCACGTCATGCTCTTCAATCGATGAATTCATCAATGTCAACAAGGACACGCTGTTCGCGCAAGATGTTGATAACGACCATCCAGTCATCGTCAATGATGACCAGTTGATGTCAATGATCGTTGGACACATTCAACATACTCATCAAGTGCCATACGACAAGACTGCAACAATGCAATTAAATCCATGTTGTATCAACATTGATGTCAACAGACTGAACTCCATCAGGAAGATGATTGAGACAAGCTTCAAGCTCATTCAAACCGGACAACAATGTGCCCGCAATTATGATGGCCGCATCGTATCGTTGAGCAATGAACAGATCCTTTTCTTCATGCCAGAGACATCAAAGTGGACGTCGATCAAGGGTGGAGCACTAAAGAGTAAATTCGCTGGGCTCTCAACATCGGTCGCCTACGCTCGTGGTTGTCTCTATGTGTTTGGCGAAGTGGAATATGGTTCAGCGATATGCTCTCGATACTCACTGGCTGACCGGCAATGCTACGACTCAAACTTTGATAACACCATTGACAGCGGCAACTGCATATCAGTCTGCTACGATGGCAACAAGTACATCTACCTTGTGGGAGGACACTACGAAGGCGGACAGTTGCCAAGAGTCGATCGCTACGACATTGAGACGCATCAGTACACCAGGATTGGCGAGCTGCCCTTTGGAGTATGCTACTCCACGGTCCACTACAACAGGAACAATGACACAATCATTGTTGTTGGCGGAGAGAAGGATGGTAATGACCATGATGGCGCGCTCATATTCAACGTTCAGACATTGGCCACCGAGGTTGTCAACCTCAAACACTTTATCAGACCCGACATGTCTGGATATAGTTGTTTCGATGAGAAGGATGGACTGTACATTCTCACCAATAATCAATTCAATCGATATAATTTAACGACCAAACGTACTGATCATTTGGCCATGTGTCCTGTAAAGCCAGACAATACTCCAATCATCTATGATCGATCCAGTACACTATATATCTATCTCATTGCTGGCAAAGGTCAAAACTATCTCTACTCAATACTAGATGATAAATGGACATTAATCAATGACAATGACCCAATCAATTCACATTCATCATTCAGTACATTTTTGATTTATGATTGATTGATTGGATCAGTGGACAAGTCTAATTGTAAGTTGGATTCCAATGGATGGATGGCAACTCAGATGATCAATAAAGTGTGATGACTCACACACCCCCCCTTTGATTCTTGCAAAGATCGTTTCCACGCTCACCTTGTGTTTTCAAGTTTGACAATTCATCCAAAAGGTGGTTGTGTTGAACCTTCATTCATTGACACTCACACACTCTCACTCATTCATAATCATTTACTGCCTATCTCTATCTCTATCTCTATATATCTATCTCTATCCTACCTCTATCAATTGTATAATATTTGTAATAATAATCCAATCAATCAATATATATATATCATATCAATAAATAAAAGAACAAACAATGAATGACGGTAGTGCAAATGGTGGCACAGGTACAGGTCAAGGTCAAGGAACAGGAGGAGGAGGATGGCGAGGAATGTTATCAAAGTTTACAAATTATGTAGTTAATACTACAACTTCGAATCTATATTCATTGTCATTGGCACCACAACAACGATTGGTTCGATTCTTAATCAACAATAGTATAAAGTCATACTTGTTCTCTGATGTCCAGAAGGAGGAGTTTGACTCACAGTTCACAAAGGGCAAGAGCGAGATCGTTTTGAAGAACGTCGTGTTGGACAAGGCCGTGCTGAATAGCAAGCTCGCAACAGGCCTGCCCTTCCAGTTTGGCGTGGTGCGCATTGATAGCATAGAGTTCAACATCCCGCTGCTCAACATCACCACTGAGCCCATCAGAGTGGTGGTGCGTGGCGTCGAGGTCAACATCATCCCGACCAGCGCAACAAGCACAACAACATCCAGTAGCGACTCGCTCTCTTCATCGTCATCGTCCATCATCACCGACTATCCATCGCAGCATGTCGACTCGTCGATCCTCTCGGGCACCATCATCAGGGAGCTGCACGAGGGCGAAGAGCCAACAATGGACAGCAGCATCCTCACAGGCATCCGACCCGAAGACAACGGCGACGTGTTTGACGCCATGCAGAGTCAGCTGCTGGAGATCTTTTCAAATGTCATCGTGGACATTGAGAAGCTCTCACTCTTTGTACATACACCCACGTCCATTGCCAATCTAGAGCTCTACATGTCATCGGCATCATTTAAGTATGAGTCCGAGAGTTCAGATGTAGTTGGCAGCGATAACAACAACAATAACAACAACGAAGACGATGGCGACGATGAAGAAACCAACAACAACTTCATCAACGACAATGAAGTCAAATCAGCGAATCAACAAAAGAAACCAAAGCTTAGCTTTGATCAACTGTCTGTGATGATGCATAGGAAGGAGGGCTCAGCCATCTTCTTTGAGCACAAGAAGTACTTCTTCAATTGCTCAAAGGTGGACAGACCCAACTCGATCGTGTTCACACAGTCCAGCAACGAGTCGCTTGGCATTGACATTGAGTTCAACTCACCCATCACTGGCAACTTTGGACAGGAGCAACTGTCTGGCCTCTTTGATCTCATCGGCAAGCTATCAGATGCCATTGCACAGATGGGTGGAGACGACGAAAAGGACAAGCACAACAAGTCAAAGACACGTCGTAGCAGTAGACAGATTGACAACAGTAGCAGTGGTAGTCAAGTTGGTCGCGCTGTCCAACCACCCAAGGACATCAACCTGCGTGTTACTATACCAAAGCTCAACTACATGGTCAACCTGCCACTGTTGGAGAAGACCATCTGCACCAAGCGCAACTTCAAGATACATCTCACTGGCGACAATTGTTTGATCATGTACTCGAAGCAGTACCCGCGTCACCTGGACAGCGCCATCTCGGCCGCTGAGATGCTACTGCAGACCATCACCAAGACCGAGATGTCGTTTGAGTCGCTGTCGATATCCCTGCTGCCCGACGGACGTCCCGAGAGCGCCTACAAGTGTCTGTCACTGCGCTCGACTACACTTGACGAGGGCGCCGAGTTCCGCAGCCGTAGCTCGCGACCCTTTATCTCGATCGCTCAGAAGCCAACCGGTCGCATCATCAAGCCCATCGACGAGCAGATCTACACGGCCAAGCCGTTCCTAACTTACAAGCAGCCATGGGGCATGAAGGACTGTTCGATCGAGGAGGCCAATCGCCGAGCGAGCTGCATCGTGGACTGCCAGCTGCCCGAGTGTTCCATATCCATTTACAAGTCAGACTTTGAATGTCTGATGAACGCCTTTGCTATCCAATCAGACCAGCCACAGACCAGCACAATGCTCTTCCTCCTCTCATGTATAACTGGTATGTACTTCGGACCAAGGCATACTCACTTACATATGGACTAACAACATCAACGAAACATCAGCATCGATTGAACTCAGATTTGATAAGAATCCAGGTAGCATGATTGATGAGGGCACGAGCGAGTTCAAATTGTTCACCAATGATTTGGATGTGATTACAACGATTGGATATCCATCCAAACCAAACAGGTCAGACCTATTCGATGGCATGTTCACAATACTCTCGCTTGGCTCACTGGACACAGTTGCCATTGCCGATGGCAAAGAGGAACTACTCTTTGGCAATCAAGTTGTATGTTAACTACTCCATCATTACTCATTCACTCACTGACTCACATTATATCACTTAGGATCTTGATGGAATTGAGATGTTGACATCGGCCAAGCAGTTGGCAATCACTCAACTATATGAATTGACGATATCAAGCATCAGCTTTGTACCATCAATGAGATTGATAACAGACTTTATCGATTGGATCAGTTATGAGAACAAGTCTAAGCAACTCACAAGCAGTAGCAACAACAACATCAACAACAACAATAATGTCAAGAATGATCCACTACCGATGCACATCGACTTGATTGATTGTACAGCAAAGTACTACTCAAAGGACTTGGACACTCAACTTGCCATCAAGTTTGACAGACTGGGTGTATGTACTTACTCAATCACGCTCACATTGATCACTCACTCACTCATATACCATCATCATCACAATCTAGATCCTGTTATCACCTGAAGGAAGATCTGATGACTTCATCTTTGCATTCTCCCCATTGAAGATATATATGACGGAGGAGGTGTCCACAAAGAATATGTTTGCTCAGGACTACTCTGAGCTCCAGCCCATTGGATACTCATCCAAGTCCCCACTGGTGTACCTTCGTAACATCACTTCTGGAATTGGCGCCAAGATCGAGTTCCTCTCCAACATCTACGACTTTGAGTTTGACAAACATACCTTCCACCTATTCTCCACGATCGTGCCAATGTTTGGCAAGCGTCTAGTCGAACGAATAATGTAAGTCCATCACTCCGAAATATTACTATCTCTTGCTAACTCTCCACACATGAACCATTAGCTTGACAAAGGAGGAAGTTAAACCAATTGGCGACAACATTGCAGTTATGATGGGCAGTCAGATTGTCAATGCACAACGTGTGATGGAGGACTACATGGGCTCACCGCACGATGATAAATCGTCTCAGCCTGAGATCGACGACCTTGAAGAAGGTTTTGAGATGGTGTCGGGCGAGAAGATTATGGAGATCATAGCAGTGGACATGCACATCAACTGCACGTTCAAGGACACGGCCAGCCAAGACCATGTCTTGCTCCAGGCACACATCTCTGAGATACTCTTGCAAAACTTTGAGGTCGCTGACTTTGGATCATACACGTCCTCGCTCAAGGTCAACCTGTCCCACCTGTTGATACACGACAAGATTGTCAAGTCTCCCTTCAAAAACCTCTTTGGACCAATCGCCAGTGGACTCCCTGCCGACCCACTCAATCATCTCGTGTCGTTGGTGCTCCTGTCGCGCAAGGACAACTTCAAACGAGCCTGTTACAACGTGGTGCTACACGTTAATCCTCTGTATATATCGGCCTACAAGTTGACCATTGACTTCCTGTTGGACTTCTTCATCAACTACAAACTCACTGATGGTACCACGAACAAGCTTGCCAATGTACCACCAGCAGCGCCAGGCAATGATCAAGTACCAACAGAAGAGGATACCATAATCTTTGATGAGATACTCATACTTCCACTTGGTGTCAAGATTGACTACAGACCATCAAGTACAAAGAGCGACACAAACACCAACGCTACCACCACCAACGCTACCAACAACAACAACGAAGATAACAACAACAACAACAACAATGATCAACCACAACCACAACCACAAGAGTTCTCATCGATCAAGACAAGAGGTGGATATGTTTGGATGTTCAGTATGATCCCACTAACGGACGCCAACTTCACATTGCCAGAGGTTTACTTGCACGAGATACCTCTGTCCAAGCTACCAGAGAGCATCATGAATGTCTACCAACCAAACCTCTCGACCAACGTCTTCCAATACCTCACTGGTGTCACTCCCGTCAAGATCTTCTTCAAGGTGGGCAATGGAATGTTTGCCCTGATCAGAGAACCAATACACCAGGCATCTGGCCCCGATGGCGTGATGATGGGCGTTGGAAAGGGCTTGGGCACAGGCATACAGACACTCTTTGTTGAGCTGCTCTCTGTCTCGACCACCCTGGCACAAGGCTTGGCATCGTTTGCCAAGAACTTCACCAACAATACTACAGACAGAACAAACTCATCCATAATGACGACCCAGCCAAAGACCTTTAAGGATGGTACATCAATGGCTGTGTCATACATGATTGGTGGCTTTTACAATGCGGCCAAGGGCATCCTGTTCCGACCAGTCAGCAAGTATAGAGAGCGTGGAGCAAGAGGCTTCCTCACTGCACTCATGTGGGGTGTGCCTGGCGTGGTACTGTCGCCTGTAGTTGGCATAGCCGAGGGCATCACTTCATTCTCTCTTGGACTTCGCAATTCATTGGATTCATCCAGGATGCTAAAGTACAAGAGTATCGCCAATCAACTTAATCAGCCAATTGAGAACACTTCCAAAGTAGACAACGACAAGAAGAAGTCTGAGTTGGCATGTCCATTCTGTACACAATAAAGAAAGATTGTATTGATATGATAACTACTCCAGACTGTTAAAGAGTTCAAGTCTGTCTACTATTGCTGCAAGTTTGGACTTATTGATGAGTGGAGAGTGCTGCCACAGGAGGACAGTGTTGGAGAGTACCGCCATTGTTTGATTGTCGATGTTGGATAGGTCATCAGAGAGTGCTTGTTTCATTTGGAAATCTTGTTCGTAACTAAAGTATGTTGTGGCCATGAACTCGACTAGATCAAGAATGGACACTTCACATTGTGTCTTGCCTCTTGATGCCAATGACTTGAGGAATGGATTAGTCGACTGGAGAGAGCTGAAGGATGATGATATTCGACTCGACATACATTTAGGTCAGAGATTGATGAAGCATTGTCCCTTATCAACTGTTTAGCTCTGACAACATGTTCATTGAGTTGGTCGATCAATTGTTGAATCTGTTCATTTACATGTGAATGAATGTATTCGACATTGTCTTTGTTGTCTAATGATTGAGGACGACCTAATAATGTTGAAGTAGACGATGATGAAGACGAAGACGATGATGTGTTGTTGTTGACATCTAATTCAGAATCATCATCCGCTGATCCACCTCCAATCATCATGTTGACACTGTTCATCAATCTATTCAACACTGATTCACATTCTGAATAGTAGTGATCCAACTTGCTAACGCTATATATCAATGAGTGAGTGAATGAGCAGCAGGTAATGTAAGAATAACCGATGCTTACCAATCTTGAAACTCATTATATAGTACCTGTATCTGATGTTTGTAATTGGATGATGTTTGAGTTGTAGTGGCAGTCTTTGATGATGACTTTGTAGGTGTTGATGGTGATGATGCTGCTGTGGACATATGTATCACCTAAGTACACATAAATATGTGTATGTTTGACATGAAGACCTCGTAGAGAATCAAAACTCAACCCTTCAAACATTATCAAAGAGGTAAAGATTGTAGTTATCGAAGATAAGTCGGAAATATTAATAATAATTCCCATAGTCAAAATTGCTAAGTATCCAAGAAGAAACGTAACGCTTCTTGTAAAAATTTCCAAAAAAAACACCGATAAAAGCATTATTATTGTCTATTCCAAATCCAATGGCTCCTTGGCGCAGTGGTAGCGCATAAGTCTCCAACTAAAATAGAGAAGTTAGCTTCAGGTCAGGAGTTCGAATCTCCTAGGGGTCAAATACTTTTGGTCGTTTTGATGTAACATGAGGAACTTCCAGAGTCGAATGATTCGTTTTCCAAAGTGTCAAACCGAAACGAGTGATACAGTTATTATCCCGCCTCTTCAATGACGCCAATTTATTTGCAATAATAATAAACTTCCACTCTAGTCAAAAAAAAAAAAAAAAAAAAAAAATACAGTTACTATCTGTTACTCGATCACTCAATCTAGCAAAGTCAATACATCAACTCTCAATCAACAACAGCTGTACTCAGGTGAGTGCCCTGTCACAGATTACAATGGGAGCGGAGTCATTCTTCGCAAGGTATGGCCCGATCAATGATCGTGCGCCACCCTCATCGCAGTCATCATACGACGTGCGAATCTTCTACCCTGGCGCAGCGCTGCTGCCAGAGGACTACATGAAAGGTCTGCGCTTGCACATGCGTGTAAGCAGATCGTACCCATCAGGCACTGCTGCCTCTAAGGATAGCAG